ATAATTGGATGGATGCAACGACGAGGACGTCGTTCTTCGGAAGGGGGGGGTAATGTCACGGTTATGGAGTCACGTGCCCGCTACGAAATACTCACGTGACCGCTCGCCTGTATATATGCCCTGCCTTCCGGCGCTTCCTTCCTTTCTTTCCTCTTTACCTTTAGATTCTAAGAGATAGCCTAATCGATTCCTCGTCTACGTACTTGAGTCCAACCGTGCTGTCACAATTATTATTTATTAATTTATATTTATAATATTAGAAAATGCTATAAAAAATTATAATTATAATAATAAATATAAAACTAAGTGAGATCTTAAGGTTCTCGCTTAAGTGGGCCGCGCGCGGTGGCCTCAGCTCTTACCAAGTTACGACATTGCAGATAATATAATATTTCAGGACAAGATCTTGAAAGCCATCTTTACTACAACTTCTTCTGTGCCGGACTGCGGAGGAAACGCTCGAGGAAAGTGTCCTTGTGCGGCAGTTGCAGAAAGAAAAAAACTTTTGCTACGGGGTAGTTTGCTACTAGATCTCAGAACTTTGTCTCTAGAGACATGGTATTATCGAAAGCAAAGGAGAACTCAACTTAAAATATATTCAAAAAGAGCCAGGAGCATCTCGTTCAATATTAAATCTTCTCCCGCCACTGTCCCCGAAGCAAACAAGAACCCTCGCACATTCCTCCTCAACCTATGGCCCGGTTCGCATCCGCACGATCGAAAGCCCGAAGATGTGGAACCATACTCCCATGTTTAGCGCTAAACTACCCGTACCAACTGCCTGCCATCTGTCACCGATGGATCGGCACTCGGTTGAGGGGTAAGAGATGTTCCCCGCATCCCGTTTTCGCAATTTTATTCCCGCGGAGGGATAGTGAGCGCTAGACGTCACGTTCTGCGAGAAGACATCCGGAAACGTCGTTCCTGGGAGATTTTGGGATTTTTTGACACTAAGGAAGTAATGTCACTTACCTAGTTCTCTTTACCTCGTCTTCGCGGTGGTCTTCTTTCCATATTCTACGCCCAAGCATCATATCTCCTTGTTGTGATCCATATCTTCAATATGGGCGTACAGACAGCAATCCAAACTCGAGGCTGGTTCGGCCGCGGAAGGTCTTTACAGATCGCTGTGAGCTGTTGTTGTCTACTCGCCTTCACACTCTTTGGCTACGACCAAGGAGTTTTTAGCGGTATCCTGCAGAATGAGGATTGGCTTGATCAATTCGGCCATCCGAGTGATACTCACACTGGTATCATCGTCGCATCGTATAATTTGGGTTGTCTTGTTGGTTGTTTCAGTAGGTTGTTATTTCTCCCGTTTTTTTTTGTGAAAGATGGGGGTACATCTAGAGTACTAATATTCCAACAGTCAATTTTTGGATCGGAAACCCTCTAGGGCGGAGAAAGGTGATATGGCTCGCAGCCTCGATTATCATAATCGGTGCAATCCTGCAATGCTCCGCATACAGCGTGGCGCATTTGGTTATTGGCCGTATTGTCACCGGCATGGGAACTGGGCTGGAAACATCAACAGTCCCCATGTACCAATCTGAGCTTTGCCAAGGGCACATGCGAGGTAGACTTGTTTCGGCTGAAGTCCTATTTGTTGGTGTTGGCATAACAATTGCATAGTGAGTTCGAACCTCTCTCATCGCTTTTTTGCTATTGTTGAGCTGAGTGTAATGTCTAGCTGGTTTGATTTCGGGATGTCGTTTGCTGGTGGACCTGTTGCGTGGCGTCTTCCTATCGCGTTCCAGATCGTATTTGCCGTCATTGTAATCATTCTTGTTTTCGGGTTGCCGGAATCTCCAAGGTGGCTCTATAATCACGATAGAGCGGAGGAAGCCCTGCAGGTTCTTTGTACTATCTACGACAAACCTGCGGATGATGCGTTGATTCGGCACGAGACGGGTCAGATTATCGAGGCTATACAATTGGAAGAACGTAATGGTCGTTTCAAGTGGCGCAATATATTCAAGAGAGATGGCGTGCAGACTGGACGACGGGTTCTGCTGGCTTGGGGAATGCAGTGTATGAATCAAATTGGAGGAATCAACCTGGTCGTTTATTACATCCCATGTAAGTTGTCCTCCTCGTCTTGCTAAGATTGCGTGAGCTAAACTTTGAAGCTGTTCTGGTGGAAAATGTTGGGATGACCGCGCAACTTGCGCAAATCCTTGGTGGCTGCATCAACATGATGTTCATGTTCGGATCCCTCGTTCCATCCTTCTTCCTAGACCAAATGGGTCGTCGCAAGACTATGTTCTGGGGCTGCGCAGGACTTGGTCTTTCAATGATGATGATCTCCATTTTGTTGAGCTTCCAGGGAACTTCTGTCGAGAAACCAACGGCCTCTGCCAGCGTTGCTTTCTTTTTTACGTATATGTTGATCTTTGGGGGGACGGTGAATTGTGTTCCGTGGGTCTACGTACCAGAAATCTTACCCCTGGAAGCTCGTGCTAAAGGAACGGCTGTCGGAGTATCCAGCAATTGGTTGTGGAACTTTACGATTGTGATGATCACACCAATCATCATTAACAGGCTTCAGTGGAAAGCCTACCTTATCTTCATGGCTACGAATGTAAGATGCACTTTGTTCTTCATCTTCCAGATTTTTATGGCACCAATGAGACTTACAAAGATACAGCTTGCGTTCATTCCAATCGTGTATTTCTTCTACCCTGAAACAAGCAACAAGTCATTGGAAGATATCGATTTTCTCTTTCTTGGTGGCACTTCTGGGCTACCGAAGCTACCATTTGTATCGCAAGGATGGAGTTCAGGTTCTGATATTGAGAAGGGGACCATCGGCCACGAAGATAGACTTCGAAAGCCAGAGACGCATGAGCCGATCACGGAGCATTTGGAACATAAGTGATGATTAGAAAGGGGCCAAAATTGACGTGATTGCTTCTCTGAGAACAGTTGAAAACCATTATCTTTCATTTCCTTCGGAAGATATTTGAATAGGAGACAGAGAATCTACAGCATAGAATATACTAGAGGACGTATATAAATGTAGCTCGCAAATATGCATATTAGAAGTTGAATTTGAAATACTTTTATCAATACAAATTTGCATACACATTCTCGTTTCATACACTGTGTCCAAAGGATCTCCACAACCACTCAACTAATTATCCACAATATGAATCTTTACGGATGCCTTGGTTCGGTCACCAGCTGTCTCCAATGCTGTCACTGCTTCTTCGAGAGTGAATGTGTGCGTGACTAGAGGCTTCAGATTAATATAACCCGACTGCATGAGCCGAATAGCAAATGGCCAAGAGTGGTGATATCGATTGATGAACTTCAAATCGATCTATATTGAAGTCAGCAGACGTATGTTTCATCCGCCAATAGCAAGAAACTCACCTCCGCCAAACTTAAATGCATGAACGGCAAGCCATCCATGATCGCCCGTCCAACACCAATAACCATTACTTCGCCCCCTCTCTTACATGCATAAGAAGCTGTATGCACACTGCTTTGCACACCAGTACACTCATACACCACAGGCGGCTCCTCGCTCCCCAGATCATTGACAAACACACTTCGAATACCCGCCGCATGCTCTTCAGGCGATCCGCTCAACGGAATAAGGAACGTCTCACACTCCGGCACGAACTGTTTCGCAAACGACAACCTCGCAGCATCCACATCCGTGATAACCAACGGAAACCCTCCACTAGCTTTCGCAGCCGCAAGAGCAATGAGTCCGATCGGCCCAGTACCACAGATCAAAACCGGCTGTCCAAGACGAAGCGGCGAGCGCTCCATTCCGTGCAGCACGACGCTGAGTGGTTCCAGCAAGGCCCCTTCTGTGAAATCCATCGTGGAGGGGATCTTGTGTAAGTATTTGGCGCGATGGACGTGATACCGACGAATACTGCCGTGGTACGGCCAGACGCCGCTAAATGCTACGTCGGGGCAGAGATTATAATCCCCAGTCGTGCAGTGGTAGCATTGTTCGCATGGCATGCCGGGCTCGATGGCTACTTTATCACTGGGTTTTAGGTGTGTGACATTTGAGCCAACTTGGAAAATCTCGCCGGCGCCTTCGTGCCCGAGGATGTAGTCGTCTTCGACGATGCAGGTACCGATCGCACCGCTTTTCCAGAAGTGGAGATCGGATCTTGAGGGAATGAGAGAGGGTAAAGTAAAATGGAGGGGAAGATATACCCACAGATACCATTCACTCGTACGTGGACTATGCAGTCGTCCGGGCCGAGCTTCAGCTCTGGTGATGGTGCGCTGTAGATTCTGTGGTCTTTGGTAGTCCAGAGACCTGGATTTGGACGTGGGAGGTGGACGGCGGAGTGTTGAGGTTCATGAGTGCCGTTTGTGAGCTCTGGATTAGCCGACATGGTGGGTGGGTTGACGATGTCTATGTCTTCCGAGAATGCAAGATGAGACGTTGACGTGAAAGGCTTCAGATGTTGTCGTCGGATACAAGGTTAGGATTATACGTGAAACTATCCTGTCTTTGGGGGAAAATAAATTACTTGAGAATATTTTTCTTTGCCGCAAGTCCAGACCTGGCTTGAAATAACCCGACGACGTTCGAAGATCATCAATCAGCATGCAAGGCGGGGTTACCCCGCGATCCCAAGTTCGGCAGAGCTCGCCACCGGCTTCCCATATTTGGCGAAAGTGCCGGACTACTGCATCCGTCAAGAAACGTCTTGGAAGTAAGATTACTATTCTGTTGTGACAAGGTGATATCATCATTATCGTGCTAGGCAACTATTGCCAATTTTGTCGTTGAGTCAGGGACGGACAGTCAGAGAGCCATGTGAGCGTTCCGTCCCACGTACACCCCGACTGCAATGCACCATAATAAAATGACAGTGATCTTCTGTTTCAAGCTAAATACCTAGGTAAGTATAAGTACAAGCTAAATCCATCATACAATTGTTCGGCTTTGCTTTCTTTACAATTTTCAACAGGAAATAAGCGAGCCCCCTATTCTCAGATTCGCTAGCCAAGCTCCACTGGTCTCCACCATATCTCCAAATCCCTGAGCCCCCTAAAAGTTCCCCTGAGACCCACAGGAGTATCGCAGGGAACCATGGAGCGTTTACAAACAGTCTCGTCCTGTATCGACAATGCGATTTGCTCAAACGACGCTTGATCACTCTCGTGGACCCCGAACCTGTGGGAATTCTTTTCAGCTAATTGTCACATGTTAGCATCATACTTCACCATGGGTCTAATTAGTATGTAACTCACGTCCTCCCACCATCCTCTTCAGGTCATTACCGATATACATCCCAAAATCCGTACAACCCCGGTTCCGCAATCCCCTCAGCACCGCAAAGATGGGAAGGAAAGGGGCAAAGAGGAACGTATCCGGTCCAACAAAACCGAAAGCCTCTGGATCCTCGACAACTCGACATCCGTGAATCTGGAACAGGCCTTTCATCTCCGGACTCATATTCGGATCTTGGGCCACAATATTATCGAGAATACTTGGCTGCGCAACGGAAAGCTGAGTGGCAATCTGAGCGAGGAGTACGAATTGATCGATGTCTCGAGCTCTGCGATTCCCGATTCCAAGACAAACGATGTTGGAGATCGGTTGCCCGGCGCGGTCTGCGATGATTTGAGCAATTGTCATCGCGAGCTGAGGCGCGTACTCGCTTGCTAGCCATTTTTCGCTTGCTTGCAAGACATCTCTTCCTACTTCTATTGTAGGCGCATTGACTAGGGAATCTACACTGATGAAGGTAGGCGGAAGATTCCTGCTTGTTACGGATTCGTATCGTGGTCTCATCTTCGGTGCTCTTGGCTTGGCAGGAATTTGAGCGATACAGAAACTTGACATGTCTTGGGAGGAGATGTACCTACCTGGTGAATGACAAAGAATCCCTTCCGGAAGTGGAAATAGAAAGTTGTACGAGTCCTTTGTGGGGGACATTTATTGTGTAGATCGTCAAAGGTACTTATTGTAAGAGGAGGAAGAATCTCTCACAAAGATGTGCGTAAACACCTATTGGTAAATAAATAGAGATTCGGCTTTAATCTTTCTTATGATACATGTCCAGATCCATATCATACAATCAATTATCCCACCCCCATTTCCGCGCGCTCTCTCAATTTCAACGCGTTTCATCAACCGTCACTTAGCACCAGTAGCTACTTGCCAAGCAACATTAATAACGCTAGCCGTAGCACCCAAATGCGCCAGAGATCTCAATGGCGCAATATCCAATATATACGCCGGATAATAGATGAACGTTTTCAACAAGACGTGGAGACCGAGTAGGTTGATCAAGTTCTGGTTCGTAGGAGCTGTGATTTGAGCTAGAGCGGCTGCGAGTGCGAAGCCCTTGATCTGTTAGGTTCGAGGATGGGAAAAGCGGGGATGGGCAGGTACCGGGAACATTTCCATGGTGTTGTAATGTGCGCTGCGGAGGCGGAGGGGTAGGCCTCTGAGGGCACTGATATCTTTCCTTGGATCTAAATTTGGAAGTCAGCCAAACGTGCCATCCAAATGTTCTCGAGGGCCAGCTTTTTGCAAGCAGTCGAGGTGTCCGTCTACACACGACTATTATCCAATCCCTCCTTCCTACTTGCTCCCAACCCAGCCGCAGAAGCTGCGCCCGTAGCTGCGAACGTCCAGAAAATATAGAAGGCAGATAAAGCTGGGATAACCCTATTGCTTGGGATCGATGCACTGCCTGGAATAGCAGCGAGCAATGTTTCGATTGCTTTTTGGACCAGGGAGTTGGGAGTGGTGATGTAGTTTGTTACTGGGATGAAGGCGAGGAATATGGGGCCGAATGCTATCATTAGGATGCCGTTTGAATTAACGCTGTGAGGGAGCTTTGTGAGAATGTTTTGAATTGTGGGCTGGGGAGGGAAGGAGACTTACACGCCGTCGAAAAGAGAGGGGGTGGACATGTTGGCAATTGATAAAAAAGACAGCGAATTAGTGACAAGGGTATCAAGACTCAGAGAATTGAATTCAAATAAAAAGGAGGGCATGCAGTTGATATATCTCCGCATGAAGCTAAAGTCGAGCTTCAATTCATATCCGGGACTTATCATCCTCGGCAGTGGCTTTTAGAACATGCTAAAGGGAGCTATGAAAGCTTAGCGCGAGCTATTGAAAAACAAGATCAATTGCATCATCTGCTAAAGTAACCCATCACAAATCGTTGGTAGTGATCTTGATATGACGCAATCGTATCTTGTATCTCGCTGAGATGTCCCGAAGTGGTGATCATAATTCAGGGGTCCGCTTAGATCTCGCTTAAGTCTCTGTGGGTATTAGGCTCCTTCTCAATTGCTTGTACATTTCGTGGACGGTTGTTCTGAAAAAACAAGTTCCGTTTGTGTTTCAAAATATTTCTGACGGACATCTAGGGCATTGGTGACTCGGGGTAACGACGGTAGCTTTCAAAATATGGGTATGCAGCCCGAAGATGATTCACAAATCACATGATTGAAACGGCTCAGATCAAAGGTCGAGGACGCATGGAATATGTTCGTTGAAATATTCGTAAAGCTTGAGAACATGAGCGGATGAGACATTACCAAGAAAATATCATCAGCTTTCTTCAGCATTCACCAAGGAAGTCATAACACCCAACCCTCCACTCTGCGTCTCCACCGTTCTGCCTCTCCCTCTATCATTCGGATCTGTAGCTACGGTAGTTGCGACAGGAGTCAGACCAGAGGTTGCAACCGGAGGATTGTTCGGAAGTCTCCAGATACGATTCTGAGGAATTCCTTTATTCATCACATCTGCGGCCCCAGGAACAGTATCGGTATAGCCCTCCGGAACCGTATAATTAGCATCCCACCACCCTCCATAAACGCCTGACGAGTTCCGGGTTGCATATGCAGCCTGAGAATTATGTAGAATCCAAGGTGTATAGGTGTCGCATTGTGCCTGATGAGCTTGTGCTTGCGCTGGAGTCGCGTTGAAGATGATGCTGGTGTTTTGGCTCTTCTGTTGAGCTTCGTCCATTGCGAGGGGCTGGCAGAATAGTGTGAGATGGTGGAAAAAGATTCCTTTGAAGTTTTGCGCGTCTTGACTGCAGCTTCCATCAACATCGCAGAGATCTTGCAGTATCCCGTTCGAGCCTAGACCAGCCCATGTGTTGTTGGATACATCTGGCCATCCCGTGGCGTTGATCACGCTGTTCATTAAAGTATATCCGTCTGTGACGTACTTCTGATCCCCAGTTGCGTCCCAAAGTCCTCGGAGGCCAGAAAGGAGAACGCCTTGGTTGTAGGTGTAAACAGACTCGTCTCTTGAGTCACAATTGCCGGTCCCAATGTCAGTGGTATTGACGTAGCCTGTGATGTGAAATCCGTCGACGTAGAGTCCCTGAGCATTTGTCATGTTGCTTGTGGACAACCAATCATACTCCGTGATTGCAGCATTGAGGTATCTTTGGTCGCGTGCTTGAATCGGAGGAAGTGCTTGAGAAGAGTTATATGGCGTGTCCGGGTCTGGAGAAGGATTTGGATTCGAGTCACCAGGAAAGTAAAGATACATCCCTATACTAGAAGCGACAAAGAGTTGATTTGTGATCGCATTTTTGTATGGCGCAAGTGAATACGTCCACACCATGCCGCCGCCACATAGAGTCGTGTTGTAACCTTGCGAAGCGAGATCCCAGAAGACTCGAGCTCGATGGGCAAATTCTGGAATGTACTGTTGTCCGTCGAAACTTGGATCGATGCTCGAATATAAGTTCACAAATTTGATTGCCTCAAGCCATTCGAGAATGACCCATTGCTCATCATCGAACTTCTGAGTGGTAAGACCAATCGCATCCTCCCCTGAATAGAAGGCAACGACTTCGGAGAAGTATTCCTGGATGTCGCTAGCATATGTCGAGTCTTCGTAGGTAGCCATCGTTGCCAAGGTTGTAGAAATGTCTGTATTGAAAGTAGCCATAGTCCAGTCAATTCCGGTTGGCCATGTCGAATTTGATGGGTCCCAGAAAAGCGATTGCATTACTTCGAGCGCGTTGACCATGGCTGGGAATGACGAAGTGGTGTTCTCCAAGTCCCGACGAAGCAACGAACGTCTGGTGCCATGGCATTGCGAGCACGATCTGGAAGCATCATAATGGTCTGGCACACCAGCAACTGTCTTGAACATTAGAAACACAATTGAGATAAAGAGCGAAATAGTCAGGAAAGCCATATTCGACGCTCTCGGAACTACAGCTTGGCGACGTTGATTTTGTGCGTCGAAAGAGGTGAAACTTCCAACGAAAAGAAATCGAAGAAAATCCTGCGCCTTGGAAAAACTTCCATGACGTTAGAAACATTATAGGGTGTTATTCATATAAACATATCAACATGCGACTTTCATCTTGAAACCCAGTCATGTGGAGCGGCCTTGACGGAAGCGGATGACACGAAAACAAGCGAAGGATCGCATCACATAGAAAGCGATGATCACTTGAATCATTATGCGCCTCGGAATGACGTCCGTACCGCATCTAGTCTGGTAGACTCCATTTAAAGGATCATTGTCGACCACGCTACCATCTGGAAGGCTCGCCATTTTGGGGTACGTCCAATAATATAGCTGCAATGCAACGTGCTGAAAAGATCGGACGAGTGAAAGGAGCTTGTTATGCGGCTTAGAGGCGGTTTTAAGACCGAGGGCCGCTGCATAAAGTTCATCTGATCATTATTCCCCCTAGACTTATGCAGGTGCCAATAATCACTCTCGATGTGACTCTGGTCTGTAACGTAAGGTCTGTACTTTGTACCTCGGCTTACTTGCTGTTCATCTCTTTCCTAGAGTCTAAGTACTGCGCTTCCACCAGAATTTCAAAATACTAGCACTGGAACGGTGCAGAAATAATACTCCTTGATGACTCCCTAATTTATTGAACTCTCGAGATGCTCAAGTAAAGAAAAAAGTTGCGGGAAGTTAGTTTGGAATCGGATGGTCCCCCGAAAATCCCTGTGAGGTACTGTATTGCCAGGAGCAGTACCTGGCTTACCCCACCGCGGCTTACCCGCATACCCCACTTCTCCAGGAACTATTCTGAGTCCAAATGGACATGAAGGAATATGGTCTATTTCCTTACTAATAGGTCCATAAGGAGACGAGAAAAATCGAACAATGTTGGGTCGTGAATAGACATGTCACAACGCCTGCAGATATTTTGTTAGGATAGAGTTTTGCTTTTGCGCAAGGTTACTGTAGGTGGGATGGTGATTGGCGGAACGCACGGCTTCAATACCGAGTATCGGGATCTTGGCTTCCCTTGGTCTCGGGATATACCCGTGCTCTATAATGGAGCACATCTGGTCCGAGGAGGTTTTGGAGCAAGTAATAGTCTGGATGGTCATCGTAAGCATGGAAGCAGGCGAGCAAGCTTCGGCTTTCTTTTCGAAACCGGATTTCGAAAGATCACAAATCCAACAACGGTGGCGTTATTTGCTCAGGTTATGGTATATGACAGAAGTTGGAGCTAGCTAGAATTGACACTCCTTGCATAATGGTTGAGCGCCACAAATCTCATCTCTTCGATCTCAGTCTTCTTGATTCTTCTTGCACGATCAACCCAAGTCCTCTGTATCGTCTCTGACAGATCTCTGACAGTAACATACACTTCCATGTGAGTTTGCAAGCTCAACAGCAGACTAGGATACGAGAATAATTTTAGTAGTGGAGAAGCGCAATTTCACCATCGAGAACAGCTTTTTCGACATCACGAGCTGTCGCAAGAACATTTTCGCTCGAGAGCAGACTCACAATGGGCTCTCCATGGAGCTCATTAGTAGCATCTATAGGACAACAGTCCCGCCACGAATCATCGAACTCGAACACAGGTCAAAATCAAGACAACTCTACCACTTACGACACAAATCGTGCAAAAGCAGGATTCGAACAAATGCGTGCCAGCCAAGATCCCAACCTCACGACAGAGCAACGCATCGACGCCGAAATGGCAGCTCTTGACACTATTCTCTCTTCGAAATTCAGCTCAGAGAATGGATTCTTCCTTGTTAAAGACATCAAGAGGACAAGGCAGTTGTTGACGAAAAGCGGTCACGTGGTACCGGATACTCACGTGCGTCTTAATGCTGCCAGAATGGTTGGGCAAGGACACCTCAGGGCGGTTCATTTATATGCGCATCCGTACAAGGATTTGACTATTGAAGATGTCATGTTGTGTTTGATTGCGGAGGCGCGAGCGATGGAGGCGAAAGAGGAACAAGGGGTTTTTACGGCTGCGAGTTTGGGCTTTGAGGTCACGTTTGGTCAATTCGATGGAACTCCTGTTGGTCACCCTAGTCCTCCTGGTTCGTAGATGGGTTGGAATATCAAAAGGAGATCCATAGGGTTTGGATGTTGAGAAGGCGATTTTTGAATTGCGACCTGGTATAATACTGTCTGCGTGAAAAAGGGTGTCGTCTGCTCTGCGTTTAGATTGAACCTTAGGAACTATAGCAACTTGTTGCTTACATGACTCGACTCGCCGAATTGACCTCGCAGTCTCTCGTGAAAGAGGTAAATGGAGTCAATTCTCTCTTTCTCGAGTGCCACACCGACATAACTGATATGAAAATTGCCGTGGGGAAAGTGATGGAGTGATTATTTAGTATCTCTCGCAAATTAATATACTCGTACTTATTGTCGTCCTCCACTTGTCCGCAGTTCTGCAAAGGTTCGATCTGATCTCCTGATTTTCATGTGGCTGCGCCTCGAGGTGATCTTGAACTTCTGCCGAATTCCACTAGACTGTTGTACAGATCTCTTTGCAGACCGGTTCTTTGGATGAAGTCAGAAATTTTGAAATGTCTGGCACTGGATAAAAAATTTGGAACAAGTGTACTGTTACACTGAGTTCGACGAATTTGGATTGTAGTGCTGCGGCTCGAGCGTCGCCAAGAAATCCTGAGTCGTTTGTGGCGCTTAATAAAGTAGACTCTGTAATAGCCATGCGAAAATGTTACGATCTTGAAAAGCTTATTTGATGGTCCATATCCACGTACCAGGTCTCCGGCGGCTGCGCCTCGCGGAAGAGTGTCTCTAAAGTATTACTGCGCCTCTTAGTCAGGATTCGAAGTTTACCACTCCACCAATTCTGTGTGATATTAAATACAATTAATAGACACCGCACCCCAGATTATCCTTTCGACTGACATGAACCTATTTTTGCATGATGTTCGGCATTTCATCTTAGAACGAATCAAAAGCGTCTATTCAAGTCAGCTTTTGCCATCGTGGGTAGTGACTGACAGACAAAGGTGTACTTTTAAAGCTTGTTTTGGCATTCATCACTTCAAAGCATAATCTCGCATTCGATTGTCTCTGCCCTAGTAGTTCATCTTGTTTACATTGGTGTTCAATCGGCGCAACTATAGTTCTTTTATACCTTAAAACGCGGATATATCGATTTGCTTGCAGCGCAGTCACTAAATCGCTCTCGCTTACAGCGCACTTACTTGCAATTGCACTGTACTGCGCTGTAAATATATTATGACGCAAATTAAAACGTAGTTGAATATAAACTTGTTTTATCAAAGTTGTATATGATGTATAAGCTGTGTGAGCATATGCATATATTTGGTTTATGGGCACTATGAAGTTATGAACTCTTTTCTGGGATTATTGAATCTTACGATTTGTTCTTTTCGTTCAGTGAGATGATCTGATCTGTTCGGCTGTCATCTTCGTGGCCGGTAAAAGAGGAATAGATTGAATGAAATTAGAATGCTAAACAGGCCATTACAGAGTTCTCAAATTGTTTTCGAAATCGAGCTTTTAACGGATCCTGAGTGGCCTGCGCCATGATCGGCTCAGGCGCGTATCGGTATTGTTCTCACCTCAAGTCGTACTTCAAACATCTATAAAGTCGGCTCATTTCCCGGGAGAGTTGTGTTTCTAGCTCACAGTCGATAAAGTATCTCACAGCATATCCCACCATCAGTAATCATTGTCGTTTGAAGACCTTTCCACTTCTCTCACAGTCAACCATTCAAAATGATCGCTATATCATCCATCAAGAAGACTGCTTTCGGGCTTGTCACTCTCCTCCTCCTCCTTGCGAGCAGCCCCGTAGTCTCTACGCCTGTTGCATCCGATACCCTGCGCGTCTTCATCAGAGCAGACGATGGCTCATATTCACCCTCGGAGTCTATGGCATCGGTCATCAAGGCACGCTCTTCTGATTGGAGCCTCGAAAAACGTTCTACAGCTACTGTCAAAGCCTGCAGCGATGCTGGATGCTCGAACTGCAATACTGTGTTTGATGGTAGTCTCGACAAGAATACGGGCTGCCTCCAGGCCATCAACACCGCCTGTCTGATCGTCTCCAACCTTAACGATGCAAACATTCAGTTTTGGAATCACAACGAATGCAACGGCAGGAGTACTGTCTGGCGTGGCTGTGGCAGCAACAACGCTTTCGTCAGCGCCCCAGGCACAAACTCGCTTGGTGTGCACACTGGCTGTTAAGAGAGTGTGGGGCTTCTGTGGAAGACGAGTGGATTCGGCTTTCTTCGAAACATTTATCATCTTTTTTCGACTATCTCCACGTTTCTTTGCCAGCCACCGTTACCGATATCTCAGACTGGATATTTTGCTTTCTCCATGGGTTGTGGATGGACTTAGTGTCATAGAGCGAGGTCACATCGCGCGAGGCACCCTTTAGTGTAGCCGAGCCAATCAATACAGCAACACTTCACAACCAATACTTGATTTCTGCGTAGCTACCTTTTGGTGACACATTTTACATCTAGCAATTGTGAACACAGACTTCTATTCTTGTATGCCTTGCTCATAAAGAAGATCAAGGTGACTGCAACATGGCTTCTCTCTTACGTTTGTGTTGAACAGACGAAAAGTTTATCCCAATGTACCAAGTAATCGACAAAAGAAACCATTTCCATCGAGATTGAAAATACTAGTCATGGAAGAAGATAAGTTTCTAACATGACCTATTCTCATCGTTCCAGACTCGCACTACTAAGAGGCTCCTCCGCAAGTGCCAGCATAACAGTCGCTGTAGCCATTGAATCCACCATTCCAGGTGTATTGAAGAGCCCCCGTCCACGAATAGTCCCCACTTTCCTGGTCGCACAGGCAAGATCGCCACCACTGGCTGTTTTGCGTGTCGGTGGAAAGCTCGCTGGCGAGACTCCATGCGCCGTTGGTGTCTGGATATTGACCTCCCACGTCGGCATCGTATTCCTCCCATTGAGCCTCTGTCCAGTAGAAATCCATTCCGTAGTACACGCCTGTAATGCCATCTTCGGTGTCCGTGCCATCTCCTCCACATAGCTCAGTGTTGTCGGCGTAGATGTTACCACTATCGTTACCAAATCCATTGCAGTTCCCATCATCGCGCTTGCGCGACTTCGTAGCTGTACCGAAGGCATGGTGAGAACCGAGACCTGCCGAGCTCCCAGTACCATTCACAAAGAACATAGATACAGGTGCACCCAGTAAAGTGCCATTGATGGAACGCTGCACTAGAATAGGATTCAAATCGGTACTGTTGAGCACATGGGCCATCGTGATGATCGTATAGTCGCGTCCGACATCATGCAAGATGCTAGCATTCCCAGAGAGGGCGTTTCTGATCGTCTTGTTTGCCAGGTGAGGATGGAGAACTGACCAATCGTAGTAGCCAGACTCATTGCCGCGTTTCAACGGAGATGATCTTCGATCAATATTGTCGACAACGTTGCCATAATCACTATAGTAGGGTGATAGCTGCAGACTGTCCAAGTTGCCCTGATACGATGCTTCGTTTGTCCAATCGCTCCAAGCAGTGGCAAGGTCGGCACGTCCGTCCCAGACAGAGAACATAGTGGAAACGACGGCAAACGAGTTGCAGAGGTACGACACCCAAGAGGGAGCACTAACCCACCACTCAACAGCATGACATGCCAAATCACCGAGTAGAATGCCAGACGTCCAGGACATCGGGTTGATGAAAACCTTAGTCGCCGCCCAGACGAATGACCAGAGTCCTCGACGGTCTTTGTCGCTCTCGGCTGCTGTAGTCTGGACCTCTGAGTCTCCGCTGTAAGTTCCCCGGACGATAGCTTCCCCGTCACGCCCAGTCACTGGCAGGTAGCTGTGTAACTGTACGTGGAGTCCCTGCGGCAAGCCAAATTCACCACTCGATATCGCTTTGATCGGCTGATCTAGCAGTTGAATAGTGTATGCGTAAGCTCCATTGGAGTTGAAGGCCGATAGCCATAAGATCAAGAAGGCCAATAGCATAGCATACATTTTTGATGCTTCCTCCGGATATTTGTGCTCGGTTAAAAAGAAGGCCGACGGTAATGAAGCTTATAGCAAAAGCGAGGAGATGTAGTAGTGTCAATATCTTCACTTTCGTGAGCATCTAATGCTCAACAGTTCTGGAAGTGAGATGCCGAATGATATGTTATGAGTTGTGGAAGCTGGGGCTTGATGCTGACTCTGCAGAAGAGGAGTTGCTCAGATTAGTTGAGAGATTTTGTCTCATTTATATCTGACTTCTATGGACCTTTTCATGTAATCGGCTTCGAAGCCCGGCGCTTAGATCGTGGAAAGTGTTAAAAGTTGGGAGAGCCAGGTGTCAATGAATATGGTAACAAGAAGGTTACTGCTTCTACGTCTGCATGTATTTGCATGAGTCTTGGTTTCTTCTGTCAGTTGTCCAATCTTCGCGTTTCTTTCCGCGGCACGACTTTGTTTTCTTCATCCGAACAAAACTGATATTGGATGCAGTAAGCTGAGCGTCGCACCGGAGCTTACATAGCGTCCTTGACTCAGCAGCCCCCTTATATATTCGGAAGTTCCGTACCGGCTTCCCTAAAAATCAGACGTACTCACTTCTCCCGAATCTGCTTTGTAACACTGAGTAATCGAATATTCGAAATGGAAAGCAACTCCAGTGGATGGAATACGATTTCCTGCAAGTAAAATACTAAACTTCTTTTCTTACCTTCTGGATTGAGATTGCTGTGCAGATAATGTTGTGTTGAGATCTCTCGGTACCTTAAAACGAGAAACGAGTGTCCAATTGGACGAATTTGCTGTGCTATGGAAGGTTGCAGTGATCAAAGTCCAAACGAAAGCTTAGTCACATCCACCCCTTCTCATAAAGGTACTTATTCATCTTTCTATCTTTACCTCATGCACATAACAAGCAAGAAATAGAATAAACTGAAAAGCAACTCCAGAACCCAAATTAAAAATGAGAATGTGATTGGCCCCTACTAAAGCCAAGGTAAAACGGAATCAAGCGAGCTGCAGGACTCTTGCAGAAAATGCTTACACTGGTAAGCTACCGAGTTGGAATGCCTGACCCCTGTGAGCGAATGAAAGTAACTTGGAAGTGATATCGAATTTTGCAAAGTAAGGGACTACTTTGATATTTTTCAACGGACCGAAATATTCAGATTTCTCACTCGAGGAAAGACTCATTGCGTACCGCAACATCTAGAAGATGTAAAAGAAAAGTTGGCCTTAGTTATCTCTATCCTCGTTTCTGCTACCCATGTCTACCTCGGCGTCTCTTTCGGCGCTGTGTCGGCCGACGTTGATTTTTTTGGTTTTCCGTGCCTTGTAGGGCTGAAAAACGTTACTTGCTCTTTGGCGAGATCAGCCGCAGGAACCATTGTAAGGGATCAGAAACGATTGGACAAAGTTCGGTAAGGAAATTGTAGCCGGGCAGGAGACCAAGATGATGTTGCACATTATGACGCGCAGGCTATCCCACGACATGCTCGGGATGTTTAGGCTCTGATGGTCTGAAGCTCTGCTCAGGCTCTGCTCCGACTGCTCACACTCGGCTGAGATAAAAGCAACATTTCCCCTTCGTCCACAGAATAGAACGAAACCAATGAATGAAGAAAGCAATCTTGAGACTATGCGCATTCTTACTATGAGTATTCTTACTCTGCAGCTCCTTAGATTTACTCTCTATATCCCCACATGTGGCATCTATGGTAGTTCCATCCACGACCTAATCACTTTATTACATTCCTCGATTTTCGGTCCGATCCATGCTGATGACATTGGATCGCAGGACACGGCTCTGGCAGGGTCGGCCCTACGGTACCACCCCACAGGAAGCTTCCGAGCTGATATGAGTTCGACCAATGACTCTTGTTAGCCAACTTTGTCTAACCTTATAGGGTACATCCGAGCGAGTGTAGGGTGACTGACTGAGGCACAAACCTTGTGTAATTCAAAACTCCAAAAAGGGGAATCTTGACGACTAGATATCCAATCACAAAGAGTCGCTATTACTGACGTTCTTATCTTTATTACGAGAAGTTGGCAATTGAGGCACGACCCCGCGTTATCTTCCGAAGATGGCTCGCTAGCCTACAGTCCGGTGAGATGACTGCATGGAGCTGCAGATCTTTTGGCTAAAAGGTTAGGATCGATATCCAACAGTCGCATTCTATCCTGTTTCGATGATTTTTACGAAGGCACCTAACTTTAGTCGGGAATGCGGGGCATGCCTGGGCAGCATGTGGAACGTTGTCGTCTCTCTGTTACATTTTGCATTATAAAGACGCTTTCCTCGACCCTGGAACAGGAGGAGAACCATATAATTTGTTTCATTGTCCAAGGTCATTTGAGATCCAGTATATGCCCTTCGGTGTCAATTCAATCGCAGCGGTCACATAAATTATCTAATTATATACGCCAAACGAACTAACTGCCTCACCATGGATCCAACTAGCAAACTATCAGCTGCACAATCCTATCAAGACGAAGAAATTGTTGAAGATCAATTTTCCAAAGCTCAACAGCGATATGGCGAGGAGCGCTCGAAGCGTCTACGTAAGGAAGGCAACGATCAGTTCATCGATATCTCAACCGATCTATCAGACAAGTTCCGGCACTTTCAAGAAGATCCATGGGTGGATGCGAGTGCTGTCAAAGATGCCCACACAATGTTCCCAGACAACCGATGCGAGGTTCTCATCTTGGGTGCTGGCTTCGGAGGGTTGATGCACGCGGTTAGGATGGTGCAGGCAGGTGTTCGCCCCGAGAACCTCCGCATAATCGACACGGCAGGTGGCTTTGGAGGGACTTGGTACTGGAATCGATACCCTGGACTGATGTGCGATGTTGAGAGCTATTGTTATTTGCCGCTACTCGAGGAGACGGGTTACATACCCAAACATCGCTACTCGTATGGACATGAAATCCGCGACTATGCCAACTTCGTTGCCGAGAAGTGGAAGATTGCCGGCAGCGCTGTCTTTCAAACCAAAGCCGAAAAGTTGGTATGGGATGAAGAGAATAAGGAATGGCAAGTGGAACTTGTACAGAGGCGTAAAGGAGTTCCGGCACAGACCTTGAATATCCGCTCGAAGTTCGTGGCAGCCGTCAACGGTGTGCTCAATTGGCCCAAGCTACCTGGCTTCCCAGGTATTCTTGATTATCAAGGACAGATTTTCCATGCGGCACGATGGGACTACTCGATAACCGGCGGATCTCAACAGGATCCGTCCCTCGTCAACTTGAAGGACAAGCGCGTAGCGATCATCGGCACAGGAGCTTCAGCTGTCCAGATCGTTCCGCACTTGGCACGATGGCCTAAGCATCTATACGTCGTCCAGCGTACACCAGCGGCAGTTGACAAGCGTGACCAATGTGAGACCGATCCAGTATGGTTCAAGGAGAACGTAACAACATCTCCTGGCTGGCAACGTGAACGTACGAGAAATTTCCACCAGCATTTCAACACTCAGGAAAACCCCGCAGTCAATCTGGTAGACGACGAGTGGACGCATGCCCTGGGATTAGTGGGGCTTGCTGGAAATCCCGGAGGCCCCAAATCTGTAGAGGATATTCCAGCATATCTGCAAATGCTCCAAACCATCGACTTCCCTAGACAAGACCGAATCCGCGCACGGGTACAGAGTGTTGTGACTGATCCTAGTGTTGCGAAGAAACTTCAACCATGGTATCCATCATGGTGCAAGCGGCCTTGTTTCCACGACGATTATCTGCAGGCCTTCAACCAGGACAACGTAACACTCGTTGACACAGATGGTAAAAGTGTTGATCGACTCACCTCAGACTCGATTGTCGTTGGAGATCAGGCTTACCCCGTCGATGTAATCATTCTCGCCACGGGCTTTCGCACGCCAATTGGTTGCACGCCAGCAGAGAACGCGAACTTGACTATTACCGGCCGTAATGGAGCTTCGATGACTGAGGTATGGAAACGCGACGGTCCCATGACTCAACACGCTGTTCTTGACCATCGGTTTCCCAATCTCTTCCTTTGCAGTTTTGTACAAGGGTCAACGAGCCCAAACTTTCTGTTCGCTATTGACTGTAACGCGAAGAATGCGGCATACATTCTTGCAGAAGCTAAGCGTAAGGCTGCTGGTCAACCCTTCAGTGTGGCTCCAACTGCAGCAGCAGCAGAAGATTGGGGCACTCAGGTGGCGATGAGGTCGCTAGCGATGGCGGCTTTGAGTGGTTGCACTCCGGGCTATATGAATCGAGAGGGTGAACTGGATCGAGTACCGCCTGAAGAGCAAATGAAGATGGCACGTGGTACTGTCTGGGGTCATGGTGTTGAGGACTTTCTTGAGCATGTGGAGAAGTGGCGTGCTGAGGGTAACATGCAGGGCATCGTGGTTGAGACGTAGAACTAAGACGAACTTTCAGTAATATGAAGCGTTACTTGAGCACCCCGAGACGGGTCCTCCAGAGAAACATAATACAAGATGTTTGTTTGCCTCAATATTAAATGGAAGCTATGCACTGTTGAATCTGGATTATATATCTGGAAAGGAAGCGTAATGAGCTCAAAACGCGCAAAACGCGCAGAAAGCGGAGAAAACGGAGAAAGCGCAGGAGCACATGAATGATTACTCAATGTTTGACTGACTTCTACTCTCCTAAGTCGCAGTCGTAACTTAAAAATTGACGCCATAAACTCCTGGATCTCTGCTTTCTAGTGCTGCCGAGCTATGTGGTGATGACATCCAGAAAGTGAGATAAACTTCCGAGGTGTACCTATCTTATACTGAGTATGAGAAGGGAAGAGGTCACCAACAACGAAAAAAGAGCATCATTTGAATCTGTAACACTGTAAGAAAGATGTGAGTACTAGGGTAGGTCAACTCCGTAGCCGCATCGCTATCATCTTGGATGTGTCCCGCTTGCCCCTTTTTAAGCGAAATCCCGCGAATGGAAAACCCACTCTGGTACCACGGCCGATGCCCAAAAGATTCTGATTGAATCATGTTCATATATTCAGACATCGAAGAAAGAAAAGCTCCTGTAAAGGACATAGTATACTAAATTCATCTTCGAATTGTGAGGCAGAATTCGGAATCTTTCGCCCATCAGCTACAACATATCGGGCCCCGGCTTATCTCAATATCAATCGTGAGAAAATGTAAATTCTAGGTGATGTTGAATTTATGGAATACTGAAGCCCCCAAACGATGCGTTTGTGCTGATCTTAGACTGCTTTATTCTGATACACCATGATTGGCTGGTGAGATCTGTTTGGAATCACGCCGTGACATCACATGAATCTTACATAAGATCAGGCAACACCTTTATCCAGATTTCAGGTTCACGCTCCACGTCAGATCAAATATATCTTCCACGAACATCAAACAACTTAAGATATCTTTGCAGAGCATACTTCCAACAAAGAAACCGCACGAAAGCTGATAAGCCAAAATGAGTCGTGGATATCGAGGCGACACCTGGAGGGAGGATGATCGTTTGCCTGAAGGCATGCGCCACGTCGGCTACGATGCGGATACCGAACAACATCATTATCAAGATCGGGATGGTAGCTATTGGGAGTCGGAGCCGGGAGCTCGACATGGAGTGTTGCATCGGAGTGAGTGATGTTGGTCTGAGTTGTTGCTATTGACATTAAATGCATTGTGTAGGTGGTACGAATTACGAGCTCTCAACCGTAACGCCTGTAGGTTTTCTTTCCCTGAATTCTTGATGGCGAGGGTAATGTTAACCAGGCAAAAGGAGCAAGAACGCAAAATGGAGAGACAGTCCTGGCAGTACCTGCTCCCATTACTTTTCCCACTCGCGGTGTTACTTTATCTCTACCAGTTTTTGGGGTCCAATTCGTCGTCGCCAGAACCAATGCAGTGTGGAGAGAATTCTGTCGTTTATTCAGTTAAGCCGGATGAATCGTGCTGGGCTATTGCGAGCGAGCGTGGTGTTACGGTAGCGGACTTGATGAAGTTGAATCCGCATATGGATTGTGAGGTATTGAAAGTTGGTGAGATGATTTGCGTCCCATCTGTCGAGTAACGTTTCAATGCTGCATTTATTGTATCAACATTTTCGAGAAGTTCAATAGCGGAATCTCAAATGACCAACTCTTCGATTATATATATCAAGATGAGAGTATGAGCGCGAAAGCACGTGAAACTAAACGCTAAACGCGCGGAATGCGCTGAGTGCGCTGAGTGCGCTGAATGCATTAAGTCGTGTCTCCCCACGCCTCTCACTATCTCTCTCAAGTGTATCAAACACATTCACCAATACCGAAATAGTGTTCCCAACACGAAACGCCCCTCGTCTGCCAACGGGGGTAATGTCGATCTCTTTCCATCCATCTTCGTCTGCTCTTCACGAACCTTCACCACCCCCTGGAAAGAAAACCAAACGCGCATTGACATCTCAGCAGTCGGCTCAAAAAAGCCCCCACGTGCAAAGAGAACTTCTGCGAAAGGAAAAGTTCCACAGAGACTGGGAATGTTCGCTGAATGAAAACAGTATCAGGTATCAATTTCCTCTTTCTTTGGTTCTGTACGGAGTTAGCAAGCTTGCTGTTCTTGCTTGGGTACACCCTTGACTCACTGTCGGTTTGCTCGACTTGCTTAAAAGATCATCCAAAGTGTGGAAAGGAACCCGACCAGGTCTGGATGAACGCTTCAGGTGGGAGAGATAACAAAGCTCTGAACATTTCGACAAGGAGGAAGATTCGTGCGAGTAGGTAGGCGAGCAGAAGAATGATCAAAATTAAGCCAGCGTAGTATCGACCGACTGATGGCGCTTTATTTTTATATTCCGTATCGATTCCGGAATAATAGGCGAAGGGCCAAATAGCTAGCACTGGCAAAAAGCTTATTAAGATGGAGGAGATCTTCCACCCAAGTTGTTCGATCGATGTTGGAAATTCCATGCAATACAATGACATCCACCGAACAGTATACCACCGACCATAGCACCAAGACCTTGGGATAGAATCTCGTAGTTGCCCCCAGGACGGTCCCAGACCTTTCTTGAGAAGTCGCCCTCCAGGGCTGTGTAATTACCCCCATCATTTGGGAAAGGAGCAAGATCCAATTCGAATCCTGTTCCAATGTTTTTCGGGGTCCTATTCTTCGCCCACACATACGTTGCTCCGCAACTAGCAATTTCCGTGACCAGTTCCAAAGTAGGGACTTTCTTCGCCTTGAGGATATAAACACTGTCAACTCCTTGAGGCCGCTTCCAATGAAGGACATAGGTTATTGAACTTGATACGGCAAAGGCGAGTGTTGCAATTTCCAGCTGAGTTGATGGGAGACTCGCCACTTTTCGACCGATGATCTGTACGAGTAGATAGAGGATTTGTATGAGTGCAAAGACTTTAGCTATTTTGTCTCCTCGGTCCAACTTTGCTAATTTTTGACTAGACACTGTAGGCATGTCGATCAGGTCTCCACGCCAAGCCGCTTCAAGTTGCCAGTTGTTCAGTGCCCAATAGCGATGCTGGAGATTCTGTAAATTGAAATCAAGCGCATGTTGTGTCTTAGTTCCGTTTGAGTTTTGGTTTCGAGCTTGGTCGACCAAAGGCTTAAGTGAAACTTTGGAGTATCAGCAACAGAATTAGTCCAGTGATGTCCTTTTTACAACACATCGAGCTGTGTATGCGTACCTGATTGTTGGTGGAGGACAAGGCCGAAATCAACTACAAAATAACCCATGTTTGCCATGTAAGCATGAACTTCCTCCCATTCAATACCACTGATGTGTTTCCGTATCACTCGTTGTTGTATCAAATTCTTTCCACTTTTTGCAGAAAGCTGTTCGCCGAACGCTTTCCCGATAAGATACTCCGGAATTAGAATTGTAAAGATCATCTATTTGACCTTCGTTTGTAAATCCAGAATGGCCCACCGTGCTGCTTGGATCGTACTTTTCGTTTGGGATCGCTGTGCTGGTATGTTCAAGGCTTGGATACTCCAAGTGCACAGAAAGATAAGTGACAAACAATTATACAAGATCGTAAGCGTACCACGGGTATTCGGTCCAGAAACATAGTTGGTACTGAAGGCTGGAATGGTACAATTGGGCTGAAAGGTAGACGCTTGGGCATGATGCACGAAGAGCAGCCAGAGAAAGCACATGTGGATAGATGGGGCCATGCCGATCAGTTTCATTAGACTGACTGAGGAACACAGACTTAATTTGAGATGATCATATCTTTAATGGAAAAGGGAAGATCTGACGAGGGGATACTAGTGCTTTGGGTAAAAGTCCTGATCCGATGGCTGCACTAGATTATTTCTGAGCTCAGTGGCAATTGGATAACCGGTGGGACCGAGACAGGAGGTTCGTTCGTGAAAGACATTGTCTCAGCCAAAAACAAAATCCGAGTCTGAACGTTCGCAATGGAAATTTCGAATTCCACGAATTCGGACGAGGAAACTTGGGCCAAACAATATTGACAATCCGGCATAGAGTGAGTCGAATCGTAAAGTTGGGATTGAGAATCAAAGTTGAGGTAACTATTGTTGAGATATCTGGGGTGATCCAGCGTTGTCTCATTGGCGCATCCTCTCGCAGCCACCTCACTTTGCAAGTCCACCAGTTGTCTGTCAAGTTATTGGGTGTAGCCATTCACTATATGTCCCGAGAGACATCGCACCCATTTGTACAGCCTGCCTTTTCATACTATGTGATGCAGAATTCTCATATTGCTACAAGAGAATAAATACTACCTAATACCAGCTCTCCAGAATAAGACAATAGAGGCCATTCGAGACTTGCAGTGCACGAAGAAGGCGTTCTTGCCCATCGACGCAATCAATTGGGCATATAAGAGTACTGCACGTGCCTGCCCACTTCAAAAATACATCACGGCGGTTACCTACAGACACGGTCCTGTGGTGAATGGCGAAATCATGACGCATCGCTTGCCTCCATCACTATTGGCAGATATCATCACATATTTGTCGCGACATATCGATTCTCTCAACTCCAGCACGCAATTACCGAGGGAAATTCACGCAGAAGGATTTTGGGTTCCGGAATAGCAGCGGTCGATATTTTGACCGTCGAAATCACTGTCCTGACCTCGACGGGGTTTTGGATGGACTGGGAGCACATGAAGATGGAAGGTTGTTTGTTTATTAGCAGTCTCTGGAGCATATGTAGCGAAAATCAAATAGACAGAAAGGACTTCGGTGCCGTGAATAGGAAGGTTCTCCACACTTTACAGTCCTCAATTATGTTTCAACTTCCCTAGTATATCACAAAACCCCCCACAATACCCAGTATCAATCTTTAAATACCTATCTCCTGTCCTCCCAAAACTCCACCCGAAATTTATCACCTCCCGTTCATCGTAGCATGGCGTCTCTCTCAAAAATGTTTCTAGCCTTTCTCCAATTCCCATGCTTAATGCAAGCTCTTTCGGAACCATAAAAGCATAAAAGCAGATCCTCTCAATCGTTCCAGAAGGATATGCCAGCGTGACAGCAAAGACAATCGGCATGTCTGGCTTCATGCATTTCACCATTTGTTCCATCTCTATAGCCGTAGGTGGAACGCAATCTGGCAACAGAGTAGTGACGACCTTTGTAGCTTGTTTGGGGTTGAATTCACTGGGTATCTGTAAATACACATTGACAGAATTCGACCGATAGTTGACAGCAACATGATACACAAGCCGAGCACCGATCGATTTGAATGTATCGATATGATCTCGAAACGATTGCGGAACATGTTCAGCACTTAGAACCTCTTCCACAGGACGAAGACGCATGAAGTAGATCCAAGTCTTCGCCAGGCCATACACTGTGTCGAAATCGGTACTTGGTTCAGGCTCATTGTCATACATGGAGAACCAAGACCGGAGAAGGAGTACTGTTGGATGTGTAAATGACACGATACCAGCGTTCACGGCACGTGAGATGGTATCGGCGCGGTTGTATTCTCCAGCCCAGAAATTGAGAGGGTCACCTGCTCTGTTGGTCGTGCGTATCGCGATTGCTCCATTTGATAGATTTTCGCCGAAGACTCGGAGAGCTTCCTGAACAGCTTGTGGAGAGTAAGGTGCCTTGATTGAATTTGATATATGTTCCAGATCCGAAAGGAGGCGATCGGCGGAGAAGGGCTCAATGGTAGATTTGCGCTTCATAATTGGAAATAATCGGAATACAGGAATATCAAGGGACTTCCAAACCGCAAGTTCCTAGAATTTATGGCGAGATTAATGTTTCGAACTAATGTAGTCAGCACGGATCTTGAAGATGCACCTACTCTGGAAGTGGTCTAGCACGCGTGGCTGTGTGCTGTTCGTACATGGGTTATCATGACCACATGCACGATATCCTATGGAATCAACCCAGAAGTGAACTCTGAATTGTGGAACACTCAACTATATACTTCGTAGGGTAACACAATCGAGCGCGGCTTGCATAAACACCAATGATCGATCCCAAATCTCTGGCTATCCAAGCTGCGCTCAAGTTCTGATCAAACATCAAATGCCCAAATTGCGTCCTCGAATCCTTTTCTCCTCTGTATCAAAACATCAAGATCTTTCTCCGGCGAAATTGATGCAACGCCCAGTTTTTGGAATTCGCCTTTAGGAACTCGCATTACGCTACCATCACTCATACTCAGCTCGAATCCATATACAAGCACCGCAACAAAGGCCACAATCTCGGTAAACGCCAGATGTCTACCAGGACAGAGGTTCTTTCCTCCACCCCAAGGGATATATGCTTGAGCTTGCGCTTTCTTTGCTTCTTTCGATAATGAATCCTGGTTGAGGAAGCGTCTCGGATTGAACTCTTTGGCATCAGGACCCCAAGTCTTGAGGTCGGCTTGCATAACTCCAGTAGGAATTTGAAGAAATGCTCCTTTCTTGAGGAAGTATTGGTTGTCTAGTTTGACGTCTTCCAGAATGGTGCGGACTGAAGCTCCTGTCTTGTTTAGACGCAAGGTCTCGTGGAAGCAAGCGGTGAGCAGAGGACAGTCGGATTGCAGCTGCGATATATTGAGCGACTCAACTTCGCCACCATCTCGAGTTTTCCGAGTCATCAGTTTGCCGACTTCTTCACGAAGTGGGTTGATCAAATCTGGCTTGGAGAAGATGTAGCAGATCATGTAGAAGACGCTGGGGACAGTATTGGTGCCAGCGGCCATAATGATGGTGATTTCTGCCTTGGCAATTTCTTCGTTGGTCAAACCCCATTGACGTGCGGCTCGAGCTCTCCCTTGAACTAAACCATTGGCATTCTTGTCGAGGCCCTCCTCATAATATTTTAGGAAAGCGGGCAACACAACGTTTCTGCCATCGTAGCCTTTGGGCGCAGTAAATCTCGGATGAAAATTGAGAACGAGCAGTCCGAGATCCCTTTCGAAGTCCCTAGCCTATGTTAGACATTATGAGATTTTGATGAGATAAGAGCTTACCAAATCGATTGAATCAAACTTGGATTGTCGGATACAGGGTTTGACAATCCATACAGTGTCCCTGCGGATGCGATGGTGTATTCATCTCGTAGCCAACGAAACAATTGATGCCTCTTTGAACCAGCATGAACAGCATTCAGGGACTTGGCAAGATAGTTCAGGACTCGAGCATTAGTTTCCAAAAGACTCGGGCCTTGGGCTAGCGATGAGTGCATCTCATTATGGAGGTCGATCATGTAGGCGCCTTCGCCTTTCTCAGGTCGAAAAGCAACAATGTCTATTCCATGCTGATCGTAATCTATCGCTCGACAACCCCAGGCTTTGATGGCGTTGAAGTCGATTTCCTTGCTTTGCCGGAAAGCGGCTTGGGCTAGGTCAGGTGACTGGATGATGTAGATTCTGGACGAGAAGATCTTGACTGTATAAATAGGACCTTTGTAGCGCTCACTTAGATAGCAATGTTAGTGATGTGGTAGAAGTTCATGGACTCCACGCACCTTATATAAGTGAAATAGTTATTGTGCTGGCTGAGAAGGCCGATCATGTGACCAATGAAGGGAATTCTAGAATAGACAACTGGCGGCTCCCCCGGTTCTACATCTTCGACGCATGATAATCGAATTACACCGAAGGAGACTAGTCCAAGAACAGATGCAATGAGCACTCCATAGATCGCCTTGGCCAGGATGTTGAGGTTATCTGTTGCAGATGACATCGTGCTGCATCGGGAGGACGAAGGAGAGTTAATTGTGGTCTGTACCCAGAGATTAACACTAAGAACCAGACAATCAGGAGTTACGACTTCTTGAAGGGTGGGGATGCAAAAGATTTGATGGAAGAAGCAAAAAGGAGGTTTTTGCGGGAAATGAACTGTTGATGTTGGCTGGTCGCTTAAAAGTAAGCTCAACCTTAATAAATGAGGCGCAGCCCAGGTGGACATGGCTAAGGCTAAGGTCAGGTTTTATTTCGCGTCCTTGGTGGAAATGTGAAGGCGTACCCAAATTACAACAACCATGAAGACAAACAAATATTTAGGTTGTATGCTAGTCAAGACAAGCTGGGAGGATGAGCTTCTCAAAGGAGCCTCTCACTTGACAGACATCCCTTAATTTTTTGATAGGCTTCGCTTCTAGACGAGAAGTAAGTTTCAATAGATAGCCTTTGTACCAAGGAGTTGAAATTTCTATAGATAATAGCCTTAGTACAGTTACATCTCCATGTTCCACCTAGCTGAGCTGTATCTCAAGCAGTTGCGCGCCAACAGCAGTTTCAACCCCATCCGCGTCGACATTCACTCCACTGCCACCTCCAGTAGCGACATAGAGCTTATTCAGCTGTCCCTCACCACGACCGAAGGCAGTTCCGGTAGGCTCAGCAATCTCAGTTGAATCGACATCACCCGCAACAATAGCTGTCTGATTCGTCCCTCCAGCTTTATTGAAGCTGATTTGCAAAATCGAGTTTTCAGCTGCGGTGGCAGCATAGGCATACTTGGTGCTATTGCCAAGAGTAGTGTTAAGTCTGAATCCGTCGGGTGCGATGACAAAGTCATCCAAAGGTGAAGCGTTGACAATGACTTTCCCAACGCCGGCCGTGACATTCGAGTACAGCTTTGCTCTGCAGAACCCTTCGTTCGAGCTCTAGTACAGGTACCCGTCTTTGACTTTGATACCGTTGATGTCAATTATCAAATCATCCTCCATGGCCTTCCAGCTTTCTCATTGTTAACATCGACGGCGAAGATAGAGTTCTGATATGATGCAGAGGCCAAGATGATAGTTTCGTTGAACGTCGACATACCATTAAATCCTGTCGGGGCTTGAGGTCGCAATCAAAGTGATGACAGGCAGCGTTGCATTCTGGGTAAAATCAACCTCCCACACATAGGTAGCGTTCGTAGGAGGATCCTCTATATTGTCCGAAGTTGTGTTTGCGCCCGTGACATAGAAGACATCATGAGCACCTTCACTGATACCAGACAGTCCTAGTACCGTGTCAGAAGTCACCAAGACTTGCTTCTCTGGATTCGCCTCGTTTGCGTTGAATGCCAGAAGCCTTGCAGGTGGCCCAATTTCAGTTGTGAGGATGATGCCATTTGATCGAACGGCAATATTCTCCAGCCAAGTGTCGTTCGATGCGAATTGGTAAACAATCCTCACACTCAGCTCTGTGGCGACTTGCGTCGCGGCGGCCAGGGACCAAGCGAGGGCAACGAAAACGGATTGATGCATGCTGAAGAAGAATCAGATGATGAAAGGAACGACGAAATAGACGGAGGTGGTTATGCATGAAAGTCGACGGCGAGTGTTGAAGATATTGTGAGTATCTACACAAGTCGTTTGTTCCTACCGAGAAGACTTGATATTATCGACCAGAGCTTTATTCAACGAGCTCATTCGCCGGATCAAAAGCCGGAGTCGTGGCCAAGGACGAGGTGGAACATCCATGAATCTCCTCGCCACGACCTCATTCCTGGCACTTTGGCAATCTTCAGTTGCCCGTCCGTTTGCAAATATGGGATTCTGTTTCAAGTCTCCAAAGCATCATCCTTAAGCCTGTATCAGCTAGGTCTCGATCTGCTGAGAAGAATGACTTACCACCATCATGAATTCCGATATGCCTGAGCATAGACTCTGAATGTGGGGTATCTCAACGACCAGCTAGGAACGTTTATCTAGTAATCTTCCCCAGGCCATAACGGACTATTCCTACATCTGCTATTGTATGATTTGTGTCTTGAAGAGGTGCTTGGGGTCGTTCAGAACTTCACGAGTCGAACGAAGGCTTTCGACGTGGTCGTGGGCCTAGGAGGATGACAGCCCTTCGCATCATCGTACATTCTGCCAATCGGAAAATGCAAAATGTCATTAGGTATAGAGTAGTACCCGTCGATGTTGGATTGTTAGTCATTGTGTATCTGCTCAGTAATGCGATTGTGGATATGCTGAATTTTGTAGAGTAGTGGTGGGGGCATGTCGAAACAGAAAATTCCCGGAATTAGTGGCTATTGCGCCGCCCAATACGCTGAACACCGCAGGCTGCCACGACATCGCTTATCGTAAACCTTATTCAGGCGTCCTGGCACAGAAACCTCAGAAACTTTCTCCCCTTCGACTTCACAATGAAGATCGATACATCACAGAAATTACTGTACTTGACAATGAGAAGTCAGCGCATTACACCATGAGAATTTACGTATTTCCCCAAGGTGCTCGCATATCACCCTGAGAACCTCCCTTGGCGTTGGAACTTGCAAGTCCGCTACCTTGGCATCCTATAGTCCATTTTGTCCCGCTTCTTTATTCGGAGCTTTCATTCCTCTCTTTGCAACGTTCGTCCCCGCATACGAACTTATTGACCAGCAACCGAGAGACTGGGACGGGACCAATTTACAACATAAAACTTATATTATTAAAAGCGACTGAGAACAGGAATTCCAAACTTGAAGTTTACAACATAGACCTCCCAAGGAGCGCCTCAGACAGTGAACAAACTCTTCGCTCCACACTGTTATCAGTTCTTCGATCCACGTTTCCAGTGTCCTTTGGCTACAAAAATCAGACTGAAGACCAAGCCCAATCCTGCCAAGCCAACAGATAGCCACAGTGCCCTACGGTAACCGAGAAGTTTATCGTCTTTTGTCACCCCTCCATGATTGATATTTGTCTCAACTGTACCGGCAAAGCCCAGGCCGAGGGAGATACTGTAGTTAACAACAGTCATAACAATACTCGCTCCCATCCCCTGATACTGCTGCGGGACGGCATTCGAAAAGATGATAGTAGCTGAAGGGAATGAGGTATCCATGCCAACGGTAATAATCAAGACGCTGAAGAAGAAGAATGTCCAGTAAGTTGAATTTGGTTGAAATGTAGCGGCGATGATGGAACCTGTGAGGTAAGCTACCTGTCCTACTACCATGATCCATGAAGCTGGAACCTTTCCAAGAAGTTTCCCGACGGCTAGGGCTGAAACTAAGCCGACAGGAATCACTGGGACGAACCATGCTGCCATTTGTATGGGTGTGTTGCCACGAATATTGACCGCTATTTGTCCAATATAGAAGACCTGATCTTGTATGTTAGCATGATCCTTTCAGCGAGGAAAGCTAAATGATACCGACCCAGATACCAAAGCAAGCCCAACCTGTTGCCGTACAAACAAAAACAAATGCGATATCTGAGTTAAAGGCCGACAAAGGCAGGATTGGAAACTTGGCCCAATATACTTCAATGCAGAAGAAGGCCACACCAAAAAGCACACCAAGGATCAAGCAGACATAGACGTAAGGGTGCTGCCGACAACCACAGCTTGATTCCATGCGAAATTGAACAGAACTAAAGCCGTAACGCCAGTCAATCCTCCAGCCAAGTCTAAGCGTTCTACTCTTTCCCACTTCGTCCGTGGCTTCTCGTTCGGATCGACAGGGATAGGAGGAATCGCCCAAGCAGCGAAAGCGGCTACGCAAGCAAGTGCAATTGCCTGACTCCAATATATCCAAGGCCACCAAACCAACGCAAACAGACCCCCGAACGTGAAACCCGCGATGGCACCCAAAGGAGCAGCTCCACCGAACCATACGAAGGACATGTTCTTCTTCGGTCCAGGTGAGTATGATCGCCCTAAGATAGCCAGACCATTGGGCAGTGTGAGAGCAGGACCCATGCCTTGAAACACTCGAGCGAAAACGAAGAGAACGTGCGATGAATATATCGAGAGACCGGCTACGAGAGACCAAAGTGAGTACCAGGCCATGCCTATGACGAACAGTCTTTTGTTTCCAAATTCATCACCAAGGCGGCCTCCGATGAGTATGAAAGTGCCGATGGTCAAACTGTAGCCAGCTATGAGCCAGGACAGTTGACCGGAGTTGGTGATGCCGAACGATTCGCCGATGATACCAACGGTCGTGAGAGTATTGCCCAAGCCAACTTGGTTCGTAAACATGGCGGTGCATAGAGTGCCAACAAAGAGTATTTGTCGCGGGGTAGAGAGAGCATCAGCTGGGTAAAGCTGAGTATCTTGTTCATTTTGCTTGTTGGACTCGAGATCTGTTGGTTTGAAGTTAGTTGGAGAGTCACATCTGAGCAATTCGGTGGAGCCTCACCTTGTCTTGATTGTGATGAGGACGGACTTTCGTCCTTCAATGTAAAGTCTGTATCGGATGAAGATGTCATAATGGTAGAACTTGGAGATAGATTATGATGTGCAAAGAGAAGATACCTCAGACAGAAACCAGCAACCACTTTATAAGTAAATTTCTAGGTCCTCTTGCATTGATAAGCGTCCATTTGACTCCATCAACAGAACCATCTTCCTCCGAACGCTAGACCATCCTACTCCGAGGTAGACACTTTGCTTCAAGTTCGTTGATTATAACATCAAAAGACTAAAGCATATATTTAGATATCCCATATACATTTTTTGATGATCTAGTCAGAGCAACGATCTTATTGTCCGTGATCTACAGCGTCGTTCAGAACTGAGAGAGCTCCCCCTTGAATAAGCGAGCTGTTCTACCGAACCCATGCCAAGAACCAAATCTCTCCGGCGCTAGACCACCCCACTCCGAAACAGCTCAATTACAAAGCATAAGGATATCACACAATTGGACAATCTACGCAGCAAGCTTCGCCTATGTATGATGTAATAGTTCCCCGGCTTTCGAAATCCACTCACGTAATCCGGAGGAGTCTGCGTGGACTTCTGATTGGGTACCTCACGAGTGGCAAATCAAGCAAAGGGGTATTGCGGAAGTGTCCCCGGTCAAGTGCTAGCTCTGTAAGCCTTCACTCATATCGTGCTTTTAAAGTGTTCTTCAAGTTCCAATGTTGATGCATCATAAACGCAGTTGAAGGAATGGAGGGATTAGAAGGAGAGAATAGCGGAGAAGCTGACTTAAAATGCGACTTATGTTCCAAGTCCTACCAACGACGTGAGAGCGACTCCCTCATCAAGACCTCCGCGTTCACTGACACAACAATAGGTGACCTACTCCTGAGACATCGTAGGCGATGTCAAGGTCCCAAAAAGGCAGTAACCCGCCGCAAAGCTTGCGATGCCTGTGTTCAAGCGAAAGTCAAGTGTAGCTATGCACAACCAGCATGCTCTCGATGTTCCTTGAGGGGTACACGATGTATCTATACTGTACGTTCGGAAGCTTCCACCTCGATGCATCAAGATAGCGAAGACGCAACTGCGGGTCCCTCAAACCTTCAATCCTCTTCTTCCGAGATAGAGAGTTTTGCAAGTTCGAGCGTGGGCACTGAGATGGGAATTCCTGCTTGGGATTTTTCGACTCCGCTATACTCGCTTAACAATTTCGAAATGGACATGCCAGACATAGGGAACCCTTTTGCTGATTCCCAATCTTCCATGTTACGAGGTACTTCAGAGTTTCCACCATCGAGTCAAGCTATGTTGTCGTCTTCGAGCAATGTTACAGCACCTCTACGGCTGGTGCCACCTTCCCATGACAGCACATTGTCTGCGGAGAACTCTCCATCAGTGTCAGACTCACGGGCTCTGGTTCAGAAACTCGATGAATACCCCTCTTTACTCATGAAAAGCTCTTTCTTCTCTCCATTTCTTCACATGTCACTGTACTCACTATATAGTAATATCGTTCCTGATATGACATATCTGCCTCAGACTTCAATGGCCATATGCTGCGGAAGTGAAACGCATAACTCAGACAACAATCAATTTATCAAGCGAGCCATAGACGCTGCACGGCAGAGATTAATTGGAAGTTTTGTAAGTTCAGCCGAAGCCATGTATTGAGTCATTACTAATCGATATACAAGCCATCGTACGAGTGTATGCAACAATGGGATGCGTTGCATGCTATGCTCATATATGAGATTCTGGAGCTGAGAGAAAGTCTAAGAGAAGAGCCAGAAACATGGAAACATGACCCACGTGTTCAAGGGCTTCGGTCACCCTTTCTTTTGAAGGTGCGGGATTTTAACGATGCTTTACCATTCCTCCCGACTCTCGCGCTTCACAGTTGTTCAGAAACACTGACTTCTTTTGCCTCTAGATGACTCAAACTTACCTCCGATCATACCCAGAAATTCAAAATCCTGATATAGACGCTTTCTCCAATCCAAGTTCAGCCCCATGCTCCGCAGCTACCACAGTCTGGGCTCGATGGAGAATAACCGAAACAGCACGAAGAACAATCTTCTTTACCAATATCCTCAATTTCTACAGCAACCGGGATCATACTACCGGAAGACAGATGCCTTACTACGAATCGCTTAATGACGATCTCATTCTGCATATGCCATTACCTTGCAGTCAAGCTTCGTGGTCGGCGCGCAATGAGGAAGATTGGAGAGTAGCGATAGAGCAGGAATTCCGAACCGAAATTTTCCTGAGGGATGTACTGGCAAGGTATACGAAGGAACAGATTCAGGTCAAGTTTGGTACAAGTGTTGGCTTTGGGAGTTCTGATGAGCTAAGAGGGCTTATAGTTCTTTGCGCCAGAGAGCAGTTCGCTTAGCCTGGTGGCCCCTGAGTGGTTAGAATTATTGCGCAGCTGTATATGCTCTTCAAATCTCAGTGAATTTCCGTAAACGTATATTGTGCGATGGTCCATTCCAACGCATTCATCACCCAGAGTAATCCAATCTATTTCCCTCCCACCATCCGTCATCTGACAAAAATACGAGCCTCAGATCAGTAATCACGTGCTTGGCACTTACTCATGACCCATCCCTACACCTCTCGCAATCTTCCCCAGACCAAACAAACAGTCATATAGCTGAGTACCGAGCCGCACAGCCTCCTCTACCCCAGCTAATCAGACCAGCTGACAGCTGAACCTTATGTAACCTCCCCACCAGGCGAGGCTGACGAGAGCTTACTCAGTATCCAGGTAGCTTCGGCCGACACCTCGTATTGGCCACTCCTCAGCCTCATCGCCTCGTAGTGAAGAACGTTAATGGGCGAAGATCTTCTCCCAAGCCTCGTGTTCCATTTTTGAACTCGAGATGAGATCAGTAAATACCTCTTGGGTGAAAGTTCAGCTTCATCATTGCCACAATTTCGGTCTATATATATTTCCTCATATCTTCTTCTCAAAGGTATTCTTCTATTCATTCAAACATCACATCTCCAGACTTTCCTAGCACTTCACAAGACAGACTCGATCCACCGATCATCAATCCTCAAAATGCAGACCTTCGCAATCACCACCCTCCTCGCTCTCGCAGCTGCCTCATTGACCTCTGCAGCCCCTGTAGCCGAGCCTCGCCAATTTCAAGCCCAGCTTACTTTCTACGGAGCAGCAGGTGCTTCATACAGCCTCTCGGTTCCTGCTGATGCTTCGGAGTTCTATATCGGTAAGTATCCCTCCTACAACAACCGAGCAAGATCACTCACTAATAATAAACAACAGACAACCCTCTTTCAGTCTCCAAGATCTCTTTAGAGGGAGGAGCTAGCTGTGGTATCAAGGGTATCGATGGAAGCGAGACTGTAGTCGTGGGTGCGAACACGGTTGATGTTGGACCGCCCCAGACTCAAGTTTCTGGCTCTTGCTTGGCTTTGTAGCTGGAAACTTTTGGAAGATTGTGGGATGGAAGCATTGCATGGAGTAAATTGTTTTCGTGTTTGCTAGTCTGCAATTGACTTCTATGCTTAAAACTGAATTTCATGAGTTATTTGAGTTCGGTTTGCTACTTCGTCTGTCTTTCGGCAAGACCCAAGAGTTCGCTCTTGGGACAGTGGTACTCCACAAGTCTTCGTCTCCGAAATTTCAGTTTACAAGTTGGGCGTTACTCACTTATCATGTCGCATAAAATCTTGAATAATGTCGTCTTGAAAGGCTCCGAGATTGCTCAATCTACCTAGCTACCGCAAATTTCTCAAAGCCATATGTCTGCCTGCTACGCTAATTGCCACCCTCTGGACTTTGAGTTCAATACATGATAAAGCTTTAGTCTGAGTAACATTCGGGGCAATGCCTATGGTCAACCCAGTTCGTTATTGACATGCATTTGCCGGATTCCCTATGGATGTGGAAGTGGCATATCTCATGTCCTATTGGCATATCACCACATTCAGTTTCGACAGGATGCTCGCCACTAATTCTAGGATCATCTCTTATACGAGGTCCATAATCTTCATGCTCGAAACCGAAGACTTTGTGTCTGGTTGATGTCTGATAATCCGAGAACTCCTCCACAAACCCATCAATCATGAAATACCCCGCCACATGTTTCGCATCTCCACCCCGAATGATCCAATGAGAAGCCAGTGCGGCACAGTATTGGCGAATTGGAGCGTCGCGCGAACTCGTGGTATTCTCGAAAACCCTCTGCACACTCGCGAGTGAGAGGACTCCACGTAATTTAGTAGGATTGAGAATACTTCCTTCGTAGTTAAGATGTACATGTGCGGCATCGTACATGGTGTCTTGAATCTTGTCCATTGCAAAGTTCTTCAGAGCTTCGGACATGATCATATCGGCTAGGATATACACATCAAGAAGGAAATCCAGCTTGGCCTCGGTCTTTGGCTTATCGGACAGGGAGATCGAGTTCTGGTAGAGCCACTCGACAAAGCCATCAAATGTAGCAATATCGACATCGTTCAAGATCATCTGCTTTTCGTTGGCCTCCTTGAATAGTCCAGTGAAAGCTTTCTCGAAGAAGTCCGAGATGGCACAGAGGCGCGACTTGTGAAGTGTGTAGGGATATTTGTCTTCTCCCACAAGGATCACGATCGTATCGAAGCCCAAGGACCTTCAAACGTCAATATGATAAGGAAATGGGAGGAGGAAAGACCTCTTACTCGCTGAACGCGTTCCGTTTCTGCTTTGGTGCGACAGTCTGCTGTGGCTTTCCGACTGACTTCTCCATGCTATCGGGCTCAGTCTTCTGCTTTTTCTGGGCTGGTAAGTCGGACGCCGAGGCCATTGACTCTTCGCGTCGAGATATCTTCTTTGTTGTCAAAGTTTGAGCAGGTGCCTTCTTCAACTCCGCTGTGACTTGTCAGTGTCTGGCTTCTGACACACTTGAGGTGCAGATTGTACGAACATCTGGCGTTTGAATTGGCCACGGCAACCTAAACTAAAACAGGAGCTGCGTTCGATGTAGAACCGTTGCTCGTGGTACGAGCAGCTACACCGCATGAGCTAAGCGTCACCGACGCGTCAAATCACTTACTAGGACCGCCTTTGCTAGTCATATCGTCTTCAGGCAGATCTTGAATCCACTGTGCGAGTCTGGAAGCTTTCAAAGGAATCGTCTAGTCGTCACGCATGGATGTTGCGTTTTGTTGTTGACAACGAGAGAATTGAAAGATGGGAGGAAACAGACGCGTCCAAAGTAGTGTGGGAGATACGGTTATGGGAGGAAAGCGCAGTTGCTGTTTTGGGAAAGAGCGTTGCGAGTGCCGAACTTTCTGCGAGATGAACGTGAGAGATGGATAAGAAAACATTTAAAACTATATCTACAGGTTCAACGTGTGAATGCAAAGTATGTGATTCCGATTTTGTATCTCTGGACGCCATGTGCATAACTGCTGATGTTCATCACCGCTCATTGTAGGCTTTTTGGAGAGTCTCGCAGAGGGCTTTTGGGGCGAAATCTCACTCTTGACACGAAAAACAAGCACAAGAAAGGACAACGAGTGTTGGAATGTTCTAAACCAACTGACTAACGCATCAAAAATCAGGCAAAACCCACGAAAAACCACATAACACATCACTGCACCGCAACGACCTTCACCACCACTCCCTCACCACCCACCACCTCCTTGGTTTCTCCCTCCTTCAACCTCTTCTCCTCCTCGAAATGCTGATAAACGCACTCCCTAACCCTCCTCTGATAAAAAGCAACCCCATTCTCCTTCACAGGGTTCAGGACACCCTCTCCATAAACGCCCCTCTCAAGATTCCACTGCGCCTTCTCACACAGCTCGAAATCCTCTAACGCCACCTGTCTCACAAATTTATAATACTCCTCAAACTCGGCCTCCGTCCCGCTATGATAATAATCGAACTCCATTCTCGCCATGCCCGGGTTGGGCGAAGGCAAGGTGCGGAACGAGGACATGCCGCCGCCGTACACGTTTAGGGTGCAGATGGGGAAGAAGTAGAGGAAGAGGCCGTCGGCGGGCTTGGAGGGGTCGGCGATGTGTTGGGAGAAGGTTGAGTGGTTGGTTACGGAGTAGAAAGTAGGGGGATAGAATTTGGAAAATGAGGGGTGCGTGTATTGGCAATGGAGACATTCTTGGTAGCCGTCGATCCTGGTTTGTTAGTTCAGTTCTAGGATGGGGTACGGGAAGGACTTACATGGTCTTCCAGTTGAAGTTCCCTTCGTAAGAGATGCTGCGACGGTGAGGAAGTTTGGTAAAGTCGACTTTGTTGGTTAATTCCTCGAGACCGGCGAAGTATTCTTCAAAGCTGGGAGCATCGAGGGAGAGTGTTGCAAAAAGAAGACCGCTAGGAGTGAAGTGGGTCTTGATCTCTCGATTCTGTTTCTTATTAGTGGAGTGTTCGTTGGAAGAGTGGGGTCAGCTTTCCTCCTCCTCCGCATACACTACGATCCCATCAAAGTTGATGTCATCACATTCCGGTGCTCTGTTTTCAACAATGATTGTGATCTGGGCAATCTCGTACTTGACGGGCTCTGATCGCTTTTGAAAGCGGGTCACGGGACCTAGAAGATGCCATGACTGCGGTGAGGTTCCAGATTAGTAAGTTCTTTGTCCCTCGAAAGCTGACCATACTTTCAGGAATACTGCTAGTCTTTCAAGCTGATATAGAGGCTTGCTACAGAACCATGATGCAGGAAGTGTTCGAGTGAGTGCTGCCATGGTTCGTGGTACTCTTCGAATTCGATCAGGATGATGATGGTAGTTTGAAAAGTTGAATTTGAAAGTTGTGTAATGTTGCGACAATTGAAGATTGCTGTTCAAGTAGGAAGGATTGGTCTATGCGTGTGATTGATGCTGTTGAACGTGATGCAGCTTAGCTGAAAATGTCATTGGATAGACCAGTAATGGAGTCATACCGGATCAGGATATGCGATCCTCGAATCCTTTGATCGTCAAAAAATCGTGCGTGAGACTCAGGAACGCGTGAAACTAATCCATCGCACCTCAAGATGCGATCCAGTGAGATAGTAGCACATGAACTCTCATCTGCCGTACCACTGAAAGTCGACCTCTCGGGATGCCACGCAGTAGCTGCAGCAATTGGAGCGCCAGTCGCGAGCACGGAAACGGTTGAGACCCAAGCACGGCTTTTGCGGGTTCCTCCCGGTGGACATGTGAACCAAATGTGGATGTTCTAGCATTGAACGCGTTTTAGGCGTCAAAAATGGTACGAGTAGGTAACAAATTTCCTGATAGATAAATGTGAATAGCGCTCCCTACACATAATTGAAAGTCTGTATATAGAATACAGCTTTACTTAAACCATGGACTCCTAGGTCTGAATAACGATCATCAAGTAGAACCAGAATTCAAGTTCTATGCAACGACTACATTGACGCAGACATCATGGCTCTCTCTGAGACTGCAATATGTGCCGCTGGGTTTGGGATTGTTCTCAGTATCATCTGCTTGGTGCCATATCTTCAGCAAAATCGGAACTGGACCAAGAACAATTTAGTATTCCTTCCATGGATCGAATCCAGAAAAGAGGAAACTCTCGATTTCTCAAGAACCGCAGACCAGGTATCAGTCTCAAAATATCCTGCCAGCTGGTGGACAGATGAAGACTTGTATCAACTGGAATGTCGAGCAATCTTTAGCAAGGTAAGTGAGAGGAAATGAAGTTGTGGGAAATCTTAATTGACGGAGCAACTCCCAGAAATGGCTGTTCGTTACCCATGCCTCTCGCTTTCAAAAGCTAGGTGACTATCGGACATTCGAGATTGCTGGATTTTCGTTTCTTGTGATACTCGGAAAGGACAAACAACTCAGAGCTTTCCACAATGTATGTCGGCATCGAGCCTATGCAGTGACAAAGAAAGAATGCGGGAGATCCACAGTTCTTGGGTGTAGATATCATGGCTGGAGTTATAACACCCAAGGAAAATTGATCAAAGCTCCCGAATTCGAGAACGTACCAGGATTCGACAAAGATATGAATGGACTGTGGGAGGTCGCAATAGAGATTCGCCAATCGTTGTTGTTCGTGAATCTTGAAGCAGGTGAGCCTCAGCAACGGCTAGATCTGGGAAGTACGGAAGTATTGCTTGCGAAATGGAAGATATCAGACATGAAATGCATCTCGGACTGGAAATTTGAAGCTGCTTTCAATTGGAAGCTACTAGGTCCGTACAAAAGCTTGCAATTTGATACCTTGCTGACTTCTGCAAAGGTACTCTCATGAGTGACCATACTCATAATCAGATCTCAGCCTTGGCGAGAATGGTTCCTTACTGGATGAGATATCAGCAAGAAGATACGCAGATGCTCCATACAACACTTGTCAGGAGACTTGCTTCTGGAAGAATATTGACCATCAAGGCACTTCCAAAGTCAGCAAAGACTTCCATGGTTGAATGCAGCATATTTTCGAAGTATCCCAAGAATCCCAGACAACTCGAAGAGCTGAAAACAAGGATCTATCATGACATTGAACGTCTGGAATCCATGCAACGAAGAGTTTCCCTCGGCCAGGAGCCATTGTCATCGCTCGCACCGAGTATGACCGAACAAGACGAGATCGATGTCCTCTTAAAAGCGCATCGAGAGTACGAAAGAATGACGGGATCTGAGATACACCCGGCAGCACGCACGCAGAACTTCACTCTCGACGGAAAGGCAGATGATGACTGTGAGTCTTCAACCGCAATCTGCGACTTGAGACTAATACTCCTAACTAGTTTGTCGTGAGCTTGAAAATCCAGACTCGGTTTGCGGTGCCAATGCAAAAGGCTTGCTTGATTGGTGATGATATTGGCAATGGATGGACAGGCACGCAATGAATACTAAGATATTGGATAAGGTGTGTCACAACGAATGGATGTAAAGAACTGCTGGCTTGCGCTGGATTTCGATTTCGACGGTTTTGGGTTTCGCTGTGGTTTGGAGAACAGAGTTTGAATTTTGGAGCAGCTTGGTGGGGGCTGGCTCGCCTCGCCAAATCTAGATTTTCCTTTGCGAAACTTTCTTTCTGCAACATCAAATCAAAGCTTTTGGAGATTTTCATTCCACGGACATCTTGAACATTCGCAGTTCTGTTGGCAATCGAGGTTCCTGCACAGATGACATACGCGGACTCTGCGAGAGGCTGGACTCGGTCGTGCGGCTGAGAGATCGTCTTCCTTGGTATTCACTAGGTTTGCACCAGGCACGCCATCATCACAAACTCTGTCTGCGTCTCCAGCCCAGGAGCTGCTCATCCTCCCTTACCCCGCACTCAATCACCGCAGAAGCTCGGCCTCGAGATCAATAGCTCGAAGAACATTGACATCCGTTCCTTGATTGCGGATAGCTTCAATGGATCGTGCCGTCCGCGAGTAGAGGTAGGTCAGAACGGCCATTTCGTTCATGTTGTCTTCGAAGGCTTCTTTCCTCTCTTTCTCTTCCTTTTGAATTACTCCACTTACAGCAGGAACACGCAATGAGACATTCAAACATCGCAATCGCTCTCATCGCTGCCGGCGTCGCAGCACAAAACAACGCTTCGACAGCGAATGGATGCAACGATGGCTTCTACCCTGGGACCGACACTGTAATCTTTACAGTTCCATATACCTACGCGCAAGTAATGTCGATCATTGGCGATTACAAGAACATTACATGGTCTGGATCTCCATACGATACTGTCACCCTCAATGGGACGGACAACACCGTCGGGACAGCACGAACTTATGATATCGACGGCGCACATGTCGTGGAGACAATCACTACATACTCGAAGTCTCCAAATGGACCTTACGACGAGATTCATGTCCTCAGTCTGATTACCATCCCAGAAGCGAATGTCAGCATTTATGCCGATTATGATGGGACGACGGTGACTCCAATCTGCAGCGGAGCAGCGAGCACTTTCAATTTCACAATCAACTTTTGCGCAACGAATGCCTCACTCGCAGGCTCAATCCTGCATACGCTACATCTCACGGATGCACAAACCGTTGGGGTGTTCCTTGGAGGACAGAACTTCTCGTCGTGCGGGACAATCGCGAATGCAACTGCTACGAGCACTTCCTCTCCTACGTCGACACCTTCGATGATTACTACAAATTCTGCGAATCGAAATCTGGTCTCGACCCCGGCTCTCATACTCGTGGCTGGTCTTCTAGGATGGGCGTTGTGAGACAATGCGGGAATGGCGCTCGAGGAGCTGCGTCCCAAAATACGTCGATAGAGTGGGTTGGGTGGCTTGCGTTCTGGACTGTTGATGATAGTAGTATTATCTACAATGGAATACCTCCAGTCGAATTGAATGATTGTTCCTGCTTACTGTACTTCGACCAATTTCCTGTTCTTGTGATCACAGAAAAAGAAAGAAATTGCTTGCTTAGACCAGCTCTCCCACTTTTGCACTCCACTTTCTATATCTTATCATCCCCGGCAAGGGTTCAGCTCTCATGCGGGGTCCGAGGCGAGATCTTTGCTGAAGTTGTCGGCCGTCCGCACCAGTGCGATAGGGGCGTCTATACTGCGATAACACGGATGAAGCTTCCTAAAACAGGAAAAAGTTTGGCCACTCCACCAGTCACACGAAGCCTCCATTCCAATGAAACCCTTAACATCTGAGGTCTATCTACCCGATAGTATTTGTACCCTATCATTCGAGACCTGGTTAATGTTATCATCAAGCTTTCTAGATTAGAGTGAGATCTAGATCCCTTGGTGGAATTCTTCCTTCTTCACTACCTCCTTCTGTTCTGAACCTTACTTGTTCTTCAAGGATATATCTTTCCAGAGCCATTGAGACGTTGACTACCTTCGCAGAGCTGTGACAATGGAAAAGAATCCAGGCATAGAGGACAATGAGATCAAGGCAGTGGCACAATCGGGCTCGCCAGGATCCATTGATGAAGGCAATGCAAAGAATCTCTTTACTCAAGATGAGTACCAATTGGCGCAATTGGGATACAAGCAAGAGTTCTTTCGTGGACTCGGTCTCTTCGAGAACTGGTAAGAGTAGTATCTGCAGACGAATAAAGATGATATTGACCTTTACCTCAGGGCTGCCACTTTCACGGTACTGTCAATTTCAGAGCTAGAATGAGGGGATATTGATAGGTTGATAGTCGATGAACTTCGCTTCTGGGATTCCAGTCTTGTTCGGATTTGTGATGTAAGGATACCCTGATAATTGCTAGTACAGCAATGAACAAATGACAAATAATCGAACCCTTCCATTCGAGCCCAACTCTGAATATGTAACAAGACACCAGAAGCTGACATGCATTAGGTACACGGGAGGACCCACAGCTGCGTTCGCAAACTGGACAATGGTAGGAGGGTTGTCTTTCATCGTCAGTCTCTCCATGGCTGAGATCGCTGCTGCACTCCCAACCGCAGGAGGCATTTATTACTGGGCGTACAGGCTGGGCGGACCTGAATGGGGGTAAGGTTTCCTTTTCACAACTGGCAGATCACGTTTTGCTGACGGAGTTGAAGCCCGTTTCTTGCGTGGATGACTGGATGGTGGTAAGTTTCACAAATCACAAACATCACAAAATGCGTGGCTAACGAACTCTCCAGGAATTGGGCAGGATGGGTACTTTACCCCACCCTCAAAAGCACAAGACGGAAGCTCACAATTGCACAGGTCTCGGTTGTCCCTGGCGTACAGCAAGGATCTACCAATTTTCTGATATCGGCCCTCGAAATCAAATATCCTGACGCGGAAGTCCTGACCAAAGGCTGGTTTGCTTGGCTTCTTACCTCGATCGGGATGTTCTTCGCTATGGCCCCCAACATCATCAACCAAAGGGTCTTGCAATGGTACTTCCGATTCGCGGTCGTCATCTTCCATGTTTTGGTCGTCATGTACTACATCTGGTTTCCTATCCAGGCCTCCCGTCGTGGTGGCTTCCAACCGGCATCGGGTGTCTTCAATCACTTCTACAACGGCATCAATGAAGGAACCGAGAAGCAAGCGAGCGATGCGTATTGTTGGATCATTTCGATTCTCTTCGGTGCATGGGTTTTCTACGGCTACGATGCAAGCGTTCATATCGCAGAGGAAACCAAAGAAGCAAGCGAGGTCGTGGCGAAAGGAATGTGGATGAGCACTCTCTCAGCTTGGTTAATGTCCGTCCCAACCCTGATCATCATTCTGTTCTGCATTCAAGACTTCGACGGCATCATCGCCGGCACATACGCCAATAACTGGGCTGAATACCTCGTCCAACTTGTCGGCGAAAATGGAGCAGTTGCCATCCTCTCCCTGCTCTGGGTCGACTCCACCTGCGCCACAGCATCGTGCTTCATGTCTGCTCAACGAGTCACCTACGCCATATCACGAGACGGCATTCTCCCCGGCAGTAAATACTTCCGTCGTCTGAGCAAGAAATCGCACATGCCCATCCACGCGGCCTTCCTCGTCTATGCCATGAGCGTCATCATCACCACAGCAGTCATCGGCTCGGTGGTAGCCTTCTCAGCTATCACAGCAACAGCCACCATAGCGACGAACGTCTCGTACCTCTTCCCCATTCTCGCCCGCCACACCGTAGGCCGCAAGATCTTCGAGCCCGCGAAATGGCATCTGGGCCGTTTCTCCATTCCTTGCGCCGTGGTGACTACTCTATACATCAGTTTCCTGGTCGTGGTTCTCCTGCTGCCGCAACTTTATCCTGTAACAGCACAGACATTGAATTATGCTCCGATTATGATTGGAGGCGTGAGTATCATCAGTTTGGTGGGGTGGTGGATGCCGTTTGGGCTGGGAGGGAGGCATTGGTTCAAGGGGCCGCAAAGGACGATTAGTGAGGAGGAGGTTGCGGGGGCTACGGTGGTGGGGACGGATGTTGATACACATAGGGTTTAACCTTGATACACAGAAATTAGAACGAATTTCACTGGTATTCATCATTGAAGCTGAAGTGAGTGTGTTTGATGTTTGTATTGTTTTGTCAAGAAGGATTATTCACAGATGCCTAGATATAAATCCAAAGCATTTTTATGAGAACGATTGAGGCCGCCTTCTTCCCAAGATTCCCATTCCCACCAGTATCCGCCAATTCTAGCATAGGAGGAATCTCTCTGAAAACCAGCGGGGATGGGAACCAAATCCATCTCTCTGTACTCCTGCCACATGCAGCTCAATTTAACCTTAGCATCAGGACCGCTCTCCAGCGCCTGCTGCATAAAACTACTCGCCAGGGCCGCAAGATCCACTCCATTCCAACTCTCCCGTTCGTTCTGCAACTGCATCTCTTCGTCAACGGTATCCTCAAGGCCGTTTTCCATGCAGTCCGCAAGGACATCGCGGTGAAGGTCATTCCGGAATTCGTGAGCCATTAGAACTAGCAGTAAGAATCCTATGTGCTGTAGGTGTGCAAGCGACATCCATTTATCTAATGGCGGAGCCAAACGTAGAGAGTATTCGATGTGACGAGCTTTGAAGGAAAGGAGTTTGATCAGCTGAAGAGTGGTGTCGTCGAAGTTGAGGGTGTGTGTCGGGCTGATAGATGTAATGTATTCCAATGGGACGCAGAATCGATCAACTTCAAAGTTGACATAGATAATCTGCGATTCTGTAACTTGGGTATCTTCTACGTTGACTGTCTCCTTGCAAGCAGTATAAAATCGCAGGCCTTCAGCTCTTGACTCTTTGTTAGCCATCAGGATTCCAGGTGCTTCAGGCTGAGCGCACCTGCCGAAATTGCGCAGATCAATGCCGATGGTACGAGACGCCTCATTCGGACTTGCATGCTCCCAAACCAGGTTGCGCAACTCAGCGGGAAGCTTGGGGAAAGGTAAAGGTGAGCGCGAGTGTAACGTCCAGGCGCAACTTTGGGAGAGCGGAGAGGAGGCTCTGCATGCGCCCAGCAGGGGGAGGTTGAGGGGAGACCGCAAGGCTCGAGCGCGAGACGAGGGCGGATGCCATGGCTTGGGTGTATGCTTCTGGGGTGGAGATTCTGATGTTGTTGAAGGTAGCAGTCTTGGCTTAAGTGATCGTGAAAGTCGATGGTCGAGGGAGCTGGTGGAGTTGCAGTTTTGAGGCAGCTGTGGGAATCTTGTGTTGTCTTGCTGAAAGTGCACTAGGTAACAACGCATAGAAGCTGCATTTGCGTCTCGAAAGAGACGCGCCAGCGTCGCTGTAAAGACTTGGTTAAGGTACACTGTTATTACAACAGTGAATCTATGGGCTTTTGTCTGGGAACTTAAAAGTGAACTCGGGAGGACGAATTGTTTCAGCTTCATTTGTTTGCTCTTTTTTTCTCACTTTCGTCTCACTGACTCGTTCAATTTTATTTGCACATCACATTGGTATGTAGTCATGTTAGTATTACTAAAGGTTGTGAGGTGAGGTTGCACGTCCTTGTCTTCGGCAGAACTAGTAGGAATGTGATGCAAGCGAACCCCTGAGTAATATGACTTTCATCGCTTGGAATACGAGCGGGTTTCGCAGCCTCTTTACAGATTTCGCATGAAATCAAAAACCAAGCTGCATTACGATGGTTACTAATTGGAAAGAGGAACATTTTCAGTGTAGCTGCTTTGAGATTCAAGGTAGCAGCGCAAGAAGGAAGGTTGAACGTCGTCCTACGTCTTCAGTTGACTGATAGTTTTGATATTCAGGCTTCAAGCCATGAGTCCACGAAGCTGACCGTCAATGGTCGGAAAATAGTCTTGTATCATTACCTAGGTATATAAAAGAAGGTTTAAGTGCTAAGAGACAGAGTAAGAAGAAAATTCTGCGTCTCATTAACTTCCCGGGCTGCATCCGCACACGCACGCAACAATTGTGAGTTTGGCCCAAGCCTGCTGTTGTGTTTCACAGCACAAACCAGCAATTGGTCAAAGTATAATTGTAAGAAGTATAGTTGCGGCGGCAGAGCAGGTAGCTTCTGGGGAAGAGGCCACGAGCTTGTAAAAAGGGCAGTTGAGAACACAACAGAAACGTTCTTTGGATGAGCTGAAAGGAGAAGAGCATGTAAGGCTGGACAGAAAATAGACCACGAATCCACGATGTCACATGGAAAAATAGGATTCAAAAGTCCTTTGCATTTGCACGAAGGTGTAGGAAAACCCAGTAGGAAAACTACACCAAGGCTTTAAAATCTCCTGCAAGGCGAACCAAACCCCAAGCCACACTTCCATCAATTCCTTCCACGTCTCATACTACATGAGTAACGGCAGATCGCCAGAATGCCGGATTACTTCCAAGTGATTAGCAAGCCGCCATAATATAATGTCATAAGGAGGTTCATTACTCACACACTGTGAACACATCGAGCATTAAGTCAACAATCTACAGTGTATAAGAATGGTCAATCAAAATTTGTCCATCACTTACAGTCTGTAGCAAGTTCGAACAAATTGTCAGCAATTTTCAACTAATAAGTTATGTGATATGAAGTTATTGATGACTTACAAGCTAAGTATGTCGAGCACCCAGTCAGCTATCTGTCATTCGTGAAAACGATAATACGAGATTTCAATTACTGACACCTTCACCTGTACAGGTATCTTCCACAGAAATATACTCATCGCCATCGAGACATTGACATTTTACTTGGAGACCTCCAACAATCACTCCACAACCAGAAACACAACCCCCGCCGCCGAATTTAATTGGTTCACCGCAAATACCGCCCGTAGTGCTAGAACAGATGCTGTAACAGCAATCTACCGATCCGACGGAGGCTTGCTTCTTTTCGAGTGTGTTTGGCATGGCCATAGTCATCGAGACTGTTATAGCGGCCATTGGAGCAAGTCGTGAAAAAAACATGTTTCAGAATGAGTATATAATTGTCGAAACTGAATAATTTGGCGCTGTGTATTTTGCTTGAGTATTCGAAGGGATGGAAGACTAGAACATATACAATGGGGTGGCGTTCATAAGGTGTAAGTGGAGATTGAAATTCCAGAATCCTTACTATCATCATTGTCTGGTTCGATTTTTCCTCTTGCTTCTACGTCATCAAACTTCGGTTCCATGCTCATTACTACTATCCTGAAACACCAACTACAACGTTACTTATGCTCACGTCACTGTATATTGCTCACATCGTCATTACCAGTCTTGTACGAATACTCATATCGTCTTAACCCACCCTTAACGTCGATTTTGCACACACTTCGCTTATTCTAATACCTTTGACAGGCTGAAAACTTGTGCCGCGTCATTCAATCTTGCCCAAGATTTGTTTGATTCGAAAACATTAGATTCTCAGGCCTTGCAACAGGTTGGATTGTGGACAGAAGATCATAGATTTAACCACTCAGAGAACGTGGAAGATTCCAAACAGTTAGAATCTACTTAAATCCTACCTAAAGGATCGAAGTCGAGGGTGACTTATGACGGTATGTCGACGATTCCGAAGGGAGTACTTTCCTATTCTTGCTGGAATGTGCCTCTTCCTTCTAGGTAACTGTTTGATGCTCGTATGGGAATTGTTTGTTTTTGATGAAGATACAGTTTTCCGACTGGTTCCTTTCCATCGCTCGATGAACTGTGCCTGTTCCTTCTGTATCACCATACTGCCACACATAAACTTCTCCTCCCTTCCGGTCTTCCGGTGACTTGTGCCCCTTGCTATTATATCATAGCATGATCATTGCTACTGCAGGGTCATCAATTTCTGTGCCGTAGACTCTGTCAGCATCGAATCGAAGCTGATGATCACTACCATGTTAGCAGTTTTCAGTCGTTGTCGATCCTCGTTTCAAAATTCTGCCACTCAAATCGATCACTCTCCGAAAATTTTCCCTAGTGCAGCTGATGATTATCATGATTTTACTCAGAAGGTAAGCTTTAAACCACTACCACCGTCGTCCAAAAGCCTCATGTTAATCCTAGCTTATTCGCTTCCTCCATTCTTAATCTCTATTACGTAACACTTCTTACTAGAACAGGTATAAAGCAGACTGAAGGCCACATTTGATCGTTTCCTGTTTCTTCACAGGAACATCGATCACTCAAACTTTGCTATTCCATAAGAATTTATCACAATGCAGCTCTCAAACCTGATTTATCTTGCAATTGGAAGTATTTTACCAATGTCAAATGCTTTCGCATTGGATTCTAGAGATGTCCCTGGCCCAGGTGTATGTGAAGCTTTCAAAAATATTCCCTTCCATCACTGACAATTGGTCTAGGCATGCTGGAAAGCGTCAAACACATGTTATGGTGAATATAGTGGGTTTTATAACGGCCACACGTACAAAAATTATTCATACGATTGTAACTGCGCAACCCCAGTAAGCCATTATTCATGATAACGCTTCCTTTCCCGATTTTAATTGGCTAATTGTGCTAGTGTTTGGTAGATGGAACAGAGTGTGTTGCAGTATATGAACCAGCTCCCGGCGAAGGTGATGGGCTTATCGTTGACTGTTCTAATGTCAAATGTTCATAAAGGATGACGGACAGTTAACGGCTCCTGTATTTGCGCACCGATGTTACAGAATTGAAATGTCACATACAGCGCTTGTACGGCTGACCATTAATCAGAATGCTCAGAAACTGTGATTTGTCTGGCAATTCATAAAAAACGGTGATTTGTTTACTAATTATAGGTGACTCACTTTACCTAACTATGTATAGCTCATTTATTGTTAGCTATTTCACTGCTGCCTACTTCACTGCTACTCACTTTATTACTTCTCACTTCACTGTTGCTTACCTATTATTACAGTATTGCCTGCCTTTAATACTACTCAAAATGAGGGGAGAGTGAGAGTGATAAAAAGGTGAGGGAGGAGGGTGGCTGAAGAAAGGATGAAGGAAACAAACAAATATTTCACTAGCGCTGAAGATTTCAAATGAAGTTGAAAAAAAAGAATTTTCTCCTCTCCTCTCTTTTCAATTCATTTATTTAGTCCCTTCTATATCATAGCAAGCAATACTAAAGTGCAAGTAGTACTGAGGCGAGCAGTAGTGAAGTAGGCAATAGTAAAGTAGGTAGCAATAAAGTCAACGACAAGCTAACTATAAGTGGGCTGCAATGGGTAAAGTGAGTTGAGGAAAGTTGCTAGACAAATAACTCTTTTTTTTTTTTTAGCTTTTTTGAGACAAATCCTTCTTTTTAATGAATTTCTTGACGAATCCTTCTTTCTGAGCATTCTGATTAGCGGTAAGCCGTACTTGGGAGCCCTATGAACCCTTTCGGACGAATGTTATACGGCGCATAAACTAAGCTAGAATTAGTAATAAACAGGGTTTGGTGACAAGATGGATTATTGAACGAAAAAACAAAAAAACCCCGAAGTTTGAAAAGTCTATGTCTGGGTCAGGTGAGTCAATTATTATTAGGATTCTGCACTGTTACGGAAGATGAGCAATATGTCTCATTCTTGTGTTTTTCTGTAGAATGAATTATGTGCCTCGGTAGCTAACTAGAGGAAACCTCAAAGCCACCTCAAAAGTACATCGTCCAGTGCTTTCCAATCCGGCCATCTCCAAGCGTACATATCTAGTGAGCTCTCTATATGTCATTAAAGTCCAGCTGACATCGGAACCAAGTCCAGTTCCCTGTACTCCGGCCACAGAAAGCCAACATCAAGTTTCTTCTTGTTCGCATCCGATTCTTCTTCATTGAAGACATCTTTCAGAACATAGTCTCCATCAACATGCTTCATCGCAGCCTTTCCCATCTGTAGCACCATCTCCTCGAATAACGTGTCCTCGTTACTCATCTTCGGGAAATGAAGTGGTGTGTGCATGGCAAGAACAATATGTGTCAACCGCGGAAGCGAGCACCAGTGATTCAGTGCCCTAGGTAAATACCAAGACAGTAAATTAATAGCAGCTCTGAATGTCAGGCGTTCGATCAACGGAAGGATATCATGATCGAAGTTCAGAGGGATTGTAGGAACAACCGGATGCGGTCCCGAGCACTGAATCCACAGTTGGTCAATTCTGAAATCAATGTAAATCGTTCTTGATCTCGTGGTGCGGGTATTTTTGATATTTGCAACTTCTTTGCAAGCAGTATAGTCTCTGGAAGTCTCGGAGCGAGATTCTTTGCTGGCAGTCAGAAACCCAGGTGCGTCTGGCTGATTACCGCCCTCAGAGCTTCGAAGGTGGAGGTTGATGACGCGGGGCTCGTTCTTACTTGCGCACTTCCACTGCAATGAATTAGCACCACTTCTTCTGGGAAAGAAGAACTTGAGGAGATGTAACATCTCCTAGAAGAAGAATACACCAAGGTTCGAGCCGGCAAAGATTGGTAGAAGTGGAACTTGTTACGTACAATTTGGCTGCGGAGTTTTCCCGGGAGTTCCGAGAAGCAGGTAAAGCTAGGCGGGAGAGTGAGATCCAGGCGCAATTTTGGAAGGGTAGAGAGCAAAGTTTGCATACGGGATCTATTTGAAAACTTCGCCAAACGGCACAAATCCCCATCGATCCTCAGTGAGAAATCTCAGGGACCATTCCAAAGAAGAACAACAATGGATAGCTCTTTTGAGATGGTTTTTGCAATAGGAAAGAGTTCGAGTACTTGAGGTATCTCACGTGCTATCTTTCTACTTTATTGGATTTGCGTTTCTCTTCAATCAACACGTGTAACAGACTCAATATCCAATGTATTAAGTTCCAATGTATTACGATCTCTCTTGTAAGATCTACTTCACGTAAAGCAGATCACTGGCACAGTTATTTGTCACGTGATGATAGATCAACTTTCGACACAAATTCTTCTTTGCAACAGATTCCTCCGTCTTATCTTCAACTCGGAGACGGCTCAGCAGCGCCTTGGCAGATCTCAAGCACCTTCCTACCCCGCTGATGTGCACGAGCGTGCTGAGCCGCACCAGGCAAGACACTCAAGCCGACTCAAAATTATATCTTTCTTGGCAGCTCCCAAGCAAGCTCTATCCCTGTAACTACATCAAGCTCTCTTCTTCTAGAAGCTTTCGTCTGATTCTCACTTGCGGCTCTGATTGCCCCCAGCTTCTTGCACGATGTGTGGTACCTGGCCTGGTGTCCCATAGATAAACGAAGAGTGGGATGTCATGTTATGTTATGTTCTGCGAGATCCCAAATTGCATTACGACCCGATGCAGAAGCTCGAAGCAGATCAATGAAGACTCGGGTCAGGTCCCAAAGGAGGCCAACTCTGTTTGTAGAAGCTGCTCCGTCCGGCTCCAATCTCCTCAGACGGCGTCTCCTATCGGCTCGTTTCCAGCCCCTCGCTAAGCTGATATGCCCCTGAAACCTCCTTCCTATCCAGGTCTAAATGCTGAGGTAGTATCTGCGCGGGGCAAATGCATGTACAACAAATGATTCTCGTATCGGTCGACGTCGATGACGGATGACTGCAGACGCTGGAGGCCTTATCGTACGTAGCTGGGCTGGGGAGAAGCAGGAAGCTGGGAAAAAAGAAAATTGGGAGCTACTTAAATCATGCGGTCCCCCTCAGTTCCAATTGACCGGTTCTTGTGTCAGGTACTGACTTGTGATCGATCAATTGCAAGATGTCGGCCAGAATGATGCGCTCGTTCGTTGCGTTGCTGGTGTTCTGCACCTTTATTTCTGCAGTATGTGCTGGCAAAATGGAGGATGTGATCCACCAACGAGGTTATAATGCCAAACTCTTGAAGAAGAAGGATGCCAATGCTGCGAAGCCAAAGCCGAATCCAATTGTCAAGAGAGCTTCAGCTACAAGCTCGGTCTGCACACCCGTCTCTACCCCCAATCCAACAGCACCGTAAGTAAACTGCCTCAAGCTCCTAGGAATTTACTGATGAAAGCAGACCCAGCTGTGGAGGGAACAATTGCGCCAATGAGTTCAACAAACAGTTCACCGCGAGTCTCGATAACCTCGAATCGTTCTGCAGCTCATGGACCGCCGAAGAATCTGCAGTATTCGCTCCTACTGGCACAGCAGACTGGGCAACGAATTGCTTGGGGACCTCGACCGACGCAACGGCCGTTGCGTCAAAAGTGTCCTCTGCCTGCAGCTGCTTTGTTCCCGAGCCGACCACTTGCTCCGATGATAGCGGGTTTAGATTCTTGAATGATAATACGAAGCGTGAGTGAAATGGTGCTCATAGTACAGCGGGCGCCTGCTGATTGAACCAGCATTCCAAGTCACTTCCCTCCCCGAAGTGAACTTCGACATTGGCGAGATGTACTCGGGTAATATCCCAATCGACGAGGACGATCCATCACGAGCTCTCTTTTTCGTCTTCCAACCTACCGATAGCGGACCCGTAGACGAGGTTCTCATCTGGTTGAACGGCGGACCCGGGTGTAGTTCCTTGGAAGGCTTCTTCCAAGAGAACGGTCGGTTCATCTGGAGTTGGGGTCAGCCCCAAGTTACAATCAATCCGTATTCGTGGGTGAACCTCACTAATGTGCTTTGGGTTGAGCAACCAGTTGGTACTGGCTTTGCTATTGGTAATGTCACTGCTACCGGTGAAGAAGATATCGCTCAGGATTTCGTCAAGTTCTTTTTGAATTTCCAGAATATCTTTGGTATTTCTAACTTCAAGATCTTTGTCACTGGCGAGTCGTACGCGGGGAGATACGTACCCTACATTTCTGCTGCTATGTTGGACCAGAACGACACCACTCATTTCAATGTCTCAGGTAAGCATGAACACCATTACTTGACAATCCCATCTCTAATTTGAAGCAGGCGCTCTCATGTACGATCCATGCATCGGCGACTGCAGCTTCATCGCAGAGGAAGTCCCAGCGTATCCCTTCGTCGAATACAACAACAACATGATCGGCTTAAATGCTTCATATCTCGCACAATTGAAGGCAGCGGACGAAACGTGTGGTTATGCGGCATACAGAGACCAGTACTTGGTGTTCCCTGCAGCTGGTGTCCAGCCTCCAGTGCCCGACTACAGCTCGGAATGCGATATTAACAACCTGGCTACAAACGCTGCGTTCAAACTCAACCCGTGCTTCAACTCGTACGAGATTGTTACCCAATGTCCTATGCCCGCTGGTAAGATCTCTTCCTAGTTTACAAAGGCAGCAATACTAACCCATACAGATCCCCTCGGATTCCCAACCGATCTAGCCTTCGCCTACCCAGCCCTCACACCCCTCTACTTCGACCGCGAAGACGTCAAGATCGCCATGCACGCCCCCCTAGACGTAGACTGGGTGGAGTGCAGCGGCCCCGTCTTCCTCAACAACAACCACGACACCTCCGTCGACGCAATCCAGCACGTCCTCCCGCAAGTCATCGAAGCCACGAACCGCGTCCTGATCGCCAACGGGCAACTCGACTTCGTCGTCATCACCGCCGGCACGCAACTCTCGATCCAGAACATGACGTGGAACGGCAAGCTCGGCTTCGAGGTCGAGCCTTCGACCCCGATTGTCATCACGTTGCCTGATTTGTTGTACCAGCAGGCGTTTGTGGAGAATGGGTATGAGTTTGGGTTTGAGGACCCACAGGGAACGATGGGGGTGCAGCATTATGAGAGAGGGTTGATGTGGGCGGAGACGTATCTGAGTGGACATATGCAACCGCAGTTCCAGCCGAGATCTAGTTATCGCCATGTACAGTGGCTGTTGGGTCATATTGACGAGTTGTAAATAAAATAAGTAGCCTAAAAGTTTTCCGTCTCTCGCGGACATATACATGTAATGAATAATGTCTGAACCTGAACCAAAATCAATTAATTATCTTTTGTCACTATTTCTACCATGAGATCATGCGGCCATCTCGGTTGATCGACACCGTTTGTTCTCGTCCCGACGTTGAATCCTAGCTGTACCTTGTTGCCAGGGAATTGCAGAATCGGTTTCACGCAGCGGATCTTAGCTCCTGCGGCTTTCGACTCGATTGTGTGGAACCATTCAGGGTTCAGAACGGTGGTTGAGCTGTTCTCTAAAAGCATCTTCATGTATCGAGGTAGGGTGTAAGTCATATTGTGATAATGTCGGAAGACTTGACGGCCGTTTCGATTCCAGACGTCTTGCCAGATTTCCTCGGGATATGTGCCGCAGGAGTTGATAAGCCATTGAGAATAGTAATTCAGAGCAACGTCAATGGTATACGAACCTCCATCTTCGGCTTGTCGCATGAGAGCAGTCAGGATGCCGGTTACGCCCCCGATGCTGGTGCAGTAATCCGAGTTCGGAAAGACGGGAGTTACGGCTTCATCGTTACCCATCGCTCTTCCGAATTCCATCGAAACTCCGCAGTTCTGCAAATCTCAGCTCCAAGTCCAGGAATTAGGAAACAGCACTCACCGCATCACTGATCTGCTGCCACCCACTCCGATCCCTCCACGGCCCATTCCACCCATAGCAATTCTCCCTCGCATAAACAACCCCTCTCCCCCTCCCCTCACAAATCTTCAATATCCCCTCCAGCCCAAACCCCCACTTATCCAAAACCCCAGGTCTATACCCCGAAATCACAACATCTGCTTCTAGCACAAATTTCCTCATTTTCTCCCTATCTTCTTCTTTGCGGAAATCAAGAAATGTGTTCCATTTCCCCCAATTCAGATCGCAGTGCAAAGAAGAGTAATCTACCAGATGCGGAGCCGTAACCCGCATCACGCTCGCGCCAATCTCCGCTAATCCTCTTCCGATGGCCGGTGCTGCGATGACGCGGGTGATGTCCAGGACTTTCAGGCCAGCGAGCGGTCTCTTGATGCCTGTGAGAGGGGCATCTGTCCACCATCCAGACCTTTGGGCTGGGTTAGGGTGGGAATGAATTTCGTAAAGTCCCACGTGGGCATTTGCTTTCCCGTGCTCGGAATTCAGATACTCTTCTTTCGTCCAGCAGATGGTTCCAGCTTGTTTGTACACATCGGAGGCAAGTCTCTGCATTTCTTGCGAGTTAATCTGTCCTATCTTCTCCGTGAATGGTTTCCACGATTCCTCCACGGAAGAAGCGTCTAGTTCGAGGGGGAGTCCGATGCTGTTGAGCGAGGGGTCGGGGTTCATGGAGCCGTGGAGGTGGAAATAGCGGCCATCTTTCGTTTTGTATATGTTGGTAGCGGAATTCCGGTGGTGGGTGCTGGCTTGGCGGTGGATGTCGAAGCTGGGGAAGTATTTTTCTGATTTGGGGCTCATGCCAGGGATCTTTTCGCCGGTGGGGTCGATGGTCCAGATGAGGGTTGACATGATGAATAGTTGGGCGTGGTCGCTGGGGATTTTATCAGCGAGTTGACGGTGCTGTGAAGCAGGAGAGTACGCACGTGTTGATTACCACCTCTTGTGGCTCGATGCCATATTTCTTTACCAGCAAGGCATTCAGAACCGTGGCTTCGAGTCCTTTCAGAGCTGATGTACTCTCCGCGAACCTCCAGTTGATCGGTATACTCGGTTTTTCAGACCCAACATACTTCACCTTGTCAGCGAACTTCTCAATGCCGGCCGGTAAACTCTTAGCAATCAACGGATTCCTTAGCACGCCTTCTCGAAACAATTTCTCTGACTCGCGAGGGACAGAATATGACTGTCCTGACATTCCATTCTTCTCATCGAGAGTTGACATCGTGGCTGTTAGATCTGGGGCTCGAGATCGTGGCTAGAACGAACCACACAGAAAACAAAACGAATTGGGATATAAAAGCAAACAGGCAAAGTGGGGCAAAAGGACCGAGGCTTGCCAATATTAAAGGAAAATTCAACTGGGTCTGGATCGCACGGTTTCTGCACTCATGCCGGTATGCAGAAATGCCTTGCACGCTTCCCTCGTCTTCGAGATATGGAGACTGCGGGGCAAACGAGTTCATATCGGTCCATTAGCAATAAATGACTCGAGTGACTCGTGTCAGACGGTCATGTGATTTGAGAGATTAATGATCCGGTCCGCAATACTTCTGGTGAATTAGTTATGTTTTGGGATAAAGAAGCTGCATCTGGCAGCGTCAAGAAAGTCGGCCGTCCTCGGTTAAGTGGCTTTTCCGAGTTACCCCGCTCTCACGTGAGGTGGTACAAAGATTCCCCCTCCTTGCTGCTGAAGATGTTTGGTAGATTTCTTATGAAGGGCGGCGAGCTATGTGATGCGTGTTTTTATCCGATTTTCGCTTCAGCATCTAGTTGCTGAACAAAATTGATCTTGAAATGTTTTCTTCAGGGGCAGCAAGCGAAAGATGGACGACCGAAAGGGGCCGAAGGCCAGTGAAGGTGGCCAATTGTTCTGGATATGCGGGTATCTCTAATCCCTTTAACCAATGGTGTTTATAGAAGGGTTAATCATCAACAGGTGACCCGAGCTGGCAAATGCTACGTCAAGCCACAGGCGGTGATGTAGACTTCATCACTGGTGACTACTTAGCCGGTAAAACTTCAAAAGTTCAAACGATCATCATTCTCAACTGATAATTTGAAGAAATGAATCTGGCCGAAAACGCAGAAGCATATGCAGCAGGTACAAACCTAGGCTGGGTCGAATCAGCGTGGGCCGGAATCCAGGAAAGCATCGAAATCCTCGCCGAACGCAAGATCAAGGTCGTGATCAATGGCGGAAGTCTCAATCCCTCTGGACTTGCTCAGAAAGTAGCTTTATTAGTAGGTCCTCAACAACTGGTTGGAGGAAGCTGACACCAATTTAGGCGAAAGAGAAAGGGCTCGAAGACTTGAAAGTTGCGTTCGTCGAAGGGGATAACTTGCTACCAATACTTGGCAATGACCTTGCTTCACTGAAAAAGGATCTTCCTCCACATCTCGATTCTGATAATCCGGATGTAAAGTTGCCGTGGAATTTATTGGGACCGAACAGTGAAAGTGTTCCCCTCGTTTCGGCAAATGCATACCTGGGAGCACGAGCCATTGTCCAAGGTCTGAGAGATGGAGCAGATATCATCATATGTGGTCGCGTGGCGGACGCATCGCCAGTCATTGGAGCAGCTTGGTATTGGCATTCTTGGAAAGACACCGATTATGATCGTCTAGCTGGAGCACTTATTTCTGGTCATTTGATCGAGTGCTCTGCTTATGTTAGTGGGGGAAACTTTTCTGGGTTCACAGAATACGATCTAAATACTTTCATCGAGCCAGGGTTTCCGATCACAGAGATCGATGCAGATGGTGCTTGTGTCATTACGAAGCATGAGGGTACTGGTGGCATGATCAACGAAGATACTGTGAAGTGTCAGTTCTTGTACGAGCTGCAGGGAAGTATTTATTTGAACAGCGATGTCAAAGCATACTTGAATGATGTCCGGATACAAAGAGTTGGAAAAGACAGGTAAATTGCATCTCTACTCCCTAATCAAGCGCCCTTCCTAAGTTTATTGCAGAGTCAGAGTCTCCGGAATCAAAGGCGCTCCTCCTCCACCCACAACTAAGGCGACAATCTTCTACCAAGGTGGCTACCAATCCCAAATCCTAGTCAACGCGACAGGCTACGGGACTGCCCAGAAATGGCAACTCTTCGAGACCCAACTAAGGAGAAAGCTATCAATATCCAGCGCAGATAAGGATCTCTCAATTCTCGAGTTCCAAATGTAAGTTCACTGGTCTATCCTATATTCCAAGCTAAGCGAAAGCAGAGTCGGAACACCCCAACCAAATCCAAAATCACAGCTGAATAGCACGACATACATGCGAGTATTTGCCGAGTCGCATTCGCAAGAAGCATTAATGAGCCTCCTAATCGCCTTCCGAGACATCTCACTACAACACTTCTCAGGATTCCACTCAGCGCTCGATATGAGGACAGCTATCCCAAAGCCATTTCTCGCCATGTATCCAGCCTTGATACTTCAAAATTCGTTAAAAGAGACAGTGACATTCTGTGATCCGAATAATGGTGCTGCACTTGAAGCAACAAACGTCGGCTATCCACCAAAATACTCACTCCTCGAGCGAAGAGAAAATATCCCAACTACCTACCTCGGGAAACAACTCTCATCTTTCGGTCCCACTAAGCCGGTCCGACTAGGAGACATCGTCCTCGCTCGCTCCGGAGACAAAGGCTCAAACCTCAACGTCGGGTTCTTCGTCCACTCAGCGAGAGCATGGGAATGGTTACGCTCCTTCCTCAGCTCGTCGAAGATGGTTCAGTTGATGGGCGATGATTGGAGTGACGAGTATTTTCTCGAGAGAGTCGAGTTCGAGAATATTTTCGCGGTGCATTTTGTGGTGTATGGGATTTTAGGGAGGGGCGTTAGTGGTTCGACCAGGTTGGATTCTTTGGGGAAGGCGTTTGCGGATTATGTGAGGGATAAGGTTGTTGATGTTCCGGTGGAGATTTTGTATGGATCGAAAATGTGATGTGTTTGGAAGTAGTTGGGTTACTCTCTTTTGACAGAGATTAAGGGTGTATGAAGCAAGGTTATTATCTTCACAGTCTATTGTGACAATGTTGTAGGTTTGTTTGACGGGCTTTCAATTTTTGAGCGACATTGTTCGTGAGCCAGAGAACCACCATCCGGACAACCATTGTCCAGAGGACCGTCATCGAGAGAACCATAATCTACAAAACCTTTGGCGAGTAGCTCACCAAAGCAATCTCCGTCTCAGAGCACCGTCTAAGCCTCTCGCAGGCCACGGAGCACCGGGAACGAAATCCACCTCTCCATATTCCACCCACGTCAATCCCAACACCGCCGTGTTCTGAAAGTTGGGCACCAGAATCTGCATTCGGGCATCCGTCCTGAGATCCTGTACGAACGTACTCATGCTAGTCTCAATCTCGGACCGATGAAGTGCATTGACCTCTCGTCCCAGGTTATCCGTTCCTCCCCCTTGTCCCATCATCAGAAGAGTAAATTCTCTCAACTGAGTCACCTTCAACACGTCTAAGAATAGCATATTAGAGCTAAACTTGAACCTTTCCGGAGCATTGTGATATTGAAATTCCATGTCCAACAATTTGATCTTGGCCATGTCGGTCGCATCCATATTGTACAGTCCCAGACGAACTCCTCCCCAATATATTTGGCTGGGTCCGGGATGCACGAACCGGTCAATGTCGAAGTTGACGTAGAGAACTCGACCGGCTTGGTGGTTGACCAGCGTGCATTTGGTGAAGAATCTCAACGCTTCTGCTCGGGATGCACGGTTGATCTGAAGCACAACCGGGGCTTTGGATTTCTTCATATCGTATTGGGTATGTAGGGTGTAGGCAGGACCTCTCCAGCTATGACCGATATCTTCGAAGGATAGGTAGATGTTTCGAGGAGGTGTGAGACCGCAGAGTGCAGCCCCTGCGTTGATACTTGTGTTAGCTGCTGTTGACGAGATGATTGTTCACGTAGAGTGAGACTCCTCAAAGAGAGCGAGGCTTGTCGAGATGGAAGGATGGATTCTCCAGTACTTACAGATCTGGTCTTTCAACTCAGGAGCGAGCTTGGCGAACTGGGGCAAAGCTGGACTCGGACTCAGAGGAAATGGCGAAGTATTGAGCTTCGGCAGGGAGGCAAGCAGAGTTTGTAGACGTGCCTTTCCTGGACGTGACCGCTGCACACGCGGCACTCGTAATGGTGGAGGAGGCATGGTATTGTCAATCGCGATGGAACGCCAGTATCGCGGCAGGAGATTGGTGTAATGCAGTGTCTTCAGAACGAGCTGTTGTGGCAGAAGTGGAGGTCCTGAGCTTCGCGCGAAAACTTTCACCACGAAAGGGGGGCGTCGAAACGAGCTGTTCTGGGAGAGGTCGTGAGTTACGCGCGATTTTCGAGAGACTTTCACCACGAAAGGGGGGCTTAGCGTCGTCGAAGCGATCACCTGACACAAAACGGCCTGATCCTCCAGAAGACGAGGTCTTGAAAATTCGAGTTTTCAGGCAAAAAATCGTGACGTGGGACGACCAAAGAGGCTGCACGAAAGGCTGACCACGAAAGGGGGCGTTAAGTTCTTGCAGAAGTCGAGGTCCAGGTTGTGGGAAAAATTCGTGCTTTGCATGAGAAATTGTGACGTGAGGACGACTGAAAAGCTACGCGAATTCACTCGAAAGGGGGGATTAGCGCTCTCGAAGCGATCACCTGACACAGAACGACCTGATCTTCCAAAACTTAAAGTCGTGAAAATTCGAACTCTCATGTGAAAAAATGTGATATGAAACGACTAAAAGGCTACGCGAAATCCTCACCACGAAACGGGCCGTTAGGTACTTCTACAAGTTGAGGTCGCGAAACTTTGAATTTCGGCCAAGGCCATGTGATGTGAGACGCGTGAAAAACTACTTAAGTACGCGATATTTTCAGTACGAGAGGGGGCGTCAGTGTTATCGAAGCTATCACCTCACGCAAAGAGATGTTTTTATGACGTGAATGGAGTTAGCATACCCACTTGTTAAGGGATGCCTCTTGGTGCCTAGGTATATAAAGAAGTGCAGCAAAGAGGAATCCTGCAACATCCATCTTCTTCATTATTATCGCATATTTTGGAAAACTCATTCACCAACTCCTTCACCTTACGTAAAGCGCAAGATTATCTGGCCCCCTCTTTGGAAGGAGTGGAGCGTTTTCGGCAAGTCTAGGTTGTGATGTCATTAGCTATACAGCTGAGCTATACTTCCTAAACCATTTAGTACCTAAGTGAGGGAGCAAGAGCTCGAGATCTCAAGCTTTACTAGCTGTGCGCGGCAATATTGAAAGGAAAGGAATGGAATGGAATCTAAGGGATTAATTGATTGGAATCACTCTCTCTTATCTCTCTTTCTTGCGGTGACAGTGATGAAGATGCAGAACGGCCTGATACCTAAAGCGAAATACTGCCACGAAAAGGAGTATTAGCGTAGCGACGTCTTAACACAAAACAACTTGATACCCAAAGCGTCGGAGGTAATACATGCAAGGAAGGACTACGAAGGTTTATCACAAGATTGAGGGATAGAACTTTGATTGCAGCAAGTACTACAATTAAATCTGGGATATAAAATAAAGAATATCCGAAACTGTGGGACGGTATAAATAGACCGAGTCGTTGGTGGGAATTAGGATTCAAAGCTCAAAAGAATTGGAGAAGAACCCGAATCCTTTCTATTTTGAATAATCTGCTTCTTATTCTTTTGAGTTGCGGTCTAACACAACCTCAACCAAGTACCCTGTACCCTGTACCTCCAGATTCTCGTTGTCCTTTAGAGCTTGGCCTTCAAAGGTTTACCACTATTTAGAGCATCAAAGATCTTCAAGCTTCCAACAGTAAGCGCTCCAGCACTTGCAATCCCATCAACGATAGCCACACCGTATCCTGCTGCCCCAGCACTTTGTAGAGTGGCGAAAACACTTCCAGCAGCCACGTCACCGATGGAGGAATGTGCGAGAGAGGCAGCGGTGCCTAGAGAATCCAAGTCAGTAGAGTAGATAAAAAATCAAATTCAAAGGAGAAACTTGCCAGCTCCAACACCTTCACTGCCAAATCCAAGGATCCAGAAAGCAGGGGTAGTGACAAGGCCAGGATACATAGTGATCAAACCCGCACCAGCGATCACGGCAGTTCCTCCAGGATGAGCTTGGATCCATTGGCCGGCTTCATCTAGCTTAGGAACAAGCTTCTCACGACCGAAATCAGACAAGGTAGCGAGGGCCGGACTGAACTTGTTTTCGCGGAAGTCCTTCAAGCTTGTGCTCGTGACGTAGAGGCCTGGGATGATTTCCTTTTCGCCAAACTGGTTCAAAGTGGCGATTGAGACACTAACGGCAGGACCAAGATGTTTCGTCTGGAATTCTGTCAAGGCGTCGCCGGTCAGAAGGAGAGCCGGACCCAGATGTTCTTCTCCGAACTGATCAAGGACTTTCTTTGTTTTGTCCATGATATGACTGAGAGCTGGTGTGAATTTCTCTCGATGAAAGTCTTTGATGTTGGTAACAGCATCGCCAATGAGGGGCGCGACGTTGTCGTTTGCGAAGTCTTTTGCGAGGGTTGCTGTTCCTGCAAGATAGGTGACGCCGCTTTTCATGACGTCTCCGAAGGACACCATAGTTGAAAGTAAGAAGTGAAGAACTGATTGGGTCGCAATTCTCTCAGCGTTTGAGGTGGGAAGAAAGGTGGAGGAAATCTGAGATGGCGAGGCTGTTCTTGATTTTGTTTGCCCGCGTTTGTTGAAGTCACACAAGCGAGGTCTTTATGCAGCCAGCCTCATGCAAACGGGCAAGGCTCAATTTCACAGCCTCCAGCGCGTAGAAATCTTACACAGGTCAATATGACTGGTTGTTTTAACCTTGAGTCTAAGCCTTCTTCAAGGCTCTGTTACATCCACGGCACACTACTGTACACGGAAGATGTAGAATTAATTGCAAATCTGCCAAGTATATCTCCTAATTAAGCTCTATTTAAGCAATGCGATCTGGCTGGTGGCAGGATGCGCTGTTCGATACTTACTTAGTATGAAGCAGGTTGTCGCTTTGAACTTTAATCTGAGCTGATGGTGAGCATGCCGGAGCAGAGCCTGAGTATCCGGGAGCACGCACTTAGTCAGCCTGCGCACCATAATATGGAACCCATTTTGGCCTCCTGTGTAGTCTGTCTATAATTTTATTGCTGCATTTTGCCCGGTGATCGTTTGCTGCTACTTGTAAGGTGCCTGTTGGTGTTGTTCTGGATCCCACTTGTCAAAGAGCATGTGACTAGTGATATACCATACTTTCCGCAATTTCTGCGGTAGCACGTCTTCTAGTCACTCTGACTCCTCAGAAATGGTGGAGTCATGTGTTTTACAATAGCTCTGTTGTAGCTTACAATACATAGAGGGTAATTCAAACGGGTTCTCTCGTACTTCCAACCTATTGACCCCCTTTCAACAACTGCTCTTCGAGAGATGGGTCAGATCTCAGGTCGGAGAGAAGCTCCTTTCCAAGTCCTTTCCAATTTCCTATCTGGTCTGTGCCCCGTCTTCGAACCTTGAGCGAATGCCTACGGAAGTCCACAAACCACACAGCAAGCCAATAGATATTAGCCAAGATGACCAGTGCTGCGCTGACCCAAGCAAACGCCAGCGCTCGCTTCCCCGAGGTAACATAGAGGCTTACTCCGCTTCCAACAGAGTTGATCAGACCACTCACAATACCTGCGATGACTGTAATCAAGATGGCAGCAACAAGCTCTCCAATAAAGGCTAGTCCAGCGGCAGCGAAGACTGTGTAGGCTATTAAACGACTCCTCCCCATAATCACACTGGCAAGAGATCCTAGGGCTAGAATACCACTTCCAACAAGGCCTATAATCTGGAAAGTGGAAAGGAGCGTCATCACTAAGACCAGGGAGCTGCCGATGGTGCCAGCTCCGCCTCCTCCGCCTTGGAGGATTGGAACGCTAACATTCACTGTCGCAATTGAGATAGAGCTTGGGATAGAGGTATTAGATAAACCTTTAGAGATGACAAGTAATTAGCAAGAGCTTCAACTCGGGAGAGGAATGCAACGCTAAATGGTCATTTATATGCTGAGAGGAAGAAGAGATAGAAAGCTTGACGCAGAGCATGCAAACGAGGAAGACGTAAATCATGGCGGTCGCTTTCCCGAGAAGTGAAGCAACAAAACTCACCAGCTCCGATACTTCCCCAAGTAGGACAATTGTCCATGGTCATTGCGGCATTTGGATCAGACGTATTCGTATAGTTGCCGCTGCAAACGTTCCCGGCGTACACATTATAGCAGTCCTTGACCCCCAGACTTTGCATCAACTCTTGCACTAGATTGTTTTCGACCGTTGTTAAGCCACCATCGACCACGTTCGTTATATTTGTGATGATCCCCTCTATTGCATTGGTGATACCTGTGATTGGCCCACCATTGGAGGTCAGGTTCCCAAGGCCGGTCAGATTTCCAATACCACTAAAAATGCTATCGAGACCACTGCCAATAGATTGAATTGGATGTGAAATATCGAATCTGGGCTGGATCTCTGCCTTGCTTGCCGCGGGTGTTGCAACTGCTGTAGTGGGGTTAAACTGAATGATATTGTCGCCAAGATGGGAAGTGTTCATCTGGGAGTTAAATTAGCTGTGGCTCTGGAGCATCACACAATACAACCGCGAAACCCTAGGTTGGATGGACGAACGGAAAGAAGATAGTATTGGCTCATTTGATTAGGTTGCCGGCCAGCCAGCACGAGTACAAGAGTGAGAGCAAAGGCAGCCATGGCAATAATGGCGGGAACCAAAGCCGTTGGTCGAAGACGCCCTGACATGTTGCTTGGATTGGTTGCTTCTGAATTCAATGGAATGTGCAACTAAAAATCGACAGAAACGACAATGGCTTGGATTCGGTTCGATATGTGGTAAGCTGGATCTTGGTATATACTACAGCACTCCAGACGGCAATTCGTTATTTTAATACGATCTGACCTCAGCCACCGTATGGAGTGGCCGCACGAGCTATGAAACTACCTTTGACAGAAGAGGTTTCCATGAGATTCAATGGAATGCAATAGTAAGGTGACTGGAGCTCACGTCTCGTTTAAGATCTCAATGATGGTGCATGCGATGCGGACTGCTGCTCGCATGACATGGGGGTTGTGTTATTGCGATTGCTGTGCACGGATGCTGTACTGTACAGTACATGGGGTGTGTGAGACTCTTTGAAGTCTGCCAAACCAGAGGGAGCCGGACCCATTGTCCGAACTCGTAACTTTCGTCCCAGTCCACTGCAGTGGCGCAGTCTTTTATTGATTCTGATTTGCATGATGAAGAAGCATCGCAAGATAGGGTAAGTAAGTGCAAGTCTAAGCAGCTGCGCTTAAGCTCGTGAGGAGGAATCAGTAGATAAGAAGAAGAAGAAGCCATTGCAGAACAAGTCGGACAATCATTCATTCTGGACGAGACCAAATATATATTTATCTCACTCACATCCACGTTAATAGCCAATCCACGTTCCGAATAATTACGACCTAACCAGCCCTTCTCATAACGCAAAACCAAAGAAAAAAAGAAGCACGGCAATCCCATCCCATCCCATCCCAACAATGTCAAAAAACGGCTACCAAACCCCTCAACAACTAATCGCAGACCTCGACGTCCACCCCTTCGCAGACCCTCAAGTCATGACCTCAACGACCGACAGCCTGCCCGGCTACCGCATCGTGCGCGTTATCGGCACCGTGTACGGGCTCACCGTACGAGCCAAGAATATCAGCTCATCTATCGGCACCATGGTCAAGGGCCTGGGCGGTGGCGAGCTGCGCTCCTTCACCACGATGCTGTACTCGGCGCATAGTACGTCAAATTTTGCCCTTGTCTTGTATTCAATCTGGGAGCTGGGATTTTCGGGATCATCCTCGAGAGCTATTCATCAAAGAAAATGTGTCACAGCTCCTCGGATGTGCTTCTCGGCTCCAGGAACTCTATCAAATTTACATACTGATTTGTCTATAGACGAGGCGCTGGCCCGCGCCGTCGGCGAGTGTCTGCAGTTGAAGGGGAATGCGATGGTGGGCGTCAAGTTCGAGAATAGCTCGTTGGCAGAGATGGGAGCAGTGGTTTGTGCGTCAGGGACGGCGGTCGTGGTGGAGATAATCGAAGATGAGTAAGAGAGTGCGAGGGGCAAGGGGATGGGGGGATATGTTGAGGCAAGCGGTGCTCATGTAGTCATCCGAAATGGCTTATCTTATTCAGAATCAGACCTCACTTCTTACTTTTGGATCATGAAAAATATGATCCATCAAAATCTACTATTCTCTACTCTAAACGTACCGTGACTTCAACAGGATAAGGAGGATAAGAGAGTAGAGTTGCGCAAGTTCAATCAGTACATGAGAGAGGAGATACTGAGACATAGTGTCGATGAACGAAAACTAAGAAACATACATTGCAACAGCTATTGGGGACTGAGACGCTCATAGCTAGAACCCACGACATCACGATTCTCTATTACTTCATAGTACTAGCCTCCATCTCCTGCAAAACAGCCGTAAACTTCGGTCCAAATGCCTTGAGTACAACATCTACATCCGGCCGGCTCGACATCTCAGCCATTGCTCGTCGCTGCTGAGCGACATCTATGCCCATTCCATCATCATTTGAATCCATATTCTTAACGTCTTGTCCGCGGCGAACAGGTCCGTCGACCGTGGCTGGCGTGAGCAAGGTCTCATCCAGCAACGCATTCCACCTCGCGATATAGGGGACACACCCATACAATGCCGCATTTTGTGTTCGATTTTGTGTTCGATTTTGTATAGATAACGCCCGCAGAGAGGCAAGATATGAGGCGTGTGCATCCAGTGCTGCTCCAACTGGGGCCATTTCAGCAGGCGTAAGTTGGGAGTAAATCTTCTGCAAGGCGGGAGTCATCGTGCCTGCCGCTCCGCCGCTGCCACCATCATTGGGAGAAGCCTTGTCGGCCGGTTCGGACTGGCGAAATGCACTGAGAGCTCTCTTGGCGTACTGTCGGAATGCTTCTCTAACGTCAGGACAGTTCTTGGCGATAAGGTGGAGGAAATGTACGGAGCGCGGTATGTGTTTGTGGAGCAGATCGATATAGGCTTGCACTGAGGGAAAGTCCTCTGAATTCTTGGCTCCAGCTGGCTTGGGCTGTGTAATCTTGATCAAGTCGCTCAGAAAAGCCTGCAAGTCTGTGAGACCGTCACCGAGATCCACGCCGTTGTGAACAGACCGAATAATTGGGTCATAAGCAGCCACCACCTCGCGGATGGCTTGGGTCAGGAGATCAGGGTGTTGGCGGCAGAGCACGTTTACGATCTCCTCGCGATCGTGGATGGAGAGAAAATCAGCATGATACTTGAGAGCCTGTGTATGCTGAGGCTCAGACATGTAACGCGAAAGGTTTGGGTTGACAGAATCCACGATGACAGCAGCAATGGATTTCTTTCGCTTGATGCTGAGAGCCCTAATCTCTTCGTGCGTCTGTCGGGGTTGTTTGGAGTACCACTTCATAGCGTCTAGTTGTTGTTTGCTAAGACCTCCCTTACTTTTTTCGATTTTCTCCATTGACTTGCGAAACGAGGTCTTATCCCATGAAAATATGGTGCTGATGATTCTGTTTACAAAAAACAGTCAAAACTAAAGGAACGCTTGAAATGCAGGGCGTAACTCACGTCTGCAGCAAATTGCTACCATCGTCAACTTTCTGGCTCAACCCGGCCCAGTTCGCCAAAGCCGTCATGCTGAGCTTCGTTAGAATAATTTGCATCATTCCATTTATCATGGTGGCCGCATTGCCGATCTTGAGAGTTTGTTTCATGATGGCGTATGGAATGAGCGTGTGGACACCATTAAGTAAGTTGATGAGGTATTGTCCGCTAGGATTGAGGATGAAAATATGATAGAGAAAGGTTGCTCCTCTGCAGAAAACCGTCAGTAATGATGAGAGATCGCTAGTTGGACCTGAAAAAAGCATCGACACTTACACGATGGTAGCATGTTCGACTGCATCTTGGACTGAAGATGGGAGGTGCTCGAGGCTATCAGATTCCGCCACCTTGTCAAAAAGGACATCGACCAAGTCCTCATACACCAGATCTTGAATGACTGTATCCCAAGCTTGCTCAAGATGGCTCGGGTCACCGTTGTTCGAATTGTCGCCAGCCGAATTCCTCGGACACCCGCCGAGACAACCGCGAACGACTGATTCCAGAAATGCGGATGCGGCAGTGGCGACCGTCTTCCTCGTACCCAAGGCTCCCTTATCGTAGCTTTCGGAGAGCTCTGAGCCTGCCAGCTTGAACAGCAAGCCCTGCACTCTCTGTTGCCAGAATGCCGGAGGAAGCGTGGATAGACCGGGAAGCTCGACAACGAATTTTTCTAGGAGCATGTGCATAATTGGCGAGGAAATTGGCCCAGATCCGTCGGAAATGGGGCTTCCAAAAGTTTGAATAGCACCAGGCCACTTCAATCCGGCTATCTCTTCGTAGGTAGCATCGTGGGTCAAGATATCAAATAGAGCGTAGGTTTGCTCTGCTGTGAGAGTATCGGAGACCATTGTGATCAGTTGGATGGCTTTGAAGTTGATTTTTCTGTGTTGAATGATCGTTAGTTGAAGAATGTGTCCCAATGGTTAAAGCAGAACGATTTGCTGTATAGCGTGCAGATTTTTGTCATTCACTAGCTTTTCTACCTCTTCGTAGATCTTATGGTAGGAGGTCGAATAACAGTACACCGTCACTTGAGCTTTGTTAACGCCGCTGATCCTAAAATCAGATGGCATGTGAAGACTGAAGGAACGAATTGCATCCTTGTTGACAACGGTACGCGGGGTTGATCTGATCTGCTGAGACCACAGGCCGCTTGATCGTCAAGGACTCTAGCTTGCGATGCGAGTTTGTTTCGTCGCAACACGCAATGATAAGTCTAATAATACTTCCTTGGCAACCAAGACGGGATCGTGAGAAAAGACTTGAGACGATGCAGTACCCGAGCCTTCCAGATGAGATGCGATACGAGAGAGCAATAGGCAACAATCTGCGCTTTAGTTAAGCTGCTCAGGCTTCAACCTTACCTGTACTCAGGCTTCTTAACTGAGCCGAGGGCCAGCCGAGCCGAGAGTGAGTAGCGCCTGAGCAACGGCAAGCTTACTGTACTACCCTACCCCTATGCGATGCGATGCAGAAGAAAGATGAAATTGATATATGATACCAAACTATTGGCAAGGCTGGAGAGCACACGGCAGCAAATATTATATGGCGTTGGTCAGCTCAAATGGCCTCTCATGGGTCCTTGCCCACGACCATAAACTGGACCACCCTCAGCTGCCTGCCATCTCATATCTAGGTTCCACACATCGCCAGTATGAAACACTCCAGTTTAAAGTTCCTCGGGCGCAAAGCCGGTGAAGCCAATGAACACAAGAACTCCAGCTCCTGGAACTGTTCGTTCAAGCATGTACTTGTTTGTTAGGTGGACCTGCTGGTTCTGTAGGACTCGTTGAACTTGTTGATCTTGCTGTGCCGGATGCTCCAGAAAACACTACTCATACATAGCGACCTCATAGTGGTCATTAGGATCCTGTAGACCATTCATAAACCCATTTGCCATCTTGTGCTTGAGTTTTCTTGTTCTTTTAATGTAGGTGACTTTGTTCTTGGTGTCCATGATTTCGGTTGTGTCTTTGGAAGATAGAGATAGATCGTAAAATCAGGACAGAGAGTTTCTTATTGCTTGCCCATGGACGCCCTAATTGTGTTATTGGCACTTCTCTTGATTTAGTCTTGATCAACAAGAAGCGAGATGTGACGATTAGTGAAAGGGATCAAGGCTTCCTGACTCAAGAGCTGCGAACGGCTTTTCGAGTCTCGCAATAATGGCAGTTACATTCCACCTTTTTCTATACAGGCGGAAATGATAAAAGTGCAATGAATGGTTCCTTAGTTTATAATTAACACAACTATTCAAAACTCGTTAAAGATGAAGACAAGGCAGCCAGAAAAGTAAGACATAATCATGATATTATGATTGTCACTAGATGAGTTTGCAAATGCTTGTTTTGATAGATAGCATAGTATCCATTTATTTAATTAAAAGCCATGCGTACAAACTCTCGTCTGCCCCTGACATCCACGGACCTGGCGATGCATCAACACATCATTGAGATTGATGAAGAAGACTGCACAGATATCCCATGCAGTTGGTCGCCCCCTACAAGCAAATCCAGATCGTTGTCCAGTGCCATACCGTCGGCCATCGTGAGTTGCACCCGCGAAGAGCCATCTCTGATCCATTGCATTGATTGGTCCTGTGTAGTATATACCGTTCACAGCTTGTGTTGGAATTCTGACGCCATTGAGGGTTATCTGTAATTGACCCGCTCCTGGTATGGCTGACATCTTGTTCGTGAAGATCTCCTTTATTTAGTTACATATCGATGTTATTTTGTGAAAGCGTATTTTTCTGGAAGATAGGAGGAAATTCCAAGATCGGAACTGGGAATTTTTTTATGCTTGGCCATAGCGAGTCTTGATGGGTGGCAACGAGAATGGTTGAATGCTGAGAATGGAATCGATCATGTTGAGATTAGATTTGTGAATGCTACATTTGAGAAGAAGTCTTTAGCTACCACTTAGTCGCCATGTCTTCTCAAGATTCAATGAACATGAATTGCAGTGATGCACAAAGCTTAACCTGATCTGTTTTGGTCTTGTGTCTTTCTTCGTGATAAATTGTGGGTGATAACATTATGGGAATTGTGGTGAGACGGTATGGCTTGGCATTTGATCATTCCTTAAAATAATCCAAGCTTGATCAAGCTGTATAATAAGACCACCCAATGATAACGCGAGTTAATCGTAGCGCAAGAATTGACTGAGCACTGAGCGCCAAATGAGCGTCGATGCACGTGACAATATATGACATTCGAAGAAATGTGGTACTGTAATATGGCTTTAAATGATCACGAAGAAAACGAAAGCTCAGAGTAGTTCCATAGAGTCATGAGAGTAAATCAACTATGATTCAGGTATCAATATAACAATGCAAGCAACACCAAACTCCAAACTGCAAGCTATTCTACAAAAGACTTCTCCACAACAGAAGCCCTCCTTACTCGTGCCAGCTTACACTGCAACAGACCAGCCCACAAGAACACCAAGATACACCCGCAAGAAATACCAAACATCGCTAAAGGCACCGCTAATTTCCCCATAGAAACAATGAAGTGAGCATCGAAAGAATGCCACGATGAAGCGCCAAGATGATGAAATAACGGGGTGGTGACGTGTCCATTCAGACGATGGAGATTCGGATTCTCTGCTGTTCACCGAGGATCCTGAGATCAGTTCTGTTGCCCTGAAGAGCGTGGATGACTCTGCGTGGTAAGTGTCAGTCAGGTGACTCAGTTGGTACACTCTAGGCAGCAATGTTGGACTTACGAGGCATAGTGGCATCCCGTACTGAACATGACGGTAGCATACGGTAATCCAAGCCAGTTCCAGTTGAAGATGGGTAGGTTCCGAAGCAGCTCTCCTACGAAAGGATGGCCTTTGCTGGCCATCAAGAAGCCGTTGGAAAAGCCAACTGGATGAGCTGCCGGTGCTACGAAGCCAAATCTTCTCAGTGGCCCCAAAGATCTTCGACATTCGAGGTCCATATCAAGTACAGTCCCTATGATACGTTAATACAAAGAAGAAATAGTTTTGCATTGAAGTCTCACCTCCATACTCATGCAACACCATGTACCGTAGAGCGTCTATCCGCTGAATCGGATACTTGTACCCATCCCACATGCTCTTCAAGTGAGGAAACTTGTCTTCCACAAATTGCCCGGCATTTTCATCTGTCCAGAAATGCGTTTCCCAGTCCGGGTGATACGACAAGCAGGCATTCCTTGCTATTACCCATGCCTCTCGCGGTTGCTTATGACCCAAAGAGATTTGATGAAGGATGGGAGGAATGAGATCTGGATACTCTGGGGACGAAGCTTGCTTGTTCTCCGAGTAGTTGCCAAACGTAATATCGAAATCATCTCGTTGTTGCGAAATGAAGAAGTCAGACGATGTCAGCCTCCACGTGATGGGGAGTGTAGTGATGGAAAGAACGACCTGGATACTGTGTCGGAAGTAGATGAGAACGACAAGTACGATCACTGCCAGTATCCTGAAGTTGTACCGGAAGACGGGGCTTGTCGCTGTCATTTTAGGATTAGGTGGAGGAGGAGGGAAGTGAACATGCAAAAAGATTTGTCCACCGTCCTCAACGAGCTCTTAGTATTGGGTTGCTGCCACACTTTTGCGCGACCGGATGCCGTGGCCAGACCGACGGAGCAAAGCTCACGACCGAGCCCATGTCGAGCGTTGTTACTGTAGCAGGGGTAAAAGGGCGTCTCCAAGCGAGTGGGAGTGCCTCACTTGCTTAGTGAGCTCGGTAGTTGAGGCATTTCTGAGACAAATCGCTTTTGGAATATTCCTCACGTGGAACCTACTCGGACGAGTCTGAGCTGACTGGCTGATCTAGATTGCGGCGTAGATTGACGGGAGCATGATTACTTACTAGTTCGGGCTGTCCGCCTCTGATCCGTTCGGCAGCTGGGGTAGTGCATCGTAAGTGATATACGTTGCGGGCTTTATTGGTCCACTCGCTTCATCCTGCGTGCCTTCCAACCTTGTTGGGAAAGTTGGATGATGGAAGCACAAGTGATGTGTTCTTCACGAACACATCCTGCACCGACGATCAATCAGATCAGTTGATTGTCATGATTTGTACATTTTATGCTGAGGATTCCTTGACATCCGGACGAATCAGTCTGCCAACCGCACCGCCCTTACATGGGGACAGATAAAGTCGAAAATTTGCAAATTTGGAATAGATAGCATGACCCTGAAGCTTATCCATGGCGTGATACTGTGGACCAAACACGGAGGTCCTCTGGCCATTCATGCTGGCTGATTAGGAGTCAAGCTTTTTAGTCGGAGAATAAGCTTTTATGATTTGTGATGATCACCATTGACCGCTGCATTAGAGTGCTTGCTGATTCGATGGCCAAAAGACAAGCTTTTTTAACCCGCGTGGATCAAACCAATCCTGCAGGGGCAGAGTGTCACTCGGCGTGACAACATGAAATCTAAGGAAAGTCCGAGAGCGTCGCTGGAGGAAACACCAAACATCTTCGGCTTCTTCGGAGCTTTGACAGGATGACAATTAACCGCTGACACACTCAGCGACACAGCGACTTTACCCCTGGTCTGTGTCCCGACAAGACGACTTTTTCGACTTTCCGTATATTCGTGTTTCCGTATTTCCATTGGGAAGTGTGTCGGCGAGTTCTAAGTTCTGACTCCCAAATCCTTCTGAGCGAGGTGACTGATTCCATTTATTAGCGTAGCTGCGATGTGACGTTCTGGACTCGTCTATTAGTAAATCCAACACTAATTGGACGACCGTCACCACTTAACAAGATGCCCGAACATAGCCGAATGGCACAGTTATGGCGTGAATTATGCAATAGGAATTACCCTGGGTATATGATGGACATATTAAATTTGGCTATATGTAAATAGAAACATTGGTGATCATATCATATCTAATCAGAGATCTCATTGAGGTTGTCGCTCAACTCGAACTAAATCATTGAACCAGACTTGACGACTCAAAATCAAGTAAAGACTTCGATCCCAAGAATATTGACTGTCATGAGATCGAAAAGCTTCTCTCGTCTTCAGATACGAGGGCCAGGTATTGGCGATCAATGCTTTGCCTCCAAAATCCTGTTCGGTATCTTTGATAGGAGAAAGGAGAGCACCAATGATCCTCCAGGTGAAGGGTAAGGAAGTCAAAGGAAGATCAAACAGAAATGTGTATTTCCGTAAGAATGTGACCGAGGACAAGAGATATGTCACAGGAGCCTTTGCATCTGTTGATGCGTATTTTCTACAAACGTGAGTATCAGTGAAGAAGGATCTTTGAAAAAGACTTACTTGACTGCACGACTAACAGCTCTGTGGTTGATATGACCTGAGATCCCACCGTGGTCAAACGTGATTATCTGGAAAGTAGTGTCAGTGTTGCTGCATTTGTATAAGTAACATGGAAACTCACAGCATCTACCTCCCATTTCTCCACGTACTCCTTCACGGCTGCAATGATCTCATGCTCATCCCACCACTTCTTTGGGTTGTCTTGAAGTTCGGGTCGATTTAAAGCCTCACACCTGTCGTCATCTATACTTAAAATCCCGCATGCGCCTTTCAACTCCACTTTTCTGACATCTCCAAGCCCATAATTGTTGCCTAAAAGTGTCAATGGAGATCGAAAAAGGGAATAGCGATTACTGACCATTTGACAGAACCAAGAGACCTCCAGTAGTTTTCCGATTATCTAGTACTCTAAGAATGCTGGGCGCAAAGAATAAAGTCTCGTCATCAGGATGAGCCGTGACTATCAGAAGATTCTTCGACCTCTGAAGCGCAGCTGGAAACAGCCTTGGATCCTTGGCAATAACATAGCCGAGTAGGATCTGAAGGATAATACAGACTGTCAAAATGATCGTCAGGATTCGGACGAATATCTTGGCTGCTCGACGGAAGGCCTTGCTTCGGACGACGTCGGCGAGCCGAGGGCGCGGTGCTCTGGGCTGAGAAGGCATCTCAGCTTCGGGACTGGGTGTGTCGTCTTTCATCGTATGCGGTTGGTAGCACGACGAAACAATCCGACGGGTATCTCTATCGACCACAGGCTTCGCAGTGAGCAACAGCGATAGATGTAAGAAGGAAGTAAAAAATCGACCTTATGTCAGACGACCGTTGGTAAAAGCGGTGCGGCGCGAATTACGGTAATACAGCTAGTAAAATGGCGCATGGTGGTGCGAGCCATTGATCCTCCCCTGCAATACGAAAGAACCACTCGATACGACGGACGTGTCGGATTGCGGATGGCTCGGATTATCCATCGAAACATTTTGTCACACGTTTCAGCCGCAGAGGGGCAAGCTCCGTGAGCTTTTCTCAATTGATGGCGCCCTTTTATCCATAAGCAAGCTTTGCGGGGTCGGAAACAATCTGCGTTGGTGCTGGGTTTGTTGGTTGTGGGTGTGCGGGAGTCGAGGCCATCCTGGTGCAGATGTGCTAGGCTCACCGACTGCATCTCGGCACTTTCGCTATATCTGCGGCGTGAGAACTGATTTCTCCCAACTTCGATGATCGCATGCCCAGCTTCTTGGCATCCAGCTGGCCAAGATGTCAAAAGTCTTGAGAGACTGGAAGAAATACTCTGTGCTGGCCGTTGTAAGTCTCTCTGGCTTTTCATGACTTGCTTAATTGCTCACTGTACTTCCAGCTCGTCCTACAGAATTCGGCACTCACGTTGGTAAGCGGCATTTTCCCATATGTTATCCCCGCTCATATCACGGGGAGTTTTTTTTCAGACAGTACTGAACTGTTGATAGACTTTACATCATACACGAGTGAGACCCGTGGATGGCAACGGGAGATATCTAGCATCTACAGCGATTCTCTTGGTAGAAGTGATTAAGCTCATCGTCAGCTTTGGATTGAGCTTTCATGAGACATGCCGAAACCATCCTTCAGACTCTCCACCGAAGGTTCTTACCCGACTTTTCAAAGAGGTCTTCGCAGGTGACGGCTGGAAACTCAGTGTACCAGCCGTACTGTACACGCTTCAAAGCTCTCTCTTATATAGAGCAATCAGCAACTTGAACGTGGCGACCTTTCAGGTGACATATCAGCTGAGAATCCTGACCACGGCACTATTCAGTGTCTTGTTGTTAAGAAGACAGCTATCTGTCACGAAATGGCTGGCTTTGTTCCTTCTCACTTTTGGAATTGCTGTTGTCCAGGTTCCCGAAGCAAGTCTTCGAGCAAAGTCTTTGCTCAGCCTGCTATCGCCTCACGAAGAGACCTCGGAGCTCATGGTCAGAGACGAAAAGGTCAAGAGGACAATGGCCATACCTGGACCTGCTATGAACGCTTCACTTGGACTGGCAGCTGTGCTGGCTGCTTCCGTCACCTCCGGACTCACTGGCGTCTACTTTGAGAAAGTGGTCAAGAATCCCTCTGTTACGGTCTCGATATGGACTCGGAATATTCAACTATCTTTCTATTCGCTTTTCCCGGCGCTTTTCCTTGGAGTCATATACACCGATGGTCAAGAGATCTCCAAAAATGGCTTCTTTGTCGGATACAATAGTCTCGTCTGGACGACGATCTTCTTGCAGGTTCTTGGTGGATTCACAGCTGGATTATGTATCGTTCATTTGGACAATATCGCGAAGAACTTTGCGCTGTGTGTCAGTATCATCGTTAGCCTGCTGTTCGATATTTATGTGTTTGGATCCTCTGTCCCAATCAACGTAAGTCAACACCTCAACATGACATTTTCAGAGACTAATGCTGCTAGTTTGTTTTTGGTGCTGCGATCGTCATGTTTGCACTGTACTTGTACAGTAGACAGCTTCCGCTCGGGAAGTGATCATTGCTCAAGGGATCATAGAGAAGCCAGCTAATGATCCACCTTCATTGAAAATGCAAACCAACGCTCAGAACTCGGATTTGGCACCGCTCGACAACTCCATATGAGGACTAGAGGGTCACAGAAGCCGGAACACTGGAAGCTTACCCGCCCACACATTTCAGGACTGCAACTTCCGCGGAATTGCCAGTGATGGTTGCGCAACACGGAGACTTCTCCAGAAAAGCAATGCAAGGATGTCTTTGACATCGAAGAGAGTCCCAACCCCTTTTGAGGGATGAGACGCGATGAGACAAGACTCCTAACTTTCAAACATAATGCACAACAGCGACAGCAACATCGGAATCGAGATGTGTCACGTGCTGCGATGACGAGTCCTGCGAACGACTGTTGATGATGACTATGAGTGTATGATCTCATTGTATCAGCTGGCTGCCTATAAGATGGAATAGTCATTTGGAAAGGTTTGATCATCGAGGTGGTAGTAACAAGAAAAGTGCGAGGATGAGTCACGGGGTCTGCTCAAGAGCCAGAGAGAGGCGGGAGACGGAAATCGGGGGATGGTGTATCTTGCGGTGAGAAGATAGAGTCGCACTGGAAATGAGATGAAAGGACTTGATTTTCTATCACTGTGACACCCTCCTGTACTGCATAGAGGAAAGGAGTTAGCAGAAGTAGCGCGCAAGACATAGCTTAATCCAACTCCAAAAATAATCCTTAACCCATGTTTACACATTCAAAATGCAGAATCTGTAAGTAGTAACTCCTGGTCCTAAATGACGTTGGCATCCTTCCTCTGTTCACCACGATTTGTTTTCTCAGTGCGAACGTTTTCAATGTCATTCTAATCTCCTTGCGCAATTCGCGCCAGTAGCCACGCGAATACAAATTGTCGACCTCGGCAGTATCGAAAGCATCATTACCCTCTCTCGCCCTCGATCGTAATGTCAGCATTCTGTTTATTTGAAATCTATGTCCGTCAAGCGCGGCACCAGTGAGCAAACAAGAAGTCTCACGCTGCCAAAGACACAAAATCAACAATAACTGGAGTTCATATATCGAGCCCAGCCAGGGGTATTCGTACAACACTCATAATCAGCCCAAACAACACCCAACCATCTAGTCTTTTCCTCCCCACCAATATCCCTCCAAACCCCCAACAAAAAGAAAATCCATCCTTCCTCCATCTCAAGTCCAGAGCGCCACCAAACCACGATCCAGAAACAAGTCTTCCTCTTTCGTTTCTTGCTACATTGGTAGTAGCCAGGATGGATATTCACATGCACTGTTCTCTTTCTATGGCTCATCTCGCATCACAAATGGGTATCTTGGTGTGATGAGATGATGAGATTAAGAAAAAAAAGACTAGTATAACCCGACTGTGATGTCACCTCGTACTCGAGCTGTGAGGTGGACTTCTGCTTCGAGGTCGAGCTTGATACCGACCATTAGGGCAGCGGGCTTTAGGTTGCCGTGCTCGTCGGTTGCGCCTTTGAGGAGTCCGCCTGGTGATGGTGTTAGTCACAGGAAATAATAACGATCATGTAGAGAGAAGTTGGAGAGTGGTCGGGAATGTTCGAGTAGACTTACCAGCAGGAGCACGAAGGCTATCTGAAGATGGGAGACCGGCGTTCTGGAAGTTGGTGGCGAGGGACTTATTTCGGGTGCTGCTATCCTCGCTGGGTGAGTAAGCGGCGTTGCCGGTTTGGTTGAAGACTGCGCTGGGGTGGGGTTTAGAGATTGTTTAAAAGGTTGACAGGAAGCTAGGGGTTCGGACTCTTCTTGCAGTGAAAGGAAAAATAGGAGGGAAAGAAGAATACTTACGTGGAAGACATGGCTGGGGTGGAAGGAGTGGCTGGTGTTGGTCTGGAGGTGACTCTTCTGGGTGGAGTAGCTAGGGAAGCCGTGGTGGACTTTTTCGACTTCTTGGGAGTCGATCTTGGAGTTGTGTTTGGAGTGGTGGATGGAGTATTAAGGATCGGAGCAGGACCGAGATTGATAGGCCAGGTGATAGTTTATGTTGAAAAAGATGGAATTGAAATGATAAGATCTCGCCTGGAGATGCTGTTGATTATATAGAAGGATGGTGAGGATAAAGATTTCTTTTTTGAGCTGGGCAGCAGGCCCGTTTTATATCTGTCTTCTAGAAGCTTTCTGATATTCGAGTCGAGTCATATCGTGAATGAGAGGAATGCCATAGCCGCTTAGCACCAGTTGCGAAAACGATGGAGGACTCCAAAACACTACCCAGGCGATTGAAGTCTCAAGTTCAAGAGTTCATTGCGTGCCCGTACGATACTAGGGAAGGCAATCCTAGGTCTGGATTGTGGTTCTCCACTCGCGATGGCCGCGTCGTCTTGGCAGTCGTTGATGAACCCTAGGCTGGACCCTGAATTTGATTCTGGGTCTGTAACCCCTTTAAGAATGGCCTTATATCTGACACGTATTTGGTTAGGCGAGGAAAATCATCTGGTGATACCGTCGTACCTGGTCTGTGTACTGTTTCCGAAATTGATCCTAGACATCCCGCGACAGTTGTATCCTTGCGGGCGATCTTTAATATGACCACTTTTCTCCCCCGCATGAATTCCTTCTCGGTGAATTTCATTTTTGCGACTGCGAATTAACAATCCCAATCTTATCAGAATCCATTTTCATGAACTATTGACCAAATCCCATTCTTTCACGGGTTCTCCATTTCAACCACATTTCTGCAAACATGACTTCTATGCTCATTGCTTTACTCACAGCCCCTGCGCTCCTAGCAACGCAGGAAGCTATCACCCAAGGGCAAAAGAAAGATCGACGAGAAGAACATCGTGCCCGAAGATCGGCTCTCATCGTGAGCTGCGTTGATGCTTCACCACTAAGTCTTGAGATCGATCATCGGCAAGTAGCTTTAAAGAATTCGAAGGTAACCAAGAAACCATTTCGAGAATGAAACATACTTACAGATTCAGCTATTTATCAAGACAGACCCGTGTGATACATCATTGCACCCTTTCGGAGGTTACTATCTGCCATATCCAGATGCAGGATACGAGGGTCTAGTATCCACGATCACAGACGTTGCTCCAGTCTTAAATTGGATATATGTCGACAAAGAAACCTACGAAGTGAAATATGGAGTAAAAGCAGACGCGCATCCAAATATCACTGGTCCATTCAACTGCACAAGACAAGACAAGAGATTGACTTTGGAAGAGTGGGAGGGCTTTGTGGCAGTGAAGGTGGAAGAAGGAGAGAACGCAGGCATGTGGGAATTGTATTATGACAAAGACGATGATCTGCTTGCAGGAAAGCTTGGATCAGGAAGGAAGATACTGGAAGTAGAGCTTGTAAGGTGGGAAAAGAAGGTACGGAAAGGCAAGCCGCTGGGCGACATGAGGTAGCAAGAAATTCAAAATTTTGGTGTTCTTCCATCCGAACTTGTTTGCCTAGCTCGTGACCCTGGCCTCTTCAGAAATATTGTCTCCAAACATTGGATGAGTTTCCCAGCTCAAAGCGCTCAAGTGCTTGGCAAGGGTTTAACTTTTGATAAGACACTAGTCCAAACGTCAAAAACGTTTCCAGGAATCTGGAGAACTGAACGATGTGGCGGTCCGCAATTCTAAGTCTGCGAATTATGACAAGCATTTGCTTCTTCAGACGAAATGCAGCATTCCAGGGCCTCTCGTCTGAACTCGAAATCGAAGGATCTCCTCGAAAGTGAGAATCGAACCATTATCTTTTCTCGTCCCATTCTTCAACATCGATGCAGCCTTGAGGCGAGTGTGAAGGACTCGAAACCGCTCTGATTCAGATTGTAAGGGCTGTAAACAGAACATTCATGCCACTTCTCTAGGATATATTCGACAATGTGCCCAAGGCTGAGACTTTGACGTCCGTTCCTGTGCGCGCCTAAAACCGTCGCTGGGATTGACACGTGCTTGCTTCGAAGATCATTCGATGTCGAATATCTCATACGAGCCTCAAACACCTTTTACCCGATAGCCAATAGAGTCGAATGTGTTCCGAAACGCTGAATAATTGAGTACGTGTTGACCTCTGACCATGGCGTTCATGCATATTCGCCAGGTGGTCCGATACGCACCAATGCGGTTAATGCAGCCGGTGGTTCCTGTCTGGGAGTGAAGAAGCTTTCGAAGATCATCGAGAGATTCGCTAGTGCCGCATCGTACCATTCAAGTGAACAGGCGAGTTTCAACTGCGGAGACGGGGTAGGATGGTGCCCCTGGCAACGTTGGATTCTGGCGAAATCCCAGAACGTCGAAATACTTACTGACTGGGAGAATTGCGGATTAACTTCTCTTATTACCTGCTGCATCGATTAGTCTCGAATGTATCGAGTGAATGCACGATGGATACTTTACCCAAGTTAGACACTGCTGCAGATACCTTTCCTCCCTCCTCACGGAATTCATATGCCTCGGCGACTGATTCCAATCCACGATCTGAGCGAAGTTCGTATGGTTCAATCTCGGATATCAATTCAGTCTCTACTCGAACTTCGTTCTCCTCCATACCGGAATATTTGAACAGAGTTTCAAGTTTTTCGAGGACTTCGGATAGCTTCATTCCAGACTCTGTAGAGAGCACCCCCATAAGCTCGAGAGGCTCCTCGCCCGACTCGCCCACAAGATGGGCGAGTCAAGAATCTGTGACGATGTCCGTACCCCTTATCTCCACTGGTGAAGCCAATCTGACTTCGTAGGGCGGACCAAAATTCGCCGAAAGCCTCCTCGCAGCACCGACTACGATCAAATAGCGAGACGGTACCAAAGGATGGGCCTTCGGCGCTTAGAGAATTGCAGAATGTGAAAAATGTGATATGTGTCGCATTCGGAGCCTTCGACAGATATTATATATCGTGGGAGGACAATGATGGAGAATTCCACCAAGGTGAGAAGAATTCCATCGAGCTAGGAGACTTTGCTTTGATCCACAACTAATGCAAGTGACACACCAGAAAGCCATAAGCTTCCTGAAAGTTTGTCTAAATGGCTGTTTCCTCTCAGCGGCGAGACTCGGCACCTTCCCACATTGCAAGTTTCGTTTGGATCGAATGACGATTTCTTCGCTTCCGATCAAGACGGGAAGTTGTCAAGTCGAGATGCGAGTCCACCCGCCGAGAAGAAAGCGCCGCCACCTAGGCTTGCAGATGTCGCAAGAGGGTTCATGAGGAGGAAGGCGCATACAATTTCAAGTCCTAAGCTTCCGGAAGATTTGCAAGCGAAGTTGGAGGAAAAGATTATCTCTCCGAAACTGGAACGAAGGAAGACTTTCTTGGACGGACAGCCAAGCCCGCGACCAGAACCGAACCAAACCGCCATACCACTAAGTCTGTCGCTACACAGGAGGAGGAAATCGAGAGGTGAAAGCCCTGGAAGAGAACAGACAGGAGGCCCTTTAAGCTTGTCTCTCCACTCGAGAAGAGATTCAAGAAGCGAAATGCCAAAGATAGAAGAAAGAAGACCTGTAGTAGAAAGCGTTGACTACTATCCTCCTCCGCTAGACACACAGGCGGAGCTGGCAAAAGCAGAACGGAGGAGAAGCCTATTCTCAGCTGCGGAGCGACAACAGCCTCCACCAGAAGTGAAGCGGGAAGAATCGATAGTTGAGGAAACCAGGAGTATCGTTCAGCCAAATCAGCCTCAGCTCACAAGACTCGACGCCAAGCCAGAATTCATGAAGTCAGAGCAACGCCGAAGTTTGCTTGTCGGAGGACCTTCTGTACGACCATCATGGCCCGAGAGAAAGACGCTTTTTATGAACAGAGAACGGATTTTAGCAGGCCGTGATAGCATTACAGCTATACCAAAGCCAGCATACGTCGACGCATGTGTCCAGACGGAGATGACAGATGCGGAGATCTGCGCTCATTTAAGCAGTATCCCTGTCCCGATTGCAATGCCAACCATCCCACTTCCTCCCCGGTCTTCAGTCGCGATTGGCTCAATGGCAGATTTCTTTCGTGGGCAATACAGTCTTGGAGATGCGTTGCGGTACGTGTGAGTAATCGTTCACAGTATTGATATCATCTCCGATATATGGACGAGAATAACTTTCGAGCAACAAGGCTGGGCTTCGTGGAGTTGGACGACAGCTCATGTCAAAAGCTGCAACAAGCCCGATAACTCCAACAAGAGGCCTGTCCCCATGAGGTAAAAGGCTCCAAATCTCACCCAGACTCGGTCGGAATGGTGAGACTCGGGAGAGGAACTGAACTAGACTCCGGGTTCAGAGAGGATTGGCGGTAGCAGAAAGAAAAGGATCGTGTTCGCCAAGCGCTGGCAGTTCTGAGGTGATAGAAAACGAATGTACCATCACGATTGTAAAATAGGTGACTTCCTGTAGATTAGTTACACCCGCTGGTGGCCCCAGTCCCGAGCAATGGAATCTGATATCCTCGAGATGTGGTCCTTACTGTTGAGGCGAAATCGCAAGGTCCGTTCAAATAAATTGGTATCCTATAGATTGTGGTCGTCCGTCATGTCTTGCATTTTGTCTCCGCCATGCAAGGCCAGTGGGTCGCTTTTGGGAACAGAACTCGCGGAGCTCAAGAACCCATGTGAATTGTCGAGACGGTGTGTTTACCATACTCAAAGTAAGGCTGCAGCTATGGGGCAAGGCAATCAATGTTCTTGGAATTGAGGTTGTAGATGACGGCTGAATGCAAAGGAGTTGTTTGATGTCGATACGCTAGCCTTATGAGGTTGGCCTGGATCTAAGCCTGAGGCATCCATTTCTCCTACATCCAGGCAATTCATCCTCGACTCGTTACTTCGAACGGCATCTCTACGGAATCTCTTCGAACCTGATCTTATGTGGTATTGTCGCTCGGTCGCTTATAATCTGTTAGGCCTTCGCCGCACAACTCAGTGTCCGCAGCTTCTCTCCATCGATCGACCCCAATTGAATCTCGAATATATCAGCTCCTTCGAACGATGACGATGAGCAGCAAGCACTTCCTTCCACGAAGGTCCCATTCAATTTCAACATGCGGGAATAAAATAATGGGGTCGCATATTGGTGAAGGCTAGCTGTGTTCAGCATGCACAATACAACAGACAACCAAGCACATGACGGAAATTCCTGACTCGAGTATCCAAATACTGCAGCTTCACTATGGTGAGACAGGAACAGTGCAAGATTTTCGGGACTTCCACGAAAATGGCGCTACAACACAATTGCATATTTCCCACGTTGTTGAGATTGCAAGCGGGCGAGCAAGGTCTCGTTGCGAATCACAACCACATTTCAACATCTGCCATGCTCTGCCCTTGGTTTCTCTCTGTCCCTTGTCTTCGAGTTACACTTCTTGGGCACCTGAAGTCAAAACATTGAAGGGTCTTTGATCATCTTGCTTTAAGCGTTTCGTGTTTCGGAATTGCCTGACACGCTTGAGTCAACTCAAATCGAGGCCCCAAAAGCCAGCTGACAATTCACATGTCAAAATCTCTACGGAAGTACTAGAAGCGACAGATGATGCCTATCAAGTGAGAGGTATATCATCAGAAAAAAGGGGACCTCAATCCCACTTCACACCCGCAACAGCCAGACCTGCACTGCTTCGGCTTATCGTTAATGTTGAGAGCCGTTGCTCTCCATAAAGTTATCGTAAGTACGCTACTAGCCGTTGGTCTTACCTTAGAGTAGAGTGATTGGTCTGCGTCAGTTCAACGTTTTGGGGTACGTGGGATTCGCCCATGTAAATTGTGGCAGCTGCTTTTTGTTGTAAAACATGTCCAAGCAAAGTTATGCCCAAAGGTTTCTTATCACGGCAATCAAAGATGTGGTGTGCTCACCCTTGTCTCATGCATATGCAGGGCCACATCAAGCCCCCATCACGATTCCTTACTTGCCACATCGTTATCTGGTGTGGCTGCAGATAGTCTTTTCCATAACAAACTTATAAGAGGTCATGGGGCGCTGAGCTTTCAACATTTGATTATTTTTTCGAAATCGCTACACCAATACCTTCCGTCAAAAGTACATGACAAGAATGGAGCAACAACCACAAGGGAGAGAGGTCCGTTTCAGCATCCCTTTCACTATTGAAGAGGTAAGATCTTATCAGAGTTAGTGCCTACTGTATATGATCTGACAATTCTAGGAAATAAAGCCTCTCTCCGAGAAGGATGTCGAGAAGGCCGCCGATCTTCCCAGGAAGCAAAAGTACGGCACTTTCGTCACAGGACGTCGTTTGCGCTCGAATGTTCTATCTTTCAAAGAAGAAAAGGCATCGTCGAGGATCTTGAAAGCCTTCGTAGCCTCCTTGCTGGTCGTCGGGACGATCGCGTGCTGCAGTCTTTTGATTTTGTTTGTTATTGGGTAGTTGATTTGAGATGTTCTTCGAGATTTGTCCCTTTCGACTCATCTAGAATGAGTTGTCTGAGTTTAGCTCGTTGAGAGGACGAGGCACGGGGATGGTCACGGGATGATGTACGATTCTGATGATGACGGCGACACGATACCCTTGTTTCTGATATTGTCTTTGAATGCTATATGTTCTGGGTTCCGCGGTTGTGTGGATATTGCTCGTTGTATATGGCGTGGAGAGACGAGTAGAGTAACTCAACACATCGCATGATCCTTCGAACTGACCAGAATTATTTCATCCTGTAAAAAAGCTCAACCAGTGTGCAAGGCTAGTTGCCGTCAACTTCCGATCGTTGATCTAAACTTCTGCCAACTACGCCAACGCCCGCAAAGAATTCCCTCTCTTCCTCCTCAATCGCGTTCCCAACATCCTCCATACTCTCAAACTCCACAGTCCAACACCTCCTCACCACAACCCCAAGACACCTCAACCCCTCCGTCGCTGGCATATCCCTCCTCCTCAAACTCCTCACAATCTCCTCCCTATCCCATACTCCAACTCCCCCTCCCAAAGATCCTTTCCACCCACCATATGGTAAATCGCGCACCCGGTCGCGAAAATCTCACTCCTCACACTAATTACCATATCCACCTTCTTTCCCTCTTCATCTCGATCCCGTCTCTCTTCGTCCCAAAGTTGACTATCGACAAATCAGCATGCATTCTCTAGGTTCCGAGTAGCTCATCCGAGGACTTGAGACCCATCCCATATGAAAAGGAGCTCCAACACTGATCTCCAAACCTCCCCTCCTAACCAGCAAGCACAACAAAAGCAAAATCCAACCTACTGCGTAAGTCTATACCACGAACACGACTTGTCCCCCCAAATACTAGCACCCGCCCAATCCGCAACCTGGAGATCCAACTCCCCCACCCTCTCCTCATCCTCCGACGAACTAAGCAAAAAATTCACAACATGAATATCCCCATGCAACACCCCCAATCCATGCGCATACGCCAACCCCTCCGTCGCTTGTCTCGCCCACCGATATAAATCCTTCACAGCAGGCAACGGACCAATTCGGTGCGCGCGGTATATGTATTCGTACATATCTCCGTGATCAGCGAATCCTAGTATTAGGCCGTGGGGAAAGAGAGGGGAGGGTCCGTGGTAGAAGGGTATACTGATAGGGAGAAAAGAAGAATAGAGGATGGTATAAGCTGTTGTTTCAGTAAGGTAATGGGTTTTATTAGATGGAGGGAAGAGTTTGAGGATTCTTTTGCGGAAGGAAGGGGAGGTGTAGAGGGTTGAGGTGTGGTCGTGGGCGTGGGCGAGGAGGGTGTAGTTGTTTGCTGCGAGGGTACTTTCGATGTCTAGTTCTTTGGTGGGGAAAGTGGATGGGGATTTGCTGGAGGTTTGGAGGTGTTTATCCATCTTGTCATTATGTTTTGTGTTGAAGAGGCGGTTGACAGTACAAGAATTGATGTTTCATATTCGTCCAGCTTATGTAGAATAGCTTGGAGTTACCGGTAGTCTTGCACTAGTGATTAGCCGAGCGGGAAAGGGGTCAGCTGCTTGAGTTGCGTTCGCACTTCGATAGCCAGATTAGGTAATGAGTTGTTAGCTTACGGCGCAGGCATCGAAAAAGATTTCGTGCTCTACTTGTGTGTTTTTGAAAGCCAGTGGCTGCAACCATCCACAGAGGAGTTCCGGGTGATGTTTCAAGATAGATCCGGTAGGTAATCGCAATTGAAATTGGGAATTCTTGCCATCAACCTCCTGGAGAGTCTTATTCCGCTTCACATACAACTAGTCACCAATCATGTGTATTGTCTATTTTGCTACGAACATAACTTTTTGGCATGCGTTGTCCTAACCAAAGTACTGCGAGGCAACAGCAAGTGTATACGTTGCTGGACTTTTCTTTCCATCCTTACCGACAGCTCTCAATCCAAATACCGCATTGTCTTTGCTGACCGGGATGATTGTTGTGTTAGCCAGTCCTACGTTTAGTGTGTGCGTCCACTGCTATTGTCAGTCTAATTATCGCTTCATCTCTTCAAGAAACTCACCTGCTGACTCGCCATGGGCCTCCAGACGACCTCATAGTAGTCGAGCAGGGGATCATCCGCAACATCCCAATACAGCTTGATGATATTCTCCAGATAGCTCGGTGGCGTATCCAAGCTTTCAGCCAAGAACCCAATGTTCGTGTCATAAGTAAAGTTGCTAGGTGTCGCAGGCGCATTCGCAATGCTCCACAAACTCAAAAGATTCACTTTACCAACTCTCGCCGTGTATTCAAAATCCACGTATTCAATCTCATCACCGTAAGTCACACTATCCTGTACTCGAGGATCCTGATGCTGGTGATAGAAATCCTCCTGTGGTTCCGTGAAGCGAACTGCGGGGAAACCAGCTGAGAGGAAAGACTCGTGGTCTCCGCCGCGGAAGAATCGATCGGGTTTGTAGATCAAAGCTACGTCCATTTCAGTCACGTTCGAGGCACCGGCGTTGACTTCTTGTATGTAACGGCCAAGGTGACGAGATGGAGTGTCGTCTTGGTAGCCGGTTGAGATGATTTCTTTGATGATGGACGAATTGATGGTAAGGTAGTCCGTTCCGGCGCCGAATACCCTGATGGTGTGTTGATTCTGTGGAGAGAAAGGAGCATTGGATCCGCTACCAACAATGTCATCGTTGAAGTTGGCTTGTACATTTCTTGAAGCGTTTTTGACTATCATGTGTCAATAACATTCAGCAGCTAGGAAGGGGATCCCACGTGTCTGTGCAAGAAAATTGCTTCCATAAAGACCCTGCTCCTCTCCAGAAACAGTAGCAATGATGATACTCGCCGCTGGAGGAGTTTTTGCCACAACTGGTGCAAGAATTCGGATCATCTCCAAAGCAATTGCTACCGCACTAGCATTATCATCAGCTCCAGGAGCATCGCCAGTATAGTCACTGTTGTTCAATCGTCTCGAATCATAATGTCCCGTATAAACATAAGTTCTGTTCGCATCCACAGAACCTTTGATCTCGACTTGCACATTGCACACTTGCGCCGCAATTGGCATTCCACTCCTCGGAACAGCAGCTTGCAAATAGCAAGGCATAGAGACATTCATCATCCCGTTCGATGGTTTTGCCAATTCCGTCACCTCGTTCATGAGCCATATTCGCGCAGCACCGATTCCTCGCGTCGGACTTGTTGTAACTGAAGCTGTGTGCCTGGTACCGAAGTTCACGAGTGTTTGAATTGTGGTTTGGATGCGGGCGGGGTCCATTTGTTGGAGTAGCGAGAGAGTTTCCGAGTCGGTTGATTGAGGCACCAGGACTTCGCCCACGCTTGCTGGAGGCCAAGTTCCGGCTCCCCAATTGGCAAATCCATTACTTCCAAAGCTGATTGAAGGTGTGAAAGTATATGTGTCTTGAGCAAAGGCCAGACTTGCTCCAAGGAAGCAGGCGAAGATTCGCGTAGTCGCCATTGTCTCGAGATGCTAAGGAAGTTGACTTCAATGCGGCTCCGAAGTCTCTGGAAAGGACTTTTATTTGGCCGATGGCCAAGAATAATTCTTCGTCATGACTTTTTCAAAGTTTCCTGGTAAGGAAGTTTGATAGGAAGGACACTCCCGGGATGTCCCAGTCCGGAAGGTCGATATTTACCGGGCTCGGCTAGCTGCGATTGTGAGAGATAGAGATTGCGGGGGAGGGGAGATCCACCAACCATATCGTTCTTACTTCATGATCCTTGAAACTATGTTGAATCTTTAGCTAATGCTCTTATGATACAAAATATTGTCAATTAATCGGATTGAATTATTCATTGGGTTAGAGAGATTCTCCTCTTGCCGAATCTCTTCTTAACTTGCTTGACAAATGAGTAAGAGTTTCTTAGCTCGGATGAACTATCATCAGCGAAAGCTAGACATATACTGGTATAAAGAAATCTGATTGATTAGCTACACATTTTGTGACTGCTGGTACCTCATATCGACTTCTCCTTGAAGTGGTTGACTCGAACAGCCAAAAGCTCACTGACATGTAACAAACCCAGAGGCACCAAAAAATCCCACGCGAGCATTTGAACAACATCTCGTTCTCATTGATCTCTCCTTATGTTACTTTCCACCCACTACCAGACCCCGCTGCAGTGACACCTATCCCATATTTCCATTTCCCGCAGATTCACCAACAGTCATATCGTCGCATATCAACCTCAAAAGGCGGTGCTGCAGCCTTTGCATCTCTTGTGATTAGAGAAGTGGTTTGTGCAGTTTGCCTCCCCTTTCCTCCTAAAACTGTTACATTTGCAGCAGTACCAACCAGGAATAGTTCCTTTCCCACGTCTGCTGCTCGTGCTTTGACCGCAGTCGACTAGGCAAGGTATTTCGTCCGAGAAGTGCATTGTGTGTTTGTTTGAGAGGTTGCAAATTTTGCTTGTGGGGGGAAGTGGTGTCTTGAATGACTAACTTGTGTGCGATAAATCTTGCCTGTGGCTGAATGTCGACCGAGGATGAAGAATAACTCTGTTTGAGGATGGGAGAAAGAGCACAGAATTGGAGGCCGTGGTGGTTTTTATAGACATGAATAAGTTGGCTGAGTGCAAAGTCTGTGAAGAGACTCAAAGCCGTGATTCAATTGCAGTTATCATGAATGACAATATCTGAAATACCCGAGTAATAGATTGAGTAATTCTGAGAACACATGGATTGCAGTCAACAAGGCCAGCAGAGAGTCCATGCATAGAATGGAGATCCACGTCACAATCATGCCATCTCTCATGTCCTTGACTCCATCAAGCGCTCCCAGAAACCATCCATGCAGCACGTACTCGAGCTTCAGCGCGCTCATATCACTCTTGTGCAACGCTCACATCTCTGATGCCGGGGTCTGTGTCTGAAACAAAACTGTGCATCTTCACCACGCCAGATGCTGCATTTGCAGCATTCCCACTTGCCACGGCCGTAATCGACCAGGATGGCTCCTTCGTCTGGAAGAAATTTCTGCCATCACCAAGTCTTATCTTCGCACTCTCCACAGCGCCAGTGTATCCGACTATGATGCGAGCAATGAAACACTACGTAGCTATTGTAGTTCTTGCACTCGCAGCAATACCAACCAGGAGCGCTCACGTAGTCGTCTGGAAGAGGTGCCGTCGACATTGTTGACGACCTCTGGATGTGCTCGCTTGGTATCTATGAACGTGTTTGTTGATTGAAGACGTTGACACTGTTACTCGTCGAGGGCCTATGAAAGAGAGACAGAGGATAATATCGCATTCTGAAAGAGCCGGTAGAGTGTGATCAAGAGGAAGTACTTGCTTGTTAATGGAACTGTGAATGGCATTCGAGCGATATGAATAGAATGGAGGACAGTCAGGACCAGCAATGAAAGCCAACCATGAGAGCTAACGTTCTGAGAACATTGCTTTCTGTTGAGCTAGATGATATGAATCATGCCACTGAGGATGAAGTCAGTAGCATACAGTGCGATAAATTTCATGAGTGTTATGGCCAAGCCAAAAAATACTTCCCGTACATGGACTCAGTAACTGAGCTTTCAGTCTTTTTGGTGCTGTGATTCCAAACTCACTCTTCAGCGCCGCAGAGTCACTTAACCGATCGCGACCTCTAGGCTCCTGCAATACTGTAACAGACCGCTTCCTTTTGATACACCTTCTCTTGGCAACTGGAGAACTCCGTAATTGCTACCACTCAGCTGAGCAACATGCCAAGACTTGAGCAAGTTTCTCTGAAACCCTCACGAGTATTGACGGACTAGCCCATCGAGCCACACTCGTGTTGTATACTCCTTTCAATGCCGTCGTAACACAGATATCATTCACCATGATGATGATTTGCTATCTCCCTTGGGTGTGGCTGGGAGGATTGTGAATGGCTTGCATCCAATATTTCGTGCCAAGACGGAACCTACCTGGGTAGATTTGGAAGCGATTGAGTTGGCGAGGCTGGCAATATTATAAGTAGCTACCCACGATGCAAAGGTCTTTGTTTTGAATCATAAGAGAAAATCGAGACTTCAGAAATATCTGCGAATTCGTTGCCCACTCCAGTCGTTTTTGACTCGACTTCGAATAGTATTCGAAAGATCTTTATTCACAAGCACCCAAGTATGGCCCTCAGACCTGGTCTTGATGATTGGACATGACTAATTGCTAAACCCCAGAATGTCCTCTTCAGACAACCAATTGGTTCGCCGGAACCAGACATCAAACCCCGGTCTAGGTAGGCAAGAACTTTTCTGAACTCCATGGGTTATCCACTGACACTTGTGAACAGAGATCGCCAAGGTTGCCATCCCAGCAGTGGCTGGCATTGCGACTGCCGCAATCGCCTTGAAGAAGCTATCCAACGAAAGAGAGGCGCGAATGGAGCTTTGGGAACGAGAGGATGATGTGCGGGATGCGGATAGAGATGATGCGGTGATTGGAACGCTTCTAATTGGCGGGTTGTACGTCTTGAAGAAGATTTTGGATTAGACTGGGACTGTTTCGGGATGTAGACAGTGATTATTCGTCCTCTGTACACTTCTTGGTAGCTATTTTATAATTTCAAGAGCCAGAACTTTGTGTTTCAACGTATCTGTCAGGCCGCTTCGGCACTCTCATGCTGAATGAATTCAACGTGGGCACTTGCCTGCTGAACGTGGAAAAAACAGTATATCCTCAGTACGAATAGACCTGACAGGGCTCAGCATGGCATCCATTGAGGAAGACCATGACGTTCACTTAGACCAGAGGGCCTATCTGCATGGCATCCAAAACGACAGTCACTCGACATTTTCTAGTGAAAGTTTTCCCAGCACTCTGCTTACTTGTCAGCAGATAAGAATGGTCCAAAACTTCGATTGCGATTTTGTATCGCTCCTTCAAGTGTATGATCAAGCATTCGACACAAGCGGACAACAACCTATCCACTTCCCCTCATCCAACTCATTCAGAATCCACCTAGCCAACCGGCCTCGATCCAAAAACAGCCCATCTCTTCCCTTCTTGTCGCCCACATACGCCGCATTAACCTCACCCTTACTCTCGTTCAAATCCTCTCCCCTCAGCAGAGGCACACGAAACGCTGTCCACTTGATCTTCTCGCCCAAAGCTACTGTTTCTTCCGTGAAGCCAACAATCTCCTCGTAGGTATCTCCACCAATGACTTTAACATAGCAGTTGACAGCCACCCACCACTTGAAAGATGCAGTATCTTCGGGAGCAGAATAAGAGGCAGTCGAAAGGACGAGGACTCGTTTCGTGGTACCGTTCGAGAGGAGGAGAGGAAAGAGGGTCTTGAAAGCATTCGTAATAGGCTACACAAAGTCAGAACTGCTCAACATCCTGTCGCAAACACTTACAGTCCCTTCTCGCTTTCCCATAGTTGGACCAGCCAAGGATAAGAAGACATCCGCACCACAACCAGCAGCTTTCCTCAACCCTCCCTCATCTCCAAGCTCGCCTTGAATAACCGACAACCTAGGATTCGCAAACAGAGCTGCGGGGATCTTCGAAGGTGTCCGAACATACACCGTCAATGTATGACCTGCTTCCAGCGCAGCGCGCACGAATATCAACCCGCAGATGCCGGTCCCTCCCAGCAGGAGAATATGGTACTTCGTCTCTAGCTGCATCGTATTTTTCGTTCTTTTTGCGAGAATGAAATATGTTGCCAAATAACTGGCATCTGCTTCGTTTACGTCATGATGATAAGAAATAATGTCTTCCCCAGGAAGTGACTCAATGTCCGAGCGATCCAGATTCACCGTCTCGTCTCGTCTTGTGTCACCGTCTCGTGTTCGTGTGAGATTGACTGAAACCCCATGAGAAAATGCCACTTCCCTGCATAAAAATACCCGCGCGTCTGCAGCGGCAAGCTTATCTAAAGTTGCATTACATCAACAGTGGGTGCACGAATTATTTGCGCACAGACCAGCAAAATCCAAAAACACCAACTTTTGAATATTTCATCAAATTATAAATCTCTTATAGAATTATTTTATTTCGAAAATGAGATTAGATAGTCAATAAGAGTATACTATTAATTAAACTAAATATATTTAGACATATTTCTTAAATTATTTAAGCACACTATACTCATATATACTCGGGCTATTACTACTAAGACAAATAATTATTATTTTAATTACATGTGAAGTGCAAAACTTATTCATCGAGTGAATATCTATCCTGATATCAAACGCTGGATCAATCAATTCATAGATGGCGTTGCTATATGTCCGTAAAGTTGGTGAGTTTAATGGTGTTTTGGTGAGGTTTCCTCGCTAATTTCAGGGTGCGCAAATAATTCGTGCACCCACTGTTGCATGACATAGTCTCGTGCCGTAAGCGGAAAACTTTCCGGTCTAAAAGCAAAAATTGCACACCCGACCCTCAACCTATCACGACCGAGCTGATATAAGACAAGGGCCTCACATTCACAGACACCATTTCACGACCATTTTGTTTCCTTCTTCATTCACATTATCTGAGAGGGCATTTGGGAATATTGTCGCGATGGCTTTTGTGTTGCAAAGTGCGTGGATGGGCTTATCGGGCCCGCTGACGACGCAAGAGGCCTTATCTGGGATCTTTGGCAGTATCAGTTTGGCGACGTGGATATTTTTGCTGGTGGGTGGCGTGACGTCAGAAATGAGGATATACTGTTCCGGGGACTTTGCTGACACTGGAATAGATTCCTCAACTCATTCTTAACTACAAAACGGGGAAGGCGGAAGGAATTTCGCTGGCTTTTCTGTTCGTTTGGCTGGTTGGAGATGTTACTAACCTTGCTGGTATGTCTTGTCCCTTGAATAAGCCTGATGGACCGAGGGCCTCTTGCTCAGGTGGAGATTTGCCTTATCAGACTATCCATGCTACCACATTGTCCTCAATTTCTTATGAGCACGTGACCGTACTTACACATTACAGGCGCTCTCTGGGCAGATCTCGTACCAACCGTCATCGCCCTAGCCTTCTATTTCTGTCTAGCAGACTTCGTACTCATCACCCAATGTCTATACTACAACCACATCAACGCCCGAAGAGCACGCCAAGCATCCGTAGCATCCACCGCAACCGAGGAGGAACCACTCCTCACCCGTCGCCGAAGCAGCGATACTCTCGGTCTCCCTGGATCTCACCGTCGTCGTTCCTCTGCTAGAAGTGGAGGGAGGAGAGACTCTCTTACTAAGATCTTGGAAGAGGACGAGGAAGATGGAAATGCCTGGATGAGAAATACGTTGAGTATCTTGGGCGTTATTGCCGTTGGGGCCGCGGGATGGGCTATCGCGTGGCAAAGCGGCGTTTGGACTCCTACGCCAGAAGATGGGGGAGATCTGGATGAGGCTATGAAGACTGCGCTTGGTGCGAAGATTCTGGGGTATGCGAGTGCGGTTTGCTATCTTGGGTGAGTTGTCTCGGTGCAATCACGTGAGTCAATAGTGCTGATATGATGCAGGGCACGAATCCCACAGATTGTGAAGAATTATAGAGATAAGTCTTGTGAGGGACTGGCGCTCTTGTTCTTCTTACTCTCTTTGATGGGGAATGCTACGTATGGAGCGAGCATTCTTTGCCATTCGGTCGAGAAGGATTACATTAACACGAATCTACCGTGGTTGATTGGCAGCTTGGGGACAATGGCTGAGGACGCTATTATCTTCATCCAGTTCAGGATGTATTCCTCAAAACCAAACTCGTCTGCCATCGAGTAGACTATGTATGTTGGGGGCCTGTAGTGGGTAATGCGGAGTTGTAACAGTATTGAGAGTTGCATGGATTCAAGGCGTTTGCAATGTAATCATGGCGGGGGCTGTTTCGATTGTTCTGTACCACTCTAAGATGTGTACCAGTTTTTGCATCAATCCATTTGCATTATTACACTTCAGGGGCTATTACACTTCAGGGGCCAGGAATTAATGATGCTTAATTCAAGACGTAACACGAGGCTCTTGTCGACGCCCGATTGTAGTGAAGCAGCCACAAAGTGGCGGAGTTACCAGGTCAGAGAATTCGGAAAGAGCGACACACCACAACGACCATTTGATGTAAGTTACATCCAACTCGCAAACAACTTCTCTGTACAACAACTTGTCGACTAGCATCGCACGCAGAAGTTCATATCCAAAATGTCCGCCACACAAAACTCATCCGAGCCTCGCGACGACGACCGACTTGTGCCCGCTTCTACACCCGTTCAGTGGGAAGGAACAAACGCGCAGCCTTACGCAGGCCACAACTTGGAATTCGCGTCTTCTCTTAGGGAGACAGCCTCGTATCCTGCCGACACTGACAATGTCTGCGACAAATGCCGCGAGATAGACTTCCAAAAAATCGTGGACGTGAGTTTTGAGAGTCTTCACAATGCAGCCCGAGATGGCATCTTGATTGCCGATCTTGGGACGAAACCGACGAACGGATGTCCTCTATGCAGGTTCTTCTTTCGCCATCGATGTTCGTTAACATATCCTGCCCAAAAACGATACCAGCTGAGAGTGTTCTCATACCTGAAGTTTACAGAGATAGTCCGCTTTTCAGCGATTACTGAGAGCAGCAAAAAGCGAGTCTTGCATGATATGCCATGCTTAGGCGTTTTACTTAGTGGAGAGGAGGCAGACAAAGCGGAATTCGAACATACAGGCCATATTTTTCTCTTACATGAGTCCCAAAGATACAATCAAAGCTTCTTCGAGCCAAAGCTTTTACGACCGTGCTTCGATCACGAGCTTGCCAAACACTGGCTAGATTACTGCTCCAAGAACCATAAATCATGTCAGGATGATGCAGATGAAGTCGAGGTTTTGAAGCTCATCGATTGTAGCCTCAATAGTCCTGCCGTCGTACCTGCTCCGAGAGCCGCCAAGTATATAGCTTTGAGCTATGTTTGGGGGTCTCCAAAAAAACTCCCGGACGTTCAAACCGCAGACTTGTCCCCAGACGACTCGAAGTTCTCTAAAACTATTCGAGATGCCATCACAGCGACCCAACAATTGGGAGTCCAGTACTTGTGGGTTGATAAACATTGCATCAACCAGGACGACGCGCAAGAAAAGCACAACCAAATCAGCAGGATGGACAGAATCTATAGAGGAGCTGTTGCTACAATTATTGCAGTCGCAGGGAACAATGCCGACCATGGTCTGCCTGGAGTCGGAGATACTTTCCGAGAACAGCAGCCCGTTGCAATCTGTCAGGATTTCACGCTTATGAGCACTATGACACACCCACACAGCTCGATTACAAGTTCCTCATGGAACTCTAGAGCATGGACCTTCCAGGAATCTGTGCTCTCGCGCCGTCGTTTGGTCTTCACCGAAAACCAGATCTATTTTGAGTGCGATGTAATGAATTGTGTCGAGAGTCTTCCCCCGCGTTTGGACCTCGTCCACGAGACTCCAGACTCGATGTATAAATACTTTCATGCCGGAGTTCTGGGTGGCCGAGAGCGCTTCAAATATCCTTCTGTACAGACTCTCAGATCATCTTATAGATGGAAGGTAGCTCGTTACAATAAACTAGTAAATGATTACAGAGATAGAACTCTGAGTTACCATACCGATGCCTACAACGCCTTTGCGGGGATAGACCGACATCTATCGCAAAACGAAAAGTATCCTCGATTCTGGACCATACCGCATGAAAGTGAATGCAACTTTGTTTACGGGCTGCTTTGGTATCACATTGTTGATGATTGGGACGAGCCCGCATCTCTACCACTGCCAGTCTGGAACCCTAAGAGCAAAGAAAACAGCTCGAGCGATTATGTGCCTTCCTGGTCGCATATCAGTTGGCGTGGTGGCGGCACTATAGTGGTTGATGACTATTTAACGCAGTCAGATGAAGACACTATTCTTAGAGACCTTTCACTTGAGTTTAATCTGAAAGAGAAGACTTCAGTTGAACCTGTTCAGTGGTGGATAGAGAAGTTCTCTAGAGACGACATCTCACTTCCAGCAGCCTTGCATTTTGAAGTTCCAGTTCTAGACGCAAAACTTTTCGCAGTGGATATCTCGGGGCAGGGAATCAAGTTCCACAATTTTGAAATATTTTGGCACTTGTCTGAGAATTTGCCAGATGTGAATGCTCTATGGTGTCGTATTTCTGGTGGAGAAATAGAGTTACTACTTTGTTTAGCCCAAACTCGAAGAATGTTCGATATATATCTCGACTGCCTTGTCACACAGAAACATCCCTTTTTTTCGACGCGTATTGGAACCGCGTATATTAATATACTGGATAAGGAGGTGCCACTGCATCCGGATTTTGTTCCTAGTATTTCGCAAATGCAGAAGATTCGGTTGAGATAGACTAGTTGCAATGTATTCCTTGACACGAAGAAATCTACTGGATCCTAGTAACAATAAATTTCAGTATTCTTGCGTCTCTACCTAGGTATGTAACTTCTTTCGGGTCATGACCGAGCTCTTCAAATGTGCGCAATTGAGCAGTGTCAACGCTCCATTTGGTTCCTGTCGTCTCGCCAATCAACGCCCACATTCTTCTCCAAGACTCAGCATCCTGTTTCATCCAATCATGCGTCTTGCGACCTCCATCCCAATCCTGCTTACTCTTACCACCAGCAGTGCCCACCTGAAATCCAACCACCATACCTCCCGGCCGCACAAGCAAGCTCAGCTCCTTAGCCGCCGCAACCTGCCCCTCCCACTCCCACTGATGCAGAACATGCGTTACTGACAGAATATCTACCTTTCCCACTAGTTCCTCCAGATCGGTACTAAGATGAAGGACATTTCCCTCCATAAACTTGGCGCTTAATTTATCTCCATTGCGAAACATTTCGTAGCCAAGATCCCAGTAATTCACAATATCGACGCCGTATAGATTGGTTGCTGGAGCACCATCAAGCACCAGTCGACGAAGATCTTGACCTAGATAGCACCCGATGTCAAGGAGGGAATCGCCGGCTTTGAGTCGCGCGATGATGGTTGGGTATGCAACGGATTTGGCGAGCATTGAATCGAGGAAATTTCCCATGCCAGTGCATGGGTAGGGACGTATTGCCCATGCTTTGTCACGCTGGAGAAATGGTAAGCTATATTTTTGAAGGTTTCAAGAAAGCAAAATGAGGGCTCACAATATTGTGCACGTGTTGGCTAACATCCTCAGGGGCAACGCTGCTGTAATCTTTCAACAGTCAGCGGATCTGGGCACTGTTGGTTATCAGATCAGCGAATTCAGAGAAGATTTATCACCTGAGGTGTTATTTTGTAGTCCAAATTAGGGATATAGAAAGGGAAATTTGTGTTCGGTTCAAGTGTCTTGAATGTGTCCGAAGCCATTGTGAAAAAGACTTGAAAAGATGGGACAGTGAAATTATCCGTTCTTTATATTTTATGTTGGAAAAGCTCGAAACCAAGAAAGCTCATTTGCCTATATGCCGACGGTATTATCGAATATGGTAACTCGTACTTCAGTGCCAACAAGGCTATTGCAATTGCTTGGAAGATAGGTAACCGAGAGCAAGCGACAGCCAGCTATGTCTTGACGAAACGAAAATCCCAACAATCCAGCATCTGCGCCCCTTACGCTACATTGTATCCTACTCAACCAGATTGGTGTAACCGAGGCTTGCGAGCAGGTGTTTGATACACACCTTTCGGTCGTCGCCGCATCTTAGTATTTGGATACACTGTCCAAAGATAAAGCTAGGAACGATTTCTCATGCAGAACTCCGAACCCTCCTCCCTTTGCTCCACGGACATCTCGTAAGTTGAAATATAGGTACAAGTCTCGAAAATCTCGCAAGAAAAACCCACCCAGAAAGACAGGTTTGACTCTTAAACTAGACCCGAGTCTGACCACTCACTCTGGCTCTGAATTGATGAGCATGAATTCTGGTAGGCTCAGAACTGTTACACAGTGAATATGCGAGAAGTGGGCGTAAGGATATCTGATTAGTTGAAGCCTTGTAGTGGGCGTCTGAGAAAGAGAAGAAAACTCTAAGTCAAGGGCATTAACGTCTAGCGCGAGCGCTCGCCAACAGATTGAAGAAGATCGCTTTCCGGTTCCACACTCGCGCATCATAGTCATCAACTTCAGTCGCACCCCCGAACTGAAGACTGCTGGGATTGACGCAGGGGCTGGATGGCATAGCCTGTGAATGTGGGATTCTGGCTCCGAGCTCGGGCGAAAGGGTTGTTGATTGCTTGGCTGATGGAGAAGTCACCCATATGAATCGACGCTCCGAGTTCTCTGGGGTTGTTGAGGGATACTTGAGCGGCGGTGGCGGAATGTAGGCATATGGACGTGAAGTTCGAACTTCAACAGCCTTTGAGGATATTGCTGCAAATGATGAACTATGTTGTTTGTCTGTCGTTGGAAGGTCCTCTCCACCTGTCTGGGCTCGGATTAATGAAGCAGATGATTCCAAATCTTCGTCAACCACATCTTCTATCGTAGCAGATTGATATTTTGTTATTTTAGCAACATGTCCAGTGTACATTGGCAGGATATTCAACTCGTTGCTAGACGTTGACGAGTCTATCGGAGGAGAGGTGTGGTCGAGCTCAGGAGTGGGTGAGACTATAGACTTGGGTGTGAAGATACTGAACGCCGGAGAAGGTGCTGCAAAGTCCACCGTTAGCTCAGGCGAAACGAAGACATGCGTTTACGCGTAACCATTAATTGGACTATTCATTTCCAGTAGATCCTTCTCCGAAATGGCATGTCTTTGCAGGAACCGGTCTATGTTCTGGTCCCTGACGAGTCTCTTATGGACGCGGAAAGAGCTCTCCTTGCCCTCGAATACCTTGCGCTTTGCTTTCTTTTGCGCAATTTGCACCATGGTCTCGCGTTTCAGATTCTTGATATCTAGGCCCCATTTTGGTAACCTGCTTTTCAATTGTTTTTCGCTACGAGTCAAGTTAATTCTGGACAGGGACTTTGAGTTGGCAACAAAATACCTCGCTGTGAAGCCAAATCTAGCTGCAGAAGGCTGATGACTTCTTTGAGAGATTTGTCTTCTGTGACGTACAAGCGCTCGATATTCAACTTTTGCGCCTCCCAATCTTCCTCCGAGTGCTTAGGAGCTTTGACTCTAGCAAAGAAGTTGGTGTGACTCGACATCGTGTAGATTAGGCTGAGAAAAGTGCTGGAGTCGCTTTGAGATTCAAAGATTTCTCGGTGAGGAACCTCCTTCTTTTCACTGCTGGGTGCGATAATGTAATATATTAGCGTTGCATGACACTGAGTGCTTTATTGGTTGGACAAAAGTTCCAATCATTGTGGCGCGAACAGTGAATTGTCATAGGTGAGGAATTTGGAACTTTGTCAAGCGACAAGCTAACTAAATCTGGACATTTCCTTTCTATTGATAGGTATTTTAGACAGAATAGGAGACGATGGAGTAGATTAGTGACATAATTAAAGAAGTTAAAATTGCCATAAATGCCAGACTAGTGAGCCATGACCTCCATCACGAGTGTCACGACTAAGTGAGAGCATACTAGAATGAAGCAAATCATCGTAAGCTACAACCAAACGTTATTTCTAGTAGTAAAAAAGTGCATAAGACAAAACTAAGATGCTAGAATGCACAGGTGACATAGATCCTATCACTCGTTTAGCTCCCTCGATCTGATGTTGAATGTTTGAGACGGACGCATTGGTCTAACCGAATCCGCTCGAGCTACAACAAGCTTTGAAAGTCAAGCTTCCGCACTCGAACACATTTTGACTTATTATGAATTACATAAAATTTACTTCTTGAATCTTGACACAGTCATACGATAATCGTCGCAAACACGGTTACGGGATCGTGGTACTTGGTCAAGGTTATTGCGTCACCATAATGCAGATAACGCCATTCTTGCGCGCTCTCTGGAGTCAAAAAGGATTCTTCTCTATAATCTACTCGCACTTTCCTTGCATTTTTTGCCTAGCTGCGAAGAACCATCAACAATGGCAATCTACCAAACCATCGATCACTCCAAGTCATTCCAAGGGCAAGCGCCTTGGGTGCAAGCCCCACCTCTTGGGAATACAGTACTGCCCGCTCCCGGGAAGCATACTGCGACCATTATCCTCCTGCACGGATTTGCCAATAGCGGAGCTGCTTGGGTACCAATTGCAAAACATTTGCAGTGAGTCTCGTGTCCCCATGGGCTATGGCTTTAATCTCCAGTTCCTGACCTATGATATTTGTGTGAATACAAAGAACCTCCCAACCCCACATAAAATTCATTTTACCCAACGCATCTATTATCAAGGTTCATGTTCCTATCGCAGGAGCTCCTGGTGAAGCCGAGCTCCCTGCATGGTGGGATCCTCTTCTCGCCGGTGGGCTGCGGGAACGTTGGAGTGGGAGGGATACGCCAATCGGGGACGTTGAGGGGTTCAAAGACGCCTCCGGGAAAGTTGAGAAGATTATCGAGGAAGAGTCGAGGCTTGTTGGGCCTGGGAGAGTCTTTCTGGGAGGATTGTCGCAGGGCACTGTCTTGAGTCTAGCGGTCGGATTAGAGAATGATAAGATTGGTGGCATTATTGGTAAATCCTTCCACATCTTTTGTGCCTGGAGAGAGGTAACGGTATGCTGATGTTATGATCTTGTGTTAACAGCTTTATCTTCGTCTCTTTCAGTGCCAGATTCTCTCAAGTCAATTGGAACACCACAACCTTCGACGCTTAAGAAGGCTATCTTCTGGGCTCACGGTACAGCCGACTACCTCCCCATTGATTTTAAGGTCTCGACCGTTCCACACTAACTTTCTTTTGCTTACTATTTTGACGCAGGGGCAACTCAATCTGTCGACTATCTTGTTAACCATGTTGGGTTCAAGAAGATTTCAAGATATGATGCACCGACGGCTGGGACTATTACATGGAGCTCGTATGAAGGATTGAAACACGAGACGAATATCGAAGAGCTTGAGGATATCCAGAACTGGTGAGTACTGCCATTGTTCAACTGCGCATTCGTCCAAAGTAATTCCAAAAGGCTTTCGGTTGTATTAGAATGAGCTGTGACTTTGCAATCTCAAGCCCTCGGGGCAATTTAGAGCAGCAAGAAATCAGGTCTCGAAATGGAGAAGAGAGTGTCGATCTCGGGAACGAGGGGCTGAGGTTACGGTACCGACAATTCGGGTCGGACGGTTATTGTTTCGGATCTGCAGCTGGCCTCCACGACACAAGTTGCGTTGCAAGACTGTTTGAAACCCTCGAATGAATATTTCGTTTGATTTCAATTCATTAGTAGTACTTTTCTTATGGAGAAAACTTTCAGTTCCTCTTATTCATTTTTTCGTCCATTTTTGTTCCACTTTTCGGTTTGCGCTCCCCCCTTTTTTCCCTTCTCGCTTCCACTGTGGAACTTGCGACCATGTCTTGCATCGAGTCCATGAATGGAGACAAAGGTATGAATTGAGCCCGAACATTTGCTGAAAGAAAAGCTCGTCGCTGATGATAACAGACGACTCGAAGACTCAACTGAGCGACATCGAGAGGAGCTTTCATTCGATAAAAGGACAGATCTCAGGGAGCTTTTTGAGATTGGACGGCTCACCCTATCACGAACCACTCGTGACGCTCCTTGTTGGTATTGGGTTCATCCTGCATAGCTTTGGCATCTTCCTGGCGATTTCCCAAGTTCGGATCCAAACCCTGGTATCTTTATATGTAAGAATCTATATTCCGGTCTTCAATTGCCACGTTTAAAATGCTGTCTAACAAAAACAGAGCAAAGACAAAGTACACGCAGTGGATAAGTCCAATGCGGTCGCTCTTTGTGACGCTGAACCGAGTGGACATGTTGCCAAAGCCAGCGATATACAGCCCGCCTCCCCTACGTCTGAATCGACAAGTGCAAAACCCACATTTTCACCAAAAGATATCATCTTGAGGAGATTGACTATGTTGAAGGAAGAACGACATGTTGCGCCAATGATCTTTAAAACCGCAATCAGTCAAGACACCATAACCTGTATTTATCTGATGATGGCTGGCGTTGACTGTGACATACCCGGCCCTTGTGGTAGAAGCTTAGCTCACATCGCGGCAATGACTGGGAACCTTTCACTACTCACATACGTGATTATATCTTCACTCATGATTTGGTCGAAGTGTAGCCAAGGCAAAACCCCTTTGGATTATGCTGCGTTCAACAACCACCTGGAAATTGTTACATTCCTGATCGAGGATAAACACTTTCCCCTTTTCACAGATGATGAGAAACTCGCAATCCTAGAGCGCTCTTCCGATTTTGCTCAGAGTCGAGGCCATATCAGCGTCGCAAATTACCTTTCGGAAAGAAGTCAATGTATCCGGCTCGCACGAAATGAGGAACTCTTCCTGGATGCCGTGTCCAAAAACAACCTTAACAAGGTAAAAAGGCTGCTCAAAGAAGGCATCAGCGAGAGGTCAGCAGTATCTGTCGCTTGCAAGAAAGGATATCGATTTATCCCTTTGGTATCCATTCTTTTGTCATCCACCATTAATGGCTTCTTCTACGATATTGGCACGGCAATCAACTATGCTTGCACGTCGGAACAGAAAGATTTTCTTGTGTTACTACTTTGTAGTATCGACGACGACTCTCAGAGGGAAATCGAAATGGAAGATGCCTATCGACACTCTCTCGCGTCTGGCAAGTTAGAGATATGTCAATTTCTGGTTTCGTGTGGGGAACTCGATATCGAATATGCATTCAGAACGGCTGCCGACTATACAAACCAATATCTCCTTCAGTGGTTAATCGAAGAGGAAACGGCAGATAGATTCCATGGTGCACTGATCAATCGCGCGTTCCATACCGCAGTGTTATCCCGTCCCACTGTACCCTTTGTCAAATTCTTGGTCGAGAACGGAGCTGATGTCAATTCAAAGCAAGCCATCTGGGGAACTGCCCTACAATGTGCAGCAGCGAAGGACTGCCTTGATCTCGTTCATTATTTGGTATCAGAAGCAGGCGCTGACATCAACGCCCATGGACAGTTCGGTGGAAGCAGTCCCATGATGGCGGCCATTTCAGGGGGATACACTTTCACATTCCGGTACTTTCTCCTCAAATTTAGATTTTGTTTCAGCGAACAACATGGTGTCTTTGGCAACGTGTTGCAGACTGCGAGCTATCTTGGGAGGCGGGAAATCTTGGAGGATATATTAAGCAATGGCTTTGACATCAATGCGCGCCGTGAGCCTTACGGAAGTGCTCTCATCATGGCGATCCAAGGAGGACACTTCGGTATTGCCGAGTTGCTCATTTCTCGAGGTGCCGATGTCCACTTGAGCATTCCCAAATACGGTACTGCATTGCACCTCGCAGCTGCTGCAGGGAGAGAGAATATTGTCAGGTTGTTGATTCAAGCTGGGGCCGATGTGAACGCCGAGGGAGGTGATTTTTGTACACCACTTCAAGCCGCCGCAGCGAACGGGCATCAGATGGTGGTATTGTTTCTGGTAGACTGTGGTGCCCAGGTCAATACGCAAGGAGGAAAGTATGGAAATGCATGGTCGGCTACTCGAGAAGAGGGTAATAGTCCATTGAGCGAGTTTCTACTTTTCTCTGGAGCAGCGGTCATCTAGAGGAACTTGTAGACTGTTGGAACGACAGATACTAACAAAAGTTCGTCTATCTCAAACATACTCTATACCATGTACTAAGAGAAAAGTTCACTCTTCGCATTATTCTCACTAACATATCCCCTCCAGAGCAAATGTGAGCCGCGCACCAAAAATGCACCTCAATACTAAACATCTTCCAAGTATTTCAAACCTAATCTTGTGCCAGTTAAATAGAGCTCCTGAATGCGTGGGTATGGCCTTTTGTTGAACATGCTCAATGCTTTCATATAAGACATTAAATAGGGAAGGATTTTTATCGGTCAACTAGATAAGATGGCAACCTCCGCTTAATCGAAAGCATAACCCACACTGTGAAAGATAAACTCAACAAGCACCATGTAACAACAACACGCCGTTTTCATCCAATTTCACAATCTACGCACCCTGCCCATGCTGTTGAAACTACTCACATTCGTCCCTTTGCCTCCCTACAGCAAATAAACCGTTCAATCACAACAGTGAGATTGTTGGAGTATCGACCACAACCTTTCCAACTCGTCTTTCTGTGATTGTGCGAGTGTGCATTCTCTTCCGTGGGGTCTGAATACTATGGCTTGCAACTCTCGATTCTGATATTGTGAAGCCTTGGAAAATCTGCAGTATTGTTAAGTTTTGAGAGTGTACAGTTTGACTTAGAGATACTCAGATGTTATAGTATTTCACGCAACCCGCAAGACTTACAAGCATAGCGATCTCGATGTAATCAGCAAGAGATCGATCGAAAATTGTTACCTGCACCGATCACCCCATTAGGTTGACAGAGATAATCAGCGCGACGGCACGACAAGGAGACCTGGTATCTCAAACTTCAATCTCCATAATCTCGAATTCGCTATTGCCCAGAGCTCTAACTCTGAACCTACAACAAGAACGCATGCTAAAACAACGACTCCCGAACTCCTACTTACTAACAAACCCACAATCTACTTCCCATCACCAACTCCCTTATCCAACATCAAAACCTCTTGATCCATGTTAAACAGCTTTCGAATCGGTTTCTGTTTCTCCCTCTCCTTCCGATCCGTCAGAAGCGCAACGACGATGTTCTTGAAGTTAACCTCAAGATCCTTGTCCCAATCGAACGCAGGGTTCAGAGATTCAGCAAAGACCCGCATTGCCGACATAGGCACATTCATGATTTTACAAACGTCCTGTGGGGTGATTGCGTTGTCCATCTTCGTGATGAAATCGGCGTTCACGAGGGCAGCGAACTGCGCCATACCCTGTGGCTGTTGTACAGTCATCGACTCAAAAGTAGGTTGGAGAGCGGTAACTGGTGCTTTCTCGCCAGTCATGATTTCATGAAGAAACGCCTCGTCGAGAGGCTCGGTGTCGTCTCCAAACTCTCCTTCCTTACCGACTTGCCAAGGGACTCTTGACTTCTCCGCATCGCTGATGACCTGCTTCATGAAATCTTTGCGTTGAGTCTTGGTTGCTTCATCAACATCATCACCGGTGTTGCAGTCGAGCAGTCCTCGATAGGCCTTTGCGTTCTGCATGATAAGATTTGCGTTCTGCAAGTCCCAGGTTTCTGCAATTTCCTGGAACTTATCCATCAGCGCTTGGCAGTGTTTCTTGATTTCGGCGTAGTTTTCGGCTTTGCATGCACTTGCAACCGCTTGTTTGAGGCTTTTGAATACTGCAGACCGCTTAAGATAGACGCTAACGACAACAATGTCATGACCTTCACGGCGTTGGCCAGTCGAGGCAATGTATTTGATGTACCGCATCATGCTCGTGTAAGATTGAGACTGTTTCTCGAGACGAGGTGGAAGAGCAGCCAGGAGACGAGTTGCGATTTCCATTCGTTCGGTCTCGTTTTCCACATTCATCAGGCGAATAAAGATGGTGACGAACGTTCGGGAATGCTCTAGTTGAATGTTCCGAAGCTGGCAGTATTTTACCATCCAATCCATTCGAGATGCCTTGATCTTTTCGGTATTCTCATTCTTCGTGATGACGGCAAGAAGAGCTTTTTCGAGCAGCTTCTCCAAATTGAGCTTGAATTGCGCCTCAGGCCATCCACTGAAAGGATACAGTTTGACCACAAATTCGTACCAGCTCCAAGCGACAGCTGTCGAAGGAACCTCGAGTTTAGGCTCGAGCCCAAAAAGTTGCCATACCATACTCAATGGTCGTACTCCGGAGCCTGCCGTTGTCAGAAGGTTACCGAATAGTCCGCGCATCAGCTTCGTGATAGTATCTTCGGCTTTGACTGTACGTGTTGGAGCCGTAGTTCTCATAGCAGCGAGTTTGGACATCGCAGCCATCAACAAAGCGCTCATCAACTGGCCAATTTCTGGACTTGCAGGCTGGAAATCATATTCTCTCGAAGCAACAGCTCGACTCAGAGTATCTCTCATCATGATACGCAGTGCAGCAATGTGGGCGTCATTGCACTTTTCCATCCATCGGACTTTGAATGGCGACTTGAGGTTCACAAATTCGTCCCAGCACACCCAAGCTAATTTTGAGCCAGCTCCACTCCCTTGAGACAGGTACGGCACGGCAAGGGTGGGATGAGATGCTCCATGCTGATGCCTCAATGGGCCATCATGTTCAGCTTGTGATTGTTCCAGGATAATGCCTGCATCAAAGCCATCGAGATTAAGAGTTCTGGAATCCAGATCACAGCATGGGCCAGCATCCAATGACGTATCTCTCAAGTTTCCTAGGAGTTGCTTGTAAGGCGTGGTTTTGATGTTGAGAAACAAGACACCCATTTCAGACGCTTTCGTCTCCAAGAGTCCTGCCAACGTTTCGAACGTCATGGATTTGACAGACTCAACATTGTTTTGAATTGCAGCTTGGCGCTGCAGGCGTTGGAGGTCATGTGTCCGCTTTGAGGTGGTTTGGGAAGACATCATGTTGCTCAAGTGGGAGATGATTGACTCGAGGGCTTTTTGAACTCCTTTCGTCTCCTTTCTAAATTCGCTGAGCATCTGGTTTTTCTTTTTGACCGACTCAGGATCCGTCATCTGGAATGCTTTAGTCAAAAACTTGATATATGCTGCCCTCAAAGGAGCCATCCCTTCTTCGAATTTCTTCGACAGAATTGATATTAACGCTCGGGAAAGAACCATCAGATCTTTTTGGCTCAACAGGACCTGCAGTTGTGGGACAGCGGCCGAGATGTCGTGCTCTAGACATTGCACTTGATCGAGAGAGAGCTTTTCGAACAGGGCTTTGAGATCTTCTGGCTGAGCTTTCTGGCCCAAGTTTGGAAGAAGGACAGTGTTTGGCTCGCGGAGGTTGACCATTCGCTTGACTCTTGGGTCTAACAAAGATCCCAGTCCGGTGGACTCCACGATAGATGTCACATCTGTACCAAAAGCCAAGTTTGAAGTGTTGAAATGCGTCCGGTTGGCAATGCCCCTGTAGAAGTAAAACTTCCCAGAGGTTTCCACCAACACCAAGGACTGGGGACCCGAAAGAGCAGTGACGGCATTGACGTTGACAAGGTCTAGCGATGCTTTGACATCTCCATCGTCAGAAGGTGCTGCCTGCTTCGTCTGGATGACAAAGACGGCGTTGATCCTCCAAGGTGTCGCTAGGTTTCTGGCATTGTCTGTCATACGTTCGTCAACAAACACGACAACACTTTTGAAGTTCTCGTAATATGCCCGCAAAGCTTCTTCGTTATGGAAAGGTATATTTTTGGGTGTCTTTCCTGTTGCCAGCAGCAGCGGTCCCTCTAGTTGGGAGCCGAACATGCATGGTAGTACCACTGCAGATGGGCTTTTATCTGGGGTAAGTGCTTCTGTTTCAAGGAGAAACTCTAGCCCTTTTCCAAATCGAATGATCTGCGTCGTTATTGGTGTAATGACAGAAGGAAGTGTTGTCATTTGAGTGACAAAAACCACGTCTCGCTTGTTCGACGCCAATGCACCTTTTGGGGTAGGAGTGGGTTTTGAAATTGCGTCGGCAACTGAAGTTGCGCCTACATGCCGTTAGCTTTTCTGATAAGATTAAATATTGGAAGCTTTTATGAACTTACGATCGGTTGTCGACGGCAGAGCAGGTGCAGAAATCGTCCAGTCGGCACGCGCGATAGCCGCACCAAAAGATGTGCTCTGCAAGGACCCGCCTGAGCACATCTTCCCCAGATCGGTGGTAGGAGTTGGCAGTATGGAACAGATGAGAGCGTCTCTTTCACGTTTGAATACTACTGCAGAACAGATCGTGGCTTCTCCGATAGAGGCTGCGTCAAGTGGCACTGGTACGATATACAGAGCCTTCAATATCATTAGCTTCGAAAGTCTCCAAGAGGTTGTTCGGAGTTGTTCATTACCTTCTCAGTGTGATTGGCAATCATCACCACTGGGTTGCGTTCTCGGAACCGGGTTAATTTGGTGCATTGAAACCCGGATACAAAGACCGCAAACTCCTTTCCAGCCTCTAGCCGCTGATCAATCTTAATGTAATGAAGAAGATCAGTTCCTTCATTGATATCTCCGCTATGTGCCATGCCAGAAAAAGTAGCCCTAGCGCCGTAACAAGATGTCTTGCAAGCTGCATTTGCCACGCACAAATCATAGTAAGTTGGGTAGCGTTCCGAGACGGCGAGGATAGCAATGTTGTCTTTCTCGATTGGGACTTTGAAGGTGGAAGTTGGGGCTTGCTGGACTGTGTATTCGGCGTTGAAGACACCTAGGAAGAATTAGTAAATGGCAGCAAGAGTTCGAAGACAGCAGCAGGAACGAAGACTGGGGAATTTATGAAAGACTAGGAGTAGCGGCACTTACGAAGCTGGCCTGCAAACTTGGTCATGCGGGTCTGGAGCGTTTGCCCCAGCTCACCCAAGTCCACCGCATTGAAGAAATGGTTCTCCGAGTAAGATGAAATATCGATTTCATTGATTCCTGTAGCTGTTCGACAGAGGAGGCGACGCTCTGGGCTGAATGGATGTGCAGATCCGACTGGAAGCTTCTCAAGCAGCGCTCGGATCTGGACTTTGGTAGTTGCAAGAGGGTCGAAGAAGACCTTAGTAACCCGCTCCATGATTGTAGATGGAAGATCAGTCTCCGACGAGAGCGGAGACGACTCTTTGAGAGATCGCAAGGGTCAAAACCAGTGCCAGAGTCGAGGCGATGGTGTTAATATTCGTGAGGGAGGAAGTCAAAGATGGAGAAGATGCAGGCAAATGATATTGAAAACTACCAGACTTGAAGGCGAATAAATACTAGGCAGTTGGCCAGAAGCTGTGACTGTTATGGAGTCCGGACTTGCACGAAGGAGAGTGCTGAATATATAGATGAGGAAGGTGCGAGTCATAAACCTCAATACGGGCTACACGTGACTCTTGCCGGCGTTGACTCATTTCCTCAAGCTACGCCGTACAAAGATGCATGATGGCAGCGACTAAACAAGTGTATCGACCTTTAAAAGCCCGAATGGGCAATTGTTGGGGCCGAAAGTACTGTTGGCGTCGTTGCAGTCTTATTACCTCCATAAAATGAGTCTGGTCTGGGGGGCCTCAGCGGAATAACACATTGACCGGGAAACTGACATAACTGACTTTTGTAAATGGCATTTGAATTAAAATGCTTCCTAAGTGATTCATGAGAGTGTCAGTAAATTCAATATTGTAATTGCCATCTCCAGACCGGAGATCTGAAGCTCTTCCAAGCATCCAAGTTGAAGTGAAGAACACGAGAGCCACGTGATAATGAAAACATATTTGTTTCTGTAAGCACAGCTTGAAAGATCAAATCAGTAGAGTCGTTGGAAAGATCCAGAGATTGAAGATTGAAAGGATTGAGTAGCAGGGCCATCTTGACCGTCACTGACGCGAATCATTCTGGACTCGAAAGAAGATTAAACAGCCAACAAGAAAGACCATCAACACAGTGGAACCACTCTCCAATTCAGCATCGAAACCCCAGCAGGAGAATACTTCCGTCACTAATTGGAACGTAGACATTGTTTGCAGCTTTGTAAATGCAACAATCTCACTTGAATTGAAGAAATGATTTGACAAAATCCCATCCCAAAACATGCAACTTTTTAAGCTTAAATCTCTAGTGAGAAATGCGTCAATGGGTCCACTTAGACTCCAACACATCTTCTCCCCCGCATCTCTTCCTAAACGTCCAAATTGTTCATCAACTTTGATACAGATGGCAGTTATCGCAGGTAGGTGAGGAGAAAAAGATATAGTTATCAAATGCCAAGAAGCCAAGGGACATTCTTCATTTCGGGCAAGGCGCCCAGCGTTAGCGCGCATCCTCCTGAATCGACAACCTTCACTTCCAGTGTCTATCTATCTATGCTTTTTCCAACCTCACTTCTCCCCTCCTCTCTCTAACCATCGTCACTCATTGCTCATTTCGAGGCCATCGTACTCACTCCTTCGTGCGACCCTCTCACATTCCCTCAATTCAATTGAATTCGCGTTATACCCCTGTTTTTACTTCCCTTCTATAACCACCACAATGCACCTCTCGACCCTCCTCCTCGCAACAGCACCCGCCCTCGTGTCTGCTCGCGGCAGTCTAGGCTTCGCCCTCGGCGACAAGAAAGCAGACGGCACCTGCAAATTCCAAGCCGACTACACCGCTGATTTCGCAACCTTGGGCGGGACCAGCAAACTCGTCCGCGGATACGCTGCCAGCGATTGCAACACAGCGCAGGAGATCCTTCCTGCTGCAAAGGCTGCTGGTTTCCAGGTTATTCTTGGGATTTGGTAAATTCTTACACCAAGATTGTGCAAGTAGGAGATTGACATGGAACATAGGCCAGACACCGACGAAAGCTACAACGAGGACCTCGCTGCCGTAGTAAAATACGCGCCCCAATACGCCGACCAAGTCTACGCCATCACCGTGGGCTCCGAGACCATGTACCGGGGCAACTTCACCGGCTCGCAACTCCTCGACAAAATCAACGACGTGAAGACCGCTTTGGGCGGAAACTTCAAAGTCGGCACTGCGGACAGCTGGAACAAATACCAAGATGGCACGGCGGATCCGTTGATCAAGGGCGGAGCGGATATCTTGCTCTGCAACGCGTTTTCGTATTGGCAGGGCCAGACGATTGCTAATTCGACGGGCAGCTTCTTTGATGATGTTATGCAGGCTTTTGGGCATATTCAGGAGGTGGCTGGGTCTACGACTACAGGGCCGGAACTTTGGGTTGGTGAAGTTGGTTAGTATTCCGAGGCAATCATCGAGGATTTTTGCTGATTGTTGATTGTAGGATGGCCGACTGCTGGTTCGACGTATCAGAATGCTGTTCCTGGTACCTCCAATGCGCAGACGTTTTGGCAGAAGGGCATTTGTGGTATCCTTGATTGGGGCGTGAATGTCTTCTCCTTTGAAGCTTTTGATGAGCCGTGGAAGCCGGTTAGTACGGGACAAGATGGAAGCGTGGCTGATGAGACGCATTGGGGGGTTTGGAATGCGGATCGAAGCTCCAAGTACTCTGTTTCGTGCTAGAGAGAAGATCACGGGTAGACAGAAATGTCGTTGTTCTGATTGAGGGATTCGTATTTTGGACCTAGTATCATTTCTGGGCTTGGTCTATGGTGAATTATAGATGGGAGATTTGTTTCGGAGGCATAATCGCAATATACCACTTGAGAGACTCAATTACTATTTACGGGTCATGAGCACCTCGCTCTCTTTCAATTCACTGTCATATTCCTTTCGTTCATCGCTCTAAACAAATGAAGCAATCTGCACATATCTCCAAAAACCCCCCACCGACAAAAATGTTAACTTCTTTGGAAGAACACAATGAATCACCAGAGAACTTCAAAATGCCGCTGAGCGATCTCTTAATCAGTTGGGATTTGCAGAAGATGCCATTGATTTAAAGGTTGGATTGTTTTGGTGCATGTGCTTCTGGGCCATTGTTCCGAGCTGCTTCTTCTGGCCCGAGGTAGCACAACTGGTGTTTGCATGAACTACTGCGAAGAAGAGGGGCCCAATGTCAAATGGCGATCACGAACTTCACCTCTTAAACGACAATGAACTCTCGAATTTCAATACTACAAGCCACCACAAAAATCGCAATGGCGCTGCCCTGGCTTTCCCCATGAAATCCCAAATATACTTGGGGACTGCGGGAAGATCAGCCCTCGTGGTGCCCTGGCACGTCCCGTTCCCCTAGTCCTCTCTCGGCCCAGAACGCAGACAGGTACAGGTACAAGTGCTGTCTGTACGTCTGACGTGTGTACGGCCACACGCTGTGCAACTCGGTGATGTCTGTCAATCGTATATATATAGAAATAGAAACATCTCCCGCCACCGCGAACATCAGCTAAAGCTTCTAGAAAGGAGAACAACGGAAAGGAAGAAAAAGGAGATGAACGACTGAATAAGTAATAATCCGCAATATCGACGGGTCCTCGGTTGTTGGTCCCCTTCTGCATGAACACGATTTCATTGGCAAATCAGCAGCCAATCTTGAATAAGCGGGTCCCGACATTTGCTGGGCCTGCGCTGGGATTGAACCGTTCCCGTTGAACCTGAACCTGGAAGGACCTGGTGGACCACGACACGACTGACAGACATCCGCATCCACTCCGTCAACATCCACACTCCTCTCCTCCATCCTCCTCTCCCTCTCCTGTCTCGACACCTGTTACCCATCTTCCTTTCCTCAAAGGACAATCGCATACCTCCTTCCGCCGTATGCCTTAACCTTTGCTGGCTTGATCGGATGTCTTCAACTTCTTCCTTGCCTTCTTGCGTTATGTCACTCCTTTATTAATTCCGCCGAATTACATTTTTAATTTTCCTTGGGGAGGTCGAGGTCCTGGACGCGTCGCGAACAACCCCTGATAATTTTTCTCGCCCATCGCCAACCATCGAGTCCGTGAAGAGGTCGGGCTTGTATCAAATAATAGAGACACAGTAGCAGACGACTTGAGCCTCGTCTGCGCTGGTCTCGTTGGGGTGCGTGCTGCTGCGCGTTTTGTTCTCGACCAAAAATAAATTTCTCGAGAGAACAAACGAGTGCTGACTGACGCGCCTCGACTTCAGCAGATATCCAAAACAACGTCTTCATTGCTTTCATCGCCTCCTCCTGCTGCGACGGCAGAGGACGGACCCGGCAACCTCCCTGCGCATCGTGAGGAGCGTCCAGCATCGCCGGCTTTCTCGACAACATCGACGGCGGACGACGAAGAAGGTTCATCGCCTATCCTGCCACCGCTTCCCGTGCCGACGTTTCGAGGACATACCGAACAATCGAGAAGAACACCTTCGCATTCACCAACTGCGAGTAGCCATTACTATACGGCATCGTGGGGTTCTCCATACCAGCAACCACCAACTTCGATTCGAGCCCACTCGCACGCAAACAGTCTTCCTGCAAGCAGTGAAACGTCTGAAGATTCTCCCATCCGCCATCTCGAATTCCACACTCCGTTCTTGCGTCCTGCTCCAACATTTGCTCGATTCCACTCGGAACCTGACTTTGTCACCTCTGACGGACTCATCAGTGCAGCAGTCCTAGCCAATCGAGCACGACGACCCGCGACCGGGTTGACAGAAGATTGGATTCGACAACATACAGGAGGAGAAGCAGCAGAAGCAAACAATTGGTTAAGTGACGACCCTGGAGAAAGTGAGCACTCTTCATTGAGCGGATCAATCTCAGGAGACACGAGAGACTGGCTAGGTCGCGAGGACAATCCACGAACACCGACACTCAAAACTTTTCTTGCATCGCGAGAAAAGGCTCGTGCTACCAAACGTGGACATAGACGACATTTGACAACGGAGACACTGAAGCAAGAGGACTTCTCAGACGCAGCAATCCCGACAATGTCTCTCTCGAATGTGAATGAGAATGGGGGAACGGAAATGGAGCTGCAGATGCCAACACCAGATGCTGATCAGCCTCCTCCCCTTCCGCCGAAAGAATGGCGTGCAGCAGCTCTGCCAGCACCAATGGAGCCAAACCCTATGCCCACGCCACCAAGGCAAAAGAAGAAGGTGCCATGGAAGGGAAAGAGTATTCTGGTGCTCCTACCATGGGACGACCATCGTGGTCAGAAGGGAATGGCACCGATGCCGATGACTACCAAAGATGTAGCTGCTATGTTGAAGGAGTGGGAGCAATTGGGCTACGATACTACTGGTTTCAATCTTGGTCCTGAATCTGTTGGTGTCGATGAAGGGAGCCAAGGTCAAAGTCGAAGCCCATGGCCCTTGGGGCAAGATGTGGTGAATGAGAGAGCGGAGAGAAATTTCAAAATCAGCATCCCTGATAAAAAACGTAAGAACATTCTTTGGATACCCCTTGCTTCCACCACCGCGGAAGCGAGAATAGCCTCATCACCCTATGAGACTAGGAATAACTTACTGACGAACACTACAGAATGGGACGCTTATGTACAGGAGCTTCAAGAAGCCAAGCTACGAGCTCTGGGCGTGTCGTTGGGCGACGAAGATCCGGTTCCGACCATCTCCCCTGCTGTCTCGAATGTGAGCCGCCGAACCTCAATGCAGTATCCTCCATTGCCATTCTCACCGCCGATACCGACGTCATCTGCGAACTCGAGTCACCTTACACACCAGCCCAATCCATTTTCTCCTGTGTTGATGCCAGGAGCGGGCATGTCAACAAGTCAAAGCTCGAATCCAGGCTCCATCGCATCTCCTGCCTCGATGAACGCACACATGCAGGGAAAGTACAATCCCAGACAATCTGTTTCTTTCACGGGTGCCGAGCATCCATTTGGTTCCCCATTTCAATACCCTCAACAGCAATCGCCCGGTGTGTGGTCACCGCAACAGATGCTTTACCAGCAAGGCCATGCTCGTGGTGGCTCGCCATCGCTACATAATTTAGGAGCAATGATGTCGCCAGCATCACCTTTCTCTCAAGATGGCTATTTCCCTCAGAACGGAGATGTCCTGTCACAGATGCAACAACGACAGCAAATATTGCAAAACCAACTTGCGCATCAACAGCAATTGCAGCTCAGCGCAAGAGCGTCTCCACGTCTTCAAGAAGTACGGGAAACTGAAGATGAGGATCTTCCTTCGAAGAGTCCTTCCAAGACTCCTGAGGCTAGGCAAATCAAGCACAATCCAAGTGCCAGCTTACAAAAGGAGATTGATGACGCAGAATATCATCTCGAGGAACAATTCCAGAGACAGCTTGAACACGATGATTACAGCCCTCATTCGGACAAAGCAGAGGATACGTTTGAGGAGGCCGCCAAATCGCATACACGCAACCCCTCAGGACCTCAAGGACTTGGTGCTTCTCGCTTTGCTAGCGATGATTCTGAAGAGGGTCCAATTCTGCACCATCCTCAGCCACATAGCAGAGGCCATTCTCTGTCTCAACGACCATTCCATGACAGTGAGGAGAGTGCTCCAGAATCCAAGTTACTTGGAGCTGCTGCGAAGCCGGATCTCTCTGATATCGAAACTAATCCAAGCAATCTGGGAACTCCTATTCCGTCCATGGACTTGTCTAGCAGTGGACATGGTAGAGCTATGTCGGCTGCCAGCAACCCTTGGGCCGATTCTGACGCCAACCACACTGAAGATAGCAGTAGACCCAAACTTGGCCATGCGGCTAAACCTTCCATGTCGAAGCTCAATGTGGCAGCAAAGGAGTTCAAATTCAAGCCGGCAAATACCTTCCAGCCAAACCAGTTTGCGTTTGGTGCGAACAACTTCCAGCCGCCTGCTATCAATGCTTACACTGCTTTTGCTCCGCCAGTGTCTGCTACGTCCAGTCATTTCAGTAACAATTCGATTGCTAGTTCAAAGGGCAGAATCAACGTCGGTGCGCCTGCCTTCACTCCTGGCCAAAGCGAATTTAGCTTTTCGGCCTCGGGACCAAGCTTCAGACCAGATGCACCTTCGTTCACTCCGGGTACCTTCTCCGATTCAGTGGGTTCGGGAAGTGAAGGTCCTCGTACTTCGATCTTTGGTAGTATTGACTTGAGTGCACTGGGCATTTCGAAACCTGCCAAGAAGAACAAGGCAATCCCAATCATACGTCCGGACAGTAGTCAATCTAGAAATCTGGACGACGAAACTCTGGAAGATAAAGATGGCCGGATTACACAAGGTGAAGGTCGCTTCAAGAGAGCTAAGGGTGGAAAAGATGATGGTGACTCTGTTCCACTTTTTGCGGATAGTATGCCGTTGGGCGAAACCAACCGAGAACAATCACCTCCCAAAGAATCCCTTCCAGCCCCGACCACCCAAGCTGACAAGGAAAATTCTGCACCACTTGGCGACAGTGGCGAAGAAGAGACTACGTCGGTTCCCGCCAAGTCTCATGCTCGCGACTTCTCTATGAACTCTCCCGAGTCAGGCAAGGACTGGGCACCGTGGGAGTTCGCTCAACAAGAGCAGGCCGCAGACTTCAATTCAGCAAGACCTTTCACATCGAAAAGATACGGATCAGGTCTTCCTGCGTATGGCAACTACGCATTGTCTTCTGATGAACCTCAAACGCCTGTCGAGCCTGAGAAACCTAAGGGTCACAAGAAGAGTACTTCTTCACTATCGGCTACAGCGAAACCCTTTGAGTTCAGGCCAGGTGCTTTTAATTTTACATTTGGACAATCTTCAGAATCTGTTCCTGCTCCGATCACGCCGATAACCCTGCCAAAGACTGGTGGATTGTCTGCATCTAGATATGCTTCAAGCCCAACTCCACCTGCAGAGGTACCTTCTCCAGAGGTCATCTTGGACCGACACGAGTCCATGCAGTTCCAAGCATCCTTGCCAGGGCCGGAGAGTCCCCCGACTTATGTTGAGGACGAGCCACAGGAACCAGAAGAGGACGAGGAGCTAGAGGCAGAGCAGCCAGAGGCAATTCACGAGCAGACTGTTGAAGAGATTGACGACATTCTTAACCACCTCAACCAAGCTGAACAATCTGCTGCACGTGAAACCGAAGTACCAACATGGCTTCAACAAAGTCCTCAAAGACAAGTTCAAATGCCCGAACCTGACAATTCTTCGCCAATCAGATTACTGCCACAGAATCTCATGCGAAGCGATGCTCCCAGCCCGAGCCCAAGAAGATTCCATCCTTTGCCTGGACAATCAGGAGTTTTCGGTCGTGTACCAGAAGATCCATTCGTGGGCGAGGCTCCAGTTCAGAGTTATGGCTCTCCTGTCCGTCAATTGAACAGACTTGATAGCCTACCTCCAAGCGAATGGGATGATGTGTTGAGTGAGACTGAGGAAGCCAAGCTTCAGCCGAGAGCACAATTCTTCGACAACCATGTCAACGAGCTTGTTGGTGGTCTTTTGTCCGAAAGACTCGATCCATTGGAGCGGACTTTGGAGACGATTCAAATGTCTATAGATATGATGGCCGCTCGAGCACCATCAAGTCGTCGCGAGAGACGTAGCATCTCTGGTGCTCTTAGCGATGCTGATGATGAAGACGACGATAACCCTCGCCGATCTTTGAGTCCAAGAAGAGACAAGAAGATGGAAAAGATTCGAGCTATCGTCACAGAGGTCTTAAATGCCCATCAACCATCCAGACCAGCTACCGCGACTGCTCCATCAATCCTTCCAGACTCTCGCAATGTTCTGCAAGCATTGGAAGAAATGAAGGAACAATTCGGTGCTTCGATGCGTTTGGATCTTCGTGGTGAGGATCTACGGAATATTGTCGAGGAAGCTGTGGAAAGACGCATGCCTGCTAGTCCTAAGCCGTTTTTCGATGAGGCTGCCGCTGCTCGCGAAGCCGAGTACAAGTCACGAATCGCAGACCTCGAGGAAAAGCTGCTTCCTGCTAAACCTATTATTGACGAGGCCGCCATCGCCAGGGAAGCTGAGTACAGGGCAAGAATTGCCGACCTCGAGGAGAAGCTCTTCCGTGCAGAGGCCGATGGCACCTCTCGTGTTGCAGACCTTGAAGAACGTCTTGGCCGTACCGAGGACAGAACCGAAAAGGAGGTGTCAACCCGCCGTGCAGCTGAGGACCGTCTAGCTGAAGTCCAGAGATTGCTCCGCATCTCTTCCGAGGAGGAAATCCGCCTTCGGGAAGCCATGGATGAGCGAGAAATCAAGATCCGTGAAATTGTGGATGAGAGCGATATGAAGGTAAGAAGTGTCGAGGAACAACGTGCTAAGACCACAATGCGAATCGCCTTACTTGAAGCCGCCCAAGAGAATGCCCTCAGATCCCAGTCCGAGCTCCAGAACCGGATTAACATCACAGAAATTGATCTCCGTGAAGCGAGACAAGAAACTCAACGCTGGCAAATGGAGGCCGAACGGGCATTGGAAGCAGCCAGACGGCACAGTGATGACGCGGAGCAGGCCAATGAGACGAACAAGGATTTGAGGCGTACGATCGATAGCCTGAGGACTCAGATGGAGGAAAGTATCCGAGTCCGCGAAGGCATGAGAGGGAAATTAATCGATCTGCAGGAGGATATGGCCAAAGCTGCCCGTGACATTTCCGATGAAAACGCTCGACGCGCCAAGAAGGAAGCCGAGCTCGTTGCCAGACAGGAGGTTCTCGATGCCAAACTCCAGGCCGAAGCTAGGACGAGGGAGCGACTGGAGACTGAGATTGAGAGGTTGGAAGCTGGTGAGAGGGAGGGAATGCGTGCCGTCAACGATGCAAAGAAGCTTGACTTGCTGCTTGAGGATCTGAGACAAGAAAATCATCTTGCACTCAAGGATGCTATGCGGTACAAGCGAGAATTTGAGGAGGCAAGAGAGTCTGGTTTGGCGGAGGTCCAACGCACGACTCATTACATGCAGGGTCAAATCGAAGCTGCCAACAACCAAGTCAATGTCGTGCGAGAAGATCTCGAGAACCAAGTTGCTCGCGTTCGTGCAGAACTTGATCAGGTCAAGCTAGATTCCGATACAACCAGAGCCAAGCACGAGATGCTTTTGGAGGAAGTTGAGACGACAAAACAATCTATGGTTGAGGAAATGAAGCGAAAGCATGCTGATGCCATCGAAGATCTAGAGACACAGCACAAGCGTCAACTAGATAACATTGTTGAGGACGCTGAGCGATCTGAACGCCACTTCCTGGAGCGTCTGTCACTTTCTTCAGCCAAGACCGAGCATCTTCAAGACAAAGTTGTTCATCTTGAAGAGAAGCTTGAGATTGCCAACCAAGCTGCCGCCGCTGCTGCCACTGCTGCAAAGACCGCTCGTTCTGCAAGTACTTCTGTTCATGGTCAATATAAACCTATCTCTCGTGGTACGGAACTACCAGAAAAGATTTCACCCCAAGCTCTACGTGAGAGTATTATGGTCCTTCAGGAACAACTACAAGATCGTGAATCCACGATTGAACAACTCGAAGCAACCCTCTCAACCATGGACCTCGACGCACCAACCAAGATCGCCAAACGTGACGACGAGATCATGTGGCTAAGAGAACTCCTCGCTGTCCGGAAAGGCGACTTACAAGACATCGTCCAGAGTCTCGAGGCCGACCAATTCGAACCCGAACGCGTCCGCGATGCCGCCATCCGCCTCAGAGCAAACCTCCAAATGGAAGAACAAGAGCGCGAACGCGCCCTAAACGGAGGCAGCGCCCTCAACCTCCCCAACATCGCCGCCTCCCTCCGCGACGGAATAGCCTCCTCCCCGCGCGTCGCCCAAGCCGTGGGTCCCCTCGCCGCAGCCTGGGGAAACTGGCGAAAAGGCCGCGCAGACCTCACACAGGAGATGCAACCCCGGCACTCACGAAGCAGTTCCTCGACCCCCGCACGCGCTAGTCCAGGGACGCAGAGCTTTCTGTCAGGACTCCTGACTCCGCCGGCTAGTAACGCGCGCCAGGGTACACCTCCGACGACAGCTAGTCTCCGTCAAGAGCAACCAACAGCGTTTGGTAGTACGGGTCAGAGAATGACGTTAAGTCAGCTGGCGAATCAACCGAGAACCCTGCCCGTCAGCGCGAAGAGAATGGATCCCAGTACGCCGCCTATGATGCGGAAGAGTAGCTACGACGCGGACGCGAGGGCGGAGGATTTCAGTGATGCGGGGTTCTATGATGATGATGAGAGTACGGTTGAAGATGGGTTTGGTGGTGGTGGTGGGCAGGGGAAGGGGAAGGGTGTTGCTAGGTGGTAGTTGGTAGCAAGTTTCTTTTGTTTGAAAAATTTAGGGGTGATATTAGATTGATTGAAGTGCGGAGATACCCGGATATTTTATATACATACACAGACAGACGTCAGATTGAGCGGATACCCATACCTGGTTTTTAGGATTTCTTTTGTTGCAGATTCTTGAATAGGATGAGTTGAGGTTATTGACAGATATTGATACCTAGTCGGACGCTTTTTGTATATAGTGAGTGTGTTTGTGTGAGAAGAGGAGTGAATCTACACTTCTGTCATTCTTTTGAGTCGTTTTGTGTAAAGTGAACATGAAGTGAATGTGAAGTAGAGAGCAGCAAGTGAAGTGAAGTGAAGTGAAGACTTACAGCTCGAGCTCAACTAACTCTCACTGGAGGGGTATATAAACCCAACTCCTCCCACCTCAACTCCTTTCCTCCCTATAATCCCAAGATCAACCCGACCATCCCTTTCATAGGACTTGGCACTCTAGTGTACATTTCTTTCTTTCTTTCCTTCTTTCTTTGTCTGGAAATCGACAGCGCGTCGAAAAGTTGACAGCAAAGTCCCGCTCAACAACAACAAGCACTCCCCATCTCCTCTACCCAAACCTGAGTAACTAAACCATCCGCGTCTGTAGCTTTGCTTTTGACCCAAGTCTTGGGCTTAGATCATCTTTTCGCATGCGGTTCATCTTTTGGTGGATCTTAGAAGGCGGTGAGTGGGGACTTTATATACTTCCCCCGGGAAAACAACGTCCGGGGAGGAGCAAGCTTGTGGGAATGGGATGTGGTTGGGAAAGAGAAGACGGGGAGTGAATTGGAGGTTTGAGGGTGGGTGGATTGTTTGAGTGAATCGCGGAATGTTTTTGTGTTATCGGGTATTTTTTGATTTTGTCCGTCATTGAGAATTTCTCTAAGTGAATCTAGAGCCTTGTACATTGGTTGAGTTACTTTTTTCTTGTCTATATATACGGGCGGTCGCCCCGCCCGCTTTCTTTTTTTTTTCTCAATAACCAAACAGCGAGTTAGGACAAGTGATCAATAAAGCCTGTGTCATTTGGCGTTTTTGGGGTGTTTGATTGTAATCAAAATTGGGAGTTGATAATAAAATCTTTCTTGACAACTAAATTTGGATTTTGTTTCTCCCTCCTTCTGACCTGCATTTATCTTCTCCCTAGAGAAATTACCTGTCTTTAAAATAACTTTAGTAGTTCGAAACAGCTAACGGTGAGCAGCCTAGACGTGACAGGGTTTTCCTTTATCTTTTGGTTATTGGAGAATAGGATAGAGAGGTGGTTTTTGTGTCCTTATTTAAGGAAAGAGAAAATAGGGAAAATAGGGAAAATGTGTGGAAGGGGTGAATCGAAGGCTTGAGGAAGGTTGGTTTGTAGTGAGATGAGTCGCAGAGCTAGGCAAGTGAAAGAGAGTGGGCTAGAAGAGGGGTGTATAATCACAACCCACGTGAGAAGTCATCTCTATTCCATAAATTGGGTGGGAAGTGTGCTTTATGCCGGGGTTTCAACGTCCAGGCAAAGATTTCTATCTTTCTCTCCCTGAAAATAATGCTACTTTCGTTTTTCTAGGTTTTCTTCTCCTTGACTCTTGATTTCCTCGCCGTTCCTGCGCTAAATGGCAATCAAGTTCGAATTATTCAGAATCGACAGCGAGTTCTTCCTTGGCAACAACTATTTATTGGTTTATCTTCTGCTCGTATTTGTCTTCTCTGGTAGATAAGCCCAGTGAGCTAGCTCTCTTAACATGGCGACGTGAAGCACAAGAGACGGTCTCCCAGAAGCAAAATCGCCATAGTGGCGAGCATGGTTCTCTTTGTTTGAAGTCCATGGTTGGGGATATGGGGGGTTATATATCTTTGCTGCGGAGAGACAGCCGGAGGGGTAGGAAAGAGGAAGGATGTGAATGGTGAATCATCAACCCAAGTCGACTTCACTTAGACATGAGTGAATCACACTAGGGTCAACAAAGTAGATACGAACGTGGTTGAAGAGTATATATACCTCGCTCTCTAGTAAAGGCTATTTTCGTTCGATAATTCGGTTCAACCTGCCCTCCAGTACAGCTTTTTTCTTGAGGTAGCAAAGTGAATATAATATCAACTCGAAAAGTGTTGTGGCAAGCGAACTTACTAGCCACACAATCCATCACAGAAAGTCTACAAAAGATCACAACATCCCGACCATATTCCTTTTTCAGACTCAGAACCCTCCTAATCTCAAGAAGTTGATGGGCCATCATGGTAAAGGTATCAGCAGTCGATCAGTTTGGAAGACTCTTTTGTTCAGCTTTTCAGCATCGGATCCATCTTCCAGCACTCCGTTAATTTCCCATTTCCAAACTCTGTAAATTCATGCTCAAAACAGAATGGTGAAATGACAACAGCTTTCTCTTTGACAACAAGCTCTATGTGTTTGTTTAATATTTTATACTAACAAAGCCATTCTTTTGAAGATCAACATATTTACCTTTGTCGAGATCAAGAGAGTGAGTTCTTACAATAAAGATAGCCCGGCCGGACGGCTTTGAAACAAGAATTCCACGGCTCTAGGGAGAGAATAAAAGGGTGAAGCAAGCTTATATAGTTTAGGGTTGGTATAATTTTCACAGGGAGATGAGGGAATGATGTCGACTTGTGGGGTGAATCCTTAGATCCGTTTTGACGAGGAAGATTGCAGTCCAAGCTAGAAAGTAAGGAAGGTGGGTAGGCTCGAATGGAGGGGTATAAATATACCGCGATAGTCCGTGGCTCAACTTTTTACTATAAATTCTATCTGCATCACTCATGTTATATTCTTGGAGAAGGTTTCTAGTAGAGGTGCTTTATGCGTTTTTTTCGTTGAAGTGCTAGTAGCCACTCACTATCTGCCCTTCTAATCGGTGTAACTTCATCCGAAAATGGTTACGAAAGTCGACAGCAAAAACATCCTGATGACAGTCCGATTTCCACTTATTTCTGGTTCTTCAACACTTGTATATCATACCAGGAAGTTACAATACTTCAATCCGGCCCTTGCACAGTATTTGATGCCTCGTAGAATTGCAATGAAGAAATGGGGGAGATGGCGGTTAATACAAGTTTGGGGAGTGGGGGCGCAAAAGACTGAGTGAATTAGCGGAGTGAATGAAAATATTAATCGATTATTTATTTTTTTAAAATATTTGAAATTTTTTTTTTACAAATTTTTAAAAAAAATTATATTAAAGCGATAAAAAAAAAACCCCAAAAAAACCCAAAAAAACCTTAGAATTTTTTTTAATAAAAAAACTAATGTAATGTCACGACTCTCTCCTTACCCTGGTAAGGTCACGTGGGTTGGTATGGTGAATGAAGTAAGGTAAGGCAATGATATTGTAGTTAGGAAAACTTAATCAAGTTGAGCACAGAGCTGTCACAGTTCTGGTGTGACTAGTGGTTGTGGTCATGTGATTGTTTCAGCTAGTGTTTGAGGACCCAGCTTATCTGCCCTCAACACTCTTCCACTCTTTTAGTTCTTTGTCTATTATTCACAGATTAGTATGTACGTCTTGATTCCATAGTCTAGAGTGCGTGCTGTCACAAGAGCTCCTCCTTAGTGAGTGACAACTCGTCGCTATATAGGACCTCCGTTTCCTGGATCGTAGTGGATCGCTCGATCCCCTATGATCCCCTATGATCCCCTATGATCCACCACGTGACCCAGGGCCCACCATAGGTCGAGATTCCCCGCCTGCCGAGCCCATGGTCCACTAGTCCCGTGATCGTAACTGTGACAGCACAGTTGGACTCAAGTACGTAGACGAGGAATCGATTAGGCTATCTCTTAGAATCTAAAGGTAAAGAGGAAAGAAAGGAAGGAAGCGCCGGAAGGCAGGGCATATATACAGGCGAGCGGTCACGTGAGTATTTCGTAGCGGGCACGTGACTCCATAACCGTGACAGTAATATGTAATTAAAAATATGCTTTTTTTAATAAAAATATTTTTTTTTTATTAATAGATTTAAAGAAAAAAATATAAAAATAATATTTAAAAAAAAAAGCTTAAAAATCGTTAATATAGAACGATTTAAAAGTTAAATAAACGTATTAAATAAGTATAAAAAATGATAAAATAAATAATATGCTAAGATAAAAGCTCGAGGGATAGCGCATTTTAAAGAATATAATTATTAAAATAAATAAGTAGTATTAGTGGGGGGCAAGTGCTTTATTCCTAAGTTGTCACGATCACGTTCCTGGGACCCTACGGTGTCCCAGGATACAGAGGGATCCTGAGCGTGTGTATCCTAGAGCACGTAGGGGCCTAGGGGACATACGGAACTATTTGTGACGGGTTGAACCCGATATTTGGCTGCACTACTACGTAGTGCAGCCTACACGTGACTACGCGGGCCTGCACATGACGACGCGACGCTAAAGCGCGCGGGCCATTCTACGAACCAGCGAGAGCCCCTTTAAAACAGCTCTTCGTACGAGAAAGAACTCTTCTCTCTTTAGTTAATTCTTCTTGTAATACAATCAGGTTCTTGCTTTGACTCATTGCATCCAACCCGTGACACTATTAGTTGTTTAATGGGGTAAACAACTAGACGGCTTATTAGATGGAGGAATAAGCGACTAGTGGGTTACGAGACTAGTGTCACGTGACTGCAAGCTCTGCTAGACAGCTAGCAAAGCGCGTGCGATATGCAAGATGTTTTGCACGTCTTGCATACCTTACGAGTAGCGACTATATAGGACTGGCATTTCTGCCATTAGATAGGAGCTTTGTGCTCAACTTGATTAAGTTTTCCTAACTACAATATCATTGCCTTATCTTACTTCATTCACCATACCAACCCACGTGACCTTACCAGGGTAAGGAGAGAGTCGTGACAGCTAGTTTGAAGTACCAAGTTACTGAAGGACTTTAAATCATCATACAACTTTTATTAAGGGAAAGATTTTATGCCGGTTCGAAGTAGCCAGTTTCTCAGGGACATTGAATCCCCAGGTAAATTCTGTCTGTACAGTCTTTCTCAACTCTAACGAAAAGTGGGACACTGAAGAGGACATTCTGGCTGACAAGTTCGGGTTTTACTCCGCCTCAGTATCATAGACCCAGCTTTGATTTTGGACATGGAGGAACTACCACTGAAGCCGTCTCGGAAATTATTCCAATTGCACAAAACAATCGTGAAATGCATGACAAGAAAAGCTTAAAATTGACCAAAAGTTAATCAAAGGAGAGGAGACGTCATAGCCCTGGTTGGCATTCAGAGAGATGGGCGGGTAGCCATATGAGGGACGGGTTTTGATATAGTTGAAAAATTACCAACTTGGAGTCGGGACACACATCCCTGTATGGTGAAGAAATATAATGAAATAACTTTATTGGTCTGAAGGAAGAAGAGCGATGTGAATGGAAAAGGGGTCGGCGACTCGCACGTGACTAGCACATGCGTCTCGCTTACTGATGACGTCGGAAAATACTTGGAAACCTTCACTCAAGCTTCAAGACTGCCGCCATTCTCACCACTAATATGCCTTGATATATTTCCTACTCCCAAGATTTCTCCGTTGTGATGTCGATCAGCCAATAGGTAAGTGTCTGAGCCCCTGTTGATCTCTTCTTGAAACAGATGACGCACAATCTCGCCTCTATATTTCGCAAGTGCCTTCTGCACCAAAAGAAAGCCATCTTGTTCATGAATGAGCTGCTTCTATGTCAGCAATTACCAGGAATAGAGTGTCTTGCGAGCATATAAATATTCCATCTTCACAATGGGCCCATGTGAATATGCATGCGAATCACCGTCCCATATTTCGCCACTTCTATTGACGATACAAAGCTCACATATGTACTCATAGGAATGGATAGACGAGAAGACGACTGAAAGCCCCGTTACAACCTCGAGGAAGAAACAGACCACCATGTCCTCATCTACTCTCTCACCCGAGCAAGCGCATGCTCTCTTCGATATCCTTACCCATTATCAGCTCTATTCGGAGGTCGAAGGCTTCAAATGGCCCACTGCAATACAGAATTATGGAGCGCCTTTCTCCAAAGAAGACCCTGCACAGTATTCATCGCCGTTGATGCAGAAGATGTTTACTTCATTGATTGTGACGCTGCCAGGAATCACGACTTTGCCACCTGATTTCTGGCAAGAGAGGGTCGGTACCTTGATCGCGAGTTTGAGTGAGGCGAGATTGTCGGAAAGTTACGATAAAGGTACGATGGGAACGAGGAAGACGTTGTCAACGGCATCCTCAGTTCTCATCGAGAATTGTGCCCGAGGATGCTTTGGTGGATGTCCGACTGTCGAGGAGAAACCAAAGAGTCAGTATGATCGTTCTAAAGCGGAAGACATTAAACAAGCTTGGGAGAGAGCTGCTCATGAACTTGTGTATGGCGACCTGATCGATGAGCTGTATGATGGTATTGCAAAGTCGGACAAGTTAGAGGATCTATCTCCTCTGGTACAGGCTGCTATTGAACACATCCTCCTCATGTGAGTCAGAACATTACTTGCACGTGACACGTGCTAATGTTTGAACCAAGAACCACTTCCTTCGTTCACCACGTCTTCGTTCTGTCGCCAGATGGCCAGTATCTCCTGAGACTACTCAGTAATGTGAATAAGCTCGTGCCATATATGGCCATCAAGCAGACCCTTAGAGTTGGAAATGCCGCCACCATGATCAACGGAATGCTGAAATTGATCTTGACAAAGCTCAGTGTCACCGCTTTTACAAACTGGATAGGCTTGAGCAAGAACTCGGACGATGGGATGAATCTGATGCAGCAGTATGTACAGGCTCTGAGCATTGCCAAGATACAAGCTAATTGCAACAGAATCATCTCCACCGTCTTGACTTGGGACAATTCCGATTTCAAGGATATCGCCTCTAAAATCGAGAAAGCCAAGGATGGTCCCAGCCAAGAGCATCTCGATGCGATCGAAACTCACATCCAAGCAGGACGCGAAGAACATGATAAAGTACGATCAATCAGCATTGAGCAGTCCAAGTCAATCGTCAACGTAATCTTTGAGACGGCTCAATACAAACCATCTACCTCTCTCTCGGATGTGCAGCATGCGAAAGCCTTAGAGTACTACTCCGCCAAACTCTCGATCCGAGACAGGAAAGAGCTCATCCGAGTTCTTTGCCATCAATATCCTGACAACCTCACTCAAACCATTCGCGACGTTGTCGCTGTCTACGATCCTCTCATACGATCTATCCACAACGGAGTTGATCTCAGTGCAGGGCTCGGAGATTTGCAGAACTTCTTGGAGGACATGATCAAGACCATCAAACCAAAATCTGGCAATGGTAACAAAGCCCCGTCTGTCGAGGATTTCGTTACCTTATTCCGGACTCATCTTCCGTCTTGTCTCCGATTCCTGCATCAAGTTGCCAAGAACTGTCCAGAAGTCTCGTCAACGTTCCGACAGTGGTGCAAGGAAGCTATTCAACAGTTCAGAAAGAAGCAATCCAGCGATGCCCAAGAAACAGGAGGGGCAGGATCGATGACCGCTCATCTAACGACCTTGTGTGCGTCTGTTTCTGAAGTACAGAAGCCCGGAATTATTAGCGCATTAGATGCTCATTCTAATTACCTCTCCTCGCTGAACAAAATCTCGATGCAGAGAGCACAATCCGTCCTCGACAACAAGTCCACGACTATGTATGGTCCAGGAGCTTATCTTGCTAGGTGGCATGGTTTGTTGGATGAGACCTTGATCACGCCTGCTACTCCCCAAGGACCCGTTCGAAGAGGTAAAGATATCCAGTTCAAGGACGAAGAGGGAAAGCGGAAAGCAAGTGGGAAGGGGTGGTGGGATAGCGAGCAGATTGCGCAGCAAGTGATGGTGGAAGTACCTGAACAACCGAATGTTGATGTTGTGTTAGAGCTACTTGGTGGACCCTTCAGAGATCTATTGAATAAGGATAGAAGTAGTGGCAAGACGGGGGTAGAATAGAATATAAATACACGTGATCTCACCTCACCAAAGTTTGGAATGATCCCTTTATGTATGGCTGAATACGGATATGGAGACAAGAAGCCGTAAAAAGACTTGGGAAATTTTCTCGCCCTCGACTACATGAATTTAAAGAGAAGTAGTTTGATCACGTGTCGGCCTGGAGATTCCGAATGTCCCGAGGCGGACATTTTAAGCTTATTTCAACAAGCAAGCAGCAATTTCTTCGGAAACTTCTCCATTTATCCCTCAAAACCCTAATCATCTCGTTGATGGTTTCTTTTTCTTCAATATTACACCCCTGCGCTAGCTTCGTCTTGGCAAAACCGAGGTCTCCAGAGGATCAGCCTTGGATCCTGAAACTTCGACAACAAACAATCATCAGGATGTCACAACGTCTCATCTAAGCGGCTTTATCTGTATCTGCATTACGTTGTTCGACGTTCAGATTTGCTAAGCATTGCTGGGCACGCCGCCTATTTCCACAGCAACCAGTGCTCGTGCCAATATTTGCCTCTTTCGGTATATCTCCGAGGAACAGTTCTAGTTCGCTTGGGTTCGCGTGATCATTTTTTGACGCCACGATGTCACTACAATTCAGGACTCTGGTTCTTGGGAATGTTTCATATTTCGGCGATTTTCAAAATTTCTCGCCCAATGTTTGCTCAATTGGTCTAACCTCATTCGCTGTTTGCCCCATCGAAGGTTTTTCGGTGCAAATCTTCTGCTACTTATGCTATTCATTTGCTAAGTCATCGCTCCTTGTTTACGAGTATCTTTTCAACTCACGCCCCAAGGGATGAGTATCGCAAATCGCGGACGCGAAGGCTTGCCAAGATGTTGTACTTGTTCTGTATCATTTCCTGTTCATCAGGCGGCTGAAACACAAACCATCTGGTTTCTTGAAAGGCATCAACCGAGAGTCATGTTTCCCTTGACTATATGAGATACGGAGATTTATTATCGTACTTGGTATCATATCATCGCTCCCTTTCTTTCCCACCTCACTTCTGAATAGTCATTATTCTACTCGTTCATTGCCAACAGTCGCTCTTCACATTGAAGCTCGTCCAATAATGATGAAGTGGGGAAAATTAATAGGACTGGCAGCACTGCCAGTCCTCGTACACTCATTCGCGTCAACAGATTCTATACAAGATGCGGTATGAGCTTGGAAATCCAGTGTGCATGGTCTGTTCACTGACACGAATAAGGACGCTCCACAGTCCGGTTACCTGCCGAACCACAACATGGACCCCACTATGGTCTCTTCATCGCTCAATACTGCTTGGAAGTTCACAGCCAATGCCCTCGAACTGTTTTACGCCAAACCTTTGGTATACACCCCAACAGGAGCTGCGCACGAGCAAGTCATTGCCGTATCGAATCAAAACATTATCAGAGTTTTCGATGGTCTGTCTGGTGCGGTGATCACTTCTCGGACTCTTCTACCACCATTCGCTTCTGTGAATACCAATTGTGGTGACATCCCTAACACGGTAGGCATTACGGGGACACCAATTATTGATCCTACGACGGATATCATGTACTTCTTTTCCAAGGGATACCAGAACGGGAAAGCGGGTCCTCAAGGCACTATCAATGGTAAATTGGAACTATTTGAATTTAATAGTGTTTCGCTCGACTAATGTTTTACAGGTGCATATAGATTTTACGCTGTAAAGTTGCCTTCCCTAGCAGATGTCTTTCCTCCAGTGATGATCGATGGTCATTTTGCCAACAATGACCACACTCGGTAAGCAAAATACCAAGATTGAGAAGACCTGTGCTACGTGCTAGATATTTCTTTGGAGGCACCGTATTGAACAGACCCGGCTTGGCGATGATGGAGAACTCAGTCATTGCTGGATTCGGAGGTCATTGCGACAATTTCAACTATACTGGAATGTTGGTTGCTGTCAGCAAGACAAATGGCGCTGTGACAAATATTCAGGCAATGGAAGCTAGTCCTTGTAGGTCATTGTAAATGTGCTCGGATGAACATCTACTGATGTTTCTAGACGCCCCCTCTCCTCAAACTCTGGTCATCACCGTGCAAGGCGGTGGAAAGGCTGGCATCTGGCACTCTGGAATGGGTCTCGCTGGTGACAGCAATCGTGTCTTCTTCGTTACTGGGTATGCTATGATCTAGACTTGTCAGTGGGACTTGCTAACAAGTAATAGCAATGCACGTGGAGCAGGCCAAAACGGCGGTGCGGCTGGAAAGGCTGCGAGCGGAAAAGTCTACCTCAGCACCCTTGAGCAAGCAGTAGTCGATATGTCTGTCAGCACAACAGGAGCCTTCACTCAAGCTGATTACTTCGAGCCCTATGCCTACGATAGTTTGAATGGAGGTGATCGAGATTTCGGCTCTTCTGGTGTTGCACTCCTTGACGGTACCACGTTTGTTGGTGGCGGGGTTACTCGCGTCGCTGTGGCAGGCGGTAAATATGGCCATATCTATGTTATGGACGCGAATAATCTTGGAGGATTTGCTGGAGGTGAGTTTTGCCGAGACTGCTTTTGTGATGATGTGTACTGATTACTTGATAGCTGCTGGTGGTGACAAAGGTTTGTCGGCCGAGCGTTCTCTACATCCCACATGCTAATTTAACGAAGTGCTCCAAATTATCATAAATACAGGAATGCTACTGAGCGGAGTGGGAAGTTATCCAATGGAGGGCGGATACATATAGTAAGCCAATTCATAACGCTTCGCTGCCTTATTGCTGACCTCTTTAGTTTCAATCCTACGGGGCAGCCATTGATCTGCTACAAGCTCACCCATGATAGCCTAGGCAGACCGAATTTCGCATTTGCTGGTCAGACTGCGGCAGTATATAACGGCCAAAGTGTCCCAACAGTTACAAGTAATAGGGCCAAGTCGGTTCAGGTATCGTGAGTACTTGTTGCAATTTTCATTTAGAGGATATAGTTTGACATCAGCAGGTATGGTTGGCAGACGGTACAGCTGGTCTCGTTGCCTTCAAAGCAGTTCCAGTAGGAGGAGTTTTAGTGCAGATCAAGCTCCCAGTTGGAGCTTCCACTGGAGGGGCTCTCAAGTACCAAAGAGCTGTCTTCGGAGCTGGCCGAGCCTACATGGCTGGTGCTGGCAAGATCATTGCCCTCGGCGGTGGTGGTACTGCAGCAAGTGTGCCATTAAGCTCTTCACCGAGCAGTGTCGCTTTCGGATTAGTGTCTGTTGTACAAACGTCTACAGTCTCAATCACCCTGTCGGCAGCATCCGCTCTTACGATTACGAGCTGCAGCACAACCAGCTCATTATTTCAATGTGGAGCCTCGGGCTTTCCAATCACAGTGGCCAGTGGTTCATCATTCAATATCCCGATCACGTTTAACCTGACTGACGCGAACATACTTGCCTACCAGAATGCCGACAATTCCCCATTAGCACCAACAAGCTTGAGCTCTCTGCTGGACATTTTCGCCACTGATTCCACTGGAACAGTCTCGGATATTTCAATCCCTCTTTCTGGCACCGTTGTTGCTTCTGGAGGATATTTGGTCGTCTATCAAACCACAGTCAACTTTGCGCGGCTTCCGTGGGAGGACCTCAAATCACTTCTGCAATCACGCTGTCTAACGATGGAAGCGCACCTTTGACATTCACTGGCTTCGCTTATCAAGACTACTACGGGGATATGACTTTCATCAACGTCACTTCATCGATTGTAGGCAATGGATACACCTCCACTGGGTTCCCCGCACTCCATTCTCAGATCCAACCCGGAGCATCCATTACCATCCAACTGTTCTTCGGGCCCAAAGCTTTGGGAATTGCAGCTAGCTACTTGACGCTCTGGAGTGATGGCGGATACACGGATATATTGATGACTGGAAACGCGCAGAATGTGGCATTTTCGTCGTTGTTGTCTTCGACAAGTATTTTGGCCACATCGTCATCTGTGATTAAGTCTTCCTCGAGTTTCCTCCTCTCCTCAGCCAAGACCTCATCGTCGTCGAAAATTCTCACCAGCACGAGTCTATCATTGATTCCCGGTTCGTCAACTTTCCTGTCATCAGCGAGCATTCTTAGCTCTTCAAGTCTCTCAAGCTCCCTCTCAGCTGCTGCTGCTACTTCGTCATCGACTCTTGACAATCCTCCAAGTTTCCCAACTTCTCTCTCAGCTTCTGCCAGTTCATCACTGAGTGCGGCCTCCAACTCGGAGATAGATAGCTCACATGTTGATTCAGGATCATCGCCGATTTCCAGCTCTACAAGCTCAAGTGCAGTTCTCCAAGCCACAACGTCTACTTCAAGTAAGTTCATTCAAATACAGGTTTATAGATCATCAGCTGATTTCTATAAGGCTCAACAGGACCATCATCCAACACAGCCTCCACGACAATCTCCATTGCAACCACCCTCCAAACCAGCACATACATAATCCCCATTGCCACGGCCTCCTCAGGATTCGCCTACCAAGGCTGCTTCCGAGATGTCGGAACAGGCCACGCCCTCCCTCTCCTCGTCGCAAACAACAGCATGACCCCTGAACTCTGTCTCAAGATCGTTCAATCCCTCGCGGCTAAACCAACGCCCACCATTCTGCCCTACTATTACGTCGAATATGCACGAGAGTGCTACGGAAGGAAGTCTTTCACCTGGGAATCCTCCGCGATCACCAGTTTGACGGGTACGAAGGCTTGCACGGATATTTGTTCTGGATCTTTGGGTGCGTCGTCTACGGGGACGGCGAAGTGCGGGGGGAGTCGGATGTTTGATCTTTATGTGGCAGCGAGTGCGCCGACGTTGAGTGCGGTTTATACTTTGACTAAGTAGGGCATGATCTGGGGTTTACTGCATTGTTTTTTTCCCAGAGAGAGGAGGAATACCCTTCTTCGTGACATCGAGATACCTAATAGAGTCACGGCTGTATGATAGAAACATAATACGAAGATGTGGTGGGCACTAAGTATACGATTCATTTCAGGCAAGAGTTCCCTCTTGCGGACCTTTACTTCAAGTATCGAGGAATTCTTTGTGAAAAATTACATGCAACTTGTTTGAGATTGCATTTCGGCTTGACAACGGGTCATTGACAGCTAGGACCAGATACTGAACTGGCACTAAATATCACATCACATGGTGAACTCTATACAACGACATCTCAGAGTTGAGGACGGCGACTGTCGGATTGCATAGGCCAGGGATGTTTTGGGGTACCGCGGGGCAGTCTGGAGTGCTCCGCCCCCTGAACGACTGACTCGCCAACGCCAAGCGGGCCTGGGCGGAGCAACATCATTGCAAATTCATCACCACTTCACCTCGAACTCATATCCCCAAGGAGCCCCGACCAAACTGCCACGACCACCAAGCCGCTTCGAACAATCCTCGCTGAATCTGCAGACTTGGCCACAGCTGCCATGGCACCGAAGATATGGTGAAAGATATGGTTGGAGGAAGGCAGTGCGACCGAGCCAAGAGAACGTAAGGCCGGCGACGAACACTTGACGCAATCATCCAAGACGAATAGTTCTACGGGTATTCTTCGCGGATTCGATGGCACGACTTCAAGGACGTAGCTTGGAGGAACACATCTTGGGGTTGGAGCAAATCTGCTCGGGGTCTCCACAGTCAAGACACGGCTTTATTCGAAGTCTGGATGGAGGATCTTGGCATATACTGGCGGGGATGGTTGGGGTGATGGAGGTTTGATTTGTGGAGCTGTCTGGTATCTGGACAAATGATGCCCAGGATTGAAGTCTATGGTCGAGACTGGGGATTCATGGAGGCCCGGAATTGTCCCAGTGGGATGTGGAGGGCGGGGCGATAGAGATTCGAGTATAAGGTCTGCAACGAAGTCGTTGGAATTTCTGTTTGTCCTGTACAACTCTTCCTTGGCTCTATTCGACTACCCGAGTCCTCCAGCTCAACGATCATTCTCTTCCAGCCTATACCTACCATTGCGGCTTCATCATGGAAGACATCCAGAACAGTCGCAAAGGGTCTCGTGCCACAGCTACAGACGCAATTGCCAACGATCGAAAACGCAAGCCTGTCGATGACCATGTCGTCACAGGTGCTGGAGAGATCACTACGCGCCAATCCATCTTGCCTGTCTCCCTGGTCACAATCCTCTTCTTCATGTGGGGGTTCGCATATGGTCTCCTCGATGTGTTGAATGCACACTTTCAAAGCGTCTTAAACATCAGTCAGGGCATGTCGGGTGGACTACAAGCTGCATATTTCGGAGCATACTTCATTGGTCCTCTCACATATTCTGGTTGGATTGTCCGTCGCTTTGGCTACAGATGGGCTTTCATATTTGGACTTTGTGTGTATGGCATTGGAGCATTGATGTTCCGGCCTTCTGGTGTTAAGAGATCGTAAGCTGAAGATTACATACCATTACTTGAGCAATTCCATGCTGACAATCCCTTAGGTTTGGTGGGTTTTGTGGCAGCATGTTCATCGTCGGCAGCGGTCTGTCAACACTCGAAACAGCTGCAAATCCGTTCATCGCAACCTGCGGTCCTCCTCGATACTCGGAGCTTCGTCTCACCCTCGCTCAATCCTTCCAAGCTATTGGCACAGTCGTAGCACCAGTCCTTGCCTCGCAGGTCATCTTCAAAAACGTCGACGACACATCCCTTGCATCTGTTCAGTGGGTCTACCTAGGGATTGCGATCTTCGTCTTCCTCTTGGCAATTGTTTTCTTTCTCGTACCACTACCTGAGGTCACCGATGCCGACATGGCCAATCAAGCCGAACAAGCAGCTGCCGATACAGACTTCCAAGACAAGCCGCTCAGCAAGCAATACACCCTCTTCTATGGTGTCTTTGCTCAATTCTGTTACGTGGGTGCACAAGTTGCGTACGCAGGATATTTCATCAATTATGTCACTTGGATCAGACCGGGCACTTCACACGCTACAGGATCGAATCTCCTTGCTGTTGCTCAAGGCTGTTTCGCCATTGGTCGATTCATCGCAAGTGGTCTTCTCAAATTCATCAAGCCTCGATACGTACTCATGTTCTTCCTATCCGGAGTCGTCATTTTTGCTTGTCTCGTCATGGGACTCACAGGAAATGCAGGCATCGCAGCTATCTCACTTGTGCTCTTCTTCGAATCTTGCGTGTTCCCATTGATCTTCACTTTATCACTCCGTGGTCTTGGAAGACACAGCAAGCGTGGAGCCAGTTTTGTCGTAGCAGCTGTTAGTGGAGGTGCATTGTTCCCGCCTGTGCTAGGTGCTGTTGCTGATGCTCTTGGTGGGAATACCCAACATGCTTTCTTTATTCCATTAATTGGTTTTGTCATCGCTTGGACATTCCCTGTATACTTGAACGTGTTCAAGGCTAAAAGTTTGGATGGATGGACCGAGAAAGTCAAGGTTGGAATTGACCCGAAGAGAGATGTGGAGACTGGCTCGGAGATTGGCGAAAAAGAGACTATTTCTCAAGTTGAGAAGTTGTGAGGGGTAGTTTGTTGTTCCTGATGCTACGTGTGTCGTTCTTTTTGTTACATAGAATCATGTCACTTCGAATTATCCAAGCGACTTTTTTGCATTCTTCCTTTTACCTCTTACCACATTTTCCGCCCCGTCGCGTGGCTGTGCGAAACTCAATCTCTGCAAGATCCTGGAGTGCATGTAAATCCGGGGCAGATAGATTACAACAATAGCTCACGTATATTATCCCAAGTTTCAACCATGTTCGGTTGGATATAAGCCACACAAACGTGGGATGGTAGAATGGCAAACTACCGAAGCTATTTGCCTGAAACGGGTTTCGCTCGAATCCACTCCCATGATTGTTCTGTTTGACGGTACTGGGACGGTCATCAATCTATCTTGTTCTCGGATGAAGAAGATTATTTCGATCATCTGGTCCGGCGTATGCTGGATGAACGTTAGGTTTGTTTCATGATTTTATTGTCTCCGCTTTGAGGAAGTATATAAAGTCGTAGGTCTAGTACCTAATTCTAGGAATCAGATTCTCAGTCTCATTTTCTTCTTTCCCATTTATCTTCTCACTTCGAGTTCTTCCCCTACCACCCATTCACAATGTTCTTCCAAACGTCTCTCCTTCTCCTCACCACCCTCGCCGCCGTTGCACCTCTCGATTCTTGCCCTTAGATACACGTCTTCGGTGCCCGAGAGACAACCGCACCCCAAGGCTATGGCACCGCAGCCACAGTCGTCAACCTCCTGATGGGCGCCCATTCTGGCACCACGGACGAAGCTCTCGTCTACCCAGCATGCGGAGGTCAGAGTGCCTGCGGCGGTGTCAGCTATGCGAATTCTGCGGCGCAAGGAACAACTGCCGTTGCGAAGGCTGTCAATTCGTTTAATCAGAAGTGCCCTGATACCAAGTTGGTGCTTGTTGGATATTCGCAGGTATGTTCTTTTAGAGATGGATATATAAGTGAATTAATTTCCTGACATTGGGATAGGGAGGTCAAATTATGGATAATGCCGTCTGTGGAGACGATAGCAGCAAGATCGGACTCTCAGACGCAGCGCTCAACATGACAAAAGCTGTGATTTTGATGGGTGACCCAAGACACATTGCTGGATTGCCGTATAATGTTGGGACGTGCACGGCTTCAGGTGTAAGTTTACTCTTTCCAGGCTTTATGAAAAGGAGTGCTGACGAAAAATAGTTCGCTCCAAGACCCAAGGGGTTCACTTGTCCTTCAGCGAGTAAGATTCAGTCATATTGTGATTCGGCGGATCCATATTGTTGCAATGGAAATGATGCAAATGCGCATCAGCAGTATGGAAACAAGTATGGACAGGCTGCTTTGAAGTTTATCGACAGCAAGCTATGAGAAGTTCGCATAGTGAAAGAGTGGCCAGAGAGAGTTTGAGATATGAGTGTATATAGTGTTTGGTGAGACGAAGCCTTCGAGCTTACTTTCTGAATTTGTATTGTATATACTTTGTCACTATAAGGAGATTTTGGAGCAGTAGCACAACTTGCGATAAACCAACATTCGTATGGAATGCGCCTAAACGCTCAGAAGATGAGTTGGGGTCACACAGCATATGCACCCCGCTGTCTCTTGTATTCAACCCACGAGGCTCGGCAAAGACAGACCGAGGCTAAGTGAGTAAAGTCTAGCAGCATTGCAAGGTACCACAGCACCAAATTGAAGTTGGACATTGTGCTTTGTGTTTTGAATAGAAGCTAGTGCTCGGATATTTGCTGCCAATCTCTCATAATTCTAATCCATTCTTTATCCCACACTACACTATCGATATTGTCCTGGTGCTGATACCACACAAGTATTTGGGAATATCTGAAGGGCTTTTATTAGTTGGAATCGGCTCGAGCGTGTATCGACGAGTGGGAATTTTTAGTTGCTAGAAAATAAAGGCCAAGTTCGTGGTGGTGGACAATAAGAATCATTGAACAGTTAGTTCTCCATCTTTACTATTACATAGATTGCTTTCCCTGTGGCGTCTCAACCTCGCCCTCAGTAGCCTCTTTGCTACCAATTGATACTGCAGCAAGTCTTGCGCATTTCGTCTCGCTAGTGTTCTTCCATGAATGCATGCAAACTCTCTGTACAACAATTTCGCCTTGCTTTATGATCCTCTTCTCTCCACTTTGAAGGGCTAACTCAAGCTCGCCTTCCAGCACAAAACAGTACTCGATGGTATTGGTGCGATGCACAAATCCTGGACTGTTATCTGGGTTCGGATCGAAATCTAGCACATGACAGGCGCTACCTCCTGCTGCTGGGAAAGATGGATATGGTTTGCTTTGAAGGGCTTTTTCGTGGCGCTCAAGATCAGCATGGTGGAACGCTGTAGTGCCATCGGGCAATTTCGTCGTGATGTGATGCGTGAGAGGGGGAAGTGAAGATACCATGATCGTGAAGCTCTGGCCCAAGGTCATGTAGTTAGAACAATGGAATTCATAGAGAGATCAACCTACTTATAGGGTTTCACGGAAATATGACGTCGGCAAGACAAGTTGTTGCGGAGAAGTAGAGCTAAATCCCCCTTTCTAAGCGAGCGCAACACTAGCCTTAAAGAGTTGGTTCAAAGTAGACCTGAAACTTTAATTATAACTAACAACGAGACGTTAATTTATCTGGCCGATCAGATCTGGTTATTGAGCACGAAAATGTACTTCGAAGCTTTAATTTATACATTGTCATCAGTTGAAAAAAGATGTAGCATATTTTCAGTTTCAGTGGGGCCACCACCCAAGCCAAACATGATCCTCCACATTCGTTTGGGAGATTACATGGACCAGAGTCTGCTCATCTGGGGAGACAAGAGCATCTCCATTGTAATGTGGCTGATATTCACCATCAACACCAAAGCTGACCGTACCCTTTTGTCCAGCGAGAGGGAGAAATTTCCCACCTTGACTCCATACGAACCTAACCATTTCACGGAATCCAAACGAACGTATGAAGCATATCTTCACAATAGCACCTGTTTTACTCAAGGCCGCCAAGTCTCCCCACATGTCTGTCCAAGTTCGAAAGAGGTCGGGATGATCGACTAGAATGACGATGGTCTCCAACGACTTCAATGTTGATAACACGTTTGCGAGTTTGGAGAGATTGTTCTTCTCTTGAAACCGAATTCTTTCTTTCCCAATTACAGGTCGCCAGATATCATCAATCGAACGCTCATCTCTGATGGATACACAGACGTGAGGCTAGGCATGTCGTACAATAGATCGTTCTCGGCTGCTTGTTCTAATTCTGTGCCATACGCTCTAAATTGGCGGCCGGAGAACGTCAAGTGGAGGCGAATCTCCTTGACATTGGCTACTAGCCAAGGATGCTGACTTGGCCAGTGAAAGAGTTGATCCTGGGCGTGGTTGAAGAAGAGGTCATCGACGAGAGTCAGTCTGATGGGATGGCAGTGTATGAAGGGAAGCATTTCTTCGTAGAGTTGGTGGCTCGCGAGACATAATGAAATCCATCCAGCTCGCAGTAAATGGCGGTATCGTCGTTCAAGGGTGCGTTGGAGAAGCTCAAATGCATTGATCGTGAATGATCGACGGGTGCAACGCTCTATGTAGGTTTCGGAATTGATGTAATGTTTTGTTTGGGTTTGAGCATTGATGTAAAATGCGTAAATGAGGAGCCTAATCTCGAAGGGAAGTGATAAGAAGGGAAAAGGCATTTTGATGCTAGTCAAGCTTCCAGTCTGCTGGTTGATGGAGATTCAAGAGAAGACAATGAGATGAAGTGGTTTTCCAGCGTGTGGCGCAGCAATCACGAGACTGCAGGGGCCCGGCTGCAGAGTTGAAAAGCTGTGAAACCGCTGCGGAGGCACCAAAAATAAACATTCTCAGCCACAATCAACTCCACCAAACTACAAACAGAAGAAATGCAGCGGAGGAAACAGTGATTTTCTGTTTCCTGCTACTCTCTTATTCTCCTCTTTCTTTTCTCTTTTCCAGCAACAAATAATTGTGTCCTTATCCGAAGATAATTGCTTATTTCCTGGTTGCCTACAAGGCATCTTCAATAATTCCGAACTTCGGATTCACTTCTAGTACCCCTAGAATCCCGGGGTGCCTGTTGAACGGAAATATGTATTATCTGTCCTTCTCATGTATACAGAGTTCTCAATTCGCTTTGTTTTCCGTCGGCAAGGCTCGGTGCCTGCCCTTGGCTGAAAAGGCTTCTTGTCTCAGACACCAGTGAGGCTGTGTGCCGAGAGGTCTCATTTCTCTGCATGCCTTTTTGACTGAATTTCCAGCCATCATAATTTCCAAAAGCCTCAATTGTGATGAAGCCATACTCCTGAGAAGGCTTTACTCGGTGTCCAGGTTTGAGTCTGACTGTATGTTGCAATAATGATACTGGGGAATTGCCTTGATTCATTAAGAGGTGATGAACCCCTGCTGTACATGTGTCCCTTGGTATATGGACGCCTGAAAATGACTCTCACCGAGAACATAATTGCTACCTAGATTTCCAGTCACAGTGGGTCTTCACTAATCTGTTTCCAATTTCTATAAAGCGCCCTCGACACCAAATAAAATTCGTACTTCATACAACAGTCACAAACTTCTCGGTAGATATATCAATCAGTTACACTCGGAGCTATGACCTCAGAAATCAAATATATCGAGCAAACCCACGAGTCGGTCTTCGATATCGCCAGCGATGTCATTCAAATGCTCCTCCAGGCCGGCGAAACGGTCGGAGTCGCTGAATCCTTGACTGCTGGCAGTGTAATGGCAGCACTTACATCTGTACCAGGAGCGAGCGCAGCCTTCCGTGGCGGAGTTGTCTCTTATGCAACGCCTCTCAAGCAACTCCTATTGAACGTGGATGCAGGGCTGATTGCGAAAGAGGGCGTGATCCACGCGGACGTGGCAACACAGATGGCTGAAGGAGCGCGCAAGATCACGACTTTTGACGGTAGCTTGACGACTTGGGGTATCGGTACGACGGGCGTCGCTGGACCGGCAACTCAATATGGGAAGCCTGTTGGAACGGTTTTCATTGGTATTGCTTCACCGAAGGGGAGTCAGGCTTGGGGGCCGTTTTTGTTCTCTGGGTCACGAGAACGGATACGCGAAGCCACAGTTGTGGAAGCCCTGTCGCGTTTACGCAAAGCATTAGCAGATCGCCAGGTAGTGGAACAGTGAAGGCTGAGGCTGGGGTTAGCGCTGAAGAGTTTAGAGATGGAGAGGCGGAGATTTTGGAACCGGGAGAAAATGTTCCTCGATACATATTTGGTGTTTCTTTTGAATGAGCCACCATGAATTGTTCCGTCCACCTTCTATCATTCTGATACTTCGATTAGCTGTTACCAGAAAGCTACATGTGTCCATTCCACTGAGACAAGCTCAGACTCACCAAAATGCTCGTTCATGTAGCGTTCAGCAGTTAACATTAGATATGCCGTGTATTCAGGGTTCTAGATTCAAGATCTTGATTGAACTAAATTGCCTACGTGGCATCGTTTGAACTGCTGTTGCTTTTGTTACCTAATATTTGAGACTTACGAAATTGATTTCCCAAAAAAGTTCAACGTAATAATATTCATGTTAATATAAATAATTTTTTTTTGGGAATTATTCGAAGCTTAAATTAAAATTTATATTAAAAATGGATTAGCGAGAACGAAAACTATGAATTATTGCCCGGTCTTCCGCTATTTTACAACTATCCCCTTTGCCTGGCCGTGGGTAACTCCTCTTAAGACACATTTGCTTCGCTAAAACCCAGCATTATCCAACCACTGCCCAACGACACCAAAACTCTCACCGGCCGAAAAATGCGTATTCAAATTATGTCCCGTCTGATCTGGTATATACACCTCGAAGCTCTTTGCTTTCGGAAAGAAGGTCTTCAAACCCCCAATCTCAGAGATGTTACACTGTGCAACACTCGCCGTGAAATTCCCCACCCCGCAAGCAATCTGGTCATACCTTCCCGTCAACACAAAGACTGGTCCCGTGAAATTGGACGGTGAAGATTCTAGTGGTGCTTGTGCGATCACTTCACCAGCTGCAAAAATGTGTGTGAGCGTCTCGTCGTAGGCGAGGAGGCCGGGTGAGAAATCGCCGGGATAAGAGTACAGCGAGGTGCGCAGTGAGGGAGGATGGATACTCAAGTAGCCTTGAGGGAGCTGGTCGAACTGTAAAGGATCTACATGGCTGGCTGCTCGGGCATGAAATGTTGGAAGTGTGGCCTCGAAGCCTTTTTCGACATCGGGACCGGCAGCGGTCAGGATGTAGGCGTCTGCACCGGTAGTGGGGTGTAGTGTTGCTAAGGAGCGGCCGAGGATCGAGCCGTAGCTATGGGATGCGAGGATGACGGTTTTGTATATCTGGGAGATGGATGGTATTGTACCAGCACGGAGCGACTGCGTTAGTTGATGGAGAATTTCGACTTGGAGTGGTCCCTGGACAACATTTATTGGGTCCGGGTGAGAAGATGCGCCGTTTCCAAGGCGGTCGATGGATAGAGTTGCGTAGCCTTGGGATTGGGCATGGGAAACCCAACTGTATTCTCCGGCGAATTCTGGATCGGGATATTCGTTGCCATTCCAGTATGACTGCTTCTTGTCAGTGTTGAGATCAAAGTCAGCAAGCTTCTAATCACCTTTGTGTACGCAACTCCATGAACGAGGAGTTGCACTGCATTCCGTCCTTCTAAGTTGGTTGATGGCTCACAGTAGGTTGCACTGATGTTGAATGTACCGGATACAGTGTTGGCGAATGGTGAAATTCTAGAGAAATTGAGAGACCCAAAGTATTCGTAGAAAGCAGTGGGACTTGTAGAGTTGGGATATATGGGAAGCAATGTGTTATTTGCCGTGACAGTAACTGGAATCATGAGGTCTTTGCAAAGAGATTCTGGTTGGGAAGTGCATGATGTGTTGGTGGGCGCTGAAATAGAAAGCCCGGATAAAGCAAGCGTGAGGAGGACTTGCTTGAGATTCATGGTGCTGGATACCGTCAAACGTATTAAGATAAGAGTGTAAGAAAGGATGCTTCTGTTGGATAAAGTATATTTTTGACAATAGAAAGATCTAGCATATTATATATGAACATTCTTTGAAACCAGATGAATCAATTGTGATAATTTGGTCAGCACTGGCTGTGAAAGGCAAACGCTCATAATTTCAAGGCTGTGCCGTAAGCACGATGCTGGTTTCCGCCTTCCGAGTGTAACTGATCGGACTACTTAATCCCTCCGAACATGCGAAGCCGATGTTTACTATGCTTTGAGTACTATTTTGGTACCTCTGAATAGAATACAAGGAACAAAGGCAAGTAAAGACGAGAAAAGGCACAAATAAGTAGTGCTTACCCCAGCCCCTGAAGCGAGCCCCCAAGCGAGGATGCCAAGCCAAGCAGTTTTCCAAAAGGGAATAGACTGCCCCAGCTTCGTCAGCGGACCCCTAATACTTTAATTGTTCAACAACCATTTGTCTCATCACAGCCTCAATGAACAGCATTGAAGATGTGGGCTCTTCCACCTCGGGATTTTCCACCACACCCCGTTTTCTCAAGCCCAGCTCGGCGTTTCCTTCTTTCGGTCAAGAATGGGGAAGAAATGGCAGTTTGTGTCTAATCAGGTGGAAGATGGAGCGGGGAAGGACGAAAGTACTAGGAAGATTGTTAGAAAGACGGCAATGAAGGCGTTCCGGCGGAATCAGAGACTGGAACGGGTGAAGAACTTCATGCAAGAACAGGGGGGCATAGAAGATCATGGCGATCTCGAGACTTTGGATGAAAGATCGGAGAAGGTCCCCAGCAATGCCGCTTCTGGAAAACCTAGTTACCATCTAAATCAGGATTCTCTGGGGTCTTCTGTGGTCTTGTTTCAGCCGGAGGCCTCCACCGAGTATCCGATTGATTCTTTCTTCCACTGGCCGCAAGAGATTGTGAGCCTCGATCCGTTTGGGTCATCCCCTCTAGGTACCTGCAGCACTTGGCACTTCCTTTTCACACACTGTAAGTTCTCCTGTCTATTGGAGAATGATTGGTTAATCATGAGAATTTCTAGTTGTCTATCATATTGCTCCCATGATCCAGCCACTAGGTATCAACAGTCATTTGAATCCCGTAAATACACAATGGGCCCGCCACGCAATGAGCGATCCAGCTCTTTTCCACGGAGTTCTGTTTCACGCAAGCGTGCATGTCGAGTCGTATGGAGGGCGACCTGGGAGCTCAATAAGCACCCTCTTCCACAGAGGAGAGACCATTCGTCTGGTTAGTGAGCGGCTGAATAGTTCAGATGGTTTTGTAAGTGACGAGACCATTGCGGCAGTAGGCTGGGTTGCTTCAGAAGGTGTAAGTTTTGCATTCATAAGTGTACGTGCGAGAAGAATAGCTGATAAATAAAGAATATCACTGGTGTTACCGAGCAAGATGGAATTCATTGGCACGCCATCGTGAAAATGCTCAATGCTAGGGGTGGCTTGCAGTCGCTAGGCTGGAGCGGTGCTCTTGAACTTCTTCTAACCTTGTGGGTTTTCAATACGGTCTTCGATCCAATATGCTTACGTCTATCAGGGGAAACATTATCTGGTCGATGGTCGTAGGAACACCTCCGACGATCGAACGGCCTACGCTCACAGGCTCTGAATTTCCAAACATTCCTCCCTCGCTCATTAGGGACACCAGTAACACTTTGGCGGTTCTCGAATTTGGCGAAGATATCATGACCCTACTTCGATTCATGTCCGAGCTCACGATCGCACAAAGTACTATGATCTATACACAGGGAGTCATAGCAGAAGAAATCATCGTATTCAACAAGCTCCGTGCAGCAGCGGAACACAGATTGCTTTCATTGCGAGTTATCACCCCTATTGAGTTCCCCAAAAAGCAATTGGAAGCGGCTGTCTATGAGGCATGTCGGGTCGCAGCGTTGATGTGCAGCAACTGCATTTTCCGGGAATTTATACCTCGAGCAGTTGCATTTCGAGGATTGAGAAAGGCATTTGCCCTCGCTCTCACGGAGATAGAAACTTTCGGCGACCTCGAAGATCCTCAAGATTTTGAGGAATTGCTGCCTTGGATCTATTTCATCGGCGGCATGCTCTCATCGCCAGCAGAGACGGAAGGGTATGCGTTACGGGTGTCGAAGTCGATGTCCAACTTAGGTTTTAAGGATTGGGCAGAGGTAGAAAATTGTTTGGCGAGGTGTTTATGGAGTGAGAAAATGCAGAATAAATATTGTTTTGCTTTCTGGGAAATGGTAAAGAAATATAACGATATTCCACTTAATAGTATAAACCAAAGTTCTCAGAATAAAGATTAATCAAATAAAACCTAATAATTAAAATTTACAAAATCGAATTATTATTTAAGTTTATTTATATCATCGTTATCATTATATTTCAAACGCTTTAAACTTATCATATTATTATGCATACCATCTTTATATCTTAAGTTCTCTTCGTATGCTAAGCGGTAAGAATCTCCTCGGCTCGGTAGCCCGATCACAGATGTGACTTCAAAGCGGCAGGATTTGTTCTCGGGGTCGGGGCTTTTCCTCCAAAGGTCAGAGAAATGGTTTGGTATCTCACCATCACCGGAGTGTGAGTAAAGTGCTCATTATTTGTCGCACTTCGATTTTCAAAAGCAGACTTGAGATCTGAAATCCATACTGTAGGGTGTATATATAGTTGATAACAATCAACACTTGACAACGTCTCCTTGGCAAGACGAGTATGACGTGCAGTAAATGGACTCAGAAAGATAGAACAGCTGTTCAAGTTCAGCCCGGCTCAACCATGTTCACACTAAAGGCGGCGTCATATTGCTTGGCAGTTGTGATGATGATCTTTTGTTGTATATCGATTGTCCTTCGTTGAGCAGGACGCTTTATACCCCAAAGGTCATTTGGTAGTCAGTGACGTTGAGCCTAGTTTCATTCACTAATACCTGGAAGTGAATCTGTGAAAACTACAACTCGGAGTACGAAATTTTGAGTGAATATAACTGGCGAATTAAAGACTATTTGTAAAGATTTCGAATATAAAAAGAGTTGTCCACTTGGCACCAATTCTTTATCAACATCAAATGAGCTACACACAACGTCCCAGTTTGCTTTGGCTATTTGATGGCGACTGTATCTGATCAGCAATATTTCGTAGACATTCTTTCATTCCAAAACCACTTGAAAATGGCCCGGGAAATTCTCGCATCCAATGTCTTGCAAGTACTTGAAATAGTTTATTGGTGATGAGCGACTTGTTGACAGCAAACTTTTATTGACATTAGACAATTCAGCAACAGCAGAAGCCGTATTGACAGCGAGTGACATTTAGACAGAAGGGACACAACTTTTAGGCATGAAATCACTTATGAGTAGCATGTGACTTGTGTATGTGAGAATAATTATGAATGCAAACAACTTATGGAGGAACAGAGATATATAGACGAGACATATCTTAAGCCAGAGTAATGTCCCAAGTTGGGGAAGACTTAGGACTAGATCCAAAAATAGTAACAAAGTCAAAAGTTCAAAGCATTCTTGAATTCGGCAATGAAATGCAGATTGACGACAAGACATCCCTTAACAGCATGATTATGCTCTCACATTTTGCCTTCACATTTCCACCCCTAAATGAAACATATCATAGTTTTTTGACCGCCAAGACACAACACCCGGCTCGCACGATGAGGGCCCCTCAAGACGACTTTTGATAACATATGAACCAGATGTCCCTCGCTGAAGCAGACGATTTATACCTCGAAATTCGCAAATTGTGCAGAGTCTTTCGGCAGCCAGTGAATCTAAGCCACGTCTCAAAACCAGAAGATTCACTCTACAAAGACGAAACTTTCGAAAATGTTTCCTAGCTCTCGAGTATATAAAACACGTGACTATACTCTTCCCAACTTACCATGAAACCGTAAACGCGGCTTTCGAGTCGCTCAGAAGTTCGCAGCTCGACATTCGCAGACACCAGAACTTGTCATTGGATTGCAATTGCTTTGAAAGTATGAATGGAGAGAACAAAAGCATATCCAGCAGTGGCACTAGCGAGGAACATAGCAAGCAACAACAAATAGCAAGTTAACAACAACTAACAAGTTGATGATCAAACCAACAGCACCTCCTACCCCTCGCGTCGCCTCACGTCAGTTCCACAAACCTCCTGCACCAAGCACCCCGGTACTATAAGCAGGAGCCAGATGTCCTGCGACAACATCGAGAAGTTAACAACAAAATGACCCCGCTTCTCCTCTTACTATTCCGCTATTAGACCAACCAAACCCCTTCAGATTTCCTGTAATGAGCCGGGCACCACAAACCACCGCAGAGCTGGACAGAGCCGGATATCGATGTCAACCCATCTGAGGGTTCTGAGATTGTTGACTCTTTGTTGGCTGTTGAAAGGCGTTTTATGTCTATAAGCGGCCGCTTAAATAATTGAGTTGGCCGATAGAAATGAGTGAATTGCAAGTACTATTCAAAAAAAAGATCGCAAGAAATGAGTGAATATTACTCCTAGTTTCGATTTGATAATTTTCGAGGCAATATATAAAGAGCTCGATTATCTTCCAGAAGAATCATAGCATTCGCAAACTCTCTCAGACCTGCAGGATAGACCCGGGACTCTATGCAGCAGCAAAGAACACAATAATGGACAACCCACTCTTCTTGGATCTGGAAGATTGACCCGTGACTGTGTATAGCAGTAAAGAACATTTAAGAAATCTAAGCTTTTTATATCCGATATTTTTATTCTTAACAAATCTTTTATTATTATTAAATCTTTTGCTATTAATAACTTGTAATTACATTTAAGCAAATTTAACACCACAATTTAATACACTTTAGAATTCTATACTTTATTCCACGTTCCCGGCTCCACACACCCGGCTCCACACACCCGGCTCCACACACATGGCTTTACACACCTGGCTCCACACACCAACACACCAATGGTTACTCCATGGAGTCTTTTGAAAGTTATCTAAGGAAGACAAAGGACGAAGGCCGGAGGTCGGATTATATACCCTCCGTCTTCACGCTAATAAAATCCGTCTAAAAAGTTTTAAATAAATTCACTGTATAAGCCTTCTTCCTTAACTCTCCGAAACTTTCTTGTGAATAGGGAAAGCCATGACTCTACTAGAACAACGTCTCTCGAGACTTCAAAGCTTTTATCTTATCGACTTTTTATTATTAATTACAAGCAAGCTTAGCTAAAAAGTAATAAATGTGAAATATAGGGCTATTATTTTCATTGCTTAATCTTTTCTTTTAAAACTAAAATCTAGAAACCTTTGGGTTTGTTGTCAATTAAATCTTTGCTGCCAATTTCTATTCTTAATAATCACAAACAAAAGCTTTCTATTATTAAATACATTCTATGAACTAAACCAAATATGCACCCTAAAGAAAAGCCTGCACTTGGACCAGAATATTTAAAATACTAAACTAACATGCTCTTAGGATTCTTGCAAGGCAGCTATGTTGTTTTTTCTGGAAAATATGAAAGCAAGCAAAAAGTCGATTATATACCCCTCGAAAATTAAAATGAATATTCAGAGAAATAAGTGAATATATGAGCAGTGAATAACAAGTCATAGTTTACACCGATATACGACCTATTCGCAGACGAACAAAAAATAGCGAATTTTTCGACTGCTCGTTTAGTAGAGTAATAATCGACAACAAAACAAATGTTAACAACAAAAACATGCACAAAGCGGAAAAGTTTACCCATCGACCTCTAGCTTCCCAGACCCTTTGCCAAGGACCCGGCTCCACGAACAAGAGCCAAATGTCGATGTCAACCCAACTAAGAGTTCTGAGATTATTAACTCTTTGTTGGTGGCTAGGGGACATTTTATATTTAAAAGCGGCCGTTTAGGTGATTCTAAGTCCATGGAAATAAATGAATTGCAAGCAGAATTTCGCAGAAAATAAGTGAATATTATAGCTAGTCTCAATTCTCGAGTTTTGTAAACAATATATATACTCGAGCTCTCAGCTTTTTTTCAAACTTTTTTTCTAACTTTTTCTGATTCCACAGAAAGTTTCTTCGAAAGAGCTCGATTGCTAGAGGAATTATAGTGCACGTAATTCTTTTTAACACATTTCGCTTGGCTTAATAAAGTGGCCAGGCGTAGTACGGGGTCATAGCGGCAGAGAATATAATAACTGACAACAAAACAAATGTTGACAACAAAAACGCGCACATGACGAAAAGAATCTTGATTATTGAACTAAAACCTCCAGCTGTACAAACTTTTCGAAGTAAAAACAAGCCCGGCTTTACGAACCGACAAGAGCCGGTTGTTATTTCCAACGCAAAGGTTCTGATATTTTTGATTCTTTGTTAGCGGTTGAAAGAGCGGTTTAAAAAGCTTTATTCGAAGTCCGTCAACGATTCAGTATGTCGAAGCTATATAAGTTCTCTGCTCTCTAAGTTGAAATAGAGTCATAAAATAATGAGAAAGTAAAACATGATCAGAGAAATATATTGTGGGGTTTAAGTAAACAGAGATTGCAAAGAAAAATAACTCTTCGTGAGTAACAACAAAACTTAGCAATGGCAATATTAATTTAATAACAAAAAGTATTCACATGACACAAGAAATTTCCACTATTTAAAACTCAAACAAAGCAGAATTGCTCAATGAGCCCGGCACTTCAACGAGCCCGGCACCTCGACAAGAGCCGGATCTCCTAGGGCTCTGATAGTTTCGTAGAAAGTTATGTTTTCTTTGTGAATGGCTGAGAGAGCGTTTTATGTCCATATGCGGCCGCTTGGGTGATTTAGATTAGCTAAGTCAAAAGAAGTGAATCGAAAGTACATTAAGTATTACACGAATCTTTTCCACTCCACTTAGCTTTCCAAAATAGCTGAACGTGATACAATAACACGGCAGATAATACAACAATCGACAACAAACAAACATCAATAACGACGCACGTAATAATAATAAAAAATCATACCGATCCAGGCTCCAGCCTTACAGGCTCACATTTGCCAGAGATCCCGGCCCCGGCTCCACGAACAAGAGCCGGATCTTGAGAGTGCTTGAGAGTTCATGGAGAGTTGTCTACTCAATATTTGCGTGCAAACAAAAAGCGTTTTATATCTAGACGCGGCCGCTAACCCGCGTTCACTACCTAGACTCGAAAATTAAATGCTAAATCTTGAACATACGGCAGGGTTCCACACTTTTATATTATTATATATTTGGATTTCATGTTGTGTATTTTGTTTAGAAGGATAGGTGGATAAAGGGAGAAGGTGGAGAGAAGATGGAGATAGTGGAGTGAAATGGAGGGGAGTGCGGATGGGTTGGTATAAAGATAACTTTATCTGAGGAGAGAGGTTGGGCGACAATGAGTTATGGAAAGAGTGGAATGATAAGGGATATTGGGGAAGCATTTACTTTCTATTCTTAACTGAAGGAAATAGAACATTGTAAACAGTGAGAGCAGGGATAAATGATAGTTGTGCAGAAGTTGACAATGATGAAGAAGTTGATAATCATAAAGGAATTAACAACAAAACATTCAAAATAAGAACGAAATCCACCTCCTAGAAACAGAAGGTTCAGCAACACCCACACCCACTCCCAACATCTCACATTCACAAAAGCACCAAAATCATTTGAAGAATCCTGAATTATATTCCCCCTATCCACTATCCACTATCCTATCAAATCCTAGCTATATACAGCCTTCCCATTCCAACATAAAAAGCAAATGCCCATAGATAGGCAATAAGCAATGGTATAATGATAATATTCGTGGGTCTCGTATATCCCCCATCCATCCATCCCAATCCATGTTCCGTAACGTGATAAAGAAAATGGCGTTCCGCCAAATGCAGGTATGAAGGTATCGTATTGAATGTCCTGAAAAGAACGCCGAGTTGTAATGTAACGTAATGTTTTGTTTGCTTGTTGATAGTGGGTTTGTTGATGCAAATTTCGATTCCCTCCTCTTTCTCCCTTCCCCCTTCTTTCCCCTACTTGGTAGCAGATTACCCCTCAACCCTCACCCTCCTCAAAATAACCGGCACATCACTCAGATCCACCCCCCACCGCTCCGCAACCTGCACACTCTTTCTCACACCTCCATTCCCATTTCTCGTCCCCGCACTCCCCACCAAGCCCACGCCAGGCTCATACCCGTACCCCAACCCGCCTGAAAAGCGATCTAGGACCAGCATATCGGACGTCGAGGTCTTCCTTTCATGGATCGAAGATGAGAGCTGCGCATCTGAAGAGGGCTGGTCTTGAGGTTCGTAGTACTCGTCTTGAGATTGAGGGGGATGCGTGAAATTCTCTTTATCTGGAGATCCGCACGTGTGGTCGTATTCTTGGTTCCAAGTCTTGGGCGGAGAGGGATATGCGTGTGCGTCTTCGTAGCCGACGCCTACGTTCCAGCTTTTGGTTTGCATTTTTCCTAGTCCGAGACCGAGACCGTCGTAACTTCCTCTGGCGTGCAATTCTTGGCTGGGACGGGGTTGGATTTGTCGAGGGCCGTCGATACTCCTCCTTGTTCGCAGGTCTTGCTGGACAGGACGCCGCATCTCTGTTGACTTCCTTGTTTGCAGGGTAGCGTTAGCTGATTGCCGGCGGTCTTTCCAGGCGTTGGATGCGGTGGTCCATTGTTGCTTGTCAGCTGTAGGGGCAACTTGAGAGTTCAGTGTCGAAGGGAGCGCTTTTCGGGTAGTCATCGAGACCGGAGGTGGGGATTTTGATTTCCCGATCTTCGGACTACTTGAATACCTTCTCTCCTCATTTTCTACTGTCGGGAAGTACTGTTGCTGAGGCGGGTGAGCTGCTAATGGACTCTGCGATTGTGGGGCTTGCATGGGTTGTTGTGGTCTCCAAGGCGAGTTATTACTGTGTGTCTGAGGAGGATGTTCGCGAGATCCGCGACGGGAGGCCATGTTGTCATAGCTGCGGATTCGGGACACGGGTTCCGGGCGCTCTTCCTGTGTTTGACTGTTTCCTCGTGCCAGGTTGAAGCGTGCTGCTGCGTCGGCTTCGAATTGTGCTGTCATGGATTTTGCGCGCTCGTTGGTGCGAGGTGGAGGTTTTGGGATGCTGTTCAATGCCAGTTCGTATGGTGACTTTCCGAGAGATGAAGAGATGGTGGAATATGATGTTAGATGGTCTTCTAGGTCTTCATTCGAGATTGCTTGCACGGGCAATCGTGGTAGACTTCGATCTCGTATCCTTGGCAAACTCTTGTCTCTGGTCTTTGGCATCTGGTACGATTTCCTTCCCCATCTCGACTCTCTCTGAGACGTCTCTGCACTAGTTACTGGCAGATGAGGAGCGACCTGAAACGTACTCCTCCTGTTGAATTCTGGCTTTGGAGTTTCTCTCACAGGATGTTCGGGAATCGATGGCTCAGCAGGCACAGGCGGTAATGCACTCTGCAATCTCGCAAAATTCAACTCATCCCTCACTTCTGCGCTTCCAACTGAGAAGATCGTTCCCAACGTCTCCTTGCTGGAACTGTGTCTCAAACCAACATGCCCTGGATATGTGTTCGGGAAGCAAGCAACAGGGAAAGTCTCGACTCGTTCCTCGAGGTGGCGCTGTGCTTCTATGGATGGAGGAGGGATCCGCAGTTGTTCGCTTGGTGAACGAAAAGCTTGAACTGTAAATACAGGTTCTGGTTTTGGTGGTTGCGGTGCTTGCGGACGTTTGTTGATCTTTGATTTGCTGCTCCATCGGGATGAATTGGATGAAGTGGTTGACAATTCCGAATTGGCAGGACTTTCTTCTCTCACATTTCTGGCCTGAACGGTTGGAGTGTTTTTCTGGGTGCTCTTGCTTGGAACTGTGAGGAGAGATTGCCGAGAGTCCTTCTTTGGCAGAGGAGGATTTGGTACCTCCTTGTTGCGATCAAAAGTCGGTGATAGTGGAGGAGCAGGAGCTTGTCGTATGGGTGGTGCTGGAGCTGGCTCGACAGGCGGAATTGCGGGCAGGGAGCGCTTCATTCGCAGTGTCAAGTCAGAATCTGCTGATGTTACCGAATATGCTGACGTCACTGAATATGTGCTTGAAGGAACTCTCGAAGGCGACTCCCTAGGTGGTGTAGGAGGTACTTCCTCAAGCTGCACGGAATCTCTCTTGAATGACCTGAGCGAGATATTCGAGCTATACCCACTGTCCGCCTTTGCGAGCGGTTTTGGTGGCAACTCTCGGGGACCTTTCACCATTCTTTTCGGTGGTGCAAAGCCGCTGTCGTACGCAGAATCAAACGATCTTGGAGCGCGCTCTGACAGATTAGGCGTATCAGGTTCTGCTTCGAAAAGATCATCTTCAATAGCAGTATGTTTACTAGTAGATTCCAATCTTGGGGATGGAAGAGGCGAATTATCGAATGAAAATGGACTCAATGCCAGATCTTGCTGGTAATCTTTTGCCAACTCTAAAGCTTTGGAAGGAGATTCAGTGCTTTTCAGTAACTGCTCCGTACCTTCGAAGTCGAACCAAGCAAGACCAGGATCTAGCAGTGGAAGCTGAGTCTCAATCGTCAGAGGCTTGTGTTCCAGCTCATGAGTCTGTCGCAGTGGAGACTCAGCGCGGACGATCCAAGGGGCTTTTCGTGTTTCTGCTGGGACGGAAAGAGTGTTACTTCGTGGATTAGGTCCACGGTTGCTCTCCTGGCTCCTCCTTGCGTTTCCAGCCAAAATATAATCATCATCTGCTGATCTGAAGCTTGGTACTGGACTTGCAGCTCCGTTTGTAATCCTCAATGTTCCGAGCTTGAATGCACCAATATGTTCCAGTTCTGTGGGTGTTTCTGTGCGTGGACCAATGCTGGTGAAATCTGGATTTGGTCCAAGTAGCACCAGGTCTGAAAGAGGAGATGATGTGGGTTGCGACGGATTGTAGTAATAGTTTCGCATGTCATCTGAAATATTCTGTTGTGGTACCGGTTTTCGTGGAGGTGTTATCTCCAGAGCATGTACTTGCGAAGGCAGTGAGCTTCGCGGATCACTTTCCACAAAGCTCGTCCGAGTTGCAACACCATGCTGAAGTAGCGACCGTCGTCTGATAGGTGTGTATAAAGCACTCTCTGAATTCGTTCTTAAAGCTTGTGTCAAACCCCGTGGACTAACATCTTCTTGCTCTCCATATCTTGACAACCTTCGGTTTGCAATTGTCTTGTCGGGCTGTGGAGAAGGGAGTTCGGCAACGAGTGATAGTCGAGGATGATGTGTATAGGTCTGCAGAGACATGCGACTTCGGATCGGAGGTTTGGTTCTATTCTTGTCAGCGGGAATTATATCTTAGGAATGTCTAGACTTACAAGCCGCTGGGTGGTTCAGAGTATGGTCTCTCACTAGACCTAGATGATTGAGTCGTCACCGAATTGCCTCTCACTCTTGGCTCTCTCGACCATCTCTGGGAGAGCTGTTCGATTGGACTGGGCTCCACGGAAGAGCGGTCCACATCTGTGTTGACTTCCAGTGTCTGAATCTGACTCTGCGGTTTGGCACTCTTGGACCTGAACAAACTCATTCGTTTCCGCGACGGCTCTTCTTTTCGTTCCTCGACGACCTCGTCCCCAGGTGGATCGGATAGTATTACACTGTCTCGGTTCTTGGTAGGGGAGCCATTGGTCGTCGACAAGGAGTTTCGACGACTGGGAGGAGCTGAAGCTCGTCTGTCCAAGAGATTCGCACTCGAGTGATTATTCGTTCTCGGCTTCGACAACTTATTAGGCGGTCGCCGCCTCGGCGTGGGAGCGGATTGTTCGTTCCCCATATTGATGATGCAGAACAATAATAGGAAAAGTAAATCACAACACACACTTAATTCCTTCCATCCTCCCTCTTGCGATGATCTACCCAAATTCCCCGAGACTTCCGGCAAAAGAAGAGAGGTCGTCGAGGGGGGTCGATCGGGAATTGGGAGTGGGGGAGTATGACAGAGGGCGAAATTGGAGAGTTGAGGTGCAAATGTCGATATGAGACGAGAGGAGCACGATGTACGCTGCACCGGGGTAGCGATCAAGGTTATGTTGCAACGCTCAGCAAAGATTGGATGGGGGGACCCTTGTCGTCACCCAGGGGAGGGTTTAGGGGGTCGGAGCAGGGAGTATCGAAAAGCAGGATAATTACTGTATGGACAAGCGGTGGCTTTGTAGGCGTGAGTGTTTCAGAGATGCGTTGCAGGCGCGGTCCAGCTCGAATCGAGTTTGGTGTTGCAGGAACGAATCGCTTGAGCTGAGAACACGAAAGCTGACGACAACGAATGTGAACAATTAGCAGGCAGGGAGGGAGAGGAGAGGAGAGGGGTAAGATGGGAGGCAAATATAGGATGAGGAGGAAGAGAGAGGAGGAGGAGGAGGAGGAGGAGGTTGAGAAGGATGCACTTCCCAACCTGCTTGCTTGCTGCTGGCTGCGGTGCAGACTGCCATCAGGCGGTCGATAGTCGCGATTATTGCCCATGGGAGAGGGAGCTTGTTTTGGGATGCTGCAGATTCCCTGCCTTGCACTTCCCTTGCCTGGCCTCGCCTTGCCTTGCTTTGGTCTGGTCTGGTGGACTGCGACTTGCTTGTTGTCCGGGCGCCAATCGAGGAGTAAACAAGGCTCAGGGGGAGCTAGACTAAACGGGGATAAGACGAGGGTAGCTTTGGCCACTCAGCGACCGCACATCATCGCGTGAACGAGATCGTCCTCCACGCCGTCGCATCAATTTCGCCGATGGCCAGGATCGAGACAAGCGATGTGGCGGTGCGAGTGGAGCTCAGCCACTGTGGCGATCAATTCATCCAATGGAATATCATTCAGCTTCACCTTTATCTCGATCGTCCACCTCCAGATTGGGTGGCCTAACGAGGTGGCGAGCGATAAGGGGCAAATCGTGTGGCTAGAGCCGCGGGAGATGAGGAGAATTGCCGCATCTTCAAAGGCGGTGTATCTAAGACCAACTGCAGCCAAGAGGCCTCGATGCACCTCAGCCAACCTCGCAACACCAGAGAGTGGGATGAAAGATGGGAAATGTCCACGAAAACCTAAGACACGATGAAGTGTACGAAGGAGTTCGTTTGAAGGTTGGATCATTATGCATGATGCGGCACTTCAAAACTAAATCCAGCCTTCTTTGCGTTGCGCTGCTGCGTGCAAAAAATCAAGCTGCGATGATGCATGAAGGAGGCGGGAGTTTCCTTGCTTGCACTCCTCGTGCCAGAAGTCGAATGGCTGTTTCGTAAGGCGGGATGGTACGTTGCGGAGTTGAGCCGATCCATTTGACGACATCATTATGAAATTTTTCTAGAAGAATTTCTTCGTCGCTTCGATGGCTGTCCGTGTTCCATATGACGTTGACTCTGAGTTTTCGAGACTTCCATCTCCATCCCATTGGGATTTGGCGGGAAGGTTTCACGTGACCCTATGGTAGCATCGACTTGATCACTCATCCGTATACTGAGATGAGTGAGAAACATACATACGGGAAGGATGAGCGTACCTCAGTGAAATGATGTTTAAGCTCGGAGAAACGTCGAGTCCGACAAGTTGGTATCCTTTCTGAGGATAGACTTGTGATGCATGGAAGAAAAGACGGAACGGAGAGGTTCGAGATTCAAAATCTAACACGAAGGTTAGTACCTAGGTATGCTTATAAAAATTAAAGGATAATATTCTCTTTTGTACCGAGAGACTATTCGAAGGACTACTCCTCCAATCCTATGACACTGCCCAGGTGATATTCCAGCTTCACAGTATTATCACGTGGATGAACTTTTTGAGGCTCTGTCGACTTTCTTAACGGACTTGAAACAATGTCTGGAGGAAACGTGGAAAGTAAGTTCAAAACATTGTCTTAACAAAAGTGGACGTGGATTCGGGAAGTTAATTACTATTTCTCTTTCAGACAACTGCTATAGGGCGACCTGTCCTAACATCGCCGTCGACTGCCCCTTTTGGCTGAACATCTTTCTGTTCCAGTCGGCAAGAGTTCATGTCTGGAGACCCCGTATCTGGAATTTCCCGGCTTCGAGATTGTTCAAAAGAACTCTTCACAGTGAGTCTCTTGATCCATGTGAAATTATCGTCTCCCTTTCGAATTCTGTGACAAACGTCCATTTGCTCTCCAGCAATAGGCGGCTGCAGTGTAACCCCAAGACATCACGAAGAACCGGCCAGACCTTTGCAGTCACGATACCCTCATATGTGCTGCTGTCTGTCGTGTCAGTGCTTCCGGCGGTTGCCACCATGCACGCCGACTTCTGGCCGTAGTTCAATGCCACGAACTGCTTCGTTCGTTATCTCTGGCCGCTGCAGCCCGCGAATCGTTTGGCCAGATCAGCAACTCTCGACCAGGATGTCGCTTCACACAAAATCGAATCTCCTTCGTAATGAGAAGATGTTGGTGGATGGAAGGATTGAGGGGTAAGACACGAGGATGGGTGAAGGAGATATCGAAAGTTTAATGCCGGAGCTACTCAAAGTCAAAGACAGAAAGAAAAGGGAAGAGCCATGCTTCGAGAACGATTGAAATGCTTCCTTTGACTTGCCTTCCCCACGCTAGGATGACGGATCAAGATCAGATGCAAACCTTATTCTGAGTTCTGTCTTGGCTCACCCCAGCGGCTTTGAAGTGAAGGGTGGCAGTGGGAGGACGTGGTATTGAAGGTTGTCTAAGACAGATGCGCATTCGCTAGGGCACCTGAAATGGCTGCGGGCCAACTAAAGTCGGGGCGCATCGGCCTTTCCCCCCTCGAATTCCTCAGCTCCACCACTCCCGCCCCATCCAATCACAAGCCAATTATACATCGTCGACTCCTCCCATTGTGACCTCTCCTCCAGAAATAATGCTCCCACTCACACCCTCTCGACAACACATCCTCTGCTGCAAGGCACTACTTCCCGATCGTCCATCGTGGGGTTCATCTATGTTTTTATATAAGAAGTTATCAAGATGGAAACCATGATCCAGATCCCATCGCCCTCTGCCTTCTTGAATTCTCCAGTCTTGAAGCCTGCCCCGGAGCCACCACCCCCTCCAAAGCGCAAACCAGCCCCAACCACAAAGACGGCGGCACCGCCCAAGAAGCCCACGGGAATAGTGAAGCCCAAACAATCCAAGAGTCGCAATGGTATGTCTTGCCGGTTTTTGGTGCTCTTATCTTGGAGATGATAAGGAAAAGTCTTGAGGAGTGCTGGAGCAAAACGCTGACCAGATATGGTGGTACAGGTTGTATAACGTGTAAAGCGAAACGATTGAAATGCGACGAGACGAAACCGACCTGTCAGCAATGTCACAAGAGGAGTGTAACATGCGGAGGATACAAGAAAGATTTCAAGTGGAGGCCCTTCGAGGAAACGACCTTTGTGAATAAGACTGCCCCACCTAAGCCGAAGGGGAGAAGTACAGAACACGATCAAAGATGCAAGGAAGCTCTGCTGATGCTCGCAGATTCTATACCGCAGAACAAAGTTCAAGATGTTACAACGGGAGCAAGTCCTTCTGATGCGTCGTCTTCCTCGACGCCCGCAGAAGCCGAACAAGATATACCGATGCAAGACTCATTCTTCCATGCTGCGGCACCCACGCCTCCGCCGCCTTCTTTTACACCACCGAATGGCTTTCAGGATATGCAGTTCGATCATCCTCCTATGTTCGATATGAGTACGCCACCATACATGCGAGAATTACCTCGACCTCGATTCGAAGCAGATACGGTAACGAGGAGCTTGAGTAGCTTATTTGATGATAATTCCAATGTGCCGCCCAATACTGGAAGGCCGAGTTTCTCTGGACAATCGCCAAGATTAATCGATTTGCTATTGCCAGGGTCAGAACTCAATGCAAGGCCCGGATCTGTCACTGTTCCTCCGCTGGTGCTGCCAACACAAGCAATGGAGCTTTCACCAATGATGGATAACCAATTCCTACCTCCCATCGAGATGCAACAGGAGAATTCGTTGGAAGATGATATTGAGGAGATCATAAGGGAACCGCAGATGCCAGACAGTGATATGTGGATGTCACTCAGAGGGCCACTGCTCGTATCAAGATCACCTACGGCTTCACCAACTACCATCATCCGAGATGATCCTTTCAACAAGATTTATCGACAACCAGAGGTTCAGGCTGGAAGTCCAGAAATGTTGATGCTTCGATTTGATAAACAGACTTGTGGGATTCTATCGGTGAAAGATGGGCCCACGGAGAACCCTTGGAGGACGTTAGTCTGGCCCCTTGCAAGAGATTCTCCTGCCCTGTATCACGCCATTGCTTCCATGACGGCGTTCCATACCTCGAAAGAGAAGCCAGCTTTGAGAGTAGATGGTATGGAACATATGAGGAGGAGTATTCGTTCACTTGCTACCGGTATCGAGAAAATGCGAACAGACACTGCGCTAGCAACAACACTGGTTCTAGCATTCTCCGAATCATGGGATCAGCATATCTCTACTGGAATCGAACATCTGAGAGGAGCAAGGATCTTGGTAAACCAAGCGCTGGTCTCGCACAAGAAACAGAACCTGATTGGAGACGATCTCACGCGATTGAAGTTTCTGTGCAATACCTGGGTGTATATGGACGTTATCGCGCGACTTACTTCTGTGGACGACGACGATACTGTGGATTTCGAAAAGGTGCTTGCGCCTCTGAATATGACCTCCGCAAATGGACCAGCAGAGATCGACCCTCTTATGGGCTGCGCTTCTGATCTATTTCCCATTATTGGACGAGTTGCAAATCTCTGTCGCAAGGTTCGGAAAGTGGAAACCAATTCGATTGCGATTATCAGTCAGGCAATCGAGTTGAAAGAAGCTATTGTTCAATGGTCACCTCCTCCTTTACCCAGTATTGAAAGGCCTGAAGATCCAACTTCTGAGATTCAGCACGCTTTGCAAACAGCAGAAGCATATCGCTATGCTACACTTCTCTACCTCCATCAAGCAGTACCAGAAATCCCATCCTGGACATCTGCACAGCTTGCCAAGAAGGTTCTAGTCTATCTCGCTACAGTCCCGCTTTCATCTCGTCTTGTCATCGTACAGATTTACCCTTTACTTGCAGCTGGATGTGAAGCCTACGAGAAAGAAGACAGACAGTGGCTCGAGCAACGGTGGCACAACATGGCGAGCAGGATGTGGATCGGTAATATTGATCGTTGCTGGGAAGTCATGCAAGAAGTCTGGGCACGACGCGACGCAGCCGAAGCAGCTAAACTCGCAGCAGAGAAAGGCAAGCAAAGAAGTGGTGCTGCGTCCGCGATGATGCATTCTGAGAGCTCGAAGCGGAAATTCGAAGAGGAATTGGCTATGGAAGATATGTTTTCATTCTCCGATATGTTAACAGGAGTTGTGTCACCAAAGCGACAGCGAAGTAGCTTTTCGGGAACGTTCTCGCCAACGCAGAGCCAGAGTATGGAGAGGCGGAGGGTTCATGAACCTGTTGAGGAGGAAATGGATCCCGAGTTAACGGTCAGAGGGAAACTACATTGGGTGGGAGTGATGCAAGATTGGGAATGGGAAAGTAAGTTCATTTCATCGTTACTCTTAACGCCGTCCTCCATCTGCCAACCTAGGTATATCCCATGCTAACCGAATCCCAACCATAGTCCTCCTTGGCTAAACCGATACCCATTGATACGATATGAAATTCCCTATCTATCGACCAACCAACCCATTCCTCCCCAACCACCCTCTGACCCCATCCTCTCCACTCGAAACTCTTCTCGGGCTGAAAGCCCCCGCCCCTCCATACCTCGCATCTGAAGCAGGCGGGCCGAACCCACCTCTCCACGGATCGCTAGGCCAGCTCCTACTAGCCCTCCTCCTCTCCTCTGCCTTCAACCACGCCTGCGCCATCATAGAATCTCGTTCATGTCTCCTCCTCTCCATATCCTGCGCATGAGACAAGAACGCCTCATACGAATCCCCGCTCTGTCTCACCGGCGAATGAGGAAGAGCAGGTCGTGTAGCAGGAAGCTCAAGTAGCGTCGACGTCGAGCTTAGATTCGACGTCGACGTATTGCGCTGTTGTAGCGTGCGGATATCCTGCCCAGCAGCGTTCCACACCGATACGCCCTCTACTGGGAGAGGCGGCGAGTCTAGAGTGGTATGCGGGTGCGATGCTTCGGTGTTCGAAGACGATATCGAGGATGCGCGTCTGCTGCTTGATTTTTTGAACAGTTTGGCGAGCGGTTTTGGTCGGGACTTCGGCTGCTGTTCGTCGACGGACGGCTTCTGCTTTTGGGGTTTGGGTCTGTTGATGGATTTTCGGGGCAGCATGAGGGAGAGCATGTTTGCTTGTTTGCTTGCTTGCGTTTTGTTCGTTTGCTGTGGAGCGGTACTTTCAGCGAGGTGTTGGTTGGCGTTCTTCTGCGCTTCTGTGCTGGTCTTGTTGTTTTTTGTTTGTGGATCGGTGGTATATAGATATTCTTCCTTCTCTTCTTCTTCTCTTCTTATGTATCTTTGCACACACGCAGACAATATATATTCTTACCCTCGGTCTGGTTTCGGTCCTGGTTTTGTGCTGGCTAGTCGGTTTTACGGGTCCCAATCAATCAGTCAACTTTCTGACAGACTGACTTCGAATTCCAAACCAGACTGCCGGAGGATCGTATGTTGGTGGCTTGCGACAGACAAACTCCCTTCCTTTTTCTATGGACGGAGCAGTGGAAAGAAGGAGTGGTGAGTGAGGGAGTAAGTGGTGTTAATGCGTCCCTTCTAGGAGGGTGCTGGGGGTTGTGACACCTCGTGCTGGGATCTTGCTTGTTGATATATGGCAGTGATAGGAGCGCTAGTATTGAACACAACGCAACGCGAGAGAAAAGTGGCTGATTTGAAGATGGGGTGAAGTGGAAGTGAAGTGGAAGAAGGAATTTCGTGGCTTGTCTTGGCTGGGCTTGAGGTGTATTGGTGGGCGACACAAGACGGCTCGGATATATAACTTGACTTCTTCGGGAGCACAGAAGTGGGATGAATGAGACGGATGGGAAGCACGTTTATATAGAAAACAGAAACTAAGCAAACAAACAACAGATAGTAATCCAATATAGCTGATCTCAGAGGTATGGTTACCCGAACACAACCGGACAATTGGGACGATATCGCTGGCTGGTTGTGTTGTTGTTCAGTAATACGCAGGGGTTGTCAGCCGAGATGCGATGTAGGTCGGTAGGTATGTGGTGATACAGTACCCGCGCTAGAACGTTGGGTGGATAGGCAGGTGCAGGTGTAAGGCTGCAGTGTCGATCAATCAATCTTCCCGTCTGGCCTGAATTCTGAATTCTGGAATCCTTACTGTGTAGCAATGCCGTTGGATCTCGTTACGGACCCAGGGCCGTGATGTGGTGGGTTGCGGGCGCTAGAAGGTTGTGCTTATGGATGGATGATTGTGGTGCAGAACAGAAGATGCGCCACGTAGATGATTGACTGGTGCAGAAGATGATGTAAGATCTCACCATTGGATACCAGAATGTCAGAAGCTGAACAAAACGTCGTTTTTCTGACCCCCAATTGCGAGGATGAAGAAGGGGACTGTAGATCTGGACCCCATTTTGTGATGGGATGGCGGATGTACCGGTATGTGCATGCACGGCGGGAGTCACCTCACCTCACCTCACTTACTTATTTACTGCTGAGATGATATTTCGAGAACTGCCCTGGGGGTGTGTGTGTGTATTGGGCGCGGTACGAGAGAGTGGTTTGTGGTTTGATAACGGCGAGGGTGGTATCTTGATGCGGGTCAAAGTCAAGATGGAAGGTCGGTAGTTTTGATCGTGGGGAGATGTTAGATGGGGGCCAGTGTTTGGGGTAGGACGAAGACCGTTTGGGGGTGGAGAGATGGCGAGGGAGATGTGGGAATGTGGCGTGGGGTGGGACAGAGGTGTACGGGATGTCGTACAGAGAGGTGGTTACATGAAAGTGGCCGTTAGGCGCTTAGGTGGTATTTTTGATGGGTTGAAAGGGGGGGTTTTGGGAGGGAGGGATGATGTTGGATACGACTTTGATATATTGTGGTGGTGTTGTGGTGTTGGAGATTTGGAGATAGGGGGGTTATCGCTATCGTTATCGCGGTCTTGGCGGCTGGCGCCTGAGTTCGGGCTTTTGTCGGGATGAAATACTTGAATTGTTGTTCGGGGCTTGAACGTACTCGTTACGTGTGTAACGAGAGTGAAGGACCAACACTGAAGCTACTGAGGCTTACCAATTTTTCACAGTCATTTATTAGGAGCTGAAGTCCTCAAGTGAGTCTGGACTTTATCTGACAAATCAATCGCCGAGATGATGGTGCGTCTGGTCTGGTTCTAGGTGTCGTCAAAGGATGGTTGATTATGGATGTGTTCTTAGTTATTATGTTTGCGATAGAACTTGTGGCTTTCCTGATAGCTCAACCCCAAGTCACTGCTTGTGCACTCTATAAATCTTGGTCTCGTCCAGAATATTCATTTTAGTTGGAGATGTTGGATCTTTTGAACAGTTATGTGATGAGTTTCAATGAAGTTTCTTGCTCCTCCACTTTCCAATGCAGCTACAAGTAGTACATGTGCTGCCGACAAAGTTAGCTTGTTGTTAAATTATGTTGCTATTATCGATTCTTCTTTCATGTCGTTCCTTCATGAACTCCCGATGGCTTGTGACTATTTGTCAGAAACGCTAGAATGAACCCGGCTACTTGCTCTTGAGGTCGGAATCATAGCTCGACCAACTTGTTCTATTATTGATTAGCTTCCTACGAAAAGAAGATTCTTTATATACTTCGATATGAGCTACGGAAAAGTTCAAGGCGTGAAGTAGGTTGAGATTCACCTCAAGACAACGAACGTCGTTTTTCGAGGGCAAAATTCACTTCTTCATCACGCGGTTCTGTACGACCGTGTCAAAGCGGAATGAGTCAACTGAGATTCAGTATGTCAAAACATAGCGGCCGCATATGTTCTATATTATCGCAGTCCTCGCAGCCAAGAAAAGGTCAACACCAGAAACATCTCAACGTGAGATGGAAGAACACGTGAGTGCTTTTACACGTGTAAAGTTGTATCATGCTGTGGATTAATGATAAGCCCGGGTTGTCTCAAACAGGTTATCATTGATTAATGGAGATCTGGGAAATAGATTGGTGTGGACATTGACGCTCTGTTTTGGTGTTGAACGGTTGCTGTTGTTGATCTTTCTGTCGCTGTCAAGTGTCCATTTACATCTTCACCATGTCATCAATCCACTGATACCAGCAGACATTTGGTAAATTAGACATACAATAATATGCAGGCCAAGGTCAAATACTCCCAACAGTAGTTCCCGGCTTCCAATTCCTGCTCGAGAGTCTTCTTTTGCTTTCCATCTTTTATCCCTTTTTTGCGAGCTTAAAGTTCGTTTGTATACTTGAATATAAGTTTCGAAAGCAGCCAAGTAGAATCACTGATCTGTTTCGTGTTCTGCTCTTCTGCATTCACTGTGGTTCAGCTCTATCAATTTTTGTTACGTGGAGGCTACCTATATTCACTAAACGTGAGCACCATGATTTTTCAAACGAGAGTATCTCGATTTTGGATGAGGGCATAGGTCGCCACGGATTAAGTGAATATAGTTTTAAGGCAAAAACATAGACATCTGCCTTACTTCTCGCCTCACCCATGAGTATATAAAGGCGGACAGAGCGGCCGCTTTACAAACCAAACACTTATCTCACTTCATGAGCGTGACATGTGGAGTGAGGCCAGGTCGAGTGACGGGCTCCTTCGCATTATTCTGGCTCCTCCCAGGGCTATTAGTGCAGGATATCTCTTTAGCTCACGGGATGTGGAGAGGTTGTTTCAAAACTAAAAATTGTTCTGTTGTCAATTTATTCGTTGTTGCCAGGTTATATTAGTTTGTTATCAAGCATTCCTCTACTGACGGATGCCCTTTCACTGCTTGACCGCATTGCTGCCGTTGTCCGAAAGCGTGTCTTTTCTCTTTGATTCCCAGAATAAAGTTCGATGATTGAAACTCAATGTCAGCCAAACGTTACCCACAAGCGACTATGTTGTATAACATTTGATTCTCTAAAGCTTGGTGAGTGCAAAGGAAGAAGTAGTACGTTTTATACACGAAAGGTCAGGAGAATCTTGGTACCGCATGAGTCGAATTCAAAATTCACTAAAACTCGTACTGTGTGAGTCAATTCAGTTTTCGAGTCTTCGAGCTTGTCTTAGATTCACTCCCAATATGAAAATTGTGTGAGGGGCGACTTTCGAGGTATAAATCGTCTGCTTCAACAAGGGACATGCGGTCTGCAGATTCTTCTTCTGGCTTCAAACTAGTTCATGCCGGGAGCATAGTGTGGGTACCAGCCCGGGCCCCCTTTTTGCGACGACGAGGAGCCATGGTGGGTTTGCCCACTCTCTGACATGTTTCGACAACCTGGCAGGTTCGTGGACAAAATGTCGTTCTTGTCTTTATAGCATGCTGGCATGTGGTAGGATAGTAGAAAATACTTTGTTGTCAACCCAGTTTTATTGTTGTCAGATGTTTTCTTTCGTCGAACATAGTTCTGCGTCATCTTTTCATGTACAAAAAACCCTAACACGCGAGTTCAAAAGCTTACAATCCGTAGTCTCAGGGAGCCGGGCTTAGGAGATCATTCGTCGTTGCAGGATCATTCTTGCAGGTTTCGTAGTCGTGTTGACCATTTAATCTACACGTCAACTGTACATTGTTTTTATACCCAGCTCTCTCTCACTCAGGACGATCGAGTTGTGAATTCGGTATTCTATTCACTTTACATTGATTTCCAAAATCAAATCCATGAGTTAGTTTCACCTTGAACTAGCGCTCCATTCGAAGGGCTTGGAAGGTATAAATATCTCCAACCACTTGAGAGTAGATTTCCGGCCAGGGCAGAGAATAGAGTTGTGGATTCGAGGTTCTTCATGAAGATTCTTCGAAGAAGAAGAAGAAGAAGAATGCTTCTCTTGCATTGATAACATGGTGGTTGGGAGCTGGTCTTGCTTGGCATGCGTAGTCGTATCCATGATGATTTGTTATCAAGATTATTGTTGCTGTTTCTGTTGCTGCAAAACTGGGTGCTCGTCCTCAATAGACAGTACTGTCTGTTAATTCATTCTAATGCGTGGTTTCATCGGCGAGTCACTCATCTTCAAAATTTGCACAGTAGGAGTCTGCCATAGTGCCGCGAACTTTGATCCACGTCACTATACGATCATTTAAACGTCTACTTCTTGCCTACCGAGTTGGCCAAGGCTTACCAAGGACTACTTGGATGATTGGAGTACAATTCATGGACGCTGCAAGTACGTAGGTACCTACCTACCTAGATATCAACTCAATCTTGAGTAGTCACGTGATAACTGCTAACCTTGTTCGAAGAAGCTGTATCTTCCAGTTTTGATACTTTTCTTAAGTATCTCGAATTACTCAACATCGACTGATTCTGTTTATCATTAGTATAACAATCTGCGCTTGTCTTTGAATCCTGTCATGTGCCTAGTCGGATTTGAGCTCAGGATCGTGAATGCCATTTCGAGAGCAAAGGGACCTGCCTTCTGAGAGGAACTGACAAGCAAATAATCCGGCCACTTCTTTGGACATTTCGCACCTTCAAAAATTCTGATCTCTTCAAACACAACCTCGAATAACCACAAATTCAGACTCCGCTGCGTCAATATCTACCCATCGCAGCATCCATCACGATGAGCACTACCTCAATCCAACTTCCTCGACGCGTCCGCAAGCTCCTGTCTTTAGACGGTGGCGGAGTCCGTGATGTCTCCTCAATCATGATCCTCGACGCCCTCATGTCCCACATAATTGACGGCCGCTCTGTCGAGCGAGACCCGTGGCAGGAATTCGAGCTCATCGGAGGCACTAGTACAGGAGGATTGCTAGCAATTATGCTAGGACCATTGCGCATGAGCACTGCAGCTTGCGAAGATGCATATGCTCAGCTATCAACTGAGATATTCACCTCACTCGGAGCAAGGCGAATGTTGTGGATACTCTGTGGACTTGTTGAAGGCGAATGGCAAATTTGATGAAAAGCCTCTTGATGCCAATGTCGAGGCTAGCATTGTCGCTGCTAAAGAAGGAGAGGAAGCGCTTCTGAAGGACTCCCGCAGTGATGCTTGCAAGATGTAAGTTCCAATCTCGGATTTAGCTAGCATGTGCTAACATTTTCAAGTTTTGTCTGTGCGACAAAGGTCTTCGACAACAGTCCCATTGTATTTCGATCATACAACAACGCAAAAGCCTCTGGGAGTGTTTCTGGTATCAATATATGGTTGCCAATCGTCAGCACGCCATCTCTGATACTGAGACATTCTTGAAGTCTCCTGCATCGGCAGCATTACGTTTCAGAATGTTATTAATATTGGATATGCAGCTCCAGGTGCTTCAATTGATGAGCACTATATCGGGACATTTCTGCAACCCCTACGAATTAAAGTAGGCAACCAAGTCTTGGCAGGAATTCATGATGAGGATGACTAAGGCCAAAAGTGACATTCGTCCCTGGAGGCGTATCTTGGCAGTGTGGGGAATGTGAGTTCAACAAGTATCGTACGACCATTTTGTCGGAATGTGACACAGGCATTGCGAATGAGGGACTCCTCATATTGTGCGACATTTTTTCTGCTGATGCTCAGACTCCTTCTTTCCCGGAAATATGATGAGAAATGAGGAAGAAGAGTGTCATGGAGGAAAGAGGAGGAAGCTTGCCCCTACGACGAATGGTGAAGGAGAAGAAACCATTGGACTTCTCAGCCACAACGTTAGCAGTACCAATCATCTGTCGAGCGCGCAAAATCTTTACACACTCGGCCAAAAGATTACCCACATACTTCGACTGGTTAAATTACACTTTCTCAAAGGCAGACCTGAACGAATTTTCCCACTAGTCAAGAACCACCTCTTAACAACTATCATCTTCCTCGTCCCCTCCTTCCTACACCGAACTACAACTCCATCCAAGCTCCACTCCACATCGTATCTCGATGGTCTACGTGGCGTGGCAGCTTTCTTCGTTTTCATACACCACAGCGTGATCGACTGGTACCCCTTCCTCAAATATGGATATGGTTCATCAGCTGATGACCACAATATATTCCAACTACCTTTCATACGATTGCTATATTCGGGTGGAGCTATGGTTTGCATATTTTTTGTCATTTCGGGGTTCGTCTTAAGCAAGAAGGGACTCATGCTGAGTCGTAATGGGGAACATCAACGACTTCTCGACTTACTGGCCTCATCGGTGTTTCGCCGAGCTATGCGATTACACATTCCCACCATTATATCTAGTTTCTTGTCCATGTTGATGGTTCGTTTGAACTGGTACGAAAAGCGGCATTGGACTCCAAAAAGACTTGGCACCTTTTCAGAGCAGTGGGCACACTGGTGGCTTCATACGCAGTACATCTTGAACCCCTTCCAGGAGATCGGTGGTCGAGAGATTTATTGGCCACCTTACAATTTTCACCTCTGGACGATTCCAATGGAAGTCTACGGTTCCATGATTGTGTTCATATCGTTGCTCGCTTTCTGTAAACTGCCAGAAATCCTGCGCATCATATTACTCGCAGGTTTCACATTGTATTCATTGTGGAGTATTGGATACTGGCCTGTATTCCTATTTCTATCGGGTACCACCCTGGCCGCGATTCATGTCTGGGAGACGTCTCCTGCTCTTCCTCCCCAATTAGCGCCAGCAACGCAAGGCACTAGCACTTTATATTTGGCTCGATTCTCATCTGCCCTCCCTTCATATCTTGAGAAGTCCACTCCAATCAATTGAGCCTCACAAATTCAACTTCGTCGTCAACTCATTACACACTCATTCAACTTCTCTGTACTAAAGGAAGTCGCTTTCAAATACGTGCGAAACTGCTCCGTAATGACCGTTGACAGAGTCTTTTATATAGATTTTACACATTGGTATACGGAGATTGCGAGAACAGTGATGCGACTACAGGGCTTTCAAGTCATTCAGGCTTTTAGTTCACTAAACTTGAAAGTTCAGTGAGCAAGCACTGTAGAGACACAGTAGAAGTCTCAATTTGCAGTACACACACTAAACTTGATGTCGCACTAGCTAAAGCGAATCCGGTCAGCACTAGGCATTTCAAAGCAAGGTACCCTATCAAAGGTCACTAAATCAGCTACTTTAGGGCATTATGTCCCCAAACCGAGAGCTATTTCTAAGCACTAAGCTTGAAATGCAGCTTCTAGCGAGATTAGGAGCAAAATGCTGGAAATACCGGTGTATGATCGCTAATAATACTATTTACAGTGTGGCTATGGCTACGTCGTTGCCCTGGAGAGCACTATTTTTTAGGGGACTAAGCCCTGTAGTCGCATCACTTAATGCCGCAATTTCCGTACCGCTTGACCGTGGTGACATTCATCCAGTCCAGAAAGCGCACAGGATTGAGAGTATGTATGAAGGTTCCAATAGCGCTATCTTTAGACGATGAACACCTGAACGCTTTCCACAAGTCCATAAATCTCAGAGAAAAACAAAAACTTGATAGTGTAGAAATTTGAAGTTGTACGAACCAGGAAGGAGCTCGGCTATGCAGGAGTTGAAGTGAATTGGAGTGGTTTGACTCTGAAGCACCTTCCACTTTTATTCAAGTCTCGATATCAACCCCTCAACCCCACCGCTGCTTTCCACCGCTTGGTCCACACATGGTTTACTCCGTGCCGTCTCAAATGACCTTATAAGCTGTAATGTGCTGGTCGTCCCCCGCAAAAATACCACACGCCCTACGAAACCACTCCTCTGTTTCGAACAGAGGACTTTGTATAAACAGTTTAAAAAGCCGTCTTTTCAAGGGATTTATGAGGATTTAAGTACCATGTAAGAGCTCTCCGGCACTAGTTGGGGGTCTTTGGCACTAGCTAGGGACAATATGCACCTAAAAACACAGCTTCAATTAGTCGACTTAACGGCCGTTGCCCCCACGTAGCTGGCCACTGCAATATTTTCTCGGTATATGCCTTATTTTTTGCGTCTCAATACTACCTCAAAAGTTTGGTTTGAGAGTTGGCCTTCGCATAATGCGGGAGGCGTGGGTGTAGACTATTGGAGGCATGCGATACAACTCGAGAGTTTCTCAAAGTATATTTTTGGCGGTCCCCGCTAAGCATTGCCGACGCTAATGCATCCTGATCCTCAGATGATTCCTTCTGTTCGGAATAGAGGAGTGGTTTCGAAGGGACGGCCCGACTCTACGTACAACTCATTACTTTCCCCTTTGCATGCCTTCTGATCCTTCTATAAAAGAAGAAGTCGCTAAAGGATTGCGACAGTCCCGAATCCTAAGACCGAGAACAATGAGTCAGATGAGCTTAACGTATGGGTGGCTTAGGTTCTATCTCGAATAGTCTATCTAATTCAAGAAGAAAGCTCCGTGATGTTGCACTCCCAGGCCGAAGGTTCTTATGTAAGATCTTATCTTTGACTATTGAATATGTATGCAACGGAGATCATTGTATTTCCTAGTTAAGAACCATTGAGTATTTCTAACATGAAAGGTGCAAGACGCAAGATGCTTTTTTGTATCGGCCGCTTTCGAACAAGAGCTTAGTCACGACATATCCGCCGTTGATTCCAGACCTTGGGAACAGAACGCTCTTAGTCGAGGATAAAAATCGCCGGTTCTGGTACTTAGCGATAGTCTCGAAATCTCAGACCAAGAAAGTCTCACTCAATTACGACATTTTTAATAGAGATTTACCAGACTAATATTGGCCATTCATTCCCCCGATTGAGAGCCGCGAGCCCCCACCATTGGGTCCCATTCATTAAGGTTCCTACAAAATCGGCCGAGGTTGTTAGCTTACGGATGCTACCGTCCTAATTGAGGGGTTAAGATATTCCTTCCCGCCCCTCCCACCATGCGAGTCCTGGCAGAGAAAGAGTATTTTGCGGGAGGTAGACCAATATTTTAGGAAGGTAGTACTTGAGATTTGTTAGGATTACGATGTCACTGATAAGACTTCCGAAATAGGCAACTCGCTGCATTTAGACATGGTGGTATACGGTCTAGGCTTGCAAGATGGTTGTGAGGATGATGTTCGCGTTATTTGCGCATACTGGGAAATTCGGATGCTGCGAAGAACATAAAAAGTGCACTGTGAATCTTTGCTCAGAGCTTTCTGATTTATTGCCCTCTCACAATCATTTCATTCGGACAAGCTTGAGCAAAGGGTCAAGTTTTCAATCCAGTTGGCCTAAGTCTGAACCATAGAGTTTTCCACGCTTCTGTCCCATCATAGAGACAAATTTCAGAAGAACATCCAGATGTATGTGTGTGTCTCATAGATACTCCACACTTGCCTCAAATTCATGCTTGGCCCAACAGGCCTATTGGCAATAGATAGAAATATTACTAACACATCTCAAATAGAACACAAAGTCGTTTTCTACTTCAAATAAAAAGGTTTCCCGACTCGATTACTACCTCGCTATGTCTGTGGCACCCCCTTCAGAAGGCCTCGGTAGCAATTTCAACTACTTTCTTGCGGATGGTGGCAATGCTATCACTGGCCTCAGCGTTGAGATCACTTTCGCCGAGCCACTTCTGTCTGCCTCCAACGGCTTTGGCTTTCAACTCAACTGTTATGCACGTAAGCAACTCTTAGCCTTTGTTCTTGCACTTCTCTACATCCCTCCGTTTCTACTTATATACTCCATTTTACTCCACACGCTCCTGAAGCTTTCTTGAATATGAAAATGCTAACTCCCGTGTGTTGGTAGAGGAGCTTTCCGGAGCCCCAAGTACCACTCCCAACTGGCAACAATACGTAGTCTTCACGGAGCCCGGTGACAAGACTCTTTATGGTATCATTGACAACTGGAAGGGAACTGTCCCCGCCGGCACGGATGCCCAAGTAATCAACGACGAGGCGACGATTACAACCCTGGCCACGGCTAATGAAATACCCGCCGGTGCTACTGTTCTTATTGCTCCTATCTTCAGCTCTACCAATGTCATCACTGGTATTACTTATACGTATACTCCTCCAAGTGGCAAGGCTGTTTCTACATCCGTAACTTTGACCAACCTTGATGTCTACGGCACCAGTAAGAAGATCACTTCCGCATATGAGTCTCCGATCTCCGCATTAACGCTCAACATCGTGGGCGACTACGATGGAAACAACGGCGTCTTTACCTCGGGCTCTGGTACCATCGTCTACAAAGCCAATCAACCTCTGACTGTGCTGACCAACGAGCCGAGTTACACCGCGTTCCAGGATGGTACTGGCGAGACGGCCAACACTGTCTATGGCAAATTACCTGTGTCAGACAGTACCACGATCACTCAAACTTGGGGTATTTCGGCAGTAGGAGTGCCAAACTTCGGGCCAGCCGTGGGCCACAAATTGCCGATTCCACCCAGTAGCAAGCAGAAAAGAGGACACAGCCTACCGATTCCCCGCCATATTGTGCGCATGAATGAAGGTAATTTGGCCAAGATACCTTTCTGGTTCGAAAGCTAACACCCATTGCAGCAGAGTACGAGCAAGTCAACAAGGTTTAGAAGGATAATAGATACTGTTGAAGGGTTAGAGTAATGTCTGGGAGGATCATTATGGTTGTTTGATGGTTGCCATGTTAATGCAAAGTGAAAGACATGTACGCGCAGTTATGATAACTTTCTTGGATGAGGTTTGTGACTTGAAGTGAATATGGTCGAGTTCAAGACACCTTCCACTCCATTCAATTTCTCAAAGCCGACGAGCCGACATCAATTTCATTTAGTCTAAGCACCATTCCAGACTTGGAGGTCTCTAAATCATCCACGTCAACTCACACACTCGGAATAACATCCCGCAGACGATCACTGAGATCCTCCAGCAGTACCAGCACGTCACTCCCCGTTGAACTTTTCGCTGCTTTTGAAGGCTTCCCCAAGCTCCCAACGGTAAGCAACTCTGGGCCTTTGTCTTTGTGCTCCCCTCTCCATCAGAGAAACAAGTGATCAAATTTGGCATCCCAGGGAAAAGCTTGAGACCGAAGAATACAACTCTCCTCCTGCTTTTGAGTCATCCTCAGTAAACTCAGAGCAGGCTAATATTGGCCTAATCCCCTAGAGGACAGCTTCTCTCAGATTCGGGACCCTTACTGTCATGTGGAACTAGTGGATCAAATAAGAGAATCGAAAGTCTCTATATTATCAAGATTATAAAGATCGAGGTTTATATACTAAGTAAAGGAGGGAGAATATTACCCTTGAGCTATTCTATAAGAAGACGCATGATTGGTCCAAAATAAGTACCTACTTTAAAGAGTGGAAGTCATCAATGCAAAATGTACCCCTGACAAGTGATTCCAACTAACACTTACCACCCTTGGCTCTGCCTAACGCACCCCGCATACTATTGAAGAGGGGCCAGTACTCCTCAAAGCTTGTCCTGTAGAATATTGTTAACTCTTTCATAATGCTATGATTTCCGACTCGCGATTTGGAAACTGGCGCTTCCTGGCTCAAGCGTAGTCACTTTGAAGCAGACAGATAGGGCACACTTCGATCCACCAATAGACGATGTACGCCCTTTAATAAGGACCGCAAGTTTCTGGTCGATCAATCTGGGGAGATGCACGCAATTGAGAAGCGAATAGGAGTTGGGTTCGACACAAGTCCGATATCAAACCCGCTTCTGCACACTTCTTTTAAAACGTCGCCATCGCTCTCGGTACCAAATATTCGCTGAGCTTCAGTGGTTTCGCAGTAGAAGATGCCCTTTGCTTTGTCAAAGTGTTGTTCAATGGCACAGAAGCTGCAAGCTCCCAGATCTTGGCCCATGGTATGCGCGTTGTGACTGCAAATTATATTGCGAGGCGCCTTTCTACTTGGATGATTTCCTCATGACTGCTGTTTGAAGAGCAAGTGTTTGAAGTGAGACTTTGGATGTATTGGATGCAATGTCTTCTTTGCTCTGTTTAGTGTAGCAATGCGAAATCGATTTGATGGGGATTATTTTAGAGAGTGTGATCATCTTGACATGTCATAATGTGGCGTGTTGGATCACGAAACCAAAGCGCTCTGAACGCGCCCGCATACAGCAAAAGAGCAAAAGCCCGTGGCAGGGAATAGGAAATCTCTGCATGCTGGTGTAGACCCTGAAGTTGCAACTGTTAGCGATCGAAGGCGCCAAATGTTGAAGGTTGACAACGCTTGCACTCCAACCCGTCTGCAGTCTTTCCTTGATTGTTGAAAGTGTCTCTTGTTGCAACGGCACTAACATCTACTGCTATAGGATGGAAGGTCATCCGGTCGCTCCAGACTTCTCTGCTGAAGCACTCGGTACTGGTGATTCTGATACATTACACCCAGTTCACTTGCTCTGAAGAGTGGCTTTCCCGATGGCTTGCAAATCTTCAGGTCTGGCACACTGCAACTGAGTAAGCTGAGACTTCCCTTTTCACTTTTCTCTTTGAAAAAAAAAAATATCAAGCACGCTCCAATCGTTTGATGGATATCAAGCAGATAAGAGAAAGAAAGCTAATGTGGTGTAGTGCGTCGAGCAATAAAGTTGCTATATGATGAAGGATTAACAGGCGAAAACTTACTGAAGATGACTTTCTTATATTCGTCCTCGTCTTGCATTATATTGAAAAGACGAGTAGCGGAGTCACAAGGCAGGTTAATCCGCGACCCAGCATTCCGTGCTGAGTTGTCAAGATGCATGGGATCAATGTTTGCAAGCGAAATTTTGCTGAGGAAATTGAAGCCCAAACATTTATCGAAGATGAATCATGCGATGAAGAACATAAATCGCTCGCTCAACGCAGCGGTTCTCCAGGAAATGACAGAGGATGAAGCTGAGGAAGCAATATCAAGGGTGATGGGCCAAGAACCGGATCCATTCTCAAATATCACTGCATATTCTACTTGATGCAGATTTGCCTAGAGATCTAGAAAGTAGCAATTGGACATCATATATGATCTCAACTTTGTGCTGATTCACTTCACTAAAGTCTTCAAACACGAACCTCTCTGTTCTTCATTCCGACTTCACGTGTCTCGTCCTCCCATAGAGAGTTATTTCCCTGTTTGAAAAGCTATGGCATATACAGTACATCAGATTTACTGTCGGGGCTGAGAGTCGCTTGCTCTCGACATGCTGATGTAGAAATTACCCCGCCAAGATTCAGGGGCTCGCCAACAGCAATGCCCCTAAATTTAGCGAGCTTCGTCATAAATACACAGCAGTCATGCTATTGCTACATTCCTTTTGAGCATATACATCCAAAAACAGAACAATGGAGGATCATGGAGCGAAGAAAAATAAGGAAGGTCTGCTTTGACTGCTCTGCTGAGATTCAACCAATATTCTTTTTATCCTGATGCAGTGCTCAGACATCAAATAGCAGAGAATTGCCGAGAACATTCTTGATTTCAAGTATTCGAGGGAACGTTCCCTCGAATACTTGAAATGCTACTAGAGCACTCTCATCGATGTCAATCTGGTCATCCTATATACTTACTTGGAAAGCGTTGAAACAATTACATCCAGACGTGTGCATCGCAAAAAGAATGACAACTGCGCGAGTATCCACCTCCACGTAATCTCTCAACGTCGAAATGATCAAACTTCGTTGCCTTCGACAAATAGACTAGAGAGGCAGTCTCCATGGTCCAGAAGAAAAGGACCACATATTACTTGTCCACCCGAAAGGCCAAGTCGGCCGTTCATAGGCTGAGGATTCCTGAGCCGATCGACCGACATATGAACTTTTTAGAGCGGAGTGACAAAGGGGAGTTAATCTCATCTACACGGTGCTGATCGGTTAGATGTCTGAATGGCCACTCTGTCAATGATAATGATGGCCTTGTGTCGAAAATCTGCCTCGAGCGGGTTGCCCGACGTTTTTCTTTTTCGTGGCTTGCTCAGTGGCTTTCGGTAGCTGGCCTCAGCCCCAAACCATTCCGACACTTCACCTGACCTCTTTCGCAACCCAATTCACGACAGAATTCTCAAGGTCCCCAGATAGACGTGATCATCTCCACCCGCATCAATCATCATGCCTTTCAACGGGACATGTAATGACACTCTGGTCGACCTCCGCAGTAAGCACCTCCCCACCAACCCCGTCACAGCCTCTCCTGACACATTTCAGTTGGCGCTTCCGAAGTGCCCGTTGTGGGATCACTCACTTTTCACTCTATAGCACTCATCATAGACCTATCTTGTATGATTCTCGGCATCAGTCTGAGCCTCTATCTCATGTTCAGACATGCTCTGAACTACACCGTCCCAAGGATACAAAAATAGTACGTGCCCAAACCTCTCAGCCTCGCCACGTCACGATTAATGTCCGATAGCCTCATTCGAATTATTTTCATGATACCAGTATACTCGTTGTGTACGTTCTTATCGGCATATTTCTACTGGTATGCGGCGTATTTCCAGTTCATCAGCGCAGCTTATTCGTCTGTGGCGGTGACGGCCTACTTTTCGTTGCTATGTCATTATGTTGCGCCAAATTTGCATGAGAATGAGAATTATTTCAGGAAGCTCACTCCTGAACCTTGGGGGAACCATTTCCCTGTACCGGTTGCTTGGTTTAGAGCTTGTTGTTGTGGGGAGGCGGGGCCGTGGAGGACCCCGCGCAATGGATTGACTTGGTTCAATGTAAGCAAAATTCTGGGAATCTTAGTTGTGCTGACGGAGAGTAGATTCTGTGGATTGCAGTCTTTCAGTATAGCTTCTTTCGAGTTTCGATGTCTATCATTGCTCTTATCACGCAGTATCTGAAGAAATATTGCCAGTCGTCAATGTCCCCAACCTCCACTCACTTCTGGGTATGGTTCTTCTCCCCATTATCCTTAGCCAATACTGACCCAGAAATTGACAGGTTATACTAGTAGATGTCTTCTCCGCGGCAATAGCAATGTATTGTCTCACCCAATTCCACTGGCAAATGAAAGATGCTCTCGCAGCTCACCGAGCCGGACTCAAACTTTGGTGCATCAAGCTCGTCTATGCATTCTCCCTGTACCAAAATGTACTACCCAAGACCTCATATTCCTGATGCTTGCCACTGACACGGATAGCTCATCCTCTCCGCCATCACCTCACACTACATGCCTCGTCCTTTGGAAGCCAATCCAACCCATATCCTTGCGTATCCCGACATCAAAATCGGTATTCCGACCCTAATGCTAACATTCGAGCTCTTCATCATGGCTATCTTGCACTTGTTTGCATTCCCGTGGCAGCCATACAGTACGCTACAAGAGCATACTGGGCCGAATCAAGGGGGTGTGTGGGGGTGGAAGGCATTTGGAGATGCGCTGAACGGGTGGGACCTCGTGACCGCTCTTGCTAGGGCTGTGATGTTGATCTTTATCAAGAAGAAGAGAGACGAGGGCGAGTATGTTGAAGTGGGGAGGGAGTCGGAGTGGTGGAGTTTCTGGTCGAGGAAAGGTGGAGCGTCTGTGGCGGCTACGGAATTGGATATATTTGGTGATGAGGCGAGGTTGATGGCTCCATTTTCTGGTCATCGTTGATATTGATTCATTGTTGGTAATCTGCTGAGCAGCGAACCATACATGATCTGATGGTCGTGTATATAAGTATCGACGCTGGAAATTTACACAAGGCGGATCTCCTCAAATTTAACACCATGGTCTCTTGTGAGGGCATCAGAGAGATGTCTCGGATCCTGATAAGTTTCTACGTTGGCATTCAAATCGTGAAAGATCATTTCTCGCCTTTTGCCTTGATCATCGTATTCCGATGGATAGAGCTCACCATCTTCATCTAGGTAAGCTATTTCCCCTGTAGCCAACGTTATTTCAGCGTTCATATTATTAATCCAGCCCGGACGAATGTCGAAGACCACTTAGTCTACTAGTCCAGAAAATAATACCGGGGCTAGGTAGCCAGAAGAAAACCTAATTATCTTACAGTTTCTGGGGGGTTTAGTTCTCAATCGGGGGTCTTCTTGTTGCGGGTGCCTGCCATTCTGCACATATACTACTATACTTTGTCCCCCCAGTATCCTGTGTTGGATAGACCAGTTGGTAGGTAGTGGTCCTAGAAATGCTTCCATGTGCATCATGCCATGAACATAGCAGTCGCCTCCTGTCAGATGATAGTTCTCTGGAGAATGTGCAATTTCCCTAACTATTATAGGAGTTCGCTTGCTCTCTGCCACAAAAACCCTGTCTCCGGCTTTAACAGACGGAGAGCAGAGTCCCAAGTACCCTGCTTTGGTGTGAAATAGAGATCGACCAGGAGTGATTTCGTGCAAGACTCTCTTGTATAAGTCAGTGCCATCATTTTCTTCTCCGTTCCATATGCCTTGAAGAGAGGCGGCGCAGAACGCAGGATCCAACCATTCTTCCGGCATCATAGTAGGGAGATGCTCAAAGATGTTGCAGACTAAAGTGCTCGCAAAGACCTCCTTGTAGTCAGCTTTGTACTTATATGTGTGAATTGACTCTGTGCTCCAACTTCGCACAACATTGACAACATCGTCTCGACTGACATCCGTGGGGCAAGCAGGATAGACATCATCAATGTCATCAATAAACATACCCTTTACCAGGAGGAAATTATTATTACTCTCCGGATCCACGGCCAGGCTTGAATAGTAATCGACATCGCCTCCAGCTTGCGCAATTCCTTGATGTCCTATCGGATTTGGCAAATCGACTAGTGACGGGTTCAGAGACCACGAATTTTGTTCCGATTCTTGATAATTGCACAGTTCCAATATGTTCAGGTTTTTTCTCCAAGATACAGCAGCCATGGTCCAGGCTCGATAGGTTTCTTGTGTGCTCAAAGACCTTCCCGGCATGACAAATGGAATATTGAAGCGGGACAGAAGACCTAGAAGTCCATGGAATCTATCCCGCGGATCAGAACACTTCAAATGCTTGGTTCTGATGAGTAGGTCATGTAAGAGGGAGTCCGTCGGAGGGGTCAATATAAGCAATACACGCCAGAAAAATGTTGGATCGAGGATATTCCTTAGTGTACTCTTTGAATTTAAAGTTATACGAAAATAAATCCAGTTGAAAGCGCGAAAGAACCTGCGCCAAGGAATGGATTCACACCCGACAAAGACTGTTGCATCAGCTGCTAAATGGGCTTCCTGGTAGACCCACAGTCTAGTGAACCATTCTCGATGGAGAAGATGATTGATAGCAGCCCAATCGTGAATCCTGTCTAGTTGAGCCTGAGAGTCCCTTTCTATTTTTCTAGATTCATTCCCGAACAGTGTCCGCTTATAACGTAGGTCGACGGAATGATAAGGCTCACTTATTTGTACATCTTTGGCGATCATCTCCAGTCGATGTATAGCAAGTGCACTATTGTCAGCCTCAATTCCGAGCCAGATGGCTACACTCCGCGCCCGTTGGTAGATGTCTCCCATTCGAGGAAGCTGTCTACCTTTCTCTTCATCGTCTCTCTGATTTATACAAATGGCATCAACCCACAATACCCGCCGCCGAACAGAGTATCGCAAATGTCGCAGGGCAACCTCCAGATTACGTGTTATGGGCATCGATGTCCAAGTCTTGCGAGTGCTGAACGGAGAATCGTCCGACTTGTCACAGACACAGATTGTTGCTGGATTTTCTTCGGAGCCCCATACATAAGACAGTGCTTCATACTTGGGCTGAGCCTCCTCTGAAAATGCCTCGTGGGAGATGAGAACTTTGATCTCGTCGCGAAATCGACCGGGCAGCAAACATAGGAGTCGAAGGCGATCACCGGCCAGGGGCGAATAACGATATCGCTCCATAGTCTCAGATCGTGTCCAGGAATCCGACGAACTCATGTAAATTCAATGGGTTACAAAGTGCTTTTGTAGAGAAATCGAGGTGGTGATGATGTCGAAGTTGCTTGAGGTGTGTGGCGCAGCGACCCTACGGTAACAACGACCTGGATATTTACTAGATAAATTATCCAGTTATTGTCCAGGATTTATCCAGCTACATTTTGTACAGAAATAATCCAGTGCAAGTCCAGGATTTTGTCGGCATTTATCCAGAATATGGGCCCAAAAACCGTCACTTATTTATAGAATAAAATGTGTGCCTGAGAGCCTGAATATTATAATGAAACTATTCCCAGTTTCCGGCACGCTTGCCTGCCACTCCTGCCTGCCACTCTTGCCATGCCCTCCTCCCTCCACTCCTCCCCTGCAGTCTTACTTGTGTGATAAACGCGCTCTGTAAGAGAGTCAGTACTGTGGATTGATGCTGCAGATGGTGTCACATACCTGGATTCAGAGGGAGATTGAGAGAAGAGATGCATGCATACTTACTATTGAAACAAGAAGAGAGATGCATGATACAGACTTACTGTAGAGACTTACTGTAGAAGCTGAGAGAGTGAAAGAGGGTGTGGAAGCTGAGGGTGAAAGTTTGTTTATTTTAGCTAGCGCGTTTATTATTTACTTAATATGCATTTAGTTTGAATTTATCTAAGGGCTCCAAATCCTAGATAGATTAAAAGAATAAAACAAATATCCAGCATTTATCCAGGATTTAGAACATTTAAAATCTCAAGGTGAACGAAGCCTACTCGAATTTAAAGAATTGTCCAGCTTTTATCCAGTAAAGCTCAATGAAAATCCAGGAATCCTATACAAATCCTAGATTAATGCTGTACAATATGCTCCCGTAGGGCGAACGCTTTAGCCGTATGCTGTTTACCTGAGCTTGCAATGTCAGACTTTCAATGAAGCATCTTCTTCTCGATAGAGGGAGCCAATCCTGCGCCTTGCTAGGACAAAATTCTCCTTTCCCATCCTCGATTGAGAAGAAAGAACAGAAAGGACACAAATGAAATCTGTCGCACTGCAAAGCAAGCGATGCCCCCACCAAGTTTTGGTTGACCACCAGGACTGCCAACATCAACCACAAAGGAGTAATTTCTCTGAACACAGCTTCACGTATCTAGGAAGTCAAAATTACAATAACCAGCCTCAAACAGAGGAATTATCAACGAAATATTTCGTGCTTCTACCCTAAAGTTCGAAGCGCGGGGTAACTTCTACCCCTCTTTTTCTAATCTTGACTTTCAATACCGCCTTGATTGCGTTTTGAAATAGTATTTTATAACCGATTTTCCCCTCCTCGCCATCTGATAAAAGACATCTAATTAACTGACAGCCCTATATCTTATATAATCGTATTCCTTATTCCAGAATTATATCTTAGAAAACAATTAATACGGTATCTTTCCATTGGTTTAGCAAACATTTACACTCTTTACTCTGATGTAGCATTTTAATACCAATACATGACATCTGCACCTACTTTTGATGTCGAATGACCACATCTACGTTCAAGTATGACTACACATATTCAAATATGGCTACACATCCTAGTATAAGCTCACCCACCTACATCCCACCACACCGGGTATTGCCACAACATCTCCTCTTCCAACTCCCCAAACCACATTGAACCTCACCCCACCTACTGCAACGGACTCTTACAAACAAACGAATTCGACGCCCCACTAGCAAACGCTTGTTTCACAATCTCAATCCCCGCATACGCCCCCAGCGCCGCCAACGTGAGCGCACCCCCCGTATAAAAGAAATTAAAGATATTCATCCACCAGAACTTCCCAAAGAAGCCTCTGATCCACCTCTTCGGGCCCTTATCCTTCCTTGCGTAAGGGCCAGTGGCCGGATCAAAGCCTTCTTCGGGGAGCATGGCGTTTCGCTTCATGTTGTAGGCGATGCTAAGGAAGGGCGGGAAGGTGAATGTGAATTGCAGGATGCAGATGGCGGATACGATGCCGGAGAGACCGGCGAATGCGGGAATACCCGCACCGATGGCGAAGGCGATGGACCAGTAGACTGGGATCATACCTGTCCAGATGATCTTGCCGGCTTTGGTGGTGAGACCTGGGGCGTGGAACCACTCGACGAATATGTTGTTGTAGATAACTGGGCACGGTTTATTAGCCGAGATTTGAGATGGTGGAGGATGAGAAATTTACCTTTGATGCCGATGTTGCCGTAGAGAGCAGCGGCAATGGCGGATGAGATCATGGCAAATACATTTCCAGCAGTTTGGAAATTATATGGCCCGATACCCAAGAAGCTGGGGTTGATAACATACTGGCCTATTTAGAGTTAGCGAACTGTATTTTGCGTTGCCTCTGCAAAGACTGTTGCGTGGGGCTTACCTTGATATCCGTACATAAAGAGACCGTAAAACATATATACAAGGTAAATGAAGCTTTGAGCAGCCCACATGCCCTTCAAAAAATCTCTCGGGTATCTCATCTCAGACATGAACTCAGGGAAGATCATAGCACCTCCATATGAAAAGACGGCTTGCATAGCAGCATTGACAGATCCTGCAAAGGTAGGAGATGGTGGAAGTCCATTGGAGTGTTGGACTGCGGGATATACCCCATTCACGGCTGTGACCGATGTCCCATTGTTGAGAGCAGCACCGATCGATTGTGATGCACCCAAGTAATTGGGAGCAGTGTGTGCAGCGGCGCCCATGGTGATAATCATGCAGATAACGTTCAGCCACACTGCTGCATTTGCTAGCCAACCAAACTTTTGCAGCGTACGAACCTGGCCTAGGATAAAGCCCGCTAAACACCAGACGAGACAGCAAACGGCAAAGCAGAGCTTGAATTTGGCTGCTTGAGAGAGTGCCTCGCCATTAGAGACTACGATGAGACCAACGTTGAAGACCAATTGTAAGGCTTGAAGAACGTTGAATATAAAGCGCAGCCACGGCCCATATAGTCGCTGTCCCATGTCTCCGTAACTCTTGATGGGATACTCATAGGAATCCATTCCCATGAATATGGTCCACAGTAAATAACCTGAGTATATTGCCAGTCCAGCGAAAACGGTAAAGAGAGCAACTCCGGGACTGTGAAATAATAGTGTTAGTAAATGATGGACAGTTCAGAAAAGCAATGACAAATGCACTCACCCCCATCCCATACCAGCAAATGCATATGGAAGACCAAAAGGACCAAGAATATCCGTTGTAATCAGATAGAAGATAGCACTCTTCGTGGCAGTTCGCAAAGCCCTGCTTGCATTCGTCCATTCATCGTCGCTGATTTGCAGTCGGGCCCTTGGATCCGCCAAAGTCATATCATGAGCGAGTTTCGCGCCATGCTTCTCGTCGGCTGTGACATTTCCTGCTCCCATTCCAGACTTGCTGGGAAAGATCATCTCCAGCCAACCTTGCGTGCCCTTGATGTCAGCGACATGCGCCTCTTCCTCTGCGCGAGTCTTTTCGGCATAGTAAACGAACTCCTCGAAGCTGATCGTGTTGTCGTAGAGAGGCCGAGTGACTGGTCTGACTAAGGCCGCAGTACGATTGCCCTCGACGAGATCGTGGCCATCCTTTTCTGGGGTCTCGAGCCCCTTCTCTGGCTCTCCTTCAACATGGAGACGTGGATCACCGCCATCCAAGGCGAGAGCTGCAAGAGACATAATTGCTCAAGTTTTGTGTACTCAAAATCGCCGAACACAACTAGCAATGATGGGAGGACTCTGGAAATGCGATATATTGATGTCGACATTTGAGACGGGGAAATGTCTCGTATATGAAGAGAGCTTGCAGGTTTCCATGCAAGGAAGGTGTGTGGTAGTGCGGCACAGGAAGTCGAGCTGCCATATCTGGTATGACGGTGGTGCCGTACGCCTTTTGCCCCTTGTCTCACCTCAAAGCATGATTGCCGTAGGGTGAACATCCGACATGGAGATACGAAGAACCATCGTATCATGACAGATCTTTCTTATCTGGACGAATTAGGATCCAACATCTAATTGCGCCGAGGTACTACAGATCGGTTCCGCCGTCTGACCTGTTCATTCGCAAGTGCTTATGGTTAATGAAGCTGTACTCTCGAATTGGATAAAACCACTCCAAATTGACTTGATGCGGACGGCAATTGATCTACAATGTGGCGTAGCGGATAGAAAAAGCTTGGTACCCTTGGCAAAGCTTATCTTTCTCTATCCGAGGTTGGAGTGTGGGGAAAAGCGCATAGAGGCGGAAGAAACCTCCTTTTCTGCCGGAATGCATGCGATAGGACAGGAAGACACGAAGTGGGAATAAAGCGGCGCAGAATTGACTAGTTAAAATGAAGAAGGGAGTGAAAATATCAAAGAAAGTGTCTCAGCATAAGTTTGACCGGGCTCGCAAACTTCCGTCTTACTTTCACGTGAGTGGTACCGCACTCGGGATGTTACAAGGTGACCTTGCAGCTTAGCTAGGATCATACAATGGGAGAAAACAGCAGGTGCAATAAAAGAAAAGCTAACCCGAGATTACTAGTCAAGAATCACTTAAGATCATATTGGTTCGAGCTTCAATAGTGACCGTACATATCTGCCACCACCATACATGAAGAATTGACCATACATATCCGCAAAGCATATCTCACAACTCTCCCTTCTCCTCCAAATGTCTCACGACAGACGTAAATTCATCCACTGCAACTCTGTGAGCATCACCTGTTGTCATCCAACAGGAAAAAAAGAAAGCCAACACTCACAATCCATTTCGTGACTGCCGACACTGACGCCGACGCTATCGCACGCAGCCTCAATGGTAGATTCATCCACCGATTTTCCCGTCAACTTCTCCAGAGCTTCGGAGGCTTCAGAGACGCTGAGTCCATCGTCGTTATCGCCGTCGCCGCGCTCGAAGGCATCTTTGATATCAGACTCGGATGCCTGCGGAATGCGGGGTCAGATCAGCCCCACAATCTGGCATGAGAGACAAGCATGAGATCGACTAACCATTATTGATGTTGTTTGGTCGTGTAGATAGAGTTTCGAGGAGTATATCTTCAGGTTTTATGTAAGTTGTGATGCAAATATCAGAGATGCAAAAGGGTGGAAAGGTTGGTGTCTTTTTGTAAAGATTGGGCTTGGATGACGTCGAAGTGGCTCAACCAATGGCCCCACCACGTGAAATTCGAGCCATTGAGATGAAGATTGTCACGATAGCGACATTGACAGCTTCTACAGGTTCAAATAGAGTTTTGACAGTGAAGAATGCACGATATATTCTTGCGACATCGCATTCCCTGCTCAGAGAAGCATTGGAAGATCAGCTCAAAGGTCTATACACGTGACCTTTGCAGATTCCTCTTAGATAGCTGCTGTTCACTTGTTACTGAGCCATTTACCATACACTATACCTCGTCCTCATTTATCAATGTCGCTTGTCGGATCGATTCTCCCCCAAACCATCAACAATCATTCACAAGCTTCTCTATTCTAACTTGCCCAATTTTCAACTGTAGCCGATCGGCGATTCCTTATTACCAACCAACGAGCCTTCTTGTAAGCAATTAATCTTTTCTTAGAGATTAAGCGTTGCTTGAACAGAGACACCGAAGAATGCGAGATGAACGTCAACGCAGTTCATTGTGGTTAAATAATTCCATGCTAAAAAAGCATCCAACGCTATCCAACCAACACCTAGAAATGCATCTCAAACTCCAGTAAACCATGCACCGCCACACAAAGGTATCCAACCTCAAATAGGAACAACCGTGGGCTCTGTAACCTCGAGTCTAGCCAACCTCACTACTGGTCTCTGCAAATCATCTGCGTGAGTCGGCTCGCAGTCTTTCAGGTAAGAAGGATGAATGTCCGCCTCTGTCAGCACTCTACCTTCTCCCTTAGGCTTCTCTACCTCCTCCTCAACTTTCCCCTCAATCCTATCAAACATCTTTTCAAAGATATTCTTGACCCCAACCATCTGCGCAGTCGGATCCTCCACCCAATCGGTGAAGCTCAAATCCTTTGGTCCCCCTCGATACCTCTCCCTGAACTTCTCCAAGAAATCACTCCTCTTGAACATATCGACCCCGCTCGAGTCATAAAGAATCAACTCCTGCAATTCGTAGAAAACCCAGCATCTCTTCTTGCAATAGTCCCGCAAGTTGTCTTTCCAAAGCGACCCATTGACATCCACAGCCAAGTGCTTCAATCGGCCCCCCGCCCGCGACGCCAAATTCGAGAACGCAACGAGATTCCAATACCCTCTCGGGAGCAGGATATCGACCGAGTAATTGATATAAATCCTAGCCGAGACCGTGACCGAGATTCCTTTCGGGAGAGTCATACCCGTGGCGAACTCCAAGGTATAGTGTTTCAGGGCTTCTTTCCGAGACTCCGAGTTCACTCGGAAGATGGGCGGCGGTGGACGGTGGGAGAGTTCACATTCGTAGGCTTGGGTGTAGAAGATGGTGTTGGCGATTTCGCAGCGCTTGAAGTCCGTCCAGAGGTCGAGGGCGCGGGGTTCTTGGTTTGCCACATGGCCCCAGATTTTGTTTCGGAGCTCTGGAGGGAGGCGAGGGAAGGGAGAAAATTCGGACATTGTGGTGAGTGGTTAATGATATGGTGGAATAGTGAGGTGAAGGTAGTACTCTGTATCGAGGAATGCGGGGCGATATCGCTGAAACTGGGGCTCGAGTCAATCGAGCGAGTTTGCAAGGCTGTCGTAAAGCTGATGATTATGTATCGTTTGCTTATATCTTGTTTGTTGGGGTTATTGATATTGATTGGTGTCAAAAGTTTGTGTACAGACTTTCTCTCGTTTTGTGGAAGCGACGATTGGTGATGCAGCTTGGTAACGTGACTTCATTGAAAGAAGTGGTTCGCTTATGCATAGGATTGTGAGTCTTGGTGGACTGGGTTCGAGTATGAAAAAACAAGGAAAAGACTTTATTCAGCTAAGCCGTCACGTGAAGTAATTGAAGGAAAACCTCTTTAAAGAGTATAGGCCTTTGGAGTCTTTGCAAGTGAACGACTTGGATGAACGGTTTAAGTAGGTTCTGTAACATAAGTTCTTTGTGCTGATTATTGTCTATGCTTGTGAAGTATGTCCACGAATTTGTTGTACGGTTTGGGGACATTGTGACAGCCACGCACTCTGGACTAGGTATCAAGACGTACCCACTCATCTGTGAATAATAGACAAAGAACTAAGAGAGTGGAAGAGTGCTGAGGCCAGATAAGCTGAATCCTCAGCACTAGCTCAAACATTAAATGAAACATCTCACGTGATATACCCGATGATATCACCAGAACCGTGACAGACATTTGATGCCGGAAAGCGTTGTTACTAGCATAGAACAATTAATAGAAGTATAACAATTAACGGAAGTACAAACATGAATAGATTGCTTCAAAAGTCAATAACCGTCGCAATAAAAAGAGCTTTAACAGTACAAAACTTGCAATTGATTCCATTCAATCACTTGACCTGAGGATAATTGCGGATAGCGGAGTTTGACGCCGTTTGCGCGAAGTCCCCCACCATTGCCACTAGGGCATGAACTAACCATTTTAGCCCACAAAAGCTATTTACCGATAAAGTCTTCATATATTTTAATAAGAAAAAGGCCGCCAACGAATCAAAAGCCTCACGCCCTCGGTCGTCTAGTTGGTTTATGGCGTGTAAGTGCCTTAAAAGATTCCCTCAGTCATTACTTAGTACTGACATATGATATTCTAGCCGGCTGTAATTGTTCAGTCTTACCGGAATGTCGCGCGTTCGACTCGCGCCTGAGGGACACAAGATTTTTGCTGTTTTTTTTTATTTTTTTTTTATTATTTTCTCTTCACTCGCATGGTTCGCGCATTCGTTTGCTACTCAGTAATATTAGACTTTATTTCTTAGTTTTCATATAATCTTCTCATGTATATCCTCACCCCTTCCTCCTCTTGATTATATACACCTCGCTTATGCCAATACATTCACTTTCTAGGCCCCAGAATGCTGATGATCAAGATGTAAACATACTTCACCTTTATCCGTAACAAAATGGTGGACAACAGCAGCTTGGACCACAGCGAGTTCGGTTCATTACGTAGTTAAATAAAACCGAGAGAGCGCTGAACATGAAGCCGCTGAAACTTGGCAGCAGTGACATAGAGTAGGAAAGCAGGGGGTCAAGTCCACTTCTCGTGAGCGAATGCGACCAAGGATATTCCACTTTTTGTGCTGCTTACTTCATAGCTGGCGACTATATTGTACGGATTTGTGGATGGCAACTTCTGAGCAGATGCAGCGACAGTCTTACTGAAACCAGAATAGAAAGGCGACTTCTTTCCTCTCACAACCGAGAAAATGAACACGATGTAGGGAACAGAGAAGAAGTTTCATCATGAAAAGGGTATGCATTCATTATAACTACTCCTCGCTACCGCTCCCACCATCAGTCTATGCAGTTCCCTCCTAAGATCAAGTTAGTATCATTCCAACACGTTCTGAGATGAACATACCTTTCTCTGCCCAACAAAGAACCCTAACCCAAAGCTCTCCGTCGTAAAAGTAATCTTACTTCCCTTGGGGACTACACTATCATCAGCACGTCTCCTCTCTCCTGTATACTTTCACTCACAATAAAACACATCCCCCTTCGTCGCATGAACCTTCTGTCCCGTCTCATCACTGATATCAAACTCCCCATCGACAATGATCTTCATCTCATGATACGTATACTCATACACCAACGGAGTTCCCTTCTCTAATCTATAGAAACCTGCCGAGATGGGGGCTGTGGCATCGGTAGAGGTAGCGACGTCACCGAGATACGCATTCTCGTTCGCGATAAGGGGAGGTTTGAACTCTGTTTGAGCACCAGCGAGGTGGGTGAATGCTAATGAAGCCATGGTTTTCTCGGGAGTATGGGACTTGGCTTTGGTTTTGCTGATGAGGGAACCCATGTTAGAGATGATGATGGCAGATGAAGGGAAAGAGAGGAAGAGGGCTTGTTGACATACCTTTATCGTCGTCGAAGGTGGGAGATGCTTGACTCGAGTGTGCCTGTTGATAAGTAGAATGCAGATCTGGATATGATATCTTCCTTCGTACAGCTTGCAGGAAGAGATCTTTTATACAAACCACTGATGAGGGGTTAAGAAGATGTTCACCTACCCCACTATAGCAAGCTTACCCCTCGGCCAGAGCCGCAGTGGTATCAATGGACTCCATTGCTGCTTTGGGAGTTGGGATTACGCCAAGTCCGTGGAGTATCCAATCCAAAGGAATGGCTCGGGTACTCTGCGCCTCTTCTGCCGAATTGTGAGGACGAACAACTGGGTTGGATTGCCGTCCGCAGATGAGAAACAAGATTCTTGGTTCTTCGGCGTTTGTTGATGATAAACGTAGCCTATACCTTTCAGCTTCTTACCAGGACTCGCCGTGAAGGCTGAAGAGGCGATGAATCTGCTTTGGGGGATCTGCGAACGCAGTGGGATATCTGCAGTGGTTCTAGAGACAGCTTGTCGTGAATGGGCTCTCAACTTCTCCATATCGCGATAAGACATGAAAGATTTCCTTAACTTGATTCGGAAAATCTATCCCGATGCGGCCGCTAGCGGCATCTCTCTCATCCACTTCGGTTTCTCTTCTCGACCTTCAACAATTTTCGGTGATATCAGAAACCATGCATTAAGTCGCGAGATGGTCGATATTATCCTTGTCATATCGGTGCTGTCAGTTACTCCACAGCACTTCGTTGCTGCTTCCGAGTTTGGCACGTGTTCATCTCTGAGCCACAAGACAGAGAAATTCAGCAATGCTTGCTCGATTGATCCTAAATTCTCGTTTGGAATTGCTTTGCTCGATATCCTTAGATTATTGCAATTCTGAATTCTTTCGTTCTACTTCAGCATGCTCTGAAGAAGCATCATCTGTGCTAGATCCTCTCCTGGGGAGCCTCGCCTGATCACGCTTCTCATCAAGTGAGAGGATCCATCAATGCCACCCATATCTGGCGCCCCCCCAAACTGCGTTCGTCTCTGCATCATTTTCACAGGCGTTTTCATCAAATGCGACGCTAAGTCAATCCTTCAGCAAGTTTTTAATATGGGAGATATCGGAATTGTCCCATGACACTGAGCCGATATCTCGTGTGCAGGAGTAGAGGTTTGACTCGCGCTGAAAGTAAAGCTTAGAATTTTATTTTCCTAGTCTCTGTTCATTTATTGATTTGTGTCGAAGATACTATGATAAGTTGCAACCTTTTCGCAGTTGGCGTACAGAAGGAGATGTCTTTCTTCCACGGCCTGCTTTTAATCGATGAAATTCCAGGATCAGTTGGCATAAGTTGCATCTTTAGATACCGACGTAAATATCTCACAAAAGTAAGCTTCAAGGAAAGTGATCCTCGAAGACATTGCAAATTGCCAATGTATTCAGGTTCATAAAACTTGGCTGAGGGATACCGGCCCGATAGTTCTCCCGCCCCGGATGGCATTCTATATCCCAGACATGCGGATCAATCTATCTCGCATAATACACGATGCAGATTCCAAGATTTTCCAAGAATCCCGTAAAATGCAGGCAGATCCATCTAAGTAAAGGTGTTTCAGATATCACTCTCGCTTGTAGTATCCGAGGGCAAAAGGAGAAGCGAAACGGGTCCTTCACTTCACTCAAGTCCTCCAAATCGAGGCAGAGGCACAAACAAGAACAAACTAGTCAAGTCAAGATTTACAACAAGTAAAATTAAATCCTTTATACAACCCTAATCTGCCCATCCTCCTCACTCCCCCATTAATCACCAATCGTACTCTCACCCCCCGCAAACCTCTCACTCAACACCTGCGTCCCAAGCACCTCCCCCGCACCCCCTACCCACACAAAACTCACCACACTCAACCCATTAAACGGCTCATACACAAACTCCAACTTCTGCGCCGGCTTGCCGCCCAGCGTCACCGTAACATTCTCCCCATTGAACGTCATATCCTTCAAATACGTCCCCACCGTCGTCTGGGCCCTGATATTCCCGTCGTTATCCAGGTACTGATCCACGATATCGCCGTTCTGCTCCAAGATCCGGTTCTTGTGCGTATTGCCCGAGTAATCGTTCGACGAGAACAGCACGTTGTGCGCGAGATCGTACGGTACAGAGCGTTTCAAGCTCGAGGTGGCGCCGGTGAGCGCCCCGACCGTCGTGTTGGTGATGTTCGTCAAGTCCTGGCCCAGCGTAGCAAGCACGGGGTTGAGATCGAGAGAATGGAGAATATCGTCAATCATCAAGACCAGATTTTCTAATCTAGCTTCGAGCAGGACTTTCGCGGTGACGTTCTGGATGGTGAGCGATACGCGGTCGATGCTCAGATCCACGCCCGCGTTGAAGGTAAGCAGGTTCAGGACCTGGGCGTCGAGGTTGATTTTCGCAGATAGGTTGGCGACCAAGATGTCGATTTCGCCAATGTGCACCGAGGCGTTGAGATACACGTCTGGAGCCGGGTAGGTGGTTGATACATTGGCGGGCGTGTCTTCGGTGTCGTAGGTAACGGATTCGGGGTCTGAAGAGAGCGTGAGGTTGTAGCCCGTGTAGCCCGTTGAATTGCTGCTCGATATCGAGGACTGCGCATCCGTGAGGCTGAGGAGGGGAAGGAGAGTAAGAAAGAGCGTCGTGTAATTGAGTATAGAGAACATCGTGTCTTGGGCCGTAGTGGTGTGTGTTGTAACGAGAGACTGACCACGAGCTTTCGAGGAAGGGGACAAGTGAACGAAAGAAAGAATGATAACCAAGAGAGTTAGGTTACTTGCCCGCGACGACGAGAACAGCAAGCGAACCCAAATCCAAAAATTAATCTCCGTCCCTCCTACCTACCTATACCCAAAAACCTTGGAAACTTCCTATGACTTCCCAATTCCCCCCTCACCGTTACATGAAACGAAGCACTAAACCTCTTTCTCCCCCTTCATCACCCATGTCATGCGTCCACCGGAATCATACCACCAATCACCCCCCTGGCCGCGGGGTAAGCGAGCTGCCCGCTAAACAAACGCATAAACCCTACTTACCCGACCAACATTTAACCTCCGACAAGGAACTTCCCCCTATTCACAAATTCCCATCTCGAATCTCGAACGAGAAAACAGGTTTTCCCCCACCCATCCAGAGAAAGGCCATCTTCGGCGCGGCTCCCGATTCGCGCGTCGCCATTTGCCGGTGCCCTTGCGCATTGACGCGAAATCTTATTCGGACATGGAGGTTTTCCCTTTGGCTTCCTTTTCATGCATGGGATTTTAACGTTGGCACCGCAGCACTGCACACTCTGCCGTCATCAGGGGTGGAGTGACGCTCCGGGATCATGGCGCAGAGGGGAAGGGGAGAATAAGTTTAATTTCTTTCGCGCATGCTACCTTACCAGTCAGCTATTTTCTCGTCCGTCGTCGCGAACCAAGTTTCTGCTGCGGAGAGGGACAAGTTTGTTCTTGAACTTCTTTTCTTTCTTCCTACCTTCCCTCACTCACCTCCTCTTCTCTCTACCACACCCTCTGTCGCGGTCGATTTGAAGTGAGAAGAAGTTCTCAGTCACTCGTTCATTCATTCATTCATTCATCAACCATCACCACAATGGCACCACTACACTCATTCCTGCTCGTCCTCCTCACCCTCTTCACCACCACCCTCTCCCAGAGCAGCAGCGTCTCCCCATCCTCCACCGTCCCCTCCGGAACGAGCTCTGTAGCCACGACATCCATCCCCTCGACACCAGCACCCACCTCATCCTCCTCCTCCTCCGCAACCGCCTCCAGCAACTCAACCGCATCCTCGGTCCCCACCGCGTCAAGCAACTACTCATCCGCGCCAGACGTCCTGCTCAACGTGCCCCAGCTGTCCGTCGGCCGCATCGAGCTGGACGTCGACAATCTGCAAGCGGACATCAACTTGAACGCCCAGGTCGCTAACTTGGTTACCATTAATGCCGGCGTACAGGTGTCGGTGCAGAAGATTAATATCACGATTAGTGATGTGGAGGCGCAGTTGGAGCTCATTGTGAGGTTGGGGCATCTGGTGGATATTGTGCAGCGGGTGTTTGAGAGTTTGGATTTGAATCCGTTGTTGATTACTGCGTTGAATGATGTTACTAGTGTTGTGAGTACTTTTCTTCTTCTTCTCGAGACATGACTTTACTTTGGAGAAAGATTGAGGGATTGAGAAACATGGAAGGACGGAAAGAGTAGAAAACTAACAGAAAACAGGTCGACACAGTAATCGGCGCAGTAGACGGCCTTCTCGGCTCCATCACCCAAGGCGGCACGCTCCTAAACTTCGTCGTCGACTCCCTAGGCAACATCGTGCAATCCGTAACCAACACCGCCGGGCAAGCCGTCGACAGCATCGTCGGCAACTACCTCAACAACATGACCTTCACGGGCGTCACATCGAGTCTCGGCAACGGCCTGACGCAGAAACAGTACAGCTACAGCCCCTTGAACGCCTTGGTGAATATTGTGTTTAATGCCGCCGGCCAGATCGTGGGGCAGCCGAGCGTGGTCAAGCAGACGAGTACGGCGAGTAGTACGACGGCGTCGGCGACGGCGACGCCGGTTAGTTTGACGACTACTAGTGCAGCGACGACGACGAGTGCTTCTTGAGGGGGGAAGAGGTGTGTAGATATTTTAATGAATTTTTTGAGATTGAAATTTGAGTATGGAGTGAAAGGAGAACAAATTGGGTATCTGCACGCTGAAATAGCAAAGGTATCGACGCAGAAAGACGGCAGAAATCAAAAAAGCAACGCAATACAACGCCAACGGCAATTTCTCATCCAGTGATGAGGTATCATGCCTGCTGCCACAAGTGCGGTGTATCAAAAGCCGTGGTTCGCTTATAAGCTCTGTCGAAAGCTATCCCAAACTCGTCCCTTCAAATATGTTCTCCTTTGTTTGATGTCCTCCGTTGCGTGGAAGCAATGGGCGCTATATTGTTTATTGTGCTTCGATTTGGGACCGGACACTTCCTGTGGGTGTTGGGATTGAAAAAAATGGCATCGATACTTGGTCGAAGGGATTGATGTTCGAGGTCGAAAGACGATCTACAAGGACTAGATCATGCTTCGAGATGTCAGTTGTGCGGACCTCAAGAAGTATAGAGACAACATACCTGGTCCTGCATCCTCTTTCCCGTATGCCACCCCAGCACTCGCACCTCAAGCTGGCAGACTCTACAACTCTCCCAATCCACTCTCAGCAAACCATCCCTCCCCTCCCACCCTCACATCCTCCCCGCCCACGGACTCAAATTCGTCTCCCTCGCCTTCATAATACTCCTCACTGTCTCCTTCTCCTTCCTCTCCGCATCCCATCTCGCTTTCTCCAAAAACGCCTTATAATCACTCGTCTCCTCGCCCTCTTCCCCCGCCGCAGGACCCGAGACCGTCACTGCCGGCACTTTCACCTCCCGGATCGTTTCCTGGTGCGTGGTCGACGAGGACGAGGTTACGCGGTCGATGGACGGCTTGGTGCTTTTGGAGGAGGATTTCGAGCGCGAGCGCAGTTTCTTGAAGAACATTTTGATCTGAGGAGGTGCTGTGGAAGGGAATCGATGTGCGAATAGAATGGAGAAGAAACAATTGCACCACAACGAATCTTCTCGTCCCCAATCTGGATTCACGCCTCCTACCTTCGTTCCCAACTCCAAACTCTCTCAATCCAGCCAAGACAAGGCTACGATACTCGACAATCCTCCTGCAAGGCTGCGATGGAGCCTTCTAACGTTCGTATGCAGTGGACGAGCACGACAAAAGGTTAAAAATGACGTTATTCGCACGGGGTGGGATTGGCAGGATTGATGGGACGAAAAAGAAAATGAGGGGCAGGGGCCCTTTGTTATAACTTGGCGGGCAACACAGGCGAGGGACCCGCTGGAGGAGAAGCGGGCCAGTCAGCGTGCGGGAGCTAGAACTGCAGACAGACAGACAGACGGTCTGGAAGGGAAATGGTGGGGTGACGTATTGCCGGATGTGGTGTAGCGCGAGAGAGGAAAGGATATCTGCGAACCATTGGAATACTTGGAGGGGAGATGTGATATGGAGTCATATCAATTGGGAGAGTGTTGCTTGGAGTTGAAGGGTTTCGTGAGAGTGGACTGATGTTGGAGGGAAAGTGTTGGCCTTTGGTTGGGAGTCTGGACATTTTGTGGCGACAGGGATGGCGATAGTCTTCTCGAAAAGCCATGCACGTGAAGAGGGCTGGGCCTTGTGAGAGGAGGATGTGCCTTTGTGGCGACAGGGAGGAGAGGGAATATGATATAAGAGGTGGAGGATTTGTGTGATGGTGGAACGAGATTGATGATGGTGATGTCTTTGCGTGACATGCTGAGTCGGTGCTGGAAAACTCTTCAGCTGAGTTTGGTGCCTCGATGAGAAGTTTGAAGGGAGTTTGGTGTCGAGCAGTATGAGTTGGATAAGGATATATGCTTACCGTTGTATTACCATGGGAAAAAAAACGTTGTGGATGTAGGTGTGAGACATCTTGTAGGAGAATTGTGCTGTCCGAGGTGAGGAGGGATCTCGTGATCTTGAAGGAAAGCCCATTTCTAGATGTTTTTTTTTTGCTCTCTTTCTTTAATACATTGTCGTATGTTTGATTGGTTATTACTGTTAACCTAGAGATGCAACTCAGCGATATGAGATTTTCCCCCAAGGATATCTTCTCCATTAGCAGTCTAAATATCACGTGTTTCCATTTCTTTCAAAAACTTGAAGTTTCGGCACGGCTCTCTTGCTAATGAGCCGAACTGATTTTCTTGTTTTATTATGAGGCGGCCGAGGAAAGATTGTGATTCGGTGGTTTCCTTTGAGGCAACTGCTTGGGCAGAATTGCAGCGCGATGATGAAGAGTACCAAGGTGTTGGCTATTGAAAGAAAGCGGTTGTTGCGTACGCACTATTCTAACTCCGGCCAAATTTCTTGGTGACGTATCAGAAAAATGTTCAAGGCTTAGAGTTTGCAAGACTTCTTCAGGTGTCTCGTTTTCTAGGTTTCCTTCGGAACCAAGGGTATGACAAGTAATGTTCGCGAGAGTTTCTGTCGATCTGTAAAATTGGGATAATTGATTTGCAAACACTTTACAAGGCCCAGCTGGACTTGGCAATATTTCTTCAACAGGATCCGCCAACTTTCTTATTTTAAAGTATTTGTTCTTCTTATTTCGAATCTCTGATCCAAGGTGGAAAAGATCAGTATTCTTTCCTTCCTCTCTTGTAGCGACGATCTTCTTGTTCGTAGAGCTCAAGTACTTCTCATGACCCCAAGTCTTGAGTCTCGTTTTCCAACTTTGTTCGTTTCGACATTGGCAGAGAAATGTCTCTGAGCAGGTGGGCATATTTTCTTGCTGTTGTGCTCACAATGCTTTGAGATAATACTTCTCTTCCGCGAGCCGCATGATGACTTGAAGAGTATTGCCGCGGTATATTGTTCGAATTTGCCCTTTTAAGATGTCCCAATCGAATAGCGACGGAAGTTCTGTGCGTTTTGCTGGGAGGCTTCTGACGGACAATTCTGTTGGCCGTTGAGTCCATGCTGGTGTCCGACCACCTAACGTGTCTGAAACGATTGGAAGAGCTTGATGGAAGCAAAAATACAAGTCTGCAGAATTCAATTACCTCAATATATCTGAAGAATTGTATGAAACAAAGCCTTGAAGTCAAGAAACATAGTGTCTTAAGTCTTCTCTTACCATGGTAACGCGAAGCTGCTCAGGCTCGATCTGCCCTTCGACTGTTTGGACCGATATTCCATGACCCACGTAATCCAATGTGCAAGAGTTGCTTTGGTAGCAAGCTTTGACAATTTGAGAGGGCAAATCGAAAGCGCAACCGGGTTCGATTACCGGCGAGAGCTCTTCGCAAAGTCTAACTCTAAGTCGCCCGAGATTCGTCCGGAGTTCAATCAAAGATTCAATTGCAAGTGAACATAGTCAATCTGATGTATCCACCATATAATAATCGAGAAAAAGCATCAAGGGCAGTCCGTTCCATATCACCTGATCTGTCATCGGAAGCGCCGCCCTTGGTAAAAAGCTTAATCCTCGTCCAATATTTCTTGGGCCCCTCAAAACAGCAAAAGAGAGGCTGGCCGCATATACTTTTCGTGCCCACCGACCAATAATCGCTCATATACGGCATCTCAACCGATAATGCTGCGCCTCCTTCTCCACTCTCAACCCAGTCCGCCACTCAGGTCCAGCTCTCCGCGGCCAGCCACATCGCTTACAAAGTTGCCCTAGTCTTCAAGACATCAACGCATCTCGATCATTCTGGGCGTCAACCACGAGAAAATGTCCATTCTCTCCTGTCATCCACCCTCGATATGACAACCACCGACTGGCACGAGTGGATCCATATCGTGAGAAGACAACTTGTGAGTCTGCCTCTCTTATCGTCCCAACTGCGAGAAGAGCACAAGATTGCCGAATCTTGGCGCCGCTCCCCTCGGTCGGAAACAGGCGTGAACCTCAGCTGACGGACCGTCATCAATTCAGAATACGACGGACCCGAGGGTCGGTTCGGCCAGAGATGGATCTAACTCGACTTCCGTCTTGAAGGCGACCGAGGGCACCAATTCAGCCAGCTTTTCGACGTTGTTTATGACCTTTGTGCCTGTCGCGATATATGCTGTTGTCTGCGTCATCATCTTTATCGTGGGTCGGAAGTATCTACCCCGTGTCTATGCGCCGCGAACGTTTCTCAGCAGTCTTCAACCTCAGTATGATATATACCAATTGCTTACAGAAAGATTCTAATATTCGTAGTGAACGAACCAAATCATTGCCGTCAGGATGGTTCAATTGGATGAAACAATTCTGGCATACCCCAGATATTGAGGTCCTTCATCGAACCTCATTCGATGGCTTCCTTTTCCTTCGGTACCTCAAGGTCCTTTGTGTGATATGTTGTTTTGGAATGCTACTCACATGGCCTATCCTATTACCACTTCATGCTTTGGGTGGAGGTGGAAATACACAACTGGACATGCTAACGTTCGGAAATATTGCTCATCCTAGTTGGTGTTACGGCCATGCTCTACTGGCTTGGGTGTTCTTTGGTGGGTAAGCTTGATCCGTAATAGATATTTTCTGACTGGTAATAGGCTTCATCCTCCTCATGGTCGGTCGAGAATGTATCTTCTTCATCAATCTTCGCCAAGCATATCTGCTCTCCCCATTCTACGCAAATCGCCTCTCATCACGCACTGTGCTATTTACATGCGTCCCCACTCAAATTCTAGACGAAAAGAAATTGCGACGAATCTTCGGAGATACAGTGAAGAACGTTTGGATTCCCAAAGTCACGGAGGAATTGGATGAATTAGTCAACGAACGAGAACAGACAGCATTCCGACTTGAGAAGGCAGAGATCGAGTTGATCAAGAAAGCCAATGCAGCATATCAAAAAGCCCTGAAAAGTGGACACCCTGATATCGAGACGAAAGTTGGAACTCCCTCAGAAAGAAGTTCGAAGGAGTCGAAAGGAGTGGACGTCGAAATCAAGGCCGAAAGTCCAAACTGGCCCCTGTCGCCCCTATCGCCTCTTTCGGCCGCGTCAACCATATCTCCAATATCCCCAGCATCTCCAGTATCTCCACGAAGTTTCACGAGAAGTGATGGGACACCAATTGATATGACAAGCTACGGTTTTACTGGTCCTTCACCAGATGTTGTCGGATCAGTTGCAGCTTTGTGGATTCCTGCAGAAGAAAGACCATACCATCGACCGATCGCGAATTATGGAAGGAGAGTCGATACGATCAGATGGACAAGAAGTCGATTAAAGGCACTTGGTGTCAAAATCAGCAAGTTGCGAAGAGACTACAGAAAAGGAAAAGGTCGACCAATACCTGCCGCATTCGTCGAATTTCATTCCCAGGTCGACGCTCAAGCAGCATATCAGACGCTTGCCCATCACACCGCGAACAACATGAGACCTGAGATTGTTGGCGTTCGACCAGAGGAGATACACTGGAAAGCAATGTACTTTTCGTGGTACGAACGTATCATCCGAAGGTTCTTGATCCAGGGATTTGTTGCTGCGATGGTAATATTTTGGTCTGTACCAGCAGCCATCATTGGCCTTATTTCCAACGTCAAATATTTGACCAGCAAATTCATATTCCTAGCTTGGATCAACAAACTTCCGACGGTGATTTTGGGTCTCATCAGTGGTCTCCTTCCCGCTGTTGCTTTGTCACTACTCATGTCTGCCGTACCTATCATCATGAGAAGTAACTTTTCCCCCTTTCCTATGAGAGTCTCGCTAACAGAACAGTGTGTGCACGCCAAGCTGGCGTCCCAACGGAATCCAAAATCGAGCTCTTTGTCCAGAACTCGTACTTCGTATTCCAACTCGTCCAAGTATTCCTAATTACAACCCTCACTTCCGCAGCCTCTGCCGCCATAACACAAATTCTCCAAGACCCACTCTCAGCTCGAACTCTGTTATCAAAGAACTTACCTAAAGCCTCGAACTTCTACATATCTTATTTCATCCTCCAAGGCCTTGCAATGAGTGCTACTCGAATCATGCACATGGTGTCCATCTTCCGTCACGGACTTTTGGCAAACTCTGGTACTCATCCCAGGCAAATCTCAGCAAGGTATCATCGACTGAGAAGAATCCACTGGGGTTCTGTGTATCCCGTCTTCACCAACATGGGCATTATCGCCATCTCCTACTCCCTCATCGCCCCAATTGTATTGGCAGTAGCTGCCATAGGCCTCTCAATTGTTTACATAACATACCGCTACAACCTCCTCTACGTCTACTCCTCCAACCTCGACACGCGAGGACTCTGCTACCCTCGAGCATTAAAACAAACTCTCACAGGTGTCTACCTCGCCGAAATCTGCCTCATAGGTCTCTTCGGCATCAAAGGCGCCTACGGCCCCGTCGTCCTAACGTTCGGCCTCGTCATCTTCACAGCCCTCTTCCACGTCTCCCTCAACGACGCTCTCTCTCCCCTCCTATACAACCTTCCCCGCACCCTCGCCGCAGAGGAAGAACTTCTAAAAGCAGGTAACCACCCCCTCGCTGCCGAAAACCTAGAAGATAAGCACGACAACGACCTCGAGACGAACATTGACCCCGACGCTGGCTACGACTCTGATTTCGACCCTTCAGCTGCTGACGCCGTATCCCACGGCACTCAATCCTCTCGCGCCGGAATCCCCGTCGAGGGCGCAGACCGCGCCTTGACACTCACGACAGGGACCCTCAAATCCATGATCCGAACAAAATACACTGCGTCCCCAATCCCTGCTTTCCTAACGAAAATCGACTTCTGGTCTCCCTGGCTGTCCCCCATCCCCGACCCAAACAAGAAAGCAAACTTCATACTCAAATTCCTGCACCCGACCATATTCTGCGATTACCACGTCATAAGAGCCGGTATACCAGCGGAACTGTACCATCTAGGCGCCGTGCACGAATACGACGAGAAGATACTCAAAGATGCGTTCTCGCCGCCGGGCATGCGGAAACGGAGTCCGAGGCTGTGGATCCCGAGTGATGTGGCGGGTGTGAGTGCGCAGGAGGTAAATCATAGCGGGAAGGTCGTTGAGATAAGGGATCAGGGAGCTTGGATTGATGAGAAGGGACGGCTGAGTGTTGATCTTGATTGTGAGACGGGGATGTGGGTTTTGAGTGATTGGGAGAGGATTAGGTTTTAGGATGGGGGATGAAAAGAGGTGATGAAACCAAGTGAGCGAATGAACTGATGGCTGGCTGTTTGTTTTGTTCTGAGCCTTTTGGCTATGATTAGCGACATATATATATAGCGGATACCTATGAATCAAGTACATGTTCTGTTTGATATTTCACCTTTCTTTTGTCTTATTCTCTTATTTGATTTCCACGGTACTTCGTCCCTCCTAAAGTGTGCGATCGACTCGAATACAGAGGTGGTGAGTCGATTTGTAGTGGAAATGCGCATTCTGAGATTAATTGTTGGTCCAGTCTAGTCCTCTCGAATCAACGAATTGACATAACAATCCGAATTGAATACTTGAACTTTCTTTCTCTCTTAGAGTAAGCGTTCAAACCTCAAGTCAGCTCAGTGGCAGTATAAACTTCCAAACTCCACCAAACTCCACCAAATTCCGCTGAACTCCACAATGAATCCGACCAATCACAAATTCTCTAATCAAAAGCTTAAGCATAAGATGGTACAAATGAAGTCAATACGATGAACAAAAATTAATCCTCGATTCTGCGTTTCTTTCCCGAAACTCCACTGCTATCATTCAAAATCTCAGATGCGGAGCGAGTGGGGCACAACGATTGGCTGAAATCCACGCCCTGTACGAGCAGTGCTTTCAGCCTTACTGTACAAGTGCGGCGTCGAACTCCACCGCGCTAGCTAGCATCTCACCTCTCACTTTATATTTCACTTACTTTCGCCCTCAAATATTCCTAATTCCTCCATATAAAGAAACTACCTATCTGAATCCAGTAACCATGAACCCCGAAACCGACTTCGAAATCATAATCATCGGCGCAGGTCCGTTCCCCTCTCACCTTCTTCCAACAAACCCAACAAAAAACAGGAATATCAGGCATCATAGCCGCACAACGCTACCTCGAAGCTCACCCGACCACTAAACTAACAATCCTCGAACGAGACTCCTGCATCGGTGGTGTTTTCAGCAAAAGTTCCCTCTCTCCCTCGCCCCCCCCTTTTATCTCTCACTAACGAAAAGAAACAGGAAGACTCTACCCCGAATTCTGGACCCAATGGACGCACGGCATCGCCGAGTTCGCCGACATGAAGATGCCGCGTCCCCCAGAGGAAGATTGCCGGAATGATTGCTTTAAAGCTAGATACACGACGGAGTACCTTGAGAAATATGTAGATGAGAAAATGCATGAGGGGCGCTCGTTGAGGGATAGAGTGAGGTTTGGGGTCCAGGTGAAGGGGATTGAGAAGGTGGATGGGAGGTGGAGGGTTTCTTGTGTGAGAAGAGAGGAGGAGGTTGTGTTTTGGGCGGAGAAATTGATGCTTGCTAATGGCGAGAATTCACTTCCTAATATCCCTTCTTTTGCTGGACGGGAAGGGTTTCAGGGGAAAATCATCCATTCCCAAGATTTTGGTTCTTCGAACATCCTTTCTGCTCCAGAAGTTCAACATGTGGCTGTCCTGGGAGCGGGCAAGTCAGCAGCAGATATGGTGTACGAAGCTGTGCAGCAAGGAAAAACGGTTTCGTGGATCATCAGCAAGAATGGAACGGGGCCGGGGTTCTTCGCTCCGATTGATACGAAGAGTCCGTATCGGAATGTGGTGGAGGCGGCGCAGACGAGGGTCATGAGTACGTTGCAGCCGAGTATTACGGGGCCGGAGAATTGGTGGACGGGGTTTTTGCATCGGACGTGGGTTGGGCGGTGGCTTGTGGGTTTTATTTTTACGGCGTTGGATAAGAGTATTAGAGATGTTGCGAATTATAAGGGGAGAGCGAGTGAGAAGGGGTTTAAGGGATTGGAATATGATACTCCGTAAGTGTTATTTTCTTTGTTTTGGGTTGAAGTGGGAACTGATTGTTGAAGGATTTTCTGGCAAAACGGAACGGGTGGAGCAGTTCACCATCCAGATCTCTGGTCCTCGATCGCTGAAAACGTCTCAGTATACCGCGAAGACATCACATCCCTAGGTCCCAAATCTCTAACCTTCACATCCGGCCTCACCATCCCAACAGACGCTCTCCTCCTCGGCACCGGCTGGAAACTAGGCCTAGAATTCTTCTCTCCCTCTTCACTCCTCTCTCTCGACCTCCCCCACGACCCCTCCACCGAGGACCCCGCCATCGCCGAAAAATGGAAAAGCCTAGAGCAAGAAGGTGACGCAAAAATTCTTCGCAAATTCCCAATACTAGCCAACCCCCCTCCTCACCACCACCGCAAGATCCCCACCACGCCCTACAGACTGCACCACTGCATCGCCCCGCTGCATGATCGCTCCATCGTCTTCCTGAACCACATTACAGCCGGTAACAAGCTGTTTGCAGCCGAAGCACAGGCGATGTGGGTTTGTGCTTATTTCTCGGGGGATATCAAACTCCCCAGTATCGAGGAACGGGAGAAGAGGATAGCGGAGTGGCTAGCGTGGGGTAAGAGGCGGTATCTGAGTAATGGGGAGATTGGCACGTTTGCAGTGTTTGATGCGGTGGGGTATGCGGATTTGTTGTTGGGGGAGATGGGGGTTAGGAGGTATAGGGAGAAGGGGTGGTGGAGGTTTTGGATGGAGCCGTTTTGGCCAAGTGATTTGGGCATTGCTTGGAGGGAGTATTTGGATGGGAGGAAGGGGGAGTGAGGTGTTGTTGGAAGGTGAGAAAAGACTTGAACTTGCTGTTTTGGATCTGTTGAAGAACATTTGTGTAGAGTACCATTTTTGGGAGAAGTCGGATAGATTATGGAAATGAAGGTTTATAATCGTCCTGGGAAAGTGGTTATACACAATTTCTAAAATCACAATAGGAAGAGGGGTCGAGAAAATTCAGCTTTATCGAAATGCATCAGAACGCGGGCTGCGTGTACGCTCCACACTTGTCAAATCTCTCGCAGGCTAAGACATGATATCCAATTCGCAGCGTAGCAATTGCTTGTAGTCTCTCACCTTCAAAAGGGAGTTGATGTCCTGTCGGAGCTCGCTTAGAGCAAGAAGAGCCGAGCCTGTTTTGCACAAAAAAATCGTAAAAAGCGGAAGCAAAACTTGAAACTCCCGAAGGAGAATCTCCAACACCACAGCTTATGTGTGGGGTTTAAAGGGGCTATTTTGAGTCATTCGTATTGCAGGTCCCGACGAGGAATAGAGAGGTACGAACACTGTCGCAAACATCTAAATCCTGCGGGCCGCTAACTCAGTTCATCTTGAGTCATTCGTATTGCAGGTCCCGACGAGGAAATAGAGAGGTACGATCACTGTCGCAAACATCTAGGTCCTGTGGGCCGCTAACTCAGATGGCAAAGATTTGCTTATTTGACTTTATGTAGTACAGAAGGGTTTAAGGCTGTAAATGGTTAGCGTGCTTTTGATAAGTTAGGTGAATGTGACCAGACTTGGTGAATCTACCACGAACCCAAGCACGCTAATGATGGATTGGAAAGCAGCAACAAAGCCAAGGAACAAGTCAAGTATCAGGACTAAAGTCCAATACGCACTGAAGCAAAGAGTGAAAAGACTCGCATTGCAAAAGCGTATCAAGAACACTTAAGATCCTGAAATTGAAACATGCTTACAGAGCTGGTGGGCAAGGACGTTGGAAAACGTTTTTGATGTCCTTGCGACTCTTGCTCGTTATATCGTATTCGGCCTCAAACTAGCTAAGAGTAACCCTTGACAAGTATCCGCCAACTATCAACCCCAAAACATTGGTCGACATGTAGTAATGCACACCTTGTCCTAGCTGTCCAAACCATAGCGCGATTAGCCCAGCTAGACAATTAAAGGACTTCTCAACTTTGTAAACATGGTAGTTGTAAGGCCATCTGATCATCGTAAAATAAGCATCATTTACAAAATAACAGCTGAATGCTAGGCATAGAGACTCACGATGGATCTGAAGCCGGTGTATCAAGGTTCGACGGTGGCAGTGCTCTTTGCATATAAGGAGCACCGTACGGGCTCATGTAACTTCCATACTCAGATCCAAAAAGATCCAGCAATGTGTCAATGGGTAGAGTGATGTTGCCGTCAATGATCATTCCAGTACCTAGTGTCCAATTGGAATCCGTCATCTGGTGGATAGATGTATGAGGCTGCAGTGGAATTATACCATTTTGCTAGGTATTGACCAGGACATAGACCGCAAAGAGTATCGTATGTAGAGAGTTCGCTGCCCAGTGGAAGCTTGGTTGGATATCGTTTGGGTCCTAATCGCTCGTCACCACAAATGTAATGATGGATGAGAGTTCGATTGTTGACCGTTCCCGCATAGTATTCTAAGGTGAAATTGGTTAGTGCGAGTGCATAGTATGAGGGAGAACGCAGTATATTGGGATCTTAGGGAAGAGAGGTTCCTGGGCATTGAGTGGTATAGATCGTAGAAACAGAATTGCGGCCACCCAACGACGAAGAACGAGGAGTCCTTGTGCTGTAGCAAGAAGAGTAAGGGCGGAAAACACTAATTGAAGTGAGACATCATTACAGGAGGAGCGACGACAGCTGGGAAATTGGGACAGAACTTACGAGAATTTGCTGGCTCTCTTAGTTTTATGGATGCTAATCTTTTAGAATGGAATGAATTGGGATTACTTCATTCCATTGTGGTTGTACAATATTACAGTATGGTGCGCCCTTGCTTGCTTGTGTTACGACAAATTAATATGAAAACATCGGAAAGTTGCATGAGCGGATCTCGTTAAGGTCCCACATTGCAGCTGTCGACTTTCTCTCGGCGAAAATAGAATAAAAAGCGGACGTCACAATTGCGCAACGGAGCGAGAGAGCTGAGAACGGTGCAGAGATGTGGAGTGGCTTCGAAGGAATAATCGTCTAGAATTCCCGACCTGAGCCTCTGCCTACTTCATACATCTGGTTTCCTTTGTGCCACTTCGTGCATTAGGACTGAAACTCTGGAACAATGGAAGCTGCCTTTTAACCGCGAATCTGGGAGAGTGCCAAGATCAAAAATTGTGAGACATCACTATGATGCATGCATAGCGTCCACATAAGCAATGGACGGATTGAATCAATTTCACGGGTCAGCCCGTCGATAGTCGGCACACTTGCCCACTGGACGTTCTGGTCGACCCGAAGTGGGAATTGTGGCGCTGCCAAAAAAAAGAGTATATTTTTTTGACCTCGTCTCATTCCATCCGGACGTACTGGTCAATGTCTCGACTATGGACAATTTTTTGGAAACTTGACATGTAGGAACATCGACTTGCGCAGTGCAAAGGCGAATGGATAATCAGCGCACGTCGCACAAGCTGATCAATGCTCGCCGTCTCCACGATACGGCTGCGAGTTACTACTATTACCAGCCCAAGAACCAGGCCGAGACCCAGGATTCGAGAGCCAGAACTGGAGCATCAGATGGTGGATTACAAACTCATTTATCCAATTGTATACTTTCTCGATTCCCTCATCCGATTTTCTCTGACATAATTCGAAAAATACCAGTAAAGAAGTGCAGAGAATGGGGGATGCCTTCAATGGCGTCTCCAGCCTCCAGGTCACTAAATGTGGAGGAGATCTGTGCATACTTGTAGTTTTACTGGACATTGGTGAGAATTCCAATCCACCTATATGCGGGGTTTTATGAAAGAGTTCCTGGGCCGAAGCCACATAGTGGAGTGGTTGATTCCGAGATCTGTATCCGGTTATATAATTTTTCGGTTGTTTTGAGGCATGCAGCTAGCATTTTGTGCAGCATGGGGACCACGTTAATCGAGAGAGCAGCTGAATCTGCCCCAATTGGTATCCCTGGGAGCATAAATATACATTCCTTTGTACCCTGTCCAAACGTTATCTCTCATGCGTCTTCTGGATCTCGGATAAAGACCTTGAATATCTGGAGCAATTTGCAATATATGTTGTCCTTCATCAACCGACATCTGCTTCTCAGAATGGAAGTCACGAATAAATATAGTCCGATAACTGGGATCAACAATACAATGGAGGTACGTGAGTTCTTATACGTTCTTCGACAGCTTCGAACGTTGCGACTTTCTCGACAATACGCCAACTAGTTTTGATGAGAGCCGATTCGGTTGCATATTTGACTTTTCTTTCATTCCACCAAGCTACTGAATAAAATCGCTTATCGTTGAGTAGACTCCTCCAACAGCAGCATTTCTTGCACAGTCCAGAGTACCACAAATACTTTTCGGCAGTATCTTTCCTGCCGGTATAGCAACCATCTTTGTCTTAGGACGGTTCTACTCTCGAATCATACTGTTGAGACATTGGGGATCCGATGACACTTTTGTCCTTATATCATGGGTATCTACTCTTCCAAAGATGCCATGTCTCAAGAGCTAAGGACAGCAGCTTACTGGCGCAATTGCCCTCACGGTCATCAATTGCGACCTGACCCGATTCGGCTCCGGAAGACATGCAGCAGCCTCTTCCTTCTTAGACCTAGGCCCTACGGTAGCTCTCGGATTTGCAGCTAGGTTGTTATATCAATTCAACATCATGGCGACGAAGCTTAGAATATGTGCCTTCTATATGAGGGTATTTCAAGATCGAAGAAGCAAGATGTTCGTCTGGGCAACGGCGGGCTATATCCTTGCATTCTCGATCCCTCTCATAATTGCAACTATTCTTCAGTGCAGTCCTCCTCAAGGTATGCTCTAAAAGCGTGGGCTAAAGACTATATACTAATCTTAGCTAGGGGCGTGGAAACCAGTACCGAGCAAGTGTCATGATGGGAGACCTCCATTTGAAGCATCAGCAATACTCGGCATAATTGCTGATTGCCTGTTACTCGCTTTCGTCATTCCAAGAATTTGTATGATACATTTCTCTACGTATCTGGAACGCATGACTGACAAGATATACAGTGGCTCTTCACCTCCCAAGACGACAGAAAGTTTCTCTTTTTGCGGTGTGCTGTATGAGCATTTTAGTCATCATCGCAGCTATCATCCGCCTAGTTCGAGTCCTCAAAGTGGTCGACAGTACAGATACTCCGTGGGACAGTTATGATATTTCTATCTGGACTTCTGTTGAAGTCAACGTGGGTCTGTTCTGCGCGTCAGCTCCGGCTACGAAGCCATTGCTGAAGAAGATTGTTCCAGGAATGGGCTTCTCAACAACAGACTCATCGCCAGGGATAAAAACTTCTTCGAGATACAGGGAGTATGCAAAGGATACCATGGTATCGAGGAGGAGGCAGACGCAAGCAGGTGGTGACTTTGAAATGATGAGCAGTACCGATTTAGACTTGGAATTTGGAAGCATAAAGGGCCAAGGGACAAGAAAAAAGAATGACGCCTTATGGGTCAGTGACAGCGACAAGGACATCAGTCTGAAGGACGGAGAAGATGGTGACAGGGTTGAGCTGCAACCACCAAGCCGCAAAGCCCAGCGGATAGCCCTGTCTACATGTCACCAGAGATAAGGAGGTCCGTCAGAATCATGGTTGAATCTAGACCGAGGAGTGAAGGATCAACAATGGGGCAGACCGGAGGTGGAGTGAAGAAATTCGAGCATCTATGATAACGATGCATATTGATTTGATAATGGTGAGAGGCTACGCTGGGTGTTGGGTTGGAGGGGTTCTCGCTGTCATTCACGGTTCATGGTCAATACCCTTGCAAAAGTTTCTTAATGGATATGGAATATTACCTTGGTCGCTAGAGAATGAAAATGTGCTAATTAATAGCACTCTGTACAAAGTATTCCTTTCAGAAACTTCATCTCATCCTGGTTCCATCCTCGCCGCTGTTTAACTTGCCGGTTGTGCTATACTCATGCTGCCCATTTGTCTATGTCGACGATAGGCGGAATGTTCATCTTGGGAAGTGGGCCTAGCCCTAACATTACACTGTGCTGACAACAGACAAAGCGTACGATATTGATATGCACCCAAGAAGACTGTGCAGATGGGTATATCAATGTTCGATGAGATCAAGTGACACTGGACGACGCCAAGGCTAAGAATCAAAGCGGGCATGTGTCGTGCAGTTCGTGCCGAAAAAACGGCTGTATCCATCCTTTTTGACGTGATGCGGGGTATTCCCGAAGATGCTCGAGGATGCATCCGAGGATCATGATCTGTGATTGTACAAGACCAGACCTTAAAGCTATATACGAATAATTCAATCTGCTTGCTCATAGTATTGACAGCGCTCTTGTGTATTCGTTATGTCAAGAAATTGCCAAGAACTCTTTCATCCTTCGGATTGTGCATCCCACTATTACTCGCAATTCCAAAACCATCGAAATGGAAGACAACTACCTTGCTAAACCCTCTGGAGCCTGCTGTTTGAAAGGTTCTATTCATGAAGGAAACCCAAGAGGCAGTCAGGGGACAATTGCAGAAGTTGAAACATATATTGTCCCGCCGCCAGAAGGGAAAGCGAATGGCCATGTTTTGCTCTACTTTCCAGATGTTTGGGGACTCTTCAATAACGGACTTTTAATCATGGATGGATTTGCGGATGCTGGGTACTTTGTTTTTGGCCTGGATTATTTCAGAGGGGTGAGTTAAGGTAGAAATATGGCGTTGCATAGTGCTGACAACTTGGGAACAGGATCCTGTGTGGAAACATAGAAAGGACAGAAATGACACAACTACGGACCCAGGGTTTGATTATGAAGCGTGGAAAACAAAGCATATGGCTTTTGCAGATAGAGTTGTTCCTGGCTGGATTGAGGAAGTTAAGCGACATTATGGAAAGCCAAACACCAAGTACGCTTGTGTTGGGTAAGTACCCTTCGATATCAAGGCAAAGATATTCTCTGATAGTGTACCAGATACTGCTTCGGAGCTCCGTATGTATGCAATGAGCTAGCAAGTGGCACTGTTACGGCTGGTGCTTTTGCCCACCCTGCGTTTCTCAAAGAGCATCATTTCTTCAATCTGAAAAGTAAGTCTGAAACTCGATAGCGAACCGCATCTCGTCTTAATTCTTTTCAGATCCACTACTTCTTTCTTGTGCGGAAGTTGATCACACTTTTGATACAAAATCTCGGAGAAGAGCCATTGATATCCTCCAAGAAATCAAAGTTCCCTACCAGCTCCAACTCTTTTCTGGCGTTGAGCATGGGTTTGCATTGCGAGGAAACATGGAGAATCCTTATGAACGTAAGTTTGACTTCAACCCTTGAAACCTTCTCTGTCCGTCAAGAATGTATTACTGATCTATGTGTAGGTCATGTGAAGGAGCAAAGTATGGAGGGAATCGTCAAATGGTTCGACTTCTGGCTGTCACAGCAGGAAACAAAACGTGTGTGACTGCCTCCATGCTGCAAGTGTGTCCACGGTGCATTAAGATGGCCTTCTATGACTTATATTAGTTTACAAAAATCAATATCAGATCTGGAACTAGGAACGTGCTTAAATCTTAGCATCGTGTGGCTTACACAAGGATGTTTCGTACAAATGAGTGCACGCCACAGCGTTCGTCTCTTCATTTTAGAGTTTAGTGCTCGTGCCACTCCTGCGACAATTAGTCAGGTATAAGAGACGGTATTTGGAAAACCCGCAATTCGCACTGAGATCTTCCGGCATTGAAGAAATTAGCAATGGCGGGGAGATTAGCGATTAGTGATTAGACCTAGCTTCAAGTCTGAAGGCGGAGTAGATCCTGGGCAAACCCCGTAGCTGCACATTGATCTTACATACAACTAACGGCCGTGATCGCAGCAGTTGGCCCACGATCTTGTTGATCTTCCCAGTTAGCAGGGGTTTGGTCTTATCAAGAAGTTTTGTAATTCCTCCAAGTCGTGGTTTCAAGAACAGAAGTTCAAGATTCCGAATTCTTTTATGTCCGGATGTTTTGGGTAAATGAAATGGGGAATTGACAGCCCTCCGATCGCTCGCTAACGAACAAAAGTGGCCCTTCTCGATATCAATCTCGAGAGGGCAACCGAGACAAGACACACGATCGATGATAAAGCGGGGACGTCAGAAGCCATTTACAAAGATGTAGCAGAAACTGAACTCTGCTTGTAATTTGGTTAAAATTGGTAAGCAAGCCCCTTTATTGGCGAAGTGTTCTGATCTGTTGACGTTTGTGACACTGCGACTGATGCTACGACTATCAATAAGTGTTCTAGTCCATACGTGAACACCTGCTGTTTACCGATGGACTAGAACATAAGGAAGCGAGGACCGACACAATGGAGATCCAGTTTTTATCTCACATCCAAGGTTCCAAACTGCTTTACAAAATCGACTGCCCTCACTCAAACGCGCATACTCTCCGGCGGACCCAAATAACTCGTCCTCACACCTCCCAAATCAGCCACAATCTTTTGAAATACAACACCAGGCTCCAAAGCCCATAGATTCAGAACATGCGCTCCTACCGTAACATCATGTTTCGTCGTATGATCGTACCCCTGCCTTTCAACTCCTTGCGTCCAAGTACTAGGCAACGTTCCCAGATCTGTGATTGGGACATATTGTGCGTTCGTGGGCGCTGCATCGTCGATTGAAATTGCGTATGTCAAGGGTCGAGAGGGGCCGGTATTGAGAGATGGACCGAGATATAGAGTTATTGATGCCGTGGTTGCGGTGAAGACGTAGATATTGTAGCTTAGTTTCGGGGATGAAAGAGGAGTTTGACTTGAGATTGTAACGGGAAAGAGTGTGACGCCTGATAAACTGCGCCCATAGTTCGGAATTACACCGTATGAAGCCTTAGAGGTCGAGGTAACGGATGTCCAGTGCTCGGGCTCGATGCTGATTGTTTTGTCACTTTCGACAAAGCCCGTAAAATTTGCGGGCAGAGCCGTGTTGGATAGCGGGATAGTAACCGTGAAGTCTGTTCCTCCGGCCGTGACAATGATCTTCGAGGTAGTGGTGGAAGTGGGAGCGGTGCTCCAGTCGATTGTGATATTCACTCTTTGGTCGGATGTTAGGCCAGGAGGGGTCAATTGTCCAGATGCGGGGCTCGCTTTCACCCATGGATCAGAAGAGATGGTGAACGACGTAGCCGAGCTGCCTTTCGAATAGATATCGATCCATCGGGAAGCTGGACCATACAGACTAATTGATGGTAGAGCAAGCGTCGTGCTACCTCCATCAACAAATACACCAGCTGCACCGTTCGTCGACTTTGCAGGCGTTGATTGAGCAGGCATGTTATTCGTTGACGGTTGTTGCCTACGAAGAGTCAGCATCTATCAATTCAAAGACAGAAATCCTGACCAAGAAGTGTACCCAATGTGCGTTTGGTCCATCATATGGTTCCACTTCCCACCAAGAAGCTTATGATACGTGCTCGCCAAATCTTTATCGGCTTGGAATGCAGTCGTTGCCATCGTGCCGTATGTCGTAGAACTCACTCTACCTTGCTTTGCATATAGATTATTCTTAGCAGTGGAGACGTATAAATCGTAAAGAATGCTTCCCGCTTTTGCAGGATGAAGCACGAGTTGGAAGAACGCTGGTTGCGATGCTGCTGGGAGAGAATCATAAATTGCCTGAGCGGACGATACGAGTGTGTGCCATTCGGCGAGGACAGTGTCCGCTTCGTTGTAATTTATCACAGAGAATATGGTAGAGTCTAGCAGCTCATATTTTCGGCGTGCGGCAAGGTGAGAATAGGTGTCTATGAGTGAAGCCACTTGGTCTGACACGGCAGCGCCAAATTGCATGGCGGCGAATTGAGAGAGCCACGTATCGGTGCTATTTGGGGAAGTGAACAGCGTCATGTTGTAGGCCATATCGAGGAAGTGATTTATTGGTATTTCCTAGATAATCCTTAGCCGATGTTGGGTACGGGGCAGAAAAGTCTTACCAATGGCTTCAGATCGCCAACGTTGACGACCCAAATCTCTCGTGCATTTCGGTTGTATGTCATATGCATCTGTTCCCAAGTCTTCTGAGGCGCAATGGTGTTAATCCATTTGTAGTTTCTTGGATCGCCGACATAGTCGAAGTGATAATACACTCCTGCGCCTCCAACTCGCCCCACTTCGCTTGGAATAGGAAGACGTTGCATATTCCCTGAATTATCGTCTGACCAAAGAAGTGTAATATCGTCTGGGACTTTGAGCCCTTTTTGATAGTACCCTCCTACCTCCTTGTATAAACACCACATCTGTGGGATCGTGGATACGTTCCCAATAACAGAAGTAAGAATCTTCTGCTGCTCGGAAACCACATCGGCAAGCGAAGCAGCAGTCAAAGTAGACGACGCAGTATCACCAGACCCACGCATTCCCATAGTATATAGAGACTCATACGGCTTTGCTCTATTCGCACCATCGGTGAGAAATTTAATGATGTTCGCTTTGTTGGATGTCCAGTCCCATGATCCACTCACGTACTTGGTCTGTTCTTTCGTGGAGCGCATCAACGGCTCTGTATGGCTAGTTCCCATGACAATTCCGTATGTATCAGCAAGTGGCTGATTTTTGGTGTCGTCTAATGCAAACATGCTGTCCCACATCGTCGGCCAGAGATAGTTGGCTCGTAGTCGGAGGAGCAACTCGAACACTCGAGCATAGAACCCGGAAACGTATCCTACCCCTCCATACTTTTCCTTAACCCAGTTGGTGAGAGCAGGCTGTTCGTCGTTCAAGAAAATACCTCTGTACTTGACGCTAGGAGGGCCCTGGGTTTTGTGAATATCTAGAGCGAAGATGTTGGTTTGTTGTGTAGAAGGGACGTCCGCGAACCAATACCACGGCGACACCCCAATTTGTTCTGAGATGTCGTAGATTCCGTATATTGTGCCCCTTTTATCGCTTCCAGCTATGACCAAAGCCGATGCCACTCCGGACACGGGACTTGTCACGATCTGTGTGACGAAAGATTCCCATTGTCCTTGAATCTGGCTGATGTCGATCTTCCCAGCGGACACGAGAGAATCGATCAGTGCAGATTTGCCGAGTGTACCTGCTATGATTGCTGGTCCGGTAGTGGAGGTTTGATCAGTTGATATTTGCGCGATTGTGAGGTTCTTCCCAGTGATTTTTCCGAAATCTGCGGCAAGGTCTTGTCCTGCTCGGATGACCCCAGGGAAATCGGTGCTGGAAAGAATCAAAGTCGCAACGCCATTTCCTGCTAGTTGAAGAGGTCCATCAGTGAATGAGATGACTCTCTGCTGGCCCAGACTTAGACCATCAGAAACAAAACACAGCAAAACGACAATTGAAGACCACATGCTGAGTGAAAAGTGAGCAACGGCCAAAGACAAAGAAACGTTACAAGATTTCTATCTTTAATAGTGATAAGAAAGCGGGGCCATTTGACCCACATTTATAATTTCGGAAGATCTGGCTGTCAAGTTTGTAATATAAGATTTGATCGGCATGTAAATGAATCTCGGCAGACAAGGTCTATATTGCCGGATCTGGATTTAGCCTCCACCGAAACCGATAATATTGTGAACATAGATGTACAGTGTCTTTAACAAAACAATACGGCTGAAACTTGAGGAATCAATGTGTGCAACTGTCGTGTGCATCGCTGAGCCCTCGGTCACGTGCAAATGTTGCAACGCAATTGCTCAAAAACCTCCAGGATGTTCCTTCAAGAACTCGATCTCCTCCGGTGTTGAAGTTCTCCCCAAGATCTCGTTCCGCGATGGAAAGCGACCAAATCTCAAGATAGGTTCCCTATGTCGACGAGCAAATTGTACTGACGTTGCTAGAAATTCGACGTCTTTGGAGTTCGGATCGCATCGAGCAAGTAGAGCCTCAAAGAGTGATACTCCAGCAACCTGGCCAAGCAAGGTTTCGCTATGCATGAACGGCATCAGGAAGAATATCTGCTGAATGTTTGAGACCTCGAGATTGAAGCCTTTGGCGATGGCTTTGGTGGCGATGTCGAGTGCCAAGGAATCGGCGCTGAACGAGTCTGGTGTGCTACGAAAGGCATTTCGAGAGAATTGATCCAAAAGAATCAGGAGAGCGAGAGAGCCTCGAGGTTTCGATTCCCAAGAGTTGAGTTCTGATGCACGTGCTTGTTCCATAAGGGGTCCGAATTGATCTCGGATTTCCGTGTCAATCTTTTCACCACCGCCGTACCACTTCTTCTTGGCTTCCGGGCCATCGAACCAGTACGATAGAGTGCGGTTGATGTCTGTATCCATGGTTGAGATTGAAGACATTGGTCGAAAGAATGTTGGAGACAGCAGCGTTGATTTGAAGGCCGTCTGTAAGCCGAGAATCTGATTGTCGTCAGTAAATAGTCAATATTGATGATTTAAGAATCACAAACTTTGCTGAACGCTGAGGTGAAATTATATGCCCGCATATTTGAAGTCTATAGTTATATATGTGCGTTCTTAGTTATGTACGTGATGAGGAATGGAGAAGGTGAACACGAGTCGGTGATAAGCTAATGAGACCTCCGTTCCGGCTGACAAATGGCGTCCGGTGCATTTCAGCCGCGTCACGTTATTCTCCTTTTCACAGAGGCACCAGTGGTTTAAGAGGAAGAGCTTATCGTTCGGGCTCAGCAATGGGTACTCATAAGTGTTTCGGCTTTTGGATTTTCAAGACTTAACTCTTATGAGATATTATCCTTTCTGGTTGGAAATATGAGTGTCTTTCTTCACGTGACGGTATAAATCCGACGACTTGTGAGCATCGAACACGGTGCTGGAACCAGTCAGAGCAGATTGATTTGAAGAAGTTGTCAATAGTCATGTTGGAATCGTTGCACGTTCGACTATAATCTATTGGGTTTAAGTGTTATACTTGAAAGGTGACATCTGAATTACCCCACCAGGTCCCAGCATGGCTGAGCCTAGATTCATAACATTCATTTCAACATCATCCTGTCTAATTTCCCTACTCGATAGATCGGTATGCCACTACTCAGTAATCGTAGTCACAATCCGATGATGGCTCGATGTATACGAGCTCACGAATGTCGTCGTGGGGCCCTTTGCCGTCGTTACTGTCGACTTGCTGCTACTTTTCGAAGAAGATGCACTCAGAGAGGTGCTAGTCTTGATGGAGGATGTTGTTGAACTCTTCAGAGAAGACTTGCTCGACGAGGAGGAGAGTGAGCTTGACTTTGAGGACGATTTGCTGGAATTCGTCGCTGTAGACTTGACACTTGAGCTTGTCGAGGACTTGCTACTTGATTTTGATGAAGATACGCTTGCTGAGCTTGATAATTTACTCGAAGACAGAGTTGTGCTGATTTTGGTGGACGACAGTGTACCTTTGGATGACGAGCTCGAAATAACTGTCGTGCTAACCTTTGTCGAGGATGTCTTCAATGACGAGCTTGCTGAGGTCGTGCTGAGTTTGCTCGAGGATGTTGCCTTGACCGATGAGCTGGAAGACGAGGTCTTCTTGCTTGAGGAGGAACTGCTTGTACTTGACACAGCTGTGCATTGACCGGTGACCGAAGGAACAGCATCGACTCCTGTCGTGATAGGAATGACATTCGTTCCACAATCAGCTCCCTGGGCAATATGGATGTTAAAATTGTCTTGGTCGTAAACAATATATGCCGATCTCATGAAAGTATCTCCCAGACTGAACACATCCGCATTCGAGACTCCACCGAAAATGCATGTCGAGCCAGATTGGCGGAACCATTCAGAGTAGGGAACACTGATAATCTTGGTTCCGAAACCGAAATCAATGGTTCCGGGTTCGCTTTGGATGGAACAATCGATTTCGTAGACACCATTGCCGTTGTTAACAGCTGTGGGGAAGAACTGGATCAACGCATTGAAGAGACTCGGTGGAAGTTGGGACAAGGTCGCGCCGCAGTCTGGAAACATTGGTTGGGCATAGCTTGGTCCGCTAAGAAGAGTCGAGGTGGAATTTCCTGGCTGGGTAATTCCAATGGAGGTTAAGTAGAACCAATACCTGTCCCGATCAGCGATGGAACACTCCATCCTCGAGACGTAAGCTTACCGAGGAAATCCATCAGGGGAGTCATAATAGGGGATCACAGGGCTCTTGTAAAGAGCACCAATGTATTTCCCAGTATCGATACCGCCAAAATCGATCGAACCTGCAGAGGTTAGCAGTGCAGCGATAATTTTAAATGCTCCTCATACCCTCAGACAATGTTGGACTGCCCAGATTTAAACCAAAGGCACGAATTGCGATAAAGCCCTCCACATACAGACGGTCGATGATCTCGTAATAGTAGTAATACTCGTCTTCTCCAGCGTATCCAAAGCCGTAGCCCAATCCTACGCCAAGGATTCCCAGTATAGAAAACGAACTAGTGTCTGCAACTCCAAATCGTTGAGTGGTGACATTGACTCCTACAACGAAACTATATCAGCACTGAAACTGCTCATGGCAAGGTCCAAATCTTACCTGCGATGCTAACCGTATCCCACCAGTATTCTCCAGAAACATCCCCAGTGCCATACGCGATATCAAATGTGCCATCTAGGTCTTCAGAAGTAGATGACAGAGCTGGATCATAACGCGGCAGCTCATCGCAGACCGTCGGATTATAGGATGAGGAACAGGTGGGATTAACCCACAGCTCAGAAGAGCCAGTGTCGAGTAATACATCAATAGGTTGAGGTGGGGTACCAATGCTTACTTTCTTGGTCAGCAGAGTTTTATAGCTTGGGAGGGATTTCTCACGTTCAATCAAGTAGAATGAGTTTTCATTGAAAATGACACTTGCGGGGTCTCCTCTTTTCGTTTGGCCTTCCCTGTGCTTGTGCTTGATTGAAAGATGTAATGTCCCGGAGCCCTTTCTGACATTTGGAATCAGAGGAGGAGCAGATGTGTTGGCACGAGGAAGTGTGGCAGCGACAGAGAGACCCGCAAGAGCAACGACGAGTAGAAGATTATGGACCCCCATCTTGATGAGATACTCCTAGTCTGCGAAACTCGACGACTTCGAGAGATTTGAAAGCCATCTTAAGGTTTTAAGCTTTCTCTAATTTCTGCCGCTGGACGGTACAGGGTCTTGATTCTGCCTTGTGGCGCTGAAACTTCAATAGTGACCGCCATGTCTCTCCGACTGAGGGCATAAAATCCAAAAGAAGCGTACGCAGAACGCCATTTATCTTAAAATGATCATGTTCTGGAGGCTTTAGCGCGGCCAGGGATGTGATATTGCGTGGCGTTCTGGGACACGAGGCTAGTAACAGTACAAAACAATTGCGCTTACCAAAACGCTTGGCGACGAGGGAGCTTGGCCATGACTGAGAAGATGAACAACATATCACTTGATGCATATTGCCCATAGCTCTCGCGCACTGTTTGAAGCGGAAACGCCAGGACGCTGCAAGGACCCTGAAGGAGGACCCCTAAAGAATGGCGTTTGCGGCTGAGAAAGCAGGAAAGAAAAAAAACTTTAAAATTTGACGACAATGCAGGGTCAAAGCCAATCGCTGACAATCAAATCAGCCATCTATCAACCCGTTCCAAATCGAGTCGCAAAGTCGTGCTGGAATCTCTCGCTGTTGACGGTGCATGGATTCGGAGCAGCCCCGCGTCAAGAATCGTGTCTTGAAATGCGATGTGGCTTGACCCCTTCTCAACTTCAGACGACTTCATCAATTCTCCAGGCAGCAGCGTCATCGATGGTCAATAGACGTAGCCATGTCTTGCGTTCCGATTGTGACGAGCAAAAGTGTTTGTCAGTGAGATGGAGGTGCTCGAAATAACCTTAATCTCAATCCGTATCGTGGCTAGTGGCAGAGCCAATCAGATAATTCACATTAGGAAAACTTCTTGGGGCATTTTTATCTTCTACCTCACCAAATCCAGGAGCATTTTCAGAGCGAGTGTCATCTTTAAATAATTGCAGATATACTGCAAGTATCGTATATCGTCGTTATTTTACCTAATCAGGTATGTTACTACGGAGCTCACGTGTTGACTACCCAACTCTCCCCACCTTTGAGACTTCTCCCATTCTTGCAGTTGTTCTCTATTACATTCGTCTTGTTCTTCTTTCCGTTCAATTTCTCTTGTATTCATGTTTATCACGACATTCTCAATTTATAAGTTGTTGAAGTCAGTGCCGAGCAGAGCTTCACATCCTGACAATGCTCGACGATCTTGCTCCGATATGGCAAGGTATACCAACCTTGACCAAGCTCTTTATCTTGGCAGCATTGTTATTCGCATATTTCACAGTCAAAAATATCTTCAGAGTCAGAGGCGTACCAGGACCAAAGCTCTACGCCCTAACAAAATGGCGGTTAGCATACGATGACTGGACCGGCACGCGAACGAGAACAATTGATCAACTTCACAAAAGATATGGCCCAGCAATCCGGATTGGACCAAACGAGCTGTCGTTCAACAGTTTGACGGCTCTCAAAACGATCTATGGTGCTGGAAGTGGATTTGAAAGGACAACTTTCTATCGCATGTTTGATGTCTATGGACATCAGAATCTGTTCACGTATGCAGGCGTTAAAGAACATGCTGAGAGGAAGAAACTTCTCAATCATGCCTATTCCAAGTCGAGTATCCTGAAAGCGTCCGCTAGTGCTGTCGAGAAGAAGGTTTGGGAATATATGAAATTACTAGAGACGGCACCAGAGGTCGCTAGCGAGACTTTTAGTAGCTTGCACTACTACTCCTTGGATAACATTACGCATTTCCTTTATGGAGATGAGTTTGGCGCAACTGCAGCTCTTACCGGATCTGTTGCTGACCGGAATATGTTGAATGATGTTTTGGATCCTTCTCGACGAAAGCTGGCTTGGTTTGCGGCTCATCTACCTCGATACACCAAGTGGTTGATGTCTCGAACAGGATTTGCAGAACGTCTTGTCGCCGGGTTGGGATTGCTGCCAATGAAGAAACCAACTACATATACCGGCATTCGAAAGCATGCATTGGCTGCATGGGAGACATTCTTCGCTGCTTCATCAGATATCAAAGTTGCATCAAATGCAACGACTATCATCGGAAGACTGTGGGAGAACCATACCTCACAGAAGGCCAATGGGTTGTTGGACATGGAGATTGCGTCCGAGGCAGCAGATCACTTACTCGCTGGAGTTGATACCACGAGTGACACATTGATGTTTCTTTTCTGGGCGCTATCGCTACCTGAGAATCTCCATTTTCAGAAAAAGCTCATTGCAGAAGTGGCGGCAATGCCAGAGTCGGACTTCAACGATCAAGGCGTGCCGACCGCTGATGCTACTGGGAAGTTGACGTACCTGGATGCTGTGATCAAGGAGACTTTGCGACTCTACGCTCCACTTCCAGCATCTGAACCGCGAAGTCTTCCGGTCGATACAACGATTGATGGATACAAAATTTCGGCGAACACGGTCGTAAGCATGTCACCCTACAGCTTGCACAGAAATACAGAGGTATTTCGAGATCCGTTGGTCTTCAATCCCGATAGATGGTTCGGCGAGGCGAAAGAGGTTGTAGAGATGAAGAAATGGTTCTGGGCATTCTCTAGCGGAGGTCGGATGTGTATTGGACTTCAGTATGTTCCCAGAAAGTTTCATTGGATTTGACTGAGATCAACAGCTTGGCCATGGCAGAAATGATGACTTTGACTGCTGCGATATATAGAGTGTATCGGACGAAAGTGCGAGCGGGCACTGAAAATACCTCTCCGGGTATCACCAGTCGATTTGAGGTTTTCTATGATGTGTCGAAACCGTATATGAAGGTTTGCTTCAGTATAACGCTATGGGGAGATTATGTCACTAAAATTTTGTCCCAGGAGCATGAATGTTGGATCGATTTCGAGAAGCAGTTGTAATTGAGTGGATACTGACGACTTGCTGTTATTTGACTGTTGAACAAAACCTTGGGGCCAATATATGCAACAAATACCAAGTGCACTTGTCGCAGATAAAGCTTTCTTCTTGCTTGCTAGCTTGTCATTTGATCCACATGATGCCGTAAATAGAGACAATCCTTGATGACTGGCTTCGGATGCGCAAGAGACTCTTCACGAGTTGGCTGTCTAATGCTTCGTCTGAGCAGATCGGCCAACCTTGGCAATCCTACTCTTTTCAATTGGTTATCAACACTGGACTTGGATACTATTCATACAGAGTTACGATGCCGAGATATTTCAAGGTAGAATAGGCAACATCCGAAGGGTAACTTGGGGGATAAAGACGGCAAGGAGACGGGGAATTGGTGCTAGTAGAAGTTTCATTGTAATAAACCAGAAATTTGTCTACCGAAATGAGATGATGGCTCCTCTCCTTTTAAACAGTCCGAAACTCCATTTCCCTAGGTCTAAAATTGACTCCTTGAACATTCACTCTATAGGAGGAAGTTCTGGCCACCAAGACCACGCTGCAGGAACGAAAATCTCTGCGCAGGGAGTGGTATACTCCTTCGGACTTTGATGATAGCCACTAATAACCTGGTCTTCTTCTGATGTGCCACAAATTTCACCCTGCACCTCCTCGACTGTCGCCTCTACTGAGGTCTCCAAAGGTGTGTCGAACCGAAATGTTTCGTTAGTGTCGATCGATGTGTTTGGGAAAGTCGGTACAGAACGTCCTGGTGGGCCGACCAGAAATTCTTGAGCCGTAGCTTCTTCAGTGAATGAATAAAGATCCGAATAAGTCAAAATTGTGTTCAATCCATCTCCGTAGTTTGCAGGTAAGCCAATATCGTACGCCAATTGTGCAATGTAAGTTGCGCTTTCTTCAAGATCTGCACACTGTAGACTCTTCAAAAGCTCCCCAGAAGACTCCTTTGACCATTCAAACCGAGGCTAATTCTCACTTGACGGCCCGTGGATGCGAAGCAATAAAGACCGCCAGGTATCAAATATTTTTGTTAGTCGTAGTAAACCTCGAATAACTTTTGAAAAGTCCCAGTCCGACTTCTTGCTTCCAGTTTCGTAGTGACCGCCGATGTGGCTGGCTCGCGCATCCCATGTCATTAACAAGCCGGCGCAGAAACCGCAACCCCACATGGTCGCTCTTTTAGTTATGGACATGACTGTGGCATCTGTATCGTGTTTGCAGTGTTCGCATCCATGGCCGCCTTTATGATGCTTTCGAAATTTATCCCTGGCCGTGAAGGTGCGGTTGCAACCTGATTCTCAACAAGACCACTGCTTTTGCGGTTGATGAAAACTCCCCTCATGTTTCTTCCAACCCCCCTTCCTACTAAAAGTCTTGTCGCAAAAAGAACATGGGTAAATCCTACGCGCATGTTTGCCCAATGGTTCGCCAACTGTCGGAAGAGGAAAAGTAACATTCAGTCGTTCAGACTGGATAGGAACTCTTTCAATCTCCATGGCCGCAATTTCTGGCTTGGCTTCTGAAAAATCGTTGAACTTGTTGTGAAAACAGTAGTCCTCTAGATCTCTTCTGCTATTACCTTGGGCTAGCAAATGTTAGATTTTTTCGATTCACATAACCTGTACCAACCTTCGGATCTCTGCCAAATTTCGACCCACTGGCATACCTGGCTGAGAGGAAACCGGCTCAGATATTCGACATGTTTCTGAGCTTCGGGAGGGATTGAAAGATCCTCAATTTTGAACGGTGATTTAATCTCATGATAGGGGAGTTTCGACGCATTAACGTCTTGCTGAACGCGTGACCCAGACAACGTCCGTTTCATGCTCCCAGTTTCGTAGGAAAGCCCTGGTACTATCTGCAATTGCGACTTTGAGTTGGAAATCTTTCAGACGAACAGCAAGATACATCAAGGAAGACGACCTATATGAATGATCTCTTCCAGCGGTGTATCGAGAATTCCAAGTTTGCAAAACACAGGCCGATGTTTGAGCGCAATGAACGGACGACATATTGACTAGCCGCCTGCTTACAAGTCTCATGGCGAAGAGTCGCATTCTTTCTCTGCGCAAAATTTAAGCGATCGTCTTGCTCTTGTAGGCAAACTACAGAGCAATGGATACTCTCCATCAATTGCCACGGGTTCGGGCAAGTGGGAATTCGCTCACGAGAAAGGGGCATTTTCCCATTATCGTTTTGGGGCGGATGCAAGGCCCGATCCCGAAATCTTCACGTGCGCAGGTACGAAATTAACAAAGCAGAGTATCGCCATCATGTCGAGAGACAAAATGAAAGGGATCAGAAAGCTTCAAATTTAGACGTTCTTCTAGATTTACAAAAGCTGTTAAATTTTATAGAGGTTAAGAGCTCGTCGTCTACCTACCTAGGTACTTGGTGAAAATTAAAGGCCTGAAGACACGACGCTAAGCGAGACCTACCCTCCACTAAGACCGGGACACGGCATGGATGTCCAGACCTCGAGCTCCACTGCTCTCATTTCGACAACCATCGTGCCTGGAGATTGTTGACAGTGGTTTGCATCAACTTATGAATATGTCTATTCATAGCAAGCTCAAGGTCAAGCAAGGTCAAGGCCAGGAGAGGAGCGATGTTGTCAGACCCCAACAAGACAGCATGTAGCATATTTCCTATTAACTCAAGACTTGAAAATTGAGGAAGACTTCAACCAGGGTCTATTCAAGGTATCTAGATTCAAGTTCCTTATCATCAATCTTGTTCATATCTCAATAGCCTCCACATCAACAATCACCTTCCTCAAACCCCTCAAACCCTCCTTGAAATCCCTCAGCGCCCCCGAAAAATGGATGAAGTCCCTCCCTACCCATTGCTTCCTCCCCTGCTCACTCCAACCCTTCACTCCAATAGTCGGAAACTTATCCACCATCGCGACCTTCGTCACAAACTCCGTCGGCGTAATCGAGAGTTTCCCATAAACCCACCTTTTCCTCTCCTTCAATCTCTCCACATGGCTTGTTCCAAACAACTTCTTCAGCAAGCTCTTGGGTTCTCCGTATCTTTTCTCGTCCACTAAATCCAGATATACCCAAGCCTCAATAAACAGATCCATTAGATACTTCACAAACAGATCGATTACCTTCCCTCCATCCAAACCCCAGTCGTTCTTCATGCAAAACTTCAGAACCGCAGCTCTGATCCTTGGATCCCTGAGCATTAGTCTTGCAATATTGACCGCGAAGTATTTAGGTGATAATTTTTGTTCTGGCGCTGGGTTCGTTGAGCAACTCCACCGAGGGTCACGCCATCCGAGTTCCCACTGGCGTTGGTCTTTGGAGAGGCCGGTCCAGGCCCAGACCCAATTCCATGGGTCGATGGATTTGTTATCGCGGTTGTAGGTGAGAGCGTGAGAAAGCTCGGTTGAGAGGATGGTGTCTTGTTCTTGGAGGTCGCGGCGTTGATAAGGAGGCTGTGGGGTTAGCTGGTACAGGACGTGATGCGACGGAGTTATGGGAGGTTTTACTAGGATCTCAGGTTCATAGGGGAGTGAGTTGAGCGATTCGATGGACATGGTGATGAGTGTGGTGTAATTGATATCGCGAGTGATGAGACGTCTGGTGTTGGTGGTGGAGGGGAAGTTCACTTGCGCAGCCTTGCACCAAGAAACGCCACAAAGGTCAATCTGCACAGGAGAAGCGCGGGAGCCAATAAATTTCATACATCTTTTCTCCAACGCCTCTATAGACACTCTCGATCTAATGTATCCTGATCTATCTCATCGCCCCTCTAGCTTTCTATCTCGATTCCTCTATCAACAAGCAAGCACTCTTTTGCGCTCGTTATCCTGTATGACGCTCTTCAAGTGGACCATCTATCCTGTTGTGTCCTCTATAATGTCTTATCATCTCTAGTCTTCCGTATTTCTCGCTGCACAGGTTCTCGCAGTTGGTACGTAAATCTCAAATGCACGCAGAAGCAACGCTCAACCGCCATACTGACAACGCAATCTGTACTAGGACAACTTGGCGGGTTAGTTGATTCTACAATGGAGAGCGAGCAACTTACTGTTGATTCCGCTTCTATTTCTGATGCACAATTCGATCAGAATATAAAAAGGTTGCTTCCCCCTCTTCAATCAATTTCGAGATGGAAATGCTCCGATTTCTTGCAAGCCTCGATGATCTCAACCGGGATCTTATGCTCCTTCTCACTGACCGCAATCGTACATTGTTGTCTAGCCAAAGTATGCTCAAGCGTATAACACAGCAATTCAGCAATCTCCTCATCTTCGCCAAGGCGACCGAGCAGATTCAACTTCTCGAGAATCGGTGGGAGACCAACGGAATGGAGACGGGGATGACCTTGGCCGATCAGTTGATAGTCTCGAAGGGTAAGCGACTTCAGGGCTTGGAATTCTCGCAGTCTCAAAGCATGCTTGGCGACCAAGGTAGGGAAGTCGATGGTGATGGTGACGAGGGAATGGTTGGCAGAGCTCAAAGCGAGAATGTAGTCTCCGATATCAAGTGGGCTTTCTTCCAGTTCAGGAGTAGGGTCAGCAACTTGTGTGATGGTGATTTCTTGCAATGCCTCAGGATGGAGCAAGATATCGGCTAGAGCATCATCATTGATATCGCATTCCAGGAGATGCAATTCCTTCAGAGCCGTGTTCTCGGGCTTCTCGAGACTCTCGAATCCACGTTGATCCAGCTTTGCGCGTCGAATGGTAAGCGATTCCAAGGTAGGATGACTGAAGATGTGGATGTTCTCTTGGAGATCCCAGTAGCCACCATCTTCGCGTTGGTAGAACAGAGAGCCTGTGATTGTCAGATATGTAGACTTTCACGTGATATTCACTTACAAGTCTTGAGACAAGCCAGGTCAAAGGGACCATTGAATAGATTGCCAATTCCATGCGACAAGGCTTCTGGGACCGATACTTCCAAGTTCTCCAGGTTTGACATAGTCGAGATGGTGTGCGAAAAGTGGTCGAACCTGAGTGGATGAGGGCTCTCGGGAATGGCCATGACCTCAGATAATTCCTCGCTGGGATATTCCAGTCGAACCTCGTGAATCAAAGAACCACGTCGCGGCCGTCGAGCCAGCGACTCAGAGAAGGACACATGATGTCTTGGATGATCGAATGCGACGGATTTGTGAAGGATAGGATCAGCGAGTTTGTTCAGCTTCTTGCTGACAAGACATATGGCGCTGAGGTCGCGGGCAGACAGGTCTCCAAGGATTTGAATGAGGAGTTCATCTGGCAAGTCGCCGAAGAGCGCGGGCGATCTGTCGATGCTCATTGTGGAGTCTGGAGCTGTGGAGAGTGTGCGGGTTGCGGGGAGATTATATTTATTTTTTTCTGTTGTTGCATGGGGCGAAAGGTGATCCCTTGAATTTATCGCGTCGCTATCGCCACGTGTTTTACTAATCGCTGAACGCCTAAGGCACAAACGCTTGGCGAGTCACACGTGATATCGCGTTGCCTGGAATTGAGTGGGAAAGTTGAGGAAGACTTTGAGTCACAGATTTATATCGTAAGTGTAGTCTTATGGTATTTGATATTTATGAAACAAATCACGGCTTTTGAGTCAGCTTCTTTGACAATGTCTCGGGTGGGATTATCTTTCATCCAGCGGAAGGTGTATCAATCACGCAAACAATCATTTGTTGCAGGATTCTGAATGTTGACGGATGTTATGAACGATCATTTTCTGGCCTGATATGTTCATCAACCTTTGCAGATTGTATTCCTACATTCATTGCAATCTGAAGTTTGTCCAGGAAGATTGAATCTTTGCTGATGTTCAGTACTCGTCTGTGCCGTACAGGCTTCTACTCGCTAATTTACAGGCTTCTAACCACTAATTCTCCAGCCCAAAGCAGTGACAGCCTGAAGAGAATCTCGGCAACGAGGGGTAACCTGCAACTACGATGCCTGCTTGGAATTCTTGTTATGCTATGGCCAATGTACACGAACGCCAGATGATTTCCTTATACGCCTTTCCATGTACATGATCAGCCTCAAGTCTTCAAGGAGATCTTCACCTAATTAAGTCTTCTTTCCCACCGCATTTGTAAGCTCACGCAACTTCACGTGATACCATCCCCCTATTTGAATCGCCAAATCCCCTTTCCAGACAAATGCAAACAATAACAGCCATGGAACGCCCAAAAACACGTACCGTCTACCGACGAAATGCATCTAAGCCCAACACCCTCGAACTCCTATCGGAGCCGTTGAAACCCCTTAAAGCAACCGAGATACTCATCCGCGTCCACACCGTCTCGCTCAATTACCGAGATATCAATATCCTCAGGGGCACAAATCCATGGCCTACATCTGACAATGGAGTCCCATGTTCTGACGCAGCAGGTGAAGTGACCGCCATCGGTGCAGAAGTAACGCGATTCAAGGTCGGGGACCGCGTATCTCCTATCCTCGACCAGAAGAGTATTACAGGACAAGAACAATCGAGAGAATGGCTTGGAGGGGAAGTTGATGGGATATTGGCGGATCATGTTATTTTCCCGGAAGAGAAGGTGGTGTTGATTCCTGGCCATCTGAGTTGGGCCGAAGCAGCTTGCTTGCCTTGTGCAGGGTTAACGGCTTGGAGTGCATTGGCTGTGGGAGGTGAGCTTGTTGCTGGGAAGACTGTGTTGATTCAAGGTCTGTCGGCTAAACTTTGTTCGAATCCTGTTCTGATGAAAAGTAGGGACTGGTGGAGTGAGTCTTATGGGTCTGAAGTTAGCGATTGCGGTGGGCTGCAAAGTGATCATCACTTCAAGCTCTGATGCTAAACTTGACAAAGTCCGGGAAATGGCTGGTGGTAAGAAGATATCTACTGTCAACTACAGCAAAACTCTGGACTGGGAGCGTGAAGTGCTGAGGTTGAATGGTGGGAGAGGAGTTGATATCGTCTTCGAAAATGGTGGGTCCTCTTCGCTCATGAAGAGTATTGCTGCGACTACAAAGAGAGGGATCATCAGCCAGATTGGATATCTTGGACAACAAGATCCTAAAGACTTGAATGGACTCATTTCTTTACTGATCGACAGGACCGTTACACTTAGGTATGTCATAATGTTTGTTCTTTGTGCGTGTACAGTACTAATTTGATGGAAGAGGAATCAACGTCGGATCTCGCTTGGAGTTTGAAGCCATGAATCGAGTGATAGATGCTAATGAGATGAATTTTGAGGACATCATTGATAAGACATTTTCATTCGATCAGGCAGAAGAGGCTTTCAAGTATTTGAAAAGCCAACAGCATGTAGGAAAGGTGGTGATTGTAATCCAGTGAGACGGTCCAACAGAAATGGCAGTGTCGTCTCGGTGAACTATAGAGGTCAATTCATCCTTGCAGGTCTTTCGCAGTTGTCAGTCATGCCGAAGTGCGTACGGATGACTCGGGTAACCAAAACCAATAAGGAATAATTTATTGCAGAAAACTTAACCAAGTCCGAGAATAACTCAAGTCCTTCGACTCAATCCTGGCGCAGTCTGCCTCGTGACCTAGGACTCGGTGTGAAGGACCAATCAGGCTGACAATTCCTATTCAGGCATCCAACACAAGGCTACGCCACAACAGAGTAATGCTTGCAGCCTCATGCCTCTTCAACTTCTTCAAAAGGTTCAGATATGTCTCCTACCATGTTTATGACAATAATACAGTACAGAGCTCTCAGCTAGAAAAGTAGCGACAAATCTGAAGCGACGAAATTTAGTATGGATAACCGAAGCAGATCTCGTTCAAGTTCAACAATGACAGAAGTACGCAAGCAAAGCAAGCTCCCTATTGACGACCACAGAATTTTATCAGTGTATCAGTCTTCGAATCAAAAGCCTCATTCAAACCTTGAACTGAGCAAGTCACACAAAGAAACCCAAAAATTCACAACTTCCTTCCTCTCTCAGACAACCAGAGTTGGAGGTCTGCGATCAGGTCTTGTCTCATGGCCCAATATCACCATACAAGAGTCGCGCTCGCAAAGGAAAGGCATATTCCACTACGTCGCTGAAGAAGTAACTCGTCTCATTCTCCAGGACCAAACAACGAGAAAATCAATTCAAGACCTCATTGGAAATTACGACCCAGCTTACTTCGAGAAGAGTGTCCCTCGAATCTTCACTGCATTCATCGAGAACCTTGTTCTTGAAGCTAATAGCCTTCTTGAAGTTGCGCGAAAACGAGAATCTCTAGAGCGGAAAGGTCTTGGATTTTGGGCAAGGATGCGGAGCTCGAAAGAAAAGAAAGCGGATTCGAAGCGACTTTCAGCATTCAAAGCCACGAGACTGAGCGTGGCCGAAATGTTGAATATGATTTGGCAGTATCGAGCTCCAATATGGGATTCGCCGAAGAGAGATGAGCAGGGGAGAAATTATTGGGCAAGTAATGTCGAGGCTGTGAGAGAGTCCAAATCGTTCGGGATCTTTAAGGAGGACCTGAGGAGTTTGAAAAGACCGTTCATAGATACGGAAGCTGTGGGGTTTGAGATGGTGGCGGGAAGAAGAATGAGCGGCTCGGAGTATGCCTCGTGAGGTAGCCTGATCTAGGCTCCCTGCGGTTGAGACATGCAGCAGCCAAAACGGGCGCGGCTGTGTCGAAGCCGGACAACACATAATGTCATTCCGAGCCTGATTGCAACCATGGTCATGTCACAACCATTTTCCTGGCTCCTGGCTCGTCATGTCGATAGAATTAGTCTCGGGGGAAGCGAACTTGGAACAATTCATCGACATCCTGCTATCTCAACGTTTCAGGCCCGACGATACAAGGAATTGCGAGAGCAAAGGCCTCACGAAGCAAGAATTCGATCTGCGCCCGCCGAAAGGACTTCTCAATTGGGACTGCGATATTATTCTCCCGATACCCGAAGCTTTGAAAGAGATTACACGCCTGACTCTCTACTCCGAGCCAATCAAAAAAGCAATATTTTCAGTACTTGATTGTCCGGGGGAATCATATTTTCAGAAACACATTCGTCCTCTGCTCAACCGGTTTCTGGAGGACTTATGGCTGGAGAAATGGTGGCAGCTCAAGCCTAGGCGTAAATCAAGAACTCGAACCCGGTCAGGTCATTCGTTGACCGAATCGCTATGGTCGTGGAGGCATGATCGAAGTCGAAAGTTGACAACAATGCCCTATATGATGGGATCTGAAAGGGCGAGTGTCGTTGATGTTATGAACATGATATGGTGCGTCGAGAGCAAATTCTGGTCTTCTGCAAAGCGTGACATTTGGGGGAATACTTGTTCACGTAATCATGAGATTTTTGTAAGAGAGTCAACGGCGTTACAGATTTTCATGGATGGCTTGAAAGCATTGCGGAAAACGGTTGTTGCTGTGGAAGCAATTTAAGATTATATTGTATCTAAACTTTCGAGAAATTGTTCCCCGTCATGTTAATCTTTCAACATGTCATCATTTTGCTCTCCTATGCTTGAACTCATCACAAGAATGGGAATGTCCTTCGAATTCAGTATGTAGCTGTATTCCATTTTCCACCTCCAAAGGCTGGTGTTCAACCTTGGATAGGGTCATACGTGCAAGGGACATCATTTCCTTTCAATTCTTTTCTTAGCTTCCATTTTCTGGTAGCAGACTTGTTGCCACCATGAATATCAACGTTGGTGTATAAGGCTCCCATTTCCATCACCCTAAAATGGATGAGGAAGTTGATCGTGGAAGCTCAATGTCGATCTGCTCAAGCCGCCGTCGGAATAAACTTTCTTGACATCTTTGTTTGCTCGAATAGTTTTCAGCAGCGTCTCATCTGTGTTATTGCCCAGGTAGACCGCCTTATTAGGACTATGGGCATAGGCATAATATTGTAACGTGCGGGAGAAGTTTGCGTCCCGACTTCGCGAGGATCGTAATGGAATGTGGCTCAAAGTTATGGCCCGGCTTGTGATACACTAGATAAGACCCCGGTAAAGAGCGTTTTGGCATGTTGTAGCAATTTTGAAGTCGTGCAAACACTCGTTTGAGCAGCTTCGACCAGAAATCGCACTCGACTAGTTTAACACCAGGGTTGGATCATATATAAAGGAGGAGTAGCGAGTTTACAAGACGCGCATGATATAAGATGGGATACATAGCGTGAGAAACGTGTTCCATATGAGAATGATGTCTTGATTCATGGTCTTGGAGAGCATAGCAGCGTGAGGTCCAATCGTGTGGCCGGACTTCAAACGATCTAATAGGAACCAGAGACCCTCTCTGATTCCGGTGCAAGCCAAAAAAGAGGAGAGAGGTTAGGTGGAATGGTCTTCAATGCAGTAGATGGATTTTTCTCCATGCTTTGCCTCGAAGTAGCTACTATATTATAGAACATAACAAAATCAGATTTACGAAGTATTTTCACAAACATTTTATGCCGAAGTACCGATGTAAGTAATAGTGAGCCTGATTTGTGCCGCCATGTCTGAAGGGAAGTAAACAGACACCGCGCTCCCGCAAGCTTTTGGAGGTCTGCAAATGCTGTGTTGATTTCAGAGTATCATGTTGGAGAAGTAAGCAAACCACCGGAAGAGTGAAAACGGAAGTCCAACATTCCCAAATTCATGCTCTTAGATCTGCACCTCCATCTGCATAGCCGAGCTTCCGCCTCACTTCGCGCATGAACAACCAACACTTTGACATCGCAATATCTAAGATTTCTCATCAGTCTATAGTAAAATCACCATACAAATTCGGTTAGTTAATGCACAGAATGGCAGTGATGCGGGCTGCATCGACGAAATTATCTGCTACCATGATAGGGTGGCTCCTTCTGTCTGTCTTGCCATGCTTGTCCGCCAAAGCTCTGTTTCCCTGCGTTGGCTGCGTATCAGAACATTTCTTGCAATCTGAAACATATGGGATTGATCTTGCCTCTGACCACATGTATGTTGACAACTCGTATACTCTTGAGCTCACTGACACTTTCTTTGATAGAGCTGTTGCAGTCCAACATGTAAATGGGACTCTTGAGCCGATTGCTTTGACTACCCCTGGTCCTCGTTATCGGTCATTGATGAACAAGATATTGATGGAATCAGATATGCACCCTTACGGTTATGGGAATGAAACACCAAAGCCCTTTAAAAGTTGCACTAGGGATCCAGGGGACAATGCCGACATCGACATACTGGCGGAGGAAATCACTAAGATCGCAACTGTAATGCAGGGCCAGAACAGGAACATCGTACATTATGTCGTATCGACACCAATATCTTTCACCCACGAGAAATATGCACGACTTCGTCTGGCATTCAAGGAATCTAATCTTCCCCAACCAACCTTCGCTGAGCCTGCTGATTTCGCCGCTTTCACTGCGCTAAACACAACCATTTGTGATCGCCATTTTGAATTATTTTGCGCGCCTATTGACTACAACTCGAGGACTATCATGTTCTTCCAGTACGATAACTCTACAATGAGCGTCTTGTTGTATCATTTTTGGGGCGGTTGGTACTTCGATCGTGTAGCTTACTTCTCGGACGGCCGATTAGGACATCAGAATCATGGCGACGAAGGACACTGGCTTGCTATTTCTGAGAGGATCACAACCCTAATCGAAGGCAACAAAGACAAAATCTCGTACGGGTAGTTCTACTCCAATCCACTGATCATCGTGCCTATGGGACAACTCGGATCAGATCCCTCATTTCATCAGGCTGTGAGAGATGCTCATGGTACTTTCAAGACGGGAAATAGTCTACCTCTAAGAATTCAAGACGTGGTTCTGGATCCAGTCTTTGTTTCCGCACTAGGAGCGGCAAGGGCTGCTAAACGTGCTATCGATGCACCGAAACCACGTACCTGTAACGTGGAAGATCACAAGTGCACCAGAGTGAGAGAGAAGGTGCTACACGACTCATTGGTGGATCAGAGACGTGGGGGGAAGCATACGGAAGAGCTTTAGGTCAACGGTGTGAGCTGCTGTGTTGAACCTAGATGTACTGCCATACCGTCCCAAGGTCAACTTCCGCATTTTCAAACCTGAATATTATGCTTTAATAAGGTGTTCTCACAGTGTCTCAATTGCACCACAGGCATATGTTCTAGTCCATAATTAAACACCTACTGTTTATAAACTTTACCCCCGCCATTCATGAATAGCGGGGTGTTTATATATAGCACCCCTAGTTTATAAACTACACCTGCCATTCATAAATAGCAAAGCCCGCCATTCGGGAACAACGCCACTAATAAACAAGCCGGGAATAAAGCTCTAAATTCAGCCCTAGCACTGTAGTACTTCAGCATCTCCAGCACCTCCAGCACCTTTAGCACCTCCAGCACCTCTAACATAGCAACAGAACATAGCACTAATATCTATTGCTTCAATACACCTCAAAACTAGAGTATAAGATTCTAGGTAATGTAATAGAGATGATAAAAGACTAAGGTATTAAAAAGCTCAAGTGCTAAAGTGCTAATGTGCTAATGTGCTAATGTGCTAAAGTGCCTGAAGTGTCTAGAGTGCTGTTCCCGACTAGCACCCCGCCATCCATGAACTCTTGCACTAAAGCCGAGTGTTTATATATAGCTAGTCCATTCACAAACTAGGGGCGCCATACATAAACCCTCCGCCATTCATGAATAGCGGGGGGGGGGTCAGTTCATAAACGGCAGGTGTTCACGTATAGACTAGAACACCTACATTTACTGCAAAATGACAACAGGTCTCTTTCGCTGCCATTAAGTGCCGCGTAAAGTTTATATCTTGCTGACTAAAATGCTATCGTTCCGTAGTGCATGTGTCTCTCCTTGGCTTCTTGTTTCTTCACTCTTCCCTCACTAACTATCAATTCTTCACTCCTACCGAAAGTTGGGGAAAGGGGGTTTCGAAATATCCCATTCTTCTGAAATGTCCGGGGTTTCCTCCAAGTCAAGCGACTCTTATGCACTGCTTGACGTACGGACGAACTGTGTTATAGACCATTTCAAAAGCAATCGGACATTCAAAATAATTGACTTCGGCATCAGTGGGGAGCCATTGGATTTTTATGTAAAATAATTCCGACGTCATTCCAAGCAATTGAACGGCGCGGCGACGATCAGTGGAGCCGTTCCCAGCTAATAATTGCTTACGTGAGTACTCACTTCACAAAAGGACCCCAATCTTCCTCTCGACTCTCGAATATTCTTCAAATCTTAATCAAAAACAATGACAATCAACATAGCAATTGTCGGTGGCGGTATAGCCGGCCTTTGCCTTGCTCGTGGGCTGGTGCGGCACCCACATCTTCAGGTTACGGTCTACGAAGCAACACAAAGATATCTAGATATCGGCGGCGGACTCGCTTTCCATGGCAATGCAATGCGTGCCCTCGAGCTTATAGATCCAGAGCTTCAAGCTGAGTATTTTCGGCGTGCAACGGTCATGAATGAGCGGGACGTGGAGATGGCAACTCAAGTGCTGGTAGGAGATGCCGTAGCTGAAGATGGTGGGTCTGTGTTACTAGCCGAGCTAGGAAAAGCAAAGGGAAGAAAGACTGTTGCTCGAAGCGACTTGTTAGAAGGCTTGTTGAGTCTCATACCAGGCGGTGTTGTCAAGTTTGGGAAAAGGCTCGCTCAGATCGAGGAGAAGTCAACCAACGGTGCAATTGGTGCAACGAACATCTCCTTGACTTTCAAGGACGGCACCACGGCTACGGCAGATGTGGTTATCGGATGTGATGGTGTGCACAGCGTCATCAGGAAGTATCTACTTGGAGCCGATCATCCCGCCGTTGGATTGAAGAACCATGATGCTTGGCAGTGGATTCGACGCTCTGTACCTGCCGAAGAAGTCATGAAGTTGAATGAAAGATTGCTGTCGTATGTACCCATCTTTTGCGGACACGGCGCATACATGAACTGCCTTCCTACTCATTTCGGAAAAACTTTGAATGTCGCCGTGGTTCAGATATCCAAAGATTCCAGATTGACAGTCAGCTCTGAGAAGGACGGTGTTCAAGAGACACCCGATATCATTACTCCGGAAGCTTTTTCTCATTGGACAAAAGATGCCAGAGACATCGCGACACTGGCTCTGCGGGACCCAAGCACAGAATGGAAGCTAGAAGATCATGATCCGGCACCGTTCTACTCTCGTGGTAGGATATGCATGATCGGTGATGCGGCACACGCCACAATGCCTTTCAACGGACAAGGCGCGGCTCAGTCCATTGAAGATGCGGCGCTTTTGACGGCACTATTTGAGCATGTCACTAAACTCGAGCAAGTCGAAAAGGCACTCGGCGTGTACGACGAGTTGCGGAGACCTAGGACCCAGAAGATAGCCGAATTGAGCAGACAATTTGGTCGAATGTATGCGTTTGCTGAAGAAGGAGTGGGCGATGATTTGGGGAAAATGCGTGCTATCTTAGGTGCTGGGGCGAAGTATACGAATGATGTTGATCTGAAGGCATTGAATGAGGAGGCTGTAAGGAACTTCCTAGCCAAATAGACTTGTTCTTCTCATAGTTTCCTTTGACTTTTATTCCTGATACCTGTACTTCCTAGCAAAGAGTCTCAACTATATTTTAGAGGGTTGACATTGTTTTGCTGTTCTTTTTTGTTCTGATTGCCGATGTTTTGTTGCAAAGTGCGTCGAGTCCCGTCTCAGTCGTGGAGCGCAAAGCTCTGAGTTCAAGACGTGCACTCTGGCGTACTGTTGGTTTCACGGCATTATATTGGATAAGTACGCGGCTCACAGACTGGGAACGAAATCCAACTCGCATATCCAACATCGACCCTTATCTCTGCCATGGCCACTCGCTCCTTTCTGATGGGGCCGCTATCGCTTTGATCAAGCCTGGCTGTGATGCTATTTTTGGACCCTTCTTCACCAACATCCAACATTGGTAGGATTCATGCATTAGATAGTGAGTTGCTCCAACATTGCAACAATCTCCAGCGCGTCAACCTGTACAAAGGCTTGTTCAAATGGAGAGCATTTGAATGGTGAATTGCTACTTCGACAATCTCTTGGAGCCGATAGTGGTTGTCCTAATCCATCATAGTTGGATACGGTACTACACTTCCAACGTTGGTATCTTGCCACCCCGAGCCCACATTTATCATGAAACCTGCAGCTGCAACCCCTCTGGTACCAACTCGCCAACCTCACAATGAATCTCTTGCACGCCCTTGTCCGCCCGAACGCCTCCCAACAGCTCGTCATCGACCCTCTTGCCTGAGTACACAACTTGGCCAGGGTAGTAAGAATCTGGCAAAATCCACCAGATATGATCGCGAATATCCCGATTGACTGCTACCGATACAGTCTTGGCATGTTTCTCCAGTGAGTGGCCATGAGAAAGGTAGACGAGGTAGTTGCCTGGGTACAGATATCCGTGTCCTTGTTCGCATGACACAAGAGGAGCTTGGTATTTTGTTCTCTACAAGCAGAAGTTAGAGAGATTTGAAATATTAAGAGAGGTCTTGCTTGCCGTTATGTATATGAAAGCAATACCGATTGTAGCTGACACAGCAACTAGGCCGGATTTCCAGAACATCATGTGAGATGTGGAACATGAACAGAAGAATGGTACTTCTGTTTGGTTGCTCTTGGTGTGGTAGTGAACTTTTAGAATTCAGACAGAGAATACATGTCGTTCCAGGTCTTATTAGAGATGAATGAACCTGTTTTCGCCAACAGGGATCTCGACTATGAATTACGCAAGTCTCACGGGACGGTGCAGCATGGTGGCGAGCCACGGATGTTGGCCTAGTTATCCTAATCGAGCATGCTGCATCGAGTGTGGGGCATAGGGGGATCTCCGGTTTCAGCCACTGCACTATGATCATTCGAACTTAATGTTCATGAGTCTCTTCCAGACTTTCAGGTGTTACATGAATTATTCTAGGCCTAGCCACGGCACCCTCGGGGATATATGAATGAACATGGTTGATACAGATACTCAGCTAACATGCTCTCTCTCCATCTTCGCCACGTATGCTAAGAAGGATGAGAAATCAACAACAGTCTCGCACTGCATTGTTGCATCTGAAGAGGATCACTTTTTGTGAGAAGTCATCCTTGACCGTTCATTTATCTGAAGACTCCAGGCCTCGCCTCGTCGCCTTAACTTGTATTAATTGTCCTTTGCATCACAACTTGCTCTGTTTCTCCTCGTAGATAGGAAAAGGGTCCCAAGCTAATAAGATCCTTCGCTTTCGGTCGCATTTCTCGGTCTGATGTTCTTGCGGATATATCCGAGGCTGAAAAGTTTTGAGCTTCCTAGGAGATATATTTGCACTTGGGTCGCTTCTCATAAACATCCAGCTAAAGTAGTAAGGTTTTAATGCGTGGTTCTGTAGTAGTTGTCAATCTGTTTCGTGGCTAATTGGAGACGTGTGCCAATCGGCCCAATCCTGTTGGATATCAAAAAAGCCTCCTACGTCTGGTGTTCTACGTTGGATGGCCAAGAAATGAAGCCGATCCCAACTTTGAACATAGCGAGCGGGATTCTGGTATAGATCCTTTGGAAAAACTTGAAACCGTGGCTAGAAATGATATGTTTGCCCTCGCCGCGTTGGGGCACCTCTCATCCAACAAATTCTATTTCTGTTGTTCTCTAACTACAAATTTAGATGTGAACCTCTAGGATAAGAAGTGACGAGGTCTCCAGAATCCATAGAGCCCTTTGTTCTACATTCTATCTAGTCTAGAGGTCACAAATTTGTGGTTTGTACTTACACGCTTTCTTCTGGAAATCATGATCTTCCTTGAACAGTTATTCTTCAAAGTCTTTGGGGTTTTGGGCTTGTTCGCTCCCATAGCTCAAGCATTTGCATCGTTCTACGAAGCACGAGATTCTACCATTCAAGATGAATATATCGTACTCCTTCATCCAGATTACACTCTCAGCCAGCATTACAACTTCATAGGAGTGAATATGTCACAACAATCGTCTATGTTTCATTACTTGGACACCATAAATGCATATGGGGTGCGCGCGAGCCCTGAACTTGTCCATGAACTAATCCGTCACGATAATGGCGTTCTCTATATCCAGCAGAACTTTCATCTGAATGCATCTCTAGGAATTGATGGAGGCAGTCCCATCACGACGAATTTCCCAGGCAAAGGAAAGTCACGGAGGTGGACACAGGAGAATTGGATTGGTCGATTCTGGAACTTCATGCTCACAGCGGGAAAGAAGCTCGACACCATTCCTCCTGAATTTGAGACAGAGGTTCGTCCAAACAAAAGATTGAGATGATTCAATGCTAAGCAAGAACTAACTGTGTTGTACAGTATCCTCTCTTAAAGTATGCCGGCCTAGGAGTCGTCGTTTATGTACTCGATACTGGTATAAGACTTTCACATGTAATGTTGGAGGGGCGAGCTACAAACTTCCAAAACTTTGAAAATTCTCCATACTGCAACGAGCCAATGGTAATTCTGATCTTGAACTCCACAGGGGACTAATGAAATTAACGTGCCTGGCAGGCAGACCTCGTTGGTCACGGAACTCATGTGAGAAACCAAGTGGCTCGATACCGGTGGAGCAAGATCTAATTATCGGGAACAGGTAGCAGGTATCGTCGTCAATACTGCGCCTTGGGCATACACTGTCAATGTCAAAGTCCTAGGAGAGGGACAAAGTCCGCTGGGGCTCATACGTGGTTAGTGAGCTACTTCGAAGCCTGCACTGTGAAAACCATTAACAAATTATACAGCTATAGTGGATGTGACCAAAGAACACCAATTTTACCAGAATAATCCTGGCTCAAGAGTAAGTGACACAAATAAATTGACTTTCAGAACAGATGAGAAATATGGACTGACAGAACTTTAGCCAGTTCCTTGGAGTGGTTCAGTGATAAATCTGTCCTTGGGCTTTCTAACGACGAATCCTATCCCTGCACTCCAACTTGCTGTGACAAGAGCGTTCCAGGCTGGAATTCCTATTGCGGCTTCTGCGGGGAATTTTAAAAATACTGGTCAACAGGCAGTCTACCCGCCCTGCATGTGAGTCAGCTCTCAGCTCTGTACAAGGGAACTTCGTGTCACTGATCATACCAGATATCAGGGCTCTGTACTATGTGTTGCTTCATGTGATAGAAATTACCAGAAGTCGGGGTTCTCAAATTTCGGTGGAAATGTAAGCATTATTGCTCCCGGAACTAATATTGACTCTGCATGGTTCAATGATGACCACAGAGTACGCACCGTTTCTGGAACCAGCCAAGCAACTCCATTTCTTGCCGGGGTCATGGCAACATTCATTGGTTATGAGAAGATATCGAACAATCCAGCAAAAGTGTATCAGCGTGTACGACAAAATCAGCTCTACGGCATTGTGAGTGGATTCAGTGCTGATACACCCAACTTATTTCTCAATACCGGCATAAATGATCCTAATAAAGACCCAGCTGTTCCTTATCACGGAGCACCTGGCAGAGATTTGACGTCTTCTAACGATACAAATACCAGTGCAGATGGACCTGTGACTTATGAGACTGTCAGCTCGGGTAAGCGTTTCAATTATGTGCCTTGGAGGACTTGCACTTCTATATGTTGAAGAAATTTTTCGGGGAACTTTACTAAGAAATATACAGCGCTATACAGCTACAGTATTAGCTCTATTCCTTCTGGGAGTGTGGTAGGCTATGAAGGAGAGATTACCATAGGCACGGATTCCGGAACAGCAACACTTATGCCTTTCTCATCCTTTTCAGTTATCTCAAATTCTACCTCGCTGCCTGCTCTACCATCCTCAACATTCTCAACACAGTCAACGACGTCCCTGTACACACAGCCATCTTCTTCAACACAATCAACAGTGTTAGCACCACCACCACCATCTTCTACTCCAGCAACGACACCAACCGCGACTTCTGTCAGCCCTGAAACAAACACGCCATACATCCCACCAACAACTCCATCCTGCGTCCCTCGGCCAACAGGGTCCTACCACGACTCCCACGAAACTGACCTCACCCTAGCAGTCAACTACTTCTGCGCCAACAACAATGACGCCCCCATGCAAGAAGCCATCATCGCTGGTCCAGTCACAGAAGGCAAATCTATCGTCGTCGTCGCAAGACCTTATACAGGCACAACTCCCGAGGATGATGTCTACATGATCAAAATCATCCCTTTGCCATATTGTACGCCGCCGAGTGGTTCGGATATTAATACTCCGGTTGCTGGGAGTACGTGTAGCTCACTCTTGTATGATGCGTGGAAGAACTGTAAGTTTGCATGATACAAAATGTAAGCGACCATAAGTATTGACAGGTGCAGGTAACAACGATGGGCGTGGTGGGTCGATTATAGCTAGTTGCTGGACGTACAGTGTGGCTACGAAATGGTGATTTTCTTGATGCCTTGGACTGTGTCACTACTTTCGCTGAAGGCCAACTTGTGTGATCAAGGTTCAGAAAATCCGAAAGGCTAGCCCTCATCTCTTCATTAGGACCATGCCTAGTGATCTTTCCCTTACCCAAGATGATTATATATGTGGGAACAAGCTGTTACCCCGAATTCAAAAAAAGAGTCGGGCCACCTAACTCGTTCTGCCAACGAGAACGTTATCAATTTCTTTCCGCACAACTCCCGTTTCACTGAATCAATATTCTCGGTATCCCACAACAAGAACCTCACCACGATCCTCCAACGAAAGAGCACTTAAGAAAACGATTGTCAGAACACTTCATTAATCAAAAGCTTCTCTGGCGCATCACGAAGCGACCACTCAGCACTAGCTACAATTCTCCATTGAGATCAGAAAAACTCTCGCTGAACAGAAAAATACACGGCTCTGAGGGAAATTTTCTGATATGAGTTTATCTCGAGAGAATCTACTAGACTTGAGCGCTCTCGGCGCCTTAGGCGGGATTGGCGAGATTTGCGCTTTCTGCGCTATCAGCGCTATACTCGCTGGGGGTGAAGAAATCAGACAGATAAAATCATTGCGATGGACGGGGAAGAACCACTCGGTAGATATAAAGATATAATTCATAGCTTGAGTAAACATACAGCGAAGGTGCAAAGTTTTCAGCGCGATGTTGATCTTCAATTCCACTTAGGGCTGTGGCATTTATGCATCGGTATTCAGGAACACAACGGATCAAACAATGACCAAAATAAAGACCAATACCCTCAGCCAAAGCTTTGGATTCCGAAAAATGCATCCACCTGATAATCACAATGCCAACCAACAGACTCCGTCCTCCACCAAACCCAGAACAAATCGCCCACCACATTCCACCCAAGGTATATATTAACTCCACCTGTCCAACCGCCAAATAACTGTATGGGTATCCGCATCTAGAAATATTTCCCGCTCGTAAAGTCATAACGCCGTAAAGGATGAACACCCAACTCCGTCGTGCCTTCGTCTCCAACCATTCCTTCTCAATGACATAATGATTGCTCCAAACTACCTGTCTGTAGACTCCTCGCGTCCTGCCTGGCAAAAGTGAATGCACAAAAATACTCGATTTCCAGTAACCTCTGTGGATACATAGGTTGCTGGAATCCTTTTACTTCCTATAAATGACCAAGGGACAGCTAGACCAGTCAATCATCTTCACGGTCCTCCAAATCGTGAACGTTGACCACGCTGGCAAGATCTTCGTCAAGACCTGCTCCATATCCCTCATTCTGCAAGCGTCGAATCATTGAGGCATCCGGCTTATTGAGGATGTACATGCTGGAAGTGACGGCGTGAAGAGCTCCAGGTCCAGCACCGCGGCGAGATGCCTTGAGGTAGCAAAGTTGCTTGCCAGCCATCCACCAAACGAGGTTCCCCACATAACTGCGACGATACGATGCAAAGAGAGCAGATGCTTTCAATTTTTCCCATTCTGAGAGTTCTGGGTTTTGGCCGTCTTCGCAAAGGAGTAGTTTCGAGGCCAAGTTCTTCGCATGTGGCTGAATGTCGAGGTATTCATCGTAAATTGCTACAAGGTAAGACTGGAATTCGGGCTTTGAGTCGTCATTCGGAGCCCGTGAGAAATGGCTCTGCCATTTATCCTTCAGTTGCAGCAGATCTTGGTCAAGATCTTTGAGCAGAACCTTCAATTCAGGCTCGTCCTTAGACTGCTCGGTAATGTGTTTAAAGCGTGCTACAAGGTCTTCGTCGAAATAAGACCCCTTCTCCTTGAAATCCTGCAGCGACTTATTGACAGCATCGTCCGCGACCCACAGTAGGTGTTCTATGATGTCAGACGATGGTCCTCTTGGGACCCAATTCTTATCCTTTCGTTTCAGTGGCTTTGGGTTTGGGATCGCTTTTTTCAGCCTGAATATCCGCCAGCTGTCTTCGTCGAACAGGTATCCTTGCTTTGCTTGATCGACAAGATTGCTAAGAAGTTGACTGAGGTAGCGGGCTTCTTCGGTGTCGACATTACCCTGCGTATAGCATACCCCTTCCTTGTAGTTTGTGCAGATGCCCAGCATGCTTGACTGCATGTTGAACTCGAAAGACTTCTTGAGAAATGTTGGCACTGCAGTCACCTTCGACTCGTTTCTCACAAGATCTTCATATCTCGTCGAGTCCTTCGACAACAGGCCCTCATCGACGAGGTGTATGGGCTCACAAACCTCGGCAGTCACAAAGTTCTTGACAATGGTGGGCTCCCAGCACACCCAAGCAATATCTCCGTCGTAGTCACCTCCAGACAGCTTATCAGCGAGGGAAGGATTGCCTTTCGTCGGAAACACAATGACATCTTTCAGTCCCATGAGCTCAGCTTTAACGACAGCCTTGACCTTTTGTATGTCGCTGACAAAATGAGCTGGACTTCGGGCAACCAAGACGTTCTCACCACTGAGAGAGGCGCCGGAGAAGCTCGAAACATTGTCGACGAAACTGCTGAAATCAATGTACACTTCGTCAGGTTCCAAGACTCCCCAGAAATCCGGGACCATATATGCATATGTAGATCGACCAACCGTGATATTCATGCGCTCTTTCAGATCATCACATTTACGTTTGAAAACCTCCCTTGCCAGTTTGTTCATGAACGACAACTTCGTAGGGTCAAATCCAGCATCCAGCATGACGTTTAACTGTTCTTCCTTTGATATCGGGAGACCTGCACGGTAAGGAACCGCTCCATGCTTTAGCCTGTCGTTTGTCCCAGAAGTTCCTGCCCGAATCCACTTCTTGAAATTTGCTGGCGACTCCATGGCGGCTTGTATCTCCGCAACTTCTTGTTCCAGTCCTTGACGGAGCAGGTCCGAGAGAGCGTCTCTCATAGCTTTCGGATCCTTGGCTCTGTCTAGAAGAATTGGTAGGAGTTGTGTATTCAGATCCGCAGATTTTAGAGGGCCAGAATATCTCAAAACCTCAAACGCTCGATGACTCCGATCATCTGATGGCCCCTTTGGTTCCGTGCTTCTGATCCATTTCTGCTGCGACTCATAAACCTCGATCCAGTCCTCTCCTTTGGTATCAGTGTGGTCTACAAGCCAGAACCCTTTAGCTTCACCAAGGCGTGCTTGAAATCCGCTAGGCAGATAGGAAAGGCATAGTTTTTGTGTGATTTTCAAAGCTAGACTCGGGGAGATGCGGCCTGCACCGTCGTTCATGACTTCGTTTTTGGGTCCCCACCGTATATCTTCCTTGAAGCGAATTTGACTCTTTTCGAGAATCACAGTCTCCTGGTTTCGAGAGACGGCTAAGATAACTTAGTGCATATTTCATGTGAAAGGGATTTGAAGAGCATACCCAAAGTGGTACGATTGAACAGCTTTAAATAGGTCTGATGAATGTTGGCTCGCGTGGGCCTGACATGGTCAAGAAGCCGCCGGATGGACATGCTTGGATGCCCTAGACTATAATCAGGATTGGACATTAGAGCTGTATTGTTTACGAATTGGAATCCATCGACAGCGAAGAAGAATACACGATATATAGCTTCGGAAGTTGTAGCCTCGCGACGTTTTGAAGTCCTATCTTTGGGCTTCGTGAAGAACGGCTGCCACTTCCGTCCAAGCAATGGATGTCTTGAGTCGACAAGCCAATCGAAGACTTTGGACTTCCATTGACCCACCTCAAGACTATCTGCCAGACGTTGCACCGCTTTTGGTATATGACGACCAGTAAGCTGAGGTATAGACAATTCTAAAAAGCGGTCGTGGCCAAATTTTCGGCCGAGCCGGTGGGAGTATTCAAATTTCAAGGGATCCAAACGGAGTTGGAACATGGGATCAAGTGACGTAGTGTTGAATGACAAAGATCCAGAGAATGAAACAGAGTAGAATCCTTTCTCGTAATCTTTCAAAGCACACGCCCAGATTTCGTCGCTACACCTCTCCGGAAACGATTTGCCTCTGAGAGGCGGAAGGCTCTTTAGGAACGCCCATAGAGTTTGATAGTCGTTCAAACTTGAGGTCACAGGAGCATTGAACTCCGAAAGGGGGACTTCGGCATGTAAAAAGACACGGGTAATCTCGTAGAGGACACAAACGGGCGCTTTCTCTTCCAGAGTGGCGGGAAGGATAGCTGGAACTTGTTAGTGAATACGGATATTCCTGAATACAACTTACGGAATACGCTCTGAAGAGAGCGTTTCAGCTGATTCTCCTTGGGACTCAAAGTTGCCTTATCATCGTCAATTGTATACCCGAGAAGATCCTGAGAGAGTTCTTCTGCTTCTGGCTCATCCATAAGAAGTAATTCATCATCTGTGTCATTCAGTATGATGACGTCCTCTGGAACATCAGCAACGCGAGCTTCGAAACTACTGGAAGCATAGTCGGAGCTTTGAATTTTGTCGGGCTGGGGATTGATAAAAGAAGGCCGAGTCTCTTTTGAAGGCAACGTGGGTTCGATGTCATCAGGTATCGTGGCCTGAGTGCTCGGAAACGAACCAGAATCTTGGGTGTCGAAGATGCTCGATGCGAAGCTTGTATCTGCGCTTCTCGTACCCTTGGGGTCGCGTGTCACTGACCTGCCACGTCCTGTGAACGAGTCTGCAGCGGGTGGGAGCATGCTGTTGCTCGAGCGTGATTGCAAAACGTCTGGCTTCACCTTTTTTGTAGGTGTGATGTCGGGGAACGGCTCATCCCTTGCTCGTTTTGATTCCCCCGAAGATGTTCTCAACACTGGGTATTCAACGGTTGATCCATTCAGAGAACCAGTCAACGAAAAGGGAACCGCAGAGTCGTTCGGATTCATGTAACGGGTTGCCCGAGGCGTCTTCACCTCTTCCCAAACGTCCCGCAACATTTTATGGAGGCAGTCAAGTAGTGTTTGACGTTCATCGGCAGTTACTGGATGTGTCCGATGTCTGGTTTTATCAGGCACCACACCCCGGTCTGCTCTGGGTTTATGAACCCACTTGTCATAGAGTCCATCCGCTGCTTTCTCGAACTCTCCTGCAATCTCCAGTATTTTGGGCATATCCTTCCAGGATATGCCCTTGATCATGAATACACATTTCTCTTCTATGCTCTGATGAGCTTGCCGGTGACTAGGAGATTCGTTCTCTTTCGGTAGCTCTAATCCCAAGCCCCACCGATTGCATATATTATTGATGATTCTCTTTATGTTCTTCTCAACCTCGAGTTTCTTAGCTGTTCGAACGGGATCATTTGGATCAGAGATAGCAGATGGTGCCATGTCGATGATTTCGAGAGTAGACCGGGATCGATAGAGGCTTGAAACGAGGCTGTCGAAAGAGAAAGAGGCTTTCCGGGCCCCCTTCAGATGTGGGTGAAAGGAAAGACGTCGAGAGTTTCGTCAATCGGTTTCGAATCAATTCTAGGGTGGTGTAGAGCTTCGATCGTGTGTGGAGGAGGGATGCATGTCTCGGAAGCTTATCAGCATGCGAGCAACAAGGCTGAGATCTCGAGTGTCATTACCGCGGCGGCAGAAAGATATGGTGTATATAACAGCAATCTTATGCTGAAGTCAAACTCGACAGAGATCATTCGAGGCTGCGGGAGCAGCAGGTGAAGAGCAATGGGACGAAAGCGAAGCAAGGTACGTACGAGGCTGTGCTATTTGAAACCTATCATCAGCGAAAGTCTGCGAGTTATCGAGCTTCCATTGAGACTTACCAACGATATACAATAACAAGCAAAGCACAATTCACACAATTGAGCAAAAGCGAGAGCGCCCGGAGAAGGCTGTCGGGAGCAAGAGTTGGTTGTTGGGGAGAGGAAGAAGGATTGCGGGAGTGCGGGAGACGCATTTGGTTTGGGCCAATTTGAGCTTCAGCGGGCCGTTCCCACGCTAACCTTAGCGACCTCTAAACCTTCAAGGCGTGGGGAAGTGACCATGCAGCAGCCGCACCATCGGATTGCGTCCCTCTTGCATTTTTGCAGCAAACAGACAATATTCGAGTGAAGGTCAATTCACTGCATTCACATCATCTCGTTGGGCGGCAAGTCTGGAACGCCAGATGCAAGTGCTGTTGGCCGTGCGGCGTTTCTATTTTCTGTCAGCTGCAGCACGCAATCGAGCTGTTTATTGCTACCTGCGTTTGTTTCTTCACTCTTTCCAGCATTGACCTTGCTCTTCTGCTCACCCCACCTTCTCGAGAGAAGAAGATGCTTCTTGCTTGCCGAGGACTTGAGTAGCATTTTTGAATATGGAGGGGGTGAATGAGAATTGGTAAGTTGCTGGGAAGTTAAGAAAGAGTCGCAATTTTATTCCAAGTGAGAAGCCGTCGTTTGTGAATAGCAATGTGAATTCGAATGGAGGTGAAGAAATGAATTGTTACACAAGGGAGAAGAAAGGCTACCCGGCTGGCCGCATAAGGCTGCCGCTGTTGCCTCGAGTCAAAAAGCCACCATATCGTTGTGGGAGCCGATTAGCTAATGTTATGTTTCATATTGATTCTGATCATATATCGTTTCTTCCAAAAGTTGAAAGATTCGGTTATATATAGTTCCTCTTTTTTTTTCCCCTAGTAGGGGAAAAGCATGGCTTCACTTGAGAAGAACTTGTACTCTCATTCACTATCGGTCAATAATGCTTAGATGAAGGCTTCAAGTGTTGGCAAGAATGAAGAATAAGCCAAGGTTCATCATTTACTCGTCTCACGAATATCGCATACAGTGTAACCCACAATATACTTGCTTACCCCTCAACGGCTACCATACCATCGTCGAATTTAGCAGTCACTTAACAATGCTGTTTAATATCCTTTATAAAATTTCAGAAAGTACTAAAGAGCATTTTCTTGACCATGTGCAAGTCATGTGGGAGCCACCTATCTCCTAGAACATCCAATCATCCCAGATCCTTTCGAAATCTCGTTTTCCACCTCTTCGTGCCTCTCGGTCTATTTATATTCACTTGCCCTAGTTTGATATCATTCCGAAATACCTTGTTTTCATTGGCGGATCTCCTTCGTTGCGATCATCATCATCTCGGCAGATCTTTCACCCCTCACGGCTCTTCCCCGCAACAACTATTCCTCCATCTCCGCATTCCCCACAATTAGACTTTCAGGCTACACGACTCTCCGTCCCTGCAGATAACCTGCATCCATCCATCATGCGCTTCAATGAGAAGGCGTTCTGGAGCGGGTTCGTCGGATCTTTTACGGCGCTGCTAGATCTAGTGGATCGTACCTGAGAAATATCTCGGGTTAATGTCAAGACGGTATGGGGATGTCGGGGAAGGAAGAGATTTAGTCCGATTTTGATGCGGGGTTGAGAAAAATATATATTACTGTTTACTGTCTTTGGGATTCTTGTCGTCGTACCTCTCAGCTGCGGTCAAAATGTTGTATCTCTGTCTCCTGCCAATTGTGGCTGGCATTGCCAGTGCAATCAATCTAACAGTCGCCAGCACAGGTGGAAATGTCACTTCTGAGTACATGTATGGATTGATGTTCGAAGACATCAACCACTCTGGTGATGGCGGGATCTACGCAGAACTCATCCAAAATCGAGCTTTTCAAGGCAGTACCGAGTTCCCTTCCACACTGAGTCCCTGGAGTGCGATTGGAAATGCAACATTGAGGTTGCAGAACACATCCGTACCACTTTCTTCCGCTCTACCTACGTCCGTCAATGTGGCAGCTGCTTCGGAAAAGACGAAAGGAAAGATTGGATTGTTGAATCCTGGGTGGTGGGGCATAGAGTAAGCAAATTGTCCAAGTTTTTCAAACTACCATATTACCAAATTCTTTTGTTGGACTCGAGAGGAATATCATCCCCTCAGCACCACCAAGACGAGAACACTTGTGGCTGACCTGCTGTAGTGTCAAAGCACGGCCATACACAGGAAGTTTCTGGGCATTGGGCTCATACGCTGGCACATTCACAGTCAAACTCCAATCTGCGATCACCAACCAAGTCTTCGCCAGTCTAGATATCACTTCCGGATGCCAGGCGGGAATGTGGGTGGAACATAAATTCACATTGGAACCAAAGATGGATGCACCAAACAGCAACAATACTTTCGTTCTCGAATTCGATGCTGGGCAAGGATCTGTGAACTTCAATCTTATCAGTTTGTTCCCGCCTACATACAAGAATTCTCCGAATGGAAACAGACAGGATCTCATGTCTGCACTGAAGGGGCTTAATCCAAGTTTCTTGCGAATGCCCGGTGGAAACAATCTGTAGGTCGTCTAGTCCCTGTCACACGTGCATCATCTGACTGCTCATAGTGAAGGAGATTCTTACCACTATCGATGGGTATGGAACGAAACCATTGGCCCCCTCACCAGTCGACCAGGTCGTCCAGGAACATGGGGATATGAAAACACAGATGGTCTTGGCCTAATAGAATACTTCAATGTCCGTCCTCCTTTCCCTACCATCTACCCTCCAACTAACACCCAAACAGTGGTGCGCCGACCTCGAAATGGAACCTCTCCTCGCTGTCTGGTCGGGCATGTACCTCGGCGGCGACGTCCTCTCCGCTTCCGCCCTGGCCCCCTACGTAAACGACACCCTGAACGAACTCGAATTCCTCCTCGGCCCCACCACAACCCCCTACGGCTCCCTCCGCGCCTCCCTCGGCTACCCCACCCCCTTCCCCCTAAAATTCATCGAAATCGGCAACGAAGACAACCTCTCCGGCGGCGCCACCTCCTACGCCTCCTACCGCTTCACCATGTTCTACGAGGCCATCTCCGCCGCGTACCCCTCCCTAACCATCATCTCCTCGACCGGGGACCTCACAGCCGTCGGCCCCGACAGCGCCACGGACTTCCACATCTACACCCTGCCCGACTACTTCGTCTCCCAGTTCGGGAAATGGGATAACGTGCCGCGGACGCACAAAGTGCTGATCGGCGAGTACGCGAACGTGCAGTACAACGTCCTGGACCAACCGCTCGCGGGCGTCAACTGGTCGGCGCCGAAACTGATGTGGCCCGTCTGGGCGGGCGCCGTCAGCGAGAGCGTGTGGAGCATCGGGGCGGAGCGGAACGGGGATGTGATACTGGGGCAGAGTTACGCGCCGGGGTTTATGAATTTGAATTCTTTCGAGTGGAGTGTAAGACCCCCTTTTCTCCCCCCTTTCACCCTTTCCTCTTGATCCTTAAGAACGGGGAAAATGCTGATGTGATGGGATGGGGATGTGTAGCCAGATCTCATATCCTTCACGGCAGACCCAGCGCAAACCGTACTCTCGACCTCGTACTACGCAATCCAACTCCTGTCCAACGCCCGCTACAACGCCACCGTGCCCGTGAGCTCTGACGCGGACTTCGGGCCCGCGTACTGGGTAGCAGGTGTTTCGGATCCGGGGCAATATACATTCAAAACCGCGATCTATAATTCGACGTCCGCTGTACCGTTCAACATTGCATTCGATGGCCTAGCGGCTGGTGCAAAGGGGACATTGACGGTTCTAACGGCTCCGGATGGATTGAGTAGTAATACACTCGTAAACGGGACGGTAGTCGACGTCGTGAAGAAAATAGCCACGGCGTTGACAGCGAACGAAGAAGGAGCATTCGAATTCGAGCTCGAGAATTACAGCGTGGCTGTCTTGACCACATAAAATGCTGTCTGTTCCTGTATGAAGAAGAAGAAGAAGAAGAAGAAGAAGAAGAAATGTATATACAAAACCACCACCCCCTCCCCGTTTCCCAACTAGTAGAAAATATATAATGCCCTCCATGCCATGCCATGCCCTCCATCCATGCAAATGCAAATCCGAACTACCGGTGAACCCTCCCTACCAAGCAACAGGCGTCTTCAAATCAAACGCCTCCGCGGCCCCGACAAGCGGGACCCAGATCGTCAACGGATCGCCGCCTAGCTGTTCGGTCGTGAATCTCCGCGTGCTTTTCACCGGGCCGGGGACCGTGATCGGGATCGGTGCCGCGCAGGTGTTGCCGGGGTTTGAGAGGGTGATGCTTGTTATTGTTTCTTTTGCCGTGGATTAGTAAAGAGCCGGGAGAGGGAGAAGAGGGAAAGGGGAAGGGAAAGGAAGGGGAGGGGAAGAAGGAGAGACGTACGCGCTACGCTATCGAGCGTATATGTCATGGTGTAATTACAGTTATCCCTCGCCATGCGCTGAGCGAACGCTGTTGCGATATCGTCATGTTTCAGTGAGATGATGGGCCATGTCACCCTACCATTTCCCATATCACAGTCAGCTTTACTTTCCTTTCCCCTCTCTCGTCAAGGTCAAGATATAGAAGAAAGAAAGACGGAAAGAAAGAAAAGAAGGAAGAAACTCACACCCTCATCAACTCCCCCAACACAATCTCCACCCACATCTGGAAGAGACTCCACTTCCCGCTCTTAGCCGTGAGACCCTGCCCCAGCGTCGTGGTCGCCACGTCCGCCTGCCGCAGGTTCGCTTGGTGGAACATGAAGGCGTCGTGGTGGAGCGCGAGGAGGTGTCGGACGTTGGTGCTTTGTTCCAGCGCGAGGAGGTCCAGGATCGTGCCGCTGCCTTGGGCGATGGCTTTCCATTCTGCTACGTCGCAGGCTGTTGTGTCGCACTGAGATCTGTTAGTACGAGAAGAAAGAAGGGGGGGAGGGGAGGGGGGAGTTACGTTGTAGTAGATATTCGTAGCCCAGCGAGGAGTGATTTGGATACCGTCGAAATTATCAGCAGCCATAGTCGTGATCAAAGGCCAATGCTCATTAACCTATCCCCACCCTCAAATCAGTCCTTTTTCCATATCACAATTCGTCAAGTTTAAAAAGAAAAGAAAAACCAAACTCACAGCATTCAACAAAACCGGCCTCGTATTATCCCCCACCGCATTCACCAACCCATTCTCACTCCACGCCTTCAACGCATCCCCATTATGCAACCCCGTGATCGCCGGCGGGATCAATCCCCTCCCCGAAAACCACTTCGCCCCGCTCAACCCCCACTGCGCGATCCACGCCTGGTTCCAGCTAATCTCCTTCATGACGTCCGAATACGTCGCCGCGTCCTGCGCTTCGTGCGTGAAGGTGTGCGAGATGTGCATGAATGCGTCGCGGTACGCGGGTTTTGCCCACCAGTTAAGCAGAGGGTCGAGGGTGACGCAGGCGAGGGAGTAGGGGTATGTGGATGCGGTGGCGGGCCAGAGAGAGGTCCCTGTTCCCGGGGGCTTGACGTATTCGAGTTGTGCGGCCGTGGGGTCTGGTTGTGCTGCGTAGTCGATCGGGCCGCTGCCACAGGTTGGGCGACCTGCTAGGTCGATGTCGTTTGAGTTCTATATCCCAGGGAGGAACCTCATTAGCACGACTCTCAGGAGAAAAGAAAGCTGGAAGAGAAGATGGATGTGAAGGAGAAATCACCGAACTGGAGTGCAGGGTTTGATTGGTGGTGACGTTGGTGGTGGAATACACGCAGGGTAACACGCAGCAGTCACATACTCCGATATTGCCATTGCCGTTGTGGCCAACTTCCATGGTCCAGTTGCTGCCTGTTGGGAGCTTGGCTCGTACGGCTGCCATCCAGGTGATGTGTGGTGCGAGGTCTGCGGGTTCGACTCGGAATGTGCCTCCAGAGTAGATGGGGGAGGTGAGGAACATGTCGTCGACTTGAAGGTGTTAATTAAGTCTGGAAATAAGCGTGAGGAGGAGGATTACTTTGTGTATTTAACATTACTCGTCTATATCCTGCGTCTGTTGGATGTCAGCATCTGAGATTCAAAATAAGGAAGCAAATGTACACAATCCCCTTGTTGCCCAGTGGATCCATGCATGTTGTAAAATAATCGATGTTGTACTCCAGTCTGTAGCGAATCCGAGGAAGAAAACCATCTACTTCGTCAGCTTTACATTCCACCACGCAAACATAAAACTTACCTGCTGTCTTCCATTTCCAAAATTGTTTATGACTCCAGCAACCGTGTTTGAGGTGAAGCCTGTAGTGGTACCAAACAGAGCGAATGCCTTGGCTAAAGTTGAATTCGAGATCGATGCGGGGTAATGGTAAAGACCTTTGGTACTAAGACCAGCTCCTCTGCATAGAATCAGCTTCGAATCCACCAAAGGTAGAATACACTCACACCACAATTCCAGCCGTAGGAAATTGAGACTGGTCACTAATCGCCATCCACTGTTCCAGCGTCCCATCACAGCATGATCCCACCACAGTTGTCCCCGTAGCAGCCGAAGGCACCACATCTAACCTCACCATCCGAGCACCAAACGTTCTCTGGTACGTGTACAACGTATTCCACTGCGCACTCGTGAGAGCAGACGCATAATTCCCAGCAGAATCAGCATAGCTGACTTCGGAAAGAATAACGAATCCTCCATAATTTCCCACGCCCGTCGCACTGCTGAGAGGGGGCAACGCCACGCCACCAGCTGGCACGATCAAAACCTCAAACGGAATCCCGTAATCGTTCAATCCGCTCTTCGCTGAATACGCACTCGATGCGTCTCTCGCGATCACCAAGAACGTACTCTTGCAGCTCGTAATCCCCGCCACCTGTCGTTCCTCAAGCTTCGCATCCGAATCATCAGGGGCAATGGTCGACGTATTGGCAATAATCGTCACATTCGAAATCTGCACCGGTTTCGGCGCCCAGAACGGAGGCCTCCCATGTCGAGTCTGGTTATTCATAGTGAAGGTCTCCATGGGACCGTGAAAATGCGTCGCCGTCGCATTCCGACTATCGTGTCCCGCCAACACGACGGGAGCAAACAGAAACAAGATCTCGAAAACATGACTACTGAAAAACATCTTGAAGACTTACTTGCGTGCACATTTTCAAGGGAGGATAGCAAACATAAAGTACAGATCGGGAAATTGACGTGTGACCCCAGGAAACATGGTCTCCTGGTTCCGGATCCAGTGATCCATATTGAGCTGCATTCTGTTTTTCCCAGAGTACGTATACGTCTCTGATTACGACGGTATCAAATAGGCTGAACGACTCAATGAGATGCCCGATACATACTATCACCAGAACGCAAAAAAACACAAATTGCAACGCTGCCGTGATCCGGAAGGCACTCTCCATTTGCATCACGCACGACACATCGTAACGTGTGGGTATGGGATGTTGCGGAAACGTCAAACGCAGAAGGGATTTGTCGAGATGAGATGCGGAAGACGGTCCCTGGTGGTTGACGTTCCGTATTTTCGAATATGGATAAATGGGTGAAGTGAAGGTCGAAAGCCAAATCTCACATGGCGAGACGATCTGGCAGCCAAGACTTCAGCCGAACTCTCGCGAAGCGGAGGGACACGATGGGAAGTAATGCCAAGACTATTGTATTGGACAGGGGGGTGTGCGTGCGTGCAAAAGTAAAGTGTGGAGAAAGCTTGTTCGGTCCGCCCAGAGAAGGGGCGGGGCGGGGCGGGGCTGAAATAGAATTATTTACATTATCAAGTACTCGTGGCATCGTTCGATATACACTCCTCTGCTTACATAGCGGCGAAGATCCCTCCAGCCAAAGCAACTGCGCCCATGATGGGCGCAGCAGTTCTCATCGCAGCAGCAGCACCGGTGGAGCTGGCGGTCCCTAAAACCTTTTCCGCCGCACTGTCAATAGCACTGATCTCCTTTGCGACCGCTGTCTGTATGGCACCTGGGACTGACTTGGTGTACCAGGCCTGGCTCGTGATCTGGCCGTAGTAGTAGCCAGACTTGTCGATGGAAGACTGGACGCTGGAGGGAGCGGCGGAGTAGATGGCCTCGTTGGCAGAGGTGTATGAGGCGCTGTCTTCCCATGTGGATTGGACGCTGTTGAGGAGAGATGCCAAAGAAGTTGATTGTGCGCCGTTGAGGCTTGGGGTGGAGGTAGGGTAGAAGGCGGAAATGACGGAGGCACTGAAGTCTGTCAGTGAGGATGGTTCCATGGACAAGCAGATTCACTTACACATTAAGGGACGAGTCTGCGGCTGATGCTGATGCTGCAGCTGCGCAAAGCGCGAGGGTAGTAATTGCTGAGAACCTCATGTTGATACCTGCTTGGGACGTATACTTCGACGACAAGGAACGAGGCAAACAGAATAAAATCGAACCTATCTGGGTGCCTACCTGACTTTATATCCTGTCTGCTGCGCCGCTGTTACTGTAGATTCCAACGGTCTCCAACGCTTTGTACGCCACAATGATATGATATCCATCCTCTACCAACGGTATCCGGGCAGTGCATGAAGAATGGCATCTCAGACGGGGCACGGCTTGATCTGGTGCCTGTTCCTGACGTGAAATGGCCCAATCGTTCCGAATTAGTCAGGGCTGCAGCTTGCCAATATTTCTTCCGCCGCCATCCGAGTGTCACTGCCTGCAGACTCGAACCAATCGCGGATGAGGAGAAAAAGCTTCGAGGTCAAAGGAGGAAAAGCTTGATTACCGAGCGGAGATGGAAAAAAGCTCGGTTCGCAAATTTTGGGGGTGATTTGACATAAAAGTAAAGTGGATCTGGCTTCTATTTCGGGACACTATCTTCAAGCTTAATCTGGTCTGGTATTGTCTCGTGACTCATCTACATGGACGTTCTTCTTATCTTGCACTCTTTCTGCAATGAAATGTTGGAGTTTCGGACCGTATCGAGTTGACTTGCAGTGTAGGTAAATCAATCTCGAGGGTGCCAGTTGCATGGTATTGAAAGAGGAGAATAAACCTCGGTTTGCCAGTATCAGATGCAAAATGCGGGGTATGTAACATACCTAGGCAGACCTACATCTACATGGAATACTTGCTTGGCAGTGACGTGTGGGCTGAAGCGAAGATACTCGGTATGACCCATCTGGTATGGTGATATTGTAGATTTTGGAGAGGCAAGTTCGATTGTCGACTTGAAGTTTAGCGAGTTTGTAAGGGGGGGGCTGCTTCAGAATGCTCGACGAGGTCCAAAAAAAGGCTCTCAGGAGAATTTGTTACTAGTAAGCGCTGCAGGCAACGAATCTGCTAGACTGAAAACGATAACGAAAGCTCGCCGCCTTACTGGCAACTCTGTCATTATGCCCGAAGAGCCTCAACACCCAATTTGCGACTACCACGCAGAGCAGCATCCGCCAAATTGGCAGAGAAACACTCCTTAAACTTACCAGAACACTCACAGATGTCTCATCCACGCTTTTAAAAACACAACTAATTAGGAAACATGCCCGCGAGGCGAGTACGGAGACGACTGCAATTGGCTGGAGAGTACTGTGGTACGGAAGCGTTTGGCCAGTGAGTAGGATAACGAAATAACGTTGACTGCACTCGTACCTAGGTTGACGAGAAAATCATGCTACCTCGCAATCAACAACTAAAAACTTTCAAAGATTATGACAGCTTTGGGCAGTGCTAGCTGTTTCAGCAAATTGCTCCATATTTCTACCTCATTTCCCAAAATCTACGAAAGAATGACTCAAGTATTTATGTCATGGGGCTAATGTAGGGCAGAGGCTGAGAGAATCTCGAGGTCAACGATTGCATCTTCGACTCAGATACACTTTCACCATTCCACAAAAATTCCAACTTCAAACTTCTTTGGAGCTTCATCGATTCTCTTCATTCTTATTTTGCCCACGACAACTCGACATAACTAGTGGTCCAATTTTTTGTGCTCGACGTCTTTCCTCGTCCAGTCCAACATCAGGTTGCTGTGTCATCTCAGACTGCAACCGCTGGACGAAATGTCGTTGCGGAACGGACACTTGATTCTTCCCCCGTTATCAGAGTTGTTGTGATATGCGATACTGGCGGCTGGCGGCTGCCTCTCTTCCTAGAAATAATCCTATCTCACTTCCAGTTTTATTAGGAACGGACGACGATTTTCCATTTCCTCGGAATCGAGGACCTCATTAGCAACAAAAAGACGTATCTGACTAGAAGAAAATACGAACCGGGACCGCGGAGGAAATTCGAAGGTCATCGTCGATCAACCAAGGTGTGCAAGTCGGTTCCTGCTCAGAGCATCTGAACATCGACCACAGAAAACAAAAGCTAAGTATGCAATCAACCCAATTTGGATCTTAATTTATAATGTTACTCATGTTACTCATACCAAACTTCAATCAGAGGTCACCAGATTCACATAAACAACATCTGAGAACCAGAAACAAGAAAAATCTGCGGCAAGCGCCACCTACCATAAGTACCGGCACGCATACCGTATATCTGCTTCACCAACGTTTGATACTCTATAGTGTTTCATTGTAGGAATCCCTTATCATTCGCCGGAGAAATTATCAACGCAACATAGCCTGATGTGGGGGTAATTCTTCCCCGCTCCTCGCTTCAGGAGTAGCGAGACCGCACACGTGATAGTACATACATACAGTACATTTAGCTCTCTCTACCTACCTACCTGCCTTCCTCCTGGCATCTGAAGATCATCTCTCGATTCCGTCAATCATGACTCAAGGATATTACTCTCGTGATGCGGCCGTCACGGCCATCCGCTCTTTCTACCAGTTCTTCGCAACGCTGCCCTCGCTTGCGCCGGAGTACATCTGGGAGCCGCCATCGGGTGGTTGGCCGGAGGTCAACGGGACGACACTTTCGCGTCTTAGCAGGAATAGGGATGTGGTTGATTTGCTGAGACATATTCCGTATATCAACGATACGCAGATTGCGTTTCATACGACGGTCATAGACTATACGGCTGATGTCAAGTGGTCGTTTGATAGGAGTGGAGCGCAAGGCAATGTTCTTCCTTGTGGTGCTGGTGTTTTACCGGAACATGTAGCGGTGTTGACTGATGGGGGGAAGTATGGGAGTTGGTTGTTGCTGGATACTCAAGAAGGTATGCTAGTCCGGGTACCATGAACGGTCCAAGACTTGCTTATATGTATTAATTAGGCACTATCACAGACTTCAAGTCAATGGAAACTCCAGAGAGCATATTTCCACCGCCGGGACACCCAGAGCATTGGCGAGCTTATCGGACGCTTCCAATTCGTGATTTCTTCGAAAGCTGGAAAGAAAAGTATCGGTCGTTGGCATGGGTGGTGATGCCGGATGAGGATGATGGAGTTTTGTGTAATCAGGAGCCCTCATCTAATGTAAGTACTCGACGGGCTCTATCCATGGGTGGTGTTTCTACTCGATAGCTGACTTCAACGACAGGAGATTCGGGAAATCTATCGTGCTCATGGATGGCCGTCTTTTTTCCGACGTGAGGATTGTAAAGAGGCTCTGCTGAAGTGGAGGTACAAGAAGCTGTGCGCGGAATCGGGTACTAGACGTCGGCATCAGAAGCATTAAGAAATTTGTGGGATCGTTACGACTTTAATGAATAGTGTTTCTCGCTAAATTAAGACACCTTCCCCTTTCCTCCAAATTAGGCACCTTTTTCTGTCCACCTCGCGAGGCATATTGCTAGGCGGCACTTTTTATCTTTGTGTGGTTAACTTAGAGTCTCCTAAGATTTATACAGCAATGACATCAAGGCAGAAGTTCGAGTATCGGGATGTCCGTCTCAGCTCGTCGATTACGGCGCAGTGAAATTAAGCTTAGCAGCCTAATTGGGATCAACCTCGTCCTCGGCAGGGACACCAATCACAATTATGTTCAATCGCTTAGTTTTTCCAATCAGAAAGCGATTCGACGTTCAAAGTCTTCGTATGGACAGTGGGCGAGGTGATCAGTGTGGCACAGTATTCATATTAAACTTTCTCAACGCCACTCGAGGTCAGAGTAATTGTGCTTCAAGAAGGAAAATGGTACAGTTCTCATTCTTATACGCTTTCTTAGGATTGCAAGTCTTGCCTGCGCTTGCCTTCCAAAATTGTCCTTTATTGGGAAGGGACTTCCCTCTTCCAAAACAACTGTCAAATAGTTCTGCGATTCGCAATGCATCCTTGATGCTGAAGAACACACTCGATGCCTCATTGAACAACGGGACCTTAGCCAGCAACGCATCATCATTTTCCATCGAAATATTCTCAACTCATCAAAATGATTCGCTGTTCACCTACCACCATTCATCACCTCTGCTTCAAAGCAGCGATGGAGTCAAGACAATCGATTCGGATAGCATATACCGAGTTGGAAGTATCTCGAAACTTTTCACAGCCTACCTGTTCCTGATTGAATCTGGGGACATCCATTTCAATGACCCAATCACCAATTTTGTACCTGAGTTAGCGAATGCGCCATCTTGGTCGACGCAAGATAGCTTGAATGTTGTGGATTGGGAAGCAGTGACGATTGGCGAGCTGGCAAGTCATATGGGAGGAATTGCCAGAGACTGTGAGCTAGAGTACATGAAAGTATTAATTCTTTTTTCTAACGTCAAGTAGATATCGGAGACCTGGCAGCCGCAACAAATACATCTGTCCCTGGAACTCCATCTTGTGCCGCAACTGGACCATGTTCAAGATCTGGTGCGTAAATCGTCCTCTATGGAAGATGATCTAACTGCCTGATTAGACTTTTTCAAATTGCTCCTCCCACAGCCACCCGTCTTCCCAACATCCACTACTCCCGTCTACAGCAATATCGGCTATCAACTTCTTTCTTACGCCCTGGAGAAGATCAGTTACCAATCCTATCCAACCATGCTCCAAAATCAAATCATCAAACCGTTGAACCTCTCTTCCACTAGCTACTACACACCACCTGCAGCTCACGGCGTCATCCCCGGAAACGCAACATCTTCTGGGTGGAATCTCGACTACGGAGACTTCACACCGTAAGTAAACCTTCGATACCCAACCTGAGTTCAAAGATTGACATACCCCCAGCGTCGGCGGAATCTACTCCTCATCCAACGACCTCTCCACCCTCGGCCGCTCCATCCTCACCTCCCGCCTCCTCTCCGCACCCCTAACCCGCCGCTGGATGAAGCCCCGCACCTTCACCTCAAACCCCCTCCTCTCCGTCGGCGCACCATGGGAAATCTACCGCCTTCAACTCTCATCTCCTAACGCACCCAGAATCGTAGATCTCTACACCAAATCTGGAGACTTGACGTTCTATCACTCGAATTTAGTGCTGTTTCCGGATTGGGACATCGGGTTCGTGGTCCTGGAAGCCGATTATGAACAGTTTGTGTTGAATAGGAATGTGATTTCGGATATGGTGGCGGAGATCTTCTTGCCTGCTGTGGAGATTGCTGCTAGGGAGGAAGCTGGGACGAGTTTCGCGGGAAAGTATGCTGATCAGGCGACGAATTCGTCGGTGGTGGTTAGGGTTGGGGATGGGGTTCCGGGTCTGGGTGTTCCGGAACTTGTTCTTGGGGGTGTTGATTATGTTGCTGAGGTGTTGTCGCAGCTTTATTATAATCCTAGTATTAGGCTTTATCCGTCCGGTCTAGAGAAGAATCTTGGACACGGAGATGTGGAGGTGGGGTGGAGAGCTGTGTTTGAGTCGAATACTACCCTGCCTGATGGGTTATTCGATGATAGTTGTGCGACTTGGTTCAATGTTGATGGTATCAGGAACAATGGGTTTGGCATCGATGACTTTACTTTTACGGTAGGGGAAGACGGTAAAGCAAAGTCCATAACTTCGAGGGGCTTTAACGTTACTTTATCAAAAGTCTAGACGGATTTAAAATAGATCAGGCATATCACCCTTGACTTTCCTCCACAATTCCTCACAGGCTTCCAACGTCTCAGCATCCAGTGGTCCCTTCCTACACAACTCCACATTACTCCTCAGCTGATCAACTTTCGTGGCACCCAGGATAATCGCATCTCCGTCTCTTAACTCAGAATGGTTCATAATCCACCTCAAACTAACTTCCGTCGGAGTCATCCCCGCCGCTTCGCATTTCTTACAGAATTCAATCATAGCATTATGAATAGCCGGCTTATCGAAAGTCTCTGGGTAAGCAGGAAACAGACCAGGAGCCCAGCGTCCACCGGAAAGTGTGGCTGCTTCTGTGGCAAGCGAGACTTTTCCGGTGAGGAAACCACCTGCTAATGGACTTGAGGATATCAGCAAGATCTCGAGTTCAAGGTAGAGGAACACGAACCCGTAAGCAATAACCCTAATACCATGTTCCCTCAAAAACGGAAACAGATTCTCCTCCGGCGTCCTCTTAATAGCATTATAATGACCCTGCCAAACCGTCGGCTTAATATACCCCTTTTCGTCACAAACCTCAATCCACTCTTTCAACTCCGCAGCCGAATAATTACTCAATCCAAGCTATTCACTGCATCAACAATCTCATACTTCATCCTGGGGTAAAACTTCAACTCACCTCCTCAAATCTCCCGGCTCGATACTGAACATCAAACCCCTTCGCGCTCTCCCCAATCGGCACCTCCTTATCCGGCGAATGCGAATAAAGAATATTAACCCTCTCCACCCCCAACAACTCCAAACTCTTCTCGACACTCCTCTCAATCCCCTTCTCCGACAAATCTAGCAACGATCACATCAGTCAGTCACCACCTCCTTTCCTCCCCTCCCCTAATCCCAAAAATGAAAACACTCACCACCATACAAAACCTTAGTATCAACAACAAACCCCTTCTCAACCGCCTTACTCTCACCAAGCAACCGCTCCGTGACCCACGGACTGCCGGGCGGGTACGAGGCGCCCGAATCGAGCTGCTGGATGCCTAGTTGCTGGAGGAGGGAAAGGAGGGAGGAGGTTTGTTCCGCGGTGGTCCAGGTGCGGGAGATGCGGCCTGAGCCGATTCCGCCGGCGCCGAAGAGGAGGTGGAGTTTGGATGGGGTTGGCATGTTGATTATGAGACTGTGTTGGATGCTATGGATGGCAGGAGGCATAAGATTTGATGAAGTGATAATGATAAGGCGAGAGTGTTAGAGGCAGTCGTACCGATTGATGTTGTCGTGAGGTATATTTTATGAACGTCGCGAGACCAACCAACCGGCAAGTCCACTCTTGGGACCGAGCGAGCCAATTAGTCTACCCGCCTGCATTCACCGGTCCATGTTTACGTGAAATGGCAAGTCAGCATTTGAAGGTTAGTTGGATTAGTGAGTTGCAGGAACTTTTTATAGGGGGATTTTGGTGAGGTTCGAAAGTGACAGACACTTTGTCGGAGTGTGGGGAGCTTTTTGCTGATTAATTAGGGACGCTCAACGATTGAGTGAATCCTATTCCCTGACGTTGAGAGCCTCTCTTTTGGCATAGCTAACATCAAGCAGCGCAATGTATCCCCCATTTAATGAACTTTTTGAGTTGTAACGAATCGAGAATACTTCCTCTTAAGTCTCAGACAATAATTGAGCCTATCAAATTCCACTTCCATATTTGACCGGAGCAGTCGCTGCTCTAACTTGAGCCGAATCCTGAGCCTTGAGCACGCTAATGAGTCAGCTGAATCATGCTTAGGGGAATCTCTTTTGGCTCGCCAGAGAATCGATTAGAATATCTGTGTCATTCATATATAGATGTTGTGCCGGTGTGCTTTCTCGCTCCCAAGTCACATTTATCAGGGGTCGTTGCCGAGCCGATTTGGCCCCCTCTCGCGAGCCCCTGGCCCGGTGAGTTGTTCAGCTAGGGTAAGCGAGTCGAAAGAAACAGGTGGGAGGCCTGGCTTGAATAGGACCTCTCATTTTTCCAAATAACTCGATTCGTACGCGAGTTTCTGGAAAGGTACAAAACCTTGGTAGTAACGTACAAATCGTAGAGTCTAGACTCCCGGCTCCTTCTAACAATTACGCAAGACGAGGTAAGAGGAGCAACATTGCGCGAAGCAAGGAGAACAATACATCATGGCTTCTCGTTGACAAGGTACTGTACGAGGAACGTCAAGGCTGACTGCCTGCTGACGGTTGTGAGATCCGTGTGTTGGCGGTGCCGTACTAAGCAGGAGTCACACCACGGTCTAGTTTCTAGCAACCTCCTCCCCAAATCGGGTTAAAAGATTCGCTAAGAAAGTGAGAGACCTGCAGTATTGATACCGTGTTAACAACGAGTCGCTAAAATCCAGTTACTTCAGGAGATTCATGCGACCATGAAGAGTGTCTTATTAACCAATACCCCATTTAACGAGTAAGACTAAACAGATACGTTCAAGAAATTATAAGTCTTACGACTCGGCCCTACCCAACAATCCTGCTGGCACCCTAAGCTCTCGATTGTGTTTTCTGGAGCTATATTCTACAAGCAAACAAAGCATCATTAAATCGTAATTATAGTTTACTATAAAACACGTCTGTGTGTTACACCCTCTATCCAGCTTTCCTTCTCCCAAATTTTCTCTCCCTCCTGATCCGTTTAGTCACCTCATCCATATCCACCACTTCGCTTTCTCCTCCTTCCTTTGCGTGTCTGTCGATCTCCACGCCCGGCTCCTCTCCCATCCCAGATATCCCGTGAATCGTCCTCAAGTGCCGCCTACAATTCTCCTCACGAGTGAAGTGCCGACCTCCATTTCCAAGATCGCCATGCATACTCCGATTACAGCCATCAACAGTTCAGTAATACTTCTCGGTATTGAAGTGGCGCCCGTTGATGTGGCGATGCAGAAGTCTTTTGGTAGCTTGCTGGGGCGGGCATTGCGGACAGTGGAAGGGCTTGGTGTGGGATTTGAGGTGATGGCTAGTTGAGAGTCAGCTTGAGAGAGGCGAGGAGATGAGGTGGGAGTTAGATTTGGAGTGAGAGTGGATGGTGTGGAAGCGAGTGACCCACGTACTTCAAATCGGAGTTGGTGAAGAAAGTTTTGCCACACTTCTCCCAAGAACAGAGGATTGGGGACATGGAAGGAGAACCGGGAGTGTTGGAGATGGAGTTGATTCGAGATTTTGGCGAGGGCTGCGATATAAATGTAGAGGAAGCTGATGGAGATTCTTTAGACCAGAAGCTGTCCCATGGAGTTGTAGGCTCGCGTATGCCGACCTCTAGCAACGGGATAGGTGCAGCAAAATTAAGATCAGGATTTGGATTCAGATTCTCCGCTACAGCGACCTCGATAGGTAAAGGGTGTGTCACAGAAAGAGGCGAGCGCGATCTATAGTCAAAGGAAGAATAAGTCTCTTGGTAGCCTAGAGAATCTTCTACTGGTGCCATCACATCTTGCCCGAGTCTCTCGTGGAATCCAAGGTCGAAAGGTAGCGTGAAGTCGATATCTGTTAATCCGAGTCCATGCCAGGGGTCGGAATAAAGAGGGAGGAATTGGAAGTCATCGATGTCAGGTGGTAATTCGTTGCTTCTAGCACCAAAGACTGGTTCATTGAGAGGACTGGATTTGAAGCTAGGACAGATCAGTAGGTTTGCCGGGGTTTTTGGAGAAAGGCTGGATGCAGAAGGTAGCGAGAAGATAGTAGCCTGTACATCGAGACCAGCAACTACATCTCTATCTGGCCCCGCCATGGTCATCGTGAGGTAGTCCGGGGAAGGCGGTTGTATGATATGTAAGTAGCGACAATAGTCGTCTACAAAACCGTGGTGGCTCAATCGTTTGAACCGTTGAATCTCGGTGTCGCTGCTCCGAACAAGATTCACTCACGAACGTGCCTGGGTGGTTGTATTTGGCAACGTTCTGTTATTGAGTGAAGTTACGGATCTGCGCGCAATGCACCGGCCATTTAGTCAATACCAGAGAAAGCCCAAATCTGTAGAATCCTCGGGCAGTTCACTACGCTGCTCAGAGGCCAGAAATGGTAACTTCAATGAGAGTCACGCTCATTGCCGTGTGCAGAAAGTTACTGCAATAGCCGCCGGAAGAGGGCGACAGCTCTTTAATTCGTGCTTATCGTTCTTGCTGAAAAGATGTTGAAGAAGGTAACCCTAGGGTATTTCTCTGGTGGTAGATTATGCGAGTCTCGCGCGGGCTATCAGCGTGCAGGACTGGACTAGAAAGGGAAAACTTTCACGTTGTGCCTTTAAACCGTTTCGTTTTGGTAGAGGGGGACGTTTGAAGGAGATAGAGTCGATGCTGCCAGGCCAAATCGAAAGCAGAGGTAAAAGGTCCTCCTGCGAGGGAAATAGGAGGGAAATATATTCGTGTGCTTCTTCTGGAGCTGTGCGCGCTCCACGAGGCTGGACGGGGAAATCAAGCCCCGAGTGTTAGGCTGGGAATTGTTTTGTTTTTTGTTGCAAGCGCAAGATCGCTAGAAAATCAATTTACATTTCACCTCGAAGGCACAAGGCATCGATTATTACAGTGTCGAAGGAGGTGAGGTCTCCCATGTTTTCGGGAGCTGGGGTGTGTGAGGTCTCCCGGCAAGCAAGCGCCAACGGGAGACCTCAGGAGCCGAACTTCGAGTTTGGGCATTTCAAGGATACGCAGTAAGCTTAACGACCCAGTTGGAAGACTCACAGAACGCCCGTTGCCCATGCTCGCCCAGCTTTGCCCATTTTGCGGTGCCGCTGGCCTTGCAGGCGAGAAAGGATCCGCCTTGTGCACAGGGTCACTGGAAATGCCGAAACCATGATCTCCATGACTCGATGACAGTAAACTATCATTGCTCACTAGAAGAAAGAGTGGTGGGTAGCGCCTGAGTAAAGCGGCGGTAGTGACTAACCGCGTTAGAAGGGTGGGAGGTAAAGATTTGGCTGAGACTTCCGTCACAAGAGGCTGAAAATCTTGCTGATAAATAATTTTTTCTCCGTCATAATCCCTTAAAGCAGCCCTTTAACCCTCCTCCTCCAACCTACCCACCTCCCCAACATCCCCAAACACCCTCCCCCCACCCATCCAAACAACCCTATCCCTCCCCTCCACCACCCTAACCCTCCTATGCCCCACAACCAAAACCGCACACCCCCTCCCCAAAAACTCCTCCTCCACAACCGCATCCACCCTCTCCTCTCTCTCCGCATCCAAACTAGCCGTCACCTCATCCAAAAGCACCACAGGCCGCACGGCCCTCTCCGTCAGGACCCTCACCTTAACCACCGCTCTACACAGGGCGAACATTTGCATCTGGCCCACTGACAGCTCTGGCATTTCGGAGAGGGGAGTATCGAGGATTGTACCAGTGTCAAGTTGTTGGTGTTGCCATAATCCGGTGATTTGTAAGGCGGAAATGAGGATTGAAGAGGGAGAGGAGTTGGAGGGGTCGAGGTTGTAGCGGACGGTGGAGTGGGGGGAGAGGAGCGGGTCTTGGGATATGGTTATGAAGGCGCGGGAGCGGAGAAGGGGGAGGGGGATGTGCGAGGTGGGGAGGTTGTCTATTGTTATTGTGCCGCTTCTGTTGGCAAGTTAGGATGTGATTTTGATGGAGGACGGGAGAGGAGGAGTTGAGACACGGTTTCTTAGATGAGCTAATTTTGGGGTGGTGCTGGAAGATTCTGCTCGTAGAATGGATGGAAAGGAAGAGGATGACTTGACGTACTGTAAGGGGACGAGGCGGAGGAGGCTCAGGATGAGGGTGCTTTTTCCACTGGGGGACTCAGTGAGTAAGTGGTTAGAAAGGGGAAAGGATATACGTACCTGCCTGTGCGGCCGTAGAGGATAGTCTTTTGACCGGGTGTGATGGTTAGGTTGAAGTTTTTGAGGACGACGTTGTCTCTGTTCCATGGTTAATGAGAATGTCTTTTAGACGACAATAAAGAAAAGTACCCATAAGCCACAGTAATATCCTTAATCTCTACACACCCATTCGACGGCCAATCCTCAGAGATTTCGATCTCCTCAACTCCTTCACCCTCAAGACCAGTCTCTTTCTCTAACGTCTTCAACCTAGCCACCGCCCCAAGGGAAATCTCCATTTCCGTCCAGTTCTCCACTAATTTCAACACTTTCACAAAAGAATCAGCTCCATGCCCCTTCCCAGAGACAAGAAAAAACTCACAAGTACTATTAGTAACCAACAAAACCCCCAAACCCACCCCCACACTCCCCGCCTCCACCCCTCCCCTAACCGCAATACCCACCACAGCGGTAGCGAGCGCCGCAGCCACCAAATCCAGCACAACGCCTAACCATCTTTGCAGCGCTAAGAGTAGATACTCTGGCCTCTGACTCTCTTCCACATACTCCACGTTCTGTTCGATGATTTCTTTCCGCCAGTCGAAAGTGCGGATCGTTTCTATGCCTGAGATCTGTAGAACTCTCTTAGCTGGGAAGGAAGGAAGGGAAGGGAAAATGAAACGGACAGTTTCGAGGAAAGAAGAGAAGACAGAAGCGCGGGCTTCGAGTTCGAGGAAGCGGAGTTGGCGCGAGGTGCGGAGGTAGATTTTTTGGACTATGAGTAAGACTAAGAGGAGGAGGGGTAGGGAGAGGGTTAGCAGGCGTTGGGAGATGAAGAGGAGGATGATTTGGGCGGTGAGTTTGAAGGATTCTGTTGTTTGTTAGGATGGAGGGGCGGTTGGGGGAAGAGGGTAACCCACGGGCGGCGAGAGAGGATAATGCGGAGGGGAGTTGTTTGTCGATTAGGAGGATGTCTTGGGTGAATCTGGGGGTTTAAGTGAGTGATTGTTGACAGGGAGATGAGGCTGGCATACCGGTTTAAGATTGAGCCGTTGGAGGTTTTGGAGAAGAAGGATAGGGGTGCGCTTTAGAGCTGTAGGCCAAGGTACACATCAAGCAAAAGGCAATGATACGTACCAAGTCACAATAAACAACAACCGCTCATGCAACACCCTCCCCGAGTGAGGTGCAAGTCGAATGATCGTCGCCCTATCCATGCATATAAGTAAGAACCAGTACTCCCAGAACCGAAGAAAAGAACTCACCACATCATAACACTAGTGATTGACCAAGCAGCCAACGCCAGCAGTAAAAGTCCGCACGTATAAAACACTGTATGACCACCCTTGTCCTCCGTCCAAAGCTGCAGCCAGTATTGCGGGATAGTGCTAAAGAATGAATAAGAAGACGTGAGGGCGATGATGAGTAGGATGTTTATTTTTCCAGCGAAGTGGAGGTAGTAGCCTAATTCCGGTCAGTTTGGTGAATGAGAGGCTCGAGAAAAGCTTACCATAGAGGGCCAAATCTCCGGTTTGTCTGGAAAGATCAAGTTCCGCTTCGCCACTGGCTTGGAGTTGAGCGCGGAGCTTGTCGAAGCTTGATGATAGGACCGTTTCATCGCTAGTGGGGTGGTGAGGAATGAATTTGGATATCGAAGCTGATTTAGATTTAATTTCTCGCCAGGTGCCTTGTTCTTTGATGCCATGGTCGCCGAGGACTACGATTCGATCCGCTGCTGAGAAATATTGAGCTACAACAGTTAGCCACCCCGAACAAAAGCTTGTAGAGAGAGAACGACATACTTGAATTGGACACCAGAACGACCGTAGTTTTCAAACGGCGAAATACTCCCTGAGACCCAAACAGATTCTCAAAAACGCTCTTTTCAGTCTCGCCATCTAGCCCACTTAGGGTATCATCAAGCAGAGCAATCTCGCACCTCGCAAACAATGCACGAGCCAAGGCCTGAGTTTGTCAGAACAGAAGTTTCAATGAAGCAAATCAACTTACAAAACGCTGTCTCTGACCCCCAGATAAATTCATTCCCCGACTCCCAATCTGCGTCTCATCATCATCAGGCAAGGACTTCAAATCGTGGATAAGACAGCACTTCTCGAAGACTTCTTGATACCATCTCTCGTCAATCTCCTTGGCAGTGCCGAGTATCACATCTCTGATGCTACCACTAGGAAGCCAGGGAATCTGAGCACAATACCCAATCCGTTTCGTCGTCACCTTGATACTTCCATGAGAAGGCGTCACCTCGCCAAGAATGGCCCGTAGTAAAGTCGATTTTCCACTTCCTACCGGACCAGAAATTATTGTCAATGACCCGGGTGTCACTTCCAGATTTACATTCTCCAAAACTGGTAGAATTTCTCCAATCCTCAGATCCTCGATCTGAATCGCTGGACCACCCTTTGCCAGCGCTACACGGTGATCAAGTAAAGATTGCCGCAGCAAGAAAGTCTGGATCCTGTCAAAAGAAGCAAGTGTCCCGATCGCACGCGGAACAATCGTCATGACCATATTCGCGGGATGCGTTACCATGCTCAAGATAGCTATTGTCGGGAACGCAGTTTCTGCGTCGAGATTCTGTCCATGGAATGCTGCGATGACTGCAAAGATAGCCAATGTGATGGCTGGGGAGAAGATTCCGAGAGCATTGGCTTCAATATCATTAGCGGATATCGAGAACAGGAGACATGGACAGACCGGATGCGTTGTAGTACACCATCATCCATCTCAATTTCGATGCAGCGACAAGTTCTTCGTTCCGAAGCTGCATTATTCGGTTGGTGAGAGATTCCTTGAATCCGAGCATCTTGATGGTTTTCATGGAGCTAAGCATGGAGCTTGTTGCTGCTACACGTCTCTGCGTGGCGCTGTTCCAAGCTTTTTGACAGGGTTGGAGATGAGTGGCGACGTAGCGGCTGACGCGAGAACATACTGCTAGTTATCAGTACAAGAAGTCAGGAGTAGGAGTTGGGGCTCACGGAATATCAGAAAGAGAGGGAGAGGCCAGATCCAGCCTACTTGAGTAGCGAGAAGGGATATACCAATCACTACTTCAACTAGTTGAGCCCATGTCTCGTGAAACATTTCACCGATTCCGACGAGGCTGTCTGCATCTGTGCTCATTAGAGTTGTGGATTCGCCGTTGTCGTAAGCGATGCTAGGTGAGTTCATTGTTTTATCGTGTATGAGGCCCACGAGAGCGCTTCTGATCATAAGCTTTATCATGTTCAGTCGATGTTGGTACATCGATGTTGAGATCTATGGCTCATTAGCATGTCTGAATCACAACTGGAGACAAAACTTACTGCGAGGCCAATGTAGATGACTACAGCTGAAACTACTAGCCAGTAGCCATAATGGCTGTCGGGAGTGGTCGGAGGCATGTCAACGAATCTGATGGCTTGCTTGATCAAACTAGGTTGAGAATATCGAAAGATGATCAGGAATAATCGAGGCATGATTGCAGCAAGGAATGGCTTTTTGATGCATCTAAACAAGGCCAAAGGTAAAGATTTCTTGCTTTCAGGCTTTGCTAAGGTTTGTGAGGAAGAAACAAGATCTTCGAGAATGGTTACTAACCTCGTTGATCCCACATCCGAAGCATATTCTTTCTGGTGAGGTATGCTTTCATATTCTGGCTCATAGGCGGTAGATCTTGATGATTTAATATGTTCCTATATCCCCTGAGTAGAATGGGATTAATCCAGGTGAAGAAGATCATGCTCAATGCTCCACTGGATTCTTCTGGGATTCGAGGTTCGCTAGAAGTGGTCAATGGAGGTTTGCCACAGCACTCTAGTGTGAAAAGCATCAGATATAAGAGGCATCGGATTAATACTGGAAGTGACATGTTTGCGTTGGCGGAAATTCCAGATGGGATCGTCAAGAGAATGACATCGCATAATATCGAGGCGACGAGATAGAATGTAGCTAGATCTTTGGGTTGTGATGATGGGTAACGATCCAAAATACCCAGCAAACTCAATCCTAGAGTTGCAACAATAGAAGCTGCTGTTGATGCTGCAAAGAAGATGTCATGCTGTGCGGATTTTATCAGGCAAACCACTAGAATAACTGAAAGCAATATGCTAAGGGTCTATTCGCATCGAGTGGAGGCATCAGTAGTGCTCGCTGTGTTGGAACAGTGCAAATTGGTACTGACAGACTTCGCTGGAGCCCGCCAAGTCGAAGCGCTCTTGATGCGGGACCTTCGAATCTTCCAAAGTCTAAATGGTAGACACAACAAGAATATCATTGAGTAGATTGTAGATGCAACCAACACAATGCGGGTGTCCCATAACAAACCATTCTGAGGAGAACTTCTCCAAAAAGAAGCTTGGAGATGAGAGCCGTCGTCGTAGCGATATTGAAACATCCTCGCTTAGGAATTAGACAATGCCTCTAAAACCTTGGGCGCTCCATCAATTTGTCGCGAGGTTCGTTGAAATTGATGCGGTGAGTAGCTACATAAAGGTGGGGTAAGATACCCCGGAAGATCCTTACGCCGAGCGGTAAGGATGCCAACAAGCAACCAAGGGGTACATTTACCCAAGTTGATATTGATGCTGGTATAGCCATGTTGCATTCGCTAAAATGAGCTTCAAAACCATGCCTCCAAGATAAGATTGATCGCCTGGATTTTCGAGAATACACAGAGTGAAGGGGCCGAAGTTCATTGCACGATGATAGCTTAACATTCAACTTCGATATATTGCATCTCAACTTGATAGCAATGCTGGGAATCGAGATATGTTTGATATTCACAAACTTCCAAGGTTCGTCGTATGCTCTCAACTTGGAGGGATACGACTGCATCTTCATTCCCGCCACATGGGGTCAGAAGATTGCATGGAAAGTTGTCAGTGAACTCCATAAAGAGACAAGTCCAAGATGTGCAATCCGGAGGATCTGAGTTCTTTGGCTGAAGCAACGAGATAGAGACTAGAAGAGTAAGTGCAAAATGCATAGACAGAACTTTGCCTACTGATGAGAAATGAAGCATTCTAGAAAAACAATACCATATCTAAAATCTCGAGTATCGAACGGGTTGACACAACTACTGCATGCCAACTCCATCAATTAGATTCCATGATCCTTGCAACCGTTCGAGGGATTACCCCAGACTCGTGATACACTGAGGCCCGACCCGAACATGACAGATGCAAAGATCATCGGAATACCACAATACCATAGGATCGGAAACGCCATCTGAACGTTCAGATACTGTTGGGAAGCTACTGTGACGCGACCGAGACCTCGAGAGAATGGAAATTTCGCGGTCGATTCAACTTCCCAACATGTCAGTGGCGAAGCATGCCTTTTTAACACAGCCGTACTTCAGGCTTCAACACCGAGTAAATGAGCGAGATGTTGGGCAGTGAGTGGGTAATTATCCCTAAAGGATCCAAGACGGACAATGACGATTCATCAGCGGAACCAGTTGGGCGGGAAACGGGAGTACCCGAGTAGTAGATCTGTGCTCGGTGAGACGATCGCTGGCTGGATGTTTAGGATGTCCTTGGGGCTAGACGAAGCCTAACTCGTAATGGTTGCTGTGTTCTGCAGACTTTCAGAGGGCGTTTACAGATTATTGTCCCGTTGAGCTCATATTTACGTTGGTAGAGAACAGAAGAAGACATTGTGCCTCCTCAATGAGGCTCAGCTCTCTCGGGCTAGGCCAACACGTGATTGCTTCGTAATCGCTGCCCCGCCCAGCCCAGTAAAATGGTAAGTCGTCTCTGTGCCCCGTCTTGGCTCCCCCGAAGGTCGCTCCAAAACCAGCCCATCCATCTTTCACCACTTCGACCCAAAACCAGGAACACCCGCTGTCAACCTCCCAAACTGGCCGCCGCATCGTGAACCCTCCTGTTTTCGTGCATTATTATAGCCTCAACTCTCTTAACACGCATCCCAGATTTCCCAGTTCCATTCAGCTTTCCTTTTTCTTCACCCCTCGTGCGTGGCTGCAGCCTGACATCAGAGTCCACTTTGACCGAGTAGTACTACGCTGAAGTTGGCATGCCTGCAGCCGTCGTGCAGACGTGAGTTCTTTTAGCGGACCACTGAAGCTGCCGGGTTCTGGTGGCTGGAGTGGGTTTCACACTGGAACCACTGAGCGTCCCCCGAGCGTCCCCCGAGCATCCCTGGCTCTGACCTGTGACAGCGCACCATTCAGCAGAACCATCACATTTCGCAGCTCCACCTCCACCCAAGCACGCCCAACCACACCAGCCCCTCCATTCGAGAGAGAGAGAGAGCAAAGACAAAGCACAAGCAGCAGACAGGACAGGACAGGACAGGACGAGACAAGGACCGCTGTGAGATCGTCGTCATCCCACCTCGATCACAACACAGAATATACATCGAGCAGCCTCGACTCGAAAAGTCCTTTCAGTACTCGTTCTTGATCGCAGCATACGTTCAGTGACTCAATTTGTCCTCTTGATTACGATAAGCGCTGCATAGAAGGTCTACACACACCAGCAGGAGCAATGTCTCGACGAGGTGATGTCTACGAGGAGCGCGATTATTATTCTCGAGAAGAAGTGCGAGCACCTCCAGTTCGAGTTCGAGAGCGAGATTACGAGGAAACAGATGTCTTCACCAGACGATCAGAGCGAGGATCTCGACCAGACTTCCTCCGTGAGGATTTCGGCAGAGGGGAAGCTGGACCGTTGGTAATACGGGAGCGAGATACCGAGATAATAAACCGACCTGAACGACGACCACGATCTCCATCGCCAGTGAGGATTCGCGAGAGAATTATCGAACGATCTCCTCCCCGTCAAGAAGAAGAGAGAATCCGAACCAGAGTCGTCGAGCGTGAGAGACGAGAACCCTCTCCACCACCTCCAGAGAGACTTCGTGCACGAGTTATCGAGACCCGAGAGAGGATCCGCGAGCGATCTCCGTCTCCAGTACGCATTCGAGAGAGGATCGTCGAGAGGGAGAGGGAGAGAGAACGCACACCCTCACCACCACAAGTCGAGCGAGTGCGTATCCGCAACATTGAGCGAGAGATCAGACAACCTTCACCAGAACCATCTCCATCTCCATCACCACCTCCTCCGCCAGCTATCCGCGCTCCTCCCATCCATCAGGAAATCATCACCCATCACAGACACATCGATCATGGTATGTGTAACCCCTCTTCTTTCAGCTACATCCCGCTAATCTTTGATAGGCTTTGAACGTGCTCGTGTACCAACCCCGCCCCCACCACCTCGTCGCAGCGAGCCTCGAACAAAAGAGACCGATATCGATATCTATACCTCGCGAAACAATACTGAAGTTGATATCACTCGGAAAGAATCGCGTGGACCGACTCCTAAGCCTCAACTGAGACGCGGCGATACATTCTACGATGATTCCATCATATACGAGCAAGAGCGAGACAAATTGCGAGTACGAGACACCCGGCTAGATATCAACCGACGACGCAGCTTGAGTGCACGACCCGAGCGAAGAGAGAAGGAAAGTGTGCACATTGATATTCGAGAATCTGGTCGTGGTGAAACAAATCGAGAGGTAATTCGAGAAGTGAGTCGTGGTATCGGCAGAGACGAAGAGGAAGCTGCATACTACGAGCGAAAGGTCAATGAACGTGCGTACATAGGAGAGGCATACAATGGAGCTACCAAAGACTGGGCTATTGTTGATGTGCCGCCTGGAACGGAGCGTGTGCAGATGGAAGGTGTTGGTGGTGCAAGCCAAGAAATCACATGGCAGAAGTACAACGGTGTCCGCAGAAGCAAGTTCAACCCGGAACGTGAACGAGAGAGGGAGCGAGTTGAGGAGAAGGTGGAGATCCGAGAAAATACGAGACCACGGGAATCTTCTACGAGCCTAGAAATCGACATCTCCAGAGGGCCAAGACAAGAACGTGGACCTGTTTACGAGCGGGAATACGAGAGAATCGAGGAAACAAGTGATCGTCGAGTTGGATTTCCTCGAGCTCCACCAAAGCAGAGAATGGGTGATCTTTGGACTGAGATTACCAAGGATTTGGTTGCACGGGAAGCTATCGAGGAGCTTGGATATGATTACGAGGAGACGGAGTTCTTTTTCTACGTTCTGCAATATCTTCGATACGTAAGTTAGCCCTCTGCCATCAATTGCAACTACTAACATATTCCAGGAGGACGTTCTCGAACTAGTCCAAGTCTCGGAATCCATCCGCCGCGAACGAAAACAACGACTCCGAGAAATCGAATACGAACGCGAACGCATGGAAAGATGGGAACGCAAAGAGAAGCGCCGAGAACGCGAACGGGACGACTACACCGATGAGCGCATCATCGAGCGCGAAGTCATCTACGACGGCCGTCCACCCCGACGTGGCGGCTGGTAAACTTGCACACATTTGAACGATTCAGCGAAGCATGGCATCTACGAAATGAACAACGATCGATTTTCACGAATGAAATGACATGAAATGAAATGAGCCTTACAATACAAGATGATGTTTGCATAGCGCGAGGCGTGCTTCTTTTTCTTATTTACCTACCTACGTTTTTTTTCTTCTCGAGATACTTAGCGGGAGAGGGATCTTTTTCGTTTGTGAGTTGGGTACCAGGCCCTTAGGATGGATGGAATGCTCTTTTTGCGTTGTGCTGGGAGGATGGAGTGGGAGGGAATTTGGATGGGGGAAGGAGGGAGGAGGGGATGTAATGACTATAGATTCTCGCTTTCTTCTTTAGGGTTGGGAATGAATGATGATTGAATACGAAGTTTTTGAGTTCTTTGTTCTTCTACTTGTGCTCACTATCAGTTTGGGTTGGATATCGAATCGAGTGATTTTTATTCACTCATGCCCCTGTTTCTTAGCCTTCGAACTATAAATACAGACCCTTTGAACACCTCCTTGCTCCTCCCAGAACAGCGGCAGCTGTAAAAGCCTTTACCAATCATCCCATGGATGGAGCCAGTCATTCTTCCAATTGAAGAGCCCGTCTCTTCCCGTTGATTTTGTGTCAAAGCTATTGCTGTTGACTGGCAAGCAATGGGAAAATATACACCAGTATATCTTCTCTTCCCGCTCCCAATATCCATCTCATTGTCAACTAAAATCCCATTGCCAACTCAACCCCCATCTATTCCCACACAATTTTTTCTCACATAAAATCCTGCCCAGAAAAAGACATCCTGACAACCCGGTATATTCCACGTCGCCGGGAACCATCTTCGACGCCTTCCTTGTATCGGCGGAAGACTTGTGGTCGGTGGTCAGGAGATTAATATGTGGATGTGGTCTATATAGAGGGAGGGAGGGGAGGGGTTTATATACTTAAAAAGAAGAGGATGGATGTGTTTTCGAAAGAGGGGCTGAGGGATAGATTCACTTTCTGGGGGAGGGGGCTTTTTTTGTGAAGGGGTTCTTGAGCAGATTCACCTTTTTCGGTCTCGATTCTCGATTCCCGATTAGATGCAGTTTACTTCGTAGATTTTTGGTCGGACTGAGGTTCTTGGGTTTTGCGGTCGCAGGTTGGATTCACTTTCCCCTCCTCTTTTCTCATGTCTCTCACCTTGACCGGCTCGAGTATATAAACACCCAGCTATCTCCTATTCATGAACTGGAAATGATGAAACGTGGCAGGAATGATCGACATGGGGGAGGGGAGGTTCCCTTGGATCATGTCGACCAGCGAACTACAGACCAGGCTGACGATTTCTTTCTCGCGCTGGGCTGATGTGTTCCTTGACTGGAATCTCGACACTTCACAACTCACTAACCCACATGACCATGCGCCGCCTTTGCTCAAGCGGCTCAGGCCTAGCTCAACTTCGGCTTATGTCTACTTAGTTCTACTCACCCATCTCACCAGACATTATCAATTTTTATCGGGGCCTTGAAAGGCCCCCTTTCTCAGCCAGGGAACCCAAATCTATTCCCGCTGCGCTTTCACAACTCGTGTCAGCCAGAACAAATTTATATGCTAAAATCAGCTGAAGGAGCCTCTCATGACTTCTCATTGTTAATCATAGCCTAATGGCTGCCATAGATAATCAAACTTGAGTCAAGGAATAGCGATCAAGATCCAAGTGCAAAAATATCAAGTGTGACCTCTCCTCCCAGTTATCACATAAATAAAATTCCTTCCGATCCCATTGTCCCCTATATCTGGCATCGAAGTCTTCCCATGCATTCTCATGCTGCATCGTCTTCTCCCTGTACTCAGAGATATATGTTTTGTCTTTTGCCTCTCGAATCCATCCCTCTACAATGTCATACAATATCCCAATCGTCACCCCCCCTGGACAATCCACAACGAAATGTGTTCTGTTTCTTCGTCGAGGCTCATCGCTTTTGAAACCGGTAATCTTCCAAAATTCGAGCTGCCGGTGCGGTGGCTGGGTAACTAGCATTTCCCTCCAAAAATGAGTGTTTCGTTGCCAGGCTGAAGGATTTCGCTTCCAAGGGAGGATGGTCGTGGATGTTGCAGTGCTCCATGTACCACATTTGTTCGGACTGCAGCTGCACATGCCTGGTCTTGGCAACTGGCTTTTGTGTAGCAACCAGAAAGGAAATGCTGATTTGAGGAGGTCGTTCGTCGTGGGAGTTGTGAAGAGAGAGGAATCAGGCCGAAGAAAGAGGGAGACTTGGAGATCGAAGGATGGGTTGGAGATGACGCCATACCATGTTCTACAGACTCTTTTTACGGACAGAATAAGGGTGGATGGTGGGAGGTAGGAGAATATGAGGGTTAAGAGTTCGGATGTTGAGAGAACTTCTTCATTGGCTGGGGTCGGTGTTTTGAGCAACCCATGATCGGGCATCGACTGTTCTTGAAGAGGTGCTCTTTTGGGAAGTAGATCTAGCTTCTTTGGACTGCTACGCTTTAATCTCCATAGTTTCGATAGCATATTTGGGATAGCAGTTCGAAGGGGTGGAATCGAGTTGGAGGTGGTTGCCTAACCTGCAGTCTCGCTAAATTCCTAGCGGTGAAGGAGGGATCATGTGAAAGATAAATAAACGTGATGATATTTAAAATGAAAGCTCAAAACTTCAGAGGGGACTATCCTTTTTACCCCGAAACCTTGGTATGGGGACACGACAAAACTACTCAAATTTAGGCAAGTGGGTTCTTAGCACGTGACCTTAAGAAAAAGTATCGATGAAACTTATCTCACATAGTCAGACGCTCCTTCGAGAGTGGGATCCTGAGATAAAATGAAGCTCTATTGTAGCGTAACGTGACTTTTAGCCACGTTTTTGGCTGATCAGCCAATTGGAAAGGGCGTGTCCGCCTGCCCTATTCCAGATTTCTATACAATTACCTAGTATATAGTAAGACTTTTTAAGAAGCCCCCTCCAATTCGGGGCCCTTGCAATGTCACCTGTAGTAAACCTGCCACCGATCATCTCCCATTTTGTTAATCCAGCCGATAGGACTATCCCTCCCTGAGCTGCGTAAAGCAAGCCCACCGTAAAAGTACCTTTAGCCCTTACTTTTTACTAGCAAAATAATAATAAAGAAAAAGAAACACTCAGGTAAAGTATAGGACTAAGAGATCGAAAGCAAAGGGAAGTAAATTGAGTGCTACCAAAATCCACATTATATAATATTGCCCGTAGACATTGAAAAGACATCATGGAAAAATAAGGCCAAGCCCCTTAACTTACAAGTATCACGTGCATATGAGCAAACGTAAATCCAAAAATGGTTTTAGTGGAATCCTAGCCGGAGCCAAGAGAAGGATCCCTACAAACAAGACGAGGATAGTATAACCGGGACTCAAGGGAGCCAAAACAAGCCCCTACTCAAACGAAAACGATTCTTTAATGGATGAATACTCAGGAATGCTCACCCTCGGCTTAAGCTTGCTCACCCATAGCTCAGGCTAAAGCAGCAACAGCTCGGGTCTAAAGACGGAAATGGAAAATTCTTATGCCGAGATTCCGATATCGAACTAGCTGTTCTACTTTGCTAAGTTTTCATTTCGCGAGGAATTGTTGTTCAGAAATCGTTCACTGTTAATGTGATTTCTGTTGTTAAGCTTCTCTAGTTGAAGCTCAATTTTGTATAGGACAACGTGTTGTTTATGGTCTATCATAAACTAGTAAATTCACCGGTCAGCGAAAAGAGGTGGACGTGTCTCCGAGCCTGAAGGCGGCGTGGTGGACCGGAGGTGTCTGGCTATGGTATGTAAAGTTAGAAAGAGAGAAGGGATAGTAGGTTTATATATTCTATGAGAAGTATACGGTGCTAAAGATTGTGTTTTGAGGTTGGGATCCACTATTATTCGATTTTCTCAAGGTAAAAGATAGATGAGTTGATCAGATTCACTTCTCGATTAGAGCCAGTTTCAAAACTCAATCTTAACCGCGTTCACTTCCTCCTCTCCTCCGTTTATTTTTCCCACCCTGCTGTACTACATAACTACTCATTCATCCACTAACTATCCATGGACTATTGAAAAAATTGCTTTGGGAAGTTCAATCTAGGAATTTCCCCTTGGAACACAATTAGCTAGGCAAATCAAAGACTTTGCTCACGAGTACCGCTACGTAACATAGTTTACTTAGTATGCACTTATTTTTCTTTTTGACAAACATTTCTGAGTTGTAGTTGTCAATTAATGTATTATTGCCAAGTTTATCTTAATTATCAACTTTTTAATTCTGAATATATAGATCTAGCCTGGATGCTAAGAGGGAGAGTAAACACGTTTCTCTGGAAGTCTGTTGTAACCAGGTACCTTCAATGTTCAGCGAAACATGGTGGACCCGGAATCTTTCTGTGCTTGTTGCTGGATTGTCTTTTGGATGTGGTTTAGAGGCGATAGGAGCGGGGTTTATATAATCCACAAAAAATACACTATGCCTGAGATTGCCTGAATTGTGGCCGCGATTCTAAATTAAATTTTCTAGAGAGGCTGGGTAGTAGGGAATAATAGCATAGTGAATACAATCTGCAAGTCAAAGAAGCAGGAAACACAAATGTACCTCACGACCAAGAATTTCAAGAAGGCGGATGGGGCGGCCGCTCCAAATCTCAAACCTCAAACATGCCGCCGCATCGCAGATCAAGTGGAGAAGGTTTGGGACGGAGGAGAGGTGGGCGTGAGCTGAGCCAGTTATGAGTGCCATTTATTTCAAAAAGACTGCAACATTCAGTTCTATGTAAAGGACGATTGACGTCTCAAAGTCCTGTTACTATCAATTACTTTATTGTTGTCAACTAAAGCTTGATTGTTGATATTTTATACTCCAAAGTTATACCTAGATCTTCCTTGGACGGACAACGAGAGACCGACAGACTTTCCATAGCTAGCTCTCTCAATGATGTACGGAAATGGGAGATGAAAATTACCTTCGTTGATATCAGCAATAATGACGTACATTCTGCTCGTCTGGAACATTTTTAAGATTTCCCATCACTTGATGTCTCACGTAGTGGGAAGTGGTTCAGGTACTTTGTTCAGAAGTCCGCTGTGTTAGAGCTTTCGTTGTGTAGTATACATTCACTCTTGAATACTGTTTACACGAAAAGTCGACGAGATAGTGAATGAACATCAAAGATCTGTGAAAAATAAAGACCTCTTCCTGAGTCCACAACCAAGAAGTACAAAAGCGGCAGAGTGGCCGCTCCAAATATAAACCCGTAAACTTACAGCGTTGACGGTGACATCTATGAGAACGAGGTAGAAGGCCATGGGCCGATGATGCGCAAGTACGCTTTTGAGTTCAACGACAACTTTATGTGGTGTTTTGCTCAGATATGTGGGAGGTGGTGAGTATTTTGTTGTCAATTATTAGCTTGTTGTCAATTTTTTCTAGTCTCAAGTCAATGCTATTTGCACAGCTCACCAAGCTTTGCAAAAAGATCTTAAACCTCGAAGTTGTATAGTTTGTCTTGACTCTAGAGCTTCTCTTTGGCCTAATGTCGGTCAAGAGTGCTAACTAAGGTTTGTGTACACAATGTGAAGGCAGAGACAAGAATATTTTAACTTAGTAGGAAACATATCAGGCTCAACATTCAAGGAGTGAAAGGCTTGCCAATGTGATTTACAAGTGAATGAACCGGAAAGAGCGGCCGTTCCAGTGAAACAGAAGAACTTTTTTCTTACCCTGTAATCAAGATGTATATAAAGGCGGGTAGAGCGGCCGCTTTTTACCTTCCGGTTACAAAGACACCGTACCGAGAAAGTAAGATTAGGTCTGGGAGGATTAATGCCGTGCTCTAGAGAGTCTTTGATAAGGTCAACCTTATTACCTTCTCGTTGATGCCGTTTACTCAGGGATTTTCTTTTGCCAATTATTATTTTATGGTTAACTTTCTTCTGCCTATAACATACTTTCTTTACGCGAAAAATAATAGAAGATAATACTTTATTTAACAGAGAGGAAATTGTTATTCACAGAATTCTCTTAGCTTAATACTTTGGTAACTAGAAACAAAAGAGATTGCACCTCGAAGATATTCAAAGTTTCTCGTCCTTCGTTTATGGCCTTTTGGTTCGCGCTTGCAAATATGATGTGAAAATGGGAAAATATAAGTTTATATACCATGCAGAAGCTACATAGTGCTCGGAGTCGCAGAGAAGTGACTATCCATATAATTTACAATCAAATAAAGCTTAAAGAGATGTGGAACAGAACTGCATGCCTTCACTCAGTACACGAAGCCGTGAATGAGTAAATGTGAATACAACTTACAAGTGAATAAAGCCCAGAAGGATGTGAGACAAGATTGCCTAGCCTCACTCAGCAACCAAGAAGTATAAGCAGACGGACAGAGCGGCCGCTCCAAATCTCAAACATGCTGCAAGAGAAGAATCAAGTGCGACGAACATTTGGGACGGGGACGAGAAGAATAATACTGTGGCTAGGAAGGCTAAGGGATACTGTTCAAATGCTTTCTTGAACTATAGACAAGTGCTTCAAATCAATACTCTTTCCATAGGTCATAAGTGAGTATAGCATTGTCAATTACTTTGCTGTTGTCAATAGACTACTGCACCCGGTTGTAAATTTGTCAGGACTGAGATTGGGAATCAAATGTTTCCCATTTAAGAAGCTTGCCCGGCTCAGCTTCGACTCCAGGAAGGATACAGAGTCCTTGTGACGGAATTAGAGATAAAGTTTGGGGTGAGGTATTTATATAGTCACAGTGGAGTAGAGATTTCTGGTGGATTTTGACAGTAAATAGTGAATTAGTTGCGAAATCTGAAGGTGAATTTGAAGGGAAGGTGATGCGGGGTATAAATAATCCTTTATTGCATTCTTGGAACTTGGCAAAGTCAAAAGTACTTCGCAGAGATACAGAGTAAGATCATAAATGCCGGACGAACGTTCTCTTGGAAACTAGTGTGCGCTGCTTTAGTTGGAGAGTCGTTTTAATTCTTTGAATGCTTACATCGTTGCTGCCAAGCAACCTATAATTGTTAAGCAGCTTTTCTTATCCCAAACAACTGACCAAAATTTCAATATGCGCGCCTCCTTTCTCCAAAATTGCCTCTTACCACGCACAACAACTTGATTACACACAACACAGCCCTTCAGATTCGAACTCTTCCAGGGAGAAGAGAGACGTTTATATAGTCTACATGAAACTTGGGAATGGCGGGTGAACAGGTGAATCGTTTGGATGACTGTGGTATCCACTTGAAGATTCACTTTCCAGCGCTGACTGCTTTTCGCACTAAGACGTCTGTCCAAGGATCAAGCGATATTTAGGTATAAAGCGTTCTTCCAAGCCAGGACATTCTTGTTTATCAACTTGCTGGTCGTTCGGCCAAGGGCAATACAGTGGCATCTTCTCCCGGTCGAGGATGTTCCGAAAGTTGGGAGCAAACATATCACGAGGTGGTGGGCACATCCGTGTAAAATGTTTTGCTTTGGCGGGCTGCTCTTGATTGTGAGTTCTATTTGATTTCTGAAAGATGATAGTGGTCAAGAATTTGACAATGGTAGTTTAATTATTGACAACAACAACGGTATTTTCACTCTTAGTCTCATTTACTTTTCCAAACTTCTTTTCCATTTACATCAAATGTCTTAGGACGCTATCTGTCATATTCTTGTATAAAGCATTCTCATTATGTTAGCCTTCTGCCGTAACTTAGATAAACATTGAATTGATCCAGCTGAGTTCTGAGTTCTAGTTGTGGTCTTGGGGAACTCACACAGGAAGCACCAAAAGCAATTGGCTTAAAATTCCGTGCTTATGAGACTCCCAGATTAGGAGTCTTCGAGAAGACCCACAATGAAAAAAAAATGCGAATTATCTGAGCACACACAATGTAGCAGCCAGCAGCACTCGAAGTCGTTCCCAATTGGTGCCGCTGATGTGCTGTTGGCTAGACTCGGATAGCAGTGCGAAGCTCGCACTATGTCGCCTCCTTATTCGCCTCGCATTACGGTGCTGACATTTCCTAGCTTCCTTAGACTGGACCATTACGGACATTTTCGCCTGGAACCTCTATTTATCTAGTAAGTCAGAACTTTAATAAGTCGCCGTCTCTCCTCGTCTCGTTACTTGTGCTTGTAAGAGGGTGAATTCTCATTCAGGAACACGTGCTACTCCTCACTTGAATCTCTATACCTGCCACTGAAACGTACCAAGGGTGCCGCAGGATTCCTGATCGTCATAATCTATCACTAAATCAGAGAACCCTTTGCATACCTCCATCGTACCCTTACCAGTTCTATGTCAATGCTTACTCTCTACGCCTCTCCAGAACCTTCAAACCTTATTATCATGCCTGTTTGGCGTGTTCGCTGAGTGATTTAATCGCCGTCATGTTCGCTATGCTTAGCTAGATCAAGCAAACAGATCGGCATGGAAATTAACTACTGCACAATCACGTAGAATAAGCATGTATCTCACATAATATATGTTTCAAGGACAATATTACTTTCTTAGCATACACTCAGCGTGAGGTCTATAAAGTCGCAGCTCTCAATACTATTCTTCTCATATTTCTTGCATTATTTCCATTCAAATAATCTTCTAAACAATACTTGCTACACATCACAATGCGTCTTACTTTCCTGATCTTCGGTTTAGGAGCCATCGCGGCCATAGAACCACACATGAAACGTCTCCCAATAGCGTTGACCAGCCCCTCTGCTGAGGACCAGTGGGAATGGAGTAAGATGGAGTTGATTCCACGCGGCTGCCCTGGCGGCGACGGGGCGACTTGTTGTCCTGAGGGCACATTTTCGGTAAGTTCTATCTTATGACTTCATTGACATGAGACATGTCAGTTAACATGTCTACAGTGCAGCGATGGTGAGCGGTGCATCTGCCAGGCATGTGGAATATGCTGCGGCGATCCCTGCGGTTCTGGTAATTGCTGGTAAGTTGAAGATGAGCGGACATGTCTACCAAGATCAGTACTGATTTATACGTATATAGCTAGGCGGCCTTTGGGGTATCAGGGCCACGATCTGGGTTCGGGATGCATAAACACCGTTCCAGTCCAGCCTGCTGTGCTGTTGCTGGCGCTTCTACATGGATATGATTTCCTGATATCAGTATCTGGGTTCGCTTGCTAGATGCGATGTTTGAGAAGCCTTAAGCTCTCCCTTCACTCTTTTCAAATCAACTCATTTGTGACCAACTGAAGTTCAATCATAGAATTTGACACAGACGTTGGGCACCTGCACGTGCCCAAAGTAAGATGATGCCGGTAGCATTCTCAGCTTTTCGAGCCTCGAGACTACGCTTGGCTTGTCTCTTCGCCCATCTCTTCTTGTTCATGTCACCCACGGCGCCGGCGCAACGCTTCGCGAGCATGCTACGCTTCTGAATGTCGGACTTGTCGATTAGCACTTTTGGGCGTTTCAAAGAGATTGGTCTCGAGGAAGCTGCACAAATGATTAAAGAAAGAAGATACAACACATGAGGGCGTAGTAAATATTGCTCAGGAGTGCTCGCTCAGTTTGGTCTAGCCACTCAGCTGAGCCGAAATGATCAGTCCGTGAGCAGAAAACGGTCAACTTACTAGCATTATACAGCATACAACAAAGAAATAATTCGTGAATGATGTCCAATGTTCTAGGCAAAACATAATTCAAGTGGACAGTAGAAAGCTTTCACTTGGACACGAAGATTAAGCGAGCGGATTGAAGTTGGATAGCCATGACCATTGAATTTTTTCAGGATTCTTGGGGGAGAAATAGATCGTGAGCTAGAGACGGTGGTAGTACACTTGCTGTAATATAAAGATCCATCACATTCATATTTGACAACGGGCCCAACTTGACATCCAAAGATCATTTGAAGTGGAGCGCATGTGTGGCGCGGTGCATACCTGTACATTCACTGGGCCCCAATTAACATTGCGAACGGCTTCGAAAGATTGTGTCATTTTGTCAGACAAGTTGCAAAACCAAGCTACGAAACCAAGCTCATAGTGCTGAGTAATTGATGACAAACTAAGGGTACAGATGGGCAATGAGCAATTCAAATAAACACAGAGATAATCATCGCAAGTTGTGCATTTATTCGTGGGTATCTTGGCGGGAACAAAACTCCAAAACATTCCCACAGCCTCTCATCCGTTCATCTCTTGGTTCCATCACTCATCACTTTATTTCTTCTTCTTCCTCTTCGCCTCGAACGCATCAACAAGTGATGGAACATCATCCTTGAACCTGTCACAAGGCTCCCACGTGCGATCTTCTTGTCGAGGATATCCCATCCATTGTATTAGATAATGCGGCTTGCCTTTGAATCTCCTCTTTCCAAGAATCTTCTCCGGTACATCGTTCCAAGCAGTAGTCTCGCCGACATCCTCGAAGCCATGCTCCTTCTTCTTCCAAGCATTGATGAGATCAGGAACATCTTCCAACAGATTTTGCTCCGGTTCCCATGTCCAGTCGTCTTGATCTGGATAGCATTGCCATCGGATTAGGTATTCAACACCTTCGGCTGAGTTTCTCTCCGCCATGACTTGTTTGGGCACGTAGCGATCTTCCTCTTCCACTTCATCCTTCTCCTCGTCATCGTCATCGTCGTTGTCATCTAGTGATGACTCCTGTTGAGAGGTGAAGCTATCAGAGAGTGTCTTTCCCAAGCGTGGATGTTGATGCGTGTTGGCATCGATAACCATACCCTTGTCATCGAGTTGCTCGCTTTCAGGCTGGAGCTGAAGCTGCAACTGAAGATCATCATCGTCAAGGTCCTGCAAGCTGCCAGATGATTGGTCGTCGTAGTCCATGGCTTTTATTTTGTCCGAAGATTCTCGATGCATGATGATATCGTGAGTGTCTTCCAAGGCGGTGATGTTTGACGCGCTTTTGTCGGGTGCTGGGAGAAATACTTGTGGTGCCGAGATATTTTCCCTAGTCAAGTCAGGCGCACTTTCCGCATCCAGAACTAAGGTTAAATCTTCGCTTGACAAATCGGGAAGGACCATCGGCTTGTAGGTTTTAGACTCGCCGATGTCTCCTCAAAGGGACCATGGCATGTCGTCCCAATCGTCGAGAGGATTCTTGAATTTTGCAATGGGACTCAAGGGCGCATCATCCCAATCATCAAAAGGATTGTTGAACTTTGCAATAGGGCTTGAGAGTGCGTCTGGTTGACCCCGAGGTTCGGCGGCTTGAGCGTGCGGAGAAAGATCGAGCAATTCGATGTGCTTTTTGACTTTCTTTGGGGTTTGTGTATTTGCTCTACCTGTGCTGTTGCCAGATATATCAACGGCCTCTTTGTGCGGTCGCGCTCTTCCAGGTTTTGTCGTGGTTGCTGTTCCGAGCCGGTATCTTTTGCCGGTATTCTCCTCCACCAGATCACTGTCTCGATCCCGCTTCTTCGAGATTGTCAACCGTGCCTTTACCACAGTGTATCCGTTGCAAGCTGCAATTCTCGGTTGAGGTCGTACAAGTCGTAGGTCGGGAAGTACGGTAGGAAGAGCAAATCCATCAGAGTATTTGTATCGCATCCACTCCCAAGACTCGAATGCTGTGAGCTGTAGCCAAGCGGGGTCATATAGATCCAGATAACTTGCACTAACCAACTCAGGCGCGACGTGATTAGGGTCGATCTGTCGCTGCTCTGCGGCGAATCGATCCATGCATTCTCTGATCACGTTAATTTTGTAGCTTAACCTGGTCGGGTCGTTTTTGCTGTCGAAGAACGCAACCTTTCGAAGGCTCTTGAACTTCGTGAGAAATGCTTTCACCCCTTGAGTCTTCACCCGGCCGGACAAGTCGAAGGTCAAGCGGCGCAAATGTAGTCGTGGGATCAATCCAAGTTCGCATCGACCAGGAAGAACCAGTATATCGTGCTCCAAGCTGATATAAACATGCTCGCTGTCCAACTCTTTTCGTTTGACCAGCTTCTCATATGGCTGATGCGCCTTTGTTCCCTTGAACCGCGGAAGCCAAGGCTTGTATATCTTCAGCAACACCTGTCGAGAGATATGGCAGACATGGAGCAACGGTGGAGGCGGAGTCTTGGAGCATAGCTTTCCATTTTTCCAGAAGACTTCGACGATGCGAGGTTGGATATCCGCGGCGGCAAGCTCGAAGATGCTTAATTGTAGTTCGGTAGGTAGATCATCGAATTGGGTAGGCAGTGTGATGAATTAGCAAAGCGATTATGCGCAATGTATCCAAGTTGCGGTCGGTTTGGTGCAGTGATGTTGGAGGAAGAATTTAAGTAAACAAACACGCGTGTTTTTTTATTTTCGGGTTGGACCCCTCAGGCGGCCGCTAGCCTACACCTTGCAACTTTAAAGTGTGATCAGTGTTTACACTAAGAGTTGACATATAAGATAATATTGTTGTAGAGCTTGTGGGATAATATAAAAAGTAAAAGTAGATTCTCCAAGATAAAGAGAATTCATTCCTTCTTCACGTGTAACACCACTTCATCCCTCAAGTCTTAGTTCTCGCCGGGACTGCGCCCGCTTTCACTATCCCACAAACTTTGAAATAATATTATTTTATATTCCGATTTTATTCCATTGTAATGTTTCTCGTTCTTTGAGCAGAATTTCCAGGTAAAAGGAGCTGTTTCTCTGTAGCAAGATTAAAGTTCTGGACAGATGCACATTGCCATCTTCCTTTCACGATACGATGAGAACTCTTGGAATGTTGACCAAAGCTTGTTCCTGCAATTAACTTCAGATTTATCTTCTACTTATTTACACAGAGCTATCCTCAGAACGTCACAATAGGCAGTAGAAAGTACACAATTCTAGTTTAACAGGCACGCAATTCAGCGGGTGAAGGTGTGATTCAACATGCATCGTATTATGTATAGTCAAGAACTCAGCCATCTATCCACCGTCTTAGCCAACGCCACGCACCTGTTGTCCACAAATATTGTATAATAATGCGCAGTATACACAACTACTGGTCCCAGTACAACACCTGTCGTCCACCAAGCGACATGAAACGAGAACGGATCATTCAATGCCTCCCCACTATTCCCATACTCCTTCCCGCTCACCATCAAATAAACAAAATCACGTAATGGATCCCTCCACAACTGGTAAATAGTCTCATGGAGTAGATATAACGCGAACGAGATCTTACCCAGATACTGGGCTGGACGAGTGTTGAGTGGTTGTTGCAGACACGGCAATTCCCCGATTGCGTAGACGAGCATGGCTGATCCGATAGATTTCCAGCACATGTGTGATATATCCCAATCGTTCGCCCAGTGTGCTGGCTGGAAGACGGAGAGAAATTGGTATCCTGGCGGCAAATGACCGTCCAGTCCAAGGCAAAGAAGGTAGTAGCCCATGACGAATGTGAATGCGGGCCCTATGTGCGAGAGAGTGAGGTACTTCCCCATTTCCAGGCCGCTGTACCAGTCCTTCTCTCGCCATAAGCTGAGACTTGGGGACGAGGTGAGAAGTGAGTGAGGCCTGTCTTCATACTCTCCCATCTCCATTTCAGTATTGAGATCTGAACTTGAGACCGAAGAAGTAGCTGCCCTCTCGGCTAGCCAAAGCCCCCAGATGAAGCCAAAAACATCCCAGTTGCCATACCAAAGGAAGAAAGTTGCGGTAATTGGGAGAATGTAGAATCTCGGCTTCTGCCGCCACGATGAGAGGCCGATGATGAGAAGGTAGACGACATTTGACCCTCGGAATTCCATTGGCATGGTCCACAGCTGACCATTTAGGCAGCCGCGATACACGAAAGCGATGATGTTGATAGAGTCGGCCATGAAGCTCATTACAACCTTGACGTGAGCCCACGGTGCGGTCCAGGGTTGGGGAAGGCGACCGAGAAACTCCTCATCAAATTTCCAGTGAAAAAGGTTGAAAAAGTAGAGAAACTGGGCGAGACTGGCTGTCACCAGAACCGGAAGATAGATGCGAAAAACCCGGCGCACGATGGCGGACGACATACGTTCCAAGAATTGGGGGCTACTCCTTGCTTTCAGGAGGCTGATAGAGATGGCATACCCAGAGATGACCATAAATAAGGTTACCATCCCATGGGCAGCAAAGAGAATTCGGAGAGGCGGCAGTTGAACCAGATGACGGTTTCCCTCGGGCGGTTCGGTCCAAAAAGAGATAAAGGGGTGCCAAACATCGCTCATGAAGAAGTGGTCAAAGGCTACAATAGCAGCTGCGATTCCGCGCAAGCCGTCCACCCATTTGAGGCGCCCCATATTCAACCAAATACCACTCCCTCCCCTATTCCGATTGATTCGTGTGAGAGGTTTACCGTAGAGGCTGCACGAACAATATAAATTTTAAGAGTGAGGCGAAGAAGTCTTGGCAACGGTCAATTCTGACATAAGAATCTATTTTAGGGGTATCACCTGACCTTAAACTTCAAAATGCCATCTTGATATACTTAAATTCCGTATTCTATTTTTTGTTTCAATGTTGGAGAATGGTAAGGATTTTCATCGCTGATTTTCACCAAAGAATGAGAGCTTCAAGTTTCCTAACACGTGCGACGACGCTCAAAGTCCGTCGGCTGACTCCAGCCGGAATATTCCACCAATGCTTCAATCTTAACTCTCTTCACAGCATCGTCACTAAAGTGCATGCGTCACAGTACCTCTCAGATCCTTCAACTCGTATCAGGATATGACGCTTCAGGAAAATGGCTGAAGCTATTGCAGCCCTTGGTGTCATAGCTTCCGTCGCCCAGTTGGCAGACTATGGTTTCAAACTTAGCATCAAGTTGTACAGCTTCAGCGAAACTGTCTACACAGCAGACAGATCGATCAAGTCAATTTCAAATGACGTTTCTCTCACATCCACAGTACTCAAAGAACTATGTCAGATTATCGAGTCCGATGACGCGCACGTGGTGTCCGAGAATGCAATCCTGGCCACCAAGCAGACAGTTGATGAATGTCTGAAGATCTTTGGAGATTTGGATGAAGCGTTGAACAAGAGCTTGTCGAATATGGGAAAGCTAGAGAAGGGAGAGTCAGAGAAACAGAAAAAAGTGAATCGAGGAACGATGACATTTGAGCGTTTGAAGTGGCCATTCAAACAATCAAAAATGGAGTTGCTGAGAAGCAATCTTGATAGATTGAAGGCTTCTTTGACGTTGATGCTACAAGTTCTAAGTTACGCTCGAGATGTGTCAAGTCGGTACGTAATGCGAGCATGAGATGATCGAGCCCTGCTAACACAGAACAGAAAACAGGCGCAGTCGTCGCTGGAGTATCAGAGGCAAATGATCGAGAGTCTTGCACGCTCGGAACGCGCTATGAAGCGCAAGTACTATGCCCTCCAACATGCGCTTGAAGAACAGAACCGTCACGAACCTGTCATTCCCGCGATCAACGCATCAGTAAACATTACAGGATCTCGGGATGTCAATGAAGAGCCTCCTGATTACAACTCGGCTCCAGTAAGATCTTCGAATCCCGTAGGAGAGCTCCTGCTGTGCTTCAAACTCCTACACAGTCTTCTCGAATCTTCGGTTCCTAGTGGTGGAGTTTCTAGCATGAAACATGAAATCGTGACGCAAGCTCAGATGGCGATCCAAGACCTAGGAGTCAACAAGATCCAAAAGCAATATGGCGCACAATCTCTCGACGTCAAAGTTGAAGCATTGAAGACTCTGCAGATGCGTTTGAAAAATCTGGTCAAAGTTGATCACTTGAATGGGTTTGTCAGCGAGGAGATCGTTGACCAGGAGGAGAATTTTGATGCTATGGGCAACAAAATTGTCTCCTCAAAGAAGGCCAAGAAGCTCACTTCCGCCGAATTGCGAAAGAAGAAGAAAGAGCGCATGTCTCGACGAAAGCGAGGTGACGAGGTCTTCTCAGACGAGGAAGACGAGAACGACGAGGCCGGACAACATGTTAAGTACACAATGAGGGAGCGTGTTTTAGAATCTGAGGATACTGTCCGAGGCACTCTTAAGCCTGTTGAATCAAGCGGCCTAGCTGGTGAACGACCCTCGGACCTTCGGGTGAGGACCAGTAGCCGCGAGAGGGAGAAACTACCACGTTATGACGATAGATATGAGGAGAGACGGACATCGCACTCTATCTATTCATCATCGGACTCTTTACCTCTGCTTAGTAACCATGAGAAGGAGAAACTACCAGCATATGACGAGGGAGGTGCTGCTTCACTTCCTCCAACTACACTGCATCCAAAAACGTCAGATATTATGCAAGCTCAGATGCATGAGACAGTGGCAATCATGCGTCAACATGTCGCCAAAGTCAGCGAGCGAGGAGAGCGTCTGGATTCATTGCAAGATCACACGGACAGTCTTCAAATGTCCGCTCAAGCTTTCCGCCGTGCCGCCAACCGTCAGAGACCAGGGCCATGGACGAGAGCATATAGGGGAGTCGCCCAAAGCATCGCTAGTGCGGGAACAGCAAGTTATAAGTCGATTCAGAATCTCTCAGAATCAATTTATGAGGCTGGCTCTGTGTTGTTTGCTGAGCCCGAGGAAGATGAAGCTGAGCAGTCAGACATTTATTTGCCAGCTGCTGTAGAGCTGAGCGAATCAGACGAAGAACTGGAAAAAGATGGCAAGATCATTGATGATCTACTATCTCAGTGGACGACATTGCCTGCTCGCGGCCGAGGTAGTCCAATAGGGGACAATGCCTCATCCTGACCTTTTCCTCCGCTCAAGAAAGAAACGCGGCCCATATCAAACCATTCATATTAGAGGCTCGTTCGTTCACATTCGAATTCCTACATTTTGCGAATGTCCAGCCTGTCTATTGTCATCTCCGGTCAGGTCATCTGTCTCCAGTGCTCCAGTGGCGGATTCCTTTGTCAGATCACGTGCTCGCAATATTTCCATTTTGGGCAAGTTTCCAATCTCGGAAGTGGGACAGCAGAGTCGTATGAACATCATGGCACATCAATAATGGCGCAGTTGAGGTTCAATTGGCCTCGGAACCAATCACAGTCCCAATAGTGGGTGGGAAATTGTCCGTCATTTGAGGCTTGTCATGCGGGCTTACCTCCACGGTAGCTCTAGAGAATCAGCTTCACTTGGTTTGAATCCTAAGGAAGGCGTTTACAATACTGGAACCGTTTACCTTGGCAACAAAGAACGTCATGGAGACGGACCAGTTTATCCCATGCTCGAGCAAGAATATATAAGTGTAGCCAAAGCTGCCTTTTGTGTCTGCATCAATCTAGTCCATTGCCCGTCTTCACTTTCCCACATTTTCATCACCCAAACGTTTTTCATAATGCACAACATACTTTCACTCACGGTTCTGTCCATATTCCTCAAAGTCGGTGCTTGCTACACGCTTCCAGATACTTTGCTAGGTGATCACGCCAGTCACCCTCGTAGCATTATCTCAACTCGCAGCAGCAGTAACTCGTCTGACTGCACCTTCGACTTTTTCGATCAGCAGATTGATCATTTCGGTCAATACAATGGCACTTTCAAACAGCGCTACAACATAATCACTGAATTCTTCAAGCCTGGCGGACCCATCTTTTTCTTCCAAGGAGAGGAAAGTACAGAACTGGACTGTGTCGTAAGTAGCCAAACACTGAACTATTATCGAACATTGAAGTTAACTTGTAGACAAGAATTCGACAGTGTATTCGAGCTGGGTAAAAGAGCTCAATGGTATTGCTGTCATCTTGGAGCACCGATACTTTGGCGAAAGCGCACCATTCGGCGTCACAGATCCTACAGATCCAGCCCAGCTTCCCAAATTCGACTATCTGACTCTCGACAATGTTATGGCCGACGGTGCATATTTCGTCGAATATCTCAAGAAGAATATTTCAGGAGCCGAAGATAGCAAAGCAATAGTTGCGAGTGGTTCATATGGTGGCTTTCTCGCCACTGTCTTCCGACAAAACCACCCCGAAGCATTCTATGGCGCGATTGCATCTGCGCCCCCAATTGAAGCTCTATCCAACAAGACGACAGACACTGATCGCTTTAATTGGGGAATCTGGTTGAACAACGTTTATCAAGACAAATCTTATAAAGCTTCGCAAAATATCAAGAACGCATTCGCTGCTCTCGCGGACCGATTCGCAACCAACAACACTGATGGACTAAGGGAAGAATTGAGCCTGTGTACACAGCCAACCTCCCTCTACGATCTTTCGTTGATTAATGCTATTATATCCAACATCTATTCAGATTCTGCGGAATTTAATTACCCCATTTCTCGACCAGGGAGAAGTTCAATAGCAGCACCACTTGAGAAAGTAATTGACTTCGCACTCACACAGAATGATCCTATTCAGATCCTTAACGAAACGCTCTCCATGTGGTATGGTCCTCCTCCAGGTCTCGATTTACCATGCATCGATTGGGCAAATCCAAGTTTTGCACTCGCGGCTGTTCCATTGATCCAGTCGCCCATATTTACTTACCTGACGTGTGAGTTGCATCGAATACCTTCCAAGATCATTCCCTCTAACTCGTGATCACAGGCAAATACTTCCCCCTATTTGGCGCCGGAGACATGCCCAATGGTACCATCTTCCCAGCTACAGATAGCGGTCAATTTGGAATTGAAGCCTGCGATACAGTCTACAATCTGTCTACGCCCTTAGCAGAAGAGCTTCGCACCAAGTATCGATATACTCCTGCCGATCTCCGTAACTCGACCAGAATCATCTGGTCATTGGGACAGTATGACCCGACGAGTGGCTTCTCGCCAACCCAGCCGGGCATCAATGCTCCGGTCTTGACTGCAGATAGAAATGTTTCGCGGATTCTGTATACGACCGGAATGGCACACAGGGAGGATCTTTTTGCTCCCGATCCGAGCGACAAGGAGACTGTTGTTGAGGTAGGTTGATCTTTGTTGATTGTTTTGAAGCCTGGCTGACAGCCATCTCAGGCAAGAAATATTGAACTTGAGTCTATTAAGGGTTGGTTAGGATTCGACTGAACTCGGAAGCCTCACAGCGAAGCGGCGAAAGTAACGATGATGTAGTCACTTTGTTCTCACGTGGCTTTGTACGATAGTTGTGTTTATTTCTCGAAGAGTATTTCAATCAATGTGGGTCTCAGCTGTGGACATTGACTCTCTGCAACGCCCACCCGTCCTCTCTCCTTGCAACCCCGACCCTCCCGCTCATCTCACCAACTCTCTGCTCCTCAAATCTCTCCTCTACCTCCCCTCTTGCCTCGAATTTCTCCCTCTCAAAGCACATTCCCACCACTTCTTCAAGGCTAAACAGGGCATGCGCATCTCCTATTCCCGTCATTGCCACCAAGAACGCCCAGACAGCTATCACAGCACCACCGAGTGCGAACAGCATGTTGAACAACACCAACAGCCAAATCATACTCTTCAGAACTTTTGCAACGAGCAGCTCGTTTCGAATTTGTTGCTCCAAGACCGTTCGGCCGTCATATGCTCCTGCCAAAAGTGCCACTGCGAACCCACTGAACGAATTTCCGTACGAGAGTGCAAGCTCTGTGGAAGTATCCTGAACACCAGCTAAATCCACCAATTGTGCCAATCTCTCTTGTTGATACGACATAGGACCCAGAAAATTCCATCCCATCGTTCCGTTATTCGGCACCGCGGCAACAGAAGCGGAAGGGACAGTGCCGTTCACGTACGAATAAGTAACATCGTATGTATGAACCTCACATCTCAACACGAATGCGTAGCCTCCATGTCCACCATTCACCAACTCCGAGTCATTGGCCAGACTCGCACCCGCACTTTGCACCAAAGCCGCAGCACCAAGATAGAATGGATTGGGTGTCGTATGACCGAGACTTGCATTGTATCCGATGAAATCGTAAGCCTTGGTGAGATTCTGATCTGCGAAGACTCCGAGACCGAAGTTGTTGTGCATGCTTGTGTAGTTTTCGGGCAGCTCAGTCTGCGAGTCATAAGCGCTGGTATGAATTAAAGCAGTGGGTGTAAATTCCGGAACTTCGATGTTACCGCCCCAGCCTGAGCTACAATTGAAGATGGTGGCAGCTCCTTCTGGTGCCTCGAGGTTACACAGAGTACTGATAGCCTCACAGCTGGTTGACACTCCAATCGTTGTTGCTTTGTAGTCTGAGTCTATCGGGTTCTGACCTTGCCCCGGGCCTAGGATGAAGAGATCGCCTGTTGTAGCGTTGCCGGTCGAGACTTGAAAGACCTGGTTCTCGGTTGATATATTGTTGATTGTTTTGTACACTTCATTGCCGTTGAGCATACCGGCGGAGGTAACGGCTTCGAAGACGGTGCAGGGGTAGGCGAGAGGTGTGACTCCTGTGTAGTCTGTTTGTGCGGTCCAGTTCGCGCAGTCTGAGGTGAGTCCCTTGCCGAAGGTGACGTTTGGTGATGGAATGGCAGTTATCTTGTAGATTGAGACTGTCTGTGGTCGAGTTAGTCAAGTTCAAGTAGTGAACTGTGTTCCAAGCATACCTTTGTGGTGATATGCAAAACAGTGTCTACGATCACAATCAAAGTCCTGTCAACGTTAGTACTTTCAAATACTGGACAAGCGAAGTGGCTTACGAGATGATGACCGCTATCGAGTAGATGAGCGCAGATATCTTGAGTCCAGTCGAGTGTCTAGCTCTCTTTTTGCGAAACGAATATCTCAGAAAATTCCACCATGATCGCTTGTTGCCTTCCGAAAGTCCCAGGAGGAGCGAGAACTTAGCTCAGAGTAAGCAGATGCAAGAAAAGAGAGGAAGTCTTTACAGACCTGGTAAGGCGTAGGAAGTCGTTGCAAGCTTTGAGAGAGGGATATCTGGAATAATTTCCTCGATATAGGGAACAACGATAGTGTCATCACCGCACCAACCGATATGGGAGCAACAGTACTACTCCATGAGGCGATGAACAGGATTTGCGTAGCAGAAAAGTTGACATAGTAGTATGGTCCCTCATTTTCATTTGGCCCTGCTTGTAGGTCTGGAAACGAGGAGGAGTTGTCTGGTGTGACGCGGTAGTGGAAGATCAGCCAAAGTATAACAATCGAGAATGCGATCAGCGGAAGGAAGATGCATGCAAAGAGAAAGCTGATTGTCTTCAAGCCAACTCTTCTGTGACTGATGTACGCCGGAGGAGTCTGACTTGGTTCGATGAACTGGAGAGACTCGTAGGTGACTGCTTTGTTGTTGGTGTTGAAGTCCACATCCTGATCGCGAGACGAGGACGATTTCGACATTTTTGTTAGATCCCCACACCACAGTACCGTGCTGACCCCAGAAAATCTTCATGAAGATCAGAGGGGGCTGGAGGTTATATGGCATGGACTCCTTTACTTCGTACCGAGCTAACCTTACTAAATGCGCCCCTAGCCAGTCTTCCGAGCATAATTGCTGTGCCGCATCGTAGCATAATAGATGCCGATCCAAGATCTCAGGGGATCTTGAAATTCCAAAGAAAGATTGCAGAGTGCGCTAGAGCGAAAACGATTATCTTCTAACAATGCTTCTCGAGTCCAGAGCATATTCATCACAAAATACTCCTCTCTGCCCGTTGAGACATCGTGATCACCACGAGAACAGCGGGAGCAACGGCGAAAGGGTCAGGTTACTAATTTGAGAAAATAAGAGCTAAAGTTCAGGCGTTGATTCTGATAGGGCTGAACAGACGAAGTCCCGGTCGATCGTACAACTAATGCTGCTCAGCCGCTTCCGAGTACTGGGGTTTGATTGGCTACAATCAGAGAGCTGACAAGATCTATATTTTAAAAGCCTTTCTCCACTGAAGTTTGTCCAGACCTTGACGTACTATTTCGCCATCTGAGTTTGAGTAGAAGCTTTCACACACCATGCTTTTGTGTAAGCAAGACTAAATCCGGCCCGTTCAATATTTCTGCAACTTCCGTTTCCAGGTCGAGCCTGAACTGACGCAAGATCATACCCTGCTTTCCTCGCTTCCACCAACCTTGCTTTAAGCAGTGCGGCTTGAATTCCTCGTCCTCGATATTCGGGTAAAGTGCTGTCAGTGTATAAATGAGCTACTCCTCCTTTTGTAGTCTCAATCAGCGCCATGCAAGCTGTTCCTGCAACCTTTCCTTCAACTGTCGCAATGTATAGACTTGTGTCTGCACGCATTGAGGCAATACGGCCCAGAGTTTCGAGAAGCAATTCGGCTCTGCCTCCATCTCTATACCCCGCCAAACTCCAGCTTGGGAATTCTTGTGCTTGTTCAGCTGTGACGCGGGATATCTTGACACCGTCTTCCTTCACTTCCTTTAAATCATCATCAGTCAGAATTCGAACGTAGCTGTTGATGAAGTCTTTGATGACATATCCACGAGATTCCAAGACTTGGAATGCTGACGGATTGGCAAGCGGACAGAGACTCAGTTCTGTATTCACGCCGTTCTTCGCAAACAGATCTTCGACAGCGGCAAGGTCATTTTCTGAGACTGGTCCAGCTACCCCATATCCTGTGATTCGATTCAGCTTCCGTCCAAAAGAGGTCAAGGTGATTGCCGCTACGCCATGACCAATTGGCACCGTGTGAGATTTGTGATCAGGAAATAGTTGGGCGCAAACATCGATTTGGCGAGAAATATGGAGGATGTCTGCTTCTTCAAGGCGTTGAGCCATTTCTCGAGATGTGAGTAGCATCTTTGATGTCTGACGGCTGAGGGAACTTGCAATCGTGTGGGAGGATTCTTAGCTCCAGAGCATTGAAGTTGAAAAGCATAAGTGAACTCTACAAATAGTTTGCAAGAGTGGGATGAACAAGTTCTTGTCATATGAGTCACAATTTCGAAAAGCCGGCGTCGGAGTTCGTGCCGAATAATCGGTAGCGAATGCTAGATGCTGGTCTTAAAGTTATGTTGAAGTCCTGTTCTGGGTCTTTAATCATTGATCTGTGGAATAATTCTCATCTCTTTTGGCAGTAGCATACTCAGGAATTCGAACACAAGAGTATCCTTAAAATTTATTCAAAGGTGTAAACGACACACATTCTTGGATGGGTGCAGTCTGACAAGGCATATATCAGGAAAACAGATAAGGGCAGCTAGGTAGTGTTCAGTATCTGTGACTTCTTCGTTTCTTCAACATAATGACTCAGACAGATTTGCGCTAGCTTCTGTAACGGAAGAGCTTTTTTTGAGAGAGAGAGAGAGAGTTTTTGGCCATGGGGGAAATCAGCCACTTTACAGCACGAAAGTACAGTGGAACGTAGGACAATGGACTGAATGACGGGAAGATTGAAAGAGGAAAAGATAAAAGCTTCGATGTAACCAACTTCATTAACTTTTCCAACTATCGCTTCTGTCTCCTCCATACATTCCACGACCATTAAAATCCTTCTCCTTGCTCCGACATTCACTGCTTAACAAATCGTTTTTCCTCTAGCAAGTTGCCAAACGGGGCTACGAGAATTAGCTTCATCATGGAAACGGATCGTTTGACTTACCCAGATACGGCATCTGGATCGGGAGTCTTTGACAACGTCTTATCCATGAATGCTTCTGGAACCAGAGATCCAGCTTGTGGGTTGTTTCCAAGCTTGGTGATCTGCCGGACATTAGATCATTCCCTCCGAGGATTGGCGACATACCTCAACAGCGTTGATATTAGCATTCAATGTGCTCGTCAAATTAATCTCAATCGCGACGGCGCTGGGGAGATTAAATTGCCTATACAAAGTACAGATTCGGTGTCCACTAGCGACAGCAGCGGCCGAAGTGAATTTTAGACATAAGTCGCGCAAGTGGTTGGTCGATCCAAGCATTGTTGGATGCAATCACAAGCAGAAGTGATGAGGGGGAAGGTAAGATCGACTTCGGTGACGACACCGGTGACATCAAAACCGGATGTATATCGGACACATCCTTTGTCGACGGTCTTGATACCGGGGCAGATGGGAGTAAGTCCAGTGCTTGCTGCACGAGGAGTGACTGAAGCAGAGGCCAGAGAGAGGAAGGCGAGGACAGCAGTAGGATATTGCATCTTGAAGATTTGAGTAGTAATTGAGAGGAGTTGAATGTGTGTGATGAAAGAAAAGAGTATGCGAAGTACGTCTATACATATACTTGAGTATTTTGACAGTACGACATATACTCCAACTAGATGTCTGATGAGACAACGTACATCTCCACATTTCTCAGCCTTATGTCTTACAGGGGTAGAGTGAGACATGATTCTAAGCTGAAATACCCCTTCCTGGGAACTCTCCCCTGTGGGCTTGACACTTGGCTGCTGGATGACAAGCCACTCGTACCTTTTGATTTGTTGAGACTTAGAGGGACATTCAAGTCTCTCATCAACCACTTTTAGCAAAACCCCTTGCAGTGGTTTCCACAGCTCATTTTGGGCCATTTCTAGACGTAAAAAATTACTTGGAGTAAACTTCTAAAATGGAGATTGTCGAGAAGGTGGGGGGTCCTCTTTTTCAGGGATCAATACTGATCAATGGTCAGACAACCAGACTTTATAGGGCTGACTAGGGCTGACTAGGGCTGAGAATGGGTGAAAGTAAACATTCAGATTTTCAAAACTTGTTGTCTGAATGCCAACGAAAGTGGACCTGAACTACAAGACATTCTTCGTATTGATCCTGTCAGCCAGGGACAATGAAAACTGAGTTTCCACTCGCTGCTTTCAAGCCATTTATCCACATTGAATATCACGCTCAGAATCGTGCATGCAAGCTCGTTCGCTATTCTTCCAGGTTTTTAGCTCGGGACAATCAAGAGTAGAATCCCAAAAAAGACCACTTAGCAAAGATTCAAGTCAATTAATTGTGCTTGCAAGTATGATTCTGCTGTACTCTGAGCGTGTAATAAATGAGAACCACGTGCATTCAACCATTTTCTCTGACAGGACAAGAATATATCGAGTAGGGATAGGAAAAGAACTTGCTGCAGAGTCGCTCGAATCGCCACCACAATCACCCATGACTGTGAGTTGTTATTCTATGGCTATGAGCTCGATCGAATCATAGGAATACGTTTCAAACCACAAGGTAAGCTTACCTGAAACAAGAAACCAGCTACGAAAATCATTGACTGTGATCAACTCAAGGTGCATTCGCTTAGTCCAAGCTAATTTTCCACATCTCCACACAACAATTGAATGGGGAACAAACTTTACGGGCAAGAGAAATCTAGCAAATCGATGGTCCAGCACAAGCTTTTGCGCGTCTCCAAAAAGGAAAGCAAAAACGTCAGAGGGAGAACAGCGTGGCCCTCACTGCCATGTCTCATCTTCAGCCCCGCCAACCTTTTACAGCCACATCTCCATTGTGCTTCATAAATAAGTAATGATAGACTTGACCGGTTAACCCCGACTTTCAGCACTCTTTTGTCTCAATTATGTCTGAGCCCGAGGCTTTCTTGATTAGTTTGTGCAATGCACTCCGGGGTTCTTACCCAATGGGAAGCTTGGTCTTACAGAGGGCCTCCACTATTCCGATCCATCCACTCTTCATTCTACAGCGCGGTTATTGATCTTCGTTATGTTTTCGAATGTCCGAAGAGAGTTGGTTGATTCGTCCAACCCTTTCTCCTGTCGCTTTCCGTTCTCCTCGATTTCTGTCGTCATTCAACGAGCTCCATCGAGTGTGATAAACAGTACTGGTGATGAACAAACTATTTGCCTGAATCGCCCATCGAATTGTGATATGAACAATAGTGTGAAGTTTAACCAGCCAGGCTCGATCTCTAGTAAGTCGCCTTCCGTTCTGCTTATCAACTCCTCATTCACGTTAAGGATGAGAGCCACTGAGTCGACGAGCAAACGGAGAGGTCTGGATCCTCAAGAGTCGTGATTGCTCAACTGAGAACTGATTTCTGCTTAGGAAAACTCCATAAATCCATCTGCCAAAGCAAACTTGAGTTCAGGCACCAAAAACCATGACGACTTTTCTGCAGACTTTGGCGATCAGGTCACAATAGTAGAAGTCATCGTATCGATCTTAAAACTGCCTATCTATGACTTAGCATTAGTTAAGTTGGACGTCCCTCTGAACAAGAAGATGTGAATTTCGAATAAAACAGAACTGGCTTGCAGACCAGAGTTAATCTTCGTTGCTAGCAGCTAGACACTTTGTCTTCCACTGAGACCACCAACATGAATAGTAAATAACCCGCAGTAGAGGGAAGGACATCTTTATCTCCGGAAATATTTATGATCATCAACGTTTTTGCTTCAATGTCCCGGTGAGATGAGAACATTGAGGTTTTGTTTGCTTTGATCAGCATTCACTTGATGTCCTTGGAAGTGTCACAAAACAATTTCCAAAGTGAGCATCTACCTAGTCATTATTTAGGACGGAATGATTCCGCGCCTTGCATCCTGCACGCTTATGCTAAAACTGAGTAAGCATATGCGATCTCCACAAAGGAGATAGCTGAAGGTTTGGAATCCAGCTCGTCCAGATGGGACTGTTAACCGGGCAGAAGGTTTGGGTGCTCGGCAGACCACGGGTATGCTTTGCATACCCGCTATCAAAATGTGGATCATCCAGTACCGATGTGGTCTTCATCGGGATAAAAATAAATTGAGAGGCGGGGTGCGCTCTGCATGTGCATGCCGAGAGATGGGTTTGTCCAAGCTCGAACATTCTTGGAAAACGCCCGGAACAGAAGCCGGCAGTAATATTCCAGGAGTGGTCGGAAATTATAGCATTCGTAATTCCCCTCGAATTCCTAGTAGATGGGGGGTCTCAGAGTTGTCAGAAGTGTAATATGTAGGAGTGAAAGCATTTATGTACGGCATGTTCAGAATCATCAGGAATGGTGGCGGGAGAGAGTTTCAAGTTAGTCGGCTAAGTCGACGGCTTTGCCGTCGACTTAGCCCGACCCAATGATCGTTGAATAACGTTACTACTTATTTCATCTACTTAAATAAGCATTGCTCGCTTAAATAAGGCACTTTGGCGGAGTGGTTAACGCGATGCCCTGCTATAGTATCCCACTAAGTCAGGCATTTCCTTCGGGAGCGAGTGTTCGAATCACTCAGGTGTCGTTTTTTGCTACTTGCAACAAAACTTTTCCTGGCTACTGCTATGGCGATGCTTCTGTCCCTTTTGCCGTGGCAGTGTAAAGTTGGGGTGGTTTTTTTTTGCATTTCCTCCGGGAGCGAGCGTTCGAATCACTCAGGTGTCGTTTTTTGCTACTTGCAACAAAACTTTTCCTGGCTACTGCTATGGTGCAGTGCTGACGCCTCCGTAGCAAGCTACTGAGGCGTCTTTCCCGTTAATGTGGGTTGCTGCTTTCCATGCATGGCCGGCACTAAATAGACGAGTACGTACGGAGGGGAGGTATTCTAGTAGACAATGCTTGGAATGCCTAGGTATATGTTGCTATATAAAATTATCAAGGGCGTGTATCATGAATGTACAGGAGTAGCAGAAGCTCGCAGTATTTTAACGAGACTGTGAGTAAATTGAAGCAGAACGCTGATTGTCCCTCCAGCGACAGACTTCTCGTCCCGGCCCCGCAAGCATTGCAACAACTCCAACCCCTTTTCAAGCAACCACTTTCCCAATCTTCCAAACAATCATGCCCTTCATCATCAAACCCCAGAACCTTCCTCGCAGCTTCCCATAGACAAAAATCCAACTTTTGGACCCCTCCAAAACCCTGACCCCTGATCTCCCAAGCGAGACCCCCAAAACCCCAGTCTCCGTACCCCACCACATACGTCACTGTGCGACCACACATCTTCAATCCCTGAATACATGCCTCAACAGCAGGTTTGATGCGCTTATGAGGTATGAGTGCATTCCAACATAATGATTATAAGAATGCAACGCTGAGAAGGGAGATCACCTTTTTTTGTTTGACATACACGACTGAGTTACATTGCGCAACACACGCCTCTTTTAAACGCACGACTTTTTTTTAAGCACAAATATCGAATATCGTAATGGCAGGCTTACTCGGAGGCGGTGGGAATAATGGCGGGCTTCTTGGAGGTGGAAATGGGAATTGTGGTGGTGGGTTACTAGGCGGGTATGTATCGCATCAAACATGCTACGATATGAAGCTGACGATAAATAGATTGCTAGGAACAGTGGATGATACGACAAAGGGGCTCCCTATCATTGGTGCGATCACATCACCTCTGCTCCAAACAGTCGGAGGAGTAACCGACCAACTTCCCATCGTAAGTTCTCCCAATGCCCCAAGAATTGAGAAGGACTAATGTATTTGGTGAACAGGTCGGCTCAGGCGGTCAAGGAAGTCAACAGCAGCAGAGACAGCGACAAATGCAAATGGCGCAAGCGCAACAAGCACAGATGATTCAGCAGGCGCAAATGGCTCAGCAATCAATCCCAGCGCCCAAACCAGTCTTGACCGAAGAGCAGAAGAAGGCCAAGGCGTTGGCGAAGAAGAAGAGGCTTCTTGAGATCAAGAAACAGCAATTGGCACTCGAGGCTGCTGAGCTTGAGATGAGTGATTAGTGTGTACTATATGGCGAACTTGGAGTTTGGGTCCTGTACCAACAGTACGATTATGAATGAATTTTATTGGTGATACCATCACCAAACAAAAGTCTCCTTAACCAAATCCTCCGACAATTTCCACAGCCTCTCCGCTTCACTATTCGACACCGCCCTCGAGCCCGCCTTCTCACTAATCTGACAGTCCATCATATAAATCCCATAATTCTCCACCCCATCCTTCGTTCCCGGCATCCCTAACTTCGGATCCGTCGCCGCTACTAAACTCGTCGCTGCCCCGGCCCCCAACGTCTTAAAATGAATCATCCCACTATCCCTCATCTCCTGAATCGCGGCCCTCGTCTCAGGCGCCGCGTACCTTCCCAGCTCTGTCTGGATAATCCCCGGATGGACCGCTAGACTTAAAATTCCGTGTTTCTCATACAAAAGCTTGTTCGCCGCGATGCTAAATAGGACGTTGGCTACCTTACTCTGATTATATCCTTCGAGCGGGAGATACGATTTCTCCTCTGGATCGACCTCTCCCCACCGTCGATGCATCTCGTACGGCGGCTGCTCCGCTTCGGGTAGGTCTTTATTCGTCTTCTCGAAATTGATATCGCTCCATCGCATTCCTGCTACTGTGGGTGATAGGGAGGTGACGTTGACTATCCTAGCTCCTTTGATAAGTTTCGACATGATCAAATTCGTGAAGAGGAAGTGCCCGATGTGGTTAGTGGCGAATTGCATCTCGAGACCATCTTCGCTGAGCTGTCTTTCGGGAAGGTTCATTACTGCGGCGTTGTTGATGAGGATATCGATGGTTGGGACGTCGGTCCAGGAGAGAAGTTCAGCGGCGGCTTCGCGGACGGCTTTTTGGCTTGAGAGGTCGAGTTTCAGGGCGCGGTAGTTTACCTCTGGGTATTCTTGTTTCAGGGCGTCGATACAGTCTTGGATTCGAGAAGGTGTTCGGCCAGCGATGATAAGTGTAGAAGGTGATTGTGAGGCCTGTGACGTGTTAATTCGTGCCTACTTCGGTGGAAATGACACGTACGAAAGCTTGAGCTGTTGAAAAACCGATGCCTCCACGATTTACACCTGTGACTAGAATTGTTCTCTCTTGGATTTCTCCAGCAAATTTCTTAGCGACTTCCAAGCTCTCAGTCGATTCACTGAATTCTGGATATGTGGTGGACGTCATTGTGTCTGCTGCCGTGGTGAGTGTATCGTACGGCAATATCAGGAGAGTTTCTGGGGTACCAAACAAGATTGAGTTGCTCTGATACTAGAAGGTTTGTCAATTCAGTTGTTGTCAACCGAGATGTTCAGAGGCGTGATATCGAACTTTTCAATGAGAACTGTCGTACCATCATCCGATACGTCCGTTTTAAGTCCGCAGGTAACGCAACTGGGCGTGGACTCGATAATGTTCCGAGTCCGAATTTCACTATGTTTTATTGGATATCCGAAATGGTGGGATTTACTTAAAGTGCTGCGGGGTAGAGCAGATGATATTGCTAACACAGCAGGCTGTTGTATCTTCATATTGAATGGTAGAGTTTATTCACGTGGTCTAGCCAACTATTGTAGCTCACTCGAGCTGAGTTTCTTGCCAGCCAGGATTCGAAAACAAAACTCGACCGCCAATGCTTATCGACCTAAAACAGACTGCAAACTCTTGGTTGGACCGAAATGGGAACAGTGCTGCTGTGTACACACCCTCTCAATTTTAAGGGCTGACCACATGTCGGGAGGTCTTCAGTTTAGAAAGATTGGCGAGCGAATTCTGACTATCCACGCACCCAAGTTCTCTATCTGTACACCGCAGACACGCGACTCGACATACTCACATAGGGAGTGCGGGAGAAGTCCTTTCCGTAATCCGAACGAGAAAGCAAAGATAAAAATGAAAGTAGCACTTAAATAAGGACTCCAAAGGTTGATCCTCAAAGCACCCCTCTGTCCTGAGTAGAGAACTTCTTGTTCGACAAAATAAAACTTTGTAAGATACCATCTGAATTTGAAGACCTCTTGAGCGATTTAAAAAGAACCCAGCAAGGTCGCAGTCCATTACGAACACTCTGCTTGCGAAATATTGCTAAAGAGCAAGTAATACTTCGAAGTAGGAGTACATAAGTACTTTATGTCGATTGAGAAGTATTCAAGCTTGGCCTAACCTCACTCATCCAAATGCAGCGTTGAGTTTGTACGTCAGGTCCTCATGCCGATTATCCCGAGTCCGCTGATGTTGCTATTTTGTACAGACGATCCTTCAAGAAACAATATCGCCTCATCCTTAACAAGACTCTTATTTTTTCCGTGAGCTGACTCCAGCCGTGAGGACGTGGGGGTACAGAATTGAAGCTTTTGACATCGAACCACTTTATATTGCCACCAAATCCTTTGGGAACTCCTACGTGAGATGACTTTTGAACGGATGAATCTTGCCGTGGACAAGTATCTGAGAAAGCGTGGGGATGGCGAGTACTGTACTACAGCAATTAAATTGCTAGAAAAGACTTTCAAAGCTGCAGGATTGCAGATTGTCGTCAACTAAAACTTAGGGTCTATGGAAATGCTAATTCATCTTCGATACCGACATCGCAATGGAGAATCAAGAAACTCGATGCGAAACAAACAACGAAAGCGAACCTGGAGAAGGAAGGGAAGGCAAGGGCCGCTCGGCAAGATACCACATGGACTCTGCAAAGATCTTCGATGGAGAAAGAAGGATCTTCAAAGACTCAAGTACAGTAATACCCTCCAACGGCTGTACCTCCCTAAACCAGCCCTCCCTCACGTGACCGATATCAATCTCGGAAGGAAGCCCTGCTGCACGAAACCTCGATCACAAAAGCTTGGCCTCTGCAATGCCCAAATGCAGCACCCCCCCTCCAGAACAACGGCAAGGCCGACCGACCGACCGACCGATACCTGGTCTCTGGGAGCGAGGGCTTGTCTGTCTGTCTGCAGGTTGACGTCCCTCGTGGGTTTACGTAACGGTTTGCTTCCCCACAGTTTCGTTTGCGATAGGGTTGTTTAGCGCCGTTAGGGAACTCTAGGTTCATCTTCTCGAAATCTTGGAGACAGCAGGCAGATAAGTGGTGAAACAGACAAGCAAATCGATCGAGTTCATGTCGTGTTTCTTGGCACAGGAGGGAGCGTCATGGTCAGACAGACCTCGGATAGGATTTCCTGCAGAAAGAAAAAGTCAATGGTTTGGTTGACAGGATGTTCGCGGCGTATCGCGATAAGGATGGCAACCCTGACAGGCCGGGCGGGTGATTGGACGCCTCTGAGAAATGGCTTTGAGTAATTGGTTCGCTGGGGATGAGATGGGGTTGATAGAGAGAGATAAGCCTTTTTGAGGGGGCAAATTATTAGAGGTTCAGATACACCACGCGATGAGAGACGGAATGAATCCGTTTCTGAATAGTTTACGATTGAGAGTGAAATAGATCGAGGGGCTGGATGAGGAAGTTTTAAGCAGAATAATGTTGTTTTGGCTGCGAGGAAAGACAAAATATGAACTGAACTGCGAATAAGAACTGGGGGAAAAGAAGAAAGGAACAAAAGGGTGTGTTCTTCTGTTCCATCTCGGCGATTCTGGGCCAGATACACAAGGTCGGGTTCAGGTTACACATACCCAATGAGGACAAGACGCAGATAGCTGCCGTCCGACCCTGCACCAACGAGGGTCCTGGTCTTGAACATGGTCCGATGTGCAGTGTGCAATGCGGGCGAACGCGACAGCTACCACTACTATCAATGTGCCCGATGATCGCGCGCCTTGTCTTATAAGTATGTGACGTCCACCACATCTCCCAAAGATTGAGCGACGACGATATCGTCAATTCCCCTCATATTGGTACAAACTCATACAAGTACGCAAACTCAGGATGAGCGACGCCGAGTTGAAGAAGAGCCATAGTGGCAAGAGTCATCCCGACTTTCGCAAACCATCCGTGACGACTGTTCTCCCTCAAGGAGATGTTCCTGATCTCGAGGGTCTGACTGCTGATGAAGCTGCATTGGTAGCGCTTGGTTATAAACAAGAGTTCAAGAGAGAATTCTCCCTATGGACGACATTTTGCGTCTCCTTTGCCGTTCTAGGACTTCTGCCTTCCTTCGCTTCCACCTTGTACTATGGAATGGGATATGCGGGAACTGGTGGCATGGTATGGGGTTGGTTGATTTCTTGGATCTTTATCCAATGTGTCGCCATGGGAATGGCAGAACTGTGCTCTAGTATGCCAACTAGGTATGTTTGATGTGTTCAGAACATGGGAATATTTACTGATTTCGATACAGTGGTGGATTGTATTACGCTTCGGCAGTCCTTGCACCTCCTGGATATGGTCCATTGGCAGCATGGATAACTGGGTGGTCGAATTGGTGCACCCAAGTTACAGGAGCTCCATCTGTGGACTATGCCCTCTCAGCCATGATCCTCGCCGCGGCCTCGATCACACATCCCGACTACGTCCCAACAGACTACCAGACTTTCCTTCTCACTGTGTTCATCATGATCATCCACGCTTGTATATCAAGTATGCCAACACTCTGGATCGCCAGATTCAATTCATATGGCTCCACATTGAATATGATCGCCTTGGTCGTTGTGATTATCATGATTCCAGCGTCAGTTACTGGAACAGATACCACGCCAAAGTTCTTCCCTTCCAAGCAGGTTTGGTCCATTCAAAATGGTACCGAGTGGCCTGACGGAATTGCCGTTCTCATGAGCTTCATTGCCATTATCTGGACTATGTCAGGATACGAGTAAGTTTGATATTCCCCTCGGGACTGGTGACAGTTTCTCGTGCCTCCCAGAAACCCAGCTAACAGCGCAAAGTGCTCCTTTCCATCTCAGCGAAGAATGTAGTAATGCTGCCGTTGCATCTCCTCGTGCGATTGTGATGACTGCTGGTATCGGAGGTATCATGGGCTGGGCTCTTCAGCTGGTGGTCGCATACACAGTCATCGACATCACAGCCGTGATCGGATCGGACCTCGGACAACCATGGGCTTCATACCTCATTCAAGTCATGCCCCAGAAGATTGCTCTCGCAGTCCTTGGACTTACAATCGTGTGTGCGTTCTCAATGGGTCAAGGTTGTATGGTTGCCGCATCCAGAGTCACGTTCGCATATGCTCGTGATGGCTGTTTCCCTGGATCCTGGTGGATCAAGAGAGTTAACAAGATCACTTACACGCCAGTGAATGCTGTGTGGTTCAACACAACAATTGGCTGCTGTTTGTTGTTGTTGATCTTCGGCGGCCCTGTAGCAATCGGAGCCATCTTCTCGGTTGGAGCTATTGCCGCATATGTTGCCTTCACTATCCCCATCTTTATCAAGACGTTCTTCGTCGGCAATCGATTCCGTCGTGGCCCATGGCATTTGGGCAAATTCAGCAAGCCGGTCGGAATGATGGCTTGTTCGTTCATCATTGTGATGATGCCGATTCTATGCTTCCCATCTGTGAGAGGAGCCGATCTTACTGCCCAGTTGATGAACTGGACTGTTGTCGTGTATGGTGGACCGTATGTTCTCCATCCCCACCCTCATGTGTCTCGCTAACAGGATCAAGGATGACGCTGGTGACTATCTGGTGGTTTGCATCAGCACACAAATGGTTCAAGGGTCCTGTCATCAATGTTGAAGTACGTACCTCCCATAACACCATCACCCCGATGAGTACTAACAGGCTTAGCATCATATGCTCGGAAGAGGGGACGCCGTTGTTGATGGTATTGAGCACAGCTCTGATAGCGATGCTGTTATTGATAACAAGAAGGCTCTAGAAGGCGAGACTCTGCCGACTACGGAAGTGAGGTAAAAGGATGTACAAATGTTGATTAAAGGCGACTTGCTGGTACAGAGATCTCTCGTTTGTATGTCTAGATGATACCTTATACAAAATGAACTATGATCATGCTAAAGACGAGGGTTATCCCTAAGACGATGCAGGTGACAAACTCCATGGTGATATTAAGAAGTTGGCTTGAGAACGAAGTATGAGAGAGTACAGGATCTGGGATTTTTAAAAGGACGTCAGGACGACATGGCCTGGTGTATCCATGCTCTTTAACAACAGTCACAATCCTGCTTCCCCTCTTTATCTTGGGATCGCCGTTATGGATACATGAGGGATTTTTGACGATGCTGCCGAGTTGGTAAAGTATCAGGAAATAAATCGCTCATTGCCAGCTATCACGACTTCGAGATGCGATCTGCGCTAGTGAATACGACTGTGGCTGTACCGCATTGGCATTGAATGAAAAGTAGCGTTTGAATGGTGGAGAATGCTTGGAATTAGAGAGTAGTCAAGAACAGACCTGATATCGACGGGAGAAGGAAAGACATATGTTGAACCAAGCGCGTAGGGTCTGGTAGATTCGCGTAGGATAACTTTATCTGGACGAATGTGCCTGTGTGAATATAAGAAATGTTAAATAGAACTGGATTGTAATTGTTGAAAGAAATAGAAATGGCGTGAATGGTCGTGATTGTTTGGAAGGAGAGGCCGACGAGGCTGAAGCTTTTCCCGATTCGGCTATAGGGGTCTTCTACAATTAGGTATCCAACAAGATACGAACATTCAACGCCGCATTCCTCACAACATCGATGAGATAACACACATTCTTAACCATGGCTCCGCCAGCTCCAACAAATAAACCCGGGTCCCTTCTCTCCCCGTCGCATTACGATGACGACGCATCGAGCATCCACAGCGAGCGCAGCGATCAGGACACTGATAGCGAAGACGACGAGGTCCTAATGGGTGCCCGAACGAGCGCCGATATCAGAGCACACGATCGAAATGTATTGCTAGAGGAAGAGGAACGGGATAAATTGCTCGAAGAGAGTCGGCGACGGGGACGCAGAGGGAGTGCTCTCGTAATGCCAGCACCGCTGAAGAAGCTGTTCTCAAAGAGCTTCACAGAATTGCCTATGGCAGGGAGCTCAGAACAGGAAGAGATTCCTGCGGAAAAGAGCTCGGATAAGAGGAAACGGAGGAGAGAGAGGAGGAGCAAGAGGAAAGAGAGACTGATGGATGAGGCCTCGCATGGTGAAGATGGGGAATTGATGTACGAGATGGAAGAAGGTGGTATGAAGGAAGGAAGTGCTACTGGATCTAGCAGCGACAACGAAGGTAGCGATGAAATCGACCGACGCGGACTGCGGATATTACACGATGAGAAGTCACAGAGGAGACGGAGATGGAGGACCTGGTTATTCATACATTCGTTGATTGCTGTTGGGTTCTCGATTCTGGTATTGGTGGCCTGGAAATTGTCACTGCACAGGAAATCAGCCGTACCAATCCAGACGATGCTGAGCAATGGGACGGCTTTATTTGCACCTACGACGATTCTGATCAGTCTGGATGGATTTCGAGCAGATTTCTTGAACAGAGGAATTACGCCGAGATTGAACGCTTTCATCAAGGAGGGCGTGTCACCAGTATATATGAATCCGAGCTTTCCATCGGTGACCTTTCCGAATCACTATACCTTGGTGACTGGATTATACCCAGAGTCTCATGGCATTGTTGGGAATACGTTTTGGGACATGGAGCTCAAGGAGGAGTTCTACTATACAAATCCTAGTGCTATGCAATCGAAGTGGTGGGGAGGAGAGCCACTGTGGGTGACGGCCGAGAATCAGGGGATCAGGACAGCTATTCATATGTGGCCTGGAAGTGAAGCACATATCATGGCAATTGAGCCAGCATTTTTGGATGCATACAATGGTGCGGAGCCATTGTCGAACAAGGTCAACAGGATCATGCAATTGCTCGACATGCCAGGCCGGGAGAATGAAGTGGCCGAGGTTCAAGATATGAGACCTCAGTTGATTGCTGCATATGTTCCAAATGTGGATGGTGATGGCCATCTTTATGGACCAAACAGCACTGAGATCAGAGTGACAATCAATGATGTTGATAACATGTTGGACCATGTCTTCCAAGGTCTCGAACAACGAAATTTGACGAACATTGTCAATGTGGTTGTCGTTTCAGATCATGGAATGGCTACAACCGATGTCACTCGATTGATCCAGCTTGAAGATCTCGTTGACACGAACTTGATTGAGCATACCGATGGCTGGCCTCTGTATGGACTTCGACCTAAGGACCCGGCACAAGTACAGTCAATGTATGATGGTCTGGTTGAGAAAGCTGCCACGAATCCTAACCTTGATGTCTATCTCAGAGATGTCAATATGCCTGAGAGATATCACTTCTCGAAGAACGAGAGGATCGCTCCTTTGTGGATTGTGCCAAAGACCGGGTGGGCAATTGTGACAAAAGATGAGTTCGATGTAGTTGAAGGCAAGGAGAAAGGACTCGTGTACCACCCGAGAGGACTTCACGGCTATGATCATGAACATCCATTGATGAGGGCCATTTTCGTTGCGAGAGGGCCTGCCTTCCCCCATGCACCCAATAGTCGGGTCGAACCATTTCGTAAGTCTACATTATGATTTTTCCAGTTCTTTGCTTACCAATACAGAAAATACAGAGGTCTACAACATCGTATGTGACTCGTTAGGTCTCGTACCAAAGCCAAATAATGGCACACTTCGCCTGCCATTGAAGCCAATTGGTCTCCACTCGCCAGACACTGCACTCGAAGATCCAAATGATCCACCGACATCAACACCAACACCATCACCGACACCATCTCCATCCGCGACTTCAGAAGAAGAAGCCGCTGATGCAGTGATCTCCATCTCACCCATCGAAGCGAGCTCAGCAGCCGATTCCAACGAAATTCCACCTCACATGGTAGGCGTTGACCCCATTGACGACACGAATGTCGATAGACCAGTCGTTCCGGACGAGAGCGAGATGACGCAGGAGGAGAAAGACTTCTGGGAATGGTTCAAGGCTAAGCTTGACGGTTTGAAGGGATGGTTTGGAGAGTTGCTGAGTGGAGATAAAGATGCTGAGACGGGTGAGAGGAGGTAATATGTATATTTTCGATACCATTGACTGTGGGTTTGGCGTTAGCGTTGGCGTTTTGGGTTGGACCTTACTGGGAGGTTTGTCTTCCAAGTTCAAATGGATGAGCGAGTTCTTGAAGTATTCGTTCCGCACCCAGGTACTTAATATTTACTTCCTGGTCACCAACGCTGAGGAGTAACTTTTTCATACAAATTTTGCGCTTACTCCCATAGGCTCCAAGAGTTCTAATTCACTCATAGTCTGTGAGGTCTGAAAGCTGACCTGAGGTTCTACCGAGTTGAAGTCCGGACCGAGTGTCGAACTATGGGAAGTCTCCCCTAATATCATTCCAGACGACTCCTTTAACGCTTATCCCAAATACTCCTACTCGTTTCAGCTCTAATTCAACTAATTGGAACTTGTCTTGCGATACATCTTGTCCTTGATTCCAAATATACTGTGCGTCTTTCACTTGGCAGCAAGGACGTTTCAGTTCTGTGCCTCTACGCGTGGGGTGAGTATCCCACTCACACCTCTCGTACACTCATGGTTGGCGGATGTAGAATAACATGTTATCGGCCGTCAGATAAGCCCCAAATAAGGTGAGATAGTTGCCAGCCCTGATGTGGTGAGAGAACAGCCACCATAGTCTGCATAAGCGAGGATGACGCTGCTGCAAGATGTCCTTAATATATCCTCCGCGCAGTCAGCAATCCCGCTGTCGGGGTCGGCCCTCTGGCGGGAGTGGCTTCCGCGTAAGAGTAAGAAAATCCAGATCTTTGATTAGATTTAAATTCCCATATCCACTGTACTGCAGAAAAGTCTGGGTTAGTGACCCATTTCTTTTGTTTCTTTTCCTAGGTCTTTTCATTTTGGTAATTTTCTTTTACAACATCACTCATGTCGTCGCTATGTCTTCAACCGATAATCTCCTAGCAAACGCTCAGCCAGTTGGTTTTGCATGTCCAGAAAAATGTTTAGTTCGAACCTATGGATCGTGCAATGACACTCGCTTCTATCACAACGCATCAAACACCAGCTCCACATGGAGTTTAGCTAGTACACGCTCAAGCATTAACCTCGACTACGAAAAACACCAACTGGGCCAAAAGAAAGGCATCCACCGTCTACGAGCCTTCCGATACAGAATCTTCTACATATCCCGAAGAATTTTCTCAGTTGTCCTGATAGCAAACCTAATCCCCTTACTCGTCATTCTATCATCTCCCAAAGAGAAGCGACTAGAGAGGTTTGCCATCGCAACATCAGCCAATATTACCGCATCAGCCCTCATCCGGCAAGATCACATCGTCAACCTCCTCTTCGCGATCGCCTGTTCAGTTCCTACATCAGCACCTCTGTGGATCCGTCGTCGATGCGCGCAGATACACCATATAGGCGGACTAGACCAGGGGCTGGGCATCGCAATCATCTTCTGGCTCTCTGCGTTCACGGTTCTTGCTACCATGCAACACGCAGCTACATCAGTCTTGGTCATAGCATACCTGAATCTAATCCTCCTGCTAAGCATCCTGCTTTTCTCCCGTCCAATTTTCCGCCCTCTCTTCCGCGGGCATTTCGAAACTACAATGCGGTTCGCGGGTTGGACTTCTTTACTTCTCTTTTGGATTAAAGCAGGGCTTTTCGTCTCGTCTCGTGCTGGGCTGGAACCGGTTTCGAAAGCGCTGCTAAAGAGTCCGAGTATATGGCTCATGACGGTAACAACGATCAGTATCCTCTCCACTTGGTTTGAAGTCCGCAAAGTTCCAGTCAAAACATACATCCTCTCTCCACACGCCATTCGTCTCGATTTCTGCGCCTCCTCGCCACTAGGGAAAGCTGTTCCTGGGACAGCAGTCAGGATATCTTCTAGTCTTCTGGGCGAATGGTACACCTTCCCCACAATCGCGCAGCCGGGACAAGAAGGTTTCTCGGTCATAGTAGCGAATCCCAAGGGTTGGGCGGCGGGCTTAGTCGCGAATCCGCCTACGGAGCTGTATATCCGCGGCCTGCCGACGACGGGCTTTATGCGTGTGATTCCTTTGTTTCGGTCTATGCTGCTAGTAGTAAGTGGGAGTGGCATCGCAGCTCTGCTTCCGCAGCTTTATGCGCTCGATTATGCGATGCTTTGTGGGAGGGATATGAGGGCCATGCCGAGGTTGAGGATCCTTTGGAGTGCGGAGGATCCGGAGGGGGTGTTTGGGAGGGAGGTAGTGGAGTTGATACTTAGGGTTGATCCGTGGGCTGTTATTTGTGATAAGAGGGGTTTGGGGAGGCCGGATATGTTGGGGACGGCGTGGAGGTTGGTGAGGGAGAGTGGGTGTGAAGCGGTGGGTGTTGTGGGGAGTCAAGGTTTGGTTGGTGAGGTGGTTTATGGGCTTGAGAGTAGAGGTGTTCCTGCTTTTGGGGCATTGTGGAGTTCCTGATTTTGTTGAGATACCCAATTTTAGAATTAGACGTAACAATATCAGTATAGATACTCAAACAGGGTCCTCAAGTTTTGAAAATGTCCGAGAGTTGTGTCTGAGTATGATTGCACGAGTATAATTGTAAAACGAGAACAGGCTGTGCGGTTATCGTCGCCCTAGCAGAGGGATGACATCCCCAATTGATTGGAAACGCATCTGCAGTTTACCTAATGTTGTCAAACACAAGGCGCAGAAGTAGTAAAGGGAGCCTACAGTAGTTCAAGGCTGTGCAGACACTTTCGGAAGGTGGGCGTTCTGGCGAGGCTGAGGCTGAATCATGCACCTCATGATCCACAAACTTCCTCACAATTACATCTCAAAGTGCAATTTCAACATCTGAAAAATCTGTATAACCAAAATCAAAATGGCTGGATACGAAAGAGTCGGAGACTTGATGACGAAGCATCCTGAAGTTGCAACATTCAAACGCTTCGACTTCCTGAACACACTGAATATTTTATACCTTCAAGCCGAGTTGGTCCATCTTGAACAGGAGTTGAGGGAGAGCATGAGAGATGATCTCGAGTTCAGGAATGAACCGACTATCAATAGCTCATTTGGAAGTCAAGACGAGATTGAGACTGCGGAGGTCGCAAATATACAGCACGATGTGGAAAAGGGAGCTCCGTCGATAACAGGACACTCAAAGGTAGAGTCTGAAATCAATGTGAGATTGGAGTCAACTCGGGATTGGTATTTTCTGGCAAACTCGGAAGAGAGTCAAACGTGGGAGGTTATGTTGAAAGCCCGAGAAAAGCTCAAGGAATATAGTCCGACTTCCCTGGTCATTGCGGGGTCATATCTGACCGTATTCTAGATGAAGCAGTACTTCGCCATAAAGAGATGATGCATCAGGACTCACCTAACAAATGCGACGTCGAATTTCTGCGCAGATGGTTCAAAGATGAGAAGATGGGAGACTTTCCGTTGCGGGGAGACGACAGTGAAGTGTGGGAAACGTCCAAAACATCCGAACTCATCGCATTCAGAGCCAGGAAAGCTGAAGACCCATTGAGCACCTTCTTTCTTAGAAGAGTATATCTTTGGTGGCACCACTGCATCGGCCATCGATTCAAAAAGACACAGAGTGAAGAGGTTCGATACTTCGAATATAGAGATCGAAATATCCTTCGAGTGGCAAACTTCCTGAGCTCGATCATCTCGTCTGCATTGTTCATGGCTGCGATATTGACTTTGTATTTCGTGACCAACCAACTGGCACGATTGGGGATCATAGCTGCATTCACAACCATCTTCTCATTGGTTCTGGTACTGGCGACCACTGCAAGGAAGATCGAAGTTTTTGCTGCAACTGCGGCGTAAGATTTATCCTCGTTGACTTGGTCTTTTGCTGACGAGAGATAGATTTGTTGCAGTGCAGGTGGTTTTTATAGGAAGCACCTCGAATCCGGCATGAGGATGTGAAAAGAGTTCATGAAAGAGAGTTACGGCGCAGCAGAATGGTGAACGTATAATATTGTATATAATATAGATGGGGTATCATGCCTCCCTGAACTCCCGAAAAAAATATACCCAAGCGACTACGTAATAGCCGGCACTAGTATGCGCTAAAGATTTCCATATGACAAGAATTTTGTCCGTTCCTTCCTTTCCTTATTGATACATATTTTTCATCGTGTTGTATTTCTTCGTGATGATTCGCTGTTCCCATTATTCCTTGATGAGCTCGCATTTTGGTTCAGATCTTCGCTTTTGACTTTCTTTCGAACTATTGGCAGATGCTTCCGTTTGTCCTTCTGATCCTTCCTCGTTTGCTTTTGCTCAGCATCTCGTTCTTCTTGCTTCTTCTTTTCCTCTGGCTGATATTAGTAATCCCTCTAAGTCTTCGCACTGTCATGAGTGCTTACCTGCAGTCTGTTTTGCTGCCGCTAATCCCAAGAACACTGAGGCATCTGATGATTCTCTCGGCTTAACCAGTATACCGTACCTGACACTGTCTGTCGCTCCCAGTACCATATCGAATGGGACATCATCTCCAGTTGCAACCAGAAAGACTGCTCGGTATCCCCGAACACCTCCTACGCGTTCGAAAGCTAGACTCGTCATCCCGCTTGTCCTCATGGGCTGTCCATTGAATGCGACGAAATTTGCAGCGGATTCGAGTGGCCTTATGTGAGCACCGAGTCTCCAGACTATACTCTCCGAGACCCAATTTGACCTCTCACAACCCGAATCAAATTTTATGGTGCAGGCTGCGGTTTGGAACGACGGCATCATGGCGTCAGGATCATCCCATCGTACATTGACGTCCCACTGAAAATCGCTAGCCTATGTCACCAGTCAGCAAAGTCCATGGCCATGGCATGGTATACCTACACTACTCGACGGTGGACTGCTGCTATCACTTGTGTATCGCCTCCGGGGATCTGGTCCAGCTCCGCCGAATTGTTCGAAGCCAGTACTCCGACGAAAGATTGGTTCAGGCATGCCGCTCTCGTCTGATTTCGGGCCGGTGAAAACACCATATGTCGCAGATCGTCGAGGCGTCTCTCCAGTGTAACGATTCTCCATCTCGATATCTCTTTGTTCATATTCTTCACCTGCTCCATCAGACCTGGATCTGTCGGAATTATAGCTGGCAGTCGATCGTCGCTGTTCCGGTATCGAATCTGCACTCGCCATGCTCGCTCTGTTGTATTGTTGCCAGTATAGATTGTTCCTCATATCGCTGGCTTGGTTGTTCTCTAGCGCATCTCGATACCGCCTGTGTTTGCTATTCGACAGACGTTCTGACTCTCCAGCGCACCTGCTAGACCTTGGTGACACAATCTGCGAGATCGGCCGCTGCTGTGGAGCGCTTTTCTGGTCGCCAAGGGCATCTTGCCAGTTCCAACCTGCCAAACTTCCATTTGCAGAAACAGGCGATGGCAAACTTGTACCACCATTCAATAATGGGTTGTTTTCATATGGTAGTTGCTCAGGTTTCGCTGGCTTCTGTGGCCGTGGATATTGATTGACGACGTTGATAGGCTCCTCCACGTAGTAGTTATCGGGAGCATAGGAGGGATTGCCTTCGAATTTGCGAGGTAGGTTAAGAGGATAACCGTACTGGCTGGGCAAATTACGAGAATCATTTGATGGGAGGGGACCTGCTAATCCTCTTATCCCTTGCTCGTCGGTTGTGCTCGTATACGATGGTTGGAAAGACTTCGGGAATTGATCCGATCCTGATCGATTGCTCGTCTGATGCGATACTTGATACACCTGCGAGCCTGAGCTATCTGGCGTCGATAGAGATCGAGAGACGCCAGCTGGGTGAGGTATCGACACTTGAACGTTTGTCTCGCTCTTCGTTTCAGACGCAAACGTTGTCCGAGAAGGAGGATACGATGGCCTTGGAACGGAGCTTTGGACGTTGACGATACTGGATTCCGGGATGTCTTCTGTGTCCACGACCTTTTTCCTCTTAACGTTCAGCAAATGCATCCGACCTGATGCCATCGTGAGTGTTGTAGGTCAAGAGCTTTCGTCGTCGATAGAAACAGAGGTGTCGATCAAAGCATTTCCAGATGCTACGAACGCTGTGACACGATCGCGGCCTAGCATCCCTGGGGATGTACAGGGCCAGGCGCAGTGATGCCCGGTCCTGGGATTCACAGTGAGTGGGGCTGAGCAAAGAGGGCACGTAGCTCTCTAACGCGGCCCAGTGATAGGCTGTAGTACGCCGATAAGACCCCAAAGAGCTCGCGTGCGTCTTTTGAGCCTCAACGATTTGACATGTTCAAAGCTCGTCCGAACATCATTGGGTACCGAGTGCCACGTCTCACTTCCAAGGTTTACTTCAAGCTCAGAGCTCAGAAGAAATCATCAGCAAGCCCGTATCTTCACGGAGTTGAAACAATTGACAACAGCACAACCTTTCTCCCGCCTACGAGTTTGTTCCACGAACGAATCAATGAGCTGGACGAGGCTCGCAAGGTGACGCTCCGATCCAAATCGGAAGATACCGTATGCGAGCGCAATATTGATTTTGGCTGCGGACGCCTTGGAATCAGGGCTGACAACGCCCTGTCTGATTGTGAAATGCCACGACCAACAAATCATGAGAGACCTTCTCGGTGTGAGCTGTAGCCTGGCGTCGAGCGGCTCGGCGACCCTTTCACATCAGTACAAATGTCTAAGTATTCGCTCATATGATTCATTCCTCCACATTTGTGCAACATCTGCTCAGCCTTCTCTCCCGCTCTTCATTTCATCGTGCATCTCTGCGAGCCTTAAATCCTCATGCCTCCCATTGTTTTTCTAGATGTGACATCTTGCAAAGCGCACCTGGAGAAGTCGTATAGAAACTTCATAAGCCAGCAATGGCCCTTTACCAGCCTCCGGGAGAAGACCCGAACGCATTCGAGATGGTGTCTCAGAACTCCAGTGTCAATGACGATTTAGACAAACGGTCTAGGTTCAGACGATTTGTGGACAGTTTCGACAGACATCCAAGAAGTTTCGAACCGGATGCCGAGCTTACGCTAGCCCTCGACAAGAGCTTGAAAGCATACCACAGCCAATTGATCGCCCTTGGAGGTGCTATTGGGACAGGCTTGTTTGTCGGTTCAGGCGAGGGACTTGGCAATGCCGGGCCGTGGTCTTTGCTAGGAGCTTTCGCCTTTGTTGGCTTCACTCTTTGTCCAACGGTGTTTGCGCTGGCAGAAATGGCTACATTGTTTCCGGTCCCTGGAGGTTTCTTCGAGCACTGCAGGATGTATACAGATGAAGCTTGGGGAGGAGCAATGGGTTGGAGGTATGTTTAGCCATTCAAACAACCCTGTCAGATCTGACGATTACAGTTATGTTATTCAATGGCTTTTGACCCTGCCTCTCGAACTGGTCGCTGCTTCGATTACCTTGCAATACTGGAACAATCCCCTACCCCATGCAGCATGGGTGACTATTTTCCTTTTCGGTATCGTCATAATCAATGTCTTTGGTGTGAAAGGATTCGCCAATGTTGAAGCTACCTTGAGCATTGTCAAAGTGGTGGCCATCGTAGGATTCATGTAAGACTGTACATCCAATTTAGATATGACGGCAGCTAACATGCTTAGTGTTTTCGGGATCTTCCGTGATATTGGGCTGGGCTTCGACGGAAGGCCTATGTTAGGCGTTGACAAGCAACCTATCGTCGGGGTCAGGACTTGGTACCACCCAGGAGCCTCGACTAACGGATGGTATGGATTCTGTAGTGTGGTAGTGACGGCGGCCTTTGCATACTCCGGCAGCGAGATGGTGGGTTTGACAGCCGCAGAACAAGAAAATCCTAGGAGAGATCTACCGAAGGCTATCAAAAAAGTGTTTTGGCGCATTGGTTTGGTAGGTCCGCCTCCTCAGTAGGCATAAGTCTCTATTAACCTGTATACAGTTCTACATTGCTTCAATATTTGTTGTCGGTTTGCTTGTTGGCTATGATGACCCTCACCTACTGAGGGACAACAATTTCAACTCTGCAGCTTCGCCATTCGTCATTGCCATTAAGAATGCTGGGGTGCCAATTTTGCCCGCTATCTTCAACAGTGTGATCCTGGTAACGGTGCTCTCGGTCGCCAACTCCTCGGCCTATGGATCCTCTAGAGTTCTCAATGCCATGGCCAACGCAGGACTTGCGCCAAAGACTTTCGCGTACATCGACACCCAAGGTCGACCATTACATTGTTTCTATCTGGCTTTTACTGTTGGATTGCTATCTTATCTCTCTGAACTCACAGATGAGAGTGTCGTGTTCAATTGGTTGCTGTCGACAGTTGGTCTTTCCGTAATTTTCTCTTGGACCACTATCTGCGTTACCCATCTTCGCTTCCGCCAAGCACTGAAGCTTCACAACAAGGATTTGGATACGCTACCTTATCGATCACCACTCGGCATCATAGGTTCCTGGACAGGATTGATCTGCAACCTCCTCATCATAATCCTACAATTTGTGACTGCCGTACATCCAATCGAGCCGACAGTTCCATACACGCCTAGTCAACGAGCTCAACAATTCTTTCTCTCTTTCATGTCATTTCCACTGGTTTTAATGACATACATCGGGTTCAAATTCTTCAAAGGAACCGAGATCCACGGAATCAGCTTCTCACGAAGGACGATATTAACATTCAATAATGTGTGGGTCGAGTGGGGAGAGGGTACCAAGGTTGTGAACCTGAGAACAGATGTCGACTTCAGAGAGGCATGGAATTTGGGTGATTATATCAAATATGCGAAAGCCCATCCAGACTTGGTGGTCAAGGACGATCCGCTTTGGTTCGTTCCTCCCAAGTTGAAGCCATTTGTTAAATCTTTTGCATTTCCATGGTACTGAGGCCACAGCCTGAACAAAATTTGGTTGCATTTTAGCGCAGGGTATGATTTGGATGAATGCCATGAATGATGCCGGCCGGCGTGCATCATACGGTACTGGATGGGACAAAGGTTCGTGTACAATATCAGCCTAGGTAGACTCTTTCCACTACAAGGATCACTACACAGAAGAAGGTCAGTTAGATAATTTATGTATACCAATCTCAAGGCTACATTCCACTTATTCCAAACCCAAAGGATTCTTCTTCAAATACTCCTCCAACGTCGTCAACTTCCCCCTCGCCAACTCCGCTGTTTCAGCAACCTTTCCCACAGTATCCTTCCCATAATATCCAAAGTCCTGGATATACAACATCATCTGAGTAATATTATCAGACTGCACCTCATTCTTCATAAACCCTCTAAACACATTCTCCGGCAACTGCTTATAAACGACCGTCTTCCCACTCGCCTTTCCAATCGTCTCACAAATCTCCTCCATACTCAACACCTCTGTACTAGCACACAAAATCTTCCCCTCAAACTTCTCCGGCTCCGCAAGAATAGCACAAACATACTTCCCCGTATCCCCCGCCGTATCAATAAGCGGTAACCGCGTCTGCGGCGTCACAACATTAAACCAAGCCCACGTCCCGTCACCCACGGGATTAGGCTTCATACCGCCCTGAAAATTCGACATAAAAGATCCCGGTTGGAAAAACGCGCTCTTAATAGGAAGTCCGCGGACATACATCTCAACCTCGGCTTTTGCATCAAAGGACTGAACGCCCTTGTACTTCCCGCCCGCAAGCGTCGAAACGTGCGGTAAAGAGCTAAAGATCAGATACTGCACACCAGCAGCTACAGCCGCGTCCGCGATCGCTTTTCCTTGCCGCAGTTCGCGCGCGTAGCATTCCGCGTCGTAGGTCGTGGTCGTGACGGCGAAGACGGTGTGGGCGTCTTTCATGATGGGTCCCAACGAGGAGGTGTCGTCTGGGTCGCCTTTTATGAGCGAGACGCCGCGGGAGGAGAGGGATTGGGCGGTGGGTTGGGCGGGGTCGCGTGTTACGGCTCGGAGGGTGTAGGTTTTTGATAGGGTGGGGTCGGAGAGGATGGTTTGGATGAGGGAACCGCCTTGTTGGCCTGTTGCTCCGAAGATGACGAGGAGTTTGGACATTTTGGTGGTTGTTGGGGGTGTTGGAGTTGGGTTGAAGGGTTGAATTTTTGTAAAGAAACGGAATTGAATTTGAGGATTGATTCTCGATACTGAAGATCGATTTCAGGCTTTGTAGATAATCCACAAAACATTTTCTGAGAATGAGAGGCTGGTATTCTTTTATAGAGGAAGTACTCAAGTAGTGTTGTGACTATAAAATGTCCGCGGCGATCACAGTAAAATGGTAGCGGATTTCGGACCGCACTAAATCCGATCGTGTTATTCCATCGTCCCGAGTTGGTTGTGGAGCTAAACGGTGATGAATCATGCCAAGCTATTAGCCATCTGAATGTCGAGTATATTGGCTTGGGGAATAATATGTGCGATAAAGTCAGGCAGCGTAAGCGAGAGCTAACGATTATGATGCAAAGGCTTTCGCATATACTGCTAGGCTCGGCTAAAAAGGAGGTGAAACTGAAAATACGAAGAGTACAGTACGAAAAAGTGGGCATGCAACATTGAACCCATCATTTTCAAGAGAAACATCCATCAACAGTGTTTGTTCTGATAGGAGAGACTTTCAAATCATTTCTCGATGCGATATGCGCGTTGAGAGCCAATAGCAAGCCTTGGGCGCTTTTCAGGGTGGTAGATTGGCTTGAGACTGTAAGGAAGTTCCTTGCTTCCCAATTTGAAGAGCTTCGTATTTGAAAACTGAAGTTGCTCTCGTCAACTGTTGAGACTATGATTGTGAATCTCTAAGAATTTTGGCTGATAGTCTTGAGTTGCAAGTAATGGAAGAGCTATGAAGCGTGGGAAATCTAAAACAGACAGAAACTAGCAAACTAACAATGCACAGAGTTGAATAATGTTTGCTTACTATTCCAGGCCCCTTGGACAAAGAATATTCTCCAACCACCCACAAACTCCATAATCCTGTGTATATGTTTATGTACAATTGATCTCCAGGAGTATTCTTGAATATGCTCGAGTTTGAAAGAGTAGCTAGTCTAGTAACAAGTGGGCATATTGATCGTCTCGCTCTGGCATCGTTTTCAAATGTTTGACTGCACAGAGGATGAGTGTTTGTGCCTCTATGCGGTCATGCACCATTCCAGTTTTGTCGTTACCGTTGCTCGCGTTTCGTCTCCATTCCTTGTCAAGCCTTCGTCGAAGTATCGTATCATCGTCTCGTGGAGATGGAGATAGAGAGTGGAGTTTGCTTGCCATCTAGGACGGCCTCGTCGGAATGGTCGGTCTGCGCGTGAAAGCTCCATCTCAAATGTTGACGAAAAAGAAGCCGCGATGAGTATCATGGCTATTTCTAAGGTCTCATCAGCAGATTCGGAGGATCCTTGTAGTCCGGGTATCGATAGTCCTCTTGGAGGAGTCATGGCCCAGTATGTATCCTCTATAGCAATACTTCCCGCCATCGAATCTTCAAATCCGGCCGGATGGTATTGGGAGGGGACTGTGTCCTGAGTGTATTTTCTGCGAACTGGCAGAGTCAAAGGTCATCATTGCATGTCCTCTATAATCTCCAGCCGTCTTCGCAATAGGTCGTTACTCAGAGGTCCGCAGAACCATGCCATCGACTCCAGTTTGGCTCAGCTGGCTTGGAGTTGGAGAGGCTGTCCAAATGCAAGAGCCCGTGGAAGTCATCCATGGAATGCCTAAATACAACCACGTAGCATACATTTCGGACGTATCGGCAGACAGGAAAGCATTTGGCGTTCTGCTATAGACTGCGTGTAGTGCACGGCATAGTCAGTGGTAAGGCGAAAAGCAAAAGCTTGCCCTGATATTGTCGATGTTAGATCACAAGAGAGATGGAAGGAGAGTAGCGCAAGTTAGATATGATGGGCCATGAAGAGTTTCAGGGGTTGGGCGGCGAAGTGAACGCGGCTCGCAAGCAATTTCGGCTCTGTCCGCATTTGTTGATCACCCAATAAGTGACCGCCCTTGAGATAGCCCCCACAGCAAGCATTATTTTTTTCTCTTGAAGCGATTTCAGAAAAGAACGTCCAAAAAAAGACGTGCCAGTTTCACAGTTGAAATGCTAGGCCAAGAGAGTTTGGGTGGGCTTCGTCCAGGCCTGTGGTGGATGGAAAACTCGAAGCTTCGAAGTATTAAGACAGGTGTGCCTAGGCGTCATCTTAGCTGGGCGTAAGAAGCAAGCGCTAATGGACATATCCCAGGACATCCGTCGAAGCTTGCCTTTATTAAGAAGCTTATTGGTAGCAATTCCTTTCTCGGTACCACAAATCATCCAATCTGCTCCCTCTTGAATGTCCCCGCGCCCTTCGCCCAGGCAGATGTTCAAGGCAGATCTGTGTCCAATGTGATAGTGTGATAGGCCTACATAACCTCTGATTATGAGGGTCTACCCTGGCAATGACCTGTGTCTTATTCATCTCAAGATCAAGAAACTCAGGGGCTGTATATAGCTTATATAACTTCGATTCATCACTTTCGGACTGTTACTGACGCTACAAATTCGAAATCATCTAGCAGCAACGTGAGCAGTCAAATAGGTAACTGAGATGAATTTCCCGCCCGGAATTCAGCATTGGGCGGATGGTTAGCTGGACTGTTTGATACATGCAAGCACCCGTAGGACGTGGAACTTGGAAGGGATATAATGATGGAGGAAGGCGGTCTCCCTCTGCGTTACTGTGTACAGTAGTCTGAGAGACTCGTCTGCAGAAATGAGTACGAACACTTCTCCTATGGCTCAGGTTCGAGTTGCATGCGACGTATTTAGATGTTCCAAGACATTCCGAAGCAGCTACGAGATGAAGCGGCATATGGAGGAGCAACATGAAGATCCTAAGCGCTGTCCTTGGTGTCCGCGAGAAGAACGAAGATTTTCAAGACTTTGGGAACATATGGAAGAGTCACATCCCAAGTACGTTCCGATTCTGAATTTCAACGTCCGACGGTTAACTGATTCTCATGATCAGATCGCAGAGGCCAGCGAAAAAGAAGACACAGCAGAAGAAGTTGGGGTTGGCCAAAGAAGCGGGTAATGTTTCGATGCGTATAACACCCCAACAAAAAACTAACGAAATCAGATATAAAGCCGACGAAAGCAGCATCTGTCAATCCTCGATTGGATTTCGAACATTTTGAGACGGACAATGTACGCGATGCAACGTCCCTACGTCTGTCATCGACTTCGCAGGCTTCGCCCGACCTCTCGACCGTCTCAGGGGCTGCTGCCAATCAAATCGACCTATCGTCGTGCCTTGCACCGAGCAACGAACAGTACACAGGTTCCGGGCATGGAAGTGCACAAGACATGGCAGTTTACATACAAGACCATTACGACGTGACCATGGCAGACGCCGGAACGTGGCAACGACTTGGTGTTGGAGGAGCAAATGATAGCACTTTCATTTATCAACAGGATGCTCAAGAACTAGTGGCGGTGTCCATCTGGGACAAGTACTGCCCTTGAGGTTGGCAATGGACAAGTTACTTCACCTTTGATTCTTGGAAGGGGTGTTGCAACGCTGGAGCTTGGATTTTTTTGGGTTAGATATACTTCAAGCTTTGGGTAGGGTAGATTGGAAATTCAACTATAGTCGAGGCTCAGGCTTGACTGGCTCCTTCCATACCGATTCTGTAGGGAACCCAGATTTTAGTCTTGACTAGTGTCGATCAATCACTTCCTTCGAATAGTCTCGATTCTTCTTCAATTTATCGGAGCTTTACTCAAGTTGTCTATGAATATTAGCTGTATGCTGGATGTTCTCTATACATTCTCCCTCTCAGAGTGCCAGAGATCAACTCTTCATCAACTAGATAGACCTATTCACATCTCGAAACAGATGCCATCGTCAACAATACTTCCCTGAATAAGGTTAGAAGGTGGGCTTTCGCGACAATTTGGGAACTCGAAATGACTTCACAATATATCTTGGGGCCATAATATAAGTTCTCATAAGCGAGTGGGAGAGGAGGGTCATCGTCTCATTGGTATCTTCGTTTGCTCCCTTTCGCTATTCTCAGCACCTACCAGCTTATCTGCAACCTTGAAATCTAAGCCACACCATAAGTCGGAGCTTGTTCATTCAAGTCGGTGAGTGCTCGCTGAAGCTTCAAAAATAAAGTTTCAACATTCCACATTAGCCACCCGCCTCGAACGGACGAATAGGGGTTCGCAATGTTGCTTAATAATAAGCGAAAATGATATCACTGACCCACTCTTTCGTTCATTCGCGTCGGCCTCGTCATCTTGCTGCAGCTTCTCGTGCAGCGTTACAACTCAAGTGAATCCCGGCTCCGAGTCCGACATACAACTCGCAACTTTTTCGCATTCACATGTGGCTGAGTCTGCAACTTTACACGCTTGCAAGACATTGAATCAAGATATAACCTCTAACTTTCTTTCCCCCATCTTCCGTCTTCACATCAACATCTCATCACAAAACATCTCGCAACAATGGATCCCTATCAACAAAACCCATCATATGACCCTTCCCATCCACCTCAAGCACCATTGGCACCACCACAGCAACAAACAGGAGGCCAAAGTCCAAAGAGATCCGCCTTCTGGGATAAAGCGAAGCATGGCAGCAAAGCAACCTTCGATAAAGCGTGGGCTGGCTTCGAAAAGCTCGGCGCTCCCGTGAACCGCTTCACGAATAAGATCGGATCGGAAGCTTTCTGGCCCACGACATTAGGACCAGAGTCTGATAAAGCTGCTCGCATCTTGAAGTCGTTTTGCAGTTCGTGACCCTCTTCCAAGAGAATGTGCGCCAAGAATCACGTGCTAATAAGTTTATAGAAGATGGGTTTTACAAGGAGGAACAGGGTGCGACGGCTGGACCGAAAGGAAAGCCGAAGGTCTTGGTTAAGATTCCACAGAAGGTGATTCAGAATTGTGTTGGGTTGGCCATCTTCACGGTGATGAGGACTGGGCTTTGGGTTTCCGGTGCGGGAGGCTCGGGTGTTTTGATTGCGAGGAAGGAAGATGGATCTTGGTCTCCTCCTTCCGGGATCTTGATTCACACTCTGGGTGTTGGATTCATGGCTGGTATCGATATCTACGACTGTGTGGTCGTGATCAACAACCGCAAAGCGTTGGAAGCATTTTCCAAGCTGAGAGTCAGTCTTGGAGGCGAGCTGAGCGTTGTCGCTGGACCCGTCGGAGTTGGCGGAATCCTCGAGTCAGAGGTCATTAAGGATAAGAAGCCAATTTGGAGTTATGTCAAGTCTCGAGGCTTGTACGGAGGTCTTCAAGTCGATGGAACCATCATCGTGGAACGAAACGACGAGAACGCTAGGTTTTATGGCGAGAGATTACCAGTTGGACAGATCCTGGCCGGCAACGTAAGACATGTACCGCAAGAAGTGAGAATGTTGATGGAAGTCGTCAAAGCAGCGGAAGGCCGAACAGATGTCGACAGCGGAATGATGGCTCAAGCAGACGTCATGCCTCCCCCAAGCGATGTGGATGTCGAGAAGATGAGCGAGCCTACTCAAGAGCAGAAAGCACATTTCGCTGCTCCGCCGGGCTATGAGAATCCTCCGCCACAGCCACCGAGACCAGAAAAACAGGGTGCTTATGCTTCAGCTCCCGCTCAGTATGGAGAGGGAAGTGGCGCGTATCAACATCCCGCTAGAACGGATTCTGGGTTCGCAGCTCCTCCACCGGGTCCACCGCCTCATAGGACAGAGTCGGGATTTGCTCCTCCACCATCAGGTCCTCCTCCAAGTCAGGAGAAGCAGGATCCTGATGGTCCTCCCAGGTATGCTTGAGGAGAAGATGCAGGATGGATAATTGTTAGATGGGTGTTGCGTTTATGATATCATGACCGGAATGTTGCTTTGTAGTTATAGTAAATAGACATGTATTTGGACTTTTGAATCTAATCTTGACCCATTTTTCCAAGGACTTCGGTTTCTTCTCCATTCAGGCAAGTGTGCAACGTATTCCACATTTTATATCTCATAAGCACGTGATCCACACTCACCTTCCAAATTTAGCCATCTCTCACCTCTCGAGCTCAAGCCAAGTCCCTCTCAAATCTCTCACTTCACTATACCCCCAGCCCCATACATTCAAATAATGACAAATCCTCCCAATCCCCGCTACACCGTCCACCCCATCAACCCCTCAACCGACTACCCCACTCTAACAACCCTCTCCCTTCTAGCCTTCCGCTCCAACCCGCTACACTACCTAACCTTCCGCCCGCACTCCAATATCCCGCCAGAAATCATCTCTTCCTACCACCGTAAGACCCGGATCGAGCTCCTCGGCGAAGGAAGCGCTGTTCAGACATTTAAGGTTGTTGATAATTTCTCTTCCTCTGATTCTGATGAACAATGGAAGGGAGAGGGCAAGATAGTAGGTTTCGCAAGCTGGGTCTTCGATCACAATTGGCCGCTCGTAGAAGGTGTTCAGATACCGGATGGAGCGGATTTGAGATTCTTGACTGCGTTTCGAGAGGAAGTAGGGAAGTTAGCGGGCGAGGCGTTTAGGGGGAAGGAGAACGGGATTGGTAGGTCAATCTATCCTCTCCCTATTGAAGAATCTTCGTACTGAAGAAATAGCAGAACTGCATCTGATGCGCGTCCACCCCGAGTACCAAGGGCAGGGGCTGGGAGGTATGTTGTTGAGCTGGAGGCTGGAAGAGGCGAGGAGGCGGGGGAAAGGGGTTTTCTTGATGGCGAGTCCGATGGGGAGGGGGTTGTATTTGAAATGGGGGTTTAAGGTGGTGGGGGAGGTGAGGTTGAGGGTTAGGGATTTTATGGATGAAGGGGAGTGGAGGGCGTGGGAGGGTGAGAGGACGGAGGAGGAGAGGGAGAGGGATAGTGTTTATGTGCAGAGTTTGATGGTTTGGGAGGCGGTGGAGGGTGGGGTCGGGGTTGGAGAGGGGAGAAAATGAATGAGTAAGGGTGGGTTTCAGGGTCAAGAAATTTAGATTCAAATCTCCCAAAACTGAATCGCGCTCAGAGTAAATAACATATTTTTATACTTCAGATTCTTGTATTTGCGGGGACGTGGATGGAGTGCAAGGCCCCCTCGAGTTTTCGAAAAGCGTCATCGCCTCAACTCTCAAGTTTTCCATCAAAACTATGCTTATCTTAAAGACCGAGAATCTCTATGCTGTATGACATATACGCATGATTAGGGCAAAAGATGAATTTAAGACAAATAGAAAGACTACTGTACTTTCTTATGTAGACCGAACTGTTTGGTATGCTATGTATGTGTGTTTGGATGTTGAGCCGTTATTACAGTGAACGTGGAGCGAGTGAAAAGAAAATATCGATAATGGTACTTGGGTGTTTACATTGGAGCCACTGGAAAGGATTATTTCTCTCTGCAAGTCCAGAGTTGGGCGATGTCGCGTGTTGTGCGAAAATATCGAGATTGTGGATGCCGCGCTCTTGATTAGAGGCACAGTGGTAGAGGAGAGGTGGGTGGGTTGATTCTTTCCTTTGTTTCAAACTCTCGTGCGTGTGAAGAGTAATATGATTAAATAATGTAACGTTGTAAAATTGTCGAAAGAAGATTGTACTGAGTCAGACAGATCGTCTGTATAATTACACTATAATCGACTTGAATCAGTATTCAACGGCAGTTTGTATAATAAGCAAATATTGAATCCCGAGAAAGGTCTCGGCAGCATATTTGTTTCAACGAGCACTCGAGATGAAGGGCCACGGAGTATAATTTTGGCAAAGAGTTATTATATTTGGACTTGAGACCGTGAACAATCACATTCTGAATACTGTAAATAAATTCAGGTCTTCAAGCCATAGGCTGCAGAACGTCCCATACACTTGTACAATAGTTCCAGGTCCGGGGTCTTTTTGAGAACTGCTTCAGAATGATCATCAAACTCGACGAAGGACGAAGCATCACCTGACTACACGTGATAGTATATCTTCATCCCAGCCTGGAACAGCTATTCTTAGCCAGCAGTCTTCAGATCTCAGAAGGTGTTACCGAAATCATCTGATAGATCTCCAGAATCAAACAAGATCAGATAGGGATCTCGTAAGCTCTTATGCCTTCGGGGCGCACGAAACGAACGAACGCGTCCTCTCTTCTTCCCTCACATCAACGTCCATTTCTATCACCACGTGAAGTCTATCAAACATCACGTCCACCCTCGTCGACATCATACATCCACAAATGGAATCAAGCCCGATAGGGAGAAGCGAAGAAACAAGTATATCCTCATGCGTTTGATGATCTTCGACGTCATTTGTCAGGGCATGTTTCTTGTTCCATTATGCATAAGAAAGATCGACAAAGGGACTCGACACCCACTTTCAACACAAGTGAGCAGTTCACGTCAAGTTTGAGGAGTTCTTCGGACGATCCGGAGAAGGGTGCTTGGGGAGGAGGTGTCGGGTTTCATGATCTTACTGTAGTGCCACAGAGGCGGTGCTGATTGGTGTGGGAAAGGATGCGTGAAGGGGTTGAATACGAGGAAAAGAGGAGACGGTTGCTGGAAGAGGAATTCTTCAGCCAAACACCTGAGGAGAAGAGTTTGATTGTACTGTAACACGAGGATATTCACAACATGCTGCAGAATTATCGTGAGCGAATGATAAAATTGTAGAGATGCATCGAACCGGTAGTTGAGGTCTAGAATCCTTTGACTTTTGCTTGGTGGTACAGTACAAACCAGCAAACGACTATTCTTCATTAGTTGTAGTTATGCAAAGAATGTGCCTGCTGCATAAGAGCTGAATTCGGTTGGTTGCTCTGTCAAAACGCCCCGTGCCATCCTAATCGGGAGCCAAACAGGTCTATTTTCAGGGTTGCCCGCATTATGGCCCGTTCTGGCTTGGCGCCATGAAAATAATACAGTATTCGTTTGGTCAGAAGTCACCGTATTCTGCCTTGGCCCCATGAAGTCCTCTTCCTCCTCCCTGGAATTTCTCCTTTAAACACATTCACACAACTTCAACATCCATTTCGATCTTTCTTTTTCCCGTCCTTCGTTAAGAACAACTTCATCGCATTTCCGACTGCTTCGACGACTTTTTCTTTCGCATAAGATATTCGAATTGCACATTGCACATTGCACAGCCACAGCAGAGAGGCAATTTATCGCTGACGAACGTGTCGCACCTGGTCCACCTCACATACGAGGTCCCTCAACAACTCATTCCCTTCTCTTTTTCACATTCAACACCATCACCATGTTTTCACGGCGGCAATTACGACTCCTGACGGTCTTTGTCCTCTTCTTCGCCATCGCGCAAGCCAGTTGGTTCGATCTCAGCATTTTTGGTCGCGATAATGGCAAGAAGGGAGTGGACGCAGGAGATTCTTCTTCGACAAACAGCAGCTCGAACGCAAACCAAGCTGTATCTACTGGAGTGAGCTCAACACCTTCATCTACGCCTGTATCATCGACGCCATCATCGATTCCTACCTCTGCGACTTCGCAAACCTCTGCTAGCCCAAGTAGCACACCCAGCAGCACCCCCTCTTCCACACCACCGAGTTCGACCCCTACATCTTCATCTGCCGCTCCCTCCTCGACCCCGACGAGTACACCTACACAGACCTCAGACACCAACTCGCAGACCTCGAAGAATGCCGATACGACTTCGGACTCAACTCAACAAACCTCCACATCCGCGACCGTCGTTCGTTCCACAATTGTCATGACTGTTTCTGGTAGTCTTACGACCTCTGTTTCCTCGTCCACTCAATCATCTGCAGCCACAGGAACTGGAGCCAGCGGACAACTGTCAGGAGACGGCACATCCTCATCCTCGGGAATGAGCCCCAAGACCAAGAACACAGTCATCGGAGTTGTTGTCGGTATTGGAGGAGCAGCCATCCTTGCTGGTCTCTTCGTTGTAGCATGGAGAATCTGGGGACGCAAGAAGGCTGAAGACGACGATGATGGATTGATGGGATTCCGCACTGGAAGCGCAGGAAAGGGTCACGAGAAGAGTGGCAGCGTCTCTCAGGCAGGTGGATCAAATCCTTTCCAGAGCACATTGGAAAACTACCACAACCCAGCCAGGAACGTGAATGCATCGTCGAACTTCTAGGGAGTGGGAGTTGATTTGTTTTCTTGTGCGGTTTTTTCAGCGTCATACGTTTTCGTACCCGAGGGGATGGACAAGATATTTTTTTCAGGATCTGGGAATCGAAAGGTATTTGCATTAGAATGGCGTAGTATGCGAGATTTCCATTTTCTTTTTTTTCATTGATAGTTGGCAGAGCGCAATACCAATTGCAATGGATGCAATACTGTTTACTGTTTGTAGCTTAATACATAGAATCTACCATGGACCTTTTCTGTGCTTTACTTCACTTTCCGTCTACATTTTCAATGGAATAGGAGCCAAGTTGGTGAACCCCTCATAAAGCCACATCACCCGTTATCAAATATACAACATCCCATGCACCTGGTGTCGCTTCGATCCCGACCCCAACCCGTTTTCTTTTTCCAATCCAGTTCATCCAACCTCCAAACGCCAAACCTGCATATCACCCGCAGCCACAACCGCTTTCCTCCCATCTCCTGCATCCACCAACACAATTACCCATTCAGAATAAAACAAAAATCAATTCCTCAAGGGGGATCCTCGGAAGATAAGATGGTGCAGCGCATAATTCACCACTGTAACACAACGGTTTGAAGATCGAGGGGTCGCGTTTCAGAAGCGTCGTCCGAACTCAGATCCAGATCCAGATCTGCTGTGTGTTGGCAAGTTGCCAACGACGACGACGGATGTAGGTTGGTGTTCTATTGTGCATCTTTTACTTGTACGAATTCATTCTCTACTTGTGCTTGATTCCACTATTTGTCTTTCGCCCATTGATTGAAAGGTTATTGCGGGGCATCGTATCAATATCGAAGACTCAAAATAAGGAGGGGAAACAGAAGACAAGATGAAATACACACTCGTCCTAGGAATGGGCATGGGATTGCTGGGCACAGCATCAGCAGGAGGAGACATGATAATCGATTTCCCCGGCCTCCTACGCCCTCGAGCGAGTGCCGTCGCAGCATCATCTTCGACAAACCTCCTCGTACGTCCCTCCTCGTCCCCTTCATCATCCCTACTTCTAACAACAAGATATAGGCCTTCTCAAGCGCACTAGGAGGACAAGCCGCAGATCCCGTCACCTCGACGGGAGATAGTACACGCCCGTTTGCCGTGGGGACAGATACCTTTACGGACTTCGAGACTGCGGCGACGCGGAGCTGTAATAATCAGCATAATGCGTGTGCGGGCGTTGCGAACGCGAAGACGGTGAGCGGGTTGACGGTTGGGGATTGTGATACGCAGCAGAGTATGTATTTCCCCTCTCATTTTCGATCACAAAGCTTTTCACAGCATGGCATGGAGGAGAGCATATGCTGATGGGTGAAAAGCATCCTGCGAAGCAGCAGCAGCATCCGGACCACCCTCGTCCTTCACCGCGTCGAGCAACACGGGCACGACGACGGCGGCGTCTGTCGATGTTGCTTCCGCGGCGGCGCAGACGAGTAGTAGTATTGTGAGTGTGGAGAGTGTGGCTAGTACGAGCACGACTTCTGCGTTTGCGGTGCAGGGGACGCTGCATAGTAGTGATGATAATTTTCTGTTTTTTTGTGATTGAGGAAGTGGAGAGAGAAGTGATGGGAGGGATGGAGAGGCGGGATGGGGAGGACGGGGAGGCGTAATTGGAAATTGAAAAGGATGTATGAATTTCTGGATATCGGAGTGGTAGGCTGACAGGGCAAGGGCATAGGAACTGGCGTCAAGGAAACAATGATTCTGTCACTCATCTAGAAGATGAAAAAACGTCGTATGAACATTTTTGAAGTATAATACCACTCAAATACATCTCAATCTCACAACTTCCATCACCAAAAGACACCCATCCCCACGAAATCCGCCCCATAACTCACAATCCCCTCACTCCCATAAACATTCCCCACCTCAACCACATTTCCCCCCTCTTTCCACCCCTCAAGCAGAACCTTAAAAACACCAGTATCAAACCACCCATCTCCCACAGAGAAAAGCTCACTACTCCTCCCACTAAGCGGGGTTTCGATCCTAGTTACCTCCCCGTTTACCGAAATGGTCATGTTCCGCGTATTCGTGCCATCGGTCCACGAAGTTGAATCCGCGATATCGTTGTTGCAGAAATATATCTGAGCGAGCTTCGCCCCCTGAATGGACGTGGATGGAGAAGTGATGTTCAGGGACGCGGAGCCCGTGGGGGAGAGATAGCCTATTTTTGAGCCGACGGGGGCGCAGAGGCCGGAGCAGGATGTGAAGGTCGATGTTCCGATTAAGGAGAATGGGGTGGAGGGGTAGAATGTTGAGTTTGGTGGGGTGAGGGTTAGGGAGAGGGGCGTGGTGGGGGAGGTGATTGTGATGGTGTTGTTGTTTGTTGCTGATAGGGAGAGGGCGGCTGTGAGGACTGAGGAACCTGCTGGGAGGGTGTACGGGTTGTTGTTGATGTCAACTGTGCTGGATGCTTCCATTGCGGAGGCGAAGTGGATGGTTGCGGTGTAGTTGTTGCTGGTTGTTGAGCCGTACACTTTGTTGAATGTTGTGGTTTGACTGGATGGTCAGTATCGTTTAGACATGTAAGGGGGTTTACTTACCCGGAAGTTTTAGAATCATTAGATGAGTAGCTTCCCGCTGTAGTGGTACCGATAAACTCGAGAAGAAGCGTTCCATGAGCTTCAACAGGTGCGGTATAAGAGGTGAGGACGTTTGTCGAGGTGATGTTGTTCCAGATATCCTTTACTGTAGCCACTTTCTGTACACCAACGTCGGGAAAGTTCAACGTGAGTTCTCTTGCTGTGTCATCTAGATTGATGAGTGCCACAACCGTCCTATTTCCACTCAAAGGACCTGCCCAAACTTCATACCCATCTTCAGTCCATCTTCTCCTGAAACTTGCTGCAACGCCCAAACTATCCTGATTATACCCAATCACATCCTCGTTCATGAGTGTAGCCAACGAAGCTGCAGCAATACTCGTATAGGTATCCTTCAACGCCGCTCCAATAACCAAGGGACTCTTCAAGATCGCCCACAGCGAGAAATGAGTCTGCTCTTCTGGAACAGTGAACACATTATTCCCAACTTCCAACATATCAAGATCTAACCAATGTCCAGGACCGGCAAAATCCGTCTGTGGTGCTGCTTGGTTTAAGATCCGTGGTACTGTTCGGTAGGCAGGAATGATGTCGTTGGTTATTCTCCATGTATTTCCTAGAGCTGGTGCCCATGCTGAAGGAAAGTCTACACCCCAATCACAGATTTGGAAGAGGATTGGTCGACTGAGAGACGCGAGTGCGGCTGTCATGTTTGCGTATCGTCCAGAGGGTGATACGGCAGGTGTATAGTCTGCGTCGGGGTATCCAGCGGCAGCGTCGGAATAGCAGTTATCATCTAGTCGTGTTAGCTGAGAAATCTTATGCAACAAGAGGTTTACATTTCAGAAGATCAGCTCCCCATGAAGCAAACGTTTCGGCATCTGTTTCCTCATGGACTAGACTGTCAGTACCAGAACAAGGTGGGGATAGACGGACATACACAAACTACCAATTTGGGCAGGTTCTCCCGTCATACACATCTGGATTCCCCCATCTGAATAAACACCAAACTTCAATCCGAGCGAGTGGATGAAATCCCCCAACGCGAAATATCCATCAGGAAATCGTTCAGGATTCCAAGTCAATGTCCCATTCGCAGTCCGATTCGGTAAAGTCCATCCACAATCCACAGTCGCAAAGTCATATCCACGATCTTTCAATCCTAGATCGACCAATGCTTGCACGTTTGAATGGACAATACTCTGGTTTGGAGCGCAACTGTAGTGATTGTAGGAATTCCATCTACGAATGTCAACCATGCACTCGCCACACTGTAAAAAGACTCACCCCATCGGCGGTGTAATAGCCAACCCATTATCTAGCCTGCGAGTCAATTCTGACCCAGCACTCACGAATGGAACACAAGCAACAAAAAATAAGAGAATCTCCATATTGAGAAACAACTTCTCGATACTGTCCAAGCACCAGACTCCCAACAAGCAATATATAACTCATCCCATTAACCACCTACCGCCGATCTCCTCAGACAAATCTGCGGAGATGTTCCTCAAAGATGTTTTTCCATGGCAACATCCTGGGGTAGATGTCGGCTCAATGTGGCTACGAATAAGGACCCCGCAATGCGGAGAAACTGGGATGCGCTCCAATGAGATGGTGGCGCATATGGGTGGAGGCACATGGTAGATCTGGTCCCTGAGCTACGGCTCGTGAGTGCCGAGATCCCCGGAGTGAGGCTCGCATGTTTTTTTTTTTTGGGACATTGTGAGAGGAGGAATTCGGGATTGAGGCAGGGGTTGACAGTAGGAGGTCGAGATTGAAATTCTCCACTGCGGCGCTACTGAGGATAATTACGTGTTGCGTGGCACATCTAGGTTGAGGGTTTTGTTTTGAAGCAATTTTTGAGTTTCGCCAGGATAGGAAGTGATGATCTCTCGGGTGAGAATACCTTCGAACATCGGAGAACTCGGTATGGGAAGCCTGGTGCAAAGCATTCTGCACATCCTACCTGGAAGCATGCCATCCGAGGTTATATTAGAGCGGCACAGCAGAAAGTTAATTCCAGATGCTCTTCTTCTCCAATAAAATTCAAAATTTGAACTCTGAGCATACAGAAGGTTCAAAACAACTTGAAGTAACCAGGCTGTAACTTCTGCCAGACCCCATTAGGATCGTACTTCTTGCTCGCTGCTCGTAGCTTTTCCAAATTTTCTTGACCATAACTTGCAAAAACAGGTTGTTCAAGAGCAGCATAGTTTTGGTAAACAAATGGATGTCCCAAGTCTTGCTCATATGCGGTTGCGTTTGAGCGATTGACAATGTTACGTACGGCTTGCATGACTGCTGTATCATTGCTAGCTGAGGACCACGAAAATGCGAGATTGATCACTGCGATAAATCAGTTCGAGTTAACAAGGCAGTCGGGGAAATACATACGAACAAGGGGCCCATCAAGAGTAGTTATTCCAAGGGCATTTCCACCGTTCTTACTAAAATGAGAGATCATATCCGTATTGATCGGTTGGAAGACCAGGGCAGGAAGAAGTCCAGGCAAAGTCTTAATCGTATCTGTTTCTTCCATGAATATCGAGATGATGTCTGACATGAGGGTAGGACTATTCTTCGTCATCAATGCCCAGTATGTTTGCCTGCATTCAAAATTAGCAATGAATTATATTGTTACTAGAGACGTACCGAAATCCACCGGGGTTAGAGTTGTTGAACACAACAGTCAATGCCGTCAAGTTCGTGACCGCAAGGGAGTTCGCAATAGCACCTGGTGTGTTGGTGAAGTTTTGCAGAATGGGAGGGTACGCAATTGGTTTCCCGTACTGAAGATCAGAAGCAATAGCGTAGATATCTTCAGCTTGAGAATATGCGTATGCCAGAATGACTTGTGCATAGTCGTCAGTTGGGCCATTGATGTTTAGCCAATAAAGAGCATTGTTCAATGACGCTGCAGTTTCATTGTTGTAGATGTATACTTCTGAACCTGCCCAGAGATCGCCTTGGGGATAAGTTGCCATGTCGAAGGATGTGACGATTCCAAAGTTGTTTCCTCCTCCGCGTAAAGCGAAGTACAAGTCTGGATACGTTGCAAATGTCACCTCGCGAATGGAACCATCAGCGAAGACCACCTAAATCGTGTTAGGGTGTCTCAAATTTTGAATGACCGAAGTCCTGACCTCATATGCATTCACATTGTCACATGCCCAGCCGTATCTTGCTGAGAAGAACGACATTCCTCCACCCAATGTTAATCCTCCCACGCCAATATCCGCTACTCTACCCCCAATCACAGTAAGCCCCTTTGGCTCCAAGGCACTATAAACATCAAACCATCTGTTTCCAGGCCCTACTGAAGTCTGAGTCTGATCTTCTGATACTGTGATTTGATTCAGATTGATCAGGTCAATAGTCAAACCTCCATCAATATTGGAAGCTCCTGAGAAGGCCGCGTGACCTCCGCTCTTAACAGCAAATTGACATTGGGTGACCTGAACAGTCAAGACGGCTAGTGAAACCCCGAGGGCGTCTTCCGGTGAGAAACGACAAGTTGGAATGTCTGATTCTTGCTGGACTGACCAGTATCTAGACTCCTCGTACTGATAGATGGTGCTGTTTTCGTATGAGACTTGCCCAGGAAGAGCAAAGTTCATGAAAGAGCACTGCGCGATGTTAGTCTCAAGTTACATGAGTGTCGGGAGCACTTACAGCTAGAGCGCATCCTGATGGTAATGACCTGGTGTCTAAAGAAGCATTCTGTATCAATTGAAGGTAGGACTCGATTTGAGAATTGACAATGTCGAGGGTCAGTGTCTCGTACTGCGCGGACGCATGTGAGCACCAGATACCGAGTAAAACAAGAAGTAGATGCATATTCTCAAGTCCACGTTCCTGAGATGAAACAACTGGAAAGAGGGTGAAGGAAGAAAGCATTAGGGGAAGGGAGCATTCATCGCAACGGGTAGGGACAGCGAACAGACGAGGGCAGAGCTTCAATTGGATCGTGGGCGATTTATCTCATCTTGGAATGCAGGCATCCTGGCGATCCTCGTATTTACCTCATTGGAAGATTTGCAGAATATTGAATGTATTCCTAGAGGGGCAGCTGCATGCAGTGCAACGGAACGGATCCTTCAACTGCAGGGGAACCGGAACCCAAGAAGTCTTTCCACTCTCCCCAGCCGGAACCGCGAATCGGACGACTTACGAGAAGCTAGCGGGTCCGGTGCGCTGGTACTGGGAGCATAAGTACCATGAGACTAGACGAAGAAAGGTTGCAAAGGTTTAAGAGTTTGGAGATACAGCATGCTCGGAGCGGCTGGATACCTGTGGCATTTGATGGCAGGGTGCGTTAAAGTTACCCCGCTATGCACCCCACCACACCTAGCATTTCGACAAGTGTACTGCATCAATGCGCCCATATGGACTAGGACTGTGTTTGGTGCTGCTACCATAGTCGGATGATTACTCTAGTGATTTTAGATAGAAGTAGAAATCCATTTGATAGACTTTTTGTACATACTTTTGTAATAGGAGTAATTGGCGCTGTTTAATGCACCGGCTTTGCGTTTGGTGGGGCCTGGATGCTTGTTATGACATGCGCTATTGTTACTCTCACTTATGGGTGCCTCTTACTGTAAAAGCCATATGTACGGACAGTTCATAATAGAGTCGAGAGTTGTACTTGTGGTCGAAGCCGATACTTGACCCAAGCTAGTCTTTTCCCTGGCCCTGTTTTGGGCGAACAACTAGCCTTCTTAACAGCCCCTCAATCGCTCCACATGTTCTAGTGACAGCAGTAACTTGTTGCTTTCGTCTTATATCTTACACTCAAAATTGTCGTTTCAACATGAGGTCAGCGAATCTCGAAAGTGTCTAAAACATATCTTTCCTCCTCCAATCCAACCATAGCCTCTCCATTCATAAATCCATCCACGTATGCCTCGCCAATTACCACATAATGACCACTGACTGGTCTCAAAACAACCGGGAATCTGCACCCAAATAACACACAAATTATATCTCCTTCCATAGCATTCAGAGGCGCAAGTCCAACTAGCCCTTCCATTGAGAGCAGCAGCCTCCTTCGGTTCATCATCAAGCCCGCACTCAACATCGTAGAAAGCTGCGTCTTTTCTTCATCATCATCTCCATCGAGCTGTTCGTCATCATCAGCTATCGAGCCAACTGAATTTACCATCGTCGAACTTCTACTCGGAGGATCAAGTCTTAGCATATCTGAACCACTAAGCACTTCATCACTCAGGGTAAAGATTGCTTCCAATTTACTAGCATACATATCTTCATCTTCGAAGTCCCAATTACCACAAGAAATCGTACGTCCAAAGACTGCTTGTGAAGTAAGAGAGTTCGAGTGGGTACCAACGAAGAGGTTCCACCAGTCGTGGAAGATTTCAAGTGCAGGTCCAACATCACTTGGTGAACCACTTTTTCGATACGGCATCCCAACTGTCTTAATAGTGTCGAGTATCAAGCCGGTAGTACTCAGTCCATTACCATCTGAGGAGAAGTGAACATCAGCTACAGTATCTCCTGCTGCTTGGAACTCTGGCTGGTGATGATGAAGACCAATGCCAACAGCCTCCTGCATTTTCCGAGGACGAGTCCAGTCCGGTACCCATGATGGAAGGTCATATTGGTTATCATCGTGCTGCTTTACAACGATTACGTCGAGTTTCTGGGACATGCTGATGATGTGTCGAGCTGTATGCGTGAAGATGTCTCGTTCGGATTGAGAATAATCAATCTCTCCAAAGTTATTACGAGAGCTTGATACTCCCACCAAAGCGTAGACTTTATCTTTCGGATCCGTGGCTAGCTTCCCTTTATGAGAGAGTAAGAGCTCGAAAAGTGGCGGATCTGCGAGGTGGGGTGAAAATCGAGATAATTGTAATCCTCGTGGGCCACCGTGTGTGAGAGACCGCACCCATGAAGGATGTTTATAAAACAAAGATGATAGTTCTTCCGCCGATTCCTGAAGTGTGTCGCAAACTCTATCAAACTGCTGCCATGGGATTTCTTCATCCCCGCAATAGACAGTAGTCGTTCTTGCAGAGCTTACTTCTTGGATCACCCATATTCGCCACCAATATGACCTTCTAAATAGCGTTACTAACGCTACAAAGTCTGGTTCTCTTTCCGGGTCTAAAACGATAGCCGCGATCTGGTCTCTTGAAGAGCAAGAATTCAAATCACGTGCAAGCTGTATCGCACCTTTGCTGTTTTTATACTCCAAGCCAAGCCAGACAGCCACACCAGCGGCATGTTGATAGATAGCTCTCATATTAGCTGTTTGGAAGTTTCGTTCTGGGATATTCTCTTGATCGATACATATAGCGTCAATCCAGAGTATCAGCTCTTTCTCCGGTCGCAGGCGTTCAAGAGCATGTTTCAGATTAGGTGTAATGAGGATATGATCCGAGTCCACGGAGATAAATTGAGAACCGGTCTTCTCTCCCCAAACATAAGAGAGAGCTATGTATGGAGGCGCTGTCTCGAGCGTGGTGTGGAAAAGGCTGCATCGTAGAGGCTCAGAGTCATCCGCCGTTGGCAGAAGACGAAGGAGTCGTATGGATGTCCGGTTCCCATCGAGGGGTGCGTAGTGATATTTTCGTGACTGCATACGTTGTTTACCAAATGTCTTCTTTTTAAGAGAGTACTGTCTGTATGATTTCCCCATCATCTCGCTCGCCGTATGTATGGGGTTGAATGATAGTCCTCGAGGCGAGAAAAAGTTGGGTAAGCATTTGGGACATGAGATGCTTACAAATCCGCCCATACAGCTCTGACGCACAAATTTATAGCGCATTGATGTGAGGAATAGCCATGCTCTACATGAAGAGAGTTCTGAATTGACTGATTCTTCGCAGCCTCCGCAATCGAAATTTTGATATCCTCCACACGTGATTTCAGGGGGCGCAGCAGGTGGCGGCTGCGGAGGCGGGGTACTCGGTGAGATCTTTTTTCCCCATCTGCATACAAGTTTAGCATTGCCATTGACTTTGCATATATTGCAGCGACAATTCAAGGTCAATAAGAATGTCCACATATTCTGGGACATTCTTTAGTCATACAAGCCACCTTGCCAATCAACCCTGTCTTTGCAATCTATTGCTTGAATGCGGCACGAACGTAATTGAGCATTGGAAAGAGCGTTGCCTTAAAAAGTATTATGCATAGCTCATGTATTGATGTGTCGTAGGCTCGTACCTACTTCAATCTACATCTTTCTTCTGCCATCAATCGATCTTTCGCAAGTCCATACAATTAAAGGGCTTGAAAGATAAAAAACTGGAAAACTGGAAAACAATGAAGAGCGGGTGACTCTGGCAAGTTCTAGACTGCTCGAGCCGATGATATATGCAGCGATGAACGTTTTAGGGTACAAACTACAAAATTCCAACTGGACGCACAAAGCATTGGCGGCTCAAGATTGACTAGCTATTTGAAGCTGAAAGAACAAGAAACTCAAGACAAAATTACCAAAATTGACGTCTTAGATCTTTGCTCCGTTGACTCCAAGCAGCCGCTCGTATCTAGAACTTCTTAAGAGATTTTCTGGTATTGGACTCTTCCTTCTGCTTCGGTAGGCAAATATAGTTGATCAAATCAGTAGTATGCTACAGATCACGAGTCAAGGTTGAGGCTAGAGTTGTCGTTCAGTTGGATGCTAAGCCCTCGCTTCATTTCCAATTCTGGTTGAAAACAAGGTCGACAAGAATTCACTTTTATCAAAATTGAACGCGCTAGATTCCGATACGCGCACCTTCTCCTTCTTTTCAACCTCGAGATATCACCCTTCTCCCATTAATTACCTACATAACGATCTACAACACCAAAATACAAGATGGCATCTCTTAAATGCGCTATGTGCGGCGGCGATACAGAGCTCATATGCTGTATCTGCAAATCAGCCAGCTACTGCTCGGTTTCTTGCCAACAGAAAGACGCGCCCCTTCACAAGCTTCTGTGTGATAGATTTGAATCCTTTCTGGCATCCAATCCCCGACCTGCGGACACTTTCAAATCGACGTACAAGCTCGCGATCCTATTCCCCGAAACGAAGAAGCTCCTGGAGTTGATCTGGATTGAGACTCGATTGACATACAAGGAGGAGGAGGACAAGTGGGAGTACGATTGCAATTTCGATCAATATATCGAAGGTGGAGCGGTAGAGTTGGATGCTGAAGAAACTGTCAAGTGGCCCTTGAAGATTGCATATGGTCCCAAAATCCGGCAACACAACGCATGCTTAGGGTTCTTGATACGCGGTTCTGGCAAATTGGGATCCCCTGGAGATGATGCGGATCAAATTCTGTCTGAATATCGTGGTGGTATCGTCACGGTTGGCACACTCAAGACCAACGCAAAGAAGGACCATAAGGAAAGATACCGGGACATAACGATGAACGACCTCCGCCACTCCTTAACTTTTTTCTGCGAGTGGATATACGCCCATTATTCGACCGATCTGAGTCCATTTGTCGTTCTCGATAAGCCGACATGGATCAAAGGGGTCACGATCGGTTCCGTATATACCATGTCGCTTGGTTGCGGAAAGTATGTCTCAGAACTTGTTCAACACGACACCAAGCCGTTTCAAAATATCAAAACTTTCACCTCTCCTATTTTGACGCATCTGGGCTTCCCACTATCAATCATTACCGAGAACAGCTCGCTGGATTGGAGTCTCCTAGAAAAAGACCTCAGAGATGACGAAAATTCGAATGAAGAAGGTACTATGCTCTTGAAAGGCACAAATCCTTCCTCAGACCATAGTTCCTGGTGGAACCGCACATGCCTACCAGGCTGTAACAATTCGCCAACGAACTTTAACATCGGCACAGTCACTGTCTATCGGAACGATCACAAAGACATCTCCGAACACCATGTTGAAGCTTTGGTCTCCTACTGCAAGAATGTTCTGCAAGTCGCCATGAAGGATGAGAGTGGTGTTTATGACGAGCATGACAAGCAGGCGATCATCGACACATATATTACTTTGGCAAAGTTCTGCGAGTATTTTGAGTCTTTTAAGAAAAACAAAGTGGGTTGATGTTGTTGCTCTCATTTATAAGAAAATTAGTTTAGTAAAGAGACCGCTTACAGAAGGTATGTTGTTAAACGTATGCATTTTTAAGATGAAGAATGGCTCACTCTTCAAACAGGAGAGCAAAGCCAGGCGAAGCGTGCAAAGCTCTTGAGCTCTATCAAATTACGGTTGGATGAGAAAGCAAATAATTGAGCGAGAGAGGGTATTAATGGCAAGACGTTATTGATTATGGTGGGGAATGGCCAATTAGTGAGGGAAGTTGAAGCTGAGAGCTTGTTGGGACAGCTTGGCAGTTCCATGGTGGCGGATGTCATAAGTCAGAGGTTGTGCAACTACCTGCGTAGTGGCTGCGACTTAGAATGAAAGGTCTTACCTACCTATCGTGCGATTTTCCAATGAAGCTACCTGATGCTTGGCCCTTCACGTGATCGTCGTCCGGCTGGAAATCTTACTTCACGGATCTTCCAAACAGATTTATGAGCGATCATTGTTGCGCACGTGAACTCTCGATTGATGTAAATCCTTCTGAATATTTGAGCTTTAATATATCTTGATCTGAGTTGTGTTGTTACTCATAGTCCTCGACCTCGCTTAAATGCCGATTCAGGGGTAAGGGGCACGGTCGATGTTTCATGACGTGTCGGACCACGATGTTTAGTCCGGAACCTCTCGAATATGATTTATTTGCATCCATTCCGTCCCATCGCCCGTTCTCGTATTCGCGGCACTGAAAGATTTTCATTGTACAGTTGTCACGATGCTTGTACAACGCCCCGCGGGCATCCGTGTCATCTTAGCGGCCGGCATGGTCCTACTGTTCAGTGTTCCGATGTATCTTGTCTATCTCAAACGAAACCCCGATTGGAAATCGAAACCATCAGCCTGGTTGGCCAATTCGGGACAGAATGGTGATGAAGAAATGGTTTCGACGCCAACTACAAATCCAGAGCTCTCCAAACCAAGCAGACCGCCCGAGTCCATCCAGGATGCCCATAAACTACCAACAGCAGATGATTTCCTATCTCATTTCACGGCTGTTACGCAAATAAAGGGAATGACAATGTCAGAGGCAAAATCATCATGCTCTTGGGAAGTTAGCGAGGAGGTCAATTTTCAGTACGGCAACGATTCCGAATGGGCAGTTCAAGATAGGGCTGACGAAGAGCTTGAGTTCCGTCGGAATCAATGGCACCATTTCATCAATAATGAATTGTTACCATACGAGTCATACAAAGATCGATTCAACGGTCGTGGTATTGTCATTGTTGCAGGAAATGGAAAGAGCTTGAAGCGTGTCAGGGTCATCCTGCGACAATTGAAGAGTCTGGGATCTCGGCTACCAATTGAGCTGCATTACTGGGGCGATGAATTTCCAACCAAAGCCCAAAAAGAAATGTCCACGTTGTGGCCTAGCATGTACTTCAATGATCTATCTTCGTCATCGAACATTCTGAAAAGCAGCAACGACAACTTCTTCCACATCAATTATCAGCTCAAGACCGTCGCTGTCATGAACTCGCGGTTCGCTGAGCCATTATTACTAGACTCAGACAACATACCAATCATTGATCCCGAATCTCTTTTCGACTCAGATACGTACAAGGAATTCGGCACCTTATTCTGGCCAGACATTGCAAGGACACGACCCAATAATCCAATATGGGCAATTACGAACACGCAGTGCCGTATGGACGAATATGAGCAGGAAAGCGGACAGCTTATTGTTGATAAGCGCAAGTTCTTCTATCATTTGCAATTGGCCGCTTGGTTCAACAACGTCCACGCACAGTATTACAATGAGTTTCTGCTTGGTGATAAGGACATGTTTCGATTCGCATGGCATGCTCTAAAAACCAAATATGGAACTCCACGGAAATGGGTCACAAGGTTAGTACCAAGGAAAAGACTTCTTGTCTCGTTTGTCTTGTGACCAAATTTCTTCTAATAGACCATGTGCTAACAAACATCTATAGTGTTGGAACGGTTGCCCCAAATGGGTATTATTGTGGTCACAGTTTCGCACAGCATCATCCCAATGGATCAGTTGCATTTCTCCATGGTGGGCTACTCAAGACGATACCAAAAGCAGTCATGAAATGGGAACGAGAGAGCCGAGGAGGCATTTTCCAAGCTTACAAGAGAAGTGTAGTTGATGAACGACACAACCTCATTGAGAAGGTTGCTATCAGTATGGATGGCGTACCATATCTACCAAACAGGCCCGAAGATTTGGGAATTCAGTGGTGCACTGATCTTAAGGATGTTCATCCTCGTAAATTGGATGAACTTGTTCCTGGTTTTGAGAAGACTTTCGAGGATCTTGGAGGTTATTGGATGTTGGATAACGATGGTACACATACATAATGTCTTGTGTACAAAGTAATGAATCATGCTTTTCACTCATGCAGAAACTCTACACAGCTGCGGTACCGCGCACTCAGGCGTGTCTCTGCCAGTGACCCGGGTCATTACAGACATTATTAGAACACCTTCTTCCAAACCCCCCTCTCGAAAAATCCTGAGCGCTCGTTTACGATTTATCGTTCCAGACATCAACATGGACATGCTCTACCACACCACTCCCAGCCTCAACATCCTGCCCCGCCCCAAGCGTGGGCAACCTCAACCTTGCTTTCGGCGTCAACGCCTTTTGATTTTTATCAATCTTTGGAATCTGCTCCAAAAACCACTTTTTCGTGCCCTCTCCATCTTGGTACCATTCTTCTTGCTTTTGTATGACGTACTCGACGAAACGAAACGCCACTTTTCGCCCCGCGTACCGTTGAATCGACTCTCCGGGTTTCAATCCTCCTATTTTACGAGATCGTCGTCGCTGGCATGTGCAGCAAGTTATGACTCCGATGGTAAGACCTAGTATAAAGGTCGCAATTGCGATTCCGATTGTAAGGCCAACTGAGACTGCCATGTTGTTTTTGGTCGTTTAGATTTAGCAGTATGAGGAAGGAGGAATTATTTCAGACTTTTTATTGCATAATTATCAGAAAGTGAGACATGTTCATTAATATAGGGCGGAAGGGAACGCTTGACGTAGCTTCATTGTATAAACTTTCGCGTCATAGCGCATGACTATATAAGAAATGTGGATCTAGACCGAAAACTAGTCGCTTGTCCTTCAACGAACTGGGGCTTATTGGGTGCTGGATGACCGATGACTTTACGCAGAACTCATGGCGATATATACAATAATCAAGAATGACTTTTCCCAAGCAAAACGAATAGCCTCAATGAATCTGCAGCGGTGAGACTTCGCAAGGATTGCTAAGTCCTGGACTGTGGAAAGAGAACAGGTAACAGGTGAATTTCAATATCTAAAGATACAAAGAACCACTCGAAGCAGCAGGTCTCTCATCACGATAACAACAAAGATATACTCCACCATAGCGGCGTACACTGTTTGGGTTTTAGAGCTATGGTGTAAACATGGTGCTAAAGTTTGGCTTAATACATATTTCATACCAATATCTAGTGCAATTTTGTGGTGGCGAAACGACGCCTCAGAACATGATCATGAGGATGCTGTCATCTGCTGTGACCAGAACCAGGCACCCACATCTCTGGCTCTGGGTCCCCATCAATGTTCAAAGCTTCCTCGGTATTCATGTTCAAAGAATGCTCCCTTCATATCAGCATATGATGGCAAGAACGCTGAATAATAAAGCTGACCATATCCTATGCCTCCTCAAAGGACCCTCCCTCTCTCACCTAAGTAGCCCAGCTGCACCTGCGACTTCCTTGTCACTCTTGAGTGCATCTTCACCCATCTCATCCTCGACAGAACTTTTGTTTACCGATGGCGACGACTCCCGGGCTCTCTTAACCCCGCGTCCTGACCATTCAGTTGATACGGGCTTTTTCAGACCAAGAGGCTTAGCATCGATCCAGCTCCTGTAACCTTCGTCGATCTTTTTTGCTTGACTTCTTCGAAGCACTTTCTGAAACTATCAGGAGCACAGTAGGTTCCGAGAATCATTTTCTTCGTAGGTTTGTCATTCCTAGCCTGAAGTTTCAGTGCCGAAGACATGACCCTACCGTATATGCACATGGCTTCAACTTGCTGCCTCTTCAGGTTTTCCTGATCTTCTCGAAAGACAAGGAATGACAAATTATCTTCCTCTTCATACTCAGAATTCCCACTGGCGGGCTTCTTGGCCGGATCGATCCTATCTGTACCAAACAGAAGAGAGAGTGCCGCGTTGTTAGGCTCGAATTCTTCTGTTGTCTTTCTCTTGAGGGTACAAGGCAAACGCTTCAGGAGAAGTGGGATCCCAATGATCTCCGAAATAACAGATTTGTACTCGTAAGTGCCGATTTCGGCGTGTTTCTTGTTGAGCAAGACTGTTTGAAATTGGGAACTCGGAATTTGCTGATGAAGCTCTGCCAAGTTGTTGATCTTGACGGCTTGACACCACTCTGGCTGCTTCAGTGCAACGAATGGGTTCTCTGTGTTGTTGCCGCCAACTTCAAATATGTAAGTATCTTCAAGGAAGCACTTAAGGGCAACTCGAAGGTCGTTGGCGGTCATGTCTCGATACTCTGCTACACGATTATCGTTTGTCATCTGTTCTACGCCCATGATGACAACAGAGCTCCTCAGACGGTGCGGATATGCGCCATTTCGCAAGTTAGAGTATCGTCCTCCTCGGATAAGCTGGGAAATACCTGAATTCTCTTCGGGAAATTTACCGCTGTCAGTCGAAAGCTGAATCGTCCTATCGTGGAAAGTGTAGAAGAAGTCCTTCCGCACATCACCACCACCAATCCAATCGCTGTACTGGGAGATTGCTTTGGAGGTATCACTTTCCTCGACAGTTTCGACCCAAATCATTTGTGGCATGTCCTTATCTGGTTCGTCTTTGTCGAAGCGCATGCCAAGCTTGTATGTGACATCGGGCTCATCTGGAGGATGCTCGTCATCGAGATTGTTGAGTGCGACGGTCATCTTCTCGCAGATTCGCTCGTGCAAAGCGTTGTCTCTGACCTGGCAGTGCTTGGAGCAATAAGCTGCGGACTTGCAATCTTTGCAAATCAAGTTTGTTGGCCTGCCGCAGACGCCACACTTGACAGGAGCCATGATGGTCTTGGAGATTCTGGTGAGCTGACCAATTCACACCTGAGTGAGTACTGTGTTGAATCAGGTACTCAATGGGGGCGCTGACATTGAAGACCGTAGAAGTGTGGTGGGTGAGCACTGGCATGAAATAGGGAAAAGAAAGCTTCCAAGGCATTCAAGAAGCAAGCATAGCCTCTTGAAGGCACATGTATTGACTAGAAGCTCCATGCAGTGAGATCATGAAGCAGATGGCATGGACAGAAAGCAATGGTCCAAAGTGAAGGCATGATTTGAAGCGACATCATATTTTTGTCAATGTTCGAAGGGACAGGAACAATGAAAAGAAGGAAGCGATATGCACTGACAACCTCGCTCGCCGCCTTGACTTCAAGGGGTCGGCAGCTTTACGAGTAAACTGCTTTTTGTGTGTCATGTCATCGCTGCATAATACATTCTAGAGACATTTTTCCCTTCAGGATGTTGAAACTCTGAAAGAGGAATGTGCCTGGAGTGCTTCATGAAGATGCATCCATGTGGTGACGATGATATTAATCTGCCTTTACAACTTCAAAATTATTATACTGGGTTGAATGAGTTGTCGTGTCTACCAGAGACGACAATTTTGCAAGGCACATGGTTGAGACCGGTGGAAGGAAGCTGAGTTTAGGGTGGGAGGTGTGGATGATGGGACAACAGAAGCACCATGAACGAGAAATGATGGATAACATATATATGTTGCAGCTTCGCTAAATAATACTTTTGAAGTCCAAGGACATTCTTATTTGCTCTTTCAGAAAAGACTGAAGGAAATAGACCGAAGGAGACCTACGCACTTTCGTGCATTTCCCTAGCATATAATACACACTTTTGAGTACCAATATTTGTTTCCTCAACCAAACAAAAGCGAGGTGAGACCGATTGAACGATGATACGCCTTGCTTATCAGATGCACGCGAAGCGTTACAAGATATCAGGGTCTGACATTGCAACTTTAGCTCTAGATTCAGCGTACTTAAGTACTCGTCGGCGCCTCTGCTCTGGTGTGTCATCGTCCCGTTCCTTCGGCAATGGCGACTCGAGATTCTCCTCAACGACGATACCAGCAGATCTCATTCCGGGAGGTGGCAAAGCATCGGCCCACTCAGCGCTAGCCTCATTGTCCTCCGCCAACTTTCCCTTCTTGAAGATTTCGAAGTACTTCCCAAACTTCTCAGCTGAGCACCAGACATCAAGCACAGCCTTCTTGTCTTCGGGTTCCCATGTCCAGTCCTCCGGCGGTTCCAGAGCGCGGCTGAGAACAAACTGACAGTAAGCCGAAAGTGCTTCAATTTGTTGAAGTGTAACAGCCTGCCCATCCTCTCGGTAGGCTAGGTAGGAAGAGTCTTTGTAGTTGTCAAATTTCGGGTATTCTGGCCGACCTCAGAAATGGTTCCCTTCTGAGGTATCGATGTTTCTCAGAAGGTTTACACCTGTCTTGTTGGTGTAGTCGCGGAGGTCGCCGGGTTTCTTGGGATATTCGAGGAAGAGCAGAGGGATGTCCATATGCTCAGATATTGCTGATTTGTGGTCATATCTTTCAACTTTGGGGTGATTCCTGTTGATCATGACAAGCTGCAAGTTGACGTGAAACATGTTGGGAGTTCCCGAGTTCCAAATTGCCACACCTTGAATCCATTCCGGTTGATCGAATAGGATATACTTACTTGTTGTGGTGAAGTCGGTCTCATCGTCGATTTCGTAGAAGAAAGTGTCCTGAAGGAAGCAGGACAATAAAATCCGAAGATCTGCAGCAGCAAAGTCTCGATACTCTGATACGCGATCAGAATACTTGCTTACAGCCATGACCACAATTGGACCTTCGAAATTGCCGCCATCGGCCTCATCTTGCATGTTGAACTTCATTCCATTACTAGCCAGGAGCCTAACATTATCATTGCTGGCCAAGTTCTCCTTGTCTGTAGAACTCCAGATCTCGATCTTTCTATCGTGCCGAGCGTGAATCGCGGCTTCTGCTGATTTGAGCCAGCCAGAAACATTGCGGAGTAACGACCAGTACCCTGTATCGTGATCGATATCAAGCTCTGTCCTGACCCAAGTGAGCTCCAGCTCAACTTCAGCGCTGGTATTCATCTCGTGAAGGACTAACCCGAGCTTGTATGTAGTTTGGTAGCTGTCTTGCGGCTGCGGATTGGATGCTAGGAATTCTTCAACTTCGTCGCAAAAAAGTTTATGAAGAGGTTGGTCCTTGTCTTGGCAAGTAGTGGAGCAATATGGCGCGGGATTGCACAATCTAAAGGTAAGACCCGTGAGTTTGCCGCAGACTGCACACCCCTGCACACCCCTCTGGAGGCATACTGATGGTTATCGGTGTGGGATCGAGTTGGGACCTCTGTAGCTTTGTATGCTATTGAAGTGGAAGAAGGTGTAGCTCTGTGTCTTGTTGATTGAGGAAGAAGGACGATCGAAGTTATTTTCAAGAAAGCTGAAGTGGGAGCTGATGCCTAAAGCTGAAGGAATAAGTAAATAATGGCGCTGGAAATCCCCTGTCGTTACCCGAAAGTTTGTCAAGGTGAGGACCTGGGGAGCGAATGGCAGAGTCTGCCTTACGGCCATATTATGATGCTAAGCAGCAACCCGAAGACCTTGTGATATGTGATAGAAGGAGAGATTCTCACTTGCCAATGCTGGCGCCCTTATCTTCGAAACCCATCACCTTGGACTTCCTGATTCTAGCAAACACTGCACCATGCCTCGAGCGCATCCAGTCACCGAGGTACATCATTGGTTATGATTACCATTTGTGTCACCAACGCCAGCTATTCCTCCTTTCTGCACTTCTCAGATTAGAATTTCTTGAAAAACATGGTCGGTATAAGAACTTCAGAATTTGGCGAAGACACAACTGTTTTAAGGCGTCCTTCGGCCGTCGCCATCTATTTATATCGAGCCTTGAGACTTCAAGTCTAAGCTATAGCATAGTTGCCAACAAGTTTTGACATGAATGATCATCTTCTCTGTCGCTTTGCCAAACAAGACTTTCTGCCACTGGTACAATTAGTACTGCACATTATTACTCTGGTATGGGGCTAAGCGCTGTTCTTTCTCATCAAAGCGGAGGCAACGGACTACCCTGATTGATGCCATGTTCTGGTTATCTGGTGATGATGGGGGATGTACAAACGTTCAAGTGTCGAAAGGATGAGGTTGGATATCACGAGCATCCTGACTCAGCATCGACCAGGAGGCGGAAGCCTCAATCTCCCCCACTTGAACGCACAGATATCTCGATTACAGCCCCGCCAACCTGATCAATTGATACCCAAGGCTACACACTCAGAAGTTTCAGGCTGGTGGAATATGAGATCATGTGTACCAGATGCAGTGCATTGCAGTTCTCTCGATACAATACTGTCCAGCCATTCTTAAGGCTTTTCAGGAACCAGAGGCCACTCGGAGCAAAGGGACAGGGGATAGCTGCACTGCCAGCTGAACAGAAATCTGATACAAGCCTCAGTTTGCGCCACTTGTGAAGCCTTGTCTACTTGAATGGATGTAAGACATTTGGAGACAAGACAAGAAGTTGCAGAATTCCAAGTCTCTTTGCTTTGCTTCATCATGTGTGTTGTCTTAGTAAAGCTCTTGATGGATATTCGGTATGTGATGGAGGACTACATCATTGGTTGACGACATCCCATAAGCGCTCTTCTACTGTAGGGAGATGTTCCCATCACTTCCCTGCTCGGCCAGCCCCTCATAGCCCTTTCACTCACTCACTCCACTGCCACTTGCTCCCCTCATCTTGAATTTGATATTGGGTAGGCATATGCTGGAGTGTTGCATGTCCCAACACAACGCCACCCCTTTTTCGCCCTCGCCCTGAAGAATACAACGTGAACATCCCGCGAATCCGGATCGGCAGCCAATTACTCTTGCCCCTGTGCTAAGCTCCAGAGGAGAGTGGCAGACATCTTAGGGCAAACCTTTACCAAGTCCAGCGCCAAATAGGGCTTTTCGAGGCGCACGTTCTCTGCACTGTAACGAGTTTAAATCCCTCCAACCATCCATCACTAGCCCTCCGACGTGCCGTTGGCTGGCCTCCACCTTTGATGACCATGACCATGACCATGACCGTGTGAACCTGGACCTTGACCTGCCTCTAGATTTGATTACCTACACGACCACCATCAAAGAACCTGACGGCGCGCTTGTTTTACCGCTCAGCTCACGTCGTGATCGTTGTTTTGTTCCTTTCTTCCCTCGTCGTGAATTGATCCATCCCATCCCGTCGCCAGGTCGAATCCCGGATATATGATCATCGCAGCTGTCGTGCTTGGGAGATCCTCCTCTGCTCCTGCACCGTTGATGGTTGGCGAATAACTTTTTTAACGCCGAAGCAAGGCCCGGCCCAGTCGAGTCCAGACGGATCTTCGAAGGTGTGGAAGTCTTCGTCTTTGTGTTGAGCGCTCTGGACAATTTTTCTTTTGGAGAATCTTGAGTGAGAAACTGGAAACTGCACCATCGGCATCTTCCCCCGCGTCATCCATTCAGCATCGCTCAACTCATTGCTCTCTCGAAACGAACATTTAAAAAAAAAAAAGGCGCAACCACCACCTCGCGCAGGCAAAGATACAGACATCCATTCCGCATTCTCTGGAGGACGTCAGCAGTACAGCTGAGCTGAAAGAGTCGCTTTCGCGTCCTTGCTCTCGCATATCATATCGCAATCTGCTTCCGATCTCACGGCCACCCCGCCAACAACATCATGAACGGCTCGCACATCAAACAGGCCGCAATCCAGAAGGCAAAGCAGGTCGCAAACACAGCTTCTTCCAATGGAAATGCAACCAAGAAGCGGAAGAAGGAGTTGAAGCCCATCATCACCACCGAGGGTCAGCAGCAGCAGCACGATGCTGAGAGTGCGTCGATGGCATCCTCGAATCAAGCATCTGCAGGGTAAGTCCCTCTCCCCTCGTGGCGGGCAGCAGATCTACTTTCTATCAATTCTCACCTCCGCCATCCATTTTCACTTTTCTGCAACAAACACCATGCGCGCAATCCTCTCGTCTTCATCTCGTCGGTCTTGATCGCCATGCCGATTGCTACCATCTATCTGCACAATGTCTTCCCTTTTCAAGTCCCTGCTAACCACCAATAATAACGGTCACAGACCGACCGGCGCACCAAACAATTCGAAAACTACAATGAACCGATCTCCCTCCTCCTCCTCATCGCAGCGGGAAGATGCCGCCGAGACGACTGCAGACGAAGAAGATTCCGAAGACTACTGCAAGGGCGGATACCATCCCGTACAGGTCGGCGAACAATTCAAGGAGGGGAAGTACACTGTGGTGCGCAAGTTGGGATGGGGTCATTTCTCCACCGTCTGGCTTTCCAAAGACAATGTCACGCAGAAGCATGTCGCGTTGAAGGTGGTACGCTCAGCCGCGCATTACACTGAAACGGCCATAGACGAAATCAAGCTGCTCAACAAGATCGTTGCCGCGAAGCCGGATCACCCTGGTCGGAAACACGTCGTCAGTCTGCTGGATTCCTTCGAGCATAAAGGTCCCAATGGCACACACGTTTGCATGGTTTTTGAGGTGTTGGGGGAGAACCTGCTGGGTCTGATCAAGCGATGGAACCATCGTGGTATCCCGATGGCGCTCGTCAAGCAAATCACAAAGCAAGTCCTCCTGGGTCTGGATTACCTACATCGAGAGTGCGGGATTATACACACGGATTTGAAGCCAGAGAACGTGTTGATAGAGATTGGGGACGTAGAGCAAATCGTCAAGACATACGTTAAAGACGAGCCAAAGAAGGAGAACAAGGATGATAACCCAAATGGACGAAGAAGACGTCGGACACTCATCACTGGCAGTCAACCTTTACCAAGTCCTTTGAACGCCAGTTTCAACCATGCGGAGCTGCTCCGGTATCCAGGCAGTTCGGCAAATTCGCATACGAGTCTGAATCAGATGATGCACGAAGGTAATGAATCTCCTGTCAAGACTAAGAGTGCACCACCACAAGATCCTGTCCTAATGACAGGTGCAATAGGCGGATCTCCAAAGAGCGAAAAGGAGGATGAGGAGAAGCACAAGCAACGAGAAAAGACTGCGTAGGTTATTTTACTCTTTTGTTGGATGCCGCTAATCCTTGACAGTGATCTACTTACCCGTGAAGTCTCTGGTATCTCCCTCGATAAGTCAAACGATCAGAAGGAGCCTACCGGATTTGAGAAGATATCAGTCAAGATTGCAGATTTGGGGAACGCCTGCTGGACTACACACCACTTCACAAATGATATCCAAACAAGACAATACCGGTCACCAGAAGTCATTTTGGGCTCGAAATGGGGTGCTAGTACTGATGTTTGGAGTATGGCTGCGATGGTATGTTACATTCCCCTGACCGTCGAACAAAGCTGACAGCGACAGGTCTTTGAGTTGATCACAGGCGACTATCTCTTCGATCCTCAGTCCGGTACCAAGTACGGCAAAGACGATGACCACATAGCCCAAATCATCGAACTACTCGGCCAATTCCCCAAATCCCTCACAATGTCAGGAAAATGGTCTCAGGAAATCTTCAACCGAAAAGGCGAGCTCCGAAACATCCACCGACTTCGTCATTGGGCCCTTCCAGATGTTCTGAAGGAGAAATACCACTTCAAGGAAGATGAGGCTAGGAAGGTTTCGGAATTCTTGACCCCGATGCTGGAGTTGGTTCCGGATAAGAGAGCGAATGCTGGTGGAATGGCAGGAGCGGAGTGGTTGGAGGATACAGTGGGGATGAAGGGAGTTCTGATCAAGGGGTTGGAAGTAGGAAGTAAAGGGGAAGGAATCGAAGGATGGAGTTGCGAAGTGAAGAAGCGGTAGAAGACCCGTTCCTCGTCACAGAAAGCGTGGATATATCTGATGTGTGGTGTATGGATGTAAGGGAGGCGAAATCTTTAATATGCGCAGCACCTCTTCTTGCATAAGATGGTTCTTCCGCAACAACAACAGCAAGGCAACACTCACTCAATCTCGTTCGTTTTTATTATCCCTCTTTTTATCGTGTTGGTCACGCTTCGATCGTTCTCGGTCGAGATCGAGGTGGAGGCAAATACGCATGATACGTTGACGACGAAATGAATTAGGCTGTGAACATGTGGTGGGTGCGTGGGTTATTGGATGAAAGGATGATATGTTTGTGAATGGATGTTTGGAATGGGATGGCGTTAGAGAATAAGTAAGTACGTACGTAGATAGACGAATGTGATCCCTGGCTTGGCTTGTGCTAGTTTTGGCTGCTGTTGCTTTTGTGTTTGTGTGTTGAAATAATAAAGGATGGAGGGGGAGTGGGTAGGGAGAATGGAGGGGAGAGCAGGGGAGGAGCAAAAGTGGCAAGTGCCTCCGTTAGGGTACATGTTGTTCAAGATGTGTGCGGTACCTGCTTCCCAACAAGGAATAGGAGCAGGTGAAGTGAATGACATATGATGCCAGCTGCAAGGTATCGCAGGCTGAGCAATCTCCAAACCGAAAATTCAAGTGAATCGTCGACTGCTTTTTTGAATTCACTTTTTGAGTCCGAAACCAAGTTTTGCAGAGCTAGAAACGTATATATATACCTCTCCGCGCTCTCTTGGTAGGGATCCGTACTCAACCTAGCAACAAACCAGCAACAAGCACAGCATTGGCGAGTAAGGTCGCGGCACTGTATGACGGATTGCTTTCCTAGCTAAAGGCCTCATGAGTTGGTCATCCGTTCTTTCAGCGTTTCCTTGCAGGTGAGCACTTGGGGAGATTTTTGCTTCTTTAGCTGTCGTCAAGTGTGTGACTGCTGTTGCTGTCAACTGCTGAGTTATTACTGTCTGGAGTAGGATTAGTGGTCCGAATTTATGTTCAGAGTCCTTGCATAGCTACTGATTTCCTACTGTAACTCTAAACTTACCACTATCTTGGCCCTTACGTCTTTAGGCTCCACCAGGGCCAACCTTTCCTTGTGATCTTCCTTGTATGCTTCCAACTGCACTATTCCTGAAAAGCGTAAGGTCGGGTCGAGTAAATATAGTCCTCTAGAGGGAATCCTTTGACGAGAGGTCGGAAGCTGGACTTGATTCGTTTGAGAGTTGTCACGTCTCATCACGTACACCTTGCCATACAGCGTCAATTGATCGGCCTCAGAAACCGTAGCCTCTAGCAGAGTCCTACGAGCCATGTCTTTAGTGACTAACACCCCCCTCCCTTCCTCTGTTTCATTCCTGTTTAAAGATTGGTAAAGTTGTACAAAGATTCTGCACCAGGATAAGTAGTTTATATACTACGGGGCTCATTAATGAAACGGATAAAATGCGTGAATTATTTGTCTCCACCTACACTAGCGCTCCTAAGCAATCAATTCCCAAGACCCCAATGACTAAGAAATGCGTGATCATGAAATGCGTGAATCGTAAGATGCGTAAATCGTGAAATACGTGAATCAAGTGCTTAACCGCATGCTTATTTCTCAAAAACTTTTTTCAAGCAATCACGAAAACGATAAATAGAGGGGATCATGCGGGGTAAGAAAGGTAATATTTTCTCTGCGATTTCTGAACACCTATTGGGACCCCGTCGCTCGGTGTATGTACACATGAAGTAGCCACTAAGCCTGAGCTGTCCGTGTCTTGATCTCAGGCATTACTACACTTGCATCATTTACCAAGAAGCTATTACTATCAATGAATAGTCATTGTTACGTATCCTTGTTCATTCGTCTAATACTTGTGTTTCTGTTTGTTGAGAGCATCAAGAATATCACGATTGACAAAATATTGATGCAGGTGACTTCAATCTCTGGCTGGAGTGCTTGGGACTTCAGCAGACTATTTTTTAATATCTAGTTAGGACTTATGAAAAGGTAGAAGATGGTCGAAATGAGGGACTTTGAACTTGCCTAAAGTGGGTTCTGAGGTTGTTTTTAAGAATCTCTGAATAATTACAATGGAACTCTTTGCAACTATTTTATGTTAGTAAAGAATTCCAAATGGAAAGGCAATAGGAGCCTAAGAACCCAGGTATACTTCCCAGACATTTAGTTTTGCCATAAGTTCCTGCTCTCTTCAATACATGAGATAGCTTCTATGCATTTTCAATGACTAACGACAATTTCCTTGTCATAAGTTTTCCGTTCATTTCAATACATTAAGTAATCTCTCAGTGTCTCCGCCTTCAGAGATTATCTCCTCGGCATGAATCGTCATTATGTTCAATACATCAAACAACTTTTCGATGCCGTGATCGCCTGCGACAATCTCTTTGGAATAATTCTTGTAGTTCCTTGGGAGATTTCAGACAAGATGCTCTTTTGCAATTCACCTCCCTGCTATTGTCAAAATAACGCAAAGCTGCGTCTGCCACGAGACATATAACGTTGCGTTGTCAACTTTGCAACAACAATATCACTGTCAACAGAATAAATCAAAGTTCATTCGTGCATTGGATTGATGAGCCTGTTCAAAGTATCTGCAAGCTCGTCCACATCTACCCTCCAGGCAAAACAACCCCAAGATCCATGGAAGGAGAATTCATCGTTCATGTTTGAGTTTTACGATGAAGAAAGCGTCCGCTCAAGAAGTATTTAAAGGCGGGAGAAGCGGCGCGGCGCGGAGTCAAACAAAGGCCGACTGAGTGGTGAATTTCATAAAGTGAATACCGCGGAGCGGAGCGGAACGGGGCGGGCAAAGCCGGTAGGTGAATAAGAAGTGAATGTCAAGAATCAAATGGAGTATGACCATGAGCAAGACTCTAGACAAACAGAAGTGCTCCATCGACGAATTAGGAAGTCACGAACTGTAATTCACTACTTGTATTGCTTCCTTGTAACCCCATGGAAAAGTCTGGACGAGTATATATACTCGGCTCGACCCTCCGTCTTTCGGAATAGTGCAGAGTTCAATGCACACTGCGAAGTGCGACAGACGAGTTTGGACGAGTTTCTCGCCAGGAGCGATTGCCTGTATTATCATTGTTTGCTGGTTCTCGCTGTCAACTTCACGTCGTTGTCGTTTCTAAATCACAATCCCGGTTTCCACGCCCCATCATCCCAGAAGGAAAGCTTGCATGATTGAAGGTCATCAAAAACTCTGCACACGGCCGGATTAGGATCGGGTCTTACCCCCATACGGGCTACGCAGAGATAAGTAGGACACCTAATGTATTTGCATGGTTGGAGGTACAGCAACTAAAAGAGGTGGGCTTTGTGATGTGCATTTATATCTCGGATGGTCACCATTGGTCTTGAGACAGGTGAAGTTACGTACAGGGAGGTGCTGAAGAGGTAGGTACCGTAACTATTGTTATCGCTTATACTGTGTCAATGGTAAGGTATAGAACTGAATAAAGTCAGAGACAAGAGAAAGGAAAATGTTTAGTAAAAACAGCGAGGCTTATTATAGCGAGAAGAGGTGAGCCCGTGCAATGAGCTGCTTTGTTGAAAAACTCTGCTAGCAAATTCAACATAGACGATGCGAGGACAAAGAATCATAGATAGTGGTATCTCACTGAGAGGAGAAACGTCTAGATTTCCTACAAGGAAAGTTCGCACGTTGTGGTAGCAGCCTGTCAAAAATGTGGCACTGCCCAACCAGGGGATGCTCACGACGGTTCAAAGCTAGAGAATCTTTGCTGGAATAAAGTCTACTAAAAGCATTGTCTATGGCGTCTCATAGGATAGGGTCAATGACCCGTTTGCAGCGATTAGTAGCCCGGCCTCATTAGCAGGAGAGACAACGATCGTGCACTGTCTTGAGAAAAATCACGTGCTGGTGAAAAAGGATGCTGGTTTTGAAGTCCTCGTAGGGAAGATGTTATACAGAGAAAAGGATAGGGAAGACATTTGTCCTCCATACCCTATAATGCTATGCTCATCGCTCATTTCCAATGAAAGCGCCATTCCAAGGACTCCACTAATGCCACTATCGTACCTCATCACTTCGCCGAAATGGCTGCTATCCACTTATCTTGATCCTTCCTGTCATGGCATTAGTGTGTGTTTTAAATTGTACTCGAAGGAATACATACTTATCGAAGTGCAATAGCTGCCCCAAGACCGTCTTGACCAAATCCGCTTGTCTATTTTTGTCTTTCTGCTCCAAGAATTGAAGTAAGATGGTCTTCAGATAGACATAATCCATCTTAGGCGCAGCGCCATTGACAGGCGTCCCTCTCCCACTCCCACTGTCCATCGAACTTCTCGTGCTGGCATCATTCAACCTGCTCTGTTTAGTTTGCAGAGCTTTGAACTCTTTCTGAAGCTTCTCATATCGTAGATTGGCGTCATCAAGTAGGCGCCTTAGATCAGCTCGCTGCTTCTCGGTATCGCGGACTTGCTTCTCACTGCCATCAAGAGCTTCACGAAGCTCGGTCATCGCTGATCGAATCTCGTCAGCTTCCTTTGAAGCATGTTCAGCTGTGCCTTCAAGCTCGTCACGTTTCCGTTTCCACTCTTTCTCCTTGTACTCGAGTTCTTCTCTTTCTTCAGTCGCACGTTTAAGATCACGTTCGAAATCTCGTATTTTGCCTTTGAGCTCCTCCACTTCTCTGGCTTTCCTCCTGCCATTGGTGCTGGCCTCATCTTCGGCACGATCTCGCTCCTCAATAGCAGCCTCCATACGTTCTCGCATTTCTCGGACCTTGGCATCAGCACGGTCGTCCACGTCTGCTAGAAGCCGGCGCATCGTCTCGCCTTCCCTGGTTCGTTCGCTCAATAGACGCTGCACTTCACCAAGCTCTTCCTCCAAAGACTCGGTTTGATCCTTGGCTTCCTTGAGTTGCATGGCCATCTCTCCAGCTTGATCACGCATGCTACCAAGAAGACCTTGAGCATTGTTGTACTGTGAACCACGAAGCTCGACTTCTTCTCGGAGGCCTTTGGACTCGGAAGTGAGTTTAGAGACATGATCTTCAAGCTCACGGACCTTGATACGTAACTTGCCAGCCTCTTCCTGTACTTTTGCAAGCTCACCTGCAGACTTTTCATTTGAAGCTGTGAGTTGGATCTTCTCCGCTTCGGATTTCCTCATGTCGCGCTGAGCAACGCGATTCTGATCTTCGGCACGGAGGCGAGCATTGGTCTCTTGTGTGACTTTCTCGTTCAGTGTCCGGATCTCGTTTTGACTGTCAGCAGCTTGCTTCTTGAAGCTGTTGATGTCGCCCTTTAGATCCCTCTCTCGAGCCTCGAGACGTCGCAACTCTGAGGTTTTGGTGGCCAACTCGTCTTTGGTGGCTTTGAGGGTCGCATTCTCATTTCGAAGAGCTCTTAGCTCCGGTTGAGCTTTCTGTAGGATGTCTTGAAGATTGGTAAGATCTTTGTATCGAGATGCTGCAAGTTGTTGGGCAGCTCCAAGATCAGTCTGTAAAGATGCAGACTTCAGTTTAAGATCCTCGTACTCGCTTGTCAGGGACTTGAAGTCAGCTCCAGCTTTTTCAGAGTCTTCGGATTTGGTCTTGTAAGTCTCGATCTCTTGCTCGAGCTTGGTTGTTTGGCTCTTGGAGGTCTCAACTTCCTGCTCAAGGTTTGTGATTCGCTCTTGTAGTTCCGTTTTCTCCTTCAAAAGCTCCTTGATCTTCTCCTTCGCTTCCACGTGTTCCTGACCAATATTCAGGAGATTCTCTTGCATATTCTCAACTTCTTCGCGGAGATCCTCCTCGGTCTTCCGCTTCGTTTGAAGTCTAGCGATCTGTTCGTCACGATTCGCGATCTCTTCCTTGAGTCTCGTAATCTCGGCCTCCAGATCCGCAGAGACACTAGTGGCCGGGACTGATTCTGTCGTCTTCTCAACTACTTCATCTTTCGGAGTAGCTGTGGTGGCAGCTCCACCCTTCTTCTTCTTTTTGTTCTTCTTCTTGGCTGCACCAGTAGAAGGTCCGGCTGCAGGGGCATCTGAAGCGGTCACGGATTTTGGAGCATCCTCAACTTCATGACTGGCGTTCTCCTCGACTTGCTGATTCAGAGATTTGATTTGTTCCGACAGCTCGTGAATAAGTTTTGTGTCCTTTTCTTGAGAAGCCTCCAGGTCTTTGATTTGGGCCTCCAGCTTGTTCCGAAGAACATCGGCATCAGTCAACGTGCTGGTCTTACTTTGCAGCTCCTTTAGAACATCCTCTTTCTGGGTTTTGTGGGTGGTTATATTATCCTCTAGAGAGGATATCTTCTGGTCTGCGTTTGATTTCTGCTTGGTAAGTGTGGCCTTGAGGCTAGCGATTTGGGTTTCTGTAGCCTGGAGCTTTTCTTTCAAACTCTTGATCTCCTCTATTTGGGCATCGATCATCTCCTGGCGAGATTCCCCTTCCTTGGAAGCTTCTTTCGTCCCATTGAGTTCGCGAGTAACCTTTTCTAAGTCTTGAACCAATTCAGAGCTAGATTCTTGAGCGGTAGCCAAGTCTTTCTCTAAAGAATCGACCCTACTCTTCAATCCTTCCACTTCGGTAGTCTTCTCCTGGAGGTCGGCCTGAAGCTTTGGAACTTCGTCATCATATGAGAAGAACTCTTCGCTAACATCCTTGCTATCTGTAGACTCGGCCTTCTGCTTGGGAGAAAATATCCGTAGAACTGACGAAGCAGGCGATTTAACGGAGGCCGTAGGTGTATCAATACTGGCGGTATCTGCCTTCTCAGTGGTGGCATCTGCTCCCACATCGACAGAGCTTCTCAGTGTGGCCAACTCTTCTCTCGCTGTAGATGTCTGCTTCTCAGCCTCCTCGAATTTCTTTTTGTAATCATCTCTGTCCGCAGACACCCTCTTCAGTTCGTCCATGACCATATCCCCTTTCAAATTGAGTTGATTCAGATATTCAATCAGCGCATCGGGGTCGGATATGCCTGCCAAAGGAGTGTTTTCCTTCAGCGCCTTTTCGAATGGTTCGATTGATACTGCTCGAGAATGTGCTATCCGGTATGATTTCAGGAGTTCTGCATGCTATTAGACCATATTCTGCTAATTCTTCCAATGTCCTACCTTGATACCGAGCTTCCAGCTTCTCCAATTTCCTCAATTTTGTCCGCACTTCGGTAGGTAATTCTGGAGCTTTAGGGGATGTATCCGTGGACTCTGCGACCTTTTCATTCTCCCCTGCCCCAGCGACCTCGGTCCCATTATTGTCTGCCATTGCTGTAGCTTTCTCTGTCGTAGGTACTAAAGGAGCCTCCTCGTCGTCTATCACAAATGCGTTCTCGAATTCCGAGGGATCTGGACCTCTTCCTGCTGTCCCATCGTCTTTCGGCCTTGGCCGCCGAGGCTTCTGCGCCGGAGATTCGTTTCTCGTCGAAGATCGTCTCGCGGAAGAAGAGGATCTCGATATAGGGGCAGGAGTAGCTGTAGCTGTAGCTTTTTGGCGAGCTTGCTCCTCAGCAATGCGGGAATCGATTGCGCCCTTCAAACTTTGAAGGCGCTGAATAGGGTTAACAGACTGTCACAAGGCTGCCGAGAGAGCAAGAATGTTGAGAAGTGATTACCTGGAACATTATGCCACATCTATCAGAAATGGATTATTTCAATAATTACAAGTCAGAAAAAGAGGTCCGCAGAAGAAATACATAAATGCGACAATTGTCTGAATTTCACACAAAACAAAATATGTGTTCAGAATTAACATCTGAGCTCTGACAGACATGATGCGCGGCGCGGCGTAGGGGATTATTTTGGGGCGGCTCAACTTTATGTCCGTGCATCTTAGCTAGGGTCAAGCTCTCCTCCACGCTGAACACTCTCGACATCCACGACAACATGACACGGTGATCCACCACAGAGTCAAAGACTTCAATATGGTCTCACTATGGCCCTGGAAGGTAGCAGAATATCTCGGATCATCTGTCTTATGCTGACCATCACAGGGCGAGGACAACTCTCCAGCTGGTTTCGAAAAGACCTTATCGGCTCTGGCATCGAAGATCACAGCATCGCAGGCACATCTAGACTCGTTACGTTCACGAGGGCGTCGATTTAAGGCGTTATGGACTCTCTACACGAGTCTGGCATATCTCATCAGCGTTGTGGTACTCTTTTTGGCCGTGGGATGGAAGAATCTGGGTGCTCTGGAATACACAGCCTTGGCGTCGAGTCCGGTGGTGTAAGTATTATCTAGAATGACGGAGGATTTGGCTGATAATGTCAGAATCTATCTCGTACGAGCGGGGATCACAGCATACTACGATTATCGTACGGATAGCATCACGACACGACTTGAAGAGCAACAAGCAGAGCGCACGAAGACGATCGAGAAGTTGAAGGCTGCCACCAAATATGATTCTACTCAAGTACTACTAGAAAAGTATGGCGGAGCTGCACCCAAGGCAAAGAAACCAGCAACACCAAAAGCTCCAAAGGCGGTGCCAAAACAAACTGGAAGGGTATCCATAGGAGCTCCACCGCCAACTGCGAATATAGGTAGACCTGAACATATTCCTAGCCAACCTTCCACGCCACAACCTATTATGAGGCCGCCACCGCCTCAAATAATGCCCCCTCCGGCTTCTTCGCCAGCTACAGAGTTTGCACCAAACGCATACTCTGCTCCACCTCAATATGCCCAGAGCGGGGACAATGCCGGAGGAAATTGGTATGATAGGATATTGGACTTGTTGATGGGAGAGGACGAGACATCGCCAAAGAACAGAGTCGCCTTAATTTGCCAAGATTGCCGACTGGTAAATGGGCAAGCTCCTCCTGGGACCAGAACTTTAGCAGAGTTGGGAAAATGGAGATGCTTTGGTTGTGGTAGCATGAATGGTGAAGAGGACGAGGCTGCAAAGGTCGTCAAGGAAATGAAGGAGCGAATGGACAGTCAAGAAGAGCCTGCTTCTCCGGAGATCGTGAAAGTGGAGCATGATAGCGGTAAAGAGGCCTCGACAGATGAGAGTGGTGAAATGGTCGAGGCAGCTGATTCGGGAGAAGATACTGTTGAGGTGAAGCCGAGGAGAGGTCGACCGAGAGGTAACAAGTAGAAGGCCTAGTCATCTGACATGATTTATTGAGTATTTACGGCGAATAACGAAAAGCTCTTGGCCGTTTTCTTTCATGACTTTGCTCGATGAGAGATTGGAGGCTTCGTAGATTTCATGTCCGAAATATCCTGCTTCTCATGGGCCTTTGACTTTGATTCACCGGAGGCTATAGATGTAACGGCCGTGGGCTTCTTCGTCTTTTGGCTCTCCTTTCTATTCTCGTCCTTCGAGGCTTGAGGTCGTCCTTTGCTGACATCCCGCCTGTCCTGAATAGCTGGCTTGTCTTTTCTGTCCTTTTCCTTCGGTCGATGTCCAGTGGCGACTTGCATGTTCTGGATCTTTGCTTCTCCCTTAGAAGACTGACTCTCCTTGTCCTGTCCCTCTCTAGTCTTTCCCTTCACTTCCGGCTTATTCCAATACCTCGAAGTGCGAGGCAAATACTCCATAGCATCCTCATATTCACTCTCCGCCTCATACTCATCCCGCACCTCCTCCCTCGTAGGGATCTTCAACCCCGTCCCAACATACGGCGCAAGCGTAGGCTGAAACCAATCCGTACTCTTCAAAACCTGCTTCTCAACCTCATCCTCATATCCGCCCTTTCCCTGGAATCGTCTCCTGCCCTTGATATCCCTCTCTTGCTTCATCATCCACTGGTCCATCAGTTGTTGCTTCTTAGCCTGTTCTTCTCTACTAAGCGGAGCTCGAAACTCGGTGCTCTCGTCGGGCTTTTTGGCGGCGTCTTCGAGGTATGGACTAGATTCCAGTGGCCAGACTTTGAACTGGTTGGTTGAAAGGGCTTCTTTGAGCTCTCGAGCTACGCGCTCTCTTTCTGCGGGGTGGAGGCGGATCTTGACTGGTGGTGAATCTGGGATCGCGAGGGAGAGTTCTGGTTCTGATTGTCCTTGCGCTTGAGAGAACTTTTGCTTTGGATGTGTAGTCGCCATGGGCTCGACACTTTTCTCTTGGCTAAGTGCTGGGGCTTTGAAGGACTTGCGATTCGCCTCGAGGACCTTTTGTTTTTCTTGCGAGCGAGAGTGTGGCTTCTCAAGATATCTTGCTTCCGCCAAGTCGGGTTTCTGGGCTGGAGGATAAGCAGTCTTGCGCTCTGGCTTGCGGGTCTCTTCCTGCTCCCGAGAGCGACTCTTATCTTCGAAAGTACTCTCTAAATATCCTACAGTCTGGTTTTGAGGTGTGGGCTTGGAGATTCTGATCCTCTCTCGGGGACCAGGAGGTGGTTGTTTATCTGGACCAAGATTCTTGTGTAAAAAGGTGCGGTTCATGATGTCCCAGCTCTGGTCTACAACAGGTCCGTCGTCACTGTCGTTGTCGTCCATGTCCTTGTTTCTGCCCGGCATTTCCTTCCTTCCCTCTCTTCGAGTTGTCTTAGAAGAAGTTGCTCTTTCAGCTTGTCCTGCTGTCGTCGGAACAATAGCCATCCGTCTATTCTCTCGTCTAAACTCGCGACTCATCTCTGCCCACTTCTTGTCCATATCTTCTCCACCAGCTTCCACGTCTTTGACCCTTTCCTCCTCTGCTTGTTCCAATGCGTGTAAGGGATCAAGTCGATCTCGTAGCCAAGCGATTGGTTGTGCGAGACCGCGCAAAGTATTAGGACCGTTCTCAAATACGTCAATCGTAGTGTTGAATTGTGCGGTTGTCGGAAGAGGTATTCGTGGGATGTGGTCGTAGGGTTCGGGCATAATTGTATCCAGAAATGTCGTGTTGCGATTGAGTTGTCCCTGATGGGTGTAAGGAGGCCGTTTACACCGGTGAATGGAAATGACAAAAATTGACAAGAGTGTGAATGTGTGCTATTTGCGCTTTTGCGGGCTGATGCAAGATGACAGATGTCGTTGTTGATAGAGGTCGTGGCTTTGAAGGCGTCAAAATGTTTGCTTTACAATAGGTTCTTCAAAATTAAATACAAGTGGGCACTAGCGTAGATGTTGCGACACGCAGGCAGGAAAAGTGTTGTAGTGAGAAGAATGGCTAGTGTGCCATAAGAATTTATAGAACACACTTTTGCGCAATCATATTGTGATTGTATTCTGCCGCTCGATTCTATTCTGATTCACAATTGCTTGTTGCCAGTTTTGCGCTTTGAGTGAAAAGGGGTTCGGTTAGCAGGAGCAAATCCCTAACTCACGAAGAGTCACAGATATTAAGAGACACGAGAGTCCATCCCCATGTCGTTTGTACTTTTGAATACAGATGTAGCTTTCTGTGCTCGGTGGGCAGCAACGAATGGGCAAGTTCTTCAGTAGCATACTGAACGAGACATAGCTCTCTTGCTGGATGATAGTTGATAGACAATTTTTATTTCACACAGCCTATGATTAGAACCTTATCTACCAGGGAGGATTCTTTCCATCGTATATATTTGCCCCCTCAGCATTCTCATATTCCTTGACATGGATGTTCATAAATGTGCCATTATCATTTTTCGTTGCAGCAGATACCTTGTCTAAAACTGCCTTTGCACCCACACCAACTTCAAGATCTGCATAGTCCACTCCTCCCAAGTCCGTTTTCAGCCACTGAAGTATATGTCAGCATATATAATTCATCTGATGTGAAGGGAACGTACGCCGGGGCTGATACAGAAAATTGTAAATCCTGCATCCGCTTGCTGGTAAGCATATTGCACGGTCAACATGTTGAGAGCTGCTTTCGAGATTTTGTAGGCTGGTGTTGGAGCTTGTAGGAAGGTTCCTGCTAGGCCAATTGATCCCAATGTCGATGTACTGCATTTATGTCAAAACACTTCATAGAACAAGGGAGTTAGGGTTCTTTACACATTCACAATCTTCTTCAGATTCCCTTTCTCCAACAATGGCAAGAAAGCCTGTGTAATCAGATGCACGGCTATGACATTGGTAGAGAAGATATTAGTCATGTCATCTGCGGACCTAGGTCTTGTCAGCTGATCAAATCCAAACCCACAGCAGGGCTGCGAAAAATACATCGTGGAAGGCCCTTTTGGAGTATAATCCTGAATTCCTGCATTGTTGATCAGAACATCAAGTCCATTTCCTCCAAGAGCCTTTTTAACATCTACTGCGGCTTGCTTGATGCTCGATGAATCTGTGGCTTCGAGGTGGATCAAGACTACGCGACCATTGGACTTTTGGATCAAATCCTTGAGCGCTGGTGATTCCTTGCGAGCCGTTGCGAAAATGGTGCTAACATCGGATGATGAAGCAAGTTGGGTTGCGAGTTCTAGGCCTATGCCACGAGAGCAGCCTGTGATGAGGTATGAAGTCATTTTTGCTTGTAGATGATCTATTTGTGTCTGTAATAGATGGTAGAGCGCGGTTCTTTATGTATTAAGGAGGTAAATGGCGTATATTATGTCATTTAATATGATATATATCGAGACGAAAGGAATGTCCACAGAGAAAATGGAGTTTAGCAAGCAGAAAAGGTGTTTGCGGGTAGAAGGTGGGGTAGACTTAACGCCGATGCATTTTTCGGCCTGAACTTACACGGGATTGGTCACTACGGACGAACTACTGGGAGATCTCCCGCGAAGATATTAAAAGAGATCTTTCAAAGATCTACGACTCTAGAAGCAAAAAGTCCTCTCACAACACAACTTCTCACATGCGAAAGCGTGCAGATAATGGTATCGCATTTATAAAGCTCTTTTAACTTTTGCAACTCCAGAATAAATGCTCAGAATGTCCGATTCTCCATTCTGCGCCGTAGCCGGCTGCGGGCTGTTCAACGAAGCGATACTCTAACCAAGCGGATTCGTGATATCTGTCAATGGAGTAGTGATTAGTGTGTACAGACTATTCAAAAGCGACGGGCTGAGCTGAATGAACAGTTCTGAGCCCACACATGCTGTTTGTTTCCCTCACCAAACCTTGGGCGTTGAAAATCTTTCTAATAAGATTTGCACCATCGATACGAACGAAGGACTCGCGTTTTCCTGTGTTAGCACCTGCTAGATAGGTTGTCAGATGGTGAATAGAGAAGAGATAGAAAGAGGGGTTACTTGAGTAGATTAGGAAGTACCAATCAATTACAACTAGCTAGGATAGACGGGACTACAAAAGCCAGCTTCATGTACGGACCCGAATTCTCAGCCTCATGCTTCAGCTGCTCTGAATATCGCACAGTGTTTTGCTGTGCCTTTGTAGCCATTGCCGTGGCTGACGAAACTGAATACTGGGTGGAAAAGGAAAGTCAATGTTAAATCTTGCCAAGTGTAGCACTGATATGCAAGGAAAATACGTACAACTTTTCTGAGTGAAGACATAATTGATAGTTCCACAATCCGCGATATTTGCGCTATCTGTGCCCATTCCTTCAAGATGAGACACATACTCCAATCCATACACTGATGGTCTCAGAGCCATAGTTGACCCATTCCGATATGAGAGAATTTGCTATTGTAGGATCCTTCTTCCATGATGGCTGAACATTTCTAGACCTTTTTATTGTGTCTGGCTTCGTTTGCGTGAGATTTCCCTCAAGCAAAGAACGCCATCCATCGAGCTGTGACTCCCGAAATGAGCAGCGGATCCGATGGGAAAGGTACTAAGAAACTTGCCAGATTCATGAAAATTTGGTAATGACTTTATCCAAGCTTAAGCAAGCTTGGGTACCAGTGGAGACTCCAATGAGAAAGACAAGGCGAAAAGCTGAAGCTGCAGAAAAAATATGTCAAACTCCAAGGTGCCATCTGTACCCATGAATTCATTCCAAATTTAATACCCAGATTGAATGGAGCAACATATTCTTCGCGTTCGCGCTTTCGGCTCTTCCTTTAATGCCGAAAACGCGACTGTCATGGCTCGTTTGGTGTGGTTGCACAAATCAACCCCTCATTCTGCCAATCATCCATATCCCATACGAGACTGTTGCATTCTTTCAGGCAAGGATCAAACTGACTTAACGACTTATCTCCGTAATTTCGTGGTACAGTTTAGAAGGTAGCGGTAGTCGAATCAGGCCATGTCATACGTTGAACTCAATGCAACTAGCTTTATAAATATGTAGAAAGAAATGAAATGAACACAACTCTCCTTTTATCTTCAGCCTTTCATTAAACGACCATTGACTCTCTCTAATGACCTCAAACATGAAAACTCCTCACGTCTTGATCATTGGAGGCGGACCCGGAGGATTGACACTTGCACAAGCTCTACGCAAGCAGGGAGCATCATTCCAAGTGTTTGAGCGAGACTTAAACTATGATTCTCGTCAAGGATGGGCCATTTCCCTTCATTGGTAAGCTCTCTTCAGGCTTGCTGAATCAATCTCAACTGGTGTAGGAGTTTGAATGAATTGGCATCTCAACTGCCAAGTGATCTGGGCCCATTTGAAGAAACGAGCGTCTTGAAAATTCTCAACTTGCAAGATGGAGGATCTTTCTACGATAGCGGAGGCAATAAGTTAATCACGGTCGGTAATGGGCCCAAAGGACACGATGATTACAGTATCCGTTGCAACCGATCGAAACTTCGAGCCATGATGGCACAGCATGTACAAATCGAAAGGAACAAGAAATTCGTTCGATACGAGGAAACAAAAGATGGAGTAACAGCATTCTTCGAGGACGGCTCCTCTGCTTCAGGAGACATACTAGTCGGTGCTGATGGAGTACATAGTCGAGGTGGTTAAAACTCTCAAGAGGGGTTCCACGTTGACAAAATCTAGTTCGCAGTCAGCTACTACGTGACAATCCGGTAGACCCAACACCATCTCCTTATGGTATCATCACTGGACAAATGGTTATTACAAAAGAACAATACCAGAAAGAGCTCGAAAATGGACCTTCCTTCTACTCCACTCACAGTTCCAAATCGCACATCTTCGTAGGTCTCAAAAATATTTCGGATGATCTAGAGACCGCCAATTACTACTGGATGTACTTTTGGGGAGACAAGAAAGCTGCAGAACTTGGAAAAAAGTACTGGACTCAAGCCGCAACTTGCGAAGAATTGCTCAAGTATGCTCAGAATGGAGCTGAGGATTTCTGTCCGAGATTGACCCAACTTGTTCGCATGGCAACACCCGACACTATCATGTATCCGCCTTTGCAATTTTATCAATGGGCCCCGTACCAGGAACTACCCCCTGGGCGTGTGACGCTCCTCGGTGATGCCGCTCATCCGATGATGCCATTTCGAGGCGAAGGCGCAAATAATGCACTGCTCGATGCTGTACGCCTTGCTGGACAGATTGGAAAGCACTTTGACAGTGGTGTTGTAGATTGGGTTGCACTCGCGAAGCTCGACTATGAGAAGGAAATGCTACCTAGAGGCGCAGATGCTGTTCTGAAAAGCAGCTTTATTAGTGACGCACCTGCTGAAGAGTTCAGGAGACGTCAGCAAGAAATGATTGAGCGACTGAAACTTGGTTCAGTTACCAGCTCTAGAGAAGTCATGTGATGGTAAGGGGGGAACATTGGTGATCTGAAGCTGGAACACTCCGCTCACTCAGCTCTCGCATGTTGAGTGGAGAAATATCTGTTGCTCCTACGAAATAAATCTAGTTTCCTCCTGGAGATGATCTTTTCACAGCTTTGGTACCAATTTCATGCTTCTCTCTGTCAGTAATGTTACTCTGCAACGATGAATCCACTTACTTGATAAGAACCGTCTTCGTTTGCAAGTACTCCCTCAACCCATACTTCCCCAACTCTTTCCCACTTCCACTCTCCTTGAATCCACCAAATGGAACTGTATGAACTGGAAAGTGTGGTGCATTGATTGAAACGTTTCCAGATTCAATCTTCGCCGACACCCTCAGGGCACGGTTCAGATCGGAAGTATATATCGTAGCTAACAATCAGCGAAGTTCGTCACCATAAAAGAGACTTACCTGAAAGTCCTGTCTTGGTATCATTGGCCAACTCAATGACCTCGTCTTCTGTCTTGAATGTAACCACACTTAGTACTGGCCCGAAAATCTCTTCGTTGAAGACTTTTCCGTCCTTGTCGGGGTTAACAAATAGAGTCGGCTCGATGAAGTAGCCTTTGTCGCCCTTTTGTTTCCCGCCAACGACAGGCTCTGCATGTTGTTTTCCAAGCTCAATGTATGACATGACACGTTTGAAATGTGCTTCATCTGCCATCGGCCCATAATGAGTTGTCGATACGCGAGGATCATTGCCCAAAGAGGAATTGATTGCCTCGAACCGTCCTTTTACTGCTTCAATGAACGCGGGAGCAACATCCTCTTGGACCAAGAGGCGAGAACCGGCTACCCATGTTAGCATGTCCCTTCAGAGAATTCTGTACATACCAACGCAAACTTGACCATTGTTGAATAAGAAGCCATCGGCAGCGGAACCAACAGCATTTGGAATATCTGCGTCGGCAAATACTATCGCCGGAGATTTTCCACCAAGTTCCAATGTCACTCTTTTCATATTACTCTCCAATGCCAACTTCTGAATAATCTTTCCAACGAAAGTAGACCCAGTGAAGCTGATCTTCGAAATGATCATATTGGAAGCGAGAAGAGCACCCGTCTGCGCTGCTCCACTTACGAATTGAATGACACCTGGAGGGAAGCCGGCCTCAACGACCAACTTGCCCAGATATAATGCGCTCAATGGCGATTTCTCGGAGGCTTTAAAGATGAACTGGCTTTCATCAGCATAGAGCACCGCAATGTTTGCCCAACTTACAGTATTGCCTGCAGCAACAGCGGGAGCGATCTTCCATCCAACGTAGAGAATCGGTGCATTCCATGGCGCAATACCAGCACAAACTCCCAGTGGCTCATGTCTGACAATCTTGTAAGTTCCATCATCAGCGGCAAATGATTCCCCTTCAATTTTATCAGCCCAACCAGCATAATCTAGAACAGTCAGCGATGTCCTTCACCCGAGAACAGATCATACATCTGAACACAGCGGCGGCTTCAGGAATGATAAAGCCAGCATTGCTTGCAATTGGAGCTCCCATGCACAAAGCATCAAGATCGGCAAGTTCTTTTGCGTTCTCGACGATCAAGTCAGCAAACTTGTGCATACAAGCTGCACGTTGAGCTCCCGTAAAGGTGCTCCATGGTCCGGTCTTGAAGGCTGATTGAGCAGCAGCTACAGCCAAAGCAATGTCTTCTGCTCCAGCAATCTGAACGGCAGCAGGGATAGTCGACCCGTCGAAAGGGTTGGTCAGAGATAGTGTATCGGCAGATTTGGCGTCGGCATACTGTCATCTTTTTAGTCGAAGCTTTCTAGCTCACGACATATACTGACCTCGTTATTGATGAAAAGCTTCGTTTGATACTCAGACGCCATTTTGGATAGGTTGGTCGGATTTGTTGGAGTCTGGAGTGTGTCCGCGTGGTATATATGGAGAGCAAATGGATCTGACTACCAATCGCCCTAGATAGAGTTGCGAGTAAGCATCGGACATCGACTCTAGACTCTGCATAGATCGATTAAGTCCGACGGCAAAGGGCGCCTGCCTCAAGCGCAAAATATCCTATTTGGGTATTATGTCTCGGTAAAGTAACCATTCCGTGTGAGATCCCCGATACCCGAGGATTGGCAACCCAGCAAAAGTAAGCATCATAAATCATGCCGCTTTGAATGTATAGGTACTATTGGTGGAAAGGGCCGACACGGTCTGGAAGGAAAAGCAAAAATGTCAATTGGCTATCGTCTCCGACTTCAAATAGGGCAAGTTCACCTTGATTCAGCCTGCAGGAGGTGAGCCGCTCAGGACTTTTTTTTCTATCGATGGACAATGTTTTCCACGAGACATCAACCTCGATTTCGAACACATCCAGGTAGACCTTCGGCCGGGAAAGATCTGACGGGTAAGCTAACCGATCTGTACCCAGGCATTTTCCGGTAAGAGACCCACGTACAACACGGCCATTGGTGATGAAGGTACGAAAGTGGATCATGAAGCAAAATATGCAATGAATGAAAGTTCTCTCAAAAATAAGAGGAATCCAAGTAGAGCAAAACTGAAAGAGAAAGATCCAAACCATCACGAAGAAGATGGTATACAATATCTATTTTCTGCCATATCGCGCATTCAGAACTTGTGTTTATATGCAGTGTCTGAGAAGTAAGGCGAGGGGGAGATTGAGCAAGGCTGATGGCCCTCATGCAATTTTAACAAACACTTGATTGAGAGCGCGAAGATTAAGTTTATCAGAGATACAGAATCCCTCCAAACGGGCAACGGAGCTCATCGTTGCATGAGTGTCTCTCAAATAGTACCAGGAAATCAGGCGCACATTGATGATGAAGGAGCTTCAAAGGATGGGAACTTAATACCAACGAATTAATGCAACATAGAAATCTCGGAGCTACTCAACATCTGCCATCCCATCTCCTTCTCCAATCCTCTAACATCAACACCTGTGGTCCAATTATTCTTCCAGTCCTCTAGCTACCGCATCCTCAACCTCGGCACCCATCTAATGTGCAAACCTGAAGTCCAATCTCTTGTTTCCTTCATCAGTGGTAGTAGCCAGATATTCCACTCTTTGTTCTTCAGTCATAGCATTCCACTTTGCATCTCTGCTCTTGTTTCTCCAGACGTAATAGATCTTAGTCAAAATGTAAAGTGCAATATTCGTTACACACAGAGAAACAAGGACACGATCTCCTCTCTTGTACCTTGGAGCGTCATCTGTACGATAGATGTTTGAGGCAATGATACCTCCAGCTTGTACAGCCATATTATACAGAGCAGCAGATACAGTGCGCGAGCGAACAGCATTTGCATTTCGAGAGTTCCAGGCAACTTGAATAGGATGTGCTAACACCTGTCAGACAGTACTTGAATTCGATGAGATCACATACCAGAAGGATAACTAAGCAGCAAACTCATAATTCCAAAAGCTTTCCACTTGTTGATCTTCGTGATATCAACCAAATAGATATAGATCAAGAACGGTAACGCCCAGATTTGACCGAAAGCCGACGTGATAGTCAGCTCTCCCCATATTTCTGCGCCGTATGTGAGAGCCATCATGGTGATCATGTGCAGCACGGTGCTCGGGATGACAAGCAGATTCGTCTTGAAAGTACCAAAACCTAATCCTTTGAGGGTCAAAGTAAGGTATTGGGATGGAGTTGTTTCGGGGATTTGGAACAAAAGACCGATGATATAGAGAGGCCATAGATCGAAGTCGCACATACTCTTCCACAACAGCTTAGGGGTGATAGGTTGGCGATTATGCATTCCGCTCTTTTGAGGGTCTTCCCGGATAACGCGATTGATAATGATAGTCTCTTCACTATGATGCTGTCAGAGATGATGCTTATGACCTTGAGCAAGGAACATACCGTTCAGTGAACCAACCCTTCTTTCCTCGAAGCGTACTAGCAGTTTGAGTGGGACTGGGTGGCATCAAAACGAAGGCTGCCACTCCAACAACTAATGTGAGTAGTGCCTAAAGTTGTCAGCTAGGTCTAACAAAGAATAAGAGTTCCTACCTCAATAAGAAACAACCATCTCCATCCAGACTTTCCATCGACACCTCGAAGATGAAGAAGACCGAAAGCAAAGAAAGCGGCCAAGACATCGGATATGGACATAGCAGTCCAGAAGAAACCCAAACGAATGGAAAGCTCATGGTGCTTATAGAAGTAAGAAAGATACAAGATGATCTAGTCAAGTTAGTCTTGTACCAGAAAGGAGTAGATTGACAAACATCTGGGATAAAGCCACCTTGAATTATTCCAAGTAATGCTCTACAGGCTAAGAAGCTTGTACGTCCGCTCAACCAAAATTGACCTCCAGCGATGAAGGACCAGATTACCATTTGAGCGGGAATCCATCGATCGGGGCCAATCCATTTCGAGACAAGTTGAGAAGGCAATTCGGCGCACAGAAAAGCAAGCTTAAAGACAGTGTTGCCAAGATTGTAGTCTGCCATTATCAGCCAATATACTCGATGTTCTCTATCACAAGGGCCTACCATTGGTGGAGAGGTGGAGCTCCTTCAACATATTATCCGTCACAGCTTGGGCAAGGTTCGAGCGGTCAAGCTCAAGCGCCATGAACATAATACAGGCCCAAATCTGCTTCTATCAGCCTACTGTAATGTCTCATGGAGAAGATGCGAACCATGATTCTGAAGTCGATCTTTCGAACCAACTTGTTCTCCTCTCCCCACGTCCATCTTGCAGAAGGGTCAAACCTGTGGATGTTTTCCCAGTTGGCAGGTGGCTGATACTCTTTCGCAGTCTCCGGGTCGTCGAACACAGAAGGTTGGGTAGCAATAGCATCAGGGTCGTAATTCTTCTTACTGCGTTGGAACCAAAATCGTTTTTCATCGGCTGGTTCGCCAAGTGGAGCTGCGAGATCGTAGACAGCAGTTTCCTTGACGCGGGCCTCGGACTTGGTCTTTTCGTCTCCAAGGTTCTCAGCTGAATTGCCCGAGCTGGCTACCGAGGTACCAGCATGGCGAGCTGTAAGATCAATCTCTTTTGCGAGAGCGGTAGACATGTTGTTGAGGCGCTTATCGAATTGCAGGGAAAGAAGCTGAGCTTGACATGATCAAGGACGAGGATCTGGGCTCTTATAGTGAATAAGGAAGACTGCAAATCCACACTGTGAAAAGCAGTGGCGACGGATGTGACGAGCAGCTGTGCCAAGCGCGGTATCTTGCTTCATGGCTGGAACTTTCCAAGGTAAGTCTCGGATTTCCATCTAAGAGCGGGAATCTTCAACTGGGTGGCCAAGACCAGATTTTCCTGTTATGAGTGCAACCATGTAGAGTTCTCCGAGAAAATGCGAGCCACAGAAGAAGTATTAGTGTCTTGGGCGTTCGAGAGATCCATCCAGATTCGCAAGATGCTGGATCAACGAGAAGATTGCGATTTTCTAGGAATACTTGCGACATCTGAAAAATAAGCGAGTGGTGCATGAAGTTTATTCTGTGCATACATGAGAAAGACAGCCAAGTTCGAGCCAGAAGAATCCCCCACATGTGTCCGGATTCCGGCCCAAGCCTCGGAAAGCACGCAATGAACCAGTCGAAATTTGGCTTGAAAATCGGACAATGTATCCATGGCTTTGGATCCACAACCTTGTGGGTGAAGATACATGGGGCTAAGCATAGTGAATACCAAAGTGAAGATGGTAATGGGGGGGAGAGATATGAAGGAGTCTTCCTCAAGTCATCAAAGGGGGAAATATTGAACTGGACCCTTTTATAAATAATTTAGAGTCACACTCGGATGAACTATAGAGCACTTACTTCACTTAGCTGACTCACCGAGCAGAATCTCGAAAGATTTTGAGTGCAGAGAGGTCTAGAACGAAGGAGGGTTGCCAGTATGGCAAATGCGCAAGAGTGGGGAATGCCAAGTTGCTGGGAGCTGGGACGCGCTTCGGCCAGTAACCTTTGCAATCAGCGTATCCTCCCGTTTGTCTTAATTGGGTGATGATGGCGTTAATAACATCCAAATTGCGATGTACTGTACGCTTTGTACTTCTGATGCAGACACCAATGCACAAAAACAGTGATGGAGATCGTGACGATATTCCAAGCTCAATAGTTCATGCAGCCACACCGACCAGACTGTTTCAGCTTAGTCCTCAGCCCCCTCTATCTTCACCTCACCTCACTTGACTTCACTTCAACCTCTTCTCCTTCGATCCTTCGATGAACGTCGCTTGAATACGCTGAGCAATCACATCTCCTAATGTTACATCGACCCCCAAAATTAGGAGTCAGCAGGTGGCGGTTCTGACCCCGTCACCCTTGAGCCAATTACATGCTTTGCAGGTCGCTATTTGATGCCATTCGCACGTCAAATGCATGGCGTATGATGAATATCTGCAGCATCCCATGTGATATTCACGCTGCCTCTCATCCTTCTATCATACCTATCCAATCCCAGCGCCTGCATTATAACATTCTTATCGAGGATTAATTGTCCAACTCCGGCAATAGCGGGGTTACACAAATCTGCGTACAGAAATCACGCATGGTGTCAATCAAGTCCATATTGATACCATCGACTCTCTTCAAGAACGTGGGGAACGGAACGATGTGTCCGTCCGGGATACCCATACCCATGTACTTATCTCCAGATCTCCCAAGAATTTTAGGGAATTCCAGACATCATCGATCGGATATTCAATTGCAGCATCGATTCATCGAAGAAAATGGCACCTTCACTAACAGAGACAGTACTTGAAGTTGCAGATCAGATCAACGGCAAAGCTGCTTCCCTTTCTCTCGGATCAGAGACCAAGACAGACACTTCTGCCAAAGATGGAGCTCCAGCGGTTCAATCACCACAACACAAAGAGCCTTTGAAGCTTAGCGGTGCTTTGGACCACTTCCAAAGCTTTGATGTCACTCCAGTCATTGGAAAGGAGTTTGTAGGAGTTAATCTTGCAAAATGGCTGAGAGCTCCGAATTCTGATGATCTGATACGAGACCTTGCAATCACCAGTATGTCTCCTTTCGAATCTTCCAGCATGACTAACAACACCAGTTTCGCAACGCGGCGTTGTCTTCTTCCGAAAGCAGGACGACATCACCAATGACCTCCAGAAAGAGCTCGTCCAGCGCCTTGGAGAACTTTCCGGCAAACCATCTACCTCGAAGTTGCACATCCACCCAGTTTCCAACTCTGGGCGTGAACTTGGCGGCAAAGACGACGAAATCAGCGTCATCTCATCGCAGCAAGCTAAGAAGTTCTATCAAGATAGATTCAAGGCTCAGAAGAAGCAAAGTGCAAAGCAGGCGTGGCATTCGGATATCACATTCGAGCCTGTTCCTAGTGACTACGCATTGCTTCGATTGACGGAGATTCCTTCAACCGGTGGAGGTTAGTCCAATTTGCATGAGATTTCCTGGAGATACCCGCTGATTCACGACCACAGATACCCTCTGGGCATCAGGCTACGAAGTCTATGATCGAATTTCCACACCTGTTCAGAAATTCCTCGAGACCCTGACTGCCACTTACGCACAACCCGTATTCAACGAAACAGCACAAAAGAACGGATTCAAAATCTACACCGAACCTCGCGGCGCTCCCGAAAACATCGGGGAAAAACTCGAAGCCATCCATCCTGTGATCCGAACCAATCCAGTGACAGGGTGGAAATCTGTTTTTGCTGTGGGACATCATGTTCAGAGCATCAATGGGCTCGCGGAAGGAGAGTCAAAAGGTCTGCTAGAGTGGTTCACTTCTCTGGTTGTTGAAAATCACGACTTGCAAGTTCGACACCGATGGCAGAACGTGAACGACTTAGCAATCTGGGACAATAGGAGCGTTCATCACGCAGCGACTCCGGATTATATCAACCTGGGTTTGGGAGAAAGGACTGGACAGAGAGCCGTCAGTTTGGGCGAGAGACCGTATCTTGATCCAGAGAGCAAGTCCAGAAGGGAAGCACTTGGATTACAAGATGCTGTTGCTGGTTTGTGATTAGTCTTCGAGCTTAAGTCAGCTGGCTACATACAGATTGTGCTTTTCTTAAGCTAACCAGTGTACATTGTTAGCCGTCTACACATCTCCGGGTTGACAACTTCATCAGCACATTATTTTCGCATGATTCCCTCCCCCTGATGACGTTGCATTTCCATACACCTCACAGAAATATACAGGGCAAGGCCTTCTGGTAGTGATAGGTTGCCTTCTTATTCTTTTGCTTGAAGATGCTCCAGCCACGAAATTTTGCGCAGTACCGAGTAAACCTGCTGCTAATTACAGGTTGAGCAGGTGGGCCCAAGGCGGACTGCGCCGACCCGCTCGGGCTCTTCGGTTAGCACCCCGGTTTGATGATCGCTGTAGTTGTCCACCTCGAGCTGTCCACTCCCCTTTTCATTGTAATGTGCGTCAGCAGAACCTGTATGATTAAGAAACCTTGTCGCCAAGTCCGGCCAGTCATTGAAAGAGCGTTTCCAATTTCCAATTTGATGGAAATGATTCGTCAGCTGTTTGTGGCTGCGAATCCATGGGCCTGCAACGTCGTCGAAAAGAAAAAGAACATCCCTGAATTTATGGAGAAGCTCTCCACAAGTATGGCAAGGCTTTAAGTCTACGCAACGTTCGGCAGTGGGGTCACAGCCGTCGTATGCTTCCTAGAGAAAGGAGAAAGGCGATGAGAGGGGTAGTAAGTATATATAAATTTACATGCTTCCTAAGTTCTTCATCTCAATATCCAACTTCATTCTTGTACACAAAAACGTCTACTTTCTTTACGGCATTCGCTTCTAACTTTGCAATCTGCTTCATTACTGTGTACGCTTTCCACAATGGTCAATCTCTTCAACATCGCAACGGCGTTGGCTGCCTTGTCTGTCCTTGAACCCACGCTCGCCCATCCTGGTGAAGCGCATGATGCAGCACACGTCAAGCGCGAGTTAGCCATTCGCGATCACCTGGCCAGCCATTCCAAACGTGCTCTGGGGAGCTGTGAAGGTTCTGCGCAAGCTCGTGCATTGAAGGACCGGGCAATTGCTCGACGTGCTGCAACTGCAACTTCTCTTCGCCAGAAACGAGGACTCGCAACGAACAGTAAGTTATACAATCATTTTATTGTCCAAGCGGTGCGCTCGATGTGCTAATAATTGGCGTTGTATGTAGAACCGTACAGGCGCGATCTTGCCGAGCTCGAGGTATACGAAGAAAATTCTCACCAACAAAATAACACTGGGTATACTCTCAATACGCCAGAGTCGACAATCTTTGGCGCGAACACTTCCTGCGTATTGACACCTGAGGATACCGTCGGTCCCTATTACGTTTATGGAGAACTGATTCGATCCAATCTTACCGAAGTTCAAGAGGGGGTGAGGACTTTCAGACTTCACCGCATTTGACGAGATTTCTAATATAATGAATAGGTCCCGATGCACTTGGAAATGCAATTCATTGACACCAGCACCTGCGAGCCTATCCAAGATCTCGTGGCTGATATCTGGTCCTGCAACGCTACCGGTGTCTACTCCGGCATTGACCCTTCTCAAGCAGCTGGAGAAGGTGGCTTGAACAGCACGTTTCTTCGCGGAGTTCAAGTCACAGATACCGACGGCGTCGTCGAGTTCGATACCATTTTCCCTGGCCATTACACTGGCCGTGCTACCCACGAGCACGTCGTCACTCACATCAACTCAACCATCCTTCCAAACGGCACCTACACCGGGGGAACCGTGAACCATATCGGACAATTGTTTTTCGACACCGCGTTGCGCGCTGAAGTCGAGGCCCTGTATCCATACAATACCAACACTCAAGCCGTTGTCAGCAATGACGATGACGCATGGGCACCCTCTGCTGCGAGTGCCGAGTACGATCCCTTCGTGGAGTACGTAATGCTTGGAGACTCCCTATCTGATGGCCTTCTGGTTTGGATTTCTATCGGTGTCAATACCACTGCCAATTACACCGATTTGGCTTACATTGCATCTTACTGGACAGAGGATGGTGGGGAGGTCAATGCTGATGATCCTTTCAATACGAATATGGGGTCAGGGTCGAGCAACTCTAGCTCTAACGGAACATCTAGCGCTAGCGGATCAGCAAGTTCGAGTTAGATGATAGGGGCTAAAAGGATGGTTTGGGGCATGCAGAAGAATTTTGTGTTCATCGATTTTTTGCAACCTAGATCGTCTGGGAAGCTTGAGTACAATGTTCACTGTATGAATGGCATGTCAGACCTCTCAAATTAGATACAAAATTTCAATGGGGAACTTCAGATTATTGGATCAAGCGTCAGCTCTGGTGTATTTTTGTCTCCTTTTCATACCATGCGATGACCGTCACAACTTGTACTACTTTCTGCGTTGATAGCAGTTAGCGGTACAGCAGACAGAAAAATTTGAATTAAATGCTTGAATGTACGAATACCATGCCGTGGACCAAAGTGGTTAACATAGGTGGTGATTAGGACCAGGAAATTATGGATGAAGGACTTAGTTCAGAGCCTTGAGACTAGACGGCCACCGTCCTCAAGTGCCACCGTAAAGCTCTGTAGCGCTCAGCATGTAAGATGTGACATGGCTGGAGGTCAACAGGCTTTACGGCTTATACTTCGCTTACGGAGTAAAGGGGGTAGAACCATCGAAGCGAACCCCTTCAACCAAAATTATGTGTCGTTGTAGAGAATGTCTCATACAAATCTGAAACCCACGTGGCACAAGATACCTTCATACCTAGGTAGGTTAGTGCCGTCTATAAGGGGGCTCGATCCGATGTGTCCACCCGCTTTACTTCTACCGAAATAGAAGTAAGGTTAAAGCGGGTGGACAATGCGCTTGCTGAGCGCTGCAGGCCTCTACAGTCAATCTCGTACTCGGATTCAATCTAGCACTGTGCAACTAGATATCCGATGATCGACAAGCAGTCGTAAGGGGATTGGATGATACGCGTACTTTTTCTAGAATCTTTGGTCCTATTTCAGAATTGTATAGCAGAGTACGCAACAAACATTGATTTTAGTGGTCAATTCCGATATGCGTAATCTTATCAGACCTATGATCAACATCGTCGTCTTCTCCTCCGTGCATCTGCACTTCAACCAACGAAGGCCTCGGACGCGCAACAATCTACTCGTCAGCTCGAAGCTTGCGCAACTACTTTTTGCAGGCAATGTCGTCTGAAAATTTTACTCTGCAATATGCGGGGAGGAGAAATTCTCCGAGGCGTCGGCAGTTCTCAACTGCGGCTACCGGGAATTGTCAGACTATCTTGCAATACAATTTTTCTCTGGCCGCTACAAAGTAACATGATCCTTCCTTGAGCTTAATTGGAGTCGTCCTCAGTCCCCTAAAGCTTGTATCGCAGGCTGGCGAGGCTTTGTCTACGCTGTGGGGAACAGCTAGGATGGGCTGGCGAGGCCTAAATCTGCAAGCAACGTCTCCTCCGGAAATGAGATAGAAGAGATCAGCTATGTAGGATATCAGGATGATAGGTATTGGCTGAAAGTATCTTCGTGGAGCCGATAGTCTCTTCGATCCGGGATGTGGTCTACAGTAACTCGCTTTGACTTCGGTAACCACGTGATTAGGCCTTTCTTTCGAGAACTACATAACTTGATCCCTCTAGGTAATCTAAACTTGAATCTACCAGCAGTCCTTCTTTTAGTCTTTTAGATCTCACTTTCGTTCATCATGTTGTTCCGAGAAACGTTGACCTTTTTTCTAGCTGTCGCTACAGCTGGAGCTATCTCGCTGCAATACAAAAGAGACAACACTACAAGTGTTTGGAACATAACCGTTTGCAGTGAAGATCAATTAGATATCGCTAAAGAATGGACGAACATGACTTCAACCGAATAGACGTCATACATCACGGCTGAAAAGTGCCTATGGGAGCTTCCTTCAACATCCGGCCTCACCGGTGCTACGACAAGATTTGAAGACTTGGTAGCTCTTCATCAAAACATGACGCCTATTATTCACGCTGTTGTAATTATATTGTGTTATCCGCTACACGCTTACACGCTAAAAACAATATACAAGGCTAATTCTTGCTATACTATCGTCTGTACATGAAATTGCACAAGCACCTACTCCAAACAGAATGCAACTACACTGGACCCATGACGCAAGTCATACCTTCCACCTCCTAGCTTCTCAGTATGCTAATTCAATGAAAACAGCTGATGGGACGAAACACGAGATGCCGGCAATTACATCAACTCTCCAATCCTTGACGCAGATACCGGTTTCGGGGGGAACGGTAGTTCAGTCGATTTGTGCGTCGTAGATGGGCCCTTTGCAAATTCAACTGTTCATCTTGGACCCTCTACTTCGGACACTCCCGAGGGATACTGTCTAAAGCGTAAAGTCAACGAGACGTTCGCTGCTGGTGCAGCTCAGAGCGTTATCGATGGATGCATAAATATCACCCATTACGCGAAGCTTGTATTTGGTGTATTGGTGCCTCACCACATACTGCGTACGTTATATCCACCTTCCCATTCTATTCTCTTCTGGCATGATGGATCATTTTGCTCTGTGTGATAGTTCTTTCTGTGGAGAGAGTCTGTGAGCAAGAGTATATAGCACGTTGAGAGACTAGACCTTATTAATTCGCGTTGTTAGAGGTCATGGTGGCATCGGCGGAGGCGTAGCTGGAAGCATGGGGGTAAGTTCAAATCGATTGAGCCTTAGGAAAGAATATCACTAACCCATTTTCCCCCCTCTCCAGGATATCTACGTCAGTCCAAACGATCCGCTCTTCTACTTACATCATGCCTATATCGATCGACTCTAGTAACTATCTTTCCTTCGCATTACTCCAACTTAGTAAGAAACTAATATTTCGAAGGTGGAAATGGCAAAGTGCCGATATCGAAACTCGTCTCTACGAAATTGGCGGCTATACCAGATATCCCAGCACTGGGATCAATACCACATTGGATTATGAGCTTGATCTTTTGGGATTGTGGGATAACAAGCTTGTTGGTGATGTTATGGACCCTCATAATTCTTTCTTGTGTATGGATTATGACTATTAGCGGTGTGGAGAGTTTCTTCGCTTCACTGTATAAAAGTTCAAAAGTTGGTAGGGATCAAATATTTCTCATTCAATTGAATTAAAGAGCGTCTGACCACGAATTTTGATTCAATACTGGTTGAAGTTGCGCCTGTGAATATCGAGCGTCAATCAACGTCCCTCATTGGTCAATGCAGGTGAAGGCTGGCTAGGCACCAACGCCACCCTCAGCCTGACTTAGAAAAGTTCCAAGCCACCAATGTAACATGATACGGCCATTGGACAGGCTGCGCCCTCCTCACCGAGAATGAGTAAAGTGAGACTTCCAGAGCCTCGCAGCATTGAACATTTTTCAACTGCAAACCCTCTTCCGTCCATTTCCTGAGGTCAAGTCACTTTCAATCTCAATCTCAATGGTCTAGGGCGGTCTATCCGTGTCGTCACTTGTAGGAATCTCTCCCAAAGAAAGATTCGCATTTGAATCTCCATGCACAATTCCATCAATTCGGACAAGGCTGTAGCTCTCTCATCGAGAAGTCGCCCCTCCGAAAACAATGAGCGAAGAAGGCTCAGTCACGTCTGAGTTGCAGGAGGAGAGTGCATCAGAAGATGCCACTCTGAAAGCGATCTGGGATGAGCAAATGAAGAACGTCGAACAAACAGGACGGTCTTACCGAAGAACTGCTGTTCTCATGTTGTCCTGGGCTGAAGATGACAATAATCTTGCATTTGGTAACGCGAGCGAGTTACGTGAACTCGGAAAGGTCTTTACGAACGTTTTACGTTACGAAGTCGTCCAGCGACAGTTATTTAGAGATGAGCATGTAGAAGATGGTGAGATGATGCAGCCAACCACCCCGATTCAGGACAGGTGGACACAGATCCGGAACAAGGCTACCAAAAGAGCTCGACGCCGACTGGAGCGAACAGTAGGTGGCGATGATGAAATGGCTAGCGATAGTGAGAGTGAGTCGGGTGGAGAAGAGAGTATGTTCCAGAGGTTTAGCTTCAAGAAAGAATAATGACGAAAACAGCAATTGAATCTCGAGTTGCACGAATCAAGGCTCGTGTTGCTGAATTGACAGGCAACATGGAACCAAATGTCCACAATGCATTCAGGCAGCGTACCAGACGGGGTATCCTTCCCGGCACCCAACTCACGAAACACCTCCTCGAGTTTGTGGAAGGCTACGACAGTAGCTCGAGTTTGCTCATTGTCTACTATTCAGGGCATGGTTACCCAAGCACATCTGGTGACCTTCACCTAGCTCCGTAAGTATCAGTATACCTGCGATTGCTGTTACTGATCACGGTAGAAACCGTCCACCTATCTCTGCAGAGTCGGCTATCCGCAATGCTGCAGCGTGGAGGGAATCAGAGCATATCATCGCAGACACAGAAGGGGACATCTTACTGATCTTCGATTGTTGTCATGCTGGCCTCTTTCATATATCAAATGTCAAATCTCGACCCCGCTATCCTACCAGGAGATTCGAGTGTTTGTTAGCGTGTGGTAGACAGGAGACAACTAATCTTCCAGGCAACAATTCTTTCACGTCTGCTTTGATATGGTCGATGAAAGCCTTCGGAGATGCAAATTTGAAGTATACAATGCTGGAGCTGCTAGCCAAGATCACGAAAGATGCACCCCACTTCCCCAAAGGACAAATAGCGCCAGTATTGGAACTTGGCGGCGAGCCCTGTGATGAAAGAATAACACTCGTATCACAACCAGCAGCTCCTGAGGTAGCAGTGATCGACCGCCCACTCCAAAACTATATGGATTTGAGATTCTGGTTTCCATCACGACCAACAGAGAAACAGATAGCAAATCTGGCGAACCGACTCAGGGGGCTTATGTTGGACAAAAGTATCAACACTCGTCGGATACTCTATAGACGTATTGGGACGGAACAACAACTCAGCCTAGATAAATTGGAGTACATCCTTTCATGGGCAAACGGTTCTCCCGGACTACTGAATGCTGATATGCTGTCTGTTACGTCTCTGAACACTTCAACCAGAGATCCCGAGACGTTGCGACCTTATGCAAGGTTGCCCAGTTTGTTGAGTTTGCCGCTGCTGGAGGACGAGGAAATTGGCATCGAGTACAATGAAGCAGAGCCAGAGCGAGGAGTTCACATGGCAGAGAAGGGACTGCAGGATTCTAATGAACTCCACACCCCGGCAATAGCCGACAAACTGGATGACATTGCATCGTTCAAGCTTTTTGGGAATTCATTACAGACTATCAATGCGTTGGCGGAGAATTCAAACACTCGTCTTGCTCTAGTTGGCGTTGTGTCCATGGGACTTGGCGTCTTTGTGTCTTGGATCTTTTAAGATAGAATGAATTTATCTTGCACATGATGCAGTGAGCAGCTTGAATGATATTCATTGATTACTTCTCCAAGGCGGTAAAAGATATGTACATACGTTTGTAAATACCTTTGTCTAAAGACTTTGGAGTACTCGAAGCGGATTTGGCAGGGCAGTTGCTCAAGTTCGAGAGCATAGATACATGGGTGGAAAAGGATCTACTTCTTTTGCAAAGGCTGCCAATCCGAATCTCATCCACGTCTCTGAAATCATTGAATTGTACAATCAGCTATTCGAAGCAATGGAACGAAAAGTATTGAGCATTTGGCCGGAGCAAGGGATGACCTCACTTGAGCCAATGATCATAATCCATAAGAGACATCGCATGAAGGAGCTGCCAGACTTCTTCTCATGGGAATAGCCTCACTTGAGCCAGATAGCTGTCGAAGTCCGCAAGAAAACTTCTGCATGAGATAGAGTTTCTAAGCGAGGCATCCATCCATTAAAGAGTCTCTTCACCTCCCACCCAATGAACGCGCTCCACCACCTCGCTACCTTTACACCACGTCCGATCTGCAACAAAAGCAACTGCCAGGGAAGCACAACCCTGAAAATGACATCACCGCCCCGAATTCAATTCGACACGTTCTGCCAAGGCAAAATCAATATCGGACGACAAGCGCCTCTGTGCAGCATTGATTGATTGCGATCGTCACAAATCTGGGAACGGCAGACAGGAAGGTGGTGATGGCGTGGTGGCTGTCGCGCGCAGGATATATAGGCCGGGGAAAGGAAGGTGGGCATGGGGTTTCGTGATGGTTTGATGTGATTCATTCTCTGCTTTCCCTTTCGACGACGATCTTCTCCTTCCTCCCGCACGACCAACACAACACGATTTTGGATTATCATTGCTGCGACTCAATAACAATCCTCACGAACGTGTCGCGTACGAAGAAAGCATCGAATACATAATCCATCGTCGGCGAAGAAGCAGCAGCAGAGCAAAATGGGTCTCGTTCGTGGTTTCGAAATGACGATGGGTTATATTGCCCATTCGGTCTTTCGATTTATTCAACTCGTCCTTGCATTGACGGTGTGCGGATTGTATGGTGTTGATCTGCATAAGGCGAATCAGGAGCACAAATATACGGATGGCAAATGGGTATGTCGAGATCTCTTGTCGCATTCTCTGCCCTGAACTACTCGCTCTTAAGCCTTACCTCTGCAGCTGTTATTCTTCTGCGGATGCTTCTTTGCGACCCAGCTAACATCTCCAGGCCTACGCAGAAGTCGTCGCATCCCTCTCGGCCTTCACAGCCGTCCTTTACATCATCCCCTTTATGTCTCGAGTTCCCTTCGCCTTCGTCTGGGACACGATCCTCTTCGTCCTCTGGATCGTCCTCTTTGGCATTTTCGGCAACATGTACATCCATGCCAACGCGCAAGGTGACAGCGGGATCATCCGAATGAAACATGCGGTCTGGATTGACTTGACGAATGCGTTGCTGTGGTTGATCAGTGCCGTCGGAATGGCGTGGTACTACTTCAAGCATAGGAACAACAAGACTAGATGGACTGGTAGAGCTACCGTTTAAGTGGTCCTGACATGCAGAAACAGGAATGTTCGGGAAGGAGGTGATATTAATGGACAGGGAGGAAACACCGCATACGAATGATACCCTATTGAGTTGATGGACGAGGTTGGTTACTGCTTCTAGGCAGAATTGCGTGCTATTCATGATATACCACTTTAGCGATGCACAACGATACCATTTTCCCAATGCAATACAGCGTTTTAGTGTCTATTCTTGACTACTTGTTGTGGAGAGATGCATGAACGATCAAGGAAGGGGCTCAAGACGGCACGACGGCAGTTGATGTAGAGTTGGGATAGTTGATGCCCAACCACCAGGCTTGATGCCAATCGGATCCTGTCCTTGAAGAGATGTCAGGTTTATCCAGTTATCAAAGTCTCCATAAAAGTTCGACCTCTAGAATCTTGAAAGGCTGAAAATTTCTTCTTCCAATACCATCCACTATCACATAAGGGTCTCCCCTCCCTCAGGGTCTACCATTACCAAGTATAGAAAGAATAAGGTTGAATCCCTTGAGTCACCGCTGCTTGATCGACCGCAATCCTTCCCACAAGGATAGAGACATGCAGCTCAAGAAGAAACTTGAAACGAAGAGGCCCACTCTTCAACGCCACAATCACCTTACCAAATACAGTCGATCTGCAGATCCGTTTGAGTCCGTCAAAGCCGTCACAGCCTCGTTAGATGTCATTTCTCACCCGTGTTCCATAAAATAATCATGTAAAAGCGTCAAAAAGCGCAATCCAGTTCGGATTCAACGGTAACGAAGAGATAACCATCAAGCTGAGTTTGTGGATATATTGCGAAGAAAGATGCATACATAGCCAGCTCGTAGTACGAATCCTTGAGGAAATATTGTGGGTCGGTGATGATGATCTTCAACCGTCCTGGCTTATCATATCAGCATGCCTGTAGGATTCTGTCTTAACGCACCGCCAGGGCCCAGGAAAAACGTGGCTCTGAACTTGGCTGCTCTGTGGGTTTGCGAAGTGAAGTCAATATAGATATGACGACGTTCTGGCATTGGTCTTTGATTTTGTTGTGAGTGAGATTCGAGAAAAAAGGAAGAAGAGAGACATCGCCTCCCAGCCAGCAAACGAAGGCAGGTACGGTGAAGTGAGAGTGAGCGAGCGAGCAATGACGACAAATTCGAGACATCGACGATAGCAACCCTAAGGCATCCAAGACTCCGAGACAAGACAAGACGTGGCATGAAAGTTACTTTGAGAAGCTGCATTCCATGATAATCCTTTTTTAGGAGGTTCCTCCAGTACTCGTTTTTTGTTTTCGAATTCCACCTGGACATCACAACAGCCCACTGACAAACAACAACATCACGAGGCAACTCTTCAACTCCATCACTTCCATCTCCCTCTCTCTCTGATCACAACTCACTCAACAATTCACGTACACCGCCGAATGCCAAGGTTTCTATTTCAGATCAAGAGCAACTCGAGCCTACCTTTCTCCCGTTGCTCGTGGTGCCCAGCAGTTCGGCACGAATTCCGATCGCATTGTCGCAGAGCCAGTCGTACACGATTCTCTCTAGATCCCAACTTTTACATCAACTGCCATTGATCGTCTTCTTGTGCCGCCGCTACGAACAGTCACGAGTCCCTGAAATACTGGTCCTCCTCGCACGCCAGTCCTCCTCTGGCAAGGTCCCCATCATGGCCAGCCGATCATTCAAACCGGCGTCATACTTGGCATCCGCAGCTCAGGCGGCACCGAATCGGAGCCCACGCCCGAGCTTTACGAGAACCTCGTCGGCGTCCAGCACTGGCAGTGAGGACAGTCTTCTTGCGACACTACGCAGCATGAAAATTGTTGATAAAGGAGGAGAGAGTTCTACAGCTGGTACGCTGTCTGCAACATCACATTTACCTGGCTGTACTACACCTGGTAAGTGTAAGTTTTTTTCTCCAGCATCGTCGCAGGGTTGCAGCTTTGCCCCTCATTGCCTAAGTCGGTGTGGAGTGCATCATGGCCAGCATCCACACAGCGGGAATGGCGCTACACTACCACAACACTACGCTGCACTGCACTGCACTACCCCGCCGCCACATACGCCAGTCAACGTCTGGGAAAGGGGGATTGGGGTGGTTCTGGGATCCACGAGGATGGTTGTAGATCTGGATATCGTGCCGATGCTAATTTTTCATATCAAATAGACAACCATTCCTCATCTTCTTCCCTCTCGAGACAACTTCGTGAAGAGACTCCCGGACGAAAGAGAAGTCAACCCATAGCTATTGAGCTGCCGCATAAAGAACAAGTCTATACACCTCTCTCTGCCAGGGGAGATTTACCTGGGTATGTATCCCACTTCTCATCAACTGTTGTGGTATTAACATTATCTCAGTGGCTATTTTCCAAATTACGAAGACGTCCCAAGAATATATCGATCCCATCCATTCGGCGAGACAAAGTCCAAATCCGAATCGCCCATCACGTCTGCATCGTCCTCGCTGATGTCATCTCCTGCCTCGGAGACCACACCCAGAGGTGGACCAGGACTCATGTCTCCTGCCTTCGGTCCCTTGTCGCCTTCGATCCCAGAGCCTCTCGTCAAGCCCATGGGCAAATATCATCCTGCGAACTACAAGTCTCCTGCCAATACTCAAGTCTCGACTCCTACATCAGCTCCTCGACTTTTGCCACCCACGAATCTGTCCATGCCTACAACCAACAAGAGAAACACCAGAGACAGACCTGCTCATGGTCATGAGAGGAAGAACTCGGACATCAAGAGAAAGCTACAACAATACCAGAAGGACATGATCGCACAGGCTCGATCTGCTGCCTCGAGTTCTATTGCTGGCACCATGCGTGGTGAAAGAAAGGAGCCGAATAGCCCGAAACTACAACCTGCTGGTAGTCCTGGTCCTATTACACCTTTCGAGCTAGAGGATCTCGATAATGAAGGCTACATTGATGCCGGACATCGTGCTCGACAAGCTTTGGACAGAGATAGGCAGAATACTATGAACACGTTGCAGAACTTCAACTCATGAACCTGTTACATAGATGGATGTTACTTTAACGTTGATTATTGCATTCTTGGATTGATTTCTGCACTGTACACGCATCTGCAGCACAACATCGGAATGATTGCATCAGAATGGATGTTTGACCACACCAAGCGCTGGTGGTGGTCTGTTGGAGTTTATGGAGTCTGGGCTGGACCAGGACTACCCCTATTTGCATTTCTTCGGCATGCTTCTTCTTCTTCTTTCTTTCGTATTGGCATGGATCACCGGCTTGCATGGAATGGATAGATAAAATACAGAACCTATCTACGGATAGGGTTAGGTATAGAATTGATCGATGATCCTGAGCTTGTTATCCTCCAGAGAAATGTTGTGAAGCCGAATTCGCGTTGTGTTCGAAATCATAGACCCCTTTTCCACTGAAGTGATTACCTCGCTCGCTTGCAGCGCCCCCTTTCTGCCAGTACAAAGGTACCGCTCTCGCGTGAACATAGAGACTCACGTCATTCCGTGGCTCTTCATAGTTCTCTCCATCGTTCATCCAATCCCAATGTTGCTTTCTTCCTCCGGAACGAGTACAAATGGCGAACCACTATATTCAGTTGAAGTAGCTGCAAGCGCCCCACCCTTGTCCTGCTTCTCCTCGGGCGAGCTCCTGTGGGGTAGAGAGGATGGTGTGTTTATCGACTGTGTGATGGTTTGCTGCTTAGAACATGCGACCGATGTGTGCTCTATAGCTCTGTTCATGATTCGTGAGATCCACTTTTGTAGTCGTCTTTTCATTTTCAGAATCCGCCAACACCGCGTTCTCCCGTTTCCACTTGGTTCCTCGCTTCAAGCGATCTTCCTCCTCTGCATCTTGACAGCGTCACCACAAGACTACTCCCTCGTCATACTGCATCGTCAAATGCGCGATGCTTTGCTACTCAACCACATCAGATATCCCAACTACTCTGTAGCTGTCCTTTTCATTTTCAGCAGCCGTCAATTCTTCCTCGCCCAAGCGATCCTCCTCGTCACACTGCATCACCTCGCATCCACCACTCAAAAGAACCGATTAATATCCTCACCTCCCATACCTCCAAAATCCCCCCACTCTGCACCCCCCATCGGCACACTAAACTGCCCAAACCCATACTCCACCCCTCCTCCCCCTCCCCCTCCTCCAAACCCCTGCTCTCCACTCCCAGTAACCAACTCTCCCACCGCCTGAAGATCTAACCACGAAAACTCATCCTGTTGCGCAAACCCCCCTCCTCCTCCTAGCGCTGGCACATACCCTGCGCTTGTCTGCGGCGCGATATTCTGCGGTTCGTTCTGGGTAGGCAAGGGGTCTTTGCGTTGCCAGAGGCGGTCGAGGAGCTCGGAGTAGCGGGATGTGAAGTCGTTGGGGCGGACGGAGGCTTTTTGCAGGCGGAGGGTTACGTCTTTGATCATGTGGCGGATGCCGAGTTTTTCTTGGGTGGAGAGGACGTTGAAGGACCATGCCTGGGGAGGTACTGTTAGAGGGGGGTGAAGGGGGAGGGGAGGGGAGGGGAGGAGAGAGAGAGGGTGAGGATGGGGCTTACTTTGTAGAGGAATACTGCTGAGTTGACGCAGTATCTGGGATGGGATGTTAGATGCATGGCGGTCTGTTGGAAGTGGAAATCTAGCTTACAATGAGAAGCGGAGGGGCAAGTATCGCAAGCAGTTCTCTGCATCGATATAGCTGGTTATGATGCTCAAGAGAGATTTCGCAGCGTCGACCGATTCATAGATGAATCTAGCGTCTGGGAGAGATGGAACACCATTATGAGGAGACTCGTTTGTGGCGACGTGACCTTGGGATTTGGCTGCTACTGCTCTAGTGACGGTTGCTTGGAAGGCGTATGCGTTTGTGTAGAGTCGGAGGTACTCGTAGGACATTTGTAATGTTGCTTTGATATTTGGTGGACCTAGGGATGTTAACTTCGTTTCTTTGAGATTGAGACTCCTCACATGTTAAGGTCCCCCAGATACTTTTCCATCCTTCGATGGCTCTTCTAAAGTCGTCAACGTATTTGACATAATTTCCTGCTAACATCATTTTCATGCTACTTCCCATCCCAGAGTAAAGCACATCATGAACATTGCTAAATAGTTGTGTCAGGTCCAGGTTCGCTTGCAGAACACTGGCATAGTCCGTCCCGTCTGGTGTTTCTGGCAGAAGAGGACGAAAATCATCAAATGTTTGACGACCATGTCTACCAATACCAGCAAGAGCAACTGGACCTCTCGACCAAAACGCTCTTCCAATACGAGCAGAAAGCTGCCGATCAGAGATATAACAGACTAGAAATTAGCAAGTAATCGAAAGCGATGACGGACACTCACCAGCCCAGGTAACTCTCCTTCTACTGAAATGGGCCGCTTTATCTTCATCTTCATGCTTAATCGCAGTCCTATCCAAACCCAGAAAATATCCAATCCTCAAAGCTAAGCCCACATGCATCCACGCAGCTCGATCTTCCTCCCCACACCCGACTTCCTTCCCTTCCGAGAACGAGTCTTGTGGTTCCCACTCGGCTAACAACAGAAGGGCTTCGACGGCTTCAACGTCGCATTTCTTCCCGGCAATGATCTCAGAGACGAGTTGGGACATGTAGCTTGAACATGTGTGGAGGATGGTGTCTCCTTGAGGGAGATCCCGGGCGGCTACTGTGATGATAGCCGTGAGGAGGTGAGGCTCGTGCTTTGCTAGCCATTGCAGAGAGTCTGGATCGAAAGACCTCCTTGGAGCTATTGGGAGATAAGGATGGTAGAACTCCTTGAATCTGGGCCGTGTTAATTAAAGTCCCGGTCTCGATGAATCACTTACCGAGCCACAAGCCTTGCGACTTGATCTGTTGTCAACAATCCCCTTGCTACTAGTGGATACTGCATTTGATCAAATTGAGAAGCAATATCAACTCTCGAACGAACATGAGATCCCGGAGATGCAGCTGATGGTCTCTCGGAAACATGTGAACGAGAAGGCGTCGCGTACGAATCTAGCTGAGCCGCTTGACTCAACATGTTTAAAGCTTCTGAAGTAGCATGTAAGTCTGTAGAAACAATAGTCTCATCGATATTTGCGGCGGTAATTGGTTCTTCTGGACTGAATGACCTCTCAGGTCTTGAGAAGCCGGCGGCATATGACTCTGATGGTTGCTCTGCTACGGACAATAGCCCTTGAGATTCAGTCGATACCTAGAATTATCAGCAGAGGCTCGTCACCAATTCATTCAAACCCACGCTCGCACTCTTCCTCACACGTTTTCCACCTCGCCTCGAATTGACAAGCACACATTCCGCATTGTCGCGAGCACATGACTGGCATGGAGGGGCCCCAGGTTGACCCAAGACGCCTCTTCAATCGTAGAGTCAGCGAATAGCAATATTTTGCTCACATCCTCACTTACAGATTGCACTTTGCTTTCCGTTGCCGACATCTGAGGCATGCTCTTGAAATTCGCTTCATCGGCTTCCCCTCTTTCTGTGAAACATTCGACGGGAATTGAGAATTGGCGGTGAAACTTTCAGTAACCATTCTCTCGGTAAGATCTTGATTTGAAGATTCCATATTCGGCTGCAACAATTGTTTCGAGATGAATCAAATCAATAGCCGTTATAACAATTGATAACAATTGCCGTCGTCGCCGAAAATTCAGATGAGGCATTTACCGCGGCGGCAAATCCCCACCAGTGCCAGACTGTGGCGCAGTTTCTTCAGCAGCCAGCCTTCAGCTCACAAGACCGAGAATCTCAGCCGTGCGACCTCTTCCAAACTCTATCCATTTACCGCCCGATAATTCGTGGAGATGGCCACTCCACGCGGGGCAAAATCATGGGGAAGGATCGACATGCGGGATGATGAAGCTAGGTACGACATCTTGTATATCTATCTCACGACCTCGCAACTGATGGAGGATTGTTTCACGACAGCGCTCCTCTTATCCAAGACGACTCACCGCCAAGTTTGGTCAATGCTCAATCGACAATGCCGTCCTCTTCTCAACAAGTTGATTCTGGTTCTGCCAAGATCCATAAGGAGTACGCAGAGGATGTGGAGGCTTCGAGGACTTTGAGCAAGGATGCAGCTGGCATCGAGCGTGTTGAGCTCACTGATGAGGATGTATGTTGATGAGCAAAATCAGAATTACCGGGCTAATGTCGTCCAGAACAAAAGAATTCGACGAAAGACTGACAAAGTGATTCTGGTGATCCTTGTCTGGGTCTACTTCCTTCAAGTTCGTCGCCCTCCTTCAGTCTTGAAATGAGAGCTAATCATTCAGATTCTGGATAAATCTGTCCTTGGATACGGATCCATCTTCGGCCTCCAAAAAGATACCGGCCTCGTTGGCAACCAATATTCTCTCGTCGGTTCCATTGCACCCATCGGCCAACTAGCATGGCAACCATTCTCATCCATCCTCATTGTCAAAGTTCCCCATCGAATCCTGATGCCAGCATTGATTCTTGGATGGGGCATTGCACAAGCTGCAATGGCAGGGTGTCACAGCTACACTGGACTTCTTGTAACTCGATTCTTCTTGGGCGTCTTCGAAGGCGGTTGTCTCCCGTTGTTCAGTGTCATCACAAATCAATGGTATCGAAGAGCTGAACAGCCAATTCGAGTAGCGGCCTGGTATGGCACGAACGGTATCGCGACTATTGTAGCTTCTGCCCTATCATTTGGCCTTGGTCACATTCCATCCGCACATCTTTATCCTTGGCAAATGTAAATACCCCCCTCGTCTCTATTCTCATCTGCTCACAACAATCAGTATATTCCTCTTTGTTGGTCTCGTCACTATCCTCACAGCCCCCATCGTTTACTGGAAACTCGACAATGACATAGGTTCTGCGCGATTCCTCACTGACCACGAAAAGATCCAAGCAGTTGAGCGACTCCGCGCCAATCAAACTGGTATCGGTTCACGACAATTCGAATGGACTCACGTCAAGGAAATACTCATCGAGCCCAAAAGTTATCTATGGGTCGGCATGTCCCTCCTTCTTAATGTTGGAGCTTCCGTCACGAATACATTTGGACCCCTCATTTTAAGCGGCCTCGGATTCAACAAGTACATCACATCACTACTCAACATGCCTTTTGGAGCTGTACAATTCATCATCATCATTCTCGCCTCATACGCTGCTCAAAAAGTTCGCTTGAAAGCTCCTATCTTGCTCGTCTTGGTGATTCCCGTCATCGTTGGACTTGCCATGCTCTATGCTATCCCACGTTCGGATACTGGTGCACTGCTTGGTGGATACTATCTGCTCGCTTTCTTGTTTGGGAGTAATCCTCTTATTGTCTCGTGGATTGTTGGCAACACTGCTGGCACGACGAAGAAATCCGTCATCATGTCTCTCTACAATGCGGGGTCATCGGCAGGGAACATTATCGGTCCTCTGCTCTTCAATTCAGCTGATGCGCCAACCTATCACCCGGGACTTCGAGCAGTGCTGGCAATTTTCGTCGCTCTTGCTGTTGTTGTCCTGCTTCAGCTTGCGAACTTGATGGTTCTGAATAAAATGCAGTCCAGAAAGAGAGTGGCAAATGGGAAAGCAGCCATCATCCACGATGCTTCGATGGAGAATCATTACGTTGAAATCGATACTGAAGGAGTAGGAAGACATGCCTTTGATTTGACGGATCGTCAGAATGATGAGTTTGTATATATTTATTGATAGCTCCATGACCCTACGAATGAATCAATCATGACTGCAAACATCGCTTCTCTCTAGTATTGCCCCTGAACAACCTAACATCAAGCCACTCCAACGACCTGCCCAATCCTATTCCTCAACCCCTTAGCATCCAATCCCTTCTCGCCCCTCGCTGCTCTCCAAAAATTAGTCGTCCCAAGAACATCCTCATCCATCAAAAACCACCACTTAACCGCAAACCCCTCGGTAATCTCCCACCCCCTCTCATCCCAACTCTGACTTCCCCACACCTTCACCTCCCCATTAATGAAATCCTGCCAGATATCTCTCGGGTCGATCAGCTCGTGTGCTTGCAGTAATTTATTCCTCAGAGCTGGGAGAGGGATGATGTCGATGTAGGGCCAGTGGGGAAGCGTCAGTTGAAGGGGTGTGGGAGCGAGAGATGAAGGAGTGGCGAGCGTGGTGGGGATGAAGATTGAGCGGCCGCGGACGTTGCTGCAGGCTATGTTGAGGAGGGAGGCGTTGAATAGCATGGCGGTTATGGTGTGTGTTGTTTGGAGGACGAGGAAGTTTGTGTCTGTGAGTGGGGAGGGGGTTTTGGGGGTTGGGAAGGAGCTGGGTTGTTAGTTTGTGGAAGATACATTTTGGAGAGACGTACTTTGATATTTCTAGGCTCCTTGATACGTTGGGATCCGTGACACTTGAACCTCCTGAAGAGCTTGAACCTCTTGAAGAATCAGGTGGAGAATTGTCAGTTTCGTCCAAGGTGGAGAAGCCAACTTCCTCAAGGAGAGTAATGTCAATTTCTGAGCTTGTTTGGTCGGTAGTGCCAGCAGAGCCGCTCGAATGAGTACTCTGGCTTGTCGAGCTTGAGACTGTGTCGATACTCTCATCACGTGGATTCGGCAGCTGGCTCTTCTTCTTTCGACCATACTTCTTTCCTAAACGCATTCCAGCTCCCCATCATTTGTTGTATAGCGGGGGAGCTTACTGTGGATTCTTTGAGCCAATCGATTCTGGATTTTCTTCCGTTCGGCACCATCCTTCACTTTGGTCCAATCATCATCCTCTGACCTCCCCACTCTCAGAGTACTTGATGCTTCCATGGTGCCTGCGTGATTGAGGTTCAATATTGTGTTTTCTGACCAGATTCAATGCATTCAGAGACGTTGAACAAATGCCTCACAGTTGAAGGTCAGAATGATGTTGTTGATGAAGGTCCCAACACTAAAAACTGACCAGTAAGACGGCGATATCAGTAATCCACCTGCTGACAAATGAGGATGTACGTGATACACGATCCTGCGCCGCACTACGGCAACATGTTTGATATCAATTCCTGGAAGTCGAATGAATGCCGTAACGGCAAATGTTACCATTACCAGAGAGTCGGCTTCGGGTAGCTGCAAGCGATAATCGGCATCTCAAGCGAGATTGAGAAAGGGGCGGACGACTGAACATCGGCTCTGTATACTCGAATGAGCGCTTGCGTAGTCCTTTGTCAGATCATCGTCCTTTTAATTTCTTGTATTTAAGATTTTCAGCAGATTCCATGCAGCTAGAATTTCAACAAGCTGATAACTCTTTGCTGCCTCAGCTACACAAGAAGCTCATCACGTGACTAGGACACTGGGAGATCTGTTGCGATGAACTCATTCGCTCCTCGACGCTGCTATGTTATCAACTATCATTATGGCTCTGTTAATGATGATCTTTCCTTTCCCTTGTTCAAAAGGAAGTCTGCACGCTGAAGTTGACTACTTGGAACTCGCTTCATCCGTTCACTAATCACTTTGACTTGGGATCTCTGACCACTTGAGCATTTATAATCCGCAGCAATTACTGAACAGGAGATGCGTTGAGAGGCTGGGTAGAACTTAGTATTCCCAGTATATTCTTGCTGTTGCAGCGCAAGTGGGGAAACTTTTAAGGGAACTCAACACGCTGTTGGTGAGTCTTGTTGATCACTCAATATGTGCTTGCAGCCAATCACTTGAAAAGACCTCTAGATGTATGATTTAACGATTCGAACAGATCTAGTGTGGTCAGACATGATGTACTTTTAAGCAGGTCAGAATCTTCTTTTTCATATCAAAATGCACTTTACGATCTTGCGAGAATGAACAAACATATTTAAGACCCAACCTCCAACTTTCTTTCGGATACTTATTGAATCAAAACAACCCTCGAAATACAGATTAACAGCAAGCTATCAATTCAAACTCCGCAAATTCAACATGCATCCTTTCCCATCATACACCAAGGAATGGCACTCCAGCTCCTACCCCTCGATCTCACCCACTCGTCCTGAACTCTCACTTTCAGGCAAAACCATCGTCATTGCTGGAGGCGGAGCAGGAATCGGTCTTGCCATCTCCAAGTCCCTCGCTCAAGCTGGCGTCAGCAAATTGGCTATCATCGGACGTCGAGCTGCAGTCCTTTCCGACGCTGCGACTTCGATCCACGACCTCGTCGGAGACAAAACTCAAGTCCTCACCATCGCAGCAGACATATCCGAGAAAATGCAAATCGACGAAGCCTTTGCCGAAATCGGCAAGAATTTCGGCGCTATTGACATCCTCATCCCAAATGCTGCCTACTTCACTGGTGTCAGGCCTTTTGGAGAAGAAAGCGTTGAGGATTGGGAAAAGAACTTGAATGTCAATGTCAAGGGAATGTACCTCGTTGCTAGTGCTTTCCTCAAACATGCTGCGAAGAATGCTAGCATTATCAATATCTCGACAGCTATGATTCATCTCCCACCCTTTGGAGGATTCTCGTCTTACTCTGCGACGAAGCTTGCAGGTACCAACATCATGGATAGCATTCAGAAGGAACATCCGAATGTTCATATCGTCAACGTTCATCCTGGACGAGTGAGAGAGACTGAGATGGCCGGAAGAGCTGTGGGTCCAGATCATATCGATGATGGTGAGTGATCCAAGCGTCGTGAGAATGGAGCTAATTTTGCTAGCTGATCTCGCTGGAGATTTTGTAGTCTGGTTGGCAAGTGAGGAAGCAAAGTTCTTGAACGGAAAGTTTGTCTGGGTCAATTGGGATGTTGATGAGTTGAAAGCAAAGGCGAAAGAGATCCAGGATAGTGCTCTGCTGTCCATTGGCCTGGTCGGTTTCTCTGATTTCAAATATTGAAGCACGACTTTCGAAAATCTGAAAGGACGAGGATGAGCATGAGGGAAGTGGTACAATACAGACAGATAAAACCATAGCGAGAAAGATTGTTGCGTTAATCGAATTGCGTCAAGCACGAGCTGTGACAAGGTGTATTGAGTGACGGCTTTCATTTATACAGAATCTAGGTGGTATACTAAAATCATAGGGTAACCCAGAAAATAAACTCCACAACTCCTGTACCCGCTTTTACGCTAGACCCCGCTTCAAATCAATAACTTCGCAAATCAACCTTTCCAGATCCATCTTCAACTCCTCAATCTTCGCCATATGAGTACCTGAAGCGATCAGACTGATGACAAGTTTGTCACTATGCCCCACATAACACCCAGCAATGAAGTTGTCCCGCCGTAATGCACTTTCCATAGACATGACGTGCGGCGCAAAAGGAGCACCAGTAAAACTTGCATCATATGTGAAACTTTCCCGCAGCACCATTCCTGCAGCCGCTTTCTGCTGCGATTGGGGAAGAAGCTGGACGCATTGCTCGAGTAGCAGAGCGTTGTTTGCAAGTGTATTCCCTTGCTTGGTGTCACTGAGTATGCGACGATGCTCAGCAAGTGCATGTTGAAAAAGTTCCTGGAGAAGCAGTTGCGCGCTCATATCTGAGCTTGCGTCACTCCGTATGAGTTCCTTGCAAAAAGTGTGAGATGTGGGTGTCGAAACGAGTTGTGGAATAATGCGGCCTCCCGAGAAGTGACGCATGGCGACAGGTTCCATCACTCGGAGAGGGAGACCGTCGTTTTTGTGAGACAGGATTGCTGCTTGGAAGCTCAATTGTAGAATTGTATCAACGAGCTTTGATTTTCGGAGGCTCGAGAGCAGTTTGCTATCGATGTGGACGGACAAGGTGGTTGAACGCTGCGCCGGCATGCGAGCTGGGAGACGCACGTACTGCCTACTGTCCTCCAGGTCGAAGAATTCGATTCTCCTTGGTGACAACACCAACGCAGTTCCCCGAGTAGCGCTTGAGCGTTTCATTATATAGTCCATAAATCCAACAAAGTGGCACGCAGCACCACCATCGACGGCAGCGTGATCAAAACGCATGGCCAATTCCCCATCGGAGAAGACGCTAAGTCCAAGTGTTTGATCAGAATACATACATGACTGGTCTTCTCTGATCAACACTAATCGCTTTGCTGAATCCTGGGGACACAATTCATGCAGTGCCACCGAGGTAATGGCACCCTCCATTTGCTCAACTGCTCTCGAATTTGTCTTTCGAAGACGGTTACGCAACTGCGCCCAGTCTTGTCGTTGTAAAGTGCTGGAATACTCGCATACTGAATTTTGACCACGACCCTTGGCTGTTAGGAGGAAGATGTATCGGATTTGCTGAATGATGGTTGTGGCAGAGTGAGGTCGAAAGTTCGAGTCTAGTATATCGACTTTGTATGCATGGTTCTGATACCAAACGAGAGCGTAAGTGGATTCAGGGCTGGTCTTCAAGAAGTCCACGTTTGAGCCTGGAATTCTGCACGTTGCCAATGTATGTGCCACTTGCATCATCTCAAAGTTTTTCCCCTTTCCGTCAGTACCAATGACGGAGAAGAGTGCTGGGCTTCGATAGGCTACCGCGAGGGCGTGCAGTGCAAGGCCTGCAGTGGTAGCTTGATCTTTAGAAGCGTGGCCTAAGAGTACGGCCATGGAAGTCTCCTTTAAGGCGCATCTTCGAGCCAGCATTCGATGTTCATATATCGCGGTATGCCAGTTCGTACATTCTTCTACCGGCATCTGACTCGTAATAGCACTGAAAGCCTCCGCAAAGGCCTGGTGTGTCAATCTTAATTGGTCATAGCTGCCAGAGGGAAGTCCTTCTTGAACTTGATCAAATATGGCTGAGTACTCGGAATAAAGGCGATCGATACTGGGAAGTGGATAGTTGGGGATTCCAGCATCATGTTTTTTTGCTTTGGTAATCAAGGATACGATCTCATCCTAGACTTTGTGTTAGTGAAGCTTGTTCAATATGCGACAATTAGACTTACCTCCGAATAAGCTGTCAAATGAGATTGGCTCCAACCTATGAATAGCTTCTTTAGTGAGGCCGCGAGTTGACGTGGGTGAGCAGCAGAGGATAAAAAGGGTTTAAAATTTGGAAGGACGTTGACAAACGATTCAGTTGCCATCTTGAGTCAAAATAGAGAATTTGAGGAGATAGGTGGCTTCTGAATCGAGATGGCAAGAGAGAACATCCAGTTGACTTGCAACTGTATAACTCTCGTGCCTTAGCGGCCTCCAAAGTATATATATCTGGATAGAAATGACATCGCAATCACCTCCCATACCTCTGTTTGGGTGCCACATCTTACCATATCCAGACACCTTCAATCATGCTTTCGAGGTGGATAAATTTGGAACCATGGTGACTGCGGCTGGTTCATTGAAACATTAGAAAGGACTAAACCTCCTAAGATCATGTTGCAAATAAATTCCTTCAGATCTTATGTCAATGTTGTCCCTTGATCGAACCATAGTATTCTAAGCACTTACCGATATCTCTAACCTTTTTCTGTTGCCTGCCTGACGGTAACTGGGCTCATGTTCCCCCTTTCGCCTCAGTTCATCTGATTTGAATCATTTCCAGGGCCTGTCAGGTCGTTTATGCGCATCCACGAATCGGAAAGTATTATTTTGTTCCATGCCAGGGTTTCTCGCTCCCCCACAAGATCCTCCTGGTAATTCAGCCTCGATCTTAATGGTCGTGTGCTGTGGCTGTATGGGCCTTTGGGAAAACCAGCTTTGTATGGAACGGCACAGTCCCTTCCGAGTAGTTGGAAACAAACGCGCGCAAGGGACCCGTCCCTTGCATGCAGACTAAACCCCGCCGTATGCGCCACCCATACGGGCGGAATTCCAGATGGCAATGACAAATAAGCGCGCGCAAGGTTAAAACCTTGCTTAGAATAAGCCTCGCCAAGGGGCGCTCTATACCATATGTGGATGGCTGAGAGGCTTAGCGTCAGCCTTCGCCTCCTTCTAAACATATCATCTCCATTTTTGTACGCCGTGCCTCATCAGATAAGATGAAAATGTGTCTAGCTTCGTGAGATCTAACGCATAATCGATCCTATGCTCCAAGCTCATTCCTACATGTCAGAACGTAAATCCTTCGTTTGAAATGTCAAAGCTGGCATCCCTGTCAACCATGGGACGGATCCTTCTGTTCGCGATCGTGGGGCGCGCAGTCTTAGTATCCAATCTTCCGATGGCTTATACCAGGACAGCATGACAATATCCGAGAAACGAGTTTTGCTATCAGATATATCCAGTGTCTGAGTACCTGGAATGATGGATACGCTCTTGATAGATTCTCACATCTCCTCTTTCACTACCTTTAGATCAAAATGGCTGTCTGCCATTGTGATCAAGATGTCAAGGCCCCCACTTCATTCTTTGGACTGTTTCGCAATACCTCCTCTTACGATAGACTCCTACTAGTGTGTGGTTTCCTCTCATCCGGCATTGCAGGAAGCGGCGTGGTAAGTCGATGGAGATCTTGTAAAGACCACGTACTAATGAATAACAGCCTCTGATAACCATTATCATTGGATCTTCAACACAACTATTCGTCGACTCCGGCAGTTCCGTGGCTCAGGGAGACTTCCTTCACCAGATCACGCGCAAAGCGCTGATCCTCGTAGGCATCGGTGCCGCGGTTGCAGCTGCCTCGTTCGTGTCAATATGGTGCTGGATGGTTCTCGGAGCGAGCATCACTGGACGACTGCGGCACGACTATTTCTCAAACTTGTTAGCTCAAGATATGCCATACTTGGAGACGCAGGGTGATGGCGAGATCGCAACGAAATTCGTTTCGAATATGGTGAACGTTCAAGAAGCCATCTCATACAAGTTGAATTTGGCTCTGACGGCTCTGTCCACTCTTGTATCTGCAATACTCATCGCGATGGCGAGGAACTGGAAGTTCGCTTTTGCTATCTCCGCCATAATTCCAGCAATCCTGTTGCCAACAATGGTCATGGCAGTATTTCTTCGACAGAGCTCTCGTCGTGCTACCAATCTTGTGTCAGAAGCTCATTCCGACGCAGAGGAGGCACTCTCTTCCATTCAGGCTCTGCAAAGTCGAGGCGCCCAATCTCGATTCGTCACGAAATATCAACATCTCTTGTCCAAAGCAGGCAGACACGAGGGGACCAAGGCTCTCTTTTCGGCTGGCATTGCAAGCCATTTTGTCTTCGTCCTGTACGCAGGGTACTGCTTTGCATTCTGGGAAGGGGCAAGACTCGCGCTATCCGAGAATTTGAACATTGGAAAGATCATCACTATTCTGTACGCTGTTCTTTATGGTACGACGGCGTTGGTCAAAGTCATTGAATATATGAAGGTCTATGCGTCTGCCAAGTCATCTCTAGCTGATATCATATCTGTCCTGGATCGACCTCCCCTTCTTCAGATCTCCAAGACACCGAGATGGGGAAATGTTTCGGGCGAAATTCAATTCGACAGGGTCAGCTTTTCGTACCCAACACGACCAGACATCAAGGTTCTCGACAACTTTTCCCTGCATATCCCTTTGCATCAGAGTTTAGCAATAGTTGGTGATTCGGGATCTGGAAAGTCGACGATATTCGACCTACTACAACGATTTTACGACCCTAATGCAGGTCAGATTCTGATAGATGAGCTTAACGTCTCGAATATAGACATCAGGTTCTGGCGTTCCCAAATCTCAATCGTGTTCCAGGACCCGGCGCTATTGTCTGGAACTATCTTCGACAATGTTGCTCTTGGCTTACATCTTACCATGTACGAAAATGCACCATACGATCTGAAGCGAAAACTGGTCATCGAAGCATGTCAAATTGCCAACATTTCCGAATTCATCGAGCGCTTACCAGAGAAGTATGAAACCAAGATCAAGGGCAATGACTCTCACTTAAGTCGTGGTCAACGCCAGCGCATCGCAATCGCACGAGCAATTATCCGAAATCCTAAGATCCTCTTACTGGATGAAGCAACTGCAGCGCTCGATTCGGAATCAGAAAGACTGGTTCAGAGTGCTTTAACAAATGCATGCCAAGGACGTACTTGCATTACGATTGCTCATCGCTTAAGTACAATCACCAATGCTGACTCGATCATTGTCATGAAAGCTGGTCGCATCGTTGAGCGGGGAACACATCGACAACTCATGGCTCAAGATGGGAAGTATGCATCGATGTACCGTACGCAAGAAGTCAAGGAGGAGAAACCAGTCGAACAACCAGCTGAAGTTGGAAAGATTGGAAGGCAGTCTGCTATGGGAACTATCCTCCGTAAGCTGACCATGCGAGCCAACCGCATGAGTACCAGACGAGTTCAAAACCAGGAGCCCGAGGAAAATGTACCAAGCAAGGCGGCAACTTGGTTCAGTCGTATTCGCATGCTCGCTAGAGCTGTCAACGCGCTGCATGGAGACAAACCAGCAGTCGTCCTAGCTTTGATCCTCACTGTTGTCTCCGGCCTAGCATATCCTGCGCAAGCTATTCTCTTTGCAAAGCTCTTCGTCGAGGCTGAACATCTCGGGAGCCCCGGTTTCCAATCTCGCGTCAACTTCCTCAGCCTGATGTTCTTTATCGTTGGGATTGTACTCTTCTTCTCGCACTTTCTGAGCTCTGTGATCCTCCAACGTAGCTGCGACAAGATGATCCGACGAGTGCGAGTTCGAGCTTTTGCATTCATCCTTGATATGGAAGCAGATTGGTTCAACACCGAGGAGCGCTCGACATTTCGTCTCCTCTCTTGGTTGACAGAAGATGCAACCTATCTACGTGGTTTGCACGCGGTCAGTCTTGCTGTGTACCTGCAAACATTTGTCATCCTTTCGTCAACAGTCTTTCTCGCCATAGGACTTAATTGGCGCTACGCTCTGCCTGTCATACTTCTCTTACCATTGGTCCTCTTTGGCTCATTCCTTCGCCACAAAGTTTTGAAGGATTTCCACCATTCTACAATATCACATCACACTTTGTCCAACGAGATTGCATATGAAGCACTCGCTTCCGTCCGGACCGTCGCTGCATATAATCAAGAGACCGAGATTGTCAAAATGTACAACTCAACTCTGACTGAGGCTTATGAAGCTGCAAAAAAAGCGGCAACTAATTTGTCGTTCGCGTTCGCCGGAGCTGCGGGAATGCAGCTCATTGTGACGGCTTTCGCGCTTTGGTATGGAGGATACCTCATCAGCAAAGGTCAACTCTCCGTCTTCCACTACTTTGCCTGCTACACTGCCCTTACTTTCGGCGCTCAAGATGCTGGCTTAGTCGGAAGCCGCGCATCAGGAGTTTCATTGTCGAAGCAGTCCTTCAACTTCTATGACGAAATGCGGACTCACAGATTGGCAATCGCAGAAAAATTGGCTGCTACCGCTCCAAAGGATAAGACAATGACATCAATTGATGGAGAAATCAGTTTCCAGCACGTAGGCTTCCAATATCCGGGACAACCTACTCGTCATGCAGCGCTCAGAGATATCAACTTCTCGATTAAGCCTGGCCAGCATGTTGCATTTGTTGGAGCTTCAGGATCGGGGAAAAGTACCATCATCAATCTGATTGAGCGGTTCTACTCTCAGTCTTCGGGCCAAATAAAGCTCGACGGCCAGCCCATTGAGCATTGTCCACTAGAAGATTATCGCCAACAAGTTGCTCTCGTGCCTCAAGACTCCGTCGTCTACAACGGGACCATTTTGGAGAATCTTCTTCTGGGATTGGACGAGTCGAAGGTCACTCAAGCTGACGTCGAAGCTGCATGTGCTGCGGTGGGAATCTTGACATTCATTCACTCGCTTCCAGATGGATTTGCCCAGGCATGCGGCAAGAAGGGCAGAGAGCTCTCAGGCGGGCAGAAGCAGAGACTTGCCATTGCGGCTGCGCTCCTCCGCGATCCACGCATTATGATCCTCGACGAGGCTACCTCGGCTCTTGATGCGGCCTCAGAGCAAGAAACCCTCATGGCGCTCAAGAATGCGTCTGGAAACAGAACTACCATCACTATTGCGCATCGATTGTCCACTGTGGTCGCTGCAGATGTGCTATATGTGCTTCATCATGGCCGCATCGTGGAGACAGGTACGCCGGAGGAGCTGCTGATTCGAAAGGGAGGCCATTTCGCTTCGATGGTATCAGGAAACCAGCGGTTGTCTGGTTGAAGTATCCGTGTATATACTAATTCTTGTTGGCGCTGGGAAGGATACTGTATTTGTAAGATCTTTTTATGTCCCTCAGATACCCGGCATATGCCATTGTATATATAGCCAATAATTGCTCGAATTTCAAAGCATAATCCTACATGCATCCTTTCATGACTTTGCGTGGTATTTCTGTATCAACACGCTGAGCAGCTCTTCCAATTTTTTTCTGCCGCCGTTCAGATCATCAAATCCCTTTCATCGACACGCCCACGATTGGTTTCGGCGAACTCCGCAGCTTCTAGTCTTTCGATCTTCTTCGACACTGACATGATGTCTTTCTTGATATCTGTGTGACTCTGTGGAAAACTATATCAGCAAGAATGTCAAAAGTCAATGGAAGCGACGGCTTCGACATACCATGTAAACCATTTGACCCATGAGGTCTAAATTAGTGAACATCAAAGTTTGCAACCCGCACAACATGATGAAATATAAACGCATTCTGTTACTTTCCTGCTCGAGCCTCGTGGCTAAGTCATTCGAACAGGAAGGGGGGGTTTGCGGGCCGGAATCTTCGGTGTCTTGCTTCTTGGAGGATGTAGAGAGTTTTAGGCGGCATTGGTAAATTCCGATCGTAGGTGATCGCTTGAAACTATGAGAGATTGGTAGCACTCGAAGTCTCCGCGAGGCAATTCTCGTGAACATCTTGGAGAAAGGAATAAGGAAAGTAGAAACATTAGAAATTGGGGACGGAATTGCTCTTTAACAAATCGCATCATATGGAATGCGACTCATCAGGGTTTAAGCCACACTTGTAGGTCGGGTCAGATATGGAGCCGCCGAGAGACATATCAGTGCTGGGACAGCGCAGAATTGAAGCAGATGCAAGGGATGTTGTGAGCAAAATGCCACCTGCCCTAAACTTGACTTCCAGTCCATTATCCTTTCTACCCCGAATTCATAACTCCTCAATCCTGAAGAAACTTCTCCATTGAGTCTTATAGGTATCTGGCAGATCTGCAGCTACCTCCTGGCACACCGTGTATTCTCGACTTCCTTCAACAAGGCAAACAGTGCTGTGGTGGCAGTTTTCGTCAAGTTTTTCTTCTGTCAATTCCTCGCAGGAACCACATATGGGATATTCCAGTATGCCGTACAGCTAGGCTAAGACTTTGCCGGCACATCGTTAGTAGACAGTAGCTCGTTCGTCCGATTTCGCCTGTTGTTCTGTCGCAACGAGTTCGAGTCTTCCTAGGCGTCCAGACTTGTATATAGGGATATCATGGTCCACAATTAGCAAATAATGGCTCTCACGGATCTTGAATCACAGAACAGCTCTGCAGAACAACGTGGTTCCGTAGTTGATATCGAGGTGAAAGATTGCTCGGTGGGAGAAAATACGTCTGAGTTCGGATTTAGGAGGTGTGGTGCTGACTCAGCATCAACCTTGGCAGCTGGTGCAGCGTTGATTTAAACTTCTCCACAGCATGCGCTTTTTGCTGAATGAACCCGAGCCGCCTTTGACATCGAATGCGGTGCAGTTGTCCATTGGTGGCTACATACGACGGGTACTGTTCCGGAAGGTTACCGTTACGAGCCGTGCTTATGATTTGCTCGAAGGATTCAAAGCCAGCTTGCGGTGCATATTTAAGATGTGAACCTTTGTCTCCTTGTACTTTCCACCTCCCTTTTCTTCACGACATACCATTACGATATCAAAATGGCTTATGCCGCGAACGTGATTCGAGGTGATGACCCAAGTACCACCAAGCTCTACGGCGAAAGAACGGCAAAGACTTCCTGCCAGTACCTTCTCCCTCATGTCACAAAGTCTGCAAAAATCCTAGATGTCGGCTGCGGACCAGGTATCATTACTGCAGATCTTGCAAAGATAGCATCGGATGGTTCAACTATTGGTGTCGACAATTCGGAAGGCATCATCAAGCAAGCCTCGACCTCGTTCCCCGATGTGCCCAACCTCAAGTATCAGGTCGGGGATGCCACCAACCTCAAGGACTTTGCTGACAATTCATTTGATATTGTTCATGCTCATCAACTTCTTGTTCACATCTCGAACCCAGTTCCTGTTTTGAAGGAGTTCTACCGAGTCTGTAAGCCAGGTGGTATCATTGCTGTTCGAGAGTCCAGTCCTTCCGTCGTGTTATTCTTGAAGCCTGATTTGCCCGGAATTCGACAATATTGGGATAGAGCTATGGCCATGATGCCCAAGATTGGTGCCCAGACTCAAGCTGGAATTGATCTTGAGAAATGGGCCAAAGAAGCATTTGGTACAGATGGAGAGAAGCTGGTGTATACCAAGACCCCAGTCTGGAATGCAGGACATACCGAACGAGTCACAGGGCCGGCTGCCGCTCATGCTATTCAGTATGGTATGGCAACACAAGAGGAAATGGATCAGTGGGCGGAGGCTTGGAAGGAGTGGGATGCGGCGGAGGATCATGAATGGGTGTTTGAGGCAGGTGAAATTCTATGTCGGAAGGGCATTTAATCAATTTTCCACAATGTTATGGCTCACTTCGGAGGATTAGTTTGAGCGTGGGTTATGTTTTCATTTCTCATTTACCCATGTTCATCATTTTCCAGCAAGAATTGCAGAAATCCTCAATGCTATTCTTGGTGCTTTTTTGAGTGCATAGTCCAGACTTGTAGGAGGGACAATGTGTTGCAGGATATTCTCGAGAAAAATGGCCGCAGAATCCGTACAGGGTGTGAGTAATTTTACACATGATTTGAATAGAATGCGGTGTAGTCCAAGTGCGCGGTCGTTAGTTATTACTTCAAAGGTTATTCTGCCGTTCCGAGATGAATATCATTGTTGAACGGTTATTATAAATTCTTGTTTCATTGTCGTCATTTCATTGTTCGATCCTTTGTTAGTAGCTTGGATTATGTTTCGACAACATTCTTGCAGCTCTTGTGCGTCCATGAAAGACGGCACCTGCTCTCACTGTTTCATTTTTTCATCCATGTCTCGTTTAACTGCACGTTTCAAAACCGCTATAGAACAATCCATTGTGCGTTTCTATTTTGACCTCAGTCTTCCCACACCCCATGCTCTTAATCAGACATCATCAACACCTCGAATATCATTTTCAATTAATCACCACTTCTAGCAGTCATGGATAACTTCTTAGAACGCATGCGAAATATCGAAAGACAAATGGAGCTCAACCAGTACAGAGAACGAGAACAAAGACGTGCTGCAGAATATGACTCTATCCTCGCTGGCCGAGGTAGATCTCACATTCGCGGAGATACTTCCTACAAATCCGAGGATGATGAGCAATTTCAAGAATTCTTGCGCAGGCATGGTGCACCGTCTCGTGAAAGGAGATCATCGCCTTCACAAAGACTCAGGTCTTCATTCTCAACATTTCCTCAATTTTCAGGGAATGAGCAGAATTATTACAATTCCGAAGACGATGACTTGCCAGAAGAGTTTAGAAGGAGACGGTCTCCACCACAACCTAGACGTCGATCTCCATCACCTGAGCCAAGGTGTGCATATCGATCATGTTCCCCACCGCCGAGACAAGCTTACTCACCTCCACCAAGAAGAGCTCACTCCTCACAGCCAAGGCATAGCTCTCCACCTCCACGGACAGCATACGCTCCACCACCACCAAGAGTCCCGTCACCGCCTCCAAGAAGAGGCTCTCCGCCACCATCCCACACCCGCCCTCGCACTTCGTTCAGGGAAGAGAATCCCCATGGCATCTACACTTACTCAGACGAAGAGCCAGAAAAAATTCCCATTGCTCCTGCTGCTTGGAACAATTATGCTTCATCCATTGGCCGAGAAAAACTCATCTCGTTCTTCAAAAGTAAAGGTGTTCCCGAAGCACTTGCACGGAGCGAGGTAGATAAGGAATTTGCAGCCCATGCCCGAAAACATCGAGCTGGTGAGTCTTAACATGGAACTAGTAAAACACGGATAAGTAGGAAAAGGTATGAAGGAAGATCGAAGCAAACAGTAAGTGAGAGACGACACATGATGGCCAATGCTTTCACCGTGCTTTTCTCTTTCAACAATTCAACCGCGAGTCTTTTCTGACTTTCAGTTTGTTCCACACTGCTAATTGCCCCCATTGTATCCTTTGTGAATATTAAACACAATAAATATGTCATTACTCTAAAAACGATTCGCTATGCCAAATGTGACAACTCCAAGAACAATGCGCAAAGTGACTAATCGAGATCAATAGGATTCCTCGTTCTTATCCTCTCTCCATACTTCCAAAATACCCATGGAATCGGTGTCATAGCCAATGCCAAGAAGCCCAACAAGCTATTACCCCACCCAATTCCCAACTTGTCATACATAGGCTGACCAGCAAGTGGGAGTAGCGCTCCTAGGATAGAGCGGAGGATTGTTGCTGCAGCAATAGCAGATGCTGCGTATCTCGTGTATGCATCCACGAGATAATTTTGGACCGGTAACTACAACAATTAGTAAAATCACGTTAAATTATCGTTCAACGACTTACCATCACGGACATCATTCCAAAAGCCATGAACACTGTCCCGATAATCGGCACCAAGAAATACGCATGAGCTTGAGCACTCCATCCATACCAAAAGAGTCCGATTGGACAGAAAAGACTAGTGACGACCATGGCAGGCAACCTGAACTCTGGCTTACCAACACCATTGTTCCTCTTCTCGTAGTACATATAAATCCTATCTGCTGTTCCACCAATAATGACGACACCCAGAATAGTACCAACACCAAGACCGAGGAAAGTGAGACCTGCGGATCCGGTCGAGAAGCCGTAGATCCCTTCAAAGACGGCGGTGAAGGTTGTAAACAGTACGTAAAGGAGGCCGTATACCAGGGAAAGGTGCAAGGAGAGGAGGGAGACAATCGGACTCAAGAACAACATCTTGAGTGGCCGGACTATAGCCCGTTTCCATACAACTTTCTTGGGGAGGCCGCTGGCGTACTTGGACTTGTACGCGGGATCGTTGTGTGTCTCGCGGAGTTTCTTGGCTTTTGCTTCGAGGAGGGTTGTGGCGTAGGTTTCGTCAAGGAAGAATGTTACGACAGTTACGACGGGAGACTAATTTTGTCAGTAGAGTTGGGTAACGGGGAAGGTGGACTTACGGCGCAAGAGAGAATACGGAATACCCACCGCCATCCGATACTTTGAGATATATATCCACCAGCGATGGGACCTCTATACTGTCAGTGAGCTCCTTAGACTTCGAGGCAAGACATACCAATGATTGGACCAATCAAGGTTCCAAGAGAGAAAATGGCCATAGCACCACCTCTCTCTTCAGCTCGCATCAGGTCGCCAACTGAACCAGCACCGATAGTCAAAGGAGCAACACCAGCACATCCCGCCCAGAATCGAAAGGCGAGTAACATGCCAAGATTTGGGGATTCGCCACAAACAATCGTGCATGCCAAGAAGAGAATGTTGCAGCATTGATACACTTTTCTTCGACCATACAGTTCTGACAAAGGAGCGATGACGCAGTCTATGTGAGTATACTATTTAGGAGGAGATAATGAAACTTACATTGGTCCAATGGCAAAACCTAGGATGTAAACTGAGACGACGAAGGAGGCAAGTTCAACGTTGGTTGAGTGGAATTCTTCCATTAATTGCGGAACACCTGGTGCGAACATTGAAGAAGCAAGTGGGCTGTGATGGTCAGCAAGGTCCTCAAATGCGAAGTATAGACATACGTGATCAAAGTAATCGAACTGACAATCCAAAGATTCTTCCATTTCTTCAAGGCTGGCCAGTTCAGGGGGTTATCGCGATCGTTTTCCTCCCAGTCGACTATGTATTTCCTCTCTTCTGATGTTGCGGATAATGTTCTCGGTCTTGGTAAAAGGTCTGCATTTTCTGGTTTGTGATCATTTGGTTGGATTTTCTCTTCGTGTTCTCTCTCCTTCTCATTGTCGATTCTGACTGTAGGGGTGCGACCAGCTTCAAGCTCCGGATCTGGGTGATCCATAATGGCGTGTATGTATTCTCGAAATGCTAAGAATGCCGAAACGTAATGTGTATAGGTTGCTCTTGAAGCTTGACAAACAGCGAACAATATTAAGAAGCAATAATGCAGAAAAGAAAACCACTTAGTCTATATATCAAAATGACCCGAAAACGAAAGTGGCACAACAACATCCAACCCCATCCTCCTCCGACTTTATGCACAATTCCAACACAAAGCCGATGCATCAAGCCAATAAAAAAGCACTCGTTCAGCAAATCCGAGAATATTCGTACTCGCGCTCGGTGCGGATCCGAGAATTTCGGTTCGGGATGAAACCATCCAATGGGAAAGATGATGTGGATATTTAAAGAACTGTCAAATTCATCCAATGTCCAAAGTTTGCGCATGACGATGACGAATGGGGGAAAGCTGCCGCGGGGTCCTTGCCTCTCCGCAGCATGGCTTGATCCTGGTCTTGGCCTGGTTGATGGGAATTTGGCCCTTTGGGATGAAATCTCCGCTGGGGATTGCTTGCCGGGAAGATTTCGCAACGAAAGTACCCGCTGAAAGAATAGGATCATGGTTTTGGCTTAGCTGACTACTTCAAGAGCTGGTCTGTCATGATGCTCCCAGGGGTTGGAAGCGTGCACACCATGTGGGACCACTTCATGACATTCGGATTATACGAGCTGGAGGGGTCAATCTTCTGGGCTTGAGTCGCTTGAGTTAAGAAAACCCTTGGCTTGGAAGAACAATGTCGTGAACAAGCATTTTCAACCAATATAATCTAAGTGTCATCCACCTCGCGAATCTCAAACCCAAACATCTCATTACTCTTCACAGAACTCTCATCGACCAACTTCTCAGCAGTCTCGGCTCCTGCAGTAGGAACACGATATTCAAACCGTTTCCCCTTTCCTGGCTTCTTTCCATCCGGGAGTGCGTATGGGAATGGGAGATACTCGGGGAGGAGACCAAGTTGACGAAGGAGTGTGGCTTGGTCCCATGAAATATGTTCATGGTATAAACGATCTCCTCGAATGTTGACTACTGATGTGAAGGGAACTCGGATCTGCTTGCCAGTTGGTGGAATGCCAGGGACACTAATTATATTAGCTTTGAACATGAAATGGCTGATAACGCTTACAGCCAATCTATCACTTTGTTATGAGTGCAGCTAAAGATGAATTCATCGATAACTCGGTCCACACCAACCGTCCTACTGATAAGTTCAAGCTGTGTATCGTCTGGATTGTTGAATATGAAATGGTCACGATAAAAGCTTGTCAAAGCAGATCTCCCAATCCCACCTGTCATCTAAGCGAATTTAGCACTGCAAATTCAGTCGAAAAAAGGGGCTTACTGTCGGCACGTGATTCACATATGGCTCATTCACCATCGTGCTCATCGTCTTTTCTACATTCCGCTCTCCAAATTCAAACAAAGTATGCTCTTCCCAGATAGCATCAAGGTCAAAATACGGCCCGCCAAGATTCTGCTTCAAGAAACCAAGACTCCTGGTATGAGCAACTCCAGCATGACCAGGCATGTAATTCTCGTGACCCGGAAGAACGAAATTCGTTACTTTTGCAGTCTCGTAGAAATACACGACCTCTGATTCTCGAGAGGGCATGAATTCCTTCGTCGAATGTACTAGAAGTGGATGATTTCTGATGCGATTCGGTTGACATGCCCCAACATCGTCGTCGGTGAAAGCAATAATGGCTGCAATCATCCGTATGTTCCACAGATGACGCCAGACATCAGCAACGGGAGACTGATCAAAGCTTGGATTCAATCCATACACTGAAGACCATTAGTTATCGAGTCGATCTATGGCATGACAAGGCAAGATACCCACGACCCCGACTTTCTCGAATTCGGCACATTCTGGTAGCCGCAGCAGAAATCTGACTGCGTCCATGGTATTCAGATACGTCTCTTGCGGGTCGTCATCCTGCCCAATGGTAAGTTGAACAACGGCGAATCCTTCTTCAGCCCATTTCTGTAATGGCTCTGGATCGAGACTTTTGGTCGTTTTTTCTTTCTTTTGCGGGGTGTAATCTTGGGGTAGGAATATCAATAATCCTGGGCCCCGCCCTCGACGTGAGAGAGGAAGCTGAACGAGAGCATTCTCTGGCAGAGCTGATAGCTCCTCGAGCGTCGGACGTTCTTCTCCCTCCATATTTGACGGACCCGAGGGTGAGGGTGAGAATGGTTAATATTGTTTTCTGTGATTTGCTTTCGGCGTCATCGGTCCCAAAATTCAGGATCTCGATTCCATCGTTCCAGGTTCTCGATCCCTGCACCCAGCAGAGAGTAGCGGACACGTGAGAGCCTAATGAGTCTATAATCTACCCTATAAACATGGGCGGTCTTGCAGTCGCTTTGATTAGCCAGCTCTCATGGTGCGCTGTAAAATTGTCTTAAATAATGGGCAGATATGGTAAATTCAACAGTGAGACAACTTTTCAGGGCATGGTTTAACACTCCACCGTATGTACGCCTCAACACCCATGTACGCATTTAAAAGGCTACGGAGATCCCTCCAGTTAAGTGCGACTTCTTAGGGGTCGATAGACAATTCATAAAGACCGGCACCCCGCAGAACGCCTTCTGCAGACGATACGAAATATTTCAAACTCGTAAGATCCGCTTCAACGCAAAAGTGCTGAACATGCAGCCAAGCATATTGTGTTTGCTGTTTGACAGATGAGGAAGCACAATTGCAGGTCGCAGACCCCTTTGGGAGAAGATTCGCAGTCAGAATATGCCCTGGCGTTGTTGGAAAACATGTGTTGTTGGTGGATGAGAGCCGTGTCTTTCCCCTCTATCCCGGGAAGCATCGCCATCGCCATCGCCATCGCATCAACATCATTTCCTTCGCCAACAACGAGAATGCGGGATAAACCATAGTCGGGCCTGTGATCATGATTTCCCTTCTTTGCCCTATCCTTGTTAACTAACTTCTGCAGTTTTCCACTCGGGTTCTAGAACATCGCAGCACTAGTAGTGCAATCTACTAACCACCCTTCGCCTCTTCTTTTTTTCTTTTCCCCCACCAACAAAGCTCAGGGTCCTCCTCGTGCTTGCCCTGCATACAGCAGATAGCAGGACGAAGCTTTACTTTTAAGCTTATTCAAGGGTCCTTCTTCGACATCATTTTCTCGATCGCTCTCTCTTTACAGTGCCATTCGCCATTCTGCTTCGTTGGCCCAAAGTGGTTGAACCACAAGCAATCACAACCACACAATGAGCTGATCCGCCACCAACCAGTAACAGCACACTCTGCACCCTCTGTCACTCTGCATGTGTATCCTGTTTGTTCCACAGAAAGACCCTAAAATACGTCATATTTGACCTGCAAGGCACTTATCACTCTGCAATATTCGAGTCTGTCGCATTCGAGCACCGACCCGAAACATCTAGAATTCCCACAATCTATCTCGTGCCATATAACGCCATCTATTCCCTCCCTCGCGATCTGCCATTCTAGAGAATGTCCTCTTCGAAACTACCGAATCAAACAATTACCATCACGAAAGACGAAGATGGAGGTGGCGGGAGCGGCTAATCCGAAGAGACGTCGAGGGTTGGGAGCCGTGACTCAAAATGCATGCACTGAATGTCGTAAGAAGAGAGCAAAGGTAAATACCTATTCTTAAGCTCAAACATTCCCCAACTAATATCTACCTTCTAGTGCGACGGTCAGAACCCATGTGGCAGATGCGAAACCCAAGGTGTCAGTTGCGTCTACGAGATTCCAATTCGACAGTCGAAGGAGAATATGAGAAGTGAGATTGATTCTTTGCGAGCCCAACAATATCAAACCGAACAGATCATCGCGGCTTTGGTCTCCAATCACACCTCGGAACTGGTTCTACAACAACTCAAGGATGGGAAGACGCAAGAGGAGATATATCGGAAGCTAGGCTTGGACAAGTCTGGTCCTGCGATTTTTGGTGAGAAATCGACCACATTCGAAAATCTCAGCGGCCAGCAAGCAGTTGAGAGTGTCATGAGAGCGGCAAGGAGTAGTGCTAGTTCAGCTCTATCACAATCAAGCTTCGGAGACAGCAACCTCCACCAGCATACTCAACAGGAAGGAGCTGGATGGCAAACTTGGGGTGCTGGAGGCTCGTCGACTTTCTCAGAGGCAACTATCAAGGATGAAGATATGATGGTTTGGGATTCGGACATGATGCAGGATATACAAGATGTACAATACCCATTGGTTGGAACCTGGCATCATCAATCACCAACGTCAACTCCGGATAGTGCAACGAGACTAGCTCGAGGAGAAGGTCAAGCGACGATATTGGGGAACAGCTTTGGAACTGAGGAAAGTCAAGATCATCCACGACACAACCAATCTTGGACTACAGTTACCAACGATGCTGCATTTGTCGAGCATTTGATGGCACTTTACTTCTGCTGGGAATATCCTACATTCGCTTCATTGAGCAAGGAACATTTCCTGGACGATTTTGAAAGAGGTAGTCAAAAACATTGTTCTTCGCTGCTTGTGAATGCCGTACTTGCCCTTGGCTGTAGATTTTCCAACCAACCCAATGCTCGGACAAATCCAAATGATAGCAACACTGCAGGAGATCACTTCTTTGCTGAAGCGACAAGGATACTCGAAGCCGAGGATGATCGCCACATCTTGACAACAGTACAGGCACTTGGTTTGATGTCTATCCGAGAAGCAAGTTGTGGTCGTTCAAGTCAGAGTTTGTATCTCTCAGGCCAATCCATTCGTCTGGCAGTTGAGATGGGTCTACACAAGGATGTTCAGGTGGGAGAAGGAGAGGAAGCTGAAGTAGAACATGCAGTACGATCTGCAACATTTTGGGGAGCATTTTCTCTTGATCAGTAAGCACCTCCTCTCATTTGTCTTTTCTCACTAACCAATCAGGGCATGGTCTCTCAGTATTGGTCGTCTTCCACACTTCTCTCGAGATCTCAAACTAGTGACGAAACCAGCACTTGTTGAGCACGTTGAATCATCATCTTGGGTTCCATATACCGACGATGGTCAGTCATACTCTCTCACCAATGACTTCTTCTCATATTTATATAGGAGCACCGCTGGAGAAGCCATGCACGCAACCGTCAAACGTCCGTAGCGTCTTCAAAACCTTCTGCGAGCTTTCAGAAATCGTTCACAATTCGTTGTATACATTATATGCCCCAGGAGCCAGCGTCACCAGCAAGTCATTAATGGAAAGCTATACTAGCTATCTTCGCTGGTACGAAGCGATACCAACGACCTTACGACTCGGTCACAATTTCACTCCAGCTGTTCTCTTTGCCCAGTAAGGACCATGACGATCTGTACCTATGTGGAAGCTGATATTAGACAGCATGTACTACCACTGCGCTATCTTACTTCTCTTTCGACCGTTCATCAAATTGGATATCACTGGATCTAGTGTGTCGCCAAGAGATATGTGCATGCAAGCAGCAGATGCAATCACAACACTCGTCAACTCCTATTCAAAGCTGTATACCCTACGACGAACACCTTCATTTGTACCCTATTTCGTACTCGCGTCAAGCATTGCACACCTTATTGGATACGGCAACTCTAGAGCTGGGCCTGAGAGGCTCAGACAAGGTATTGCGGATCTCAAAGAGATGGCAGGATGCCATGGTTTCGCAAACCGGGCTCTCGAAGTCCTCCACTTCTTAATTCGCCACTGGAAAATTGGAGATGTTCTCGAAGATGGCGGAGAAGACGAGAAGACCATCTGTCAACCGAAATCAACCTCCCTGAACCTCTTCTGTCCAAACATCTCTAGCTTCGATATGGTTACCGGGATCGGACCTGTCGTAGACGGTGCAAATCCTTTGTTCTGGCCATTTCCTCTGCAAGGACGACCACTGTTGGAGATTGGCTTGGACTTGAAGAAGTCAGGATTCACAGTCCTGGATTGAGAGTGAACGACGCTCGTGAGAACATGTCACGAGATACTGTCTCTTCTGCAAATACATAATCCCAATATCAAATACCCCGGACAAGACCCAGGACACGTCGCCGCCGGCACTCGGCGCTGTCAAAGAGTCATACCCGGCCGGCCGGGAAAGGAAATAATATCTACTACTCGAACTCGGTGTCAACACAGCCGGCTATGTCTCATGATAAAGGGGCACTAGGAAACAGCCGGACGAGGGTAATGGAAAAATGTAGATGGCCACGAGAGCCACGCGAAGGAAACTTTGACTTGATGCAGCTTTGCATCATTTGCCGGGAAGAACAGATTCCTGTATTGGCATTCCCGATTGAGCCGCAGCTTACCTGCGGGCGGACTTCCGTGCATGTGTACGGGATTACTTCGTACCCAACAGAGCAAACAGGAAAGGGGTCGGTGTGAGGCACGTGGATCCAGAGTCTGCCCGAGTAATTATCGTGTGCGGGTAGGTGCGGGATACCTTTTCCCCACGAGCTTAAGGCTTCAAACAGACAGCAGCAAACGGGGCCGCAGAGATGGAGAGATGAGAGCAGCGTACATCTGAAGTTCCAAACGACTTCGAATACCCGAGAATAAAGATATAGTAGAACAGAAGCAAGAAAGAATCCCCCAAACGATCTATCACGAAACTCCCAAGTTCTCGCATCCATAAATCCGCTCTCCTCCCCGATTTCCTCCCTCTCACGTCACGTCCATTCCTTCGGTCTCCGACATCAACAATCCCAAACGCGCGCGCATCGTGAAGCCGCCGCGCTGGAGTTTGGGATCTCTAGACATGGTGCAGATAATCGCGTGTCGTGGGCCGATTGTGGGAGCGTGGTCTAGACCGTGGCGTGATTGTGGGAGTTTGTGGGCTCGGCACGTGCGGGATGGAGGGAGGAGGGAGGAGGGAGATAGCCAATGGGGAGATGGATGGGATGGGGACAAGAAAGGAAGTGAAGGGACGAATTGAGGTGAAGATAATTTTGCTTACGGCTGAAGAGTTTCGGTGGTGTAATTGTAGAGGAAGGTTGCTGAGACATGAAGGCAATCGGATCGGGATGTTGGAGTGGAACTGAGAAGTCGTGGTGGCAAGAACTCTAGGCTTCTGTTTGCAAATTTAAGCAGACTGTTGGCAATTATTTTTGCGGCATTTCTGTTCACGAGGCAGATCCAGTCAAGTACGCTGACGATGGAGGGACATGACCATGTAGAGCAAACTCTCCTCAACCAAACATTTCCGCTCAAAAGCTCTCAAGAAACGGAAAACTGCAGGATCTGGAATTCAAGATAAGATATTATGCCGTACTCCACAAACAGTTCAGTGTAACACAAGATCTCAAAGAAATGCTCGTCATGGAGATCTCCATCTCCAACATTACTGTACACAACTTGCGTTTGCGGAATTTTCGCCCTTGTACAGTAGAGGCCTCGATCACAGGGCTGAACCCCTGGGCGGGAATTCAATATTCCCATATGCTGTGCTCTCATCCTGCATACGACCAACGTTGGTGGAGGCAATGCCGTGTGACGGACTCGCCCAGAATCTACTGTACACTTCTGTTCTCTGTTAGCAAAAGAGGGGATTGACGAACCGGAATGGAATCAGATATGCAAGAGAAGTGCGAGGCTGCAATGTGTGGTTGAGGATTGAGGTGATTGATGGAGGGGCAGAAACGGGAAGCTAGGATAGGGGTCTTTCAGACGCGGGGTTCACCCAATGCGAGGCTCGGCGAGGAGGGGAAGCTGCGAGAGAAGGGAGAGAAATATATTGGATTGGCAAAGGCAAACAGAAAAGCAAATCCACAGGAGAGGGATATCGCAGGCTCGAGTTGCCTCTTGAAGATGCAATTGTTGTTGAGATCTTCGGCGTCAATAGTTTCAACGAGATGTTTCGTTCGGAGAGTAAGGACGGCGATCATTACGACGGCGCAGGTTCAGACAAGCCGAGTCTCAATGACAGGCCAGATTCAAGGCTGACAGTACGACTCTTTGACGGTGAGAGCTTCAGCATACGACAAAGGGTCGCTAGAGGAATTATGCAATTTTTGATAGAACTTGTGAAGATATATGCAGGATATACGAGCTACGATCGAAGATGGATTATTGCATAAGCAGGACTTTTCCCGGAAACCAACCAATCGTGAAGCTTTATGCAGCTTTCATCATGTAATCTCCGGACCCCTCCGTCCATTCCCAGACCCTGGTACGCGCATGCATCCACCATCAGGAAAATCAGCCCACTCCATCATTTTCTCGTGCGTTCTTCCAACCAAAATATCATCCACTCGTGCCATGCATTTCCCACTCTCTACACTGCATCCAATGACGATTCTGCTGCAAACCTTGTCCCGTATCAGTGCGTTCCTGCTGGGCGATGCGCCTTACATTGGTTACGGTATTTGCATATTCACAAGATGTGGATTGGGGACGTGGCCTTGAATACCGATTGCTGGTGCCGGTGGAATTTATGGCAGCTCTTCCTCCTTTCCTCCATCCCCCATTCCCTTACCTCTAAGCGACCTCCTCGGAGTCCTCCGCCCCAGCCCTAGGTTATTATTATCCTTCTTACTCAGTGTCCTCTGAACGTTCTAGCCTCTCATCTCCACTCTCCTTCAACATCACCTCATGTGTCCGTGATTCTCGTATGATACGAGTAAGAACCGGTCGCAACTCGTCCTCAGGCTTGTATCTTCCAAACATCCCTCAGACCTGTGACTCCGTAGTCGTACCTGGCTGCCAGGTGCTGGATCCCGAAAATTTCTACTGCGTTGGAGCCGATACAGCGGCTTTGTACATAGATATTTAAGAGACCTCGCCCCAATAACGCCAGCACGTCATCTATCAAAGACATCAATTCGCTGCACAATACCCACTTCACTACAATCGCATCTTATCCTCCTACTAGTGCAGAAAGATTTTCGGCCTCGGTACCAGCAACACTTTAAGGATATATTGAGATACCTTCCAGCTTCAAGCATCACACAAAAGAAAACCACCTCACACAACCTTAATCTAGACGATCAAGTCTCCTCCAAATGGCCAGTACTGTACGTCAGAACCCTGGTGTTGATTACTTCTCTAAGCAGAAGAGACCTCATGTAAGTTGCTTGATTCCAACCCAGGCAAACAAATATCCCCATCGTCTGATTCGTCCACTCCGGGATGTTTTCCGGAGTTACTTTCTCCAACCTCACACCACATTTTCATATCACCTGATTCCATAGGGGATATGGGCTGACAATACTATATAGAACAGCATCGTCACTACATATTGGGATACTCCATATACCACCGACGCAGCTCTCATCAGCTCAGACTCTTGCGACTCAACACTACCATCACCAACATCTCCACTCACTGCTACTTTCCCACAAGCCTACTCTATCCCGAAAGAAGAGTTCAACCCAGTTATCAAACGTGATCAAGCTACATCGCTTGACAGCTTTGGTACTTACGAAGATTGGATGCGTTGGGACGATCCCTCAGACGCAGCCCTATCACCCACCTCAGACTTCTTCCCAGAGTTCAAGGTCGAGCCTGTCTCACCTTCTATGTCAGGTCTTGAATTACAAGGCAGCGGCATTGGAAATATCAACATCGAAGACTCGGCTGTATTCGGCGAAGATCCCATCACAGAAGAACCCCTTTTCCAAACACCAAACGCCCTGATCACCCCTCCTCTCGCTGACATACCTCGCGAGAACCTCTACTCCACACCACTATCTTGGACAAGACCTTCAGCTGGTCGAAGGTCAGAATCTTTTGCTCTATCACCACAAGAAGAGTCCAAGCTTCGCAACATCGCCATGCCTGCCCAACAATACCCCGCCTCACCCAACTCCTCTGCTTCCTCACCCGAGCCATGCGAGAACAGCCGCAAGCGCAAATCCAGCGTTGAGGACGACGACGAGGAGGACAGTCCACCACCAACTCGGGGGCACCCTGTCAAGAAGACAGCCCACAACATGATCGAGAAGCGGTACCGCACCAATCTCAACGACAAGATCGCGGCACTACGGGACTCGGTGCCCAGCCTACGGGTCATGAGCAAGAAGAACTCCCGCGGCGAGGAGATACAGGAAGATCTCCAGGGACTGACGCCGGCGCACAAGCTGAACAAGGTACGTGACTTGGACCTGGGGGAGGTGACGGCCATGATGGCCGCGGACTGGTGGGGCATGTGCTGATTGGGAGTGCACAATAGGCGACGGTCCTCTCCAAAGCAACGGAATACATTGCGCATCTGGAGAAGCGGAATAAGTTCCTCATGAAGGAGAATGCCAATCTGAAGAGCAGGGTCGATGCTTTTGAGATCTTAGTCATGTCGAGGCAACAGCCGGGTGGTGGGATGAAGCAACAGCGAACACCATCGATGGCGAGACAACAGCAGCAACAACAACAACAACTTCCACGATACAGTATGGACTTTGGTCCGATCTGAGGTGACATGGCTTTCGTTGGATTTTCTTTGAATCAAAAGCGCATAGCGAATGGATGGATGATCTTTCAATGGCGTTTAAGGATGAACGCAGGATACCCAGCATTTGATCTGTCTGCCCCTTTCGAGGAGTGCGAAGATGCAAGTGAAAATGATGCAAAAATCATTGGGATGGCGCGTTTTTATTTGCGAGGATTTTTCAAATGTATGCATACTTTATTGACTCCACTTCCTCCTCGGGATATCTAAATTTTGGTGAAGTTGGCATTGGTGGGTAATACTTGGCGTGTAAATAGCAACCATGAAATCTCAAATTCCATCAGCTTAAGCGTAACTTATCTTTTTGTATTACTTCCGTAACTTTCCGATATAAATTCAAGCTGAGGCCGGCTTCCTTGTGAAGATATACCAGATTAAAGGGTGTGAATGTCCACGTGATGTGCTTACGCATGTGACAGCAGTTGTCGCTTACGAGGTGGCATTGAGGCGGCATCGAGGCGGCAACGAGGCGGCGTAGTTCGCCATGGTTTTATGAAGTGTAACCAACAGCCTCGGACGCTGCCTGGACGAATTTCCTATAAGAAGGCCCTCTTTTCCTCGAATGTTCTGTAGTCCATTCTCACAAATCTTCATCTGCTTTCTTCAAAAACAATCCACCGGTGTTTCCTTTAACGTATACCTTCGTCGGATTTACACCCCGTCATACACGCTGGCAACATGTCGCTAGTCTTCTCTGAAACGCTCCAATCAATCACGACAACTAAACTCAATGAACTATCCAAGAAACGTAAGGCTTTCGAGGATCAAAAAACCTTCCACTTGAGCATTGCCGGAAAAGAGTCCAATCACTTGGAGAGAGTGCGACTACTTGCCGACGGCGTCAAGAAATGTTTCTCTGTGAGAAATGTAACTAGGAGGACAGACGGACGTAATAGCCCAATCCGGATCGTCGATGGAGTTCCTCATCTCGAAGTCCTGCTCAAGAATTTGGAATTCTTTCTTGAACAAGCGAAATATGACCCCTCTATCTCGACAACGTTGCTTTCTGATTGGGAAAAATCTCTTGTCAAGACGCTGAAGGTCAGATCACTCAAGTATGAGTATGCTACTCTCTATGGCAAATTGGTGACCGAAGTAAGTCATATTCATGATCATTCCAGAATTAACAAGCACTAACTCGATCCAACAGTGGCTCGATGCAGAGAAATCCTCTGATATCCCAGACGACATGTCCATGCTCTCCGAAGACTTCGAAAAAGTCGAGCGTACAGCAAAAGAGGAATCTCGAGCAGAATGGGAGAAGACCGTCTTCGAACCCTTCGAGACCGATCAGATCGCCATTTCAGAGTTTCTCCGAAACCTCTTTGGCGAGGATGGAAACAAAAAGCTGGCCCTGACCGCCCTGAACGCTCTACGCAGAAGCGTCGCAACATTTGAGACTTCACTTCGTGCCCCGGGGCAATTCAATGATGGTGTCTTGAGATGGACTATCAATGGTTTGCTTGCTTCTGGTCTTATGTCTGATGAGAAGCGTGGCGTCCTCAAGGAATTTCTTGCAAGCCCGGTCATTTTGTCCGAGATTGCTGATGTTCTCAATATGCGACTTGCTTCTATCTCGACCTGGGATTGGGAGCAGGAAGTTCCGATTGAGCAGAGGAGGCATGTGACAGGTGCATATCATAGTGAGTCTGCCCGACGTGAATAAAAGTGTTTCGGTGACCCATGAATCTAGTATATATCGATGAAGAACTTCTTCAAGCTATCTTCCTCCAATACATTGGCATCAAGTTCTCTGTCTTTTTCAAGGAAGCATTCGTCAAGTTTGCTGATTCAGGGGCATGGACCTCTTTACGCCAATCAGTTGCTACCGATGCAAGAAAGCGAAGAGAGTACTTCCTTGGACCCCAGCAGAAGAAACCAAGCGTTCAGAGCAAGCGGCAAGGAATATACAAGTCCATTTTCTTCATGAGCCAGCTTCCAGATTCTCCGCAAGGTCTTCAAGGATCCTCTAGTGCTCCAGGTGAAGAAGAAGCCATCTATGATCTCGGCTCCAAAAGGCGACAAGTCTCCCAATTCGCTCAAGCGAGTGCGAATGCTCAACGGCAGATGCAGATTCAAGCAATGGCTCAAATGCAACAGCAGCAACAGCGACAACAAAGTATGGTGCAATCGTATGCGATGGCCCAACAAGCGCCACCTCCACCACAGGCAAACAGCATTGCTGCGCCAAATCCTAATTGGAATTATCAAAATTATAACAACGAGGAGTACGACTTGGAGAATGACAAACCAGCAAACGTCAAACAATTCCTTCTACATCTCCTATCGGCTGAAGTGCTCATGAATACTCGACTTCATGGCGATTTCACGTGTGCTAGATCTCAATTCTATTCGTTCTCGCCGACGTTACCTCACTCAACTATTTTATCCGTTCTCTCTTTCTTCGGGCTATCCGACAAATGGATCTCCTTCTTTCACAAATTTCTCGGAGCGCCGCTGAAGTTTGTTGAAGATGGAGATGATAGTCCAACTCGTAAGCGAAAGAGGGGTGTGCCAGGTATGTCGCTGTTTCAATTGAATCCATCCTTTCGACATACAATTTGTCTGGTCATTCTTCTTGCCTCTTCATCCAGAAAGAAACACACTGACGTTTGACTTCGAATACAGGTGCCCATGCGCTCTCAGCCGTCTGTGGAGAGGTGATCCTTTTCTGCCTCGACTATTCTGTTAATCAGCAGACCCACGGAGCACAGCTCTACCGTATGCATGATGACTTTTGGATCTGGTCTTCTTCTCATGCTACAGCGGTCTCCGCCTGGTCTGCTATTACAAGATTCTCCGACGTGATGGGCGTCACCTTAAACCCAAGCAAGACAGGAACGGTCCGAATTCGCTACGACAAATCCGCTGATGCAACAATCGACGATTCGCTTCCAAAGGGAGACATTCGATGGGGCTTCCTCTACCTAGATCCCGCGACTGGTCGATTCAAGATCGACCAAGAGATGGTTGATAAACATGTCTTGGAACTCCAACGCCAACTGGAGTCAAAGAATAAAAGCATCTTCTCCTGGGTCCAAGCGTGGAATACCTACGCTGGGACATTCTTCTCTACAAATTTCGGAAAGCCAGCAAACTCATTTGGACGCGAACACGTTACTGATATTCTGACAACAATGAATCGAGTCCAGAAACAATTGTTCAAAGACACCAAGGTTGCGGCTTATCTCAAAGCCACGCTCAAAAAAAGATTCGACATTGATGATATCCCTGATGGATTTCTGTACTTCCCTGCTGCACTTGGAGGTCTGGAGTTGCAAAATCCATTCATCCCACTTCTCCAAGTCAAAAGCTCGGTCCTCTCCCAACCCTCATCTCTCCTTGATCGCTTCCTGGACTCAGAAAAAGAAGCATACCGGAAAGCAAAAGAGAGATTCGAGAAAGGCCAAGTATACCGCCAAACCACCTCCGACCCCTCCTACTACCCCGCCGATTATCAGACGTTCATCAGCTTCGAAGAATTCACAAGCCACAGAGAGGAATTCTACTCCGGATACTCTGGCGACTTGTTAAGCTGTTTCACAGAGTTTTTGAAATACCCCGAAGCCGAGACCGTGGATTCGGAGAACGTGGATTGGGATGCGTTGAGAGATGCGATGGCGCCGGCGAATGGGGAGGTTGACGATTATTTGAAGTGGGTTGCGCAGCTTTATGGGAAGGATATGAGGGAGAAGTTTGGGGGGTTGCAGATTGTTGAGAAGGGGTTGCTGCCTATGGGGATGGTGGGGTTGTTCAGGAGTGGGAGGGTCAAGTGGCAGGGTTGAGCGTGGCTTCTTGAGGCCTCGCTTAAATAAAGGGGCAACATGTATTGGGTAGGCGAGAACTCAATCTGGACGTCATTTTAGCTTTTCTCAATATACTCTATGGTTCAAACACATCTCGCATTTCTAAATTTCTTATCGTGATCTTCAAATTTCAAGTCCGTAAAATCTAGGTACTCATAGGGTCGAAGGAGTTCTGGGTCATGTGCGCTTAAAGCAATCGCCAACGCATTCGAAGGATTCAATGAATTCTTCGCACAAGATCAGTCATGCCTTTGCGCTGACATCGACGCAGGCCTCGAAGCTGCGTGCGCTGTTCAGGTCGGCTGCACTGCTTGGTCTGATATGTATGTAGCAAATCAGATGGTACAGACTTACTGCGACAACATTGGCGGCTTCTATGTCACGTCGGCTGGCGGGAATGTTCAAATCTATACCACATTCACAAATTGGCTCACATTCACTGTAAGTGCGACGCCCTCGCGTTCCTCTACGACTGCAGCTTAGGTTTAAGCGGAAGCTCTCCATACTATATTCTTGACGGGATAGAGGCATAAGGATAGCTTGTTTGGTTGATAAGTATTTCGAATGGTGCATTGGAATTTGGGAGAGTTGAGGTATATGTCTTGCCTCGGACCATACGTGGGCGATAATGGAATACTTCCTCTAGACACAAGTGAAAGCGGGCTAAAAGAGGAAGCGGTAGCGAGAAGAAAGAGTTATGAAATGAGATAGTAAGGAAGATGTGAAATGAATCTTAATATTGCTGCGGTAAGAAGACAAAAGTAAATGCAGGTGATTAGCCAACAAAAGCAAATGATTAGAAGCGAGTAGAAGTATTGTTGTTGGATTTCCACGATAAGGCAGAGCTAAGTTTGGGTAACAAGCAAACCCCTGAGTCTAAAGATCATCCACTCAAGCAGTAGCTGTACTTGAGTAACCCGTAATCCACGTGCTGATGCGCCTATGCGTATTCGGGACGGCGTGTTTCCCTTCCACTTTCCAATTCTGCTTCCACTTCTTGCAACATACAAAATCGCAGATAATCACGATCAATCTGGAAACTTTTCTTTGATTTCAACTGTCGTTATCCAGCTTTGGCTGTAGCATTGTCTACGACTCTCTTGCATTGCCCAACATGTGGTCGCATATCAAGGCGCAAAAGCGACAAGGTAAAGCCAGACCTATGGATCGATGGGAACTCAAATACGGCCTTGGGAAGGCGCTTGAGAGTATCCCAGACTCAAGCTCATTCGCGATCTTCAAGTCACTACAAGATGCGCCCAATCCCGGCTTGGTAATTGAAAGACTCGGATCTATTGGATTGCCACTTTCAGTTCGCGATGAGGAGGCAATCATTTATCTTGCCTCCGGCACAAATGTGTTTGAGAATCCAGCTTCTGCCTATCAATTGCAGAATCCAGCCTGGACAGAATTGCTCAACACCATTCTGCCTGAAATCAAGACTGGGTTGCGCCTGGATCCACAGTGCATTATCGAAGCTGAGCTTTCCAAGCTTACTCTCTACCTGGAAGGAAGTGCTTCGGAGCCAAATAAAGCGTTCGTTACCTCTGCTGCTTGTCTGACTCCAAATCTAATTTCTCGGTGATATTAGGCTCAAGGGACCCAACGTGTTTGGAACACTCCGCATTGCACTTCCTACGCATCACGAAGGTGGAGAGATCCAAGTCACACATGGCAGTCAAATCAAAAACTTCAAGGTTTCGGAAGATTCAGCATTTGGCTGTTCGCACATGACTTGGTGAGCGCTTGTCATATACTTCGTCGGGGGACTAACATGTACTACAGGTATTCCACCGCCATCGAACAAATGAAGCCGCTGACTGCCGGACGACGACTAGTCCTTACGTATGACCTTCTGAACGAAGATAATGACCTTCCCCAAGAAACTGCCTGACCCAGATGGAGCCTCCTCGAAGATCGAAGCATATTTATCCTCATGGAGCAAGGCCCTCAACGAGGACAGAAATATGCCGCAAAGTCTGGCACACGTACTGATGCATGATTATGGCGATGGGGCCATAAGCAGCAACGTTCTAGAACGCGAAGATGTCGACATAGTGACGTACCTCAGAGACGCATGCGCGAGGACTGGAACACGTCTATACTTGGGGCAAGTCGAGCACAATGTTGTCGGCCACAGCGTACCATCAGATCACGAAGAAGAGTACAATTCGGAGAGCGAAGAGATGGTCTCTGAAGAATATCATATCATAGAGGATAAGATTGAATCGGATTCGACTATCAAGGCAGTTTTCGACACTTCCGGTGCGACAATCGCCCATGACGTGGGCTACGATGAGGAGGACTTCATTCTGAGTGATCCTTTAGGCGATTACGAGCCAGATGAAGAAGTCGATTACGGAGAAGATTGTATCGTCAAGCACACTTACCGACGGCTTGTTCGTCGCTCTACGTTCCCCTCGCATGAAATATTTGCTAATAATAGACTAGATTCTCATTCTATTGCCCAACGATCAACGTACGGCGTTCTTCTTCCAGAACGACAAAACATTGACGGCTGGTGATCAGCTTAATTGGTTCAGCATTCTCACGAAGGAGCACAAGACGGGCAAACCTGCAATCGCTCTACAAGATCTAGAGGCTCTCTGTACTCAAGCATTAGCGATGGAGACTTTGCTCATCTCGAGATCTCAAGCATCCTCATTTGGGTCGACCATGCTCAGAATGATTATCACAAATTCATCAAGTGGCTGTGACGTAACGACGCGAGGAGCGGCCCCTCAATTGATGCTTTTCAACGGTCTCTCTTCTCCATATCACTTGTCTCGTTCTTTATTGCTTCGATGCTTGCGAAAACTCTCAGTCATCCGGAAGACGTTGTATCTCCAGACCACGAATCTCCTGCTCGGCGAATCTGTCGACAGGACCAATTACCTTAAAATGTCGGGTACTTCACATTGGTTCGACGAGGGATGGTGAAGTACTGGGAGTACCACTGAGTACTATTACATAAGCTCATAGCTTGACCCTGATTGTGTTGGCTAGAAGCTGTACTGCTGACGTGTGGTTTTGATTCTCCCACAATCGAGTTACTTGTGTTGGGCGAACAGACGAACTTTATTCCCTATAAATATTCCTGTGAGCAGCATGTTCCAAACGCAATGATGGATGACTGGGCACATGGAAGCAATGGCTGCTAGATTTTTGCGAGAAACTCCACCTAGAAAGCTCAATCAACCCCGTGGAGAAAGGATTTCACGAGATTTCATTCTGACATCGACGGACGTACATTGAGACTCGCAGTCTAGCTTGATCCATTCACAAATTGGTTCCGCAATCACTCTGGTATTCCCACTCAGTCTTCTTGTATCCAATCTGGTATGAACTGAGCAGAACCTTTCAATGTCGAGACTTACGTCTCCCGCTGGTACAACCACGAAGACCCAATTCAGCTCCAGTGCAAGAGGAGAGACATTCGGCCAACGTTTCGGGAGCGAGAGTCCCGAATCGGCTCTGGACAAGGATTCTGAACCTTCTGGTGATGATTCCGAGAATGATTCAGAGGATGATTCTGAGGGTGACGATGACTTGAGAGAGTCAGATGTGTGGAGCGACGAACTGGATCGCATGAAGGCGAATATGAACCGAGCAAATCCGTTCGATGTTAGCACCAAGTGTGGTCAATACGCGACCATTCATGTCGTTCTTGAACACTTCAAAGACAATGTCGGCTTGCATAAGCTGACGAAGGGTCCTTCAGTCGATCCAGAAGCAGACGATGAGGCTATTGCAGAACTTTCGAGAGGCTGGCAAGCCGAAGTTGATGCCATTGTCAGAAAACTTCCCGTTTTGACACTGACAGATTCAACTCCCGCACAGCAAGAACTCAATCAGCAACTCGAATCGCTTCGAAATACAAGCAGTACCAGCCAATGAAATACAACAAGGCATGTGAAGACCTCGGTCTCGACGAGGATGCACCACCGTTCCCAAGCATGGCAAAAGATGCCATTTTCGAGCATCGACTTTGGCAATTTTTGAAGAAAAGAAGTTCCGTCGGGCATTGCTTGCACATGCTACCGGTATTGGCAAGACATGGCAGATGCTGGGCCTAATGGTATCCGTAAATCGTCATCAGAAGTTCCGAGGATCGATACTGACTTTCTTAGATCGGGGCCGCCGCGACGAAGCAGAGTTTACTGAGGAAGCAGCTACATACAAGCAGGCACATCAAGAGGCGGTATGGAATTACGAGAACGCAGAACTCGTCAATGACGAAGGACAATTCATCAATGAGCGTGGAGAGCAATTCTTCACCGAAATCGAAGTCCCGTTGGAGCCAGAGCTTCTCTTGCCAAAGAAACCTCGCATGTATATCACCCTGCATGACTTGGTTGCCAAAGACGTCAATGAAGCACGAGCCTTCTCAGATGAGTTCAGGGTGTATACTTATTCCGGAGATGTGCGCGGATCCAAATCAGCAGATGAGGACAGGATTGTTGGAAAACTGACTCGAAACCATGCCTTCTTCAAAGGCGCAAATGTCGATCAAAAGTTGTTTATCACCTCTTTGAGCACATTTGACGCTCGACATGGACCTGGTGCGTTGAAGAGATGGAGAATGCAGACCCAAGGAATGACCGAAGAAGAGGCCTAGTCGTTATGGGATGTTCGTGACCCATCCTTGCCGTTTGATCTCCACAATTGCTTCGACATAATCTTCCTGGATGAGGCATATGTTGCCAAGAATCCAGATACAGGTGGACATGCAGCAATCAGCTTCCTTGGAGACATCTTCTTGGTCATGTCAACAGCTTCTGTTCTTCGCAACATACGAGAAGACTTCCGCGGTTATCCGCTTCATTGATTCAGCCAAGGATCTCTGGAATCCGGCAAATCTCGCGAAGTGGGGTGTCAGTGCAGACAGCAACCCATACACTCTCCCAGACGAACACCCTGCATCAGTCCTTCGGCTCACTACCAGAGCAGTTGACAAATTTATCTCTGGCAAAGATTCCAAGGACTCCACGCAGGTACCTATCTTAGAAAAGTTTAGGGCAAGTGTATAATTCGCAGAACACATGCCTCACCAGATCCAGCAGACTCCACGAAGAAGATTGGCACCCGATTTCCACTCTCGACGATTGATTGTAAGTTTAGCGAGGAGTTGGAGCAATAAAACTCTCAAACTCGCGATGCTAGACGCATGTTGGTCATGCTACGAAACAACGGTGACATTTATTGGAACCGCAGATACAGCAGAGAGTTAATTCTGAATATCACGTGGCTAGGCTGGCAGTTCTTGGAGGGTGTCGTCAAGGCCGACGACATCAAGACCTGGAAACGCAAGGACAATCTTCTCTGGCTCCTCGGCATTCAGCTACAGATTGAGATGACTGCAAAAGACGAGCCCGCGGGTTTTGTTGTTATTAAAATGCATGAGCACCTAAAATTGCTAGCTACCCCTTATGCCGGGCGCTCCGTAGAGTCTACCGAGGGTCTGCGCCCGCCAAAATAAAGTGTGGTCCGAGCGCCCGTCTAGTCTAGTGAGTCGAGTCTAATAAAAGTTCCTCCCCCTCCCTCCCCCCCCCCCCGCGCCCTAATCCCCCTTCCCAATGGCAGCCAGCGACTTCCGCTACCTCCCCTTTCACCAGGTTATCTTGTGCCGGGCCTGCGAAACCTGCCTCATCCCCACCGCCTCAGCCCAGACCGCGCACTTGCGTGCCCCTCCACACCAGCTGCAAGGGGAGACCCTCAAGGCCAGCCTCCGGCTCTTCGCCGGCTACAAGCTCCCCGGACGGTCGAAGAGCTCCGCCAGCACAAGCACGCCCTCGCTGCCGAGGCCAGAGCAGGCCGCCCGTGCCTCCAGATCCAGGGGCTCCAGGCTAGCTATGGCTACTCGTGCATAATTGACCCTCTTCGCTGCGTCTACTATACGCGGAACCTCGCGGCTATTAAAAGCCATGCCTTCTCCCAACACTAGCGGCGCGCTGCCGAGCACAAAGCTACGCTTTCATAGCAAAAGTGCCTACTTCAAAGCTACTTTATTAATAAAAATAAGATCGATTACTTTATTGTAGCCGAAGATAAAGAAAGCAATAGCAACAAAGCGCCACCGGACAAAGCGCCACCCGACAAAGAGACGGCCCTCTTTAGCGAGCTCGAGAAGGATAGTAGTGAGGCGAAGCGGGACCTGGAGGAGCGAGCTAGCATCGTCTATGGTTTTGGGGACTCCCGGTCGGAGCGGGTGCCCTGGCTCGAGCGGACCGACTTCCCTACCCACTTAGCTACGCTCAAGGACGCCGAGATCAAGAGCTCGTACGCCCTGCCGTCCAAGGGGAAAGGGCTCGACCCTGACCTAGTCCGGATTCTGGCTGCGGCTGAAGCCCTCTTGCGAGACGCCTACCAGCTATGTAGCGACACCTCTCCAGGCCGCAAGATGACCCAGCAACGAGCTAATATCCTCAATGAGTTCTACGCCGGGGCATCGAGTAGCGCAACCGGCTTTCGCTACTATAAGAACGCCTCGACGCTCGCCAAGTACTTCACGACCATGAAGCAGCTATTGGCGTACTACTACCGAGTCGTGTACTGCGAAGAGGGCCACTTTTACGCGCGCTCAGCCAGACCAGAAGCTGCCCCAGGACGTCATCCAGCCGACTACGCAACAGGTCCGAGCCATGGACGAGATTATGGACGCCCTAGAGCTGGAGGACGCGGAAGAGGCTCTGCTCGCGCTTAAGCATGCCATCCGGCGGCTCTACCTCGCCCTGATCTGCCAGACGGTCGGCAGCGTGCCCTTCAAGTCGCCCGTCCTCAGCCTCTGCGCTATGCTCAGCCGCAAAGTGCGGGGTAGCGGGGAGGGCCAGGGCCAGTGGATGGAGCCGGGGAACTACAACAGCCACCTCTCTGCCCTCCCTCTAGCGATTCGACTTATTGCGGCGCACTATGCGGCTCCGCAGGCGAAATGACCCCGGATCAGGGGGGGGGGGGGGGGGTGGCACGGGCCAGTGAACCGCAATAAGTGCACCGCACTATGTGTTTCCTCCAACAGCGTCCCCGAGGCAGGAGGAGGGCCGTGGACGCGTACTGGGCAGCGAGGGATCGAGCCATTGACAGACTATGAGCGAGGGCTTCATTTACCGGCCAGAGTGGTAGGTGCTGCTTTGCACCGAGTGCGGGTTCTGTTTACGGCCAGGACGCGACGTCTGGCTTCGACACCTCAGGCGGAAGCCGCATTGCCTGCGAGGCGCGCCGCTAAAGGCTCTTGTCGAGCTCTTTGAGAGCTATGATCTGCTACCCCCGGAGCAGGTGGCCGTGCTAACCCAGGCCGTCGATGGTTTGCGGCTCCTAGACGGCTTCCAGTGCGTGACGTGCTTAGCAGGCCTTACGCAGAGCCTCTAGACCATCTAGCTGCACGTGTCCAAGGTGCACTAGCAGAAGCTAGCACTGCATAAGAAGAGTCCCATTTGGCGGCCATGCAAGCTCCAGACCTTCTTTGCCGAGACTCGCCTAGTCCGGTATTTTGTCGTCAACGGAGCTATAGGAGCCGCAGCCGCTGGCACAAACGACTTGGATTCGGGGGAGGCAGACTTCTTTAAGCAGCTTGATAAGGACGCAGCTATTGTGGAGGAGGATGCTAAAGCAAAAGCTAATATCGTTCATGGCTTTAATAGTCACCGGTCTGCTGTGGTGCCGTGGCTGAGACGGATAGGTATCGAGGAGCATACACGGGGCTTAAAGAAGGACGAGATGCACGCCTCTTTTGCGGTGCCAAAGAATGCCGACGACGAGCCCGAGCTGTTCCTGATGCTAGAGGTTATAGATGAGATCTTTACAGAGGCACACAGCTAGTGCTTCGACGGCCCAGACTGTATGCTGACCTGGCCACGGTAGCTGGCGTTGAGCCGCTTCCATACTGCCGCTGTGGGCAGAGCACGGGGGTTCGACCCCAAGAAGGAGCCCAACACGCGCAAGACCAACTTCGGCTACTGGAAGCAGTTTTTGACTTATTGCTACCGGGTGGCGTATTGCGGCGGCCACTTCACCACGGCAGACGACGACCAGCGGACCCCTGAAAGCAGCATCCAGCTCACGGGTGCCCAGGAAAAGGCGTGGGAAGCGGCCTTCCAGAGTGCTGTCGAGCAGGACCGGCCTGGGCTGAGAGATGTCATATTAGTCCTATCAATGGCGCTAATCTGCCACGAATTTGGAGGCAATCGGTATAGCTCCCCACTGCTTAGCTTCTGTGCTATGCTCAGCGTCAAGCCGTACACTAAGACTTGGAAGGAACCGGGCAATTACAACAGCTGCTTGTCTGGTGTGATCTGGGTTGTGCAGCTAATCATCTTCCACGCTAGCGCCTGTCTAGAGAAGGCGGAGCTAGGTGATACGCTCGAGCGCATTAAGCAGTATTGCGGCTGTTTACTGTCTCGAAGGAGGTCGTTGGGCCGCACCAAGCACAGTGGGATGTGGACGAGAAGGTCCTGACTTATCGAGACGTTGATTTACACATGGATCACGTGCCGCGGCTCTTACTCTCCGACTTCTAGCAGGCCTAGTACCTGCTGTACGACGAGCTGATGTTTGGGGCCCAGAGCCTCCCGCGGATGCGTGCGTGGGCTCTGAAGGACAACCTGGACGCCGATGCCTTTGGCTAGTTCTTTGGCCAGCACCGGGAGAACGTTGAGCTTCTGAAGCCGCTGACACAGTCTTTGCTAACTGTGATCCAAGACTCGAAGCCGCTGCGGGACTCTTTCCTCGAGATTACTGCTGATGACGCCAGGGCCTGGCGGGGGAAGGCGATTGAACGGTATGAGGCTGTGGCTAACGAGTTCCTGAAAAGGCTCTTGGTCTTGATTCACATGAGCTCTGGCCAGCCGCTGCGCGAGAGTGAGCTCTTTTCCGTCACCTGGCGTAATACCTAGCGGCGGCGGAACGTCTACCTCAAGCACGGGCTGGTCATGCTACACACTACGTACCACAAGGGGCAGCAGCAGACGGGCAAGTTCAAGGATAACATCCGGTTCTTGCCTGCGCCTATTGGGGACCTCTTGCTGGACTACTTAGTAGCTGTCATTCCGCTCCGTCAGGTCTTCCTCCGCCAGTCTGCCCCGCACGCTGTTATATCCCCTTACCTGTGGTGGAGAAATGGCAGGGTCTGGGTTGACAACCGGCTCACGTAATGCATGGAGCAGTCGTGTACTCGGGCTGGCATCCCCCGGTTACACATCGCCAACTAGCGGCAGATGACGGTCAATATCGTCAAGACTAAGTTTGTAGCTAACGTCGGGTGCTTTGAGGTCGACGACGGGGCTAACGACGAGGATGCTGAAGAGATCGAGGCTGACATCCGGGTTATGACCAAGCAGCGGAACTATAGCACGCGGACGGTCAACCGCGCCTATGCCAACTAGCACAATGCTAACTTTAGCAACGTGTGGGATGGTCTTATCCGCCGGAACCTGCGTGCGTCGACTCTGTGGAAGGACTTGTGGGGGCTTGACTAGCTCCTTGAGCCGGCTAGGAAGAGGAAGCGGGACGGTGAGGATATTGGCGGTCCGCAAATGCTTAAGAAGATCGCTATGGGGGTCTACCGGCCGCGGAAGAAGTGGTTAGCTGCGGCTCTATTAAAGAGTGCCAGAAAGCTCTACCGGGATGACACGTTGCAATGGAAGTCAGTAGCCCAGGAGCGGGCTATGACTACTGTTATGTTATAGACTAAGCAGGTAGTAGTCGTTATGGCTACTAGCGAAGGGAAGAGCCTGCTGTTTATGCTGCCTTGCATCCTTGCTAACGCTAGGGTGACGATCTTAGTCCTGCTACTCGTGTCTCTACGAGGGGATCTCCTCCGCCGCGTCCGAGAGCTAGGGTTCGATCACTTGGTATGGGCGCCTGGCGAGCAGCGAGACGCCCCCTTAGTGTTTGTAACCGTCGAGGCCGCTTGTACGGAGCAGTTCCGGACCTATGCCCACAAGCTCGCGGCTACGCAAGACCTCGGCCGCATTGTGTTTGATGAGGCTCACTTGACTGTGACGGCGTCCGACTACCGCCAGGCTATGGTCGACCTCGCCCTGATCCGCAACGTCCGTACGCAGTTTGTCTACTTGACAGCTACGTTACTACCGACAATACAGGCTACGTTTGAAGAGCAGAATAACTTAGTGAATCCTAAAGTAATCCGAGCATCGACGAACCGGCGCAATCTGTTCTATCTGGTACAGCGGGCTACTGGGCTAGGGAGTCTGCTCGACGAAGGCGCGCGGAGGGCTAGGGATGCTTGGTAAGCGAGTAGGCTACTTGACTAGACTCGAGACAAGATCATCCTCTACGTCCGAACGAGGGACGAGGCTAAGGAGCTGGCTGAACTGCTGAGCTGCCTAGCCTATACTGCTAAAGTCGGTACGGCCGAGGAGAAGGAAGAGCTACTAAGAACGTGGCTTGTCACCCCTGAGCAGCCGTACATAGTAGCAACATCAGCTCTGAGTGCAGGCTTCGACTACGCGCACGTCCGGCTCGTAATACACATCAACGAGCCAGACTCCCTTGTCGACTTTGCACAGGAGTCTGGGCGGGCTAGACGGGATGGGAAGGAAGCTTATTCGGTTGTGCTCTTACCCCCTCGATGGGTATCACAAGTGGCTAGTACTATAGAGGCTGAGAAGGGGGTACTCTACCGCTACTTGTAAGGCTAAGAGTGCCGCCGGACCTGCCTAAGTGCATACCTTGACCTTGAGTCCCAGCTCCGGCAGTGCGTTACCGGCGAAGACGTCGTGTGTGATGTATGCAGCAGTAGTCCAGTCGAGACGGCCTTACTAGTGCCTCTTGTTACAATGCTACATACTGGGAGTACGATCATCCAGCAAAAGCGGCGCGCAGCTTACCTCGAGCTTAGCCGGTACTAAGAAGACCTGCTCGCTGTGCAAGGGACGTGCCTGCTCTGTCGAGGGCTTGACGAGCTATAGGACCACGCGTTTGCCACCTGCTACCGACGGTTCGACTTCTTCCAGGCCCGTGACCGGGTGAAGAGGCAGTGCGAGGGAGCTTGGATTGCAGCATTCCAGGCGTGCTACTGGTGCTACAACCCGCAGTCCGTCTGTCTGCGGGCAGATCTAGCCAGTGGGTGCCAGAGCTGCGTCTATGCCGATACTGTCCTGCCGCTCTGTTACGGCATCTTCTACGGAGGCGGGGCAGAGCAGTGGCTACTAGAGCAGTTCTAGCAGAGGTTTAGAGACGTCGATGAGTTCCTAGCGTAGTGCGGCCAGGCGACGAGCTTTAGGGGAGGGAAGGCGATCTGGGCAGTCCGCGTAGCTGCT